TAACCCTAACCCTAACCCTAACCCTAACCCTAACCCTAACCCTAACCCTAACCCTAACCCTAACCCTAACCCTAACCCTAACCCTAACCCTAACCACGGGAAAAGATAAAGAAGGAAATAGATACTCTTTCTTAGTTATAATAAGATTGCATTTGCGATTCTTAGCAATATATTCGGCGCAGCGACCCGACTGGAGGTCCACCTTATAAGGCACTTTCGCTAGACGACAATGCGAGTAAGGAGTAGGCATTTTAGTACTACTAGTAGTAATGAAATCCGTAAGCTCAAGACGACAGCGGAAGGATTTAGATTTTTCAGCTTTAGATATAATGAAGCTGAGGACGCAAGAAGTGGAGAGGGTATCACGAAATGAACCTTCAGGCCGAAGGCTAAGCTAGAAGGGGAATAGTATTATAACCCTCGGCAATTCCTAGGAAAACACGTGATAAGATATAGATGATTCTACTAAGAAGGGTTATATTAAAGGAATTATTAATAAGATACAGATGATTCTACTAAGAGAGCCTATATTATAGGAATCACGGTATAGAGGTACGAGCTATAAGCTCGAGTATATAGGTAGCACTATTCTCGTTTATTAGAATAGTGTACTTAACTTAAATAAGAATGTAGTGTTCTTTATAACTTAATCTAATCTCACTACGTGATATTAATTCTCACCTTATTAACTATATCTTAGCACTATTCCCTATCTCCTTAATTAGAACCCTAACTATTATAGTAACCTTTATTATCTTGTGATAGCACCTCGTTACACGTGCATATTTTATTAATATCTATTAATACCATTTTTAGATATATAATTCTTATTATTTCCTTTTAATATAATTAGTAGAATATATATTTTATATATATTATAGTTGTAGAGTATCCTATTAATAGCTATTAGTAATAGAAAGCCTTACTAATACATTTAGATAGAGGTTTTAAGACTAAGAATTAGTATTTTAAGTTTATTAGATTAAAAAGATCTTTTTATAGTTAAAGTATCTTCTAAGATTAGTATTCTTATACTAAATATACTATTATAGTCTATTTACTATCTAGTATTACTAATCTATCTATAATACTCTTTAGATAGCCTATTTTCCAACGGATTTACTATTTTCTAAGCTATTTTCTAAGTGGTTTCTTTTTAGTAAATAGAATTATTAATAAGATACAGATGATTCTACTAAGAGAGCCTATATTATAGGAATCACGGTATAGAGGTACGAGCTATAAGCTCGAGTATATAGGTAGCACTATTCTCGTTTATTAGAATAGTGTACTTAACTTAAATAAGAATGTAGTGTTCTTTATAACTTAATCTAATCTCACTACGTGATATTAATTCTCACCTTATTAACTATATCTTAGCACTATTCCCTATCTCCTTAATTAGAACCCTAACTATTATAGTAACCTTTATTATCTTGTGATAGCACCTCGTTACACGTGCATATTTTATTAATATCTATTAATACCATTTTTAGATATATAATTCTTATTATTTCCTTTTAATATAATTAGTAGAATATATATTTTATATATATTATAGTTGTAGAGTATCCTATTAATAGCTATTAGTAATAGAAAGCCTTACTAATACATTTAGATAGAGGTTTTAAGACTAAGAATTAGTATTTTAAGTTTATTAGATTAAAAAGATCTTTTTATAGTTAAAGTATCTTCTAAGATTAGTATTCTTATACTAAATATACTATTATAGTCTATTTACTATCTAGTATTACTAATCTATCTATAATACTCTTTAGATAGCCTATTTTCCAACGGATTTACTATTTTCTAAGCTATTTTCTAAGTGGTTTCTTTTTTCTAAATCTTGTAAATTTAGGATAGAAAATAGATTAGCTAGTAAAGATCCTAGAGTATTCTATTACTAGCTATTAATAATAGAGAAGCCTACTAATATATCTAGATAAGTATTCTTAGACTAATAATTATTAATTTAGTAGTTTTAAAGATTAAATAGTCGTTTTTTCTAGCGGAAATACCTTCTAAAACTAGTTTATTATACTATACTTAGTAATATAGTCTATTTAGTATTTAGGACTAGTAATCCACCTAATATACCTCTTAAATAGGCTATTTTCTAAGGGAATAAGCTATTTTCTAAGTGCTATTCATTTTCTAAGGGATGAGAACCTTGGAATTTACCCTTAGAAAATAGATCTCTAGGAACCGAATCAGATTCTAGTACATGGGCTTATAGAGTTAACACTTGCTAGTACTAGCCCTCTACGAATGCTGTCGTTCCTGCCGCGAGATAGGCTGCCTAAATTCATTTCCATCCCAAGCTAGATACCTTGACCCTCATCAATTCACCGTCTCAACGTGGTACTGCGTGCCACTAATCTTGCCACTATCTTCAAGCGACCCTCTGCCTTCCTCATCTTCATATGCAATCTTCTCCTCAAACTCTATTACCTGGGCACCTATTGCCTGGATTTTCGGACCACTTTCCACAAATCCCGTGTCGTCTGCAGTCAAATGGACCATGACTTCGTCACCAAACAAGGCCGCCAGTTCCTCCATCGGTAACCCCTTGGTCTCTGGGATAATGAAGTAGACAAGGATTCCCGAAATAATGGAGAGACCCATATAGAGGAGGTACATATGCCAGCCACTGTGCGAAGAAATGGTTAGACAAATTTGAGTAAACGCACAGGATGCTAAAGGGGTAGTACTGACATGTTTTTGAATGCAAGCGCACTTGGGGTCGTATACGTTAATCCTCCCACGAAGTAGGCGAAAAAGGACAAGCTAACACCCTTGCCGCGGATAGGCGTGGGCCATATCTCGGAAGCCCAAATGAAGGATGGAGCGTCAACGCATTGGTAGCAGATGATGTAAAGAATTAGAAATAAGAGACACGCAGCGAGTCCGCCTTTATTGGGGTTAGTGTCGGTGGGGTTGATGTAGGCGTTCTGCAGGAGCGCTTGTGATAGCAACAAGATTGCTAGAAGAGGGTAGCCGATGACTAGTAGACGATGTTAGTCTCTGCAAATCATTACATGCGTCACAGAGTATGTATTGGGATTATACTTACGGAGAAGCGTTCGTCTGCCAACACGGTCGACTATGACGATCGACACGGCTACTGCTAATGTGCCGATTGTAGTCCAGACACCTATTTGCTATCAGTGGGTGAACAACAAACTTGAAGTGGCTTCTCTTACCGTACATGACGAGAGGCATAACGCCTGTTAAGCCAAGTCCAGAGAATATGACAGGCAGAAAGTTGGAAATGCCTGTAATCCCAGTCGACTGTGAGGCGAATCTGAGGAATGCATTAGCTATAGCATGCAAAGTATGGACTAAACCGCTTACAGAAGGAAGATCGCAGAGAAAGCTCTTCGCCGCCAGGTTGGTAGTCGGAACATCTGTATGAATCCAGCTCCGAGATCCTTGTCATGCTCGACCTGTAGCACGATCTGTGTGTACTCTGCATGAGCAACACGATCTTCTGCGTCGCGTGGATTGCGGTGCAGTCGGTGCAGGACTTTCCATGCTTGCTCCTTCTTGCCTGCCCAAATGAGGTAGCGGGGTGTTTCTTTCAACTGCGTCAGCATCATTGATCAACGCATCAAGGCACTAGTACACTGACCTGGAATCGCGGGTAGAGCGCATAACAAGGCCATAGGTCCCACACAAGCCAACGCAAGAGGTACACGCCACGCTACAGTCTGGCTGCTTGCAAAGTACGTCCCCACCGCGATCCACGCTACTCTGCAGGTATGTTAACTGATTAGTCTCCAGAGACAAAACAACGATACTTACACAAGGTAGCCAGTGCCAAAGCTCAGTACAGTCATGCCAGCAAGTAGACCTCGTCGACGTGGTGGGGCTACTTCGGAAAGGTAAAGAGGTACCAAGCAGATAACCATGCCCAGGCCAAACCCCATAAGAAGTCGGACGACAATCATCATGGGAATAGTGACGGAACCAGCGGTCAATGCGGCACCAACAAGAGCACAAATAGCCGCAATCCCAAGCCCGATCCTGCGTCCGTACTTATCGGCGATGAAAGACTGAGCGATGGATCCGATAGCGGCGCCGGCGGTGAAGAGAGCATTCACAGCGTCGAGGACGTGGGCAGTATGAGTGCTAGCAGGGTCCAGATTGAAATCTGAGTAGAAACCGGGCTGCCCTTGGCAAGTGACGAAGGCGGAGAAGCCGAAACCATAGGTGAAGCCACCTAAGGCTACGAACATACACGTGGCGATCCTGTTCGCAGGTCTCAGTAAATGCGAACTGTTTTGACGAGAAGGGAAGCCTAGGGATAGGAGGAGCAGGACAACAGGAGTTCTGATGAGTGAGTCGGAAGCTAAGATACGGCTTCAGGGGAAGCCAATCTGCTTTCCAGCCTTCCGAGTTGCGTGAGAACTTACTGGTAGCCTGTGAGCCCGATCATCCTGATAGTACCAAACGTGATGTGGAAGGAAACCAGGTGGTAATCGTGAAGGAACAGTCAAGGTAGGAGGAGTGGAGAGGGCATTATAGTGTTATGGTGTTGTCGAAACTGAATTGCGACCCCTCTTCTGACAGTTCTGACCATGCATTGAGGGAGGATTGACGGAATACGGAAGTTGACTAGCGCGAAGCTTTAGCCATCTTGATGACCTATCAAAATTCCTATTCCGCTATTGGTTAACCTCTTGATCCCTTGAAGACGTGCTTGTTTGACCACGACCCCACGACTCAAGGCCAGAAAGGCACTCGCCTATAGCGAGCCCAGGATTTTCCATTTCAAGTCGTCCGGTACCAAGCCGAGTGGGCAGACCTGGACTCTGGAGGTTTGGAGGTAAACTCTCTGACATGAGCTAGTAAGTTTTCTGACCTTGCAGCTTGCGGCAGAGGCGATCATCGCCATGATTGTTTGCAGTCCTGCAGATACAATTTCACAGGAGACAGTCAACCCTTCGCACCTCTACACGAGATCCAGACTCGACCAGGATGGATGACGTTGTACGCGCGCGAGAAGAATGATGTCATCTGGGGAGTCTCTCCTTAGGCGACTTGATCGCAGGTCATCAATTGTTATCATCGTGGCTCACAATCTCAATATCTGTTAACGTCTATTCACATTGAGCATCACTATCTCTGGCCACTTCCAGCCAAGATGCCCCATCCTGTGAGGAAACCCACGATCCTCATCATCCCGGGCTCTTTCTCTCCTGCACATTTCTACTATGGCGTAGTCAACAGCCTGAAAGAAGCAGGCTATGAGGCAATCGTCTACGACCTGCCCTCGGCGAGCCGCAAGCCTCCCCAAGAAGCAGCCACACTCGCTGATGACGCCGAGTTTTTTCATCACAAAGCTTCTCTGCTCGCAGACCAGGGCAAGAAGGTAGTCTTGGTGCCACACTCGTACGGTGGTCTGGTCGCCAGCGAGTGTGTCAAGGGCTTGAGTAAAGCCGAGCGTGAGGCGGCGAATAGACCGGGTTGTGTGAGCAAGGTCGTCTTTCTGACATGCGTCATCCCGCCCGTGGGCGAGTCCCTTCAATCCTTGATGGGGACATTACTGCCGGAATTTATCAAGGTCGACGTATGTTTTCACGTTCCACATGGTACAGGGTGCTGACACAGTATTCAGGGCGACTTCATGTACCATGAAGCCACCGGTTCCGCTCGAGTCAATCTATCAGATCTTCCATACGGCAAGGCTATCAAGCTCGCGGCTCAATTCTCTCACCATTCGACGCCCAGCTTCCAGAACAAGCTTACCTATGCTGGGTACAGATACATCCCAAGCGCCTTCATCGTATGTGACCAGGATATAGTCCTCCCACCAAGCTTTCAGAAAAGTAGAGTCGAGCTGTTGAAAAGAGAGAGTGGGACGAATGTGAAGGTAGTGCATTGCAAGTCTGGACATTGTCCCAACTTGAGCATGCCTGAGACCGTGGCGGCTTTGGTGCAGGAGGTCCTGGAAGAGTAACAGTATGGATGCTAGAGCTTTGTTTCGAGCTGAAGAGTGTCATTTCCATCTATGGCAGCTGTGACATCATTGCTTCCTCACTATTCGGAGAGAACAGAAAGACTAAATACAACCGACATGTCCATACCACTGTTGCCACATGTTCTTGGCTTGACTTGGATCATAGCACCCGAAGACTACCACCCACAACTGTCGCCGTCGTAGCTGAGGAACTTTCCTGAACTTGCTTCTCTCGTCGCATTCTCAATCTGTGTAGTGACCAATCAGTCCCGAGGAAAACGACGCAGTAGACATGGATCATACCACGTCAAGGAGCCCCGTTATGCTCTGCTCAATAGTTATGTCTGCTGACTCTAAGCCAACCTTTCGAGCACCGTCATTGCCCATATCCGTTTGCACCCATCTACCCGAACAAAGTCAGCACGTTTACATCACACCTGGCGCATTCTTAGGGTGCGCTTAGAGGTAGGAGTTGAATTTGGGAAAAACGATCTTACCCTGGGCTGATGGGAAATGCAATAATGTCTGGATTCTCCACGTGAATTTTTTTGGTGAGGTAGTTCAAGGCCGCTTTAGACGGCCCGTATGCCGCGTTCGGGATGGGAACTTGCTCCATGTCTGCGATACTTGCGGCTGTAGTGCTCAAAGTGACGAACTTGGGCTCCCTCTGGGACTTCCGTAGAAGTGGTAGAAATGCTTGAAAGAGAAGCGCGGGCGCGACTGCATTGACCATGAAGTGCTCGAGCATGTCTGATACCTGTGCCTGGGCCACAGTCGGGAGCACCTTCGCTATGCCGGCATTGGCTATAACGATATCGACTGCTGAGATGTTGTGGGTGGAGATAAGATCCCGAACTGCCATCTTTGCATCTGTTTCGCTTTTGCTGTCGATCTTTACAACGATCAGGTTGCTGGATTGGGCTCTGGGAAGGTCATGGAGGGCTTTGCTGGTTAGATGTTCAGGATTGCGGACGGCAGCAATGACTGTGTTGTTGGGCCGTGATAGGTATGCGGCGGCTAGTCCCTCACCCAGACCTGATATTCCTTGTCAGTAGAATGACACAAGAGATCTTCATAGTATTTGTCACTAACCTCGATTAGCACCCGTAATTAAGTATATCATTGTCATGCTTAGCCTAGCCTTAAACGATATCCTTGGCTGAAAAAGTTGCTGTAAACAAACTCTCGCTGCGCCAGTCCTAGAAGTTATATTAGCCTTTGGAAAGTATTGGTCAGCGGCAAGTTCGTTTTTGAGCATGATGCTGTGTGGCGATGCTTCGTGACAGACTGCTGCTCAACCCCTGAGCCCTGCGGCCGTGGTGGATGCAATGCAATGTCAGAAAACAGGCCGTTGAACGAGGATCTTGTAAAGACATGGAGACTGTGGATCTGATCACATTTGACGCACTGAAAGTACAATAAATCTGACACAGACGTCCCGAGCAAGTTGCCTAGACATTAAAGATCATCGTGCTCGTTCAGGCAGACCACTCGCAACAATGATTCAGTAGAACAGATAGCCCCATTTCTTCTCAAATGGGTTTGTCACAACCCAGGCCATAGGATCCCAGCTGACCGAACCTGGAACGATAGTGAAACTATCCGTTGTGAAAAGATCGCACAAAAAGACCTCCTCGTCAATAATGCCACTGAGCTGGATGACGTTGTCTCTCATCTTCGGGAAAGGGAAACGGTCGATCCATGGAATGTGGAGGACAGTCATCTGACTCTGAGTAGGGTGGAGGCTCAGTGGTGTCTTCGCCGTGCACGGCCGGGAGAGTATCGGAACTTGGATGCCGCAGGGTATGCCCAAGATGCGTCCGTTGTTGAATAGCGCAGCAAACACCGATGAGACATGTTTGGTCAACAAGCTGTGGTCCACTCCTATGGACAGTTCGGACCCAAAGGAAGGACAGCTTGCAGGTGAGGCTGAACTGTCCAGGCTTGCGGGGGAAGTGTTGAAGGGTAATTCGATGATGGTGACAGCAAATGCGTCAGTGGGGATATCTTCTTGTGCTCCTCGTAGTGCCAAAGCCTGACTGGACTCTGCACGACGTTTCCCTGCAGCAAAGAAGCGATTAGCTTGTATGTCAGACTCAGATAGTTGCATCGTGTCGTACTTCTTGCTCTCTGAGCGAGTCTGTCCTGGATCTGTTTCCTCTTCTTGGGATCTTGGACCCCATGCCAGCAGTCCGAGTCGGTCTGCAGGTGAGCGAGCATGATTTTTCTGCAATGTAAGCTGGCGCTATCTTCTGACACATGACCAGCTTGCATAGCAGCGACCGTGGCAAGAAATAGAGGAACAGGAGACGTGGCAGTAAGGTTTGCGAGCTTGGTAAGAATATCTGGTGCCGTCATCTGGACCTTGCAGATCTGACTGCCGAGCCGCTATGTTCTGACTCTGCATGCAGCAAGGGCGACCCGAAATATTCGCGGCCACGCAAAAACTATACTAAATTCACCAACACTCAAGACCACTATTATATAGACTTATTTATGTCAAGATTAACGCTATTGATACTCGCTAAGCATAGTCAAGTGTGTAAGCTATTCCATATAAATTTGGGTGCGGAAACACCACTGCGAGCAAAGGTAGATTACTATGAGGTGGGGCGTCTTCGGCAATTTTGCGTGGCCGTCATTTTTTCGGATCACCCTTGCAGCAAGGCATCGCCATCTGCCTCCTCCGTAACAAAAAGCCGACATCGACTTACCACAAACTAAATTGTTCCTTGAATTTTGACACTGCATAACCCTTCCTGATGACATTGTAGTACAGAGACTTGAGCGACATCAGGTATCAAGATGTCAGGTTATCGAACTTGGTTTGTTGCGTAAGCAGTGCCCATTGAGTACATTTTCGATCGGCTAGGTCCGCCGGTTTGTACCGAAGAGTGAGAAGAACGCAGCAACTTGTACTCATGCCCCATGTCAGAGGTCGCAGTCTTTGCATCAGACTCATCGTAGGTAGGCGCCCTTCCACAAGCTAATCGAAACACAACCTCAACTTTAAAAGCAAATCACTCGGATCCCATAAAGCACCGAGCATGCAGAAGAGATCACGCTTCTCTTCCTGATACCCGCACGAACGCCAGTAGCACGGATACCAGCCATTACCTGCAGACTCGCGAGATGCAGTACCCAAATTCTCGGGCTCCGTCAAATGAGGGCCGAAGTAGTCCCCCAGACTCTTCTTACGATAGACAAGCAGCCATCAACTCGATGACAGCGGAGACATGTGCATCGAACATACTGTCTATGTCTACATCGACCAGTGGAGAGTATGACTTCATCTCGAACCTCATCGGCCCAGTCACAGAGCAACAAAATTCCACGACGCAGTCAACACTTGAGGATCGTATTATGCCATCATCGTCCGTCGACAGCGATGGAGATGGTGACGTTCAGGAGACCTCTAGATTAGATACCACGCAAGCGAACGGGTCCACAGACATCAAGAATACTAAATATGCAGCAGAACCTGAGCCTTTGACAGAGGATTCACTCGATGTCCACTGGCATGAACCCCTGATGGAAGGTCTTCTCGGACCTATCATCGATTACCTGAGATTGGAAGGCATAAAGATGACTCCGAAGGAGGGAGCCGCCACAGATAGCATTTTGATCGGCGACGCCTCACGAACAATATGCTTGAAAGACATCGAACGCTGCGCGGGCTTCTAAAAACACTCTATCCCATCTTCACACCCAACGACTCCAAGAAACCGGTGACCTCTTTTGTTACAATGTCCGGAGCCTCCTCCGCCACCCAATGCCCCACCCTATCCCCAATTCCCGATCCGTCAACTCTTATACCCTGCTCAATCCAATCTCTCCATATGTTCCCCACATCACCCCAACGCCCTATGCCCCCTTCACTCCACAACACCAAGGTCGGCACCACGATCTTCCTTCCGGCGGCTCGATCCTCCTTCTCCAGTTGCACTTCGGTCCTCGCACCATCTGCGTAATCTTCGCAGGCCCCGCGGATCGCATGATCAGTTCCGAAATTCCTCGCATAGATCTCAACGGAATTCCCAGCGAAGAAGCTCGCGCGTCCAGCCTCATTATTACCAGTCCCCTTGCCAAGCATTTCCCGGCAGAAGCTGTCGCCGCCATATGCCTTGATCATCGGTATCGCCATGTCCGGGCGGGCGAGGAACGTCCAGTGGAAGTAAGCTGCTGCGGCGGATGGGTCTGTGGCCATGGCGGTCCACTGAACGGTGAGAGGGAGGATGTCCATGAGGATGAGGCCTTGGAGATCGAAGTGCGAGAGGACGTGAGAGGTGGAAGGGTCTGGGTGGGCGAAGTCTATGGCGAGACGGTGTGAGATGCGGGCGCCGCGGTCGTGGCCCACGAGGATGATTTTGGTTCTTTGGGACGGGGTAAGGGAGAAGACAGTTTGGAGGGCGGAGAGGATGGCGTGGCCCATCAGGCGCTTGGTAAGGGTGCCGTTGGTGGGGGTTGATACGCCGTAGCTGGGAAGCTGGGATAAGACGAGGATTAGGTCTGATCACCCGCGAGGTAAAAAAGGGTAAGGAAATGTCAGAATTACCTCTGGTATGAAGACGGAGACAAAAGGTGTAAGTTTTGGAACGATCTGGTCTAGTATCAGGAGCTCCATATCAATCCTGATAGCACTGGTCTGGAGGCTTCATCATACATATCGCCAACTGTGGATTATCAGCGATTCCCAATCAATCAGCTCCGACATGGGGACGAGTTGGATATATACCTATAAGCACTCTGCGGATACCCATGTATCAGGACCACAATGGGTTCGTCCCCCGGATTCCTCTTCGCATAGCTACAGATAGTTGAACCAGACTCCGTGGGCGTAAAATTTCGCTCAAGATTAGGATAGAGGGAAGGGAGGTCTGACATGCTGATTCCACGTGAAGCTGGAAAAGAGATCCGAGGGTAACAGACGTGGATCGAGGAAAGGATGTTCAGAGGCTCAAAAAGAACGAAATCTGTCGAAGCGTAAGAAGTTGGCAGCAGAGAGACGATTAGAGGTGCTGGGTGAGAGGAGATGCTCTGTTTCAGTTGTTATGGAGGACCTCTGAGTGCAAACCATAATGGCATTGAGAGCGAAAGTCGACCTTGTCGCGTGAACCCTAACTGCAGCCGCTTTTGCTTCTGGGATTCGCACTCTGCAGGACTTTCAGATAGTCGTGAAGAACGCCAGCCATAGGGGCACTCTGTCGTCGAGACGCTACTTTCTGACGATGCTGTGAAAGCATGGCATGGCATGGCGCTAAACCTTTTTTCTTTGTACATGAACCACTGCAGATCTCAACTTCATGCAACAAAGTCACGTGACAAAGTTCTGAGACCTTCCATCGCGCAAGCGATCAGCATTGGCCAAGGGGTACAAGTACAACAAGTTAACTTGGCCCCGCCAGCCGCAATCCGCTTGAGGGATGGCTGACACAGCGGATTGCAAAAGTCTCGGCCTTTTAGTAAACGTCTTCAAGTCTGTGCCAGTCTCATCATCGCTCTCATTTCGAATAAACGTCTGGTCAACTCTGTCGCGTAGAAAGACGCCGGCCATGTCTCGTCCATTAAGCGCTACTCATGATAATCCCAGCGGCTACACATCCAGGTCTGAGCCTAAGGCTTCGTATATGAATGAAGCAACTTCTTGCTCAAACAATGAATTTCTCTCAAACAATTCTCGAAGACCACAAACTACGACAAGTGAATCAAAGTCTACTGCTTCTTTGGTAAGATTCCATCCACTGAGATGCCGAGCAAAATCATCAGTAGCGCCTTAATTAAAAGCATCACCAAGAACGGCAAGAACCTTACTCTCAAGTATGCAGCTAAAACAGCCAAAACGCAGGTTCGGCTGCATGAAGATGGCGCCGCCACACCCTCCACCTTGAAAACACGAAAGAAATACAAAATCTCCACTTCAGACAACCCGACCAGGCCGCAGAACCGCAGGCTGCAGCCTGCGATCTGGTTCTCCTGCGGACGGGCGCTCTTAGAATGGCCTGCGGACGGACTGCGTCTTGGCAGCCCGTCCGCATGACCGCATGACCGCAGCTACGGGCTGTTAGCCACACTAGTCATAGCAGGTCAGGCACATTCACGGTCCTGTTTTTTTCCATCTCTTTCATTCAATCGACCTCCAGTGTGATCCGTTATACTCTCCCTGCATATTTGTGAACGTGCTCCTATCAAGATGAGATTCTCCAACTGCGTCCATATTGATCAGCGAGTCAAAGTCATGCTCAAAATCTTGCACGGCTACTCCTTGAATTTGCTCGCTTTCCTTGTGCACTGATTCGGGCGGTGTGCAAACCAGGAGCGTCCCTAGCTTTCGAGCAACGTCACTATCTGACATCCCTGATAGCTCATCCATTTTCCGGATAGTGCCATCTAGGAATGCGGCCGCGTAGTCGGCAGCTGCATGAGTCTCCCGAAAGCTGTCTACAACCTGCATGCACTGACGGAATCCGTGGAGGCTGGCTCGTCTTGTCGCCTCATCTGGTGCTTTCATGTTAAGCAAGTGGATGATCATTACAGGTAATAGTACGGTGATACTGATCGTAGGAAGGTAGCGGACAAGATCTAGGCTCAACAAATCCCGTGCAATGCTGGTGGTTTCGGCTGCAGCTCGGCGAACGCTCCTCCGTGAGATATTGAGGAAATCGGATGCGGCATTACGAACTGGCCACGCAGCGGAAAGTAAGACTTGTGGTCGGTGTAAAGCGCTTAGTGTCACAAAGTTTACCATGCGCAGTAGTGCGGAGTGCAGTACGATAGCACCGCTCCCATTTACAATGTCTCGCCACGAAGGAACCCGGTACTGTGCCTCTTATGGTAACAACCTATCCCATCTCTGGAGCTCTTCGTCAACTGCCTTAATTCCACAAGTCTCGGGATCCAGATTCTTTGGCAGAGACATTGCTGTCGTCCCTGTACATCCCTCTTCGCCGAGGGCTCCCTGGTCCTGTATGAAGTACTGGATGCGTAATACATGACCGATACAGAGACAAAGCTTGGCCTTCTCTATGCACATGATCGCGAGTTGTCGCTGCTTCTCTTCGTCACGCAAAAGGGTAAAGTCGGCTGAGATGCAGTAAATAGTATCCGATAATGGTGGGATGTCAAAATCTTCTAAGGTGAGCATAGACACGTCGTAGTCTTCATCTTTTATCCACGCAGGTCTTCGCGTTCCGAGTGCTAAAGACGATCTCGTATGAACATTGACCACCACATCCTCTTCCACAAGCTTCGTTGTTGGTATCCCTTCTAGAGTGCTCCGAATTGCGGTGCAGGCCAATAGTATGTGAGAGGGACACGGCGACCCCCACCCAGTAGTGACTGTCTTTTTGATCATCTGGTGTTTCGTACCAGTAGGCCATCAATAGTAGAGATTGGATCAATGACACTCGATCGACCTCGATGTCGAAATCTTACAGGAGCTGTTTGTTGTCAGTCGGTGGCGTCTGGAATAAAAGGCTTCCATATATACCCTTGCTTTTCGGAAGAATTGCTCACGAGCCTCCCTTCGTGTCGCGTAACCCGCGTTCTTCAAACGGCGCAGATCGACAAAGGCAGCACCAGCGAACATCACACGCTGGAAAACCAGAAGGCTCACGAGGTTACCGTTACCTTCAATAGCCTCCAAAATGTCATGGATCTCGAGCAACGGCATAAACGGATGCACATACTCGGTATAACTCCGAAGGAGCTCGTTGCGGAGGCGTAGATCGGGTGTAGTGAGAGCATTTTTTCTGTTCAGGTAGAAGATCTCGTCTAATCCTATCAGTTGTGAGAGTGGTTTGATGAAGTGCGGAAAGGTAGGAACATGTGGCTCTGATGGAGCGGCAACCGGGGGAAAGAACGATTGGTTGTCGATGACATGCGGGCTGCGGCTGTGACTATAGCTTAGAATAGGAGATATCGAAGGCGTGGATGAAGCTCCCTGAATAATGTCGTATGAGCTTGAGTTAGGCTGGGAATCAGAACTTTGATCTACAGGCGCATAAGCTTGGGCGATGCCAAACATATTGAGGGTTGCACTGACCGAGCGAATGACGCGTATGCTCTTCCGACTTTCTTCCAGGTTCGCTCAGCGAATGCAATGGCACGGGAGCTGTAGCTTTTTCGAGAATGTCTTGCGACTCAAGCTCAAAGCGCCTGACAAGTGGATGCGATGCACCGAGGTTTGTCTGGTTGCCATCCATCTGTGTCAATTTCCTGGATGGATCACCTGAGCTGAGTACCCAAATACATGGTCTCCGGAGCCCGTGTGAATCACTTACTTCTTCCTCCCGTTCCTCTGCCCCTCGGGAATAACGCATTCCTTCCGATCCAGTCTGCAGTTCATACAGGGCGCGCCATGCTCTACGTTACATCTGACTTTGCGCGAGTGGCAGGATCGACATGCTTTTGTCGCCCTTCTCCATGTATTCTTTGTAGACCCGGTGCCTTTGACATCACATCCAGTAGCCGTTGCTTTGGGTTTCAGTGTTTGCGGTTGCGATTGCAATTGTTGTCCCTGAGTCGGACATTCTGATACTGAGGAGACATCCGACATATCCTCATCTGTTGGAAGTTCGATTGCATGTGCCTACGGCATTCGTCAGTCGCACAATAGCGCACTCGAATCGAGCATGAAAGAAATGACTGCATCGCAAGAGGTATATAAGTAGAGGCGGGTTACTAGTGTGGCCAAATCATCCGTCCATAAGTCGTGGACGGATGGACGGGCCGCTTGATACACGTGACCGGCTCGACAACGGACAGCGAGCGAAGCCGTCGGACGGCTTGAACGGCTTGGATCAAGGGCAGGTAGATTCCATCGTGGCTAGCCCTACATGACCTTAGATGGCTCATGGCTTACATGGCTTACTATGCAGCATCCGTGCCGCTCCGCCTGCACTTGCTACGGAAAGTGCTGAGCAGTCGAACAATAATCACCACTTGGAGACAAGGTATACGTTGTGAGGAAAACCACACAAAAGCGATAATCCTTCAAAGCTGCTGTATATCCAAGTGCACATCAGATTCATGGGGCGTCATTGAGTCCTGGAATCCAAGATCAAGATTTTACAGAGTTAACAACCACCTCTATCTCTACAATCAGCAGTCATTCGTCGACCAGACTACCTTTACCACGAGCATCTACCGAGGCAGGGCCCCTGCTAAAAATTCCTTGATGCAATCGTGATAGTGACCATGTCTTTGCGCTCCACCGTGCCCCAACCAGCCTGCGACGACATGAGATCTTCGTTTGCTCGCTTTGGAACTGGTGTTTTGGAACTAACATACCCTGGAAGGTAGAATATCTAAAGGCAGGCAGAATGAAAAGAGCACCCTGCGTATGGTCTCGCTATGCGGTAACGCAGCAATTTTACTTGACAATACTGCAACCGAAGCGTGGAGACATCAAAGAGTTGTCTTCACTCACGGCCTGCCTTGCGAATTGTTGAAAGAGATCTTTGAGCCACATCTAAACCGTATATCGAAAAAATGACGCATAATCCCCTTTCTCTCGCTCCAAATGTTTTTGTTCCTCTGTGTATTCCTCAGGCATGATCTTGTTCTCCAAAGCCCACTGATCACGGCGTCGGTTCTCCCATCGCAAGTACATTGTCATGAAGAGCGACAGCACGAATGACATCGATATCAAGCCGATTAATGCGGCATGCCCCGAGATGAACCTTGTCAAGAGTCAGCCCAACGAGCTTTTGAACGAAGTGTGGGAGGAAAGCAGGTAGAATAGAGAAGATAGGTACCTCGGTGAACTCTTTGGGAGGTAGATGAACGCCGCAATCGTTCCACCAAGATTGCCAGCGCCAACATGCATTGCAATCCCAACCCCTCGCTTCAAGCTTCCACCGATATTGTTACCATTCCATGCCACTCCTATTGGCACCAGAGGAAAGATACCTGCGACGGCCAAGAAGGTGCCGGTGTATTGGATAGCAGAGGCGCCAGACGAGAGTAGCATAGCCCAGCCGACGATGGCTAGAAGAGTGAAACCAAGCATGAAAATGCCACGAGTCTTCATCCTATCAGCCATGTACCCTGCAGTGACAGTGATGATGCAGCCAGTAACATAAGGTGGCACGGTCATCAGCTGTGACTGCTCGTTCGAGTAGCCCATGCCGCGCACAATAGTGGGCAGAAATAGCGAGATCGAGTACACTGGAGTGTACACCCCCAGAGTGATAAGCATGTGAACGTAGATCTTCCAATCTCGCAGTGCATCCCACACAAACTTCATCTGGAAGTCGTCGGAAAGGCCGCTCCGATCATCCGTAAGTCTTCGTTTGGCTTCGTGTTGTTCAGCAGGAGTAAGGAAGTTTGCCCTATGGGAGACATCAGTACAAGGCTATCAACAAAGCTCAGGGGATAAAGACTCACTTTTGTGGTGTGTCGACGATAATCCAGTAAGCAGCGCCGGCTATAACCAAAGTGAGCAGACCTTCAAGTATGAAGATCCATGACCAGCCCGAACGTCCTGCAACGCCTGCCATTCGACCAATTCCGGCGGCAAGCAGGCCACCAAATGCACCTGCAGCCGTAGCCGCGGAGAAGAATAAGGCGAGCCTGAGTCCACATTCATGGCGGCGATACCACGTGGTGATATAATAGCTGACACCTGGGAACAGTCCTCCCTCCGCAAGGCCGAGAAATGCTCTTGCAACAACAAGTCCGGAGAAGTTCGAGACAAAACCCATGGCGATTACAACAATAGACCAGACTACCATGATCGTGGTGAACCAGAACTTTGCTCCAAAACGCTTTATCATCATGTTGCTAGGGATCTCGGCGGCAACATAGGTCGGGAAGAAAGCGGCCAAAGCAATGTTGTAATCGAGGCCTTTCATTCGGAGATCGGCTTCAAGACCGAAGAGACGAGCGTTTCCAATATTGGTACGATCCAAAAAGCTCAACCTAGTGTACAGCGGTCAGCGCCTGCTGGAAAAAAGCATTGTGTCATGACTTACAAGTAAAGCAGGGCCAGAAACGGAACCAGCCGTATGTCCATTTTGCGAAGCAGTCTCTTCGTTGCATTCGTATCAAAATGAGGGACATCGAAATCACTGGTTGATGCCGATCTCAGAGGATCCTCACGCTCGATCGCGATGGGTTTAGTAGCATCGATGATGGTCTGGCCATCACGATTGAGGTCCTCCATTGTCGAATCTGCTGAGAGATACTTTCTTTATCAGTACTTGTCGGTTCTTTGGTAACACTATAGACTCTGCGCCTGATAGGGGATGATGTATTGAGAAAGCCGGGGTATGGAGAGGCAGGGGAAATGGTGATTCATATCCTCGTTGTATTCTCTTGTGTTGACCTAGACTCTGGGTCTTGATACCCGGGAGCTAGGAGACACGGTCCACGGACCGCCCAACACCGTGCCAAGACCGCCATGTCTGGGGCTAACGTCCAGCCTGCGGACTGTGGTCCCGAGCTTATTCCATGCGGTGAAAAATAAATTGATACGCTCACGACATCCATCTTTGCTCCAAGTGGCGTGATACCCTTGGCAAGGTTCCAATTTGCGCCTACTAAGAAACCGAACCCGAGAATGAGGCAGACGAGGACAAAGACGAGAACGACATTTGTACACATCGAGCAGAGAAAGTAGACAAAGTAGAGAAGACCCCTGCTAACAACGGGGAAGGTTGTGACTGCATTAGTCTTTAGAACAGTTGTCAAATGATTAAAGTCTTTTATCCATCAAGACTAGCAGCAGATACAGCGGGTTCGAGGTCCTCCGGATTTTCAAAGCCTGTGGCGGAGAAAGTACCGCTGGTGTGTAGTATGGCACACTGGCCTGCCAGGAATGCTGTGGGGAAATGTGGGGGAATGTGGGCGATTAAGCACACGGACTCTGTCCCGAGGTTGAGACGGCAGCGCACGGTCGAGGCGGTCAAGTGGCGGCCCAGGACGCGGAAGCGTCGAAGAGCAGATAGATAGACGGCCACTGCCCCTATGCAAAGCATATTAGGAGGAGCCGAGCTGCTTCCTGTCATCTTCGAGCCCTCTCCTCGCTCTTCTCGAAAGTACAGGGCGAGGAGAAAGGGTGTCAGTGTTGAACTAGCTTGGTAACGCTCTCGTCAGACGGGGCAAGCCGATGGAGAACAAATTAGATGTAGCTGCCCGTATCTTAGTTAATCTGACCATGTGATCATCTGAAACATTGAAAGCGAGACTCTGCGTGGCCATCCAAGTTACAGCAAATAGACCATGGCTCGATGCTTCTTTGGTTCAATGCTTGGTATACTCTGCTTTCTGCCAGTGCCGCTATTGTCACCCTCCTTCGCCTTCATCCGCCCTCATTTGCCCTCATCCGCCCTCACTCACCCTCATCGATGGTCCTGATATGCTGTGACCTCAATGGCTCTCGTACGAGTATCCCCAGGCAACCGAAGCAGCGCCAGTGCGGGGTCCCGGTCTCTGGGGGTGAGGCCCTTGCACGCCCAACTCGGCGCTAGTGATGAAGATCTTCTTTCGCGGCTGACATTCACGACATTCGACAACTAAACTCTCTCACTTCACGAATATCTGCCAGCTCTCTCGGAGAGACCGTCTTGCAATCCTCAGAGGTCCACAAGTTTGGGCCATCATGTCCCCAGATAGAGCGCCGTCCCCAGAGTCTCGGGGCATCAAGCGCATTCAACAGGCATGCTTGAACTGCCGGTGAGCATTCCGCACTCTTATCCTTGCTCCCTACTCTTGCCACTTACTGAAAGACCTCACAGACGGAAAAAGGCAAAGTGTTCAGGAGAACGCCCCATTTGTGGATATTGCAAGCGGCTTGGGCAAGATTGCCAATACTGGACGAACACGAGACCGAGAACAATGTCCGATGATCCGCAGGAGCAGGGCGACGCCTCGGTCAGCGATCATTCTGCCTCAAATAACGATGTATGTAGCTCCGCTCAGCAGAAGAAGGGTTGGCCATGATAGCTAAGCAACGAGATTGTAGGAGGGCTTATCCAGCAGAGTAGCAGCGATCGAAACCAAATTGGATCAGCTTATGAACACCTTGAACGCGTATGTCTTGTTCCAGCCCTGCCCCATGTATCTGTTAATTTTGTGCTACTCAGATATCTACCGACGCTCACCAATCAATCGCCGTCCATTGTGACATCTGCTTCAGCACCGGGAGCTTCAACTCAAATGCAGTCAGGCGGTAGCTCCTCATTGACGATTACGTCATTTATGCCGGAATCTGGAAGCCTGTGAGTGACCCTCCCCGTGTATAGTACGAAGTCTTATCAATACGAACTAGCACCTTCAATGAGTTACCTCCGCCGGCCGTGCTCGCGTCTCTAGTTGACGTTTACTTCTTCCAGGTCCACAATCAGCCATATTCTTTCTTTCACGAGCAAACTTTCCGCAGAAGGCTTGCTCAAGATCTTCTGCCTCATTACTTGGTATTTGCTGTTCTCGCATCTGCTCTTCGTTTCTCTAAGGATGCTTATTTCAATGGAGCGCTACACGAGGCGGCCACAAGCTACGCTCGTGAGTCGTGGAGACACATCGTCGAGGCATGGTTTGCTACGGAGAGCGACCCCGATATCCACATCTGTCAAGCTATAACACTCCTTTCGATTTTCGACTTTACTGGTATGAAGCCTATCGTTTCCATTCAGAGTTCGCAGTACACTAACGCGAACACTCTGTCTGCAGCTGGAAGACGTCACCCCGCCTGGCTAAAGATTGGGCTATCAATTCGGATTGCCCAAGATCTCCGCTTGATGATGGAACCAGACGCAGATTTAGGTTACTCAGACCAGGAAGAGCGCCGGCGAGTTTTTTGGTCTATCTACGTGCTAGATAGACTCTGCTCGTGTGGAAGAGCAAGACCTGCGTCGATTATTGATGCACACTGCCGTGTTCAGCTTCCCTGCAGCGAAACGGCTTTTAGAAATGGAGAGTGGGAGAAGACCCAGACTCTGGAGCAGGCATTCCAGCCTGGGAAGAATAACGTTGCGAACCTTGGGCATCTTGGCCTGGTGGTCTTGACAGCATCCATTGTCGGGAAGTGTGCCCAGCATAGTATCCACGAACACAGTCGGGAAGAGAGTCGATTGCCGCCCTGGGATTCCAAATCGGAATTTGCGGCCATCTACTCCGTCCTTCTACAGCTTGAGACCCAATTTGAGATGGGCGGTAGGATCAACGATATACTCACCAAAGACTACCTTCAGGACGGTGTCGTCGATACACAAATGGCCGGTCCATATGTGTTCTCTCACGCTTTGTTTCACATGTCTCAATGTCTCATACACCACCCTTTTCTCCTCTATAACCAGTCAAGGGCCAGGGGTGTCAAAGCTCCGGCGAGCTTCCTTAACAGGTCACTGCAGACGTGCAGGGAGAACGCCAATGCCATATCAGCATTGATTCAGGATACGAGAAGTGCTGGATATCCGGTCTACTTCTCTTTTATGGGCTATTGCGTTACAGTCACTGCCGGCATTCACATGTTGTGCTTGCAAACCAAGGATAGCGGTATTCACCAGCTGTCAACGTACTACCTTCAATCGGATATGGCTTTCTTGGAAGAGTTCTCTAGGTATTGGAAGAGCGGGCAAACCATGGTGCGTAACTCTGTTGTTTCTTGCGATAGTGCTAAAAAAATTTAGTTGGCAACACTACAAAGATATGCAAGCCAGATTTCGCTATACGGCACCTTGGTCACCACTTCGCCAGAGCTTGAAAATCTCGACGCTAACGAGCTTGAAAATCTCTGGGCCACTGTCGACTATAGCAGCATGTCGCAAAACACAAAAGCAGACACATCACCTACCAGCTCGAAACTTCCCTCACAAAGCTGCAACTTCCTGTTCGGCCTGTACTCGGAGCAGTCGTCGAACCCAAACAGTTTCGATCGATTGAATTTTCCCTCAGCGTCGAATTCACTCTCCAACGACCTTGTGCCATTCAATCATGCAGCTTTTGGAGACATGTCATCTGTTAATTCTTTTTTCGCCAGCTCACCATTCAACTTTGGTGGCTAATCAGCTTGGCGCTATAGTAGGATTCTTCTATCGCTGGATATCCTATGAGGCTGCTAAGATAGTGAAATACATACGTCTCAATCATTGCTTTGGGGTTCATCGAAATTGCAAACATGCCCCGCAAATCCCAATACTTCCAGTTGCTGATGGTCCAGCGTAGTTGGCAGACAACTCTTCGAAGTCGTCTAAGATATAGTGAACAACACGGTTCCCTCTTCCACCGCCTCGCCCATGGCAACTTTTGCCCTGAAAATCCCCTCCGCAGCCGCCAGAATATTCATCTCCATCTTCATGCTCTCAACCACCACCGCAATCTCCCCAACCTTTACTGTTTCGCCATCTTTTTTCGCCACATTCAACACTTTGCAAGGCATCGGAGCTTTTGGGCTCCTCTGTGATGCCACGGCTGATTCGCCGGTGTCTTTGCGTAAGGACTCTCCGTAAGTCAAAAGAGAGCACAAATTATATTCGATGTACGTCCCAAGAGCGGGTATGTGCGCGAAGAATTTCTGATGGGATCCGACGTCAGTGCCCGGTGAGGATGCGGCACTGACAGCGAAGACTGTGTATCTCTGTGTGTCGACAGACACGAAAAGCTCGTGCAGATGCCAAGTTGAGTCTGGCGTCTGCTGAAAAACGCTGGTGGCTCGGATTGACAGTGACACCTCATGGCTCAATGAACTGGTCTGGCCGGGCCTGGGAAGCTGGCGAACATGGGAGCTGACTTGATTGTAATCTAGAGCAAGCTGAATGCTCGGCTTCACGTCCTCGCTAGAAACTTTCTCTGTGGATTTCTGGATGTCCTGCTTGGAAAGTGGCAGTATAGTCACATTGTGGAACTTCTCTGGTGAACGCGAAGAGGGCCATGCGACGATGAAAATCTTCTCTGGATGGGCCGGAACCAGGACTACATCTGCCTGAGCATTTGCGAGGTCTGCTTTCTGGTTTCGAAAACTGCGAGGAAGGCTTCGGAAGGACTGTCGGTTGTTCTGTACAGACGGAAGACTTGCTTGTCGACGAAGTATTGAGGGTAGGAATGACAGTTTCCCCTGGGTTGCAAGTAGGTCGTCCACGTACGGGTTTTTGATAAGAGTGGGCAAGAGGTCAGGAATGAAGCTCGTTGAGTACTCTGGGTCTCGGAATTTTGGATGAAGAAGACAGCTTTGAAGGAACGACTGGTTGCTCCTGATTCCAATGCATACTGTGTAAGCCAGCATCTTGACCATTTTCTCAATTGCCTGACGGCGAGTCGGCGCCCAAACCACAATCTTTGCGATAAGCGAATCGAAGTAGATAGAGACCTGTGACCCAGTGGCGATCCCAGTCTCGAAGCGGACATCTTGAGTTTGCGCTGACGGCAGAATCTCCGAAGCTGTTTTCCACTGTCGAAGAAAACCGAGATCAGGCATGAAGTCCCGAGACGGATCTTCGGCGCAGAGTCGACACTCAATAGCGTGTCCAACTTGAGGAGCCATTCCGTCGTGCCAGTATCCCAAGTCATCGAGATGTCCACCACCTGCAACAAAGATTTGCAAACCAACAATGTCGACACCAGTCGTTTCCTCCGTGATCGGATGCTCGACCTGGATCCGTGTATTGACCTCTAGGAAGAAGAATTCCGTTGTCTCAACATCCACGATGAACTCGACCGTGCCGGCGCTCTCATAGTCGAGGAGCTTACCAATTGCAACGGCTGTTTCGCTCATCTTCTGGCGGAGCGCAGGTTTCAGCCACGGTGAAGGCGCTTCCTCGATGATTTTTTGGTGACGGCGCTGAATAGAGCATTCCCTGTCCATCAGAGAGACGATTGTGCCGTGGTTGTCGCCTAGTATCTGTATCTCGATATGCTTGCTTCGTTGGATATATCTCTCAAGAATACAGTCTGATGAACCGAATGATCTTTGCGCCTCAGATTGTGCTCTATTCAACTCGTCCCGAAGCTGCTCCCTATGCCGCACGATTCTCATGCCTTTTCCACCACCGCCCGCGGAAGCTTTGATAAGGATTGGAAATCCAATACGGTCTGCTTCTATCAACAAACGATCGACAGTCTGCTCAGTGCCATTGTATCCGGGTATCAGAGGGATCTTAGGCGCATTTTTTAGCAGGTATTGTTTCGCTGACCTTTTATCCCCTAGAATCGCCATGCTGTTTGGAGATGGACCCAGGAAAATGATGCCGGCTTCGCGCACCTGCCGAGAGAATTCTGCATTCTCGCTCAAATATCCATATCCAGGATGTATCGCATCGGCATTGTGAGCGAGAGCTGTTTGTATCAGAAGCTGGATGTTCTGGTGAGGGTTCCCCTCGGGCCCATCGATTGCGCCAAGTCGGACGGCTTCGTCTGCTTCTTGGACGTGTAGTGAGTGGGTGTCGCTGCATAGACTTGTTAACATGGACTACGGTAGCCATTGGGAGAGACGGGCACGCACGGATCTGTGTATACCGCAATAGATGTGATATTGAGCTTTCTGCACGTGGCAACGACTCTGCATGCTATTTCTCCTCGGTTTGCGATAAGCAATCGCTTGATCAGTGGTCGTCCGGCGTCATCCTGTATTTGATCAAATATCCGCTGGGGAAGCTTTTCGATTGCCATAGTAGATGGTTGACTAGGGTATTTTTGCGAACAGCTTGGAGAAAATTCCGGAACAGTGGTGTCTTTCGTTGTTGCGACAGAAAAATTTCTCGGAAGGAACTATTAAATTGAGCATCATGGTTGAAAATGTTACTATATTGATTCCAACACAAACCTAGTCCAGCTTCTGTGTATGCTTCGACATCGGTCCGTCTAGATACGGCCCGTCTGCCAAGACGGCCCGGACGTTTGACCCTAGACCGCCAAGATCACGGGATACTAACGGTCCGAGAAGCCGGCTATGTCCACGTTTGGTAGACTTGCGCCGGGATATAGCATATAGCTTTTAGTGCTGTATGCTTGTTCACATTTGGCACGCCAGAGTCTTCGTGCAAACCGCCTGCTTCCCGCAGAAAAGTCCAATGCGATGGGCGATGTCAGGATTGTTGAAGTCGGCCCACGAGATGGCCTCCAGAATATATCTCAAGTCGTTCCTACCGAAGTCAAAGTTGAACTGATCGAGCGACTCGCCCGCTGTGGTCTTTCTATTATCGAAGCAACTTCGTTCGTCTCACCTAAATGGGTCCCTCAGCTAGCTGATGCTAGGCAAGTCTTGCAACGTATTCGTCCGTTAATGCAGCAGCCCGAGAGACGCTTTCCGGTGCTCGTCCCGAATGTGCAAGGACTGGACCTCGCACACCAAAACGGAGTTAGCGAAGTAGCAGTTTTTATATCGGCAACAGAAGGGTTTAGCAGGCGGAATATCAACTGTAGCGTTGATGAGTCCCTGGAGAGGGTCAGGATGGTTGCAAAAAAGGCTAGTACTCTGGGTATCCAAATGAGAGGGTTAGTATCATTTCTTCTCTGGTCTCGATTTTTGCTGAAAATAACAGATACGTCTCATGCATCTTTGCTGACCCATACGACGGTCCCACGCAGCCCAGCCAGGTCATCAGAGTTACCCAGGCCTTACTGGACTCCGGATGCCACGAAATCAGCTTGGGCGACACCACTGGTGTGGGAACACCTGCAGACGTGAAAAAACTTTTCGAGGAAATGCTGAGGGTAATTCCAGCATCCAGACTAGCCGGGCACTTCCACGATACATACGGTCAGGCAATCGCAAATGTCGTGAAAAGCTACGAAATGGGAATCCGAACCTTTGATAGCAGCGTTGCTGGGCTTGGAGGCTGCCCTTTCGCCAAAGGCGCGAAGGGCAACCTCGCCACCGAAGATCTGGTCTATACACTGCAGAAGATGGGCTTGTCAACCAGTATCAGTTTAGACGAGCTCGTGTCCACCGGCACCTGGATATCCCAGAAACTATGCATTCCGAATGGAAGCCGGGCGGGTGCTGCACTTGCAGCAAGAGCTGGTGACAGAGAGACCGCCAACGCCTCGAGAAGCACATCAGGAAGTCGTTGGGCACTCCTCAGATCCACAGACGAGTACCGTGTGGATCGTAGAGGAGCGAGTATCAAGATCTGCCTAACAAGGGCAAGGAACGGGAACGCCCTGACGAGCTCAATGATAAAAGGTTTGACTTCGCTGTTCAAGGAGTTTTCTAGAGACAATAGTGTCTTCCACATCGTATTAACAGCAGAAGGCAAGTACTTTTGCACCGGCATGGACTTAAGCAAGAACAATGAATCTCCTGAACAGCAATTCTCAAGACTCAGAGGTCTTTTTGAAGCGATCGACGACTGCCCGAAAACGACTGTTGCAGCTGTCAATGGGCCTTGCTTTGGGGGCGGAGTTGGCCTCGTCTCTGTGTGTGACTTGCGGGTTGTCGCTTCAAACGCAACTTTCAAGCTCAGCGAAGTTCAGCTCGGTCTCTGTCCTGCTGTCATCTCCAAATATGTTATCCGGGAATGGGGTGGTAGTTTTGCTCGAGCAGCAATGCTGACGGCGCGGGAAGTTAAGCCGTCAGAGCTGGCGGCTATTCACGTTGTCTCTGCAGTCGTTGAGGACCAGAGGGCCTTGGACAGAAAGGTGGAGGAAGTTCTGGATCGCTTGCGCTTTGCTGCGCCGCGTGCGTCGGCTTTGTGTAAAGAGCTTGTGAGGAGTGCCTGGGTTGATGGCGGTCAAGAGCAACAGGCAAAGACAATCAAAGGGGCCTTTGATTCTATGATGGCTGAAGACTCGGAGTCTACCTATGCTCTCAGTCAATTCCGAAAAGGGATCAAGGGGATTGACTGGGAAGCATATTCTCAAAGAGCGCAGTCCAAGCTTTGAAAGGCGTAAAGATGTAGTCGCATGATTCCAGCGTTGTCTAGCAAATTGACTTATGAAGTTGGTAATGTTCGATTCGCTCGAGTCCTGGAACTAAAGCTCAAAGCCATAGCATTGAGGATTTTCTCTCATTGAGGCGAAGACAGACTACATGCTCAGCTTCCAACAACGCTGCAGTCTCCTCCAATTCAGCGCTGCCAACACGTGAAGTGCAATCCAATGAAGGCTCATCCATGTTGTGAGCTCCATAATCATGGTTGATTGATACTAGCGGGGCGCGGAAGCAGACGAAAGCCCTGAAGGCTGGCGAATGATTCGGCTCCGGACCGTCTTGCAAACCTCCACGTCCGGACCGTGTCTAATGCACCGCCTTTTCTATCTGGGGCCTCCGCCACGGCCAACCCCACACACGGCATGCCATCCACAATCGATCCCTGCATTCTTCTCACGCGCACGGCGTTACGCCCGCCCCGATTGACCTCTGCAATATTTTGCCGCGGATAACTTGTAATGGCCGCGCTATCATGCTGCATACTGCGCCCTATAAACCTTGGAACTATGCAGCAGAAGGCCCGCAGCGGAGCGCATTTCCCGTAGCGGCTCTAATATCACTATTCTAGGCCTGAGATACAGCTGCCGTCCCATTCTAGAGAACAAAACAAGCTTCAAAAAGGTTTTCACCATGTCCAAGTCACAGGAACAAGGCCCCGTTGTGCCCTTCGCCGAGCCAACTTGGTACACCCGCGTCAGTCCTTACTATAATGCTTCGCACGAGCGGCTTCGCGATGCGGTTCGAGCGTACGTCGCCGAGAAGGTAACGCCCAATTGTGCAGAATGGGAAGCTCAAGGCTTCGTTCCTAAAGAGGTTTGACCCGTTCCTGATCAGCTCTTGCGTTACTATCTTGTGTGCTTAGCGCTGACCGTTATCAGGTGTTGCAAGAACATTCCCGACAAGGTTACACGGCCGTGACAATCAATCCAGCTGCAATATCCCAATACATCGGCGACGTCAAGCTTCCAGGCGGTCTCAAGCCCCAGGAATGGGATGGCTTCCACGATTTGATTTGCATCGACGAGATTGCCCGCTGTGGATATTTGGGCGTCATATGGGCTCTTGGGTGTGGCGACTCAATTGGGTGTCCGCCAGTCGTCAATTTCGGCTCTGATTCGCAAAAGCAAAGATTCATCCCTTCTGTGATTACTGGGCAGAGTCGCTTCTGTCTCGGTGTCACAGAGCCTGACGGTAAGCTGTTCATCATTTCTTCAATCCAATTCTGATGTCTGGAGTCTTAGAGACCAACCAGCTTTGCACTGTTGTTAACATCCTGATAGCAGGCTCCGATGTAGCAAACATCACTACTACTGCAGAGAGGCGAGGAGACCATTACATCGTGAACGGCGCCAAGAAGTGGATCACAAATGGGATGTGGGCTGATTACTGTACCACGGCTGTACGCACTGGAGGACCAGGAAAGAAGGGCATCTCAGCTTTGGTCATACCTTTGGCCGCAAAAGGGGTGACAAGACGAAAGATTTACAATTCAGGAGTGTCTGCAAGTGGTAAGGGATGCCCTGAGTAATTACAGCACTTTTACTCATTGCAGTGATAGGCTCAACCTACCTGGAGTTTGACGACGTAGACGTACCCACCTCCAATCTGCTCGGAGAGGAGAATCAAGGATTTAAGATTATAATGTCCAGTAAGCCATGAGATGCTAGACGATTATCATTCTGGGAAGGCAGAACTGATAAGTGAAAGACTTCAATCACGAGAGACTTTGGCTCGCTTGCACAAGTCTTAGATTGGCACGCGAGTGTGTCACAGACGCATACAAGCACGCTCTCACCCGCATCACGTTTGGCAAGCCACTCATAGAACACCAAGCCATCCGGACCAAGTTCTCTACCATTGGAACTCGTATCTTGCCTGCATATGCATTTATGGAATCACTTGTGGCCATGTCCAACTCACATGCCCGCGGACCCGCATCTTCCACTTCCGTAGGCAGCAAACAAGAACCGAGATTCGGAGGCTTGATTGCCATCCTGAAAGTCGTTGCAGGTAGAACCCTGGAGGAGACAGTGAGAGAGATGCAGCAGGTGATGGGTGGACTGGGTTATTCGAGGACGGGGAAGGGGGCGAGGATTGAGCAGATTAGTAGGGATGTGCGGGTGATGGTTGTGGGGGGCGGCAGCGAGGAGATTTTGAGTGAGTTGGCATTCGTGCAGGAAAAGAGAGATTTGGAAGAGATTGAGAACGAGAAAACTGTTCGTAGCAGATTGTAGGTCACAAAGGTTTTGAGTCGGACCGCAAGGTAGTCAAAATACTCTCAGAATGTCAGAATTCTTGAATTCAACCAATCGCCCCGGTTATAGTCCGCTTATTAATTTTGAAGATCCTGAACCTGAAGTGCTTAAATGCTAAGGCGTACATCAGCTCGCAGATGACTGATCAGTCGGATTCAAACTTTTTGACATCGTAAGTAGAAAGGCATGAGTTCGACATACGAGTAGCTTTAAATGCCGGTCTAACCGCATTTTCTGAATAGCCAATAGCGATACTTTGATCGGCGGCGACATGAAGAACCCTTGCATTTTTGCCTCCGGACCGGTTCTGCGTAGCACTCACGGCAACGCGGTATACCCACACCATACATAGTCCATTTCCTGCTGATATAGAGTAGTACAAGACTGTGAGAAGGAAGCTAGAAAGGACTATATAAATCAACTGAGCAATTGGATGCATAGGTTATGTGCTTGATGGGAATCCGTGTACAATTTTCAAGGAGCGGGAGGCATAGTTCTGTTTAATTCAGATTCGTGCCAGCCCCTGGAAGCCTGCGTTTCCAACCACCGGATCAAGCATGACAACCTCCAAGCACATCCCTAAGACATCCCTCGTATCCCTCGGGTCAATGACACCATCATCCAGCAAATGTGCCGAAGTATAATAAGGATCCGAGTCCTGCCTAACCTGTTCCTTAAACTTCTCCACCGAGGCCTCCAGCTCCTTCTCCACAACCGGACGATTCCCCCGCGCCGCTGCTCTACGAGCGATGGTCTCCATCACGCCCCCTAACTGGTCAGGTCCCATCACGGAGCAGCGGCTCGTAGGCCAGGAGAACAGGAAACGTGGTGCGTAAGGACGGCCACACATAGCATAGTTTCCAGCGCCGTAGGATGCGCCGCAGATGATGCCGATGTGGGGGACAGTACTAGTACTGACCGCGCTGACAAGCTGGGCCCCTTTCTTGATTAGACCTGCTCTCTCAGTCTTAAGGCCAACCATAAAGCCTGTAACGTTGTGCAGGAAGACTATAGGATTGCGACTTTTGGAGAAATCATAAGCTTATGAATATCTTTTCGTGGAGTGCGCATTGCAGGAACTTACCCTTGGTTACATAGACGAATGAACTGTGTGGCCTTGTCCGACTCATTTGGTAGTATCACTGGGTGCTGATTGGCAATGACACCAGTAAGATGTCCTATGAGGAGAAAGTAAGTACAAGCGCGATATTACCAATTGAAAGGATAGCTGTACCGTGGATATAGGCCCATGCTGTTATCATACCATTGCCATACTGAGGCTTGAACTGCTCTATCCTCGAGTCATCTACGATCCGTAGCAACACCTCCATCATATTGAGCGGTAGTCTGATATCTGGATTGACGAATCCGAGCAAGTCTTCAACGTCATATTTCGGCTCACGACACTTTATCACACGCCCTGGACGACAGTACTGATGGTGCACAGCGGAAGTTGTCAGGATCCATTCCCTGGCCTTCCGAATCGCATCGAGTCTGATGAAGGTTAGTTTCGCTGAACAAGTTGCCATATCGAAACTCTTACTCATCAGAAGCCAACTGATCGGACAGTCCTGTTATGGTCGAATGCATATCTGCTCCGCCAAGCTCTTCGGCCTCTGCGATTTCACCCGTCGCCATTTTCACTAACGGTGGCCCTCCCAGGAACACCTGTGCCTGGTCCTTGACAAAGATAGTGTAGTCTGATAAGGCAGGGTGATAAGCTCCGCCTGCAGTCGAAGACCCGAATACAACAGCACAGCTTGGTCGACCATTCTTAGAGCGAAGAGCAAGGTCTCGGAATATCTGGCCGCCTTTGTGGAAGACTTTGAATTGCTGAGGAAGAAAAACACCAGCCTTTGAAGTGTTACAAGATTAGCTCAATCGCATAAGATAGCAGAAGTCCAGAGGGATGATCTACTCACCGACTGGACAAGAGCGATCAGGGGGAGATTGTTCTCGGAGGCAATCGCTGTGATGCGATTCTGCTTCAATACTATATACCAGTCAGACAAATCAACGGATCCCAAGAGTCAGCAATCTTACCAGTGTATTCATTCCAGGCACCTCCATGTAAGGATGGTATGTGTGCTAAAACCATGCAGATAATCCCACTACCTACTATGTTAGCACGGTGGTAGCAGCTACAACGTCTATTTATCCGTGGCGCTGCCAATAGCATCTAACTAATAGTGCCAAAGATTTGTTCCACATACCTTACTACGCCGATACCAGTGACCAAGCTGGCAGAGGGTGAAGAGTTCTTCAGGTTATGGCCAGCGAAAGTACATAGTTCTAAGAAAGGCGTTCCGGGATCAAGAAGTAGGGCGACTCGATCACGTGCTAATCAAAGTCATTGGTTATGCCTGAAACCGAGGGCGAATTTCTTACCAAGCAATTGCCGTGCAGTGTGCTTCTCGATCGCTCTTGGCGACGTACTTTCGGAGCTTGCTTTAGCAGACGCAGCATCGAACTTGTGCAAGATCGTCTCCCATTTCGACAGATTCTCCTGGAATGTGGAGGTCTTGGTGTCAATCTGGCTCGAAAGCTGGGGAAAGGTGGAAGAATAACTTTGGAAAGCCATTGGCGGCAGGCGGCAGGGCAGCGAGGCTGTTTTCAAAGGAAGTCTCAAGATAGTTGAGTCAGTGCAACTCTTGACGTGAATCTGATATGCGGAAAATACGGACAATTCCTTTACGACCTTGCTCACCGAGCAGTTGATCTACTGTCGGACGATTCGGGTAGTTCGAGGCTCGAGCGGACACACGGCTGCCGTGCCGCCCACCAAACGGTCCGGAGCCGTGTCACTCAACATCCAAACGGGACCGATAACGCCGGCTACCAGAGCACTTCTGGCGATTACCGTAGCATCCGTGGGAGCGGTCTATCAATACTCCAAAAGGCTAATAGTCAAGACATGATTTGTCTGTCATGCTTGTTGCGGTCCTGTACAATGCTTTCGGTCGAACCCGCACTCAGCCGGGAAATTCTGCAATGATAAGAGACACGTCGTAGCTCTATCCAATATTTGCCTTGATCCCCCTTTTGCATCGCCAATTCTAGATTACACAGCTTGGTGACACGACTTCCCAATTTTGAAATGTGGAATTTTTCTGCTAGAAGCCACCGAGTTACCTTTTCTGAGGCGCATTGAGAACCTTAAGAGCAAGATGTCACCCACAAGTCGGCCGTCCTTTCTCACCGGCCCAACCGATCCAAGGCTGTGGAATATTACACTTGGTGAAATGCTCAAGAAGCAAGCGGACACAGGCCCATCACGGCAATGCCTTGTCTTCCCCGAATTCGGTCAGCGTTCAACATACATGCAATTACACAAGAGAAGCTTGGCTGTTTCGAAGGGCCTCATAGCATCTGGCATTCGTCGGGGAGACAATGTTGGGATATTCGCCGGAAACAGTCCCCCTTACGTGGAACTGTTGTTTGCAAGTTCTCATATTGGGGCTGCGTTAGTCGTCTTCAATTGCGCATACACATCAGTGGAACTCAAGGCTGCCATTGAACACTCCGGCATGTGTTTGAGACTAGATATCTATGCTGATTCTATGCTAACGAGAGACACGCAGGCTGCAAAATCGTCTTCACAGCTCCTACCATCGGAAAACTCTCCAACGATCTGGCATTGGATATGATTGCTGACGAAATATCGGCCCACAGCTTCTCCGAGCTCGAAGAAATTATAATGTTACGGCCTGTTGCCTCAAGGACATTCTCTAGCTACGAAGATTTCATCAGTCGTGGCAAGAGCATACCCGATTCCATATTGCAGGCGCGAAGGAGGGCAGTAAGCCCAGATGACGTTTGTAATCTTCAATTCACGAGCGGCACGACTGGCAACCCCAAGGCTGCGATGCTCACTCATAAGTAAGTTGCGTCCCCTGTACGCATCAAGAGTGTGTAGATTGTTTACATAGTACAGCAACATCATCAACGATGGCCGTTTCGTCGGCGATCGTATGCGGCTGAAGTCAAGTGATATCATCTGCTGCCCACCACCACTATTTCACTGTTTTGGTCTAGTTTTGGGACTCCTGGCTGCACTCACGCATGGAAGTAGCATCGTGTTTCCCAGCGAAACATTTAATGCGGCTGCAACCTTGCAGGCTGTTGTAATGGAGCGATGTACAGCACTGCATGGAGTTCCGGCAATGTTTTCAGCGCTACTAGAACTTCTGGAGCCTAACATGGACTTTTCGAAATTAAGGACAGGAATAGCAGCGGGAGCACCGGTGCCCCGAAAGATGATGGTCGACCTTCAGGAGACGCTAAACTTGCGGGAGATCACCAACACATATGGTAGGCATCGTTCGTTGTGTTCATCTCGAACAGAGGGCATTAGATGACTGAGCTGAATGTAATTAGGGATGACCGAGACATCGCCCGCAAGCTTTATGACTTTCACGGACGACCCGGTCGAGAAACGCTTATCGACAGTAGGAAAGATCCTCCCTCATATGAAAGCGAAGATTGTCGATGCAAAAGGCGAAATCCTCCCCATCGGCTGTCGAGGTGAGCTCTGTGTCGCTGGCTTCGCTCTCCAGAAAGGCTACTGGAGAAATCCGGAGAAGACTGCCGAATCCATGATCACAGACGACGATGGAATCAGGTGGATGCATACAGGCGACGAGGCGGTCTTTGACGAGGGAGGCTATTGTCGTATCACGGGACGCATCAAGGATATCATCATTCGAGGTACAATTGTCTCCATCCTTCCACACGCACTTGTTCACCTCCTGACAGTTGTTCCTTAGGCGGCGAGAACATCTTTCCCCTCGAAATTGAAGAAAGACTTGTCCAACACCCATCCATTGTACAAGCAAGTGTCGTCGGCATCGCAGATAATAAGTATGGTGAGATAGTGTGTGCGTTCCTTCAGCACCGGTCGGAAAAGAAGAGGCCATCACTAAAGGAGCTTCGCGAATTCGTGCGACTAACTTTAGGGTGGCATAAGGCGCCTATGCATGTTTTCTGGCTTGCTGAGGGCGAAGACTTCCCGAAGACAGGGAGTGGGAAGATCAAGAAGCATGATTTGAAGGTACAGGGTGAGCAGAGGGCGAAGCTGGAGAGGTTAGCCAAGTCGAAGTTGTAAAGGAACTCTTACGCAGCAAGCTTTTGGAGCGTTTGAAAGGCTATACATAAGTCCTGATGAAACCCGCTGTCACGACCATACATAGTAACTTGCCTGATGCAAGCTCTTCGAGCTTAGACACTATACCTTTTAGTCGGAGCGGCGGTGTAGTAGGCAAGTTTCGTGTTCGATATAATTAAAGTATTTATATTATTTCATAAGTATCTATTACACCATGGATGCGCGGTACAGATTCAGGTGGGCGGCATAGATTCTGGGGGACGGCACGGAATTTGGTGCGCGGCACGGATTTTGGTGCGCGGCTTGGATTTCCTTCCTAAAAAGGGAATTTGTACCTTAAAGCCTCCGCGGCAGCAGGATACGAGCTCTACCGCCTACTACGTTGATGTCTTATTTACCTAGGTACGGAACGTCTATTGCAGGCAGGCAATCGATGCTTGCGGCAGTTACTAGTTGTCGCAAAATCGTTCTGGCCTTAGTGTTCAGTTGAAGTGCACAGCCGTACCACTGTAGTTGGATATGATCAAACGACGCTATGTGCAACAGTGTTTCTATGCATGGACAGATCGATAGAATTGATTTTCCACTCCCGTGATCACTCTGAGGAAGTTCACGCCGCTATACCTCAATGTAACTGACGACAGAAGATCCATTTAACTCCATAACCCCATACTACCCTCGCCAGCTACCCTCAACGCCTAGCCCGTCAACGGCGAACAAGAAACACAGCCTACTGGAGCCCATCAACGACATCTCCTAAAGCTACTCCGAAACCTCATTGTGGGGTACCCTCGGCTTGGCCACATTGACCAACGTGCGAGCCGGCGTGAAGACCTGGATCAGGTTATCCTCCGCGCTCGCCAGCATCGTCCACGGGTTGTTTTTGTTCCAGCTAAAATCGCAAATGCGGTTCGTGAAGCCACCGTGCATGAACAGCAGTTCCGGTGGCCCGTCCTCTGCCTCCTCCTCCGTCTGTTCCTCGCCGATCTGGCTGGCGTCCCACATCAGGATGCGGCGGTCGTAGCTGGAGCTCGCAAGGATGGACATCTCGGTTGGGTGCCATTCGAGCTTCATGACGGCGTCTTTGTGGCCCTCGTAGGCGTGTAGCTTGCGGCTTAGGTTGCGGAGGTCCCAGAGCGCGATGGTCTTGTCGGCTGAGCCGGTCGCGACGATGGGCTCCCATTTGGGATGGAAGGCTATGCAGTTGACGGCGTCGGTGTGGGCATCTTTTTTGTAGAGCGCTTTCTTGTTCGAAGGGTTGCGGGTATCGATGACTTGGAGGGTCAGGTCGTCGGAGACGGTTCCGATCCACATATGGTGGATGGGATGGTGCTGGACGTCGTTGACGATAGAGGCATGGTGTGTGTAGGTGCGTTGAGGTTCGATCTGCCGTTTGTCCCGCGAGAAGCCGTCCTTGATGTTCCACACACGGACAGTGTTGTCGCTGCCTCCCGTTGCCAGCTGACCCTCTGTATGCGGACTCCAGTCAAGTCCAAAGCCTTCGTCTGTGTGTCCGTGAAGCTCCATCTCGAACTGCATGACGCCATCTGATTTCGGGTTGCTGCTGTGCTTGGTCCTGTCGAAGATCAAGATCCTGCCATCTACGGCATACGAGGCGATAATGTTCGGGTTCTGCGGCTGGTATCTAGCCTTGTTGACTTCTCCGGGGTGGTTGATCTTCTGGATAATGTTGAAGGTGAAGGCCTTCTTCGCGTTGCCGTAGCCTCCAATCTCCCCACGCTGTTCGTCATAGTCGGCAGGGTCTGGCGCTTTGCCTTCTGGTATTTCTATCGAGGCAATCTGGAGGTAGTTCTGGGCGCCATTGGCGGTGAAGGTGCCGAAGAGTAGGCGGTGCTGGCTGAGATTCGTTCCGGGGACCTCTCTCTTGTCAGGCAACCACTGCGTGGTCAGGGTGGGCCAATCTAAGGCCCGCCTGGCCGCTCGTTAGTGTGCTGTAAAATGTCTTCTAGGCGGTGCAACACACGCAAACATCAGGTCGTATAACCAGACGGCGTTCTTTTTCCACATCTTATACTCCTCATTGAGAATCTTCTGCTCCATGTGCTCATCCTGGTAGTCCTGTTGCGCATCTAAAGGCGGAGTCACCTGGTCAGCCCGTATCCAGGCCCTCACCGGTGCGTTGCTAGCTCAAGATGAGACGCAAGCGCTTTCGCAAGGCGTTTGGGAATATGATAGGAACGGCGCATAGAGAGGAATTACCTGTCATAATGTCATCCATCTTGGCGGCGAGTCGTTACTGTGCGGTGTCGGTGTTGGGAAGAACTTGGACATCAAGCTCTCTCCAGCTTCTCCAGCTTCTTCGGACGACGCGTTGCTTCGCGACGTGAACCAGAACCACTATCGGCGAGACCTACCCCCGAACTCCGAAAGTCTTGGCGCGGACTGACTGACGTTCGCGAACGGCGGCGGTCCGCCTTGAAACCTTTGAAGACTCCGTGTCGAGAATATCGTATACCTCTTCTTCCTGCTGCCTACGCGCTGAGCGCGCTTGTGTCCCTCTAGAAGTCCTCTTAACAACCCAAAAAAAAAACACGCAAAAAAGGGACATCAGCTAGTCCATCCCCTTGCCACCGACGACTATCGTTCGAACCGTCCGCGCCTCAGTCTATCGCTACAATGGGTGTTCCAAAGTTCTTCAGATGGATGTCCGAGAGGTATCCGGCCATCTCTCAGCTCATTGCAGAGAACCGGATACCGGAGTTCGACTGCCTTTACGTACAGCGCACGCTCTCCAGCGTCCACTAGAGTTAGGCTGACGCAGCGTAATAGCTTGACATGAACGGCATCATTCACAACTGTACACACAAGGATTCGGACTCTCCCACGTATCGCATGACGGAAGAAAAGATGTTTATTGCTATATTCAACTACATCGAGCACCTTTTCGGAAAGATAAAACCAAAACAGCTGTTCTTCATGGCCATCGATGGCGTCGCGCCGCGAGCCAAGATGAACCAGCAACGTGCTCGCCGTTTCAGGACCGCTCTCGACGCTGAACAAGCCCGTGAAAAAGCTATCAGGGAAGGAGTGGAGATGCCGAAGGACGACCCCTTCGACAGCAATTGTATCACTCCTGGAACAGAGTTTATGGCCAGGTTGACCCAGCACCTGAAATACTTCATCAACAAGAAGGTCTCCGAGGACGTTGACTGGCAAGGCGTGGAAATCGTCCTGTCCGGTCATGAAGTCCCTGGAGAGGGAGAGCACAAGATCATGGAGTACATTCGGCAGGCGAAGTCGCAGCCAGATTACGATCCAAACAGGAGACACTGTCTTTACGGCTTGGATGCCGATCTGATCATGCTTGGCTTGCTCAGCCACGATCCACATTTTTGCTTGCTGCGAGAAGAGGTTACCTTCGGACGGCAGGCCCAGAAGAAGTCAAAAGAGCTAGAGCATCAGAACTTCTACCTGATGCATCTCTGCATCGTTCGGGAGTACTTGGAACTGGAGTTTCAGGAGTTGGAACAGCCCGGCGCTCTGGATTTCCCTTTCGATATGGAGCGGGTGATTGACGACTTTATCCTCATGGCCTTCTTTGTCGGCAACGATTTTCTTCCAAATCTACCACATCTGCACATCAACGAGGGAGCGCTGGCGCTAATGTTTGGCGTTTACAAGAGCGTTTTACCAAAGGCTGGTGGCTACATCAACGAGGAGGGCGTAATCAATTTGCAGCGTTTGGCGCTTCTCTTGGACGAGCTTTCGCATGTCGAGTTTCGCTTCTTTGAGTCAGAGAACGCAGACGCGAGCTGGTTCAAAGGGAAGCAGCTGGGCAAAGAAGATGTAATGCAAAAGGTGAAGAACCGGGGAAAGTTGGTTCTCTCCTCGCTTCAACGCGAGATCTTCAACATCGTGAAGAAGTTCATTATCAGCCAGACGCCCGAGGAGGAAGCCGCGCCGCTGGACTTCCCACCAACACTACCCGCTCGAGATCGTAAATTCGTGATGGACCTGGCCAAGGATCTGAACATGGAGTGCAACACAGTTCAAGACGAAGACGGCGATCGACATCTTCAGTTGTCGGTTCCTTCGAAGCTTGGTGGTGACGGCAGCGGATCTGATGCCTCCTCAGACGAAGAGGCCAAAACTGCACTGGAGCGCGTTTTCAAGCGCTACGAGAAGGCTGAGGTGGTCGACATCAGCCCCGAAGATGCGCAAGCAGAGATGGAGAAGAAGTACGAACAGAAGTTCCAGGCATGGAAGAACGAGCATTACACTTCTAAGTTCGGATGGGGCTTGGACAATGAGGAGGAACTGACGAAGTTGGCCGAGAACTACGTTCAGGGTCTTCAGTGGGTGCTGTATTATTACTACCGCGGAGTCGCGTCTTGGCCCTGGTTCTACGGGTATCACTATGCCCCGATGATATCAGGTAAGCAATTAATGAGTGTGCAGCTTGTTGACACTGCTGACTTGTTATTCAGACGTCAAGAGAGGGTTGAAAGCAAACATGGATTTCAAGCTTGGCCAGCCTTTCCGACCATACCAGCAGTTGATGGGTGTCTTGCCGGATCGAAGCAAGAAGATCGTCCCCACAACATACCATGATCTCATGACCAATCCAAACTCACCCATCATTGACTTCTACCCTCGCGACTTTGAGCTGGACATGAATGGAAAGAAGATGGAATGGGAGGCCGTGGTAAAAATCCCGTTCATCGACGAGAAGCGCTTGCTTGCCGCCATGGCCACTAAAGAGCAGGGCCTTTCAGTCGCCGAGCGAGCTCGCAACGAGTTCGGTGTTTCTTTGAAATTTACCTACTCTCCGGATCTGGACTATACGTATCCCTCATCCTTACCTGGTGTCTTCCCCGACTTAGAGCACTGCCGATGTGTCGAAAACATCTTTGAGCTTCCCACCATGGAAGGCTTGGAGGTCTACGTAGGCCTTGTTGACGGTGTCAAGATGGGTGCCGATGCTCTGGCGGGCTTCCCGAGTCTGAAGGTGTTGCCCTTTGCCGGCGCATTGGGCTTCCACGGAGTCAACGTGTTCCAGCAGGACAGCAGGAACGAAAGCATGGTTGTTACGTTACTCGAGTCCGAGATGCGCGCAAGAGTATCGCATGCTAAGACCAAGCTGGACCAGACCGTGCACGTTGGATACCCGTTCCTGCAAGAAGCAAAGGTGGTGAGAGTCTCAGACGAGCTCTTCGACTACGTCCTTTCAAACGATGGCAACGCGCAAGTCGTGCCCATCCCGCACGATCCGAGGGCGATCTCCGATTGGAAGAAGAAGGCGGATCGCATTGAGAAGTTGTACAGCAAGCGATTGGGCATGATCATAGGAGACGTTGAGTCTCTTGTGCATGTCGAAATGTTAAGAGGACTCAAGAAGACCGATGAAGGCGCGACCGTGAAGGAGTATGGTGAAGTCCCTGGGCTGGAGCCCGATTACGCCACGCAGACCTTGGTGGACGAGGTTGTCAGCGAAGATCCGCGCTTCATCGAAAAAGCCGCCGTACCCATGGCGGAAGAGTTCCCACTGGGCACCCGAGCTTTCTTCCTTGGAGAGTTCGCTTATGGACGCCCTTGCGAGATCATCGGGCACAACGGCGAGAAGGCCGATGTCTGGGTCCTGACATCCAAGACTCGTGAACGAGAGTTCGGCCGCGAGATTGTGGCCATGGCTGAACGCTCTGTGCCGTACATACCGTCGTTTCAAGTGGCAAGGATGCTGAACCTGAACCCATTGGTCCTTAGCAAACTCACGTCGGCTTTCAACGTCAACTCAAGCTCCCTGCGGCTCAATCTTGGCTTGAACCTCAAATTTGAGGCGAAGAAGCTCAAGGTGCTGGGCTACTCTCGTAAAGGCGACTCCGGCTGGGAGTACAGTCAGAAGGCCGTTGATCTTATCACTCAGTACATGATCCGTTTCCCAGAGTTCATCGCAGGCATCACAAGAAATCCCAAGGGCGATATCTACGAGGATACTGACTTCTACCCCGCGGAGATTGCGAAGGAGAAGATGAAGGAGATTGGGGCATGGCTCAAGTCGGTTGAGTCGAAGAGCTTCGAAAAAGTGCCGCTTGATGCGGAACAGCTAGACTCTGATATCATCAAGCAGATTGAGCAGGCAGCGGATGAGATCGTCAGTAAGGGTGAACCGCCTGAGCCGAAGAAGATCAAGAACGTGTCACGCAACGCCCTTCTCAAGCCATCGGACGCAGAACAGCGTGTCGGTATACAACGCTTCGCTCTGGGTGACCGCGTCGTTTATGTCCAAGATTCGGGCAGGGTTCCGATCGGCCAGCGAGGTACCGTGGTTGGTATGACCCGTACATCGCGCACGCTCCTCCTGGATGTTGTCTTCGATACCAGCTTCATGAGCGGCAGCTCGCTCGGCGAACGGTGCTCGCCATTCAGAGGCTCTACTGTTCCAAACACATCAGTTCTGAACCTCAGCGACCCTCAAGTCATCGCTCTCTCGGCAGCTGCGCAGGCTCGCCGCCCCGCTCAGCCAGCGCAGCCACTCACAGTTCAGCACGGCTATGGCGTTCCTGGCGAGCAACTGCGTCCTGCGTCAGCCCCAGGACCGCTGATCGGCTCTTTCTCTGGCGCCCTTGGGGGTCAGCAGAACGGTTTCCGCGGCAGCGGTATGCCTCGCGGACGAGGCCGTGGTGGGCCGAACGGCTTGCACAACGGCTATCAGACTCCGCCTGCATCGTTCCAACAACAGACCACGCTCCCTTTCCACAACGGCCCGCCGCCAAACACCTACCGCGGTCGCGGCGGCCAAGCGAACGGCTTCACCCCCCGCGCTACCGCGAACAACTTCGTGCCGCGCGGTAGAGGCGGCTTCCAGCCAGGCCAGAACCGTGCCGGCTACACCGTCATCGATAACAGTGATCCGGTCGCTGGAGTTGTAATGAATAATCCCAGTTTCAGGCCGCAGAACTACTCTAGTGTTCCACCGCCGGCGATCCTTGACCAGCCTAGCTTTAGGGGACGAGGGCGCGGACGCGGTGGTGCTGGGTTTAGGGGGCGTGGGAATGGGAATGCCAATGGGGGTAGGGGGGCGCTATCGCAGGGGCAGCCACAGGTGCAGACGCAGGAGTGATGGGAGGGTTTTGCTGGGTTTGATGCAGTGTTCCTTGCATGGCGTTGAGTGAGGTCGCTCTCAGAAACTCCTCGGCAGCTTGGATAATGTTACTTGAGAGGAGTGTACTATGAGATGGTACCCTGTGCTTCCGTTCACACGGCGTTCTGACAACTGGGCCCTATCGCTTTAGATACCTGGATCGTGCGGAGCGAAGATGGAGCACCGTTTGTGCCTGACAAGGGGCAGATGCTTTCTCATCCGTAGTCCGATATTACATCAATGAATGAGGCACCGCTGTGAGTACGCACTCCGCAATTGCGGTCTTCTCCATCTTTCCAGTGCCTCAGAGTATCGTTGTCCAATGCCGGTTGTCGTAACCATGCATCCCCGCTAAAGCTCTCCCGTGCCTTATATCCATATGTTTTTTCATTCAGCCATCACCAGACCTGCCCCTACAGCTCCAGAAACTCAGTCATCGCTCCCTTTGCGCCTCTCCCGATAACATCCAACCTAAGACTCCCACCAAACCCTCCAAGTGCTAGAATCATCCAAACGAATCCCGCCCAAAACACCCATCTCCCCCTTGAATTACTCGACATCTCATCACCACCTCTGCTCTCTGACCCGCTAAAACACCTCCCTATCCGCATACCCTGCCCTCATTCCCTCCGGCAACCTCGACGTTCGCTTCTGCCAATTCTCGTGCGGGTCCTCTCCTGGTATGGATGGTGGGTTTGGCTGCTGCTGTACGGGGTTCTTCCAGGACCGCCGCTTCAGTGATGGTGAGGGCGCTTGTGGTGAGAGCGGAGGACGAGGAGTACCGCGACGAAAGGGAGGTTCAATTTCTTCTTCTGCGTCTTCTACTGTGGCGTTGTAGTTGGGGTTGGGGGTGGGGACGGGCTCGCGGATGGTTTCGGCATGCTGGTTGACGGTGGAGAAGGAGAGGGAGCGGTGGGTGGAAGTGGGCGTGTGGGCGCGCTGCTGCTGGGTTGAGGGATTGGAAGGTGGAGGGGATGTGCGTGGTTCTTCGATAATGCTAACCATTCGGAGGGAATTGCTGCCGCCGCTGCTACCGCCGCAGTGGCACGCAGAGGATCCAGCAACCCCCTCTACATCCTTCACAGCGTCGCGCTCCGCCTTCACGACGCCCCAGAGACATTCTAGCAGCCATGCCGCGCAGAAGATAGCCGTGAGCAGCGTGGAGAGGACGACGTGCGGGATAAGCAGCCGGGGATCGATTGCCTCATGGTGGACAAATGTGGAGCCGTAGACGGTGGTGGATGCGCTGACGTAGATGAGGATCTGGAGAGTAAGCAGCGCTTTGTAGACGGTCGGCGCATTGGATGCGTAGCGAGATGTGCGCTGGAGGAAGGACTGGGCGTTTGAAGACATTTCGCAGGTCTTTCAATTGATGGACTTCTTGCTTGGAGAATGCGGAGGATTGGTGCTGGTATGGGAGGGATAAGGAGCTCAGGACTGTTGGTATCTGCATGAAGCTGCGAGAGAGGGGGAGATATAGGGAATACGGGCGTGGAGATTTCCATGCTCGCAACCTGCATCCTCAATCTTACACATTTTCGAAACAAGTCCACTGGCCTTTGGCATTTTATACGAGACATCTGGTCTTAAAGTCGTGGCGGGTGGAAGTAAGTCTCGTACTTGAGACATGGTTTCGCCGCCCCTCAGAGACATGTGAATGACGGACTACTGAGAGTGATCTTCGACAGTGATGGCACGAGCTACTAATCTGTGGAGTTCGCACTCCGAGGAGAGAACAATTGATGGACGCAAGTTGATGCGGAAACGTACATCGAGCATGCGTATTGAGCCGCCACATGTGATGCGCAAGAGCCTGGCGTAAGTGATCTTCAAACGTTTGGCGGCAATGTAAAGCACTATGAAACTTTCCATTAAATTGATATCAGAAAACCTCCTAAGCCGCCGTCAAGCGGAATGTTATTCATCACCGTAAAACGCCATGCCTGATGCCGCTTGTTGCGGACCGTAACCCCTATGCTCATGAAAGAAGAATGGTGTCGTGTCGCCGACGCCCGCTAGGGGTATCGCTTGAGAAAAAAGGAAAACGCCGTAGAGGCACTCGTACATGCAGTCGCTGTCCAACTTCAGAACCCACACTTTGAGTATGGTTGTTGGTGAAGCAGCTTCGTTCTCAACCATTTCCGTTGGTTCAGTCACTCTCCTAGCCGTCATGGAGTTCATATCAACCCCAGGAAGCTCTTCCTTCTCCCGAGCCTTTTCCGCTTGAATTCTACCTCCTTATCATCCTCCTCGTCCGGAAACGGCGGGAGCTCGATCGTCGGTGCCCTTTCCGCTGCGCCTCTCGCCACCATCTTCGGCTTCGACCGCGGCTTATCCCACTCGCTGGCACTATCTCCCGGTATCTTCAGCGGCAGCATGACCGAGGCCCTTGCGCCAGCTCCCGCCGTTCGTGGTCTGGTCATCGAGGGCCGCCGGGGGAGAGGCGCGGATACGGTCGGTGTGCTTGGTCTGGAGTTATTCGTTGTGCCATTCCTACTATCTGTGTCCTTCTTGCTGTTCGATACGGCCATGCGGGCGGTTGAGAACACGCGGGACAAACTGCGGAGGCGGCTATGTGACGACTTCGGCGCAGCATCTGCTTCGTGAATCAACGGGAACGGATCGGAACTCAGGAAGGAGGGCGTTTTTGGCCTTGTGTATGCGAGTGGAGGGGATTGGGCGCTGGTGGCAGCCTTCAACGTTGGACAGGCGGATGTGAGCGGAATCGAGGCTAGGGAGGATCTGTAGGGAGGGTTCGAGGGCTTGAGGATAGATGGTGGTGAAGAGGAGCGGTGCGAGCTGCCGGCTTTCGTGATTGATGAGGTCCAGCTCGGTGTTTCCGAGCCGGTTGAGGTAGATCTTGTGGAGGCTCGAGAGGTCGATAGGAGTTGGACTGAGACCGCTCTAGGCGCGGGCGGCCGTACTGCTGTGCTGACTGGGGGCGTCGAAGATGTGCTGCTAGTAGACGTTCGCACGAGGTCGGAATGGGAGGGCTTGGTGATCAGGGACGGAGATCCTAGTGAGAAGATGCGTGAAGTCCGCGCCACGGCTGTCGGCGATGGGAGATCCACCATCTTAGGCCGGCCAACTGACGCCATTGACACGACCACGGCAAGATCGCCGCTCTTCTTTGGCTTGGAAGGGCTGATGGTGGCAGGCCGGGCGGTAACATAGTCCGCAACTTCATCGTTGACGCTCAATGTGTCGTCCAAGTCCACCTCTATTGGGGATAGATCTTCCTCTGAGGACATGTATCTGTCCTGGAAGAGGGACATCTCCTTCTCCTCTGCTGTCATGGTCATAGCGGATAGTTTGATGGCTGATAGTCGTACTTGCTCAGGCTCGTCGAGATCTGGGCTGGTTGCACAGCTGTCGGATCTGGTAGGGAACCCAGTGCGTTTTCCGGCCGTCCATTGATGGAATTGGGTTGATGAGCGGAGGTCGCCCATTGTCGATGGTAGAAATGTCTCGATGCAGGAAGAAGCCACGAGGGCGATATCTTAAACGTGCTCTCACACGTGAGCGAAGAGTCACCAGCAAGACACTGTGAACGGGAGTTTGGGGGCCGAATGTTTGCGGATGGCAGTTGAAGAAAGACACAGGAAAGATTGGTAAAAGAGGGCAACAGTCGGTGAGCAGAGAGCGTCAGCTGTGGAAATCGACTCCTAAGCTTTGATAAGATCGAGTTGGCGACGGACGCCGGTCAGGAAGGGTATGAAAGACAGTGAAAGAGCGGCAGCAATGTAAGATGCAGATACGACAACGGCGAGGTCAGCTGCCAGGCACCCCTCGTTTAGATATCTGAAGCAAAGGAGTGTGACGGTCAGAGCCAAAGTTCGAGGGGTGCTAGAGTAAGAATGCAGAAGGATGAAGGATAGAGGTGTGCGGGCCAGGCGCGGATTGGAAGGCGTCGAGAATGAAAGAACAGCGCTTGTCTCGCTCGCGCACCACCTCAGGCGGCTGTGTCTGACTTTAGATACGAATCTTGGTGACAGCAGCTCGTGCGCCAGATCGATGGGTGCCACCCTGTCAAGCCATAAGCGAGGGTGTGGGAAGCCAGCTGCTCGAGTAGGTTAGAGCAGCAGATGGTGGGTGGGCCTGCGGGAGAGGGTGCAGCGGCCGAGCTTCGCGAAGCTTCATTGGAGATGAACTCTCGTGACTCTCGTGACAGCCTGCCGCAACGACGCTCCTCGCCTTCTGGAGGGAGGAATCGGATTGGAGACGGGGCGTGCCTAGCAGGCCGCCAACGCCTTCAAGCTCGCCAGAACCGTCAGTCAAAGCGGGGATGCTGCACTTCATCTGGCTCAAACGCCGTTGCCAGCCGTTTGAGTGCATCCACTCGAACAAAAATCGTGCCTGTCTGCCACAGCCAGAAAAGGGGAGATCCCTGAAAATCTCACCGAGATGCTGGACCCGTCACGCCCGTCACGCCGCTCAAACGCACCACGGGGAACGCGAGTTCGGCGCCTCGGGCCTCCTGAAACCCCGCGCTAAACCGGACCAGGTAAAAGAGGTGGCACCCGAGCGAGATGGCAGTTGCCGGCTAGACCTGACTAAGAAATGATGGGGGAGCCAGCCACGATGCATGCCGTGCGTTGGGATGAGATGGGATGAGATCTCCGCCTGCTGCCACATCGCCGCATCTTGCTTTTGCTTTTCCTTTTCCGTGCTTTCGCGGTGTGGGCTGAGGTGAGGCTCGCCGCAGCGGTACAAATTTAGCAGCATCAGCCTTGCCAGCGCCATGAGAGGGTCCGTTGCGAGAGCAAAACTGCACGGCTCGAGCAGAGTCGTTCATACTCTGGATGGTCTTTCAATGTGTGCAGCTAACGACCTCCGCACTCAAACGGCGCGGCACCCGAGCTCAGCGTCCGGTTTCTGCGAAGCGAAAACTGTGAAACAACCCTGGTGGCCCCTGAGCACGCGGCTGTCTAGATTCACTGTCGCGCATTAAGTAGAAGAGATGGTTGGCGACAGGAAAGAAGCGATTCGCGTGCGTCCTCGAGCACGACAGCACGGCAGAACGCGTCGTAAGTTGGCTGATCTCATTGGCTACCGTGCGCGTCCAATAGACAAGGCCAGCGGTCTCTAAAAACTCAGTCGCGACTTTACGGTTTTTGCTCCGTTGACCCTTCATAGCGCGCGACTGCTACTTCTGAGAGAGGAGACTGCACGTCAGCTCGGCATGGGACGCCTGAAGCTTCGGACACCACCGCATGACGCATCTTCGGGACCACATGTTTGCACGACACGGAAGGATTTCGCGCCTAGTAAAGCGGAGAGGTGCATCGTGTGCTCGTCAGCTCATGTGTCGAAGAGGGGCGAACCTGGTTGTGGGATGCGGGGGCCTCCATGTGCTCGGTTTTAGATTCCAAGAGCGCACAGCTTCCGAGATACGTACACCTCCGTAAGCTGGCTATCGTTACACTGCTGGCCTTCAGATATCAGGAATACAGCTCCATGGTCCAAGGGCCATCCAAGGTCTGCGATGGAACCGGACTCGTGGCTACAGTAGGGGAAGAGAACTAGCTCGAGTTCATGCGATAGAAAGCATACCCTGTAGTTTGCTCACCAGCGTAATTAGATTGTATGGAACATCGATCTCCTAAGTTATCATAGACCTGTGATTTGCGCTTGGGCTATCCACCTTTAGATCCACGAGTGGCTTCCAATGCGGCAGCGAACTCTCTGGATGGCCCTTGGTCACAGCCCCCGTTTATATGTGGGTACGGCACTAGAAAAGTTCCTCGTACCTGATCATGAGAGGAAATCTTCAAGAGTCTTGCGGTGCCCTCACTAGACATAGGTGCTTGAAATCACTACGGGAAGGTCTAGTTGCACTCTCGGACTCTAGATATAGAGTAAAAGGGTTAAACGCAACCTCGCAGCGTGCTCTTCTGGTTCGTAAACCTAGCAGTTTGCAAGATCGTAGAGGTAGGGAACAAGTTTACTCTACGGGTCCCCGAGTGCAATACGCCTTTAAGACGGTAACACCCCGCAAGCCTGAAACGTGTTCACTCTCCATATGGCCAGATGGGCTTTTCCCACAAGTGTCGAGGATTCACAGATGCCGTCCAAGAAGTATGTTGCCGTATCTTGGCTGGTAGCTTGTTCAATACCAGATTCGTGATTGAGCTGCACTCATGATCTTGTCGATTAACTACAGAGCAACGAGACCGATTGCATGCGATAGAAAGCATAAGCTCTTCAGTGGTGCAGCTCCTTAGTGGATTGATCACTTGAGATTTCTCCGTTCTGTAAACTGCGCTTACGCTATCCTCCTTCAGTGCAGCAACGAGCTTTTCGTGTTGCGCTTGATACAATCGGTCCAACACTGCTGCTTGCCTGCTTCAGGCCAACTTGATAAGCTATGTATCTTCTTGAACCGCTCCGACCAGATCTTCACCGAATTACAAGTGATGTGGGAACATCCAATGCCGTCCGTGAACCTCAATAACTGCCTTAAGGACATCCGGGTGATCGTCAGGCATTCGTGGGGTCCGGGACTTTCCTGAGCGACCCGCCATCTGCCGCGACAGCTCCCCCGCAGCCTCTCGTCACCTCCGATGTGCGCTCCGCAGCTCTCTACATGTAAGGCCTCGGTACGAAGCCAAGTAAAACAATTCCAAAGAGCCGAGTTTCTTCACTTCAGTTCTCGTTCCTATCACCCGCAACCCTGTCTTCCCAATTGCTTCTCTCTCGTGTATCGGGGTCCAATTCTTACTGTCTGGGCCGATAGAACCTGCGTGCATCTTAGATCGTTCTTCGAACTTATCCACTTACTTCTATACTCCCATCCTCTCAGTCCAGTGCCCAAGTCCTCATAGAGCCTACTTCTTCACCATGGTCGACTCTTCCCAAGAAATCATGCCCATCCCCCGCAAACTCTGGGAACACCCCTCCCCCAAATCCACCCAAATGTACCAATTCATGCAATCCGCCAACCAGCGGCACGACCTCAACCTCCAAACGTTCCAAGATCTCCACAACTGGTCCGTAACCGACCCCGTCCCCTTCTGGGCCGACGTCTGGAGCACTGCCTCCCTAATCCACTCCGGCACCTACACCACCGTCGTGGACCCCACGGCGCGCATCGACTCCCTCCCGAAATGGTTCCAAGGCGTGCGGCTCAACTTCGCCGAGAACATACTCTTCTCCCGCGCGGAGAAGGATGCAGGCCAGCGCACCACGCGTGGGAAAGAAGACGCCAAAGTCGCCGTCACCCAAGCCCGGGAAGGCGGCTTCGAGGTGCAGGATGTTACTTACGGCGAGCTGCGACGGCGCGTCGGGGCGTTAGCACAGGCGCTCAAGGCCCGGGGCGTGCGCAAGGGCGATCGTGTAGCCATCGTGGCCTCCAACAGTGTGGATACGTTGGCGGTGTTTCTGGCGACGACGGCGCTGGGCGGGCTGTTCAGTAGCAGTAGTACTGATATGGGGACGAAGGGGGTGCTGGATCGGCTGCTGCAGATCAGGCCGAAGTGGGTGTTTGTTGATGATTGGGCGGTGTATAACGGGAAGACGGTGGAATTGAGGGGCAAGATGAAGGAGATCGTGGAAGGGTTGGGTGGAGTGAGCGAGTTCGAGGGGTGTGTTGCGCAGCCGAGGTTTAAGGAACCGGCGGACGTGAGCAGTGTGCCTAGGGCGATGACGCTGGAGAAGTTTTTGGAGGCCGCAGAGGGGAGGACGGAGCTCGAGTTCGAGCGGGTGGAGTTTAGTGACCCGTTTCTGGTGGTATACTCGAGCGGCACGACGGGTCAGCCGAAGTGCATCGTGCATTCGACTGGTGGTGTGCTGATCAGCTCGATGAAGGAGGGGAAGCTCCATAGGGACCTAGGACCTGATACCGTGCAGTTGCAGTATACTACGGTGAGCATTCCGAGACCTCTATGTGGGGCAGCCCCGCTGACTTCGGCACTGCAGACTGGCTGGATCATGTACATGTCCGCCGTCCTGGCGCTGCTATACGGGGGCCGCAGCATTCTCTACGATGGCAGTCCCTTTCAACCAGACCTCACCTCCTTCATCCGTCTTGTAGGGGAGCAAAAGTGCGTCCTGTGCCCATCAATTCAAGCCTTCCACCCTCCTTTCCACGCTGACTAACCCACTTCCAGAGTCACCAACTTAGGCATTTCCCCCCGCTACCTCCACGAGCTTCAAAAACACTCCGTTATCCCCCAGCGCACCACCGACCTATCCTCCCTGCGTGCCGTAACAAGCACAGGCATGGTCCTCCCCGACGCCCTCTTCGTCTGGTTCTACGACGTCGCCTTTCCTCCCTCCGTCCAACTCGCAAACATCTCCGGCGGCACTGACATCGCCGGGTTATTCGGGGCGGAGAATCCTTTGCAGCCTCTCTACGTCGGCGGATGCATGGGCCCTTCTCTGGGGGTCAAGGTCGAGGTGTATGATTCCACCATTGAGGGCGGCAAGGGGGCCCAGGGACGCGCGGTGGAGGATGGTGTGCCGGGGGAGTTGGTGGCGACGAGGCCGTTCCCGAATGTGCCGGTGTTTTTTTGGGGGGATGAGAGTGGGGAGAAGTATTGGAATGCGTATTTTGCGCGGTTTGATAATGTGTGGACGCATGGGGATTTTGTGGTTAGGCATCCCAGCACGGGGCAGCTGGTGTTTTTGGGCAGGGCGGATGGAGTGTTGAATCCTTCGGGTGTGAGATTTGGGTCCGCGGAGATCTACAACGTGGTTGAAAGGTTTTTCCCGCAGGTAGCGGATAGCATTTGTGTTGGACGAAGAAGACCGCAGGATGCGGACGAGGCAGTGATGCTGTTCTTACTGATGGCGGAAGGAGAGCGGTTCACAAAAGACCTCGTGAGTGAGGTCAAGAGGAGAATAGGGAAGGAGTTGAGTCCGCGGCATGTGCCCAAGTTTGTTTTTGAGACGAAGGAGATTCCGGTAAGCAGGAGCTACTACTAGCGGTGGTTACTGGGAATGATGCTGACAAACAATATCAGACGACAGTCAACCTCAAGAAAGTGGAGCTGCCGGTGAAGCAGATCGTGTCTGGTCGAATCATCAAGCCGTCGGGAACGCTTCTCAATCCGCGGAGCCTGCAGTATTACTACCAGTTTGCGAAAGTGGAAGAGCCGGTCAAGAGCAAGCTATAGTTTTTAGAGCACGATTGGATAAGGGAAGAGCACTGGTAAGTGCGATGCAACGTCACACAGAGTCCATAGAGGGTACAAGTCGCGAGATTCGAAGTGGAGTTTTGAAGTAAGAAACAAGACAGACTCCGACGCAGACGCATACAACCCACGTGCTCGTATGCCTAGAAGGCGTATAAGGGACACGCCAATCTATTCATAATGAAGCTTTGTTCCTCAAGCGTCAGTATAAAGCGCGGGCGTCGATACCGAAGGATCAACGTCCTCTCGTTGTTGCCCACGCCTGCTCCTCCGCAACATCTCACTCAAGTACCCTTCTCCAGTGAAAACCCTGCTCGGATTTGCCGGCCCAAAAGCGCCGTGTTCCTCATCGTTGAGTTGCAACTTCGCCATTGTCTCCTCCACAGTCGGGACCGGGATCTCTTCCAGCGTCTGAGGATCGAGATAGCCGTAGAGTATCGCGTCCAGGTAGTACCTGTGGAGTCCCGAGTTCCGCAGCACGCCCTCTCCCATGACTAGCTGATCCGGCCGAAGGAGTCTCTTCCGAGCTGGCTGCGGGTTCACTGCATCGGTCTCTGCCTGCGAGTCCGTAGACTCATTTGATGTCTGCCTCCCCGAACCATTCACGGCACGCGTCGTCCAGCGCTCAAGACACGCCGTCCCCACTTCCTCGGGCGGGACGCCGAAGATGCTCATATGTTCGTGACCGGCCTCACGGTCTTGCCAGTCCTGCCTGACATACCACTGCAAGACCTCCAACCTGCTCCTCAAAAACGTGCCCCTCAGGACCCCCAACAGACCTCTCTCGCCCAAACCTCTCATTCCTAGAATCATCTTCCGCATGGCCGTCTCGCCCATCCCGTCCACTGGGTCCGAGAAGCGCATATCGAGCTTCATGAACGTAATTGTTGCGCAGATCATGTCGTTGTTCGTAAAAAAGCGGTCATTGTGTATCAGACTCAGGCGCTGCCGATTCGTCCCAGTATCCATGATCATCCAGATCTTCTTCAGCGTCTCGCTCGCCGGCTTCGGAAGCCGATGTCCCTTCACCGCCAACAGGGCCAGAATCTCCTCGACCGCTCTCTCCCTCGACACCACCATCTGTAGCCACTTGAAGCCCGGCACCAGGCGGTCCGGGATCCTGCGCCACGGGCTCGGAATCGGATGCGGGCGCCTTATCGGGTCCAGGATGCATAGCGCTCCATAGCATTTGAAGGGGAAGAGCACGACGCTCTCGGGAGCATGGGCCCGCGCGCAGGCCAGCATGTAGGTGCTAAGGTGCAGATTGATGATGAAGTGGAAGGGCTTGGAGATGGTGTAGAGGGCGAAGAGTTCGGGAACACGGAGATGGGTGCAAAGGTGCAGCAGGAGGTCGTTGGGGTGCAGGAGGAAGGCGGTGAAGAGGTTGAAGCGGCGGCTCGGGGTGCGTACGGGAGTGTGCCGCGGATGCGACCTGGCGGTGCCCTGTGGGTTGAGGAGATCGATGGGTGGGAGTCTGAGTGAAAGATTTTCAGTGCCATGCAAAGGTCCTGTAATACTGCTGATGGGAGGAATCGAGATCGGGTTGAGTTTCGCGCGCTTTCGCCGAAGTACGAGGTTGCCATCGCCATCCTGTGGGGAGGAGGGTGCGGATGTGCTTGCGGCACGTTTGTGGCGCTGGGATGTAGCATCGGCGATTACGATCTGAGGAAGCGGAGGGACATTTCTGACTACTTGAACGAATGCCGTCGGTGAAGCTGCTCTATTGGTAGGAAACTGCGGCTGTTGTGGAGTCTGTGACGCTGTGGGCAGCGAACCTTCGGATTCTGCCCTAGCGGTTTGTGATGCCTCCGGTGCCGGATCAGGCTCCGGCGGCGGGTTCAGAAGGGCGGAAATTGGACAAGACATCGCGAATGTGGCTGAAAGGTTGTCAAAGGTTCATCCGGTTCAGCGCTGAGGATCTCATGTTGTGAGTGGAGGGCGGGAAGGTGAAGGATAAGGTTGACGACAGGCCAAGAAACAAGATATATAAGTTGCGGCAGAACAATAGCAAGCTGTTCACGATAGGACCCGTTGAGATAGCGGAATATTGCATGACGTGAAATGAAGACTTAGACATAGTGGTTGTCCGGGAGATGGCTTCAGCCTTGCAAAGACAAGGTGAAGCGCATGAATCGTTCATCAGAACGTGTCGGTGAATTGGACAGCGCGGCATAATCATGTAGCCGTAAGCTATGTCGCAAAGCCAACTGCAGGGAATGAAATACTGGTGTTCATTAGGACGCTCTGAACCATGAAGACCTGGAAGCTCTTTACTGTCTGCGATCAACAGCTGCTACGCTCCTACGTCAACTGAACAAAGCATTCAGCGTCCAGATGAAGGCATGCATAAGAAATCGGCCATTTCTAGGGTGTGATATCAATCATGGACGCGTGAATTTCGGCACCTACCGCGTGCCATTCAGACATCTGATAAGCTAAGTGGTGATGGATTTGCCAGTTGAATGACAGCATGCGACGTATCTAGTGGAAGAATGGAAGACAATGGCCCACCTACAATATGGCCAGTGCCTTGACCCTTCTGGTGGATGAGCACCCAGAAACGCCGGATATCTAGCCAGAACTTTCACGATGCCTCCAACGCCGTTGTAACCGCCTCGCCGAGCTGAAAGCCAATGCGCAACACGGTCGTCCCACAGCTGCATTGACTTTCATCTCATCATCTTCGCAATGCTAATTTCATGAATTCGTCTCGGGTCTTAGCAGTGGATCGCATGACACCAAGCATGCAGCTGGTAACGGTTGTTGACTGCGTCTTCTCCACGCCTCTCATAACCATGCATAGATGGCTTGACTCCATAATAACACCCACACCTTGCGGTTGAAGTACCTCTGAAAGAGCGAGTGCAACTTGCTTCGTTAGCCGCTCCTGGACCTGCAGTCTTCGGGCAAACATTTCGGCGATGCGCGCGAGCTTAGAGAGCCCTAAGACACGGCGATTGGGGATATATCCAATGTGCATCTAGAGCGAAGTCAGCGGAGGACATCCGCAGTACAGGGAGCATGACTTGCCTTGCCGGTGAATGGGACCAGATGATGCTCGCAAAGCGAGAAGACTTCAATATCCTTGACGATTACGAGTTCGTCGTGGTCCTCGTGAAACACTGCTCCATTGACAATATCCCTGAGGTTCTGCTCATACCCCTTGGTAAAGTAGAGCATAGCCTTGGCGTACCTCTCCGGAGTCTCGTGTAGCCCCTCGCGCTCCGGATCTTCGCCGATGCACTCAAGTATCGTCTTCACTGCATTGGACAGTTTCGCCAGTCTGTCTTCTCTCTCCTCGTCGGTGGCTTCCTTCCGCGCCAGAGTGCCCAAGCCTATCCAAAGGACGTCAGCCGCCATGGTCCTTCGTACAGATATCCGCATGCTACTCACTCGGCCAGCTGAGGCCATCGAAATCGATTGTGGGGTATTGAGTGAAAGGGCTTGCTGGGCGACTGGTCGCTAGAGGTGTAGGCGGGGCAGCTTCGTCTCTTGGATCTCGCGCATGTACCTCGTTGAGGTTCTCTAAAGACCGCCTCGCTCCATGGCGCGCATTTGTATTGGCTTCCGATTTAGGAGGCTTGTGGTCGGAGTAGAAGCCATTTGGCCCATCAAGGTCTATGGGTTCTCTTCGAGGACCATTAGATGACTGGATGGAAGCAAAGAGATTCTCGCGCTCCTTTCGGTTCCGGTTCTCGTGGACGGGAGCCAAAGGAGAGCTTCCATTGAGGAGGTGCGACGGCACGGCAGATTTCGGCCGCGGCTGGTGCGGATGGCCGTCCATTGCGCGGAGAGGGCAAAGGCTGCAGAGCGCTTACTGGATAACGGTGAAGGAGTGGCCGAGTCGGTGGGCGTGGAAACGGTTACCGGACGCGGGTATCTTCTTCCTCTTGAACTCTCGAGCTCATTGTTGGAGAGGGCTTGTGTTTGCGCTCTCTTGGGGCGGTAGAAGACACGGTTTTACGAAGCCACCTGGGTACTCATCCATAAACTTTTCACACAGAACCTTGGAGTCTCAAAAGGCTTGGCTTATGTGACGCCTTTCTGCCGGTCACCGCCGGGAAATCCCGCTGAAACCCAAAGCTGAGAACAAGCACGACAGGCAACCACGCAACCTCCACCTTCGCACCCACAAACACCCATCTCCCCCATCTCGACCACGATACCGCGACGTGACCCACGTCGTCCATCGTTAGGTATGTATCTTGTGCCATTGACCTCTCGCTAGGTAGCCAACCACGTGGTGATGATGGCGTTGTTCGAAGCGTCGGTCGAAGCGTCGGAAGGGCCAGGTGCGGTCGCTGGGAGTTCTGATCGCGTTGGAGCGTCCCCCGCTCATTGTGCCTGCGCACCACTTTCACCGCTGAAGGCATCGTCTCGCTGGCACGTCGCATACAAGAACTCGACAAAGGACGGCTGGTAGAACCTGGAAGCATTTGAAGCCATGGACCATAAGACGTCGCCGAGCAAAGCGGCTGTCGCCGGTACAAGTCGCTCCACGCACTTGTCTCTGCTGGCGTGAACTGCAAAAGGTAATGCATACTCTCAGCGCGTTAGCGATCGCTGTGCGTCTCTCAAACTTACTTGCGGTGGTTTCCCACCTGGCGGGCGGGGACGACCGCGGAACTTTTCACTTGGAATACGAGACGCGCAGATCGTTCGACCGCCTTGAGCCAGAGCGTGTCCGGACTTCTTCCACATTTGTAAAGACCAAAGGGTGATATCTGGCAGCTGTAGCATTCGCCGACAGCTGTTCTTGCGGCATCTCTGAACGCACCGGCAACAGCATGACTCTTACCACAGCTCGAGTATGTCACCCCACGGCAGTTGGTCAGGTTTCCAGCACCACCAGTCGGACGACGACGTGCAGGCCTTGTCCATCACGCTTGTTCTCTATCGCGCCGTTCCGACCACCCGCTACCGGTGCCTTTACGGAGGGCTGACCTCTGCAGAGCGGTCTCTGTCGGATGCGTTGTGCTCGTCTCACGATATACAAGTCGACTGTCTGCAGGATGAGCTAAAATACCACGCCTTCCTGTGGACTCCTGCATAGCAGGACTAGTCTACCACTTCCCCGTGTGTTGCGGGCAGCATACGGTTATGCCCAGCTGTCAACGGACGGACACGGCCTATGTTCGTGGTCCACGTTAACAGGAGCGAGTTTCTTCCTCCCATGGAGAGCACGATGCTGCGACTTTCCCAACGGGTATACGGGGCGTTGGAGTACAGGTGGTATGGCTGCGTGTTGTGCAACTAGATAGATCTTATCGTGACCTGCTTGTCTGCAAAGTTTGGGCCGGCTGAGGGCGAGGACCACACGTAGTAGGAGGAGGACATCACTTCACGCTGCTTCACGCCGCTTCACTCTGTCTCACGCTGCCTCACGCACACAGGTCGACATGGACGCAGCTGCAAGGCGGTGGAAGACAGCCCATCTGGAGGAGCTGTGCCGCGTTGTGCGGTTACCGGAATCGGCGACGCCACGAAAATCACGGGAGGAGACGGCGGTCGCGCAAGAGCCGCAGCACCTTGAACCTCTGGCTTCCGCAAAGCCTCTTGCTCCAAGCTGTCAACCCCACGACCGCTGAGTTCTCGAGTCGCGCACCGGGAGAAGTGCTCCCACGCAACTGCGACCTGTTCCCCGGCTTTCCTTTGCTGTTTCTCGTCTCCTTCTGACGGGTAGGTATCGGCTTCCGTGCATGTACAGTTTTCCTTCGTCTCGGTCGGCTTTTCGCGTAACGTGCCCGACGCTGCACCTTGCTCTGATGCCACTGCACATGTCTTGACTGTCTACATGGCTGCTTCGCGGTCCTCCCAGGCGATAGACCAGTGGAGACCTGAAGACTCTGCATCCAGACAGAAGGATAGGGACAGGATTAAGGGTGATCGCAGTGTGTCTAGGGAGCGGGGGCGGTCGCCTGCACTCCGTTTACGAGACCGCGAAAGGGACGTCAAAGGTAGCCACGTTGATTCTGATCATCATCATCCTTCATCAAAGCGCTCAAGAGCCCGTTCACGCGACAGAAGCCGCAGCAGGCCTCGTCGTAGGAGTCGTGTTGGGCACTCGCCGTCTCCGCAGCGAGGCTCTCGCGACGACTTGTATCGTCCGTCAAAGGCTAGAGGGCCGAGCGGAGACAGGACTTCACGCAAGCACAGGGACAGGCACGACTCTCCACCACCTGCAAAGCGCCGACGCAGCATCAGTCCATCACCGCCTCGGGAGTCTACAAAGCATACGAAGCGTCGCAGAAGTCGTAGCCGGGAGCGGTCACCGTCACCATCTCGCCGAGCAGACCTTACTCGCAGGCCCGCTGACCGCGCCTTTTCACCACGATCCACTCGCATCGATCGAGTCCCTACAAGGCGTCCCTCGCCTGACTCGTACATTCCTTTGGCATCCCGCCGCCGTTCCAGGTCTGCAGATTCACGTTACCAGATAGCTCCACCAAAACACCGAGCACGCTCAAAGACACCCGACCGCAAGACAACGCATCGACGTGCCGACTCCCCGCGCCGGTCATCACCGAAGAGGCGTCCGCATCGAGACCGTACACCGTCGCCGGAAGGTAGACGCAGGACACACAGGGAGAGAGCGGATTCCCGATCTCGGCCTGAAAGGGACACGGATACTCGGGAGTCTAGAAAATCCGCTCGGTCGCCTCCGCCACGGTCGAGACGGTCGCGTTCCCCTTCCAACAGACGTCGCTCGCGGAGTGCAACGCGGAGAGATCGAGAAGCAACATCGCACAAAGCCAGGCCGTCACGCACATCGCCACCTCGCCGGTCGTCGAGGTCTCCGCCGCCTCACAAGTGGAGAGGGGAGGTCAACAGCGACAGAGACCGTGCTGGGGCGGATACTAGACGGACAGACAGGACAACAGCCAGGGACAGGACGCCGCAACCAGCATCAGGCTACGACTCTGACACTCGCCGCTCGGTCAACGGAGGCTCGAGAATGAGGGGTGGATATTATGATCAAGGGAGATCAAGACCTCCCGTTGACAACAGAACATATGCCCAGTCTCCGGGGTATGGAACTCCCGCGCACGTGTCGCCGCCAGCCCAATCACCGTATAGCCGGGGAGGTTGGGAAGGACAACAGTATGGCAGCCATCATGGGTGAGTAAAGTGTACACACCGCGCATATACGTTAAGACTGACGCTCCGCAGCTCACCCGCACACGGTTATTCTCCGGGCCACCCCCAGTATCAACAGAGCTACCCGCCCAGTGGGCACCAAGGCTCATACTATCCGCCTCAACAGTATAGTCCACCTCCACACCAGTCGCAGCAAGGGTACCAAAATCCGCCACCCAGAGGGGGTCACGGAGCATCCCGCGGCAGCCAGTACACATCAGATCGGCGATACTCCGGTCCACCCGTCCAAGCACAAAGAGGTCGTGGTGGACACTTTAGCAATCTCTCATGGACGCCAGCGACCGGCAGTCGAGGTGGGCGCGTGCCAACGCAAGGCCGTGCAGTAACGCAGACATCACAAACCGGAAGCGCCTCTGGCACGCCAGGACCTCAGGAACAAGCCGAAGCCCCTGCTGAAGAGGAGGAGAACCCATTCCGTCCCTCCAAGGATCTTAGGGTAGAGGATCAGAGTGCCAAAGAGGCCAAAGAGGTCAAAGAGGAGAAGATGCCACCACCCAGCAAAGCAATCTCAACTACTGCAGAAAGCCAAGCAGCTTCAAAAATCAGTTTCGCGCTCAAGTCGAAGACCGGTCCCCCACCCGCCCCAGCGCCCAAGGCCGACCTCACTCAAGGACCACGCGACTCGCCGCTGCTTCCCAAAAGTAAAACAGCTGCATCATCGTCCTCGGCGCCAAGGGACAAGTACGATTCTCGAGATGAGTCCAGGTATGATTCAAGATATGATTCGCGTGATTACAGATACGATCCGCACTACGATTCCCGACGCGACCGCCGCGATGACCGTCGTGATGATCGCCGAGAAGACCGCCGGGACGACCGACGAGACGATCGACGAGATGATCGACGAGATGACCGGCGAGATGACCGGCGCGAGTATTCTCAGACGGACAGACGGCCTGATTATAGAGCGTACGAGAGGGAACAAGACACTGGCTCTTCAGCCTTCAGGCCTACCGGCTACAAGGTAAGAGACATTAACGACGACAAGCCATCAGAGTCACGGTCTTCTCGTCGTCCCGAGCCTCGTCCCGAGCCACCGCGGATGGAAAAGATCAAGGTGAAGAGAATCGAGAAGCGGCTCAAGCCTCGGCCCACCCTCTCAGCAGAGTTTGCTGCTTCCGATTCTGTCTACTACCGCAAGCCAGGCAATGAGTCTGTGGTAGGATCAGGAACATACGGCAAGGTCTTCAAGGCGGTACATGTGTATACCAAGGACATGGTTGCCCTCAAGAAGATCCGGATGGAGGGCGAGCGCGACGGGGTAAGTTAACACAGCAGCTCTTTGCGGGTGCACCACTAATCATTGTATAGTTCCCTGTCACAGCCATCCGAGAAATCAAGCTCCTCCAATCGCTCAACCATGACAATGTCGTCAAATTACAAGAGGTCATGGTAGAGAAGAACGACTGCTACATGGTCTTTGAGTACCTATCCCACGATTTGACTGGTCTGCTTAACCATCCTACTTTCAGGCTTGACCAGGCCCAGAAGAAAGACCTCGCGAAGCAGCTCTTCGAAGGACTAGAATACCTCCACCGTCGCAGTGTCCTCCATCGAGACATTAAAGCAGCCAACATCCTCGTCAGCAACACCGGGCAGCTGAAGCTCGCCGACTTCGGGCTCGCTCGCTTCTACGTCAAGCGGCGCAAACTCGACTACACTAACCGCGTCATCACCATCTGGTATCGATCGCCCGAACTTCTCCTTGGAGAAACCCAATACGGCCCTGCAGTCGACATCTGGTCCGCCGCCTGCGTTCTCGTCGAGATTTTCACCAAACACGCCATCTTCCCCGGCGACGGCGGCGAGATCAACCAGCTGGACAAAATCTACAACGTTCTTGGCACGCCGACAAGAGCGGAGTGGCCTGGTATCGTCGACATGCAGTGGTTCGAGCTGCTGCGACCAGCGGAGCGCAAACCAAGCACCTTCGCCGAGAAATACAAGGAGCGCGTCACGCCCGAGGCATTTGATCTGCTGAGCGCCATGTTCAGCTTTGATCCCGCGAACAGGCCCACCGCGGCTGATGTGCTGGAGCATCCATACTTCACGACTGAAGAGCCGTTGCCCAGGCGCGCGGAGGAGCTGAAAGACGTCGAGGGCGACTGGCACGAGTTTGAGAGCAAGGCGCTGAGGAAGGAGAAGGAGAGGCAAGATAAGGAGGCCCGACGGGCTGCGAGGGAGGAGCAGCAGAAGAGGGAAGGAGAGAAGAGGAGAGCGGATGCAGCGCCTGAGCCGGAGAGGGATGCGAAGCGTGCGAAGGGGAGCGATGGGACGGACGTTGTCATGGCTAGTGGGTGAGCGGAGTCTGGTCGGACTGTCGCCCCTGGCTATTCGCAAAGCACGCCGAAGACGCCCGCCCGTGGTTGCCTTTCACGCGGTCTAGCGCTCTGTCGGACGCATTCGAGGTCCTTCTTCTACAGCCCTCTTTCTAGGGCTTGGAGCACGATCTGTGAGGAGCAGGGGGTCGAAGGCGTGAGTCTTAGCGGCGTGTTATCTGTCTCTGCAAGCATCTGAATTGGCATGGGCATGGAGCATGGCATTGGACTGGGGCATCAAGCGTGTTGTAGACATTGGCGCGTCCTTTTTTCTGCCATGTACAGAGGGTAGTTGCTCGGTGTCTGTAGTATGCACGTGTGCATCTGACAGAGGGGCCTTAAAGACAGTTTTGAGCGTGATGCCCCTATGGTTCTCGAGTCAATGGGTACCGCATTGGGTGAATAGAGCTTTGGTCCCGGGATGACTTCCAGTCTTATAGTGAAGCGGGTAGATTGCGGCTCATGAGGCTCTATCGCCTCTCCGTTATCGGCGGAGGACGGAGTTCCGCCGCCTCACCTAAACTTATCAGTATACCGGTATGCACGAATTGTTACGGAACTAGACTTCCGAGCCAAGGCCTCGGAGCTGCGCCAGCGCTTTTTCCTTAATACCCGCCGCCCCTCTTGTTTGACGGCGCGTCTGCTCCTCGATTCTTGCGCTCCAGCAGCCCGTATATCCCTTCCTGCCCTAGCATCAGTAAGACGGAGGGAACCTTCTGGCGATTGCCTGTGTCCGACCTACCCCAATCCCCCATTTGGGCACTCTACGCAGCCCGCATCCGAACCGCACCTCTTGGGAAAACCTATACCAGTTCCTTAGCCATCCAATGGCTTGTCCCTCCAGATTCGCGGCCTCCCTCCGCCGAGCCACCTGCGCGCCGCGAACCTTCCAGCATGCGACCCGGCGACTACGACCCGTAATACAAGCACGATGGCAGGGCAACGAGGCGACCACATCCGCGTCCTCAGAGCCCCACCAGCCGGACGAGCAAGGAGGCGTCAAAGGCGACACTGCCAAAGCCAAGGCCATAAAGTTCACCTCAGAATCGTACGGTGCCACAAGGTCTTCACAGGCGCATACATACTGAGAAGAGACGCAGATACCCCGAGCTAAAGCGCGATCCCAAGTTCTCCGAGATCTCTTCCGAGCACGTCAAGTTCTTTAAGGACCTCCTCGGATCCGAATCAGCGGTCATAGACGGCCTGTCATCAGACGCCTCAGAAGACATCGAGCCCTTCAACGCAGACTGGATGCGCAAGTACCGGGGCCACACGAAGCTAGTGCTCAAGCCCGGCTCAACGGAAGAAGTCAGCAAGATTCTGAAGTACTGCAACGACAACACCCTCGCCGTCGTGCCGCAAGGCGGTAACACCGGGCTGGTAGGCGGCTCCGTGCCCGTCTTCGACGAGATCGTGATAAACCTTTCGCGTATGAACAGCATACGCTCCTTCGACGAGGTATCCGGGATCCTAGTCGCGGACGCAGGCGTGATCCTCGAAGTCGCAGACAACTTCCTCGCCGAGAAATCTCACATCTTCCCACTCGACCTCGGCGCGAAAGGCTCCTGCCAAATAGGGGGCAACGTCGCCACCAACGCAGGTGGGCTACGCCTGCTGCGATACGGCAGCCTGCACGGCAACGTGCTCGGCATCGAAGCCGTGCTACCAGACGGCACAATCGTAGACGACCTGTCCAAGCTGCGCAAGAACAACACCGGCTACGACATCAAGCAGCTCTTCATCGGGGGCGAAGGCACAATCGGAATCATAACCGCGATATCCATCTTCTGCCCGCAGCGCTCCCCCGCCATAAACGCGGCCTACTTCGGCCTCTCCAGTTTCGAGAAAGTCCAACAAGCCTTCCGCGAAGCGAAAGCGCAGCTCTCCGAGATCCTCTCCGCCTTCGAACTCATGGACGGCCGGTCGCAGAAGCTGCTGCACAAGGCCAGCGGGCGGAAACTCCCGCTCGAGGGCGAGCACCCTTTCTACTGCCTCATCGAGACGAGCGGCTCAAACAGCGACCACGACAGCGAGAAGCTGGAGGCGTTCCTCGAGCACGTCATGGGCGAGGAGATTGTGGATGATGGCGTGGTGGCGCAGGACCAGACGCAGATTGCGGACTTGTGGGCGTGCCGGGAGGGTGTGCCTGAGTGCTTGGGGCACTGGGGCGGGGTGTATAAATATGACCTCTCGATCCCGATTGGGGAATTGTATGCGATCGTTGAGGAGACCCGCGAGAGGATAAAGAAGGCGGGGCTCATGGGTAATAGCGATGAGTACCCTGTTGTGGATGTGGTCGGGTATGGGCATATGGGAGATGCGAATCTGCATTTGAATGTATCGGTGAGGAGGTATGACAAGAAGGTCGAGAAGGAGTTGGAGCCGTTTGTGTATGAGTGGGTCGCGAAGAGGAATGGGAGTATTAGCGCGGAACATGGGCTCGGTATCGCGAAGAAGGCGTTTATTGGTTACAGTAGGAGTGAGACGATGATTAGGCTGATGAAGCAGATTAAGGAGCTGTATGATCCGGTAAGTGGTCACTCTATCCCTTTGGATTGTGATGTGCGCTGGGCAGAACTAACGAGTTGACAGAAGGGAATTATGAACCCGTACAAATATATATAGATGATAGTTACGACGCGGCTTGGGAGTCATCTTGTTCATCTTTTAGACATCTTGGGCAACCTCTCGATCGAGCTTGAGGAGTCGGCCTGAAATCCACTATATATACTAGATCTACGTAGATGGTGGTAAGGGGATTGCCGTCGGAAAAACATAGTTGCAGCTTAGCTAGGTATAGAACTACAAGCCAGACGTACTTGTTAGTAGTGAATGCTCGCATCGTTACCGTGCACGTCCGGGCGGGCTTTCAAACGCGAACGTGGCAATGTTTGAACATATCACTGAAGACAACGTACATAAGCGAATGATTGTTCGACGATATCACTGTCTTGTACATATTGTGTTCCACTCGCATCGAGGCCTGCTCAGGAGGTGTCAGCAGCTTAAAGGCCCTGCTACCATTGTCTCTCTTCTCGTCGACGATAGTTAAGGTATCCCACATCAGCCGCATCTCTTGGCAGATGATTAATTGCAAGGTAAAAATCGCCAGTCGCCAGCGTCTGCTTGCGTAAACTCGCAACATCCACAGCTTCACGACCAAAATACGGCTCCCAAAGCGACCAAGGTCCCGATATCAAGGGCGTGGTAGGCAAGAGAAGATTGTGGTAGTACGTGCCGATGCCACCAGACGACATGAGGGTTGGGCTGATTAGAGTATTGTTGGGAAGGTATAGAGGGGACTATCGGGAGTTTGAAGGATCGTAAAGAGTAACGCGTAAGGGCAACTGTCGGAGATCTATTTCTCTTAATGCTGAAATCTCAAGACACCCATCGTTCTATGTGAGCCTATATCAGATCTCCATATTCCTGATTTCCCTGTATACCGCTTTCCCCTCTATTTTCTTCTCTACCACATTCCCCTCCTTCCCCTCCCCCTCCGCCATACCCTCTCTCAAATCCAGCTCCAAAACCACCTGTCTCAACCGTGGCCCAAAAACCTGATTAACCTCCTCACTAACCAGCCTATACCCCTCTTTCTCATAAATCCTCATCGCGGCCCCCTGAAATTCACTCGACGAAAGCTGCACACTCGCATACTCTTTCTCCCTCGCAAAATCCGTGGCAAGTCTAACAAGTACACGCCCGAGGCCCAGGCCCCGGGCTTCTGGCGACACAAATAGCACCCTCAGCCTCGCAGTTTTGGCGGTTTCCGGATTCAAGGGATTCTTAGTAGTGTGTGTTTTTTCTTCGATATGTTTAGTTTCTGGCGACGGTTCGGCAGGTTTCTGAATCAGCATTACGCAGCCCAGGAATTCGCTATCGCTAGTACGTTCAGCGACCCAGAAGCGCTCGAGTTCTGGATCGTTATTTTCGAGGAAGCCGGTTAGGATGCTGGAGACGAGCGACATGAAATACGTGTTCCAACCGCCTTTGGTGACATATTCGGTGCGATGACCGGAGAGGATTTGGGGGATGTCCGAGGCGCGGTGGGGGCGGATTATGTACGATAGTGAGAGATTGGTAGTGGTGGTACTCATATTTCGAATCTGTGTATTTTGAGAGGAGAAAGAGTTTTGGTGTGGCGAGCAACTACAAGGTCCATAGTATGACTCTTATATTTTCTTTAGAAGAAAAAGCTTGGTACAATACTAATCCCACTTTTCCCATTCTAAGAATACTCCCGCGCCCGGGTAGTCTAACAGTCACGTGAAGTTATAGGAATTTGCTACCATACTAGAAAGCCTCCGGCATCTCTCTAAGATGGCAAAAAGTTAATACTACAGCAAAATAGATATATGTATAGAGTTAGAGTTTATATATCTATAGTATAGTGTTGCCTATGTCCTCTTTTAGAATGAAGAGACCGCGTTGGCGGCCGAGATCTCTGTTTCGGTAGGCATCTCTGCTGCTCCGTCTCTGGGCATCTTGCTAATAAACGTCGCCAGCCCGACAACCGGTTCATCCTCGTTTCCAACCGGCAAGACTCAATATTCGAGCTCCCAAACAACGATCCTAGGAACTCCACAGTGCAGGCTTCGGATTCCTTAACAAGCTTCATACCTCAGTCCAACGGTTCCCTTCTGTTCGCGCAGCTGTAACCCGCCGGCGGCCTCAATCCGCGCCACTTCTCCTTTCAACAAGGCGGGGGATCTGATCGCCGTGGCCCTGTCGGGCAGCTAGAGGGTAGCCATCCGTCGGCGTAACACCACCACCGGCTACATCCAGAAGCCTGTCGCGGCTGTGGCGGTTGAGGGGGCGCTCACTGCTGTGGTCTGGGATGAGTGATCCCCGGGGCGCCGCCGCCTCGGGAGCTGCTGCCGCACGTGCAGCGAGAACGAAAGTCCAATGCTCCCAGGCGACGTCTAGGTGGCTACACAGTCGGCCTCACGGGCTAGCATTTGCGATAAGCCTACCGTCAAGAAGCTCAACAACACGCACGCGCGTCTACTGCCCTACGTATCACTCTTCATGAAGCACGTTGAATGGTTGCAAGGCGAACGAGAAGCCGCGAGATCAAGCTCTCTTGCCACGTTGCGCCTCGAAGACTATGGTGATCGGCTCGATGTGGTGTATGCTAGCTCCTTCCAACTTGAACGTACTGTTCTCTACAGCGTGATCCGTTGTCTTGGACCTACGCTGAGCCAACAAGCATTCTTCGTGGCGTGCCATGTTATGGGTGCACTTTGCTGCGGTGTGGCATCAGATCCGCCTTCGCGGCGCACCACTTCGCCAGAGTCCAATGCGTCGAGTGAGGTCCTTGCGCTCCCCAAAGGTGACGTCGTCCAAGAGAGCAGACGCTGCAGGACGTTGTTTCGCCTGTTCCGGAAGCTTGCGGAGCTTTTGCGATATGGTTGTTTGGCCCTCACGAAGCGGCTTGCAGTTTTCCTCGACCACAAAAACCTCTACGCCGAACCAGCTCGGTCCATTCGTCCTGTCTACCCGGAGCATACACATAGCATAAATGTAGCCTTCGAGTTTCAGCCACCGGCCATGCAGATTCGGACGGACTCTGACTCCTCCAATGGCCTAGCGTACAGATCCATCCCCCTTCACCCCCGCTTCGCCCCGAGGCATCAGGTCCAGAAGCAGGGCTTACGTACCACGGTTCACTCAGCGAGCGCAGGCCGAGAGGCCACAGACCAAATTTGTACAGCTAGCTGCGGTGTGGATATTCGACAAGATGGAGACTGCGTAGAAAACCGATCGCTGACTAGAGTTTGATGGAAGACGAGTTGATGTAGAGAGACATCCTGTGTATTTTTGTCCAGTTTCAGGACTACGCTGTGCCATTCTCAACATCCGGCACAGCTCAAACCCATCGTCAGTGCCCACACCCTCTACCTTTCTTTGCGTTGAAAGCTGCGGCTCTAGCATGAGACCTCACGAGCTAGCGCGCACGTTAGTAGATTTTTCTGACCTTCCACCCAGCACCAGCCACCCTAGCAACACCGAAGAGCGCTGCACTTGCTAGGTAGAAAGCGCCACAGAACCAGATAAGCCTGCTGAAGTCCTGCTTCTCTCCTAAGATAGCTCCAGAGATCGGGATACCGATCAATGTTGCACTGCTCACAAACAGATACGCCGTACCGTACTTGCTCGCATACTCGTCCGTTGCGCAAAGCTGGCTTATACAAACAGGAGTTAGACTATGAGCCGTTCCGCTGAGCAGTCCGAACAGCACAGCGAAGGCGACGATAGAGCCAGTGCTGTCAGCTCTAAGCCAAAGCGCGAGAATGACGACAGCGCACGGCAGGCTGCTCAGGACCATAGTGTTAAACCTGCCCCAGCGGTCTGCGATCCAGCCGGGTACTGTGCGGCCCAGGACTTGGGCAGCGTTCAAGAGAGCCACAAGTTGGTAGCTCAGCGCGTTTGGAACGCCGTGAGCGAGGGCATAGGTCGTAATGTAGGATGGTGGGATCATGCAGGAAAGGTCGATGGCATAAAGTGCTAGGATTGTGATGAGAAAGCGGCGGTCCTTGAAAGACTGGAGATTTATTTTATACTTGACGGTATGCGATGGCGGAAGACGAGTTTTCATTAGTATAGTCGCAACGATTCCGAGACCCAGAGAAATAAAACTGATCACGCGCACCGTCCATGGAAATCCGATAAGAGGGACCAGCTTCTCAAAGAGGATCGGGAAGATGATACCGCCGACTGGACCGGCCGTGGTAATTATTGCGGTTGCCATTCCTCGCCGACGAAAGAACCAGTGACCGACGGTGGCGAGGCTTGTAGTCCATAGCATAGACGCGGAGAGTCCGCCAAGCACGCCGAAACTAAGTAAGAACTGGTAGTATTCTGGATTCTGTAAGATTCAAGTACGTCTGCCTTATGCTTATCTCTGAGAATGGGAAGAGCAGCCTCACCGGCGCTTACGGAGAATGCCATTAGCGCTCCGACGAAACCGAGGAAGCCAGGTATAAGGAGGGGCCTGAGCCCGTAGGCATCGAATACCGGTCCTGCATGTAGATCTATTAGATTTATTGTAAGGCAACCTTGGAACTCTGAATCTTTGGAACGCTACGTACCTACCAGCACGCCCCCAAACACCATCAGAAACATGAATAACGAGAAGATCCACCCAATCTGCTGGCTGGAGTGGTCCTTAAGTTGGTTGTTGGTTACATAGGCCTGGAAAGTGCCAGTACTGTTCAGCAAACCGGAGCTGGGTAGTAGAGCACAGAAAGCACCGAGCAGGATCCTGTAGGCCTGCCATCCGCCCTCGATTGACAACTCTGCCTCATCCTCCCGGCGTAATCCAAGTTCCGAAGTATGTAGTGGATTTTCGGACAGCGAGGCCTCGTCGGACTGCTGGGCCGCGTCAGGACCTCCCAGCCGGTATGTATAATCTTGAAAGCCGGAGAGAGATTCCAGATGTGTGTTATCTGGCTGTTCGATTGAATGTGGGCGCTGGTGGAGCACGATGCTTTCACGGATTTGGGGAAGCGACATGGTTGAGATCGATCGCGGTAGGAAAGAGGAAACGCGAACGCGGACGACTAGAGATTGATAGATATGTTTGTAGTGGAAGTACTATCTTCTGAGGTTGTCTTTAATGGGCCGCTTCGATTGAGACAGGCTGACGTAACAATTACGGGCACAGCAGCTCTTTGAGGCACTACGGCAGTCACGTGACTAAGAACGTCACCTGCCCTATATACCGCAGCTGCTTAGGCCCAAAGACGGAGATAGATTTTAGTGAGAGAAGCTTTCGCATGCGGCAGATATCGGCGCCATAAGATGCACAGATACGTAGTTGCATCGTCGACGATTCTGCAAGCTATTGTTATCGTCTTTATTCATTAAGAAGATTGTCTAATATCTGCAGTTCAACCCACAAGATTTCTACTAGATATTGCATCTTCAATACAAGTATGCCGCAAGCTCTTGAGCACGCGTAGTAGTTCCTGGTTCTCGCCTCGTCCGGTAGTATATCCTTATCGCCGAAAAATTCTTGCGGAACATAGCTAATAAGGGCAGCGAAGCCCTCCGATTATACACCTAGGATATGCACTTTAGCGTTATATCTAAGGTAAGTATAGCTAGGAGGTCGAAGGTGGTTATATCGAAAACCTTAATAGTCTTATCTACTCTAGCTATAGCAAAGCTCCTTCTATCGGCGCTAATACTAACGCTCTTAATACCTCTATTGTACGCCCTAAACTCCTTTATAAAATCTTAGCCATCTTCTTCTAAAACTTTCCAACATCGTTAATAGAGGCCATGATAAGGAAGTCGTTGCAGCCCGCCGGAGATCTTCAGCGCCAACTAATGCGTGTTAAACACCGTCACCATGAAAATTGATTCAGACCGCGGCTGCGGACCAGCCGCAATTGGAAGAAATTAGTAGCTCGCTCGAGTAGTAGTGTGATCCATACCTACATTACCGCTCCAGAACTGCTAGTCTTCCTCCCGGGCCGTCAAGACTTACGATCAGACCACCGTGTAACTGTGCTGCACCGACATAGCGGAACTTGGATTTCTCTACCAATGGGACTCTTTATCACATTTGTAGTTCCGGAAAGCCCGACATATCTCATCCGGAAGGATAAGCTGGACGCAGCACTTCATCCACTCAAACGTCTGAACACCGCCAAGGTGGACAGCCAGGCCGCACTAGAACAATTACGTCTATCAAGTCCTCCTAGAGCAACAACAAGTGCATAACAACGAACCTTCGTATATTGACTGTTTCAAAGCTAGCAATTGATGTCGGACATCCATCGTCGCCTTCACGAACACGGTGCCACAACTCTTTGGTCTGACTCTATTGGCTAATGCTAGCTGTTATCTGCACATTGTCGGCATGGAAGCAAGCCTGAGCGGCATGTTTCTGACAATCGGCATTGTACTAGGTTTGCTCGCAAATGTCGTCCGGCATTGGCTGGTTTATTGGCGGGTTTTCCACAGGTATCTTTGGAATAGCTCTGCCTTACGTCTTCAATCCGGACGAGGGCAACCTGAGGGCCAAGACTGGATTATCTACGCCGGCCTCTGCGCCATTGCGTTAGTGGTTAGCTGGCTCATCGTACCGGAAATGAAAGGTCGCTCTGCTGTGGAGATCGACGGGATGTTCGAACTCGGACTTCCAGCACGACAGTTTGAGAGATGGCCAAATGACAGTGACACAAGAGACAACAGCCTCGTGTAGGATCAATATCCTAACATATATGTATGAAAGCAACAGGAGTGATTAGCGCAATTCTTATGCCGCTTGCACCCCACACAACTCCACTTCCCATATCTATCATCCTATCATAACTCATCAAGCCAAGGAATCGAGCTCTGCGCCCCCGTTCTCTGCACCGTAACCGCAGCCGCCCCAACCGCAAACCCAATTGCATCGTCGATGTCAAACCCCCTGAAGGAATATGACCGCTTCGCGGGATTCGCAACCTGCACCGCGTACGCGCCGACGAACGTGTCGCCCGCGGCAGTTGTGTCGACCACACTCTCAACCTTGCGAGCCGCGGCGCGTTTGCCAGGAAGATTGCTGGTGCGGCGGGCGGCGGTTTGGTAGAAGACGCCCTAACAACACTCGGCGTCAACCGTGGCCTTGGCTGAGCGGCGATAAGGGGCTGGAGGATGACGTACCTGAGCCCCGAGCGTGATGACCACGTTCCTGACGCCGCGGTCGAGAAAATCGGATGCCACGGCCGTCCAGTCTGTATTGGCGTCCACGGATGCTGAGTCTCGGCCTGAGAGGATGGCGGCTTCGGTCTCGTTCATGATCAGATGGTCGAGGTTGCGGTAGGCTTCGTCGGGGAGGGGGACGGCGGGCGCAGGGTTGAGTATTACCTAGGATGGGTCTTGAGTAACGGGTTGGTAGGGGGGAGGAGTTGGGCTGGACGGACCTGTTTACCCTTCGCTTTGGCCACTTTGATGTTGTGGAGGACCTGGCTGTGTCAGTTTCTCTGCTCGGGATGGGGCATAGACTGGGCAAGACACGTGGAAGAGAGAATCGGGCAAATGTATCGTTTGAGCAAACACAGGTAGAGGCAGAGCAGCAGACTCACAGCCTCGATCGGAAACTCTAGCTGAAACACGACCACCGACGCATCATCCGGCACGAGGTTGTCCTTCCCTGAAAACGAATAGTTTGCATTTGGCGAGAACATGATTCTGTTCTCGCCACTCTTCTCCTCAACGATAATAACTGACACGCCCGTCTTCTGGCCTGCCAGCCTCCTCACGCTTCCAACATCAACCCCATCTCTTTCCAGTCCCTTTAGCAGATCGCCCGCAAACTGATCCTGCCCCACCGCCCCGATCATCCGCACTTGCATTCCAGCAACCTTCCGCGGAGGCCGACCATCCTCCTGCCGGCGCTGAGATAGCCTTGCACACGCAACGGCCTGGTTCGCGCCTTTCCCGCCGGAGCCGATGTCGAAGGACGAGGCTGTCAGAGTCTCTCCAGCGGCGGGGAGGCGTGGGACACGGCTGACGAGGTCGACGTTCAGGGAGCCGATCACGGCGATTGTGGGCGAGGAAGCCATTAAGTTTTAAACGGGAATGGCTTCCTGCGGAAGACAGACGTAAAGGGCGGTCGAATGGATGTCGTCGAATATCACGTGAGTAATCACGTGGAAGCTAGGGGGTGCGGATGGGTGCAACGTCCGACGTCGTTTGCTCTCCAGACTGAATTGAGCTGGGGAGTTGCGAGTCTGTCTACATTCTCTTAGTGACCCCGCATCATGCGAAGTAGAGCATACACTGTTGCCGAGGTCTCACTGCTGAGACGGGACGCGGTTGAAAATAATATCAGAACCTCGAGCAGGTCAAGTTGACGGCGGACTGCCGCTTACCATGTACGGGAAGCCGGAACGAGAGTCGTTATAGATGCGTCGAAGCAGCCATCCGCAAAGCCGGCTGGAATGGGTTACGGGCGAAATCCTGTCTCGGAGGTGTTGCTCTCATAGGGTAGCTGAAGTATTCTAGCTAAACGACGAGTGCCATCACGCTAGCCTCCATGCCAAAGCTGACGGCCAGATGCTCTGAGGTAAACTAAGTTCCTGATATATTTGTCAATCAGTCTTGGTCACAGTGCGACCTAATGAGTTTCTCATGCCGGTTGCTTCAGCCCCACGGAATATGCCTCTGGAATTAGGATGAGAAGCGGTACGGCTATCCTCGACTTCTCTCTCAGGCCGGCTAGTCGTGTAGAACTTGCCAATGGTTCATGAATTTTCTCCTTCCAGCGAGATCTTCCGACGCTGCGTTTCTCACCCTATGCCCTCAATTGCGTCAGAAGACACGTGCTCGTGAAGTGAATGCTGTTCTTGTGCCACCTTGCACATTCGATAGCAAACAATAGGCGTCAGCCATCCCGTCTCAGTTTTCCGTCTCAGTGACCATAGTCAGTCTGTACTCGCAGAACAGTCGCCGACTCTTTTGCACCGCCAATATGTGCATTCCCTTCTGCTGGCCGTTCACCGATATTGAACTCGAGGATCCTCCAAAGAGAAAGCACGCGCAGACGCAGGTGCAGGCGATTCCCTTGCACTATCGCGGTTACTATCCGGTGAGTACTTGACTGTGAACGTCGAACGTCCTACGTCCTTTTCGCTTCGTGTTTGTCATCCGAGGCAACAACGTCACGCGTCACACAATCACACAATCACCGTCAACCTGCCAACTTCAAACAACCTTCCACCTCACCACCCTTCACGTCCTATTCCTCGAACCATCTCACACAGACTCAACCTCCGAACCCCGCTGCAATGGGCGAACAACTTCACAACTACGCAGACTGGGTGCGCCAGCGCAACGCGCGCCAACACGAAGCGCCGCAGCCCTTCGACAACAAACTTCACACCTACACCTACCTGCCCAACGCGAACGTCGGCGCCGTCCCTTTCGCAGCCGCAGCGCCGGATCCCCAAACTTACGCCGCATGTTACCCCGAACACATCTGGCCTCAAGCATATCAATATCAAAACTATGCGCAGGCCTGGGCTTACCCACAGTACAACCAGGGCTACCACTTCGCGCCGCAAGCCAACCTCCAACCTCAAGCCGCCGCCGGCGGTCCATTCTACTACCTCCCGCAAGGTGCCGTCGCGCAAGCCGCACCAGCAGCTCAGAACCGCGGCGCATACGGCTATCACCACCTCTGGTACGGCCGCACCAAGGCCGAGGTCGACGCGGACAACCTTCGCATGGCAAGGGACGAAGGTGTCAACAACGTGAACGATCTTGCGCCGCACAACCCGAGAGACGACCAGCAGTTCTGGGTGCAGGAGCTGGATGGCCAGTTTTCGCTGAGGACGTACTACACCATTGAGAACGATCTGAGGCCGGGTCGCTGGCAAATCAACCCGCAGCATGGCAACCTGTTCTACGTCCGTTCTGCGGCGAACTAGGCGCAATGCGAGTGAGGTATGTTCGTCCAGTCTCTGGCTTATGTTGTGGGTCGTTAATCCAAGCAAAGCCTCCCGCTCTACCAATCATCCCCTTCTACGACATCATGAGCCATTCGGAGTTCAGGTTCTTCGAGGAATATGCTTGCCTTTCACGAGTTGCAAGAAATGAGATATGGCTGCTTTCGCAAGCGTGGGATGTGATTTTCTTGACTTCCTTCGCGGATGCTGCACTGCCGCTTTCTGTTGTCGATTCCTTCCTTCTCCACTCCCTGCTTTTCGACCTTTCGGCTGCACCAGTCGGCATCGCAGTGGCACCTCAGAGGCTCATTTGTTTCCCACTTTCAGACGATGGTTTCAAGCGTAAAATGATTGATGCGGCGGTCCTCTTCTCATGCGACAGAAAACACTCCTGCGTTTGGTTCGGTCGGTTTCTTCGGCAGCGTACGATCGGGTTAAGGCAAGAAGCAGTACTCATGTGTAACTACAAAAACGACAAGCAGAGAATTCTTGAAAGCCGAACGAGTGTTGCAACATGGACTGGATAAACGCAGTGACTCTACGGCTTAGCTAGTAGATGCTCCCTAAGGTTGTCTTGTACGAATGCTCAGACTTTGAATTATAACCTGTATCACCCAGCAAGAGCTTTCTGATGAACCGCAAAACGCCCAATTCTCTCCGGGACTACCCTTCTACTAATCTCCCAATCACATCTTTTCCCCTTGTATAGTCGCAACCACCTTCCTCGAGTGCCTCGCCGTCCTGAACTCCAAGTACCATATCCCCTGCCACGTGCCCGTCGCCAACCTTCCATTCGTGATAGGTATCGTGACGCTTGCGCCTATGAGGGCGGACTTGATATGTGCCTGCGGTCGAGACAAGCGTCAACACGAGTCTTCATCAGAGACGTCACACCACGGTTCCAGGCAGCCCTCCCTCATACCCCCTCACCCGCTCACTCCCCTCCCCCCACCAAAGCAAACAACCCAACTCACAGGCATATCATCCTCCCCCTCCGCGGCATGCCGATAAAGCTTCCCCGCCTTGTCGTACGGCACGATCCGCTCCAGCGCATCCGTCATGTCCTCCCTAACCTCAGAGTCCCAGTTCTCGTTCAGGCTCAGCGCCGCGCTCGTGTGCTGCAGGAACAGATTCAGGAGGCCCGTTTTGTAGTTCTTGAGCTCCGGGAGCTGCTTCTCGATGTCCGCGGTGACGAGGTAGGAGCCCCGGCTCTTGGGCGGCAGGGAGAGCGTCTTTTGGAACCAGGACATCGTTGCGGGGGGTGGTGGTGGGGGGCAGCAGGCGGGGAGCGGTTGGAGGGAGGAAGGCGATGAGGTGAGGGCCCGGAAAGGGAGTTTGAGGAGGCCGATGAAGGCGCCGGGGAAAAACGCTGGGATGAAGAGGAGGAGGAAGAGGAGGGTGCTGCTTGTCGTTGGCGTCGGGAGAGTTGAGGTTGTCGGCATGATTGGGGGTTTGGTGTTCGCGATGTGCGACGTCATAGGCGAGGGGCACTCAAATGGTGGGCTGCTCAGGCTGCAAGGCAAGCTTTGCGAATCGAGGTGACCGCTTGATTTGAGATGTTTTAGTTCGTTACTTGTTCAATTTATTCTCATTGTAGATAACATCTGCTGAGGTATCGCGGCATCTGCAGGCCGGCGCTGACACCAGGCAGCAGCCAAATAGCAGCAGTACCCTTTAGACGTCCATGCTCCAGGCCAGATTGCCCGGCCGTATGGCTCTCTAGGAGTGGACTAATTGTATACAGACTGCTGCGGCGGGAGGCCAACCAGCCTCTCACCATTGCTGGGCCTGAACTTCTCCTCCTTGAACCAGACATGCGCCGTCTTGGCCATCTCCTCAACTTCCGAAAACTCGAATTCCTTCTTCGGCAGAAGATCATAGACACCCTGAGAATAGTCGGGGGAGATGTTGTAGCTCTGAGCAAGGAACCTCTTCTGTATGGGTGTGAGCGTCACCCTTCAGAAGACATGAACATAGGGACACCTATCGAGTTGACTTACCTGAATGATGGGATACTTGACAAACCGCAGCATCTTCGCCGTGTTGCTGATCGTGTTCTTCTTGGCCTGCTCGCTCATGACCCTTGTCCACAGCTCCTTCGGCTGCTCATACTCGCTCATCTTGCCCTCATGGTAGTAGTGGCTCTTCCTGCTCATGATGTTGTCCGACACCGCATATGGCGTCTCAGCGACATCCGGTCGGAACTTATGCACGAAACTGTTCGGCGCATACTGCTTGTTGCCAGCGTGGTTCGCGTCGACGCGCATCGGTCCGTCAAAGTTCAGCGATGAATATGACTGCGCCATAAACGGGCAGTTGACGGGGATCTGATGTAGATTCACACCGATACGGTGGTACTGCGCGTCGCGATAGAAGAACATGCGGAACTGCAGCAGCGGATCTGGAGAGTCCTCGATGCCGGGAACCATGCTTCCGGGTGAGAAGGCGGCCTGCTCGACATCACGGTGGAAGTTCTCGGGGTTCTTGTTCAGGACCAGGCGGCCGAACTCTTGCATCGGGAACTGCTTCCTCGGCCACACCTTGGTGACGTCGAAGGGGTCGAAGCCGAGCTTCTCGGGATCGGCATCCTCAGGCTGCATGACTTGTACCATGGCGGTCCACTCGATCTCCTCGCCGTTCTCGATGGCCTCCCACAGGTCACGCTTGGAGTAGTCCGGGTCCTCGCCGCTGATGCGGATAGCCTCGGGTTCGGTGAACTGCTTCTGACCGTGCTTGGCGATGAAATGGTACTTGATATAGACGAACTTGCCCTGCTGGTTGACCCTGGTGCTAGGTCAGCCTCGGCTCCGAAGGATGTTGTTTGGTTTACATACCACTTGAAGGTGTGGCATCCGTATCCGTGCTCATTGCGCCAGCCCTGCGGCGTACCGTGATCACTGAAGAACATCAAGCCGGCATGGTTGCCCTCGGGCGTGCAGCCGAGCAGATCGAATAGCGCGTCGTAATCCAAAAGGAAGTTCTTGGGGTTGCGCGATTGCGAGCGGATGACATCTGGTCCTTGGATGGGGTCACGACAGAAGAACACAGGCTACAAGATGTCAACCAAACGCCCACTTGGCGCCAGTCTAGGAAGCTTACAAAATTCAGTCCGACAATGTCATAGTTTCCTGAAGTTCCATGCGGTCAGTAAAGCTTCCACTCGCACATGTTCTGTGCCCTGCAGGAGACTGATAAGAAGACTCGCCTTCCATTGTGTAGAACTTGATCGCGAACCCGCGAGGATTGCGGGCTTCATCGGGGAACTCGCGGCCAAGCGTGACGGTGGAGAAGCGGATGAAGATGGGCGTTTTCTCGCCCACGCTCTGCAAGAAGTTTGCTTTCTATCGAGAACAATCATGTCAGTTGGCAAAGATAGCATCGATGCCGAACAGTCCACATCTCGCAGGAAATTGAGAAGAAACTTACCGTAAGATCTGATACCGACTTCGTGCATTCGAAATAGCCGAAAGCGCCAGAGCCGCAGGGATGGACCATGCCTGTGGAACAAGGGCAAGTCAGTGGGAGAAGCTTAAATCCACCCGGGCAACCCTAATTGGCTCCACAGCGTCAAGCCATCCCTCAAGTCAACGACGGCCGACGACTCCGGTGCGCGTTAAGGGTCACGTGGTCCATCAGTCAGGAAAGGCGCATTGCTTACGTTCCAGGTTCTTTGAGCGATTGAATGTCTGCTGCTTCCTGTAGCCATCATCAGCTCCCAGGACGCGTAGTCATGTCGCGAGGCGGATAGCTTACTGGAACAAGAAGATGTCGCTGGCAACAGGAATGCCACCGATGGTCTTGCTGTGAGCTCTGTGTGCTTGTCAGCCTCGAACACATCCGACATGCGACCGACTCACGGATCTGGCCACGGAATGCCCTCGTTGTTCGTAAAGTAAGCTCCGTCGTCCGCTCGCTTTCCACCTTGCACAGTGCCCGTGATCTTCGCCGCGATGTCAGCGGGACCCTCGTTGGCGCTCATCATATGGCTCATGCGATTGCTGCGGCCTTCGCCCGTCGCGCCTCCAATGGCCATCATCGTGGCCTGGAGCGGATGCTGCAGAGGATCCGTCTGGTTGGAATTGCTGCCGGTGCTGCTTGGTGCCATTGCTGCGGGAAGAACGGATTTGATCGATTCTGGAAGTTTTGAGGTGAGGTCCATAGGAACGTCCATCCAAGGGAGATGGACGCGGCGGTGGAGGTCCTTTTTGATTCAGAAGAGGGGCCATTGATGCTTCCAGGCATCTTCGGAGTGATGCTGTCGTGACGTCCATGCACTTTGTAGCTGTCACTCGCATCCCATCTTGGGGGTCAGGCACACCTGAGCTGCAGAAGCCAATGGCAGAGCTTGGATTATGTCCCTCCATCGATAGTGGGGGCGAAGCCGAAAACGGTGGACGGCATTTGTCCGCATGGGATTTGGAGAACGCAGGTTTCACGCGTCTCGCGCGTTCTGCGACCCTTGAATCGCCTCCGGACTTGGGACGCATCGCGGTGCCCAGGCCAATGGCGCCAGTTAGCTGCAGCAGCTGCCAACGAATGCGCCCTTAGCCCCCAGCCCACTGCGTGGAGAGCAGTTTGGGCTCTTTTGGATCAGCATCATTGATCGAACGGTTGCCAATAAGCGTGCGGCTGGCGCATGCGCGAAGTCACGAGAAGACCCGAACGAGAGCGAGATGCAACAGAGCGGAGGCGTCACCGATGCAACTCGTATGTATCGTAGGTTGGGTTGTGCTAGAACACGACGGGCGAAACACCACAATTGCTTGACTCGCAACCTTCTCGCTCGCAGCTCACAGCTTATGGCTAATGCTGTGTCGATTCCTCCTTGTCTGCCACAAGCCTTTGTGGACAACCAATACGACCACCTGACTGTAGTCAACAGAAGCATCCACCAGCTTCTCCAGCCATGCCAAAGCCTGAACCCAGACTATCCCCATGCTGTACTCATGGGCGACAAAGGCCGACTAGTAAAGCAATCGTGCCATACAAGATCCGTCTCTGAGCAGACTCGGCAGCAATGCGACTGCTTCCAATCTATTACTAGGTACCCTTGCAGCCTCAGCAACGGGTCGACGTCTCGCGCGTCTGCCCCATGTTGCTGCAAAGTTGCTTCAGGAGTAACACGGATGAGTGCCTCCTGGTCCATTGGTACTTCTCAGTCACCGGTGTATCTCTTCTTTGGTCGCGACTTGCAGTCGCGTTGTAGGTGACCTCTCTGCCCGCATTTATGGCATACAATATTGGAGCTTACTCCGTCTGCATTGCGACCGCCGCCGCTAGAGATCAAAGACGAGCCGTTGAGCCCTACCGCCTTCGTTCGGCGTTGGTAAGCCAGTCTTGCAGATTCAGCTTCCTTGGCTGCCTTCTTCGATTTGCGCTGGGCGCGGACTTCGGCTGCGGCTCCTTTGCGTGCAGACCTGATCACTGAATTCAAATCATCCCCATCGCCATCATCGTCGGACGCAGATGTTGGTGACTCGGCATCAGAAGTAGAGGCCGGCGTGGCGCCATTCTGAAGCTGCTGGGATTTGATGGGCCTGCCGAAGCTTCTCCTACCCACTGTCGCTTTCTCATCATAGTCTTCGTCGTAACCGCCAGCGCCATCAATGGCCGCAAAACCTGCGTTCACAACCACTAGACTACTCTGCCCGGCCGCATCCGTGTCTGGCTCCCTGAAGCTTAACACCCACCGAGTATCACCTGCGGCGGCGGCTTGTCGTTCAATAGCTTGGACGCGCTTCTCCTCTTCGGCAGCTAAGGCAGCTTGTAGAGCTTCGAGGTCTGTGGTGGGTCTCGCAGGGCCGGCACTTGGTGGGGTAGTGGTTGTAGGTGAGAGGCGACGACGCTTGTTTGGTGGGCCGGTAGGTGGTTGAGGGGAAGAGGGTGTGGCCGCTGCACGTTGCATAAACTATATAGAGCCTCAGTAAAGGAATAGCAGATCTAGACTTCGTGGCGAGCTACCTTCATTGTCAGTAGTCGGGAAGACATAATCTTCCCTGTGCCCGCCGGGGCCGGCATAGCTGCTGATTGCTGCGCGCTGGATCAAACGTGGATGCGGAAGAGTGGACAGATATGGCGATCTGTGTTAGAGCTGTGGCGCGGCTTTTCGGGCTCTACCGTGTTCCCATCAACGTCGAAATGGAAGGTTCAAGGCAAAGGTTGTCAAGCAACTTTGTGAAACTGCGGAACTCGCTGGCGCACGGACCAAGCGAACTCACATCACCGCCAACAACAGCAGCAAGAGCTCCCTCTCACTTACACAGCATTGCAGCCCCGTCTGCAACCCACAATACACAATGCTCCCGCCGACAGCGCGCAGCCGCATTCCGGCGCTTCTCGCCCGCCAAATCCGCTACAGAAGTACCTCCGCGCCCTCCAGCACCTCCGTCAACCAGATCCCCGCCAACGACCCCAATACCGACCGGCCACCGCCACAGAATGTCTCAGCGACGAACGAGATGGCTACCTCATCGGAAGGCAGCTTCGACAAAGTGCTGCAGGAGTCGGTCAAGGAGGCTGAGAAGATGAGGACCATGCAGGCGCCGAACAGGAAGGAAATCTGGAGTCACTCGCAGCAGCCAAGGGCGAGGGCTATGGTTGGGCCGAGGTTTGAGCAGACGATTATGGCGGATCAGGTATGGCAGCCAGAACCGGCGTGGTAGCAGGAGAAGAGAATAGGTAGGGAAGCTTAACGCCGAACCAGAGCTAACTGTGAACCCCCAGCCCCGACCTCTTGCGGCAATTGAGCTCATTAAGAAGCAACCTGTACGCTGGACGTCCAAGCGTATGGCGTCCTGCGATGGCGGTGGAGGGCCGTTGGGTCACCCTCGCATATTCATCAATGTCGATAAGCCGCAAGTCTGCGCGTGCACGTATTGCGGCGTTCCATATGTAAGGTCCTCCGTTTAATGTGATATTATCGTATGCAGAAGTTAAATCTGACACCTCTCAGGCGAGGGAAGAACATAGGAAGGCTATTGAATCCCTGCCAAGTCATAACCGGCCATATCCGCTTGAGCCTACCGGCCAAGTCGGGGAAGTGCAGATTGAGCAAAACATCACAGGCAAGATTTTGGAGCAACGGTAGTGGACCAAGAGTTGCCTGCTTGTATATATGTCAAGTCTATTGCGTTCAGCCGTCAATTTCCCTCGCCCGCCTGCCAACCCCAACCACGTGACTGAGTTCAGTGCGAGAGAAGAGTCTCAATGTCCGATAGGGGACGGATGGTGTCAACTCGCAGGTCGCCTTCTTTCCCGAACGATCTTGTGACTGTTCGCCTTCAAGAAGGGCTGATGTCACAAGACCCACTTATTCGCGCAAGTTGTGGCTCAATAGATTTGCCATCAGGAGCGGCAGGACCGTTTCGTATACAGACGATTTCCCGTGAATCATCCGACTTTCTCGCCGTTCTCGATGATCATGTACTCGTCGCCGACCATCATCTTCATCTGGCTCTCGTCCATGAAGTTGTCGTGGTCACTAGTCAAAGCCTTGGAGTCTTTGTCAAACAGGAATTTAGCCAGAGATATGTAGTCTTCCACAGATATTAGTCCGAAAGCTTCCGTGAACAACGATCTGCCGCGTACCGGGAAACACGAAGGTGCAGATAGCGTCGTAGGGTAGCAATTGTGCCTTGCCCCTAAGTATATCCTGGATGATGATACGATCCCGTTGAAGATGATATGTCTGGAGAATTAGCTACGAAGTCTAACCACTATACTAGGTCACTGATCGGACTGAGGCTTCGAGTGTGACCTACCAGGCTGTATGTGACGATGCCATGTCTCTGCAGCACAGGAGCAGCCATCTGAGCGTGGACATTGTTATAGTGCTTGATGAAGTCGTCATCTGACATGCCGTCTTTCTTCTTGACCATTATCGTAGCCTTGACCACCTTTCGGAAGCCAGTGGTGTTCGGATAGCCAGCTTCAAGAACCATATCGAATTATTTGCGTAGATGGTCTGTTGTAAGGAGGACCGACCGCCCAAGCCTTCGGCTGAGTGTCCGATTGCTCTCGGCAAACCCACCGACCCGGGATGACGACCGTGATGGCCGTCGTTCAATGCGACGCGTCGACCGCGCATGGTTTACGGCACTGACACCCTGCCAAACTGATACATGCGAGACACCATCGTGCTCCCTCTTCCAAACAACTTCGCCTTGGTCGCACCTGCCCGGTCGATTGCAACAGCGCTGCCTGCTGCGCTGCCTGCTGCTGTTGCCTCCAGGACTGCCACCTGAATGCGCTTTGCTTCAAACAAACAGCTCCGGCATGTCGTCCTTCTAGCTTGCGGATCGTCTTACGGAGGGTTCTCACAGGGTCTTCGTGGGATAACAAGCGTTGCTGCCTTCCGCTCAAGCCACGTATTATCAGCGAGAACTCAGTCTCCACACCAGTGTTCATCCTTGCCACTTCAGCCTGTTTGCCCTCGAAAGCCTCAATTCAGGCGTGTGTCAGCAGGCTTCTGTCCTATAAGTGAGTCGATCTGGTTTGACACGGTCTATTCCAGTGGCCCGCCGTTGTTCGACCTTCCAGCGCATACACTGTTTGTATCGTGCTTCAAGGCATTATAAAACACCGTCTGCTTACGTTTTCCCGGCTTACCGCTCACTAACTCTGGTTGCCAGACATCCGCTATCAGTCCGCAGCTGTCGTTGCCAATATGAGCGAGCCTTTGAACACCCGCTCCGTTCCGCCTGCGGAACGGCTTGCCGACGAGCTGGAACGGCCAGCGCTCGACAACCGTCTCTATAGAGTCATCCGACTACCAAATCAGTTGGAGGCTTTGCTCATACATGACCCGGACACGGACAAAGTCAGTGCGGCGCTGGACGTCAATATTGGGAGCTTCAGCGATGCAGACGATATGCCGGGCATGGCGCATGCCGTGGAGCATCTCTTGTTCATGGGAACGGAGAAGTACCCGAAAGAAAATGCCTACAACGAGTATCTTACCAGACGCTCCGGCTATTCTAATGCCTACACTGCGTCTACCTCAACCAACTACTACTTCGAACTTTCAGCGTTTTCTACGCCGTCGAATAGCGTGGCGTCATCTGGCTCAAGCGCCCGGGCGGATGTTTCCTCTATCAGGGTTGAATCCCCTCTCTACGGCGCGTTGAACAGGTTTGCTCAGTTCTTTGTTGCACCATTGTTTCTAGAAGAGACTTTAGACCGTGAACTCAAGGCTGTGGATTCTGAAAATAAGAAGAATCTACAGAGCGACACTTGGCGCCTTCATCAGCTCAACAAGTCATTATCGAACCCCAAGCACCCATTCTGCCACTTCTCGACCGGCAATTACCAGACTCTGCATGATGAGCCTCTCGAGCGTGGCGTCAAGATCAGAGACGAGTTCATCAAGTTTTACCAGAAGAACTATTCAGCGAACCGCATGAAGCTGGTCGTACTTGGTCGGGAAAATCTAGACGAGCTAGAGAGTTGGGTGCAGGAGCTGTTCTCTGAAGTCAAGAACAAGGACCTTCCGCGCAACCGCTGGGACGATGTTGCCCCGTACACAGAGAACGAACTTGCTATGCAGGTGTTCGCAAAGCCAGTCTTGGACACTCGGATACTTGATATGTATTTCCCGTATCAGGACGAGGAGGAGTTATACGAGTCTCAACCGGGTCGGTATCTTAGCCATCTCATTGGACATGAGGGCCCAGGCAGTATCCTTGCATACATCAAAGAAAAAGGCTGGGCGAACAGTCTGGCTGCAGGCCCGATGCCATTATGTCCCGGATCCTCGTTGTTCAGCATTTCTCTCCGTCTTACCGAGGATGGGCTGAAGCACTACCAAGAAGTGGCCACAACTGTCTTCCAGTACATTTCCATGTTGCGCGAGAGCGGTCCTAAGGAATGGATTTTTGACGAGATCAAGGGCATGAGCGTGGTGGATTTCAAGTTCAAGCAGAAGAGTCCAGCGAGCAAGACGACAAGCGGACTGAGTAGCGTGATGCAGAAGCCATTGCCTCGACAGTGGTTGCTCAGCGGTTCAAGTCTCATCCGCAAGTTCAACCCGGAAGCTATCAGCAGTGGCCTCTCGTATCTGCGGCCTGATAACGTCCGCCTCACCGTCGTAAGCCAAGACTTTCCGGGCAACTGGGATAAGAGAGAACGCTGGTACGGCACAGAATACAGGTACGAGAAGATGTCAGAGGACTTCCGGACTAGGCTTGAAAAAGCTGCTCGCAGCACTGCCGAGGAACGCCCGGCAGATCTACATCTCCCAGAGAAGAACGAGTTCATCCCTACCAAACTTGAAGTGGAGAAGAAGGAAGTTACTACGCCGGCGAAGACACCCAAGCTCATACGGAACGACGAGAATACCCGGACGTGGTACAAGAAGGATGACCGATTTTGGGTACCGAAAGCCAATGTACAAGTCACTTTGAGAACTCCGCTCGCGAACCTTACTCCGGAAACTGCAATGATTACCCACTTGTACAAGAACTTGGTCAACGATGCATTGACAGAATACGCCTACGCGGCGGAAATATCAGGTCTTGAGTATAACTTGTCCAGCCACGCGCTTGGGCTTGATGTCTCAGTTAGCGGCTACAACGACAAGATGTCTGTGTTGCTAGAGAAGGTCCTGATCTCGCTGCGTGATTTGGAAGTCCGCGAAGATCGATTCCAGATCATAAAAGATCGACTACTCCGTGGTCTACGGAACTGGGATATGCAGCAGCCGTACCACCAGGTTGGGACATACAGCAGAGTACTGCGCCATGATAAGGGCTGGATCAATGACCAGTTCCTAGCGGTGCTTCCCTCAATCACAGCCGAGGATGTGAAATCATTCTGCCCGCAGCTCTTGCGGCAGATGCATATAGAAGTGCTTGCACACGGCAACCTGTACAAGGAGGATGCACTTAAGATGACGGATCTGGTCGAATCAACGCTGAGGCCGAGAAAGCTGCCGCCATCGCAATGGCCCGTTCGACGCGCACTCGTGTCTCCGGAGGGTAGCAACTTTGTTTACAAGCGGACCCTGAAGGACCCGGCGAACGTAAATCACTGCATCGAATACATGCTCTCCGTCGGTGATAACCATGATCGTACGTTACGCGCTAAGCTCCTGCTCACAGCGCAGATGACGGACGAGCCTGCTTTCGATACGCTGCGGACGAAGGAGCAACTGGGGTACGTGGTCTTCAGCGGTGCTCAGGTGTATAACACTCTGAACGGCTATCGAGTTCTCATACAGAGCGAGAAGTCACCTGAGTACCTCGAGACCAGGATCGACTCCTTCCTCGCCGGCTTTGGCAAGATCTTGGAGGCTATGACGGACGAAGAATTCGAGGCCCACAAGACAAGTCTTATCAACAAGCGCCTGGAGAAGCTCAAGAACCTCACTCAGGAAACCAATCGCTTCAATACCCACATTCTTAGCGAGGCCTATGATTTTGAGCAAGGCAAGTCCAATCCCGATTCAACCACCACACACTCCATAGCAAAACAGTTGCTAACCTACATCTGCACAGTTGATCACGACGTCGCCCACATCGAGCCCCTCACCAAACCCGACCTCGTCGCCTTCTACAACCACTACATCCACCCCTCATCCCCAGCCCGTGCGAAGCTCTCCGTGCACATGCTCGCGCAGTCCTCGCCGTCGGACATAGCGGCGAAGATCACACCCGAGGAGCAGTCGTCCAAGATTCAGGCCCTCGTGAGTCAAGTACTCACCGCCCAGGGTATCACCGCCGACGCCGCGAACTTAACCGCTCGCCTTAAAGACGTGAATATAGCCGACGTCGACAGCGTCGTCAAGGCTATCACAGCGTACCTCGTGGAGGACCAGAAAATCGAGCAGGAGAAGGCAACGAAGATTATGCAGCAGGGCCAAAGCATGATAAGTACGGTTCTGCCGAGCGCGGGTTTCGAGGCTGTGCTGCAGACCGACGGTGCTTCCAGCGACGGCAGTAAGACGACCAGCAGCAAAGAAGTCGACGGAAACGGCACGGAACCGGTGGAGATCACGGATGTGCATGCGTTCAAGGCGAGCTTGACTGTCTCGGCTGGCGCGAGGCCGGTGAGGGACCTGAGCGAGTTTGAGGACCTCGAATCCAAGCTCTAGAGATCGTTGCTATTTCGGTTTGCTTTCTCTTTCAACGTGTGATTGGGACTTTTGGCGCCTGCTGCAAAATTCTCTTTCTGCTCCAGCGAAGTCAATCGGACTTGATAGATAGATGCCGGCAGAAGAGGATGCTACAGCATTAGCGAAATGACAGAAATCCCAACTCTCTCTCGCACCGCTCCTCTCGGATCTGTGTTCCGAGATGAATGTACGTTTTTCGAGATAAACGTACCTTTATCGACGTGATGTATCTGCAGTATAACTTTGCCCTCCGCCTTATCCACAACGCTTCAACAGAGCTCGCGATCAATGACATCACGCTCACCACAACGCGTCAACCAACCAACCACGGGCCATTGCAGTAATCATAATGGCGCTCTACCCTAAGCATCCGCCTTAAGCACCACCTCAACCATCTCCTCAAAACCCAAACCATAACCCTTACCAGCGCCGGTTCCGCCAAAGCTGCCTGTCATGCCTGACCCTTCCCACGCTGAGTTAATGCAGCAAAACTACGAAATCCGCCCCGACCCCCACGCCTTGACCCAAAACCCGGATCCCTCACACAACAGCTCCTCAGGCGTCGACTACGAGCCGCATCCCGAGAACAGCATCAAGCTAGAGCCGGAGCGCCAGAAGATCGTGGATGCGATCACGCGGCTCTATAGTGGCATTGCCAGCGAGGAGGACATGAGGGTTTATGCTGAGGAGGCGGTTTATGATGATCCGTGGAGTTACTGTGACACTAGGTATAAGATTGCTGGACAGTGGTGGGGTGAGTGGTGTTTTTGGCTCTGGTCTAGGGGAGGAGAGCGGGCGGCGGGAAAGGGAGGGCGCCTGGGGTAGAAGTAGTGAGGTTGCGTATCTTGGACAGATGGGATGTTGCGAGTTGGGGTCGCTATATATATATGGCCATGCAGTTACTGCTAGTTGAGAGCAAAAGGCTAACCCTCGCATGCCCAGGCATACCGAAGGTGATGGCCAAATCGCAGACGCTCAAGACCGAAGTCGTCTCATCGAAACCCCACGAGATTGTCTTCAAGCTGCAGCAAGAGTATACACCACGGCTACTACACATATCAAAAGCGGTAAACTCGCTAGTCACTCTGACGCTGGATGAGCAGGGGAAGGTGCGGTATCATAAGGACATGTGGAACGAGAAGGACTACAGTCACGAAGGCTTGGGTAGGATAATGAAGGAGCTGAATGGCGATCACTTGACGAAGATCACGCAGCCGCCGAAGTTATTGTAGGGGTGTGGGGTAGGCCGGATGTTCTCTGGCAAGCTCCAAGGCAGTTTTGAGGGAACATTGCCGCCCAACTCGCGAGGCGCGCTGTAGCGTTTTCCTCAGTGCTACCGAGTGCTAAGTCTATGCTAATACCGACGCCGCTGTGAGATGCAGCTTGTCCATCCAAAGCGCCTTAACTCCCGCTTGAACGCAGCAGCGTGATATCCGGGTCCAGCACGTTGTGAGGTACGAGGTGCCAGTCAGGGCCCATCCATAGGGGGAGGGCCCCTTCTTATGCATGCCGAGGGGAGGTGGAGAGGATGCTTCGTCGCCCCTTTGGCGTTGACCGACGTAGTGATGGTGCATGGATGCCCTTGACTTGAGGCGATGGAGGCTTTGGACTGTCGGCGAGATGCAACCTGCCGCCAGCCAGCTCAATCGCCGCAGATTCCCTCTCACTGTGTGTCTCCGTTCATAGTCGCTGGAGTGTCTTGGTCTCCACCCGTTAGGACTTGCGTCTGCGGAGCGCTGCCTTTCGGCCCTGTTCCGGGCGTTATGGCGACGACGTTGCCGCTCTCGTCCATGAACTCGAAGTTGTATCGGGAGAGCAGGTGCGGAATAGCCGAAAGCTGCGGGCCGTAGCGCTGAGTGTTGTCGTATAACTCGAAAAGGGGGACAGCTAGGAGTTTCATGTTCTTGGGGACGCTGAGCACCTCTGTCATGCGGTCAGCCACTGTTGCAATGCGCCTCTCAACTCAGACGGACGTACTACTCGCAGGCAGTTGGATGAAGTACAGCTTCTTGCACTCTTTCGGCCGCGTAGCATGTGCCGGTATGAACGGATACATGAACGTCTCGAAATTCGGCCTCCACCACTGTGCTAGTGTATCGCCAATCTGCCACTCGTCGTTGACGCCTTCGCCGGAGAACTGCGAGCCGACTGGTGCAAGACGCTCGTTTAGTCGTGCTTTGAAGCCTTCGATCTCGTCCTCTTCGGGTTTGAGGTAGTCGCCGGGCCTGCAAAACGGACAGTCAGCGGCTGTAACGGACGACGTGCAAGCTGCAGCCGGAAGCTATTGGGACGCGACGTACAACTTGAAGAAGGCGTTGGCGATTTGCAACATCAGGATGTGTGGATGGTTGTGCTCGTGGCAGACGAGGATGCCCTCGCACGTCCGGCGCATGCCATGCTCTTGATAGTGTTCCCTCAGACGCTCCAAACGCGCATGCACTGAAGGGTCTTCTTCGGGCTGGTTCTCTTTTGTGCCAAAGGTGTAGTTGCTTAGCGGGTAGAGGCGTATCGTCTTTGGCTGGTTGGCGTTGAAGTCCTTATGCTCCTTCGGGCTGGAAATAGTCAATAGGCTGGCAGAGCTATGTGAGCGCGCGCGACTCACGTACGGATAGGAGGACTGGAGGGCGTTTCGCGTGATGGTAGACATGACTGTGTATAAAGCTTGCAAGGGCGCTAAGGTTCTCGATCCAAATAGTTACAGAGATGTTGCAATGAAGCTGTGCAGTGTTTGACCAATCGAAGGCCCCAAGCTGGGAAATCTCAAGGCAGGCTTTCCGCCTACGGTTGTGACTTCCGCTGTTGGTATCCGGCCTTGGCCCTCCGCCAGCAACCCCGCATCCGTCTGGAAGTCGAGCTTGGGGGTGGGGGACTTCACATCGCACTCCAGGAGCACGCAACAGGCGAAGTGACCTTGAAGTAAACACCGCCCGACTCGTACGGCAACGCATAGTAACGGCCGCATATAACACTATCCCAGGACCGCAACCCTCCAAGATGCTCCTCCTAGGTCTCACCGGCAGCATCGCAACCGGCAAATCCACCGTCTCCGCCCTCCTCCGCTCGCCCCCCTACAACCTCCCCATCATCGATGCCGACGTTCTCGCGCGCAAGGTCGTCGAGCCTGGCACCCCTGGCTACAAAGCTATCGTGTCCTACTTTGGTCCCAGCACGCCTGACCTGCTCCTTCCGCCCTCCGACCCCGCCTCTGGAGGCGAGAATGGGCCAAATGGGAAGGGCAGACCGCTGAACCGTCCGGCGCTGGGGAAGAGGGTGTTCGGGGGCGGTGAGGACAGGACGAGGGACCGCAAGGTGCTCAATGGCATTGTGCATCCTGCGGTGCGGAGGGAGATGTACAAGGCCATGCTTTGGTACTACTTGACCGGGCACTGGTGCGTGGTGCTGGACATCCCCTTACTCTTTGAGAGCGGGTGGGAGAAGTTCTGTGGCAGCATCATTGTGGTGGCCGTCCGAGATCCGGCGGTTCAGATGAAGAGGCTCAGGGAACGGGATCCGCATTTGAGTGCGGAGGACGCGGAGAATCGGGTTATGTCTCAGGGGGACGTGAGGGAGAAGGCGGAGAGAGTGCTAAGGAGAGGGGAGGGTGCGGGTGTAGTGGTGTGGAATGATCAGGACAAAGAGCATCTGAAGAGGGAAGTTGATCGGGTTATGAAGGAGATCAGGCGGAGAAGCCCAAATTGGTGGTCCTGGTTGCTACTCTTCTGTCCGCCGCTTGCAGCTGTTGTAGGCGGATGGAGCTTCTGGCGAATGGGTAAGGTGCAGCGGCAGTGGGAAGAGGGGAAGAAGCGGGAAAAGGCGAAGCTCTGAGCGATTCGAGTCTTAGTCAAGGCGTTCAGCTTGTAAGATCTCTCTGCTTGACTTTTCTCGGATAGACTTTGCATACCAGTGCCTACTCCGTATCCGGTGTCTAGCCGTGCAGTAAACGTTGCTGACGCTGCGCATTGGTAGGTATCTTGATGTCCACCTCAAAAGTCGGTCACGTGCCCAGTGAAGCAAGAGATATCTGCGCCAATTTCAAACGCCTGCGTATTTCGACCAAACTCTGGATCACGTCTTATGCTCCTGTTGGTCCAGCCCAGGAACACATCAACCCCCTCCGTTAACACCGCAGGGTACTACCAGCCTGTTGCCTCATGCCAGTAGTACGGGCTCGTGCTACTGCCACATCGATTGCTCACTCCAATAACACAAATGAGCTCCAGGGCCAGTTACGTTGATACTGGACAAGTCGAAGACCACCACGTACTCAAATCCTATGGCTGTGTTCCCGGCGCTTGGCCACTCGCTGAGATCCCCGAAGAGCAACCTGTGGAGGCACCGCCCACTCGTCATTTTTCCGCCTCAAGCGCAGATGCCGTCCGCCATGTCAGCTACAATCTGGATGACTCCAAATGGAATGCGCGAAGCAGCTTGCGTAGTTACGTCGATCTAGGAGAATCCTACTCGCAGCCGAAAGAAAGAGAACCTGAGCTCAGGAGCCAGAGAATCAAGGCGAAGACAAGTAGCCCGAGAGATGGGCTGAACCAGTTCCAGGAGGGCCGTTGGAATTTCCAGAGCGATCATTGTAGCTATATTGACCCCGGCGGATGGCACGTTAACCAGTCCCACGCTAGCTCGGTATCGGAGAAGAGGGCTCACCCGAGATCACCACCAATAGCCCGTCCATTCGGTATAGATGGTGGATGGGATACTGGAAGCAGCTTGCGTAGCTACGTCGACCTTGGAGAGCCGCACGTTCGACACACGACAACTCGCAGCTCAACAGGTAGCATAATCCAGGTTAAGCAGGGTGAACCGTCGTCTTCAAAAGTCAGATATGACGCCGGCATGAGCAAAGATTGGGACAAGCAAAGCAGTCTTAGTAGCTATGTTGACCCGGGTTCGGAGAGGGCCTCTGCAACTAAAGTAAAGCAATGGCTGCAGGATAGTGCTTTCCCACCACTAAGTTCAGCTCGACTGCCACCCGCAGTAGTCTCGGGTTCGCCTGCAATAGTCGTTCAGCGTCTACCAAGTCGCAAAGCGGCTAAAGACTTGGCTCGTATTGAAGTCACGAACGGACCAAGAACCCAGCGAAATGAGGACTGCGCAATCCCGGATAAAGTAGAGCCTGTTGATCTGCATACCCACCGTTCGCATGATAGATACTTTCCAACCGTCAGCGTGGCAAGTGCAGCTGGCCTGCCGAGATTCGTCATTTACAGCAAAGACGGCGATACAGCGATCATTGATGCAGACGTCGACTACGCCTTCCCACCACGGCGGTCAAACAGCCTAGCTTATTCACCGGTCACGGCCGCGCCAGTCAAGCAGCAGAAGAAGAAGCCCAGAGCCGCATCGGTCACGTTGCCTCATATCGGCTCCAAACTGGAGCTGCTTCTACCGCCGCTAGCTGTAGCGGAAACTGGGACACTGGAAAGCTTAGGCGATAGAATGAGCTCACATCAGCCTCCCAAGCGGAGCAAGGCCAAGCCTTATGAGTGAGTGTCTCGGCCCATCACATCGCTTAATTGACTTGAGGTACCTATCAGAAAGAGAACCGCGAAGTCATACTACACATATTCCGGTTACTGACACTTCCATACAATCTTAGGCGTAAAGCCTCCAGTTCCACGCCGGCACCGCATCGAGCATCTCTGCCGTCTCTCGACTTTGGTGTTTCACAGGGCCAGCAGGTTGAGGAGTTTCATAATTCAACCGTTGCTGTCTCGCCTCCATCAACTATGAGCTCTGCGCAGGCGTCTCCGATCGATACGACCTTTCTGTCTGGTAGTATCAGTAACTTTTTTGAGTACGGCCCTTTGACTACAGTGGAAACTCCGGCGTCCGTGCAAAGTATGAGGGTACAAGATGTTCTCAATCGGCCTCTCTCTGAAACATCAGCAAGGAACTTCCATAAGAGCTCGACAGAGGACTCTAGGAAGACCCTCCGGAAAGATTTGGTGAAGAACTCCGCGACGCCTCCCACGCACAATTCTTCCGAGGAAATGGGGTTGAAAATCGAGAGCTCGGATCAATTGTCTGAAGCAAAGAAGACCGAGCCTATTGTTTCGAACACGTCACCACCCCCGGCTGAGGTTGGTCAGCTGATTCCGCTAGGCATCGCTACTAACATTCCGCTCAAGGACTCTGATGGCTTCCCGATGCCTTCTCAGCCGGCATACATGCCCGCATATACGTACGACGCTCCGCAAGACTACGTTCAAGCGCATTCCCAAAATTTGCCAGCTTTCTATCCCTCAACCCCTTCCGCACCGATGACATACTCAAACTACCTCCCTCCCACAGTCGAAAGCGTGTCTTCAAGTCTAGGCAAGGGCCAGCAGGCGCCGCCGGCTGGCACTTTCGTGGTATCCGCCACATCTCAGGAGGCGACCTTGTCAGTTGTGCATCAATCTCCCCCAGAGCCGGCGGATGATGGCTACTGCAATGAAGTATGGAACGGAATCCCGGTCCGTGTTGGTATCGTGAGAATGACAAGGTACCCTTCGAGGCCTTCGCGACATGGAGAGACACTTCCTTGATGTATCGGGCAAGCTATTTATGAGAGCATTGTGTACTTCTAGGTGTTTGAATGATGCCTTCAAACAGAGCTAGAGAATGCCAGACGAGATGTTCACCATCTTAGCTGTTAACTTGGGATCTCGTGACCATTGCCTTCGTAAACGTGCTCTAAGGTGCTAAGATCTTTCAGAGTCCTTATCATAGACCCCATGAACATGAAAGTCATTCATGACTAACATCGTTTCACTTCACTTGTGCCTTTCCTGGGAAGCTTATACAAGACGCAATCTCTCCTCCCTTTCGTCCCCTTCTCTTACCTATTCCTTCCCACATCTTCCCATTGCCTTCTTCCATCTTGTTTCTAGCTTCCGTCAAAGTTCTTTCAGCTTCCAACCTGCTTCCATCCATCTGCCACCATACTGTCAATCGCATCTCCCAACAAGCACAACACCAGACAACCTCAAGCGCACAGTAGCAGCAAGCCAGCACCATGGCTACCACATCTCCCAAAGCACCAACCAATGCCTTCGAGAAGGACATCGAAGCCGTCCTCAACGATAAAGAGATCAAGCGTCTCGCATGCCTCTTCCTTCACACCAGCAACCCCGCCGTACGTAAACTACGTTCCCGTCCCGTCTCAACCGTGACAGCTCAGCAACGTCTCACTGACAACATCTCAACAGATCAACTGGCAGGCTGCTGCCGACAACTTCGGCTCCGCGTCTGCTGAAAGCTTTAAGAAGAGCCTGCAGATCACGAAGAAGAAGCTCCACGACAACGGCGTCCTGCCGGACACTGAGGGTGGTACTACTGCTGCTGCTGGTGCTGCTGTGCCTGCCACGCCCAGCAAGAAGAAGACGGCTGGAAAGGGCAGGAAGAAGACGGAGGAGGCGGCTGATGGCGAGTCCCCTACCAAGAAGGTGAAGGAGTCTCCGACAAAGAAGGCGATGAAGGAGGAGGAGGCTTGAGGTGTGGCGGCTGCACGGTCAGATCAGAACCCCAGTGTGACCACATCCGATTCACTGCTGGCTCATTGCAAGACCTGGTAGGGAGGTAGATCTTGAAGATGCGGAGTTAGGTGGGTATTGGGATCACTGAACGATGGTCGGGATGGAACCTGCTTGTAGCTATTGGGGGAGTAAGCTACATAATCTTGCCTAAAAGTGACTGGTGATGCCAAATTAAATCTTCATGCATCTTCTACCTAGGCAATCTGACTGGAAATACTGATGCTGCAAACGACTTATGGCTCTAGAGAACCGGTCTAGAGAACGTGAGATGAAAGGCCTCGGAGCACTGACAGAACCCAGAACGAAGCGACCAACAAGGCGGACGGAAAACTTCATGAATGAGAAGTGTGGAGTGAAAATCCGTCTCTACAGTGTGGAGAACCCCAGCACCTTGACGCAGAAAGACCAGAAATGAAAGTTCAGGGACTATGAAGCCGCATGAACCATTCACCGTAATCAAACGACTGCGTTGTAGCATTCTCGAGCTTTCCATGCAGGGAATTACGTCTCTAAACCGAGTGAACGACCATCCAACTAGTTCTGCCTAACTTTCTCGCCGTGCACACCACAACCTCCCATCCCACGTCCACCAGCTCCACAGATCTATCCACGTCGTCAAGGCCGCCACGATGCGATACGATTACAACTTCGTGAAGGACAACAACGTCCTAAGCGATGCCGACAAGGACCGCATCGTCTGTATCGTGCTCAACGCCACTATCGCCGGCGCCGACCTACCTGTACGTGTCACTCCCGTTCCCTCAAAGATCTGTCTATGCATTAATACACCAGCAGATCGACTGGGATACCGCAGCCACGGCTTTCGGTTCCAAGTCGGCCAAATCCTTCAAGCAGTCATTCACAGATAGTCTCAAGAAGATCACGAAGGCAGGCGGAGGCAGCCACGAGCCGGGCACCCAAGCCGCCACGATGGCTACAACGGCAACTGGTGACGGCGATGGCGCCACACCTGAGCCCGTCACGCCGGCTAAGAAGAAAGCTGCACCGAGAAAGCGTAAGACGAAGGCTGACGGTGAGGGCGCGGAGGAGGAACCCGTGACCCCGGCCAAGAAGAAGGCGACGCCGCGCAAGAAGAAGGGGGAAACGGCTGTGAAGAGCGAGATCAAGGCGGAAGGGGAGGGGGAGGAGGATGTGATGTGAGTGCCTTTTGCCAGTGCTGAACTGTGAGATGCAGCAGATGATATGGAGAGAGCATCGTGCTGATAAGATTGAGTAGGCCGTCGCTGTTTGGAGATGGACCTCTGCAGGCGCAGGATACACAGGAGTAGTGGCATGTAGGAAATGCGGTGGCCTTCATTTGGCGTGCATGGGGGACTGGACAGCAACTTGGGACAGGCGTTTGCGCTTAAATGGATGACCTCTGAACGCTTGATTGAGGGACGAAAAGAACCTATTGCGTTCGTTTGACTACACCGCAGTCGACCGTACTGGCTGGATGCTGGTACCTTATGCTACTGCATACACGTGATTGCCGTGATTGCCGTGATTACCCCTGCTTGACATGAGGGAATATGGGGTCTGATACAGTCTTTACGGTGTCTTCTCTTCCATGCCAAAGCACTACGGCAGCATTCTCGAAGACGGTAATACCCTCATGTGGACATGCTGAGGGAAACCATGTTGCTCAACGCCTGTCCGGCGAGGTTGGAAACACGACCCGTCTCTCCTACGCGTACCCCTGCAGCGCTGGAACACCGCTGACGCAGATGCGAGCAATGGGAGCCAATGCTTCATTGCGCATCGGAGAGCTGCGAGGTGCCGCAATTGACTCGGCAGCTTTGCCTCAGGAACAGGAAAACAGGATCTCGGGAGTGGAGGAGGCTCAGAGAGAGTCGCAGGCTGGGATGGGCGTCATGGTCGCGAGCCGAACGGGAAGAGCGGCGAATCGAATGGAGGGAGACGCGGAAACACCAACACCACACGCCAGTACGCGTCGAGAACCACCCCCTTCTCTGCTGCAAGCCGTCCTGCATCGCGCCCCGCCGAGTTTAGCCTCATCTGAGCCTGTTGGAGTTGCAAGCGTGAACTTCTCATATACCTCTCGTCCCTCACTCAGCCTCTCTTCTTGTCCTCAGGCTTGCCTCCTCCTCACGATCTCCGTTATCCTCATTCACATTGTTGGGAGCCTCTCGTTGAGCCCTGGATCTGTGTGAATAGAACTGTTTGTTTGCTTCCACGGTCTGTCATCGCGCTAGAGGGTTGATATTCGCGTACGCGTTTGTGATATATACCGCGTGCTCTCCTCCACGACCACTGCCACCACTCTTGCTGTACCGACAGTATCACCTTGCATCTCGACAAATTGTCATCAGAACCTCAATCTAAACCGCGATTTCTCCCTGGGTTCTGGGAAAACCTGCTCGACTGTACTGCCGTTACTTACGCGCCGACCAAAGTCATCCACCTAAAGCTCATATCTCGACCTACCCACTCAGTATCTACACGAGCACTTGATCTCTGTCGACATGGCTGCCACTGTACGCCAGCCGCTCGGAGGCCTAGATGCTACTCGATTGCAAAGCATAACTAGCATGAAGAATCGTCAAAATGGTAAGCTATACCACGCATCCCAACACTTCTGGACGTGTAAACACGCGTTGGCGACGTTGCTAACGCACTTCTGTCATCTGAATAGCTATTGTAGCCTCACTCTCATATGATAAGTCAACACTGTCGTCCCCTGCAAAACGCCGCTACGAGCCGTCATCATTCGACGATGAAAATGACTCCGAGAACATCGACCCTTCCCTCTATAATTCCCCCAGCAAGCGGTCCAAGAATCTCAATGGCACGCCCCAGAAAGCATCAAAATTCGTGCTCACGGATGCCGTACCCTTCAACAGGCCCATAGCGACTCCATCCTCGACGCGTTTCTCGTCTGTTCTATCGAGGCCGACGCCCATCTCCCTTCCAGTGACAACCAGTCCAACTCCAATCAATGTGAGCCGCGGATCACCGAAAAACAAGCGAGTCGGCATCCTCTCCAACCGCCGAAAGTCGTCTTCTCCATACACGCGGGTTGATCCACCCTCCTACTTCCGCGCATCTCGCACAAGCTCTTCCGGCCTCCCATTCTCCATCGACGACGCCCTCAGCGGCACCATCTCCAGCTACACGCCCAAGTCCCCGCTCGCAACTCCTCCGCTCGTGGAAACACCTACACCAGCGACACCGGCAGTCGAAACCGCGATGCCGAAGTCCTGGTTCTTCGAGATCCACGAAGACACGCCTGAAGAAGAAGCCACGAACCTGTTAGAGCACTCCGCCGTCTGCCTAGACATCTCAAGCGACGACGACTGCGAGACAAAGCGCAAGGATGAGGACAGGGAACGTGGGAAGGAGAATATCCCGCCGCCAGACTTCCTTGCTGGGCCGATGAACACAGCCTCCGGGTCGGCTTCACTGAACAGCGCCCAAACCGAAGCTGCTGCCGAGCCGGTCAAGCTTAAGTCCCGCCGCCACCGCGAGAACGATGCTATGGATGAGGATCGTGTTGCTTTGGGTGATCTGCCAGCTGCAGAGTACTACGGAGAGGGTCTGGACGCGTCATCGTATGTCTTCGTTGATGGCACCGCACCGGAGAAGCCGTCGGGGCTGTCCAAGGAGTGCAAGGACTTCGACTTCGAGGCATCGGCTGATGCATCTGCTGAGGCATCTGCTACCGAGGTCAAGGACGTTCAAGTTGAGGAAGTTGTGCCACAGGACGCTGGTAGCGCTGCTGAAGTCAAGGTCTTCGAAGAAGCTTAGAGGAGCTCTAGCGCAGCACGGTCGTAGAAAGACTGGATGCCACAAGATAAGCCGGAGATTTACCTGGTTTCTGGGAGCAGATCTTGCTGCACACATACCACTGACATGGTTGGATACCGGTTTGGGTTAGATGCTTTGATGATTGTAACGTGGTTACTGCTGGACATCTGTTCTCTGTGGTGGTTTCAAAGGAGCTCCATGGCGTTCTGGGCTGCTCATGCTGTTCAATCTTCTGGCCCTGGTCGACTTTCAACCTTGATTGTTAAGGATTTGTCGGGTCGCAGTATCTATATTCCTGGCGCTCGGGGTTTGGGTTCAGAGACGATGAGGTTGTTCTCCGCAAAGGACTGGATGGAGTAGCATAGCGATACATCATGCCCACTTCAATCTCTTCGGGTTGCCAGCAAGTCTTGCTCTATGCCTGTTCCCCCTGCCTCAAGGACTCTGATGTCTTCAACTTCTCAATATGCTCACGTGGTACCATAGCGGATATGTAGGACATCTCTGAGATACCTCAACTTTGCATGATACTGTGGTAGTGCTGGCGGATATCCAGTAAGGTTTGCCTGACATCCGCCGACGATGAATTTACGGCGGATTGACAGATCCCGGTGGTCAAAGCTTCTTTGCGGAAGGCAGCACAGACGACGCGCGCTGGAGCTCTCGCGAGTTTGACACCATCTGAACAGCTGCCGGCCAAACACATCAACATCTCCCACATCAAGAACCCATTCTCTCCTCCCAGACTCCACTTCCTTCCTGACCAGAACATCTGAAAATGGCATCCGGCTACGATCGAGCTCTGTCCGGTTTGTAATCACATCAAGCGCAGCGGATACTCAAACTAACATTTGCACGCTCCCCAGTCTTTAGCCCCGACGGCCACGTCTTCCAAGTCGAATATGCGCTCGAAGCCGTCAAGCGAGGTACTGTCCTCACCCTGCACCAATGATTCTCATCCTAACCCGCCCCAGGCACCTGCGCCGTCGGCGTCAAAGGCAAAGACATCGTCGTTCTCGGCTGCGAAAAGCGCTCCGCAATGAAGCTTCAAGACACACGCATCACACCTTCCAAAATCTGCCTCGTAGACACGCACGTCGCGCTCGCCTTCGCGGGCCTCAACGCCGACGCCCGCATCCTGGTCGACAAGGCGCGGCTCGAGGCCCAGAGCCACCGCCTCACGGTCGAGGACCCGGTCTCGATAGAGTACATCACGAAATACGTCGCCGGGGTTCAGCAGCGGTACACGCAGAGTGGAGGCGTCCGGCCGTTTGGGATCAGCACGCTTATTGTGGGCTTTGATCCGAATGATAAGAGTCCGCGGTTGTACCAGACGGAGCCGTCGGGGATTTATTCTGCGTGGTATGTAGCTGCGGCATGATCAGGAGTGTGTTCCGAGCACGGTGCTGATGTTTGGTGTGCAGGAAAGCAAACGCCATCGGCCGCTCCAGCAAAACGGTCCGCGAGTTCCTTGAGCGCAACCACAAGGCCGACATGGAACGGGAGGACACGATCAAGCTGACGGTGAAGTCGCTGCTGGAGGTCGTGCAGACGGGTGCGAAGAACATCGAGATCGCTGTCATGGCGCCCGGCAAGCCGATCGAGATGCTGCCGGTTGAGGATATCGAGAAGTATGTGGAGAGCATCAACACGGAGAAGCAGGAGGAGGCGGCTACAAGGAGGACGGGTGGCAGGACGCCGGGGACGGGCACGGCGGCTATATTAACGAGGCCTGCTGGGCAGCCTGCTGGGGATGGGGCGACGGACCCGTTGCCGTGAGGAAGGCACTTCAGACGTGTGCATCTATTAGAGAGCATTGGCGTTCTGGTGGTAGAGCTTGGCAAGGGCTTGTACCGCGCTGCACATCTGGCAGGTAATTCTGGAGCTGTGCCAAACCTAGAGCTCGCTTTTCTGCAAAGGTCATAATCTCGGCATCACGTTTTCGCGGTCTGTCACACTCCTAACGGTTTGTTCCTTTTCCAAGAACTCCCGTCCTGCCTGCCTGCCGTTGCCGCAAATCGAATCATCTATGCGCAAGCCCTTAAATTCTTCCGTAAGACATGCCAGGAATCTCAACGCCAAAAGCCTCCAAATGCACCATACCCACACCCGCTTCTCTTCATCCCAGCCTGTCCGGCGCATCCCTCACGTTGAATATCGTGCGCTGCTCCTCCCCTCGGACCCGCTCGTCCTTGAGCATCCTATACACACCAATCAGCCAGTCTTCTTCCCCTCTCCTCTTACCCCCTCTCCATCCCCTCCCCTCCTTTCCCAAAGCATACATACCTCGCATCCACCCTAACATCCTCCCCCTCAACTTCAAGCCTCGGTTTCGGCACCATAGCCTCGATGACAAAATGGTTATCGCAGTGCGGGCAGTACTCGTCGCTCTCCTCAAACTCAGCAGCGACCTTCCGGAAGCACTTTTTGCACTTCTTGCACGCGAAGGTCATGTGGTCCTGCTGGAGGAGGGGGTGCGATTCGGTCTCGTGGTGGCAGTCTGCGCAGTCGAACCATTTGCGGCCTATGGCGAGACGGAAAAAGTCAGAGAGGTGACGGAGCTGGTGGGGGGGACGCAGGCGGGCTGTTGGCGGAGGGGCTACGCACAGCAGGGCGAGCGGATCGAGACTTGGGCGTTTAGGACGTGTTTGCTGGTATGGGGGGTTAGCCCTGGGTCCGTTCGGGGAGGTTAGTGGATAGCACCGTACCACATGGTGTGTGCTAGTAAACAAAGGAAATCGTTTGGAGATGGTAGGTAGCTTTGTGGTAGAGGATAATGTTAGGTGCCAGCGGTGCCTTGCAGGTGTTTAGTGATGTGTTTCGGATCCAGGGTCTAAGAAAAAGGCTGAAACGCGGACGGCCGCGGAAACTCGCGCGACTGCGCCACACTACCGAAACCTGGGGAATCTTCAGCCTCAACTAGCAACTTCAACGCCGACGGTCAATGCTGGGAACTTAACGCCATCTTACCCACGACTGTGCAAGGAGCCCCCAAGGAAGCCCTCGATCCACGACAATTCCCCCATACGCCCACTCGGACTTGCTACAACCAAGACCGGCGCATGCCTCAGGCTGCCTTGAGCTACTCCCGGCTCCTACAACTGCCACGACGAGGCCCCACAAGCGAGACTCCAAGGGACTAGGAAGAGGCGATATAACTGTTACGAATGGTGAAGAGGCTGGAAGACCGGCTGCGGTGACGGCTGGCGAGGGAGCCGTAACGGTTGTGTGGTGCGGCAGTGGGGTGCTTTCGATATTTCCCTTCTCTCGCTGAGACAGCTCTACAAGCCATTACAATGGCTCCAGACCAAGAGCATAACATGGATGGGTCGTCTATAGTGAGTGGTACAAAGCAGTCCAAGAGAGTCGTACTCACAATATCTCAAAGCGGCCCGTCTCCTCCTTACGGAGCCATTTCGAGAACATGCTGAGCTCAAAGGAGTCCACACCTACACCATCACCGTACCCGACACGGCAGACATCGCCTAATAGACAACACGGATTCGCTACAGCAGTAGAAGCAGCACCCCGGCTTGGTGGGAGGATCTCTCTGGATATTCCACGTAACAACGGACGCCGCGACTCACCACCGCACGTCTCAGACTCTGATGTGGCTGGTCCACGGACACCTGGCTCAAAATTTCTTTATGGAACTCCCTCCCCAGCAATGAAGACACGACCGATATCTATGGGCCCACTTTCTCCGCCAAAATCTCCTCCTGTAGTGACTGTACAATCGCCGCGTTCCCCGCCGAAGCACTCAAATGCTCGCATTCCAGACCTAGGTCCACATATGGGGTCACCCATTACGCCCAATCATGCTGGCTCGCGATCCGGTTCACCTCCTCACAGTGCTCGTCATTTCAGAATACCCAGCAGAGCCACTACGCCTAGCATAGAAGCTAGGCAAGCTCCATTCTTCCAAGCAGCCACCACACCGAACACCTCCACCGATCCGAGAAAGTCTTTCACATCAGCGAGGGAAGCGCCTTTCCAAGAGACCGTACCTAGTCATAGTATGCCGCCACCGATTAACCGTGCAGTAAAACCGCGAATACCAAGTAAGGCTTCTTCGACCACTTCTGTGACAGACAGAGCCAATCTGGTGCCTGGCTCTGGAATTGAAGCCGCGGACGAGCGGAATTCTCCATTCAGCACGCCTCCGAGCAGTGATGAGAGCTCTCCAAAGGGAGAAGCGAGCCCTCCGCCTCTGTTTCATCACGTGAAACCTATCTCAAGTCGTCAGTCCGGCAATCGCGACGGCTATTTCAGCCGTTCGCAGGTCCGCAAATTTGAGGCAGAGCGCAAGATAGCAGCAGATTCGGGTAGTCCGGCCCGATCACATGAGTTCAAGACGCCGCCTTTGTCTGCCCACATCCAAGCTCAACAGCCCAATAGTGTGCCAGAGGATCGACCCGGACTGCCTCCGAGACGGGAGTCGCATTCAACAGCGGTATCCCGCAGTGAGTCTGCAAGGCGACCTCCAGAGCCTCCGCCTCCCCGAGCGTCCATGGATGGATCGCTACGGTCCGTCAGCTTGGCGTTAGATACAAGCTCAAGATTCATGCCACCGCCCAGACGGCAAACAGCTTCTATCCTGGCTTCCGCTGATGCAACAGTTGGCCGAGCAACACACGCTCCAGTCGTGTCATCTTCGTACCCCAGAGCATCTAGCGAACGTACCAGAGTGTCCGTGGAAGCTCACCGGGACGACACCTCGAGAAATGCATCTGTCGCGCGGTATGCCGATGACTCGGATGAATCTGAGCAACCAGTGGATAGAAGCGCACGCACCCTTACTGATTACCCAGACTCATCGCAAGCGAACCGTAGACCTCCCGTGTTCCGACAACGACCGCGAGAGATACCTACCAAGTACGAGACCAAGCTCTTCGCCGTATGCGGCGAGTACGTGTGCACAACGGGTTATGTCACTCGCGTGTGGAACCTTCTGAGCGGCGAGATGCTCCTGAGTCTCGTGCACGGTGACACAACCAAAGTGACAGCGATAGCTTTCAGACCGGCCAAAGAGGTGGATGATGAGGGCAAGCGTATATGGCTCGGCACTAATACAGGCGAGATTTACGAGGTGGACGTTGAGCGAAAGGGCATAGTTTACACGAAAGGTAACGCGCATTCACGACGAGAAATCATCAAGTTGTATCGGTATGCATCCGAGATGTGGTCTCTCGATGATGATGGCAAGCTCCATATCTGGCCGCCGGATGAGACTGGTTCGCCGAATCTCGCCTTGACTCCGGACAGCTTTCGTGTTCCGAAGGGTCACTCATGTTCTATACGTGCTGGTACGGATCTTTGGATTGCATGCGCAAAGGAAATTAGGGTCTTCCGGCGCACCTCCGGCACCGGTACCTTTTCGCAGCTCAGCCAACAGCCGCTGTCACAGCCTAGCACCGGAGACATAACTTCGTGTGCCATCATCAGCCATCAGCATGACCGTATCTATTTTGGGCATAACGACGGCAAGATCACGATCTATGATCGAAAAGACCTTACCTGCCTTAGCATCGTCAGCGTGAGTTTGTACAAGATTAGTTCTCTGGTGGGAGTCGGCGACTATCTCTGGGCTGGCTACAACACCGGAATGATCTATGTCTACGACACTAGCTGTCAGCCTTGGAAGGTGTTGAAGGACTGGCATGCACATGACAACCCCATAGCAAGCATTGTGGTGGACCGGACAAGCATCTGGAAACTTGACAGGTTGCAAGTGGCATCCCTCGGAACGGACAACATGATACGATTGTGGGATGGGATGCTAAGGGACGACTGGCTCGGTATGTACATAAAGCATGAACCAAGGCTTTTATCGCTGACTTGTACCAGAAAATGACATGCAAGAACACGATGAGGACTTCTGTGACTTCCGCGAAATCACTGCGTTAGTCATGACTTGGAATGCAGGTGCAGCGAAACCATCCAGCTTGAAACATGATGAGCATGGTGGTAGTTTCTTTCGGGATCTGTTACGGCCTGATGATCCTCCTGACATACTCGTGTTTGGGTTTCAAGAGCTTGTCGATCTAGAGAACAAAAAGGTCACCGCAAGTGCGTATTGCCCCCCTTGACTGCTAGGTTGATACTAACAGCGATGCAGAGAGCTTCTTTAAGAGCAACAAGAAGAAAGATGCTACGGTGCAGGAACACATGAGCCATCAATATCGAGATTGGCGAGACTTTCTGATGAGGAGCATTGACGATAATATGCCTGCGAATCAAACCTACGAGCTGCTACATGTCGCGAACCTCGTGGGTCTCTTTACCTGCGTGTTCGTTAAGTCCTCCGAACGGACAAAGATCCGAGACGTGAACGCCGCAGAGATCAAGCTTGGTATGGGAGGTCTGCACGGGAACAAGGCAAGTGAGGAATCTTAGCGTGCAATGAACAACTATGCTAACGGTGTAAAGGGAGCTTTGATCGTTCGAATACTCCTGGATGACAGCTCACTCTGTTTCGTAAACTGCCATCTTGCAGCCGGCCAAACCCAGACCGTTCACCGAAACAACGACATCGCAACAATCATGGAGACGATGGCGCTGCCACCCGAACACGACGTCGACAACTGCTCAGACCTATTCGTAAGCGGCGGAGACGGCTCCATGATTCTCGACCACGAGATCTGCATCCTGAACGGCGACCTCAACTACCGCATCGACACCGTGCCTCGCGACACCGTCATCCGTGAGGTCAAGGCCAACAACCTGGCAAAGCTCCTTGACAGAGACCAGCTGCTCCTGTCCCGAAAGAAGAACCCCGGGTTCAGGCTGCGTGCTTTCATCGAAGCACCGATTACCTTTGCGCCGACGTACAAGTACGATGTCGGCACCGACAACTACGATACGAGCGAAAAGAAGCGATCGCCTGCCTGGTGCGACCGGCTTCTGTACCGTGGACGCGGCCGCATACGGCAGCTGGACTACCGCCGCCATGAGATCCGTGTATCTGATCACCGGCCGGTGAGCGGCAGGTTCAGGTTACGGGTTAAGACCATTTCGCCGCATCGGCGGACGCAGGCTCGGGCGAGCTCCGAGATGAGATTCGAGGAGGTTAAACAGCGAATAACGGAGGATATAAAGTAAGCTTCCTGACGGCTGTCCAACGTCAACCTGAATCAGAGAAGCTAACAAGCTGCGTGCACTAGACTCGATTACTTGATTAATGTGTTTGGTGTTTCGGCGAAAGAAGCGCAGAGACTTCTGTCTGCATGAATTGGGGCTGCAACGAAGGCGTTTTTCTATTCATTTCGCGCGATCTGCATTGGTCTGGGACTTCAGCGAATGGTGCATTTACCGGGACGGCGATGTAGCTTTGTGATGTGGGATAGGCGATGTGGAATGCGCGGGTCATCGAACGCTCGGATGCGGTATGACGTATGTTGTTAGCCGAGAGCAGCTCCGCTACCTCCAGCGGAACAAATGAACTCTATATATGTCAAGCCCCACTGCGCCAATGACCCGTCCCTCAGATGGCACCTGTTGTAAGAGTCCTCACACCCCGTTCCATCACTGTTGCCTCCCGCTTCGCTGCACGCAATCCCTCCTTTCCATTGCTTACCCGCTACACCACTCCCAAACTCCGTCTCCCTGTAACCATGGATAAGGATCAATCCCGCGGCAAGTCGACGGAGGGCCTCAGCGAGTGGAAGAAGAGGGCGCCCTACCGGATCCACGAGTCGAATGAAGATTTCCCGGTCAGATACGAGGCCAATTGCCACTGCGGACGTGTCAAGTACCAGCTCAAGCGCGAGGAGCCGCTGGACTCGAAGCTGTGCCATTGCTCGACGTGCCAGACGCAGCATGGTGAGTACTCTTTGGGCCGACCTCTGCTTCTCATCCTGCACCTTGCTTCTGAGACTGAGCAGAGACTGACGGTGAGATTGCAGCGGCGCCGTTCCAATGGGCAGCCATCTTCCACAAGGAAGACATCAACTTCACCAACGGCCACCATGACCTAGAGTGGTACGACCCGACCTCCAAGTCGATCGAGCACAAACTTCCCTGCAAGGTTCGCTGTTCGTTCTGCCACTCGCCTATCATGGACGAGGGACGGAATATGATTCTGCTGTTCCCGAGCTTGATACACTTGAAGACGGATGAGGACAAGAAGTTCTTCAAGCCCAGGTTAGTCTCTCCTCTCCACACCCTAGTCTTGGTAAGCCGCTAAGCGTGAGGCAGATGCCACATGTTCTACGGCCAGCGCGTCATGGATATTCCTGATGGTCTGCCCAAGTGGGATGGGTTGAGCAACGAGAGCAACCTCATCGAGGATAGCCCGCCTGATCAGGTGAGGGAGCATGAGCGCAAGCAGGAGAAGGAGCGGGAGGAGAGGTTCAACAAGGGGGAGAACAAATAGAGGGCCTTGCCTTGACGTATGCGAGGGCTTCGGGTGGATGGCGAAAAGGCGGCTACGACATCGGATCATGACAAGATGAAGACAAGGTCTTTGCTGTATTACATAAACATGTCGCTTGCAGGTCATGCTCTGGCTTCTTCAGCAACGGAGACAGCAAATCGTTGAAAAGCTTCTTAGCACCTTGAGACCTCGTTGTTCACTCTTGACCTTGGAAGCTTCTGTGAATCCGACGACCTGTGGACAGCCTTCACCGTGTTCCACAGCTCCACGTTGCCGCTTCACAATACTAGTACCTAGCCTATCATATCCTAGCCATCGGACTCAGGCGTGAAGGGAGTTTTCTGTTGAACAGAACAAACGCAGTCACCAAACTAAGATCACTTCCCGAGCACCCGCTGGACTGACTTTTCCTTCATTCACAACCATCTGGACGCCTCTTATAAGATTCAGCTTCCGTCTTCATTCCTTAATCTTCTTTATCCACCGTCGGAACTGTCTATCAACCGCAACCGAAGGTGAAGATATTCTTACGGCCATTCATCTTTCAAGCAAGACTCCATGGGCGACATTAACTATTCTTCTTGATATCTTCACGACTATTCTAGCATCACTTGCCGAGTTCACCTTTTCTAGCTACAACCCATCTTGAGAACCGGGTAGCGGCCCCAATCTCGTCTAATCTTCGTCCGCGACGAATCGGCGAATATAAAAAATTTCACTCGGTGAGCTTCACTTCGTCAAACACCAAGCCGCGACGCAACGACGCTCGGCATTCCTCGGCACGCGATAAGATAGCTTGGCGCACGGGCCCGTTTCTGTGAACCTCGAAGTTGCACGCTTCAGTAAGTTCCATTGGCACGTCACATCACCTCCATTGAACCTTCCATTCCTAGATTGTGCTCGTCCGGAGGAGAGCATGCAACATACATCTTCTTGCTCTCCGGTTATCTAGTAACTGATCATGGACTTGACATTTAGCCCCAGGTTTGGTTCCTACGTTTCCGTTTTTGGCGGGACAACCGCATAATGGCGCCGGCTCGCGTGTCAGTTAAACGGAAACGTATATCAGAAAGGCCAGCGGCAAAGCGGAGAAAACCCTACAGAGAGCTTTCAAGTGAGCAGGAGTCGGTCGATCAGGAGACATTTTACGCGGCGAGGGCGATCATTGACGAGAACAAGACAAAGTACCGCATCGATTGGGAACCTAATTCACGCACCGGACAGGTCTATGAACCAACGTGGGAGCCAAAAGCCTATGTTACCAAGGACTTAGTCGAGGCCTGGAAAGAGCTGAAGAAGCAATCCCCAAAACCCGGGAAGCGGAGCCTGGGCGCGCGTGCGCGTACATCTTCACAGAGCAGTAGCGTCGCCCAGAGTGACACAAGCACACCGGCAGAGCCGCGTCAACCTCGTTCACGCGCACTAAGACGCGTTATAGACAGCTCTCCAGAGGTTCCAAGGACTCGCACCAAAGTAACTACAGAAAGTCCTCTCTTCGAGCCTCCCGGTACTGCAGAACCGTCGCCCGCGCCTCTCAACCAGGAGCACAAAGTTGAAATCTCGCAACCGACGGATTTCGATCCGGACGAGTACTCCAGGTACTCGTCTTCAGCCATCCGCCCTAACGCCTCTTCGCCCCATTCATCACAGTTCATCACGCCGAAGCCCACGCAGACTGTTTCTGGTAGCAACGCCACTAGCATCTTCACTCCAAACTCCCCAACTGATCTCTCCGCGCGTGTAATACCTGACACCCTAGAGGTCCCCGGATCGTCCAGCTTCGTCCTCTCCACCCAGCAAGACTCTGCGTCCAAGGCGAACGGTACCAGCCAAGTTCTTCCCATCAGCACTAACAGCACTGAGGAAAGCCCCCTCCGGTCGACTGCCGACGAAATCTCGGCCTTTGAGGCTTCCGCTAGGGCACCCGATAGCGATCCGGAGCCCTCAAGTCCGGCGCTGCCTAATAAAGCAGTGAACCGTATACCGGACTCTTCGTCACAGACGGCCAGCTCGGCTTCGTCGCCACCGCCGCCTGAGACGCCAGACAAATCGCAGTCGCAGTCGCAGTCGCAGTCGCAGTCGCAGTCGCGTTCGGAGCACGTGACTGGCCAGCAGTCGCAGCAATCGCATCAGGAAGCCAACGACGGAGAAGCCAACGGCGGAGCCGGCTCTGCCGAGATTGGGGAAACAGAGGCGCAGGTGCGACCAAAGCCTCCTTCGGCGTTTGAGCAGTCAGTGGAAGAAACGCAGACTGGAGCCGCAGGCCCCCCAGAACCCACAGAGTCGCATGCAACGACTACAAATAGTCCGACACAAGAAAGTCAACCTAATAGCGAGGAGCCAAGGGGATCAGTGGCCCCTACTGATACAGAACGGCTTGAAGCTGACGCTTTACACGTTGATCGTACTGATCCGTTCGCGGGGAATCCTGGTAAAGACTTCGGTCAGGGAAAGGAAACAAACTCCGGTTCTGTCCTCAGATATAGAGATCCCAACCAAGTGCGCGAGCCGTCCCTGAATTCAGTGGAGAAGCCGATCCAGGAGCAAATATTTTCTAGCTCACCGCTGCCGCCAGCTCCCCCGCAAGGGCTAGATACGTTTGCTAGTAACCCACCTCTAGTTATGGAAACGCCGTCTGAGATGGCGACACCTTCTAAGACGCGATCTAGCGGGACACCCACTGGCACTCCCTCCAGTTTAGGACACAGGCTGAAGGAGATGCGTACCCGCATAAGGTCACAGCACGCAGCTAAAATTCAGGCAGAGAAACACAGCAATCTACAAGTTGAGCCTGCGCCAGCGGCCATAATTGCGCGAGACCTTACCAGCTCGGGGTCTGCGACTAGGTCGCCTTCAATCGTGCCTTCTACGAACAACATCACACGGAATGAGATACCGGCGGCGGCAGAACATATAGAGCCAGATAGGCTGCACACGCTAGAAGATGCAGCGGCCGAGCCTATCTCTGTCCCTCTTGTGATTGTTGACCCGGAGGAATCCGGACAGCCGGAAGATTCGACAAATCGAGTGATACTACGTGACCCTCCCCTCGGTTCGATGGAGTATATCATCCCGCTACCTTTGGAAGGCCCACAAGGCGATCAGTACCGAAAAACGATCACCTACTACAAGGATCTTGTTGAGAGCTCGGCTCGTTTGGAGTGGACTGGAGAGGAGCCTCCCATCAAAGAAGTGAAACATTTTATCACAAGGATGCATAATGTCGCAACGCATGTTGATCTCGAGAACCATGACGCACTTACTCAACATGGCGTGCCGCCAGAGAACCAGGCTGAATGGGATCAGAGCTGCAGTGTCAAGTTCAGGTTCCTTGGTCGATTCCTGGATCTCATGTGCAAGCAAGATTTCCATATTGCCATTCTTGCGAGGCAGGGAAAGGTCCTCGATCTGATCGAGACGTTCTTGAAAGGCAAGCATATCACGTATTACCGGCCGGATAAGGCGAGAGAAATGGAGGTAGACAGCGCCGCTGCTTCACTTGCCGTCACGCTCCTCCCTACTAAGGGCGAAGGGTTAATGGTAACAGCACGCCCCGCAAGTCTCCTAATTGCATTAGACCACACCTTGGATTTAAGTAGCGCGCATGTTCAAGCCTTGCGGTCCACTAAGCCGGACGGTCGTCTTTCACCTGTGGTTTCACTCGTTGTCGTGAACACAGCGGAGCATATCAAGCGTTGCCTCTCTCCTAATATTAAGGGGCTCGATAGGCTCAGGATTGTTGTTGACTGCATCGCCCAGCTGAGGCTAGAAGCTGGGAAGCTGGCAGATGACTGCCCTAGGCCTACTGCCGCAGCAGAGGAACTTGCGCGTTACATCATAGACAAGGAGGCAAAATGGCCCATTTTCGCAATCGACAGCTTCAGACACATGGTTGAGATCGATGGACCGCCTTCGCAATTCTCGGTCCCGTCGTCAGTGCCGGCCGGCACTCAGGAGATTTCAGGGGCTCAGAAACGGTCTATAGTAAGTACATAGCGAGGGCACAGAAAGATTAGTTTACCATACTAATCAATAGCAGGTTTTCGAAGATTCTGAGCCCACCAAGAGGATGCGCATGACACCCCAGCCTCCAGACTTCATCAACGCTAACTATCTCACCCGGATTAGCGATTCCGTCGCCGCCGGGCCGTCTCCTTCACAGCCAAGTCAATCAGCGCAGAATTCTTCTGTCATTGCTCAGCCACCTTCATATCCCCGCCCCGAAGCAGCCACATCGACAGACATTTCCGATCCCGATATCGAAAGCGACGTCCCAACTCTCCGCGCTCTCGTCCTGTCCACCCGGCACCGGGCATCCGACCTTGAGACCGAGCTTGCGGCCCTGCAGTATCGATTTGAGACGCTTCGGACCGAGCATGGCTCGCTGAAACGCGGACGAGATGAAGCTGTCCTTGCCCTCGTTGCCGCGAACACTAAGAGTGAGACGCAGGCCGCGGCCATCGCGGCGCTAAAAGCCGAGCGCGCCGAACTAGTCCAAAAGCTCGAGGAAGCACGAAAGCTCCTCGAAGGCTCAAGCGTGCCAGAAATAGCACAGCTAGCCGCGCTAGAGAACTCAAAGCAAGCAGCCGAGGAGCGGGCCGCGAAATGGGAACGCAAGTTCCTCACCCTGGAGAAGGAGCGCGACTTCTTCAGCTCAACGTACCAGACGGCCTCCCAAGCGGTCTCGGAGCTGCGCTCACAAAACAACGACCTTGAGCGCAACGTAGCCGACCTAACCAAACAGGCCAGCGGCGAAGCGGCCCGCCTGAAGCAGCTAGGCGCGGACCAGCGCGCAAAGAAGTACGAAAAGGAGGTCGAGCGACTGAAAGTCATGGTGCGGAATCTGGAGGAGCTGGTTAGGAAAAAGGACGAGGATCTTAGGGCTATGAAGGGGAGGAGCGGGTACGGAACCCGCCAGAGCAGCGTCCCGAGGAGTCCGAGCGTGAGGCCTAGTCGGGGGAGCAGGGCGAATAGTCCGCTGGCAGGGGGTTTGGGAAGTAGGTTAGGGGCGTTGAGGGCGGATCGATAGCGGTGTTACAAGAGAGAGGGTGGGGCTGCGGAGCGGCATACAGGGAGCTTGAGCTCTGGGTTTTGGGTACTATGGGAGCATCAGGAGCGGTTTGAAATCATTGCGGGCTAGTCATTGCTATTCGGTTGATCACTAAGGGACTTGCCGGCTTTAAACCGCTCGGTGCATATAGGAGCTAGGGCTAGGGTAGCTTCTAGTAAGAAGCACCACCTGCCTCTATATGTTAGTGAATGGAAGTAATGCATATATCTAATGCTTACACTCAAAGCAGCGTAACCGACATGTTATAATGCCTATAGTACTCAGCTAAGGAAAAGTGAAACGAAACTCCAGGTCCTAACAACGATAAGTCACCCTAATACAAGGATGCTAAGCCTAATCACGCATTCTGAATACTATGAGACCTGAGGATGGCGGTTTGCCCACGCCCAAGGGCCATCCGAAAAGGCCGTTACTGCATCAAAGCCGCTTTAGTTCTCAAGACCAAGTCACGACTGAGCTGGAATTATGATTATTCCAAGGGTGAAAGAGCTAGACCGGTTCTACACAATAGAAACCGTGAGCTGCTCAGCAGTATAGTACTCTCGTGCGTTGACTAAGTACGTTGTGAGCTATGAACGGCGTTTAGTCCATCCACCGTCATGTGCCCGACAAGCTCTCTATCCTGCAACGGCTTTTTTGACTGACCCTTGGCCCGCCTTAGATCTGGATGCAGGAGGCTCCCTTCTAACTTGAATATATGTTTCACAACCACAGAATCAACGCTTCTAAGACCTTGAAAGGCTTGATGGTTAAGATCACCACCATAGCTGCTACATCTTCGCTCCTCGACCGAGCTAATCATGTGACACGGTTTACCCCTGTGTAGGTGCAGTGGCAAGCCATTCACCGCTGCTACAGCTCGGCGCCTCCAGGAAGTTTACTTGCCACACGAAGCCATGAGTGAGCCAAAAAAGTAGAGTTGGAACAAGTTTTTTTCATTGGCCTCTATATCTATAGGTAATACATCCAATTGGGACCGCAAATGGTTATCCAAGTCACTGCCGCCGAGGGCAATCATCAAACTCCAGTCCTACCTGACGCGCCTTAACTCCACCTCAGGCGCAGTCGCAAAGCCAGGGATCAGCGGCAGATATTCTCCACCGCATACGCACGATACCGATCCAGCACATCCGTGGCCGCAATGCCGTCCTTCTGCGGCTTAAAGCTATAGTGCGCAACGAGCGCTCTACCGTCCACGACCGCATCTATTCCTTTGTCAACTTCCTATTCTCCCCCCACATGTCAGAGAGCTAGCAGTACTCACGCCTCTTGAGCCTCTTCGTCACAGCCTCCGTAAGATAGTACTCATCATCGCGATCCATCGGCTTACTCCTGATGACATCATCCCCCCAGATGGCAAAAAACTGGATCCCCATGCGCATGTAGTTGTAGTCCCAGACGTGGAACTTGTACCGCCACAGCTCGTTCTTCTCGAGGTGCTCGAAGAAGCTGTAGTGCTCCTGCGCCGCGATGGTCCAGTGCCACAGGCCGGGCGAGAACGCGTCGTACGTCGTCGTGTAGATGGGCGTGTCGTCGATGGAGGAGTTGGCCGGCATGGGCAGCCATCTGTGGCCTCTGAAGGGGGCCATGTACTCTTTGCCGATCTTAAACTCCGAGGGCCCCGTCCAGGTGGGGAGGTGCGATGCGCGCCACCTGCTCACGTTTGCGCCGGACTCCAGCGGTGGCGGCTCCAGTTCGGGCATGTATGGCTTTACTACACCGAGGTGGTGGTGTATCCAGCTTAGGCTGGGCTGGTTCATGACGTTGGCGGAGACGACGAAGTATTCTGGGTGCAAGACTTTCGTTTGCACGATTGTGGGGATGGCGGTGTCTTCGAGGAAGACGATGTCGTCGTCGATCTTGATGTACATGGTCCCGTTTTCGCAAACATCGTAGGCGGACTGGTAGTCCCTTTCCGCGAAGCTGAGATTGTGCCGGCGGTAGGAGGGCGAGGTGTCGACGAGCTTGTCGAGCCAGAGGAGATGCTCCGTGTTGACTGTACGCGCGAGGAAGATGACTTCGTCGAGGAGGCCGCCGTTTGAGGCGAGGTTGCGCTGGGGGGGTGTTAGTTGCGGCTGTGGTAGCAGTAGTGTCGCGGGAGGGTAACCTTGAGGTAGCAGTCTAATATCGACACGCTTGCTGGCCGCCCGTAGAACACCAACGCGACTATCCGGAAGTGCAGGGGCTTCTCATAGTTCGTGACTCCATCAAGATCACCTCCACCAGTTGCAGACCAAAACCGCGGGAGCGCCTTTGATAGGGCTGGTGAAGGTAAGGAAACACTCGCTGCGGGCGCGAAGAGGTGCCATCCCAGTAGCGACAAGGCTACAAAAAGGCAGAGGGCGATAATTGCTGGCTTGTATAAAGAAACTCTTGCACTGTGTGTTGTAGAGAAGCGGCGCGGTGGGAGCAGCATCGTGGCGGGAAGCTGCAGGACATGCGGACCCCTGATCCCCACACGCAGAGAAAAGCGCAAGATGCCAGTCACCAAGTATCGCTGGATATGCTCAAGGTGAGCAACAACATATTGCTGGCCTGCCCTCCATAAAGGCACAACGCTCGCCGTTATGAAAGGGGCGCTAGAGTCTTGTGCGGTTGTAGCCGCCCTTACTTGAGACCGGTACTCGTACCTGGATCTACAGGAACCAGAGTGTGCAGAGGTACATACAATGGCCCAAAACGGCCTGAAAAGACTGCTTCCCGCTCCTGATTCAGCTCGGCCGCCTGCCGCTAGCAAGATCTACGGCGTCCCCGCAGTCGCTAGATGGATTGACATACTGCCCCTGACGCTACCTAGGGAGGCCACAATCTCCACACTGATCTTGATAGGTGCTATCAAGATGTCAAAACCTGGATGTCCGTCACGATACAAAATGTGTCCTGATTGCAAAGATGCTTTGAACACATGTTTCAGTTCCTCCAAGCCACACTAGCCGTCGTGGTGATGTTGTATTGTAAGCGTAAACGTATGAAGCTATTGATCCCAGTCGCCTGAGTGGCTAATTCTTCCACCGGCTACGGCCCGCTCCTTGACAAAATGCTTAAGAGGTGAGGCACAACTACCGTAGCGTGCTTGAGAGAGCTGTGTCCACGCTCCATTTCCGTCCGGTGCGTTTCATTTGCTTCACCTGTACCCGTAGAGACGCTATTTAGCGTGTCTCTGGAGTTCTCGGCCTTTCTGTCTTAAGATGTCTAAAGGAGCGAGTAATTGACATGCCCATCGCATCTAATCTCTGCTGTAGTCACCTCTCGATACCGGCTGCCTTTTTGTATTCTAGGCAAAGTTGCATTGACCCACCGCAAAATGATGGAACACCGATACCGTTTGAAGATTGTCCTTACTGGCTGGCTCAGCATCCTAACAAGTGATGTTTCAGCCGCTGGAAGCCGGTTTGCTCAGACAGGGGAGCTCTCGTTGTAGCAGCAGGAAGCTAGTCGATGCAGAAATCAACCTCACGTCAACGGAGGACTTTGACATGTCTCTGCGCCTCCATCGCCGTCAGCCTGCAAGGTGCTCCAAAACGCCCATTCACGCTTCACACGTGGACCAGGTCCCTACGCCGGCTTGCCTCTATTCCCCTCCCCGCCCTTCGCCGTTCCCAGATCCTCCTTCTGAACCTTGACCCTCTCCTTAACTCCCGGGAACCCAAACCTCTCCGTCCTGCCCCCCTTCAACCCCTTCCACACCCCCCAATCGCTCCACCCCCTCCACGTCAGCGCCCCAACCCACGGCTGCACATTCCAGCCCAGCTCAAGCACCACGTCGGACCTGTTCGCCACCTTGCCCGTGTAATCTGTGATCTGGTATTTCGGGCGCTGGTTCTGCAGGTGCAGGATGCCTGGCGCTGCAATGGCTTTCTGAGCTTCGGGATCGGACTTGCGGGTGTCGGGGGTGCCGGGGGCCTCGTACTGGTTTTGGTGCCAGGGCGCGGAAGGGGAGGCGAGGATCGCGTCCCAGATTATGGCGGAGGAGGGGGGCTCGCTGGGTTTGAGGGAGGGGTAGGTTGCGGTTATGTAGAGGAAAACTTGTTTTGTGTTCCAAGTGAAGAGGGTGGAGAGGTCTGAGACGAGTGTCAGTCTGAGGATGTGAGGTTTGGCAGGGCTTCTTGAGTTGCTGGAGGTGGTAATGAAGGATTGGATAGCGAGCATACCGGTGTCAAGGTCGAACTTGATGTGCGCATATTCCTCCTTCTTTGTGCTGTAGTAGTTCGGTCGGCCTCGTACCCTAGCGAGCGACATGTCAGTGTATGCTCCTTCTCTCGTACCTGCATTGGTCACATACACTTGCACATTCCGGAGCTTGATATCCGCAGACGGCGTCTGCGGCGAGACGAAGCCAGAGAGGGCAATGAGGGCGGCGACGCAGAAGGCTACGGTGGTGAAGAAGCCGAAGGCCGTCTGGGCACGCACGAGTGTCGAGTGCATGCTGGCGGGCAGGCAAAAGCGCGCTGGTTGTTTTGTGTGAGCACCTCCACCATGGGGTGGGTGGATTGGAGATGTGGCCCTTCCAGGAAACGAGCTTCAGGCGCGCAGACACGTGAGAACGCTCACCACGCGGATTTTGACGACTCGAAATGTGGCTCGCAACTGTAGGAATGGTCACACGAATTGCTTTACAACATGGTCTTGCATCTTGCAAGCAGCTCTCACCGAGATATTCAAGCATCTAAACCTCGCCATGATTGATAATTATCACCTGCATCAGTCTGCTGAGGGCTTCAGGCAGATGGCGAGATATATCTTACGAGCCCAAAGAGCCGCAAAATATCGCTGTGGGATGTTCGTGGTGATTGTGTGCAATTGAGTTTGGCCGTACCGTGGACATTCAGTCACCTACCAAAGTACATCTCCAAACTCTAGATTCGTACCACGGATTAGTAGAAGGCACCACGCACGGTATGGCTAACATGCTCGAATGTCAGAGCGGAAGACCTGCTCCCCAAGTATATAACTCTTCCATCTCTCGCCAGTATCCCACAGTACTTTCCCCTCCAAAATCATCAACAAAGCCAATCTTCATCAATACCACAAGAGCTCCCACCGCCAGAACCATGAAATTCTCAACCACCGCCACCCTTCTGGCGGCCATTACGGCCGTTCTTGCCCTCCCCACAAGCCTGCCGCTACACAAGGAAGGCCACGTTGCGCCGGGATCCGGCAACGAACTCTCGCTCCGGAACTGGACTGTGCCGTCCGACGTCGCGACGGCGCATGCCAACGATCCGCACCGTCGCGTGCAGCGCGGCCTTGCTGCCGCATCCCCACGGACGCCGGGGGTGGAGATCAGGGGTACGGGTACGGAGCTGAAGGGCGTGCGCTTCGATCCCGCGACAAGAACGATGGTCGCCGTCGAGGTGCTTGTGGAGGAGTCCCGCGCCGAGAAGCGCAACGTCGACGAACAGGAGCAGGTCCAGCAGGAGGCGACCAAAGAAGGGGGAATTGAGCAGGACCGACTCGAACAGCACGATGCCGAGCAAGACCACGATGGAAACTACGAGTGCGACCGAGAGGATATCGACCGGGACCCGGTATGTCGTGAGCGCCTCAGAAAGTTTTATCTTCGATATCTGGTCTGGCTCTGGTTCATCCCCGCGGGCGTTTTTGTCATGATAATCGCTATCGGCCCCATTCTTGAATGGAGGGACAAGCGAAAGGCTCGAATGGAGAAAGGAGATCATCCTGAGTGGTATGGTAGCAAGGGCTCCCACAAGCAGGGCAAGCAAAGCAAGCAGGAGGTTCCGATGGCACCTTTCCTGGTACACACTTAACCTTCTCGTGTACAAGACGGTCGAGCGGAGTGTGTCTCAGGATGTGGTCTTTCATTTTTCGGCGTCAAAAGCTTGTGATGTACATAGTTAAACGTTAGTATGCGATCAAGCTGTTCAACGCACCTTGGCATTACGTTGGATTCTGGGTACGGGTACAGCGGCATCTCCGCGCCCGCAGAAGCGACTCTAGGCCGAAAGCTGAATACCTGCGCCATATATTTGCGTCCAGATCATGTCCCCTCTTCGTCAATGCGCGCTTCATCCACCCTTACGCACCTCAGCGACCTACTCTTCAAGCAAAAGCCGCCACAGCGCATCCTTCTCCGGATATCCGTGGTGAATCACATTGACCAGCCAATAGTCATCCCTAACACTTCCAAGCAGCTTCGCTGTCGGCGATTGCGGAGGGTAGATCCGCTGCCACTCGCTCCAGATACTGAAGGCTTCTTCAAGCCAAGCGCGGAACGAGACCGCCTCGATGATAGTCGGTGAGATGATTTCTTTACCCGCAAACGCACCCCATGTCACTGCATGTACAGAGTCCTCTTTCGTCGCGGCGATGTCGCCCGCTTTGTTGCCTGCAAAGTAGGTCACCTCTTCATGTTCGGAGAGCTTGCGCTGGAGCTTCTGCCAGTCGGCGGAGGGGAGGAAGAACTCTACGAAGGGCTGTGTCTAGTTAGCGAACGTTTCACCATCATTGCGAGCATGGGAAACGAGACCTTCTGGAATACGAAGCCGTTCTTCGGACCCCAGCCGAAGATCGGATCGGTGCTCTTGACTCCGTTCACGGCTGGCTGACTCGCGACAGTCCACCAGCCTTTGCTGTTGAGCTTGAGGAGCTCTTCTTGAATTGTCTTCGTCTCTGGGTTGAGACCTTCCTCGCTCCACGGGACCGCTTCGAGCTCACCGGAGATGTGTCTTCGGAAGATGGTGGTGAGGTCGGATATCTCTGTTGGATATCCCCAGAGCTTGACGGCTTGCGGTATTGAAACGTGTAATGAGACGCCATAGCCGTCGATCTCGCCAAAGGCTATTAACGGTCAGCGTACCAGTCACACGACATTGATAGGACAGAGTAATGTTTCTGAAGATAGTGAGAGGGGGGCATGACTACCTGGTGATCTTGCATCTCCCCACCTCCCATTGGGGAAGTCGTCCCATGTGGCCTCCCGTCCTAGTGCACCTTCTCCTTCGGAGATAGCAAGCGTGTTCGCCCTTGTATTGATCTTGTCCCTTGGCACACCCACTTCGTCATCAGGCGCTTCGTAGCTCGCGTTACTCGATGTCGAAGGCCGCTCTACTATCACACGGTTGTGAGGAGCCGAGTTGACCGAAGACAGCCTCCGCCGAGCTGCCTTGTTGATTGCTCCAAGCGGCGGTAAAATATCGTCGTCCCCATCAATTGCCACTGCATCGTCACCATCGTCGCCATCGTCTTCATCTTGCGATATGGGTGGGATGAGTTGTGTCCTCTCTACTATGTGCGCAACGGCCTTCTCTAAATTAAGGGTGTAGAAGTGGAAGCCTCGAGGACCTTGCGGCGTCGTCCGCTTGATCTCCTGCACGATCTCGCCCAGAATATCTACACCCACTCTCTTGACTGCTTCATCATCACCCTTCACAGCATCCAGTCTTGAGAGGATCTCCGGTGGTAGCCTTGCGTGGCTAAGCTTTGTTATCCTTCGCAGAATCTGGTAGCTCTGGATCGGCATCAAGCCTGGTATTACTGGGATGCTTTTGAATGCGCCTGACGGATGACTGCGCAGCATGGCCTCAAAATCCGAGTAAGCCTTGACGTCGAAGAAAAGTTGGGTCATGATGAAGTCCGTGCCGGCCTGCACCTTCTCCACAAGATACGGTATGTCGAACTTGGGATCCTGGTGCTCCGGATGCGACTGATCGGAGTGACCCTCCGGGTATGCCGCCACGCCAACGCAGAAATAATCGCCGTACTGCTTCCGTATGTACCGCACAAGGTCGATTGCCCATTCAAAGTCGTCATTCGAGTCTCCGCTGACCGGTGCGCCCTCGTCCCTATATTCGTCACTTCGAGGTGGGTCGCCACGCAGGGCGAGGATGTTCCGGACGCCCAGTGCTTTTGCTTGTTCCAGGGCTTCGTCTACTAGTGACCGGCTCATGTTTGTACATGTAAGGTGGAGACATGTCGTGAGGCCCAATTGACGCTGGCATATTTCGGCCAGCTCGAGTGATTTAGTCGCTGTGCTGCCGCCGGCTCCCCAGGTTACAGTAACGAAAAGCGGTCGCAGAGCCCGGGACATGCGTTCTAGCCGGGCTTGTAGGTTCGAAGAGCCCTGGTTTCGGGATCAGCAAGTCATATTTCTGTGCGCGTGGACGCTTCGAGGCTCGGATACCATTTGAGTCTTCGGCGGGAAGAACTCGAGGGAGAAGTAGTTTGCATCTTGAGGCAGCGCTGCGATTTTATCCGTGATCTTCTCCATCATTAAAGCTTATGAGTGGCGGCAGATAGGGTGGTGGTGCTTCTGTCAAAGATTCCCCCATGGCTTTGGTGGTGGACGAAGGCAATGAATGTGGGGCAGCTCATGGCGCCGACGGTTTGAGGGCCGTGACATGGATGACATGGCAAGAATCTGCAAAGACGCCTGATGAACACTCAGCGTAGAGACAACATAATCACCTATCGGTTCAATGGCTTCGGTTTTCCTGTCTGTCACTGGTTTTCTTTAAGTTCGTTCTAGGAATCCATGCTTTGCTCCCAGTGCCCGGAACACTCCCATGCACTCGTAAACCACTTTTTGATCTGTCGTTAAATTACTGCCGAGCCCCTAATTAACACACCTAATCTCTCTCTAGCCGTCCGCGTTGATCCCTGGGTATATAAAGCTCAAACCCCCTTCGATACATGCGCCTCTGATGCGCCGACTCGCCTGTACTCCACATATGCTAAAGCCTTCGCTGACCCCGTGATCCTCATGCTTGATTTATGACCTCTACCATCCACGCCTAGCGCGATACTCCCCTACAGTGCCGTGATATTCAAGGATTCTGGTGTGATACTCCTGCGCAGGGGCCAGTTGTAATGGCATCAACTCGATGAAACGTTGGAGCTGCTCCTCGCCCTGGCAGGCTACCGCATTGTGGAGCCCCGTGAAACGTCCATAGTAATCTACAACCGGGATTGCCACATGGTATACAGGACCATCCCAGTACTGGGGTGTTGTGGGTAAGCCGGCCACTGCGATGCTGTTTGAAGGACCGTAGGGAGGGGCGGGGATGGTCTGTACCGGTGCGTACATGACTCGATGCTGGGCAGGCAAATGCGCTGGGTTTGGAGCGTATGGAGAAGATCGGCTGGCCGGTGTCGCTTGAGGAGTATCCGTCGTCACGCTCAGCGCCAGACCAGGAGGCCGAGACATTACGGATACCAGATCGTGACCAGTCCTCGAACCATCACGAGTCACCCGAGAAGTGGTTGATGCTGCGGGTGTAGCAGGCGCAGGCGCTGCATTACTGAACAGAGAATCGTGCAACGCTGACATTGACACCGTTCTAGCCCTCTCGTGAGCTGACCTGCGATACATGAACTCGAAATTCGTCTGCCTAGGCAGCTCTGCGCCAGAGGCCTCCTGCTTGCTTGTCTCCTGCAACGGCTGGGCGACTGAAGCTTCGAGAAGCGGCAAAGTCCTTATAGAAGCTGGAAACGGCCGCGGCGGTAGGTCTCCAACAGAGAAGAGAGGCTTGCCAGAGGCTGACGCGAGCTTTGATTGACGCCTTGCACAAGGGAACTCCAGGCTACCAAACCACAAGCGCAGCATTCCGGCGGAGTCTTCAGGAGGCGGAGAGGGGCTGGTTAGTACTGGCGGCGATTTCGAGACGGCGGCTTCGACAAGTATATGATCCTCTTTAGACGCGACATCTTTGGCAGGGGAAGGAACTTCGGTAGGTGAAGGATTTGCCACGAGTGCTACCGGCGAGCGCTGCTTAGATGCTTCGACAGGTGAGGATAGTCCAGGAGGCGCTGGCAGCGGCATAGTCAAAGACAGGCCGTCAAACAGCGGCGGCAGGCTAGTGGCCAGTTGCGGCCGCCTCCTGAACTTCTCAACAAGTGTCCAAGATTCGCCATGAGGTGACGGCAAGCGTATAGGAGGAGCTTCTTCAGCCTCCTGAATAGCGCTGAGTGCTGGTGGCGTGGCTGTACCAGTGCTCTCATCTGCCTTCTTCTTCTTGCCAGCCGCCCTCTTTCCCTTTTTGCCCTTCTTCTTCCGGCTCTTCGGGCCCTCCTTGGCTGGTAGGTCCGTATCTTCTTCCGCCGCCATCAGAGTCGCAGCGGCCTGCTCAGCCTCCTTTCCCTTCCGTTCAAGCTCCTTCTTGCGGTCTTGTTCCCGCCTTTCTTCTTCTTGCCTACTCCTTTCCTGCTCCAACGTCCTCTTCTCCTGAGCCTCCCTCCGTTCCCTCCGCACTTGTTCATGCTTCTCCATAGGCGTACGCCAGTCCAGCGCATGGATCCTCTGTTCCCAGGTGTCAAGTAGCTGCAAGACTTCGGGTTCCATAGTATCAGACACTTCCATCCAGAAATGACGCGTTGGACCAGATGTCGATGAGTCCTGGTGCTGATTGGCGTTATTTCCGCCGCGTCCTTGACCGTCCACTACAAGGTTCTGGATTACTTGAACCACCTTTCGTGCCACAACAAGAACTCGGTCAATCTGGCCGTATCTGAGCAAGTAGACAAGCAGCCACTTGATGCGCGATAGACACTCGTGTTCTGCTCTAGTCCGTGCAGCCAACATCCACTGCGTGAGTGGACCACTGTCTGAGGTCCAAGTGTCTTCGTCGAGTGCGGTTTCAAGGGCTTCCGCATCGCTCCGCGACAGGACTACCTCATGGAAAGTTGATGTCACGGCTAAAACTGGGTCGTCTGGAGAGTTGAGTACAGCTGGGAAGGGCAGTATCCTCCATCCTAGCGATTCATCAGGACGGGTGAAAACGGTTGCCGATTGCTCAGATCCGAGTGGAACATTGACTTCAATTGTTAGGAAAGAAAGTTCTTTGGGGAACTTCATCTCCTCCGTGCAAGAGCTTAACAATGGAAGACAAGCAAAAGGCCGATGCGCACTGCCCAGCGGGGTGTGGTATTGGAGTTCATCTATAGCGGCGCGAGTAGCCCTCTTCAAGATGTTAGCAACAACGGACCATCTCAGCTGAGCAAGACATTTGCAGAATGGCAAAATTCTACGACGATAGTGAATGGATAGGGCAGAGAGGATATAGCTAGAGATAGGTGTCTGAACGCTCAAACTAGGACTCACCCGTATCTTTATCATCTCACGGCTCCTCCTTAACTTCTGCATCGCACGAACTGCCTCTTCCATCGTGTGCTCGGGAGTGTGTTCCATCTTCTCTGTGCCACAAATCTGCAGCGGATGGATGTAGCCGGCTCTGTTTTGCAGGTCGAACACGATTGGCTTGGGCTGGACTTGAAATAACAAAATCCTTTCTGTGGGCTCCGGAAGTTGCGCTTGGCGAGTACAGAACGTGAGAAGCGCTCCTGTGGGGCTTACTAAGCGATGTCGAGCTGGTGCACAGCAGCCTCCAATGCAAGGACCTTCATGACAAGGAATACTCAGATCAACCTGCTCGGGTATGGTCTACAGCATGTGAGAGCCTATCTTAAAAAGAACTAAAGCAGAGCATTGACTACAGATCAAAAGGAAGTTGCTCTAGGATATCTCCAGTACACACGACTCCATTGGACAATATAGCAGTCGGAAAGGCACTGCTTCGCAACTCATCCTGGCCGACGCTGTCCACAACGTCTACCAGCTGAAGAAGCCTTTCGCAACCAGAACCTACTAGTTTGTTTCCTGCGGCGGGGCCTCCCTATGTCTGCCCAACAGCGTCGGAGTACTGACCTGTCAGACAAAGCTGGAGGCTGACAACGGGCAAACATTGCATGGAGCGGCTGGATATACTGTCTTATAACTTCGACACCAAATGAAAAGCAAGAGAAGTAACAAAGAAGAAAAGCTGCAGGAAAAGAGAAGAGCCAGGAAGCCTGGAGAGCGTGTGAGCCTGTATGGAGCCTCCCGGCACTTCGTCGACCTACTGGAGAGCAACAAAAGAACAGCAACAGCCAGGAGAGTGTTGACGTGGTATGAAAAGGCACGATCGAAGCCATCGTTTGGTCAACTGCCACGCCCGGAACCAACATTTACGGCTGCTGGCATCTCTACCAGTGGCCATATTGACAGATGTGCCTCAACAGATTACGGAACATCCTTTGAAGAACCGGATCAAGGTAGCCGATATGCCCATACGAGAGGTCTTCCGTCCCAGTATTGCTACAAAGGGATTGTTCCTCGGTCTGCTGCCTTCCGGTCTCGGAAGCATACGATGGGAAGACGGTTGGAGACCAGAGGAACAAGAGCCTCGCGCTACTCTCAAGCTTGTATACGAGCCGGAAAGGACTGTGATATAAAGCCTAATGCCACTCCTCGGGATTCAAGGTTTTACGAAACTAGTACAGTACTCAACCTTGTTTAAGGAAGAGGGTTCTTCATCCTCACCTGCTCTGAGCCAGAGAAACATCCCAAACGAAACAAAGGCGTTCGCGGAAACAGCTTCGGGAACACTTTCCACAGTATCTTGGGCATGAGTGCTTGGACGTGCTGCCGCAACGACTCACAAACGTCTGGGCCACTCAATGTAAGACGCCACTCATTGTGATCGGTCGTGTTCAAGGCCGAGGCGGGGGAGAGCAATGGCTCCGAGCCACGCCGCTCAACTGATGGTGCAATATCTCTTAAGATTACTGCAAGAGCGATACAGGTGCTCGTTCTTGTAAGGCCGCGGGTCCCATCGTTCGAATAAAATGTCAATGGGGCCTGTTCGATACTCGAGTGACCTGGAGAAACATCGACTATGCAGTTTTGGGAGGGTGTTGCCGCATTTAGCTGATCATACGCAATACAACTACATATACGAGATGATCCATGGGCAAACTCAAAACTGGCCAGTACGGCTTCCCGAGGTTATGTTCGTACTAAGCCTACACACACCATAGCACTGCTGGCTGGTATCGGATCAGCCGATGGTGTTCTTGCGTATATATATCCGGTCTGTTATGTAATTGAGTTTCGAGTCTCTGTTTCTTTCCCGTTGCGGCTGAGAATCCAGCGAATTTGTAGCAGTCAGGGCCAGCCTATATCATACGACAGCCCCATGTTCCGCGGTTCTAGAGCGTGGAATGGTCTGTTCAGGTCTCTTGACTTGTACTGATGGCGCAAGGTTTGGTCTTTAGCGGCCAGGCTGCCAACACGCGTCTGTTCATTGCATAGATTGAGTTGGTCCATCATCCGTTCCAGAAGCGTATATCCACCCTTTCGCCCTACTGCGGTGGATAAAGTAAGCTGCTAGCAACAGTCGATACGTGTTGTACAGCTCGGGAGGCTGGTGATCGACTACATGAGGACTCCGCTGGTGTGGTCCTTCAACTGGCTTTCGCGTCGCGAGGTGAGTCTCGTAGTCCAAAGTGACGCTGTTGCGTTGGTCCAGGTGAATTCAGTTCCTTCTCGGACTAGGACTGGCTGGTCGACACTGACTGTACTGGAAAGATCTGTACTGTGCGTTGGATGAGGTTGAGCACAAGAAGTCCCAGAACTCAGCAAGGGTGTGGGTTATGTAAGCCGACCAACCTCACCTCCTTCGATTCTCATGCACACCGCACCCGAGTCCAGTCGTGTTCCGTACTCCTTAAGCTTGCAAGCCTACGACTCCAGATTTCTCGTCAGTCAAAGATCATGAAGTGAGAAGAAGCCAAGTCTAGACGATAAAATTCTTCTGGACAGCGCCGCAACGGCAGCCTCAGCATGAGCTTCGTCTCCTATCAAGCCACCAGCCTCCAACATCCAGAACTAGATTCTTAGGAACATGCGTTGGCCCTGTATCTCGGTCAAAATCGCCTATCTCCATCGCTCCGCTTGCCAGCAAAATTACTGGAATCCATACCCCAGCAAACTTACGTAAAGCGTGTATTCCAACGAGGATATATTTAGGACTCTTTCACAGCGCTAGCTTCTGTCGGAGCATATATTTGTTACGCAGCGGTTGTAATTGAACCAGTCTCCGATCTATGTGTTGAAGTTCTGGGGTCTCACAGTCGACCACCAGCTTGTATCAGTATCAGCGTAGTAACAGTACGGCAAAGTACTTTCCCTAGGCGTGTAAAACTCTCAGCAAGCGATTGGAGTACTCAGCCAAGCTAGACAGCTTTCAGTGTTCATTTTGTGTCTATCAGCTGATTAAGTATGATCCAGTCAAACTCCCTTATAATATTTCAATGCGTCTAAGACCTCTGAACGCTCCTATCCTTGGCCTAGACGGTGGTGATCGTTTCTGAGCCGCTGAGCACCTCTAAATCCGATGTGGCATTTGCAAGTTGAAGCGTGTTAGCACCCTACCATGCCAAGTTGACAGATCGCACCTCCACCTCTACCTGCTCCGCCACCCCAGTGGAAAACATTGTTATCCCTGTCCCCTCGTCATCCGGGAATATCTGCGCCGTGATCGTCGACTCGCCCAAGCCCCCAAACACCTCCACGGAGCTCCAATCCAACAGCACCCTGATCCTGACCCTATCATCATCCCCAGCCGTTAGCGGCGCATAATACATGCCCGGAAACGCCTTTGTGACAAACGCACTCCCCGAATTCCTCCGATCCACGTACATCCGGGCCGTCTCGAACTCATAGCCCACAACAGTTTCCTGTCCTCTCCCAGCCCTCAGCGCAATCCCAAACACTCCCGTAGACCCCTCAGCGCAGAAGCTCAACCGCACATCCAGTGCCTTCCCACTCGCATCCAGCGCCACCCTCCCCGCCGACACACTCGCCCATGCCTTTGCAAAAAGCGGCTCAGGTCGCATAAGCCCCTCAAACCCATCAACGGGCCTCTGCACAAGCCTAAGCTTGCCACCAATCGTCCTAAGTTCCAGCACGCGCGGAACACTCATCGCGCCTCGCCACGGCTCCGTCGGGATATCACGCGCATAGTCCCAGTTGCTCATCCAGGCGATGGCGACGCGGCCGTAGTCCGGGACGCCGGTCCAGGAGATTGGGGCGTAGAAGTCGGGGCCGTGGTCCATCCAGTTGGCTGTTTGGATATAAGCAGGTAATCCTGAATCTGAGGAGAAATTTGAGTCTGCCGTTGGGCCTGCATGGATACTCTCCGCATCAGCAGTAAAGCTCCTCCCGTCGAAGTCTCCAACAACATACTGAGTCCCCGACCCAACGACAGGACCACCGGGGTCGAGGCTGATAATCATGACCCACTTCAGCTTCCCCGCGTCGCCGTCCACAGGGAGGGGAAACAGATTCGGGCACTCCCATTTCCCGCCGACAGCGTTGAGGGGGCCGAACTCGCTGACCTGGGTCCAGTTCTTCAGGTCGGGAGATGTGTAGATGAGGAGTTTGTGCAGGACTGAGAGCGCGAGGACCATAATCCAGTTCCTGGAGGCGGCGTGCCAGAAGACGGCGGGGTCGCGGAAGTCGGCGTATTGGTCTGCATAGGCGGTGGGTGGGGAGGGGATCACTGGATTGCCGGAGTATTGTGTCCAGGTGAGGCCGTCGTCATTGCTGTAAGCGATGCCCTGGGCTTGTGTGCCGGCGCGGATGCATTGGCCATTGGCATGAGTGATATCTCGAGGGTAAAATAGCGTGAAAATTGCCACAAGAGCGCCGTGTTCGTCTGTAGCGAAGCCACTGGTGTTTTCCGGGTCTGAGATAGCGCCTCCAGAGAAGAAGGCTTCTGTCACGGTGCCAGATTCGTAGCCCACGGCTCTGAGTCCAAGTGGATCAGGGAGCTGTGTCCAGCGTGTTAAATCGGTACTCACAGCATGACCCCAGGACATGTTGCCCCAAGTGTGACTACCAGGATTGTACTGATAGAAAAGATGATATTTCCCTCGATGGTAAACGAGGCCATTAGGATCATTCATCCAATTCTTCTGGGGCGTGTAATGAAATTGTGGCCGGTAGGGCTCTTTAAAGGACTGTATTGCTGCCATGAAAAGTGAGAGTTCAAAGGAGAGTGAATGTTCAGGAACTGCTTAAAGCTTAATATACTCTTGTCCTGATGAGTAAATTACGGTAGGACGAGCAACCTGATATATGTTGACGTCTGTCACCCCAAGAACTCAACACTTTCCTGCACTTACTCGAGCAGCCTTAGCTTACCCGCCGCTTCCGCCGCTTATCCAAGCATATCTTCAGGACATTATTCATCAAATCCTGCTAACTCTCAGTACATCTTCTGTATACTCCGACTGTACTGCTTCCTCTGTAATGATCGTGTTCCTTGGCGTGGTGTTGAGGCGCGTTCTCGACAGCAGGGAATCAGCGGGCAGCCGCTGCGTGCCCTTTGGCAATCTCAATAAAGCTGCGAGGCTTCCACCGTCTGGTGAAGAGGGGTCAAACCAGCTTGATCCCATTCATACTAAGTAGCTACTCTCCCATACTACAAATCGTATCTGAGTTCTGCGACTACAAGGGGCCCCACAGTGAGCAACTCGTGCACCGTACTTACAAAAGACTCGACGAGACTGCTAGCCCGGTTGAGACTACAGTCCTGCACCACTCTCTTTGACCCCTAACTGACTAGCCTTCCAGCCCGCATTCGGACCAACAATGTGAGAATAGCAATTTGCTGCATGAGGACACGCCACAGCTAGCGGGAAACCGACGCTTTCGCCATTTGAGAACTAAACCAAAGCCTCAACCCCGAGGCTTGCAAAACCTTAACTTTCTCCTATACGCAAACATGGTCGCTGACCGCAATAGGAGTGCTGGACACTTCCCATAAATGAGTCTTCTCAGGCGAACAGTGCTTAACAGGCCTCCGGTGGGCTGAAGTACCCACCTGGATAAAGACCAGGTAAACAAGAGCCATCGCTTGAGTCCTGTTTGCGAAGGTTGGGAAAGACAGGGCCGAATCTCCGTTTCCGCTGCTTTGCTTCACCGGCACCTCGGCGCACTTGTGGGACTACAAGGCGTCACTCCGCCTCCCACATGACCCACATCATCCAGCCACCGCAGCATGCGCCTGGCCCGGCTCGCACCGCAAACACGATCGGAAAAGAAGGTCCACCAAGCTGTTCCTTACACTGCGTCCTGGCTCGCTCTGGTGATAAGCTGCTCATTCTTGTTGCCCAGCTTAGAAATCTGAAGGAAGGCATCGACGCCCCATCCTTCCAAGCTGTGCAACTCCAAGCTACCAGCCCAGTACTCGGCGTAGATCTTGCTCATCGGCAGGCCAATCCCAAGACGCAGGTCCGGCGGCCGGCTGGTAAGACTACTAAGTGAACTTGCATGTCCTCCGGATTCAGCGGACCTCCAGTTCCTTTTCGTGTCGTGGACGCTTTGATCCTCGGTAGGGATCTTCAGCTCCTGCATTGTGGCTACCAGAGCCGGGACTTTGCGCAGATTCTTCAGTCTTGTCTGACTCCTTGGTCCTTTGCTGAACGACCAGAGGTAGGGCAAGATCTCCTTCGGAACGCCTCCACCGCGATCGGATGTTCGGATGATCACGTGCTGAGGCGTTTCGCAGACTAAGACCTCAATGGGAGGCGGTTTCTCTCCTTGGTGCCTTCGCTCGATGACGGCCTGGATCGAGTTCCGGAGAAGCTCTCCGATTATGTACTCGAGGTGGCTCTGTATATACGGAAAGGTTGCATCGAGATGGCCGTAAATCCGGACCTCTGGGATGTGTGCTGTTGATCCGTTGACTTTGCCTACCAGCTCCGTTATGGTCTTCGCGCATCGCTCCACGATTTCTTTTGCGCTGCAGCGCAGGAAGATCTCGCCGACTGCATCGATGTTTGGATCCATGTTCGCGTCTGGGAAATGCCACGGGGAATGGTAGGTCTCCGTGAGCGCGAGATGCTGCTCGGCTATGACGCGGCGCGAAATCCTCTGGTTAGATGTAGTCAGCACGTGATCCACCGAAAAAAGGTTGGATGTTCATACAGATCTGAGCAGCGTAGTCATGAACTTATCCGTGTCCTCAGGCTCCATAAGGCCTTGAATCTCCAGCACACCCATCGCCAGCCGCGGTATCACCGATAAGTGCTCCTTCAACGTCTCTGTGATAACCTTGCAGTAGCGATCATTGTCGTCGACCGTCTTGATCTCTGAGATTCGGCGGAGTCTGTCGAAGGCTTTATAGTATAGCTCGTAGACGTGGGAGATGTGAGGGTTCGTCACGACGACGTAGGGCAAGGTCTGCATGTCCCGAAGGCGATGCGCTATCCTGCATCCTTGTCAGCTTCCGCATCACTAACTAAATGCTGAGTCTGATTGATACTCACCGTGTAGGCAGCTCCGTCCGGACATAGTTGGCCGAACTGAGCAAGCGCGCCTCCGTCAGGGTTCGTCCAAAAAAGGTTAACTGGCGCAGACTAATTGGTCTGGCCTCGCGTTGCACCCACCTACAAGATGAAAAAGCATTAGCCTGGATATACAGCTACAGCTGCGAGGATCAATTGAAGGGGGACGTACTCATCCAGGACTGACGAAGGCCGCCATGGCGGGGCAGCGGGGCTGGATTGCGCACGGCGCGGCGACAACGGGGAACCAAGGACAATCGATGGCGCAGGAAGCGGATTGCGTATCCCGGTTTTACGAAGGACATTGCGGCCCGCCAACATCATCAAAGGACGTTGGTGGAGCTCCCAGGCCGAGTTGCGATTTCGTGCGGTTCGTAGCGGTGTGCGTCACGTTTGGAGGGGATCTTCAGCTCCACGGCGGTGACGAGTATCGGCGCGCGTGAGGATATTGACACATTCTGTACAGGGCGCTCGTGAGCACCCGGGTCTGCTGTGCTGTGCTGTGCTGTGCTGTGTTGTAATTAGACATGGACTCTAGATGACTCCGAGGTTGTGGGCAAACATACGATTCACGTGCTAGTTGCTTCAGCGAACCTCTCTGGCGGGCTGCCGCGCTGTGCATACCCGTGGTCCTGCAATGCCTCTTCTATCAAGTTTTTCGGTGTTAAAGAGAGTGCCAGCTAACCGAGTAGCAAGAGCATTCTGCACATAAACAGCTCTGGTGTGTGGAATGGCGCGAGTTCCTCGTTCGGAGAGAGCATCGAACTTTCCTTCGTCATTGTTCCCACCACGCCGCCACCTTTAGCGAGTGGCATCACCAAACACCTTACCGGGAAACTGTGCTTGCTTCACCCCCAAGCACCAAACAGCTGTACTTCTTTGCGCACTGTATACCCACCTCTTCCGTCCTCCGCCCTCCGCCCTCTCCTTCCGCTAGACCTTGCGCGCAATACCTCGACTTCCGCCCAAGATCTACCCCGAAACACTGCGGAACCCCCCGCCTTTACCATGGACCAGGTGAGCTTGAGTCCCTGCCAAAATCGGCAGTCCGAGCTATGAAGTAGCTAGTCTAATACAGACCTTGTTACAAGTTGGCAAGTGACATGCTGGTCGAGTCGGACTACGACGAGAAGCAACCCGTCACGAACATACTCCCAGACGAAGCCATGGACGACGCAGAGCCAAGCCCCGAATCGGAACCGCTCGCCGATGACTTTGAGGGTATGATAGCCCGGCATATGCCCCCATTGCCGGATCTAGAGGTAGAGACAGAGGCGATAAATACCTGGGAGATCAAGGACTGGCGCACAATGAGGCGAAGGGAGCAAGGGCCGATCTTCAAGGCCGGCGAGCACCCGTGGAGGGTTCTCTTCTTCCCCTATGGCAACAATGTTGACTACGCCTCCTTCTATCTCGAGCACGGTTTTGAAGACCAGCCTCCGGAAGGGTGGTATGCCTGTGTACAGTTCATGCTGGCCCTATGGAATCCCAGCGATCCCTCAATGGTCTGCGTACACGAAGCACGGCACCGGTTCACAGCGGAGGAAGGCGACTGGGGCTTCACGAGATTCGCCGAACTACGCAAACTCTTCCATCAGCCTTGGAACGACTCTGGGCGGCCCATGGTAGAAAACAACCGGGCCAATGTCACCGCATACGTGAGGGTGTACAAAGATCCAACGGGCGTTCTATGGCACAACTTCATAAAGTATGCAGTAAGATCTAGATCTTGGGCGGATTCCCACTGACGAACTTGCAGCTACGACTCGAAGAAGGAGACTGGCATGGTTGGCTTGAAGAACCAGGGCGCAACATGCTATCTTAACTCTCTCCTTCAGTCGCTCTACTTCACAAACACTTTCCGCAAGGTATGTTTACTGTCAAGCACACCTGGTCCGTGGCTAAGAAGTAGTAGGCTGTCTATCAGATACCCACGGAGAACGAAAGCGATGTGCGCGCGAACAGTGCCTACGCTTTACAACGGCTCTTCTATCAGCTACAAAGAAGCGATGTCGCTGTCTCTACCAACGAACTCACTTCTTCCTTCGGTTGGGACTCGAGGCAAATATTTGAGCAGCAGGATGTGCAAGAGCTGTCGCGATTACTTCTCGAAAGGATGGAGGAAAAGATGAAAGGCACAGGAGCCGAGCATGCAATGGCTGATCTGTTCGCTGGCAAAACCAAGACCTACATATCCTGCATCAACGTGCCCTACGAATCCTCTCGAATAGAAGATTACTGGGACATCTCGCTTACGGTGCTTGGCCGAAAAAACATTGAGGACAGCCTTAATGAGTTCACCGAGGTTGAAACGCTGGAAGGCGACAATAAGTACTTCGCCGAAGGCTACGGACTCCAGGACGCCAAGAAAGGGACCATCTTCGAGTCCTTTCCTCAGGTGCTGCACATACAGCTCAAGCGCTTCATGTACGATATACAACGCGATGCCATGATGAAGGTGAACGACCGCTACGAGTTTCCGGAGACATTCGACGCCTCGCCTTGGTTATCAGAGACTGCCGATAAATCGGAACCGTACGTCTACCGGCTTCATGGTGTCCTCGTGCATAGCGGAGATCTAAACGCTGGCCACTACTACGCTTTCCTCAAGCCGACGAAAGATGGTCCGTTCTACAAGTTTGATGACGATAGGGTGACGCGTGCGACTATGCGTGAGGTCCTAGAGGAGAACTTCGGAGGTGACTATGGAAACCAGGCCAACGGCAACGCACAGCAGCGAAATCCGTACACCCGGACGTGGTCTACAAAGAGGTCGATGAGCGCATACATGCTGGTTTACATTCGCGAAAGCCGGATTGACAGTATACTGCCTAACGAAGACGAGGTAGAACCGCCACCTCATCTCGGTATGTCTTGTGTTCACTCCTTTGCCATATGGTCATGTGTGACTCAGCTGACATCTTCAAGCGGAGAGATTTACCGCAGAGCGCGCAGAGCTTCTGAGAAGACAGAAGGAGCGCCAAGAAGCCCATCTCTACATTGACGTCCAGGTCGCCAATCTCTATAATTTCACATCATACCAAGGCTTCGACATTGTCCCATGGAAGCAGCAAGAGCCAGAAGATCCCTCGACGCCGCGAACCTTCCACGTCCTCCGAGATATGAAATTGGCAGATTTCATCAAAGAAGTCGCTGAAGACATGGGCGCAGAGCCGGATATGCTTCGACCATGGGCTATGGTAAACAGGCAAAACGGCACGACACGGCCGGACACAGCGCTCATCTTCCCCGACATGAGCATTGAAGAAGCCGCCAACAAGTACGGGACGAAAACCACTAACTTCCGAATCTGGATCGAGCAGACAGAGGAGCGAGACGCCGATGGCAAGCCGGTGTGGGGTGACAGTCGAGTTGACCTCCAAGGTGTACCTAACAACAGACCCATCATGCTGTTCCTCAAACATTTCGACGCAAGAGCTCAAACACTACTCGGAGCTGGAAGCTTCTATGCAGCATGGCAGGACAAGGTCTCAGATCTATCTCCGCAGATACTGAAGCTCATGGGATGGCCTTCAGGAACAGAGTTCAGGCTCTTCGAGGTAATACCTTCCCAGCAAGCTCAGCTAAGCGGATACACTGACTGCACTCCCTCAGGAAATCAAGCAGAATATGATCGAAAAAATGAAGCCCAAATCCACTTTGGCAGGGTCCGAGCTGCAAGATGGCGACATCATCACAGTCCAGAGGGTCTTATCCGACAAAGAGTTAGGCTTTGACTATGTTTCTATATGCTCCCGCAGCACTGATTCTGATCCCGATTCCAATTACACCACATCCTCTTGCGCTGTCGTCTCTGTTTCTGACATCTCTGATTTTGAAATCGCTGCTTCTGACGTCGCTGTTTCTGACCCGGCTGTTTCTGACGCTTCTGTTTCTGATATGCCTAAACGCAATTATTCTTATTCAAATCTAATACTTGACGACAGGACCAGCGTCATATCGGCCAACGGCAACTACACCAACGTCCAAGACTTCTACGATTACCTCTTGAACCGGGTTTCGGTGACGTTCGCACCGAAAGTCACCACCGCGAATGACGACGCGAAATTCGTGCTTACTCTGAGCAAGAAGATGTCCTACGACCAGTTCGCGGAGAAGGTCGGTGAGCATCTTCGGGTCGACCCGACACACCTGCGCTTCAGCACCGTCAACTACAACTCGGGAAGGGCCAAGGCACCAGTGCGGCGAACGCAGAACCAAACACTGGGCCACATCCTGCAGGGAGCCTTTACAAACTTCGGCGCCAACCAGACTCAGCGAACCGATTGTCTGATCTACGAGGTTCTGGAACTCAGCCTCACCGAACTCGAATCTCGGAAGAACGTAAAAGTGCACTGGCTGCCCGAAGGCATCACCAAACAGGTACATCACACCCCCCAGTCCCCCCTCCTCCGCACCCCTAACATCCCCCACAGGAGCCCTACGACATCCTCGTCCCCAAGAACGGCACCATGGCCGACGTGTTGGACTCGCTGCAAAAGAAAGCAAATCTCAGCGACGAGACGATGCAACGTCTCCGCATCTACGAAGCGCACGGCGGGAAATTCTACAAGGAGCTTCCGCCTACCTTCGGCGTCGTCTCCATCAACGAGTTCGTGACCATCTATGTCGAGAAGATCCCGGACGAGGAGGTCAGCAGGGATGAGGAGACGGAAAAGCTGGTCTCGGCGTATCATTTTGATCGGGAGAGCAACAAGCCGCATAACATCCCGTTTTTGTTCCTGGTTAAGCAGGTGAGTTGGGCGCTGTAAGGGGTTTGGAGGGGGGGTGGAGTGGCTGACGGGAAGCAGGACGAGGTGTTCAAAGACACGAAAGAGCGACTCTCGAAAAGGACGGGGATTAAGGGGAAGCAGTTCGAGAAGATCAAGTTCGCGGTCATCACACGCGCGAATTACTCGAAGCCGGAATACCTCAGCGATGGCAAGCACAACCCTCAACGTCGGAACCCTGGTTTTCGGTATCGGGCTAATAGACAAGCAGATGACGTCCTCTCCGAGAAACTCGTCTCGAAAGACGATCTCCTCGGCCTCGACCACGCGGACAAGGCCAAGAATAACTGGGGCCGTACCGAGGCGATCATGATCAAATGAAGAGGTGTGTGAGTGAGGACGATGGCGTCTTGCATCGCGGGAGGCCACGTACACATACACATACAGGCGCCCCACTGGAGCAGTGCCTGTGTTTACTTCTGGGCGTATGGATATGGCCCGAACGTTGTGCGCTTCACGCTACATGGTTGACGGGGCGTGAGCGTGGGTATGGGATGATACAGTATCTAGTAGCGGGGACCATGTGCATAACACGGCGTTATCTGAGCGTATGATACAAATAGTCTTGGCTGGCACTGAAACCGGGGGCCGGGATTGAGAATGTGTAGATTGAAGACATCGATAGACATGCACGTCTCTCAAGAATGAAGCCTCAAGCCACACCAGTGCATGCCGAAGTATATTCTGCTGGATCGATGCGGTTCAGCTTATATCAAAGGTATTGAGGGTAGAAACTCGGCAAGGCCCGTTTTCCAAACTGTGTGTCCCAGAACTACAACTACCAGTGCGCTACCAAGCCAAGCAGTGATATCCAAGCGAGCGAGGCGTCTCAGATCCTCGATACATAGCCAAGCACTTGAGACAGATCAGTCACTGAAAGTCCGTGCTCTTCCTCATAGGCTCACAGACCTCCCGAGCCGCTGGTGACTCGGTCTTGCATAGAGTCAGCCCACTGATTCCACACACTCTCGTTAGGAAAGCACTCACCTAGGTTAAAGGCAGCACTGATGAGCGCCAGATGCGAGAAAGCTTGGGGAGTGTTGCCGAGCTGTTCGCCGGACCGAGCAATTTCTTCTGAGAACATGTGCAGATGGTTCCCGTAGGAAAGCATGTTCTCGAACAGGTTGGTCGCTTTGATCAGGTACTTCTTGTCGTATGCGCCGGCCTGGTGAGATGGCACATTAGCAAGAGACGATGGTGGTATCACGGGAAGTGGAATGACACACCCGAGTGAGCGCCTCGACAAGCCAGAAGGTGCACATGCTGAAAGCGCCTTCTCGGCCGCCCACACCTGTAAGGTTGATTAGCATTCAGTGACCAAGGACATACGAGTCCTTGAACAGGTGCCCTTGAGCTTGCTAGGTACTGAGCTTACCGTCATCACTCTTCAGCCAGTTGTAGCGGTACACAAGGCCAGTGCTCGTCAGGCCGCCTTTCTCCGGCGGCTTCAAGATCTGCTCCAAGGTGTTCGTGAAACGCGGATCGTTTGGCGCGATGAAGAACACCAGCGGAGCAATCAGAACCGCAGAGTCCAAGATCTCGTTCTGCTCGTAGCTCTGGATGAAGCACTTCATCTCCTTGTTGTATCCCCTGTCCATGACATCCTCGTAGATCTGATCTCGCACAGCCTGCCACTTGTGTCGGTTCGGACATGGGAAGATACGCTTCTCGGACAAACGTAAGGCTCGGTCCACAGCGACCCACAGCATGATTTTGGAATACACGAAGTTCTGCGTCTTGCCGCGCACTTCCCAGATCGACATGTCATCCTCCTGCCAGATGCCGCAGACGAAGTCGGTGATTTCGCGGACCGCTAGCCACGTGTCATACGAAACGGGCTTGCCGTACTTGTTGTATAGGTAGACGGCATCCATCAGTTCACCGTAGATGTCGAGCTGCTTGTGCAAGGCCGCGCCATTGCCGATTCGGACAGGTTTGCTGCCTTGGTAGCCATCCAAATGGTCCAGCTCGATCTCCGGGAGGTCTGTCTCGCCCCGGATGCCTGATAACGATGTCAGCCTTAGACGACAGTGTTTCCTGATCTAATGTTCTTGAGAAGGACTTGTAAGTTGCTTGAGAACGTCGTATGTGACACGAAAGTGGGATATTGTACTACAACGGTAGAGCTGAAGTGTCAATGTGAAAAGTCGATGCTTGCCTACACAGCTCCAGATAGCACTGGATTGTTGTGGTGTTGGAACAGCTTGGCAATTCCCCGCGGCCGTTGATTGCGAGGATTGTGTTTCAGACTTACTGAACATGATAGGCAACGCGCCATCCGGCTGCCTGGAATATTTGAATCGGTCGCTGATAAAGCGCATATATGCTTCGGCTTCCTCCGAAAAGCCCATCCGGAGAAAGATGTAGATGGTAAAGGAGGCGTCGCGAACCCAGCTGAACCGATAGTCCCAATTCCGCACGCCTCCGATATCTTCAGGCAGCGAGAAGGTAGGTGCTGCAATGATCGCTCCGGTCGGCTCATACGTGAGTAGCTTCAAGATCATCAGGCTTCTAGCAACTATCTCACGCCAGCGGCCTTTGTATCGGCTTTTGGAGATCCAGTTGAACCAGAAGGACTGAGTATCCTGCTGAATCTGGTCGATGAGGGCCGTTGTCATATGCTCAGGCTCGTTTGTATCGTCCGGGAGGTAGTCACGAAGAATGAAAGAGACAGCTTGTCCCTCTCGGAGGTGAAATTGGGCCGTGACACCCATTCCTAGTCCTGAGTATGCATTCTTCTTATGGAAAGAGAGCAATGGACAATCCGTGGAGTCGCCACAATCTATCGTTGCGCTCAACTCCAGTGTGAGACTCTTGGATTTGAAGATGATTTTTTGACGTGTCTCTCCAACCTGCAGACTGTGCTTGTGACCGAGGATCTCTGTTGTGTGCTCGTCTTGGGCGTAGTTGAAGGCCTATGTGTGAAGGTTACCATGATGCAGTAACACCTAACGGGAGGACAACTACTGGAAAAACCTCCACATCTACGTCAATTTCTCCCCTGGTGCACTCAACACGTCGGACCAGCCATTTCTTCAGAAGCTTCCTGCTGTCTATCGTCGCCTTGCCTGGTGTCGTTCCAGGATCGACTTGGGGCGAGAGGGATTTGCCGTTCGGTCGAGGAAAAAAGTCAGTCAAGTTGAGGACGCCGTCTTCGTGAATGTATCTGGTTTGCAGGACATTGCTACTAGGGAGATACTGCTGCTTGGTGGTGAGGTTGAGGCCTTTCCGCGGGGTGATCGCGAAATATCCGCCTTTGTCTTTGTCCAAGAGGCGGCAGAAGACGGTTGGAGAGTCGAATTCAGGCCTGTAGGTAGGAACAGAAATAAGCGCAGGTCTTGAGAAGCTCGAGCGGTATTTTCACCAGCACATGTAGTCAATTCCACCGTCCGTTGCGACGAGGGCACATGTCCTCATGTTCCCGATGAGCCCATAGTATTCGATCTGCGCAGTCTCAGCTGAAGTGCCGCGGGCAAGGAGCGACCTGGCGGGAGGCATACCGCCACATATCCAGTCGCAGAACGCATTGCGGTAGGATCATGATTGGCAGTCTTCGACCCCCGACGCTCTTCATGCTGCTTCGAAGACGCGGGAGCTGGTGTTGGTGTGCTATTCATGGCAAATGCCTGCCCGACCAGCTCGCAGAATAGGGACCACTACAAAGTTCTAAGCTTGAGGACAGTGAGGTGAGGGGTGAGGGTGAGGGGTGAGAAGCGAAGTGAAGGGAGAGAGAAAAGTAGGGCAAGACAGGTAGAGGTCGTCCTGGACATCTCTCAAGGTTATCTTGCCCCGCCATCATGATTATGTTATGCTGACAGAGAAGCTGTATCGTGGACCTGCAGCTCCCATTCGTACTCAGGTACCTACCCTTGAGCTACCTTATCGTATCGTGGGCAACAATAGGCGATTTACAGGGCTGACCAGGGGGAGCTGCGAACGCCCAGGATGCCCCACGGCGGCCCCCGCTTGAATCGGCTCTCTAATGATCGGACAAAGAGTACCGAGTACGAGGAGGAATTGTGAGCTGCAGTTTTACAGTTGAGATGCCGCCATGTACTTTCCGAAGGACCCTCTGGTGTACAAAGGCAAACCTGAAAGTCCGTTACCACACCTTGGCTGGTGCCTTGTTCATTATCAAATTCGCGATTGAGCTGGACTCCTCATCACCTCAAGGGTAAACCAACAAGACCAGCTTCATCTCGTGAAGAGCATTGCGTATTCGGCACTGTAGTCCTTCCATACCGTTGAGCTGCTTCGCTCGCTCCGCAGAGGACCCTGAGTTTGCCGGTCAGGAAGCATTATTATAGACTGCTGCCCGATGATGTACAAAAAGATCGAGGCGCAGTCGAGAAGGATAAGCGCCTCCGCTTGACAATCTACCACCAAAGTCGCTGCCGTCGTATTTCACACGCTGTTGACCGAGAAGATCGACTGGACGGAAGACGCCTTCGACAGTCTGATCCTGCGCGCTAACTGGCATTCACAGAGCCGCAAGAGTCCTTGGAGCCATCAAACCAAAACAATATCCTGCAAGTCTCCCATCTCGCTCGGCCAAGCCTCGCCGTTCATGAGCCCATAAATATGCGCCGCTCCAACCACTGTATACCCCTGCCTCTCATGCTTCCTCAAGACCATAGGGAGTCCAAATCCCGCAATGAGGGCTACAACATCACCCGTTTTCGTTTCCCACGGCCCTGCGCCGATACGTTTTCCTTCCGTGACCAAGAGTCTCCGACCAGTCAACGATTTGAGCAGACGTTGATGATATGGATACACCACATCATCGGTTGCAACATTACTACCAGTCACGTCCAAAGCGGGATAGTTGGCAGTAATGATCCTATACCATCGGTGAAACGCGTCGCGAAATCTATCTCTGTCGTGGCGGTTGAAGTCTGTATTGGAATGCAAGACCTCAAAGATTGCATCCTGCGGAGCGAGTCCAGCTGCTGATGGTTGGAGTTGGAGAACTTTTTGAATCCAGCCAGCTAGTACGGTAATACTACCACAGGGAGCAAGCATATCGGTTATGCTCCTTCTGTTGTCGTCCAAGTCCTTCAAGTTTGGGGTGACGAAAGACAGTGTGTCTACAATGATGCCTTTCGTACAGATTTCCAGGCCGGAGTCCGAGAAGTGGAAGTCCGGAGGAGAATCTTTCGCGGCTCTGCATCTACGCAGTGAGATGCGATCAAGGGACCATCTCCAATCTGGAACCCAAGACGGCGTATCCGATAAGCGGGATCCATCCCCTGCCTGAGGGATCCCGGCCTCTCGCAGAACGGCTAGAGATCTCTGCCAGTTGATAATTTGCTTCGTGAAGTCAAGCTACACCTCTTGAAAAGAAGCATTTCCCCTCCGGAGGTGCAGATCGAGGCCCAAGGCTGCCAGAACTCCGTAAAGTGCATAGACTTTATCTTGAGGCTCGCTCGCCTGTCGATGTCGAGTCATGTTCAAGACATCGATGAGCATTCCTCGAAAGCTTTCCATCCATGCGTTAGAGCGCGGAGTTGGCTGAAAGAACATTGTGACTCCTATGATAAGAAGAGGCGGTAAGATCCAGATGTTGTTCAGAGGGCGTAGTCCCCGAAGAATTTGGGACAAGACAATTGCGATAGCGATGGAGCTGTGGAGACGAATAACGTATCGGCTGTAGTGCTCCAGAAAATCAAGAAATCGCGTCGCCAAATCACTGAGGAGTGGGTGAGATATGTTGTCCGCCCACTTCCTGACAACGGGTTGACTAAACTCTTCCTTGCGATAGAGGTCTAGCCATAAGCTGGTAACGCTGACGAGAGATTTGAAAGCGTTCAAGGACGAATCAGTTTCACCATCTCGCTGCAGCTCGAGAGCTTCCATCAAGCCCCAAAAGAAAGGACTCCATCGGATCGACTTGCTACCACACACAACAACGGGCTCCGACGCCATAACAAGCTCTTGTACAGTCCACATGCGAGTGAACCAGGAACGAAGAAAGATGTCTTGAGTGTGCTGTGGACTGTACTCCATCGTCCGGGGGGCTGGATACCAGCTGCGGTAAACTAATCCAGACGCTCAGCAGAGTTTCGGGCACACGTAGCTGCTATCGCGAAGTTGTACTATGTACGACAACCGGTTCACTTACCTCCCTTTATCAATTCAGGAGACGCGCGCATCAACTTCGCTAGCTCGCTGGGCCAAATCATGTTTGCCGGAAAGTTTTTGAATTTCATCACTCCGAAGAGCGGGAACTTCCCCAGAGAGGCTTCTTTGATCCAGTCCATAGCATGATCTGAGCTCTCGGTTCCGGGACCCAACCAGATATATACCCTCTTGGCATTTGCATATATCTTCCGCATCAGCGGCATCTGAGCCTGTTTTTCGTTTGCACCCTCCTTAGTTTGGTCGATGCAAATAGCGTCCACCCAGATATTGACGCTGGGCGGTCGCCCACAAGGAGCCAAGCTTCTGCGCAACTGCGTGAGTGCGTCGAAGCAGTTTGGAGTGATCTCAATATGTGCCGAGAGTGGGTCTGGGACACCAAGAGCACAACACAGGATTTCGTGTGGCGGTTTGGACTTGTTACCCCAAGGATACGAGAGCGCGCAGTAACTTGGGTTCGAAGCGAGGCTGACCACCTTGAGATGCCCTTTGAGGGGCTCGTTCTGATCCGTGGAGAGTTGAAGAATGCGGATGTTTTCAGGTTTCTTCTCAGGCAACGTATCAGAAACGTCCGGACACTTTTTGGTGGAGATCCATGCAAAAACTGTCCTAAAACTTCTGGTACGTGGCCTGTCCTCCAGTGAGAGCTGTTGATACAGGGCGTGAGCCATGCTTCTAAGGGAGCTTGGTGGATAGAAAGGCTTAAAGATGGGTATTTGTTCGTTTCCAAGAGCCTGCGGGGTTATTTGACTTGGCTGACACAGCTGACGGAGGGCCCAACCCGGCAAGGACGAAGATTGTCACCTGATAGATTGTTTAAGCGGATGCATTGTGTTCTATTCAAGCGTCTATACAATCGATGTTCCAAACAAGCCGCAGGAAAGTACTACACTACCACGGCAAGAGCGGCTCTCAACATTGGGAGAGTTCTCTCAGCCCGAGTATTTGGTCGTTTGGCGTATAAGATTGCTTTGATCGAATCACGATTGATCTGGATGATGGTCACGATACCGTCGACGGCCTTCAGCTCTGAACCAAGAATAGAAGACAACGAGGTTCAGAGGAATCATATGCTGGAAATACTCGAGCACATATAAGGAATGGAATAAGAACGTAAAACACCCACATATTGAGACGAACTTTTCAGCAGTTGGGTCCAAGGGACGGCTGTGTCAGCTGCAGATTTCTTGTCATCATGGCGTATCTGCAGCAGGGTGAGCTCTCAAAAATTATACGCATCCTTCCGTTCTGCCTCTCAACAGATGATTGTCTTTTTCCGACTGAGGCGACAAATGTAGGTATAAGACGAACTCACTGTTGGTGTTCTGGACACGGAGTGCAGCCGGCGCCAAAGCCGTCACGTGCCTGTCAGTGGTCTGGGAGCTGTGAGGTGGGACCAAGATTCGGCGGCGCCTTGAAGGGAAGAGCCGCACGCACGGCTCAAGCATCAGTTCCAGGGCACGAACAGCTCCCTGCATTGATCCGCCTTCACCGATTGCCTCCCCTCTATCGAGAACCCTCCACAAGATTACATTAGCAGCCTCACGGAGTGCTTGTCAAACAGCTAAGTGCGACGCGCCGCCGTTAGCGAAGACGAAGCCCTTCCTCACGCCGAGCACGACTTCAGCCTCGGGACCGTTGCAGTGAACTGCTCGAAATATCTTGCAATCGACTGTTATAACCGCACGCGATCACCCTACTACGAAGCCGACTAACATTGAACCCGTTGTGGCTGCTCTGGTTGTTGCCGCTCCGCCACTCCATCTATACCTATCCACATCGCTTCTTTCAACCCATCGCCACACCGCTCACCCCGTCTTAGAGAGTTGCTAAGTGGATCGTGCCCACCATGGACTCGGGCGACAGGTCATACAATCAAAATGAGTACATCGATACGGCCATTCGGGCGGTGAGCCAGAAGAGGGCAGTGCCTGAAATCGATTTCACTCTACACACAATGGAGGATGGCACGCAAGTCAACACGTTAGACAGAGTCTGCAAGGGTATGTGGATGCGATTTACGTTCAGAAAGACGGACAGGGTTTTGGAAGCCCCCGAGCATGCATTGCTACAGCTGTGGCGCATCATCAGAATAAAGCTAACATTCACATTGCGCAGACGTGCAAGCACCTGCTTTCCACCCACCTACTCAAGAGCAATTCTTCTCGCCGCATGACCGAAACAAGCCAAACTTGACCTTCCTGAAGAACCATTTCTGTCGCGAAGGACGCCTTACTCAGGATCAGGCACTATGGATCATCCGTGAGGGCACAAAGATTCTGAGGTCGGAGCCAAATCTCCTGGAGATGGACGCGCCAATCACCGTGTGCGGAGACGTCCACGGGCAGTACTTCGATCTCATGAAGCTCTTCGAGGTAGGCGGCGATCCTGCGGAAACGCGGTATCTCTTCCTAGGCGATTATGTCGATCGAGGGTACTTCAGTATTGAGGTAAGCTTTGCCGAGTAATGTGGAAGGTGATCGCAGATGCTAAGTTGTTACAGTGTGTTCTATACCTGTGGTCGCTCAAGATTTGGTACCCGGATACACTATGGTTGCTCCGCGGCAACCACGAATGCCGGCATCTGACAGACTACTTCACCTTCAAGCTCGAGTGCAGGCACAAGTACTCCGAGGAGGTTTACGAAGCATGCATGGAGTCGTTTTGTGCTCTGCCGCTGGCGGCAGTCATGAACAAGCAGTTCCTGTGCATACACGGCGGGCTAAGTCCGGAACTACACACTCTGGAAGATCTCAAGAGCGTGGGTTTCACTCTCTACATTTGAACTGAGTAACCTGTATGCTGACGGCGATATCCTAGATTGACCGCTTCCGAGAACCGCCTACCCATGGCCTGATGTGCGACATCCTCTGGGCAGATCCACTGGAGGAGTTCGGTCAGGAGAAGACTTCGGAGTTCTTTGTGCACAACCATGTCAGAGGTTGCTCATACTTCTTCTCCTATCACGCCGCATGTGCATTCCTCGAGAAGAACAATCTACTCTCGGTGATACGCGCGCACGAGGCACAGGACGCCGGGTACCGAATGTACCGCAAGACGAAGACGACGGGCTTCCCGAGTGTCATGACGATATTCAGCGCGCCCAACTACCTCGATGTCTACAACAACAAGGCAGCGGTACTGAAGTACGAGAATAACGTGATGAACATCAGACAGTTCAGTAGGTGGTCGTTTGTTCTCACGTGATTGCATGGCTGACAGGATGAATAGACTGCACGCCGCATCCGTACTGGCTGCCGAACTTTATGGATGTCTTCACGTGGTCACTGCCGTTTGTTGGCGAGAAGAGTGAGGAGTGTAACCTTATGTTCTACTCACTAGCGCTAATCCTATACAGTCACCGACATGCTTATCGCCATCCTAAACACCTGCTCAAAAGAGGAACTGGAGGAGGAGACTCCCTCCATCGTATCCGGTCCCTCATCTCCGGCAACGTCACTGTCAAACATGGACCCTGAATCCACAGAATACAAGCGCCGTGCCATCAAGAACAAGATTCTAGCAATTGGCCGCTTGTCCCGCGTCTTCCAAGTTCTGCGCGAAGAGTCCGAGCGGGTCACCGAGCTCAAAACTGCTTCGGGCGGCCGTCTGCCGGCTGGCACGCTCATGCTCGGTGCGGAGGGCATCAAGCAGGCTATCCACAGCTTCGAAGATGCTAGAAAGGTCGACTTGCAGAACGAGCGGCTACCTCCAAGCCACGAGGAGGTGCGGAGAAGCCATGAGCACAGCAGGGAGGCGGCGCTGGAGAAGGCTGCGAGGGATGCCGAGAACGACCCGGAGCTGGGACGAGTTGCGAGGAGGATTAGCATGTAAGTTGGTTCAACAAGGCTCACGAAGGACTGTGTGACTGACATCGATATTAGGTCGTCCGGCTCTAGGGTCAGCAGACGAAGCTAAGGTAGGGGTAAGGGGGTAAGGTACGGTATTTCGTGTTCAGTGAGAGGTTATGCCGCAGCATTCAGTTTCCTCGGTCGTTGTGAAAGCTCATATGCGGAAGGCATGTCTCGGGTTGCGAATGCCGCTGGTGCTAGGCCACGTGGTCTTGGTAATAGACTGTGCGAGTAGTGTGGCCGGTTGCGAATTACAGAAATTACCATGCTATGCAATTGTGTTCGTCCATCTCTATAGAGCAGTTCCCTCTCTGGCACGCTTCCAGGACTGTGCAAGGTCTCGTGCAGGTCTCGGCAGAACCTCGCATCTGCGTTGGGGAGCTCAAGCTCCATCTTCAGTCTCAAGCTTGCAGCAGCAATTGACCCATTCCCCACTATCAATGCCTCCACGACTGCCTTCGGCTGCTCCCCTCTCGCGCCTCGCGCCGAAGAAGCCATTGGACCTCTTCTTCTGCCCCGCCTGCTCGATATGGCGGCTCTCCTACCCCACGCGACCCGCACCCGCCAAACCACTGCGCATCCCCGAACTGCGCCGCCTCAGCCCTCGAGCGCGGCGCAAAGCCTCCAGCCTAGCTTCCTCAACAGCAATCAATGCGCCTGTAGAAGTTTTGCCAAGGTACAGGGAGGTGTACAGTGCGCTTGAAAGACTGAAGACGGATGCGGGGAGCTATGTCAACCTTAGCCGGATCCAATTGGCGCTACGAGGGTTGGAGGGCCATGATGCTGTGGTTAGGGTCGCTGTGCTTAGCTTAGGCGAGCAGAAGGCAGCGAGGAAGCTGGTGCGGCTGCTGCTGGCGGATCCGCTGGGCGAGAAGGAGAGGTGGGAGCAGCTGCTGGAGGAGTCGGGGGTAGAGGATGAGAGGGGGTTGCTTGTGCGGTAAGATCAAGGTTCGCATAAGGCGAGACCAGTTGATCCTGACTGTGTGGTAGATATGGCGAGGAAGGCGAACCGCAGTCCCAAAACCTGCTGCTGCGGACACTTTCTGTTCCCTCAAGGGTCCTGCGGAGGAACAACCTTGAGATCCTCATCTCGACGCTGAACCTCAATGTTGCGGGGCCAGGTAGACCACCCAACATCGATCGCCCGAAGGACGCGATACTGGTTCCAACACTTCAGACGCCGACATCGTTTTCCGGACGGATGACACCAGTCACACATCCCGTGCATCGGGCGTTACTCCTTGGGAGCGGGTTGCAAGATGCAGTAGAATACGGACGGTATACGGCCGGAGAGGTGGACTCAGACACAGATGCAGACACGGTGAAGCTGGCCATCAGCATGCCTGCACCGGAAACGGAGCCACATCAGAGCGCGTCAGATAGCTTTGCGATTGTGGATCCGCAATTAGCAAGCAAGAGCTTGGATACGTTCCGAACATCCATCGCTGAGTCCGTTGCGTACGAGCACGGCTGGTTCCGCAGCGGTATGCCGGCAATCTCGGAGTGGCTGGAGCAGGATGCGAAGACACCCGAGGGTGCTATGAAGCCTGCCGTGAAGAGTCTCATCGTATCACTTCTCGACGATGCCGAGGCCAACCTGATGGCCGAGGACGCCCAGCGCCTCGCGGAGCTCGTAGGATCATCTGTGCCGGAGCATTCGAAGCAAGCCATTCTTGACTCGCTAAAGATATGGGCAGAGAACGCCCACACGGAGCTCCGCGACCAGCTCGACATCGCCTTCGCAGGGAAGCACTGGCGCAAAATAACATGGTGGAAGCTCTTCTGGCGCGTCGACGACGTCGCCATGATCATGACCGACGTGCTCGAGCGGCGCTGGTTACAAGGCGCAGAGCGCGGAATCATCTACGTCGCCGGCCGCCTCGACGAAGCCACCTCCCCCAGATCCGCTCCAGCCTTCTCCACGCCAGCAGCAGCACCTCATGCAGAGCAGCCAGAAGTCCAGCAAGCACGGTTCGGCATGCTGCCTCCGCCCCCAACAGCCGCGGAGCTGGCGGCCGAAGACCAAAAGCTCGAAGACGACATCGATGCGCCGACTATGATACCCCACCCGAACCCCTGGCCGCAATATATCCCCCTAGCACGCGCAACCCTCTCCGCCACCAGCGTCCCAACCCTGCAAGCCCTGGCCCAAAAACTCGTCCTCCAGACCCTCAGCACCGTCAGCCTGACATCTGCGCTCTCGGCCCTCATGTTCGTTTCCATTTCCACGACCTCGGCGTTCGAGGCTGGTGGCATTGCCGCGCTGGGACTTGTGTGGAGCCTAAGGAGGATGCAGAGGCGCTGGGAGGATGCGCGCAACGGGTGGGAGGAGGAGGTTAGGGAGGAGGGGAGGCGGACGCTGAAGAGTACGGAGGAGAGGATGAGGGGCCGGGTGGAGGAGGTGGGGAGGGTGGTGGGGGATGTTGAGGGGGCGGAGGAGAGGAGGGCGGCGAGGGGGGCGGTGGAGAGGGTTAGGGATGCGCTTGAGAGAACGGGAAGTTAGATGGGGAAGCGGTGGCTGATAGAGCTTGCGTTGTTGATAGGCTTGAGGCCGATCAGACTATAGACGTCGCAATCCTCGCCACGTTCAAAGTTTCTTAGAGGTTGAGCGAAGCTGAAGCCTCTGTTGCACCGAGGGAATCTATTCCGCTAAGTTGAAGTAACGCGAACACAAAAATTCCCCTATTCTACAATCGGAAGGAAGGTGTGACGAAAGCGAAGGCTGCGAACTGCCATTGACGAATTTGGGTTTGCTATAACATGTTGCTGGGTCGGCGAGCCCGACCGCAGTACTGGAGGATTCGTGATCCTGTTATCCACATCCACACCCAGCTCTCTGAGTGTCGCAAATTCTCGTATCGTTAAGTGGTCTTCGTTCAGCTTCTGGCCGCTGCACTTAGCTCCGTGATCAAGGAGAAGTGAAACCGTGACCGCTTGTATATTCCTATAGAAGTCATCGGAGGTGCCGTTTCCGATGTAATCGCGGAGATTGATATGCACCCACTCTAACGCTTCATCTAGCGGAGTGAATCCTCGACCATTCAATGAATTGACCATCGCGCCGTATCGAAGTAGACACTTGATAGAGTGTATATCATGGTGCTTGGCAGCCATATGTAAAGGAGTATACCAATGCCTCGGCTGTCGCCCAAGCTCCTCGATGCGAACATTAGGGTCCTGGTGTCGCTTCAAGAAGGTTTCGATCATTCTGGCTTGAGCGGGTGTTTCGCCTTTGTGTCTCACGGAGCAGAGCATCTGAAACACGGTCTTGTCATCGAACACCTCATTCATATCGGCTCCTTTCTCGAGGAGAATCTCAATTATTGCGCTCTGATCGAAGCTGTGGTACAAGAAGACATTATCTTCATGGCCGAGACGCTGGTGAACTGCAAGATGGAGCAATGGTAGCGTAGAACTTCGTCTGGCACTTTCGGTGGTATACTGTTGCGCAAGAAACAGTCTCAAGTCTGCAACAACTGCTAACGACAGTAGAGAGTCAACCAGAGGATATGATAGGGTCTTGCCCTGCCACGTATTGGAATCCCAGGAGTCGAAGAGGTAGGCTATCTGCTTGTCCTCAACCTGACACAGGAGCGTTCTTTGTGATTCTCCTGTTGTCCGCTCGGCTAAATTTGCGTAAATCGTCAATGTGAAGCGCCAGTCGGAGTATCTGTGGATGTTGATAAGCAGCGCTTCCCTAGTGTCGTCGTTTAACGGCTCCTTAATCCGGGCGATAGTAGCAAGCATGAATTTAAGGATGTATGTGTGTCCATTATGCGCATGTAAAGCAGCGGTGCCGGAGGAGAATCGAGTATCCGGCCTCTGAAGAAACGTCTTTACGGTCTGGTGTATCAATTGCAGGGAATACGCATCTTCACCAAGCAAACGGCCCGAAAGCTGCGCGTGGAGGCGCTGTGGATCTTGCACGGCTGCATGCCAGTTCGGCGTGATTTCGATGAGACCACCCGACCGACTTCGGACCAAGCGTTCGGCGCGGTCGAGAAATCGTCCGGCAGTGATTTTTGTAGAGGGGCGGCAATCGGCAAGATTCTCTATCGGAGCATAGTCAAAAGCCTCCATAAAGGCCTGTACGAGCAATGGCTCGACCGCGCATGTTGTGATCTCGAACATGACCCGGCTTTCTTCTTGGTATCGATGAGGTATCCGTTCAAGCACTCTCTGGTAGTAACTCTCGAGATCCGTAGGCAGGGTCAGAAGCGTTTGACCCAATTCGTGAAGGTTAGCTCCATCTTGAAACTCCTCCAACAGCTCGTCCAGGACAAGCTTTAGCCAGAGGAACACTCCATCTGCCCGCTTCGCGATTTCCAGTTCCAGTGCCTGAACTGCGTTTTGTTCTGACATGTCTGGTGACTGCATGTACTGTAGCATTCTCTCGTTCTCAGCCATTCTTGCTTTTACAACCAGAAGAACATCTTCTTTGGTGAAATCCTGAATTCGGAACCCTGGGAGGCCTTGGAACTTGTCCAGGAAAATCTGGAGTGGGCGACTCGAAAAGCAGACCTTCACCAACGTCTTGGTCCGCGGCCGGTCGACACCAATTTTGCGAAGGAACTGAGCCATACCTTTATGGTCTCCCGAGTATTCGTCGAGAGCATCCAAAAACAGACAAAGTCTGACTTTGATTGCAGTTTGAGATAAGATAGCATCGAAAGCTGATAATAAATAATTGACTTCCCAAACCTGCAGGTCTCCACGTCGAGTGGAGCGGTACGCTGGTATGACCAAAGGTAGCAATTGCCGAATAGAAGACAGAATCTGGAAAAGAATGCCTCGCAGGAGGCCGTCGAAAGACTTCTGGAGAGTTCCGCCCCGATCATGGAAAAAGAACGCTGCTCGAACGGATTCGCCTTCGGCTTGGTTGAGAGCCGCATCGGTTCGAGGGTCCGTACATATCATCTTCATGAGAGTGGACTTTCCCGATGCCGGCTTTCCTTGAATCCAGTACAGTCTCCTCGCATCTTTAAGCCACTCCTGGAATCCTAGTTCTTCCTTCTCGTAAAGCCACTCAAAAGTATGATCTACAGGTGCATCCACTTGGCTGAATCGAACAATAGTTTCAGGGGCGTCCAGGCTTTCCAGAGCTGCCCTACACTCGGCGCTGTACATAGAGACTGCGTAAATCAGAGCTGGCTCAAAGGGTCGTGGGTGGGTTAGTGGACGTACGTTGTCCTGGTGCAGCTTCGATATGAGGGCCGCTGACTCGGGAACTGTTAAGACACCTGAAGAAAACGTCCTTGATCTTACGGTATCCAGGGTCCTTAGGTCCTGAGAAACGACACATTTCCATGTGATTTGTGTTGATGTAATCTCGCCGCTCGCGTGCATCATTGAGTTCTGAGGAAACATCCTCCACAACCTGGGAAGTCGGTCAGCATCAGAAAGTTGGAGTGCTGTGCTGGGCTAAAAGTAGCAGATTCCCGACGGCGGTTGCCAACCTATAGAGGGGTACGGTTCATTCAAGATAAGGACGATACCACTCACCTTGCCAGTCAAGCCTTGCACACCTTTTAAACCCTTGCCCTCGATCAATGTATAAAGATCAAACGTTTCCTCCTTCATCATCTTTGAGAAATCTTCCCTCAAGATTTCGAGTATGGGCGAGTCGATCCTCAAGTCCCGCAGATTGCGATCGCTCGCATCGAAGCCAGACGCAACCGCGACATTCCGAAGGATGACTCCCCAATCTGCATATTGGCTTCCACGGTGAGGTGTTCCCATGAAAATGATTGCAGCCGTAGAGTCGTATACGGTCCGCAGATCCTGTTCATAATTTTGTGCCCGCCATGACCGTCGCAAGGCCTCTTTAAGAATCAGCCCCCCAAGACTGTGTGCCACAAACACTATTGGACGTGTAGGACGGTCCCGTCGCAGAGCTTCCAAAGCATTCAACAGACTCGTGCCATGACCCACGATACTGGCTTGACTGGCGGATCCGCCGAAGAAATTGCTAATGCGGGAGTCGTAGCCGTAAACAGCTATGCGGCAATTGGGAATGTCTTTGGGAAGAAGATCTGCCGGCCAGAAACACGTTGCTTCACTTGCGGTACTGGCCGAGGAAGGTTTGCGACCGAACAGCTTAGAGAGTTTGCTTGGAGGCTTGTTCGGATCGATCCACGTTCCGTAGGTCCACGTCTTTCGTGGATGTCCTTGCAGACCGTGAATGAGTATGATGCTGCGAGATGCTCAGTGCCATTCGAGGATGATAGTATAGCTATGGACCACAGACTCAGCAGCGGCGTTGGACGGGGTCCATAGTTCAGTAAACCCTTCATCAAGGACCTCGACCGGTGGCCTGCTCTGCGAATCAGGGTCTGAAGCACTGGAATGCGCCATTCCTTCGCCGAAGCTCTAGGTTACGACACAGAGGTTAGCGCCATACAGAACTCACAGACGACAAGCATAAAGGGGACAGATCTTACAGGACTGTAGTCTCGGTATAAGTACGGGGCTAATGAAACATGATACAGCTAAGTTGACTATCGTGACGGGCTCACGTCAACTACCTTTGTGCTAATTAGACGAGTATGTAACCACTACTCACCGCCTCCTCTACTGTAGTTCTCAGCCTCGTCGTACTATTTTAAGATGGGCTAAGCTTTTCGGCCCCAGCAGATCTCACCGACGTTCATACCACGCATCCGTGCTTCCCCACATTTTAGCTCCACCAAAACCCTTGACTCTCCCGCTCTCGCCATTCCACACCTAGACAAGCTGATCCGTTGAGCCGTCCGCTTCCCAGTCATGACGCGCTTGTCTGGACTTGTCGTGCCTGTCAAGATGCGCGGGGATCGTCAATCCGCCTCGGCTATGTCGAGCGCTCTGTTCCCGCCGCAACTGTTTCGATTGAAGCCGAGAATCAATTGGGCCGGGAATTTAGTTTACTCGCAAGGGCGGTTGGCCTGGATGCTAAACATTGATTGCGACTCTGGGGTGCTCTTGCCGATAGACCAAAGTGTCCGAAAGCCTCTAGAAGCGTGTCAGCTCATACCGTCCTCTCCGACAGCAGCACAGTAAAGCTTTCCCGAAGCTGGTATCAACCCTTCCTAAACAGCCATCCTCCGTCCTTCGCCGCCATGCCACAAAAGAGCCCTTTCCAGATCGATATACCCGCAACCGACGTCCTGACCTACCTCTTTCCGCTCAACAGCACACCTTCAGACAAGCCGATATACATCGATGCCGTTGAGCCAGACAAGAAGTCCCTATCGTTAAAGCAGCTTCTACAATGGGTGAAGAGGTTAGGGCTTGGGCTCCAGCGGCTCGGCTTGCAGCAGCGAGAAGTAGTGATGCTATACTCTTCAAACCACATATTCGTCCCCGTCGCATACCTGGGTGTAGCAGGCAGCGGTCATGTCTTTAGCGGCTGCAGCCCAGCATACGGCGTTGCGGAGACGGTGTACCAGATCGAGAACACTGGCGCTCAAGCGATCCTCGTCGACCCGGATCACCTCAAAGTTGTGATGGCGGCAGCGCAAAAGTGCAACTTCCCCAAAGACCGCATCTTCCTCTTCTCAGACACACCATGCGAGACGACACAAGGTATACGCGACTGGCGAACGATGCTAGCAGACCCGTCAGACGCCGCGCTATGGGACTGGGAGCATATGAATGCAGACCAATCCCGCACAACCACCGCGGTCCTAAATTACTCCTCCGGTACGACCGGCCTCCCTAAAGGCGTAATGATATCCCACCAAAACATCATCGCAAACGTCGAGCAATCCGTCTACATGCGCAACCTCGAATCCCCTACGCCACTAACGCACACGCACCAAACGACCGACGAGCGCTGGCTCGGCTTCCTGCCCCTCTACCACGCGTATGGCCAGCTCTGGTCCATCGTCGCAGCCGCGAAGACCCTAACGCCCTGCTTCTACATGCGCTCGTTCTCGTACCCGGCATGGCTGAGCTACATCCAGAACCACAGGATTACGCATATACAGACCGCGCCACCAATACTAGTCATGCTGGCGAAGAGGCCGGAGACAAGGAAGTATGACCTTAGCAGTTTGAGGAACATACTGTGCGGCGCTGCTCCACTGTCGAAGGAGCTGCAGAACGATGTCTCTGGCCTCTGGAACGGGACGTTGAAGGTGGTACAGACATGGGGTATGACCGAGGTTACGTGCTCGTGTCTTCACGTCCCGGGCCATCGGGACGACAGATCTGGGTCTGTCGGGTATATAGATCCGAACGCGCAAATCAAGCTCATCGACGATGAAGGGCGGGAGGTCGGGCCTGGTGAGAGGGGAGAGATTCATGTGAAGGGTCCGAATATCTGTCTGGGGTACTGGAGGAACGAAAAAGCGACTAACGAGGTTTTCGATGATGAAGGATTCTTAAGAACGGGAGATGTGGCAATAAGAAATGAGGAGGGGTGGTACTGGATTGTGGATCGCAAGAAGGAGCTCATAAAAGTTAAGGGTTTCCAGGTTGCGCCTGCGGAGCTGGAGGCTGTGCTGCTTGAGAATGAAGACGTGGCTGATGCTGCGGTTGTCGCGTTGCAAATGTGAGTTGACCTCCGCGGCTCTCGGCGTGCTTCACAAGACTGTCGGTGATGCGGACGGAAGATGCTGACGTGCCTGCAGGGAACATGAAGAACTGCCACGCGCATACGTCGTTCTCAAGGACGCTGCGAAGGGGTCGGTGACCGAGGATAGCATCAAGGAATGGATGAACGAAAGAGTAGCGAAGCACAAGCAGCTAGCCGGCGGAGTTAAATTCATTGACGAGGTACCGAAGAGCCCAAGCGGGAAGATACAGAGAAAGGCGATGCGAGATTGGGCGGCAAGAGACGCAAAGGAAATGAACCTAGAGCGGACTACCAAGGCCAAGCTGTAATCATAGAACATGTACTGAATATGGCTGTCGCCCGCTCTGATGAATGGTAGCACGTGATCACGAGAAGTGTTTGGTATTGAACTCATCTACAATAGCCCTTGCAGCCTTTACAATCTCGACGCATCCTGGCGAATCTGAATGACAGCAAAGCGATACCTCGTGGTCACCTATCGGTAACTCTACTTCTTCGCCATTGACCGCAGTCACTGCCGATCTCTCGACTTGTGATCGTATGTGCTTCTTCGAGTCTTCCGGATTCCAGGGCCTACAACAGCGATGTTAGTGACCCCCGCAAACTATGCGGGCAACACAATGCATACTTCTTCTTCCGGTCTATGACCAACGTCCTGTCAGCATTGTACTTGACATCCCCGTACAACTCCGCCACAAACGGCAGACCCAGCTCCTTAGCCACCTCCTCATGTAACGTGCCCGCCAGCCCAAACACTGGAATCCCCTTCGGCACGCCTTCATAGACAGCGCGGCACGTGTCTTTGTCCCGATACATCATCCCGTACAGCACACCGTGCGGCTTGACATGGTGCAGCGGCAGCCCCTCAGCATCAAGGAAGGCCTTGAGCGCGCCGACCTGGTACCGCACCATTGCCGTAAGCTCCTCGGGCGACATCTTGATCTCGCGCCGGCCGAAGCCTTGGATGTCTGGAAGCCCCGGATGCGCGCCGATGGCGATGTTATGCGCTTTGCAGGTTGCGACGGTTTGCTGCATTATCAGCGGGTCACTTGAAAGGCAGTCAGCTGATGTGGGTTCGAGGAATGGGGAGTTCCTCAATATACCCGGCGTGAAACCCACAGGCGACGTTCGCGTGGTCGATGAGTGGTATGAGCTCGTCGTCTGGTCCGCATTTGAAGTTGCCGTAGCCTTCGCCCAGGTCGACATTGATCATGACCTTGTGCTTGATGGGAGCCATGACTGAATGCTCCTCCGATACCTGATGGTGAGGATACAACAGAGTGATAAAGCCTCGCAGTGTCTTCGACGGTATGTTGCACTGCTTGACCTCACGCTGCTTGGCTGTGGTTTATGAGGTTGCCGATCTCAACCCCATCTTCCGCCTACCCCACCATGCACCTGTAAGCTCCTGTTTAGGAAGTCCTACGCAGGACCGGCTGCTGCTCAGAACGAGTCATGAGCCTTGGAACCATCGATAGCGGATGCATAGCGCGAGGGGAGGGCGAGATCGAAGCGGGGTGCTCCTATGGGCATTGGCTAGGCCCTACGGCAACGGTTGAAGTAGAAGATACAGGATGTCCTCGAAGCCGGTAGGGTCAATGATTGTTGTTTCTCTCAAGTGTGGTGAAGAACTCCTACGCCTGCAATGGAGAAGATCAACACATTGCTGATTTCCAATCGCGGGGAGATCGCGGTATGAAGCTCGGTCCACGTGTCGACGTGACTTCTGACATCTCTCAGGTCCGCATCATCAGAACAGCAAAGGCACTTGGCATCAAAGCGATTGCCATCTACTCGGAAGCAGACGCAGCCTCTAGACATGTCTCGTTCGCAGACAAAGCAGTACTTCTACCTGGAAGCAATTCATCCGCCTATACCGACGAAGAGGCCATCATCAAGATCGCCAAAGAAGAGAAGGTAGATGCCATCGTCCCGGGATATGGGTTCCTGTCAGAGAACGGGCACTTTGCCAATGCCGTCAAAGAAGCTGGTATCGCATGGGTAGGACCGTCCTCTGAAGCCATTGAGGCTTTTGGGATCAAACATGTCGCACGTGATCTGGCTGAGAAGGCCGGTGTGCCTATTGTTCCCGGCTCGAAGGGTCTCGTAGAAGATGAAGAACAGGCTGTCAAGACTGCAGAAGAGCTAGGATACCCTGTGATGCTCAAGGCAACTGGCGGCGGTGGCGGCATGGGTTTAGTCACCTGCTCCTCTGCCAGTGAGGTACAAGAAGGCTTCAAAATGGTTCAGTCAAGAGGCAAGACATTGTTCAAGAACCCTGGAGTCTTCATTGAACGCTTTTATCCTGCCAGCCGGCACATTGAGGTACAGGTCTTTGGCAATGCCCAAGGCCAAGCCGTTCACTTCGGGGAGCGCGAGTGCTCTATCCAGCGGCGGCATCAGAAAGTTATTGAGGAATGCCCCAGCCCCTTCGTTAGCAGTCATGACGGTCTGCGTGAGAAGCTCTGCGATAATGCCGTTCGCCTCGCAGAGTCCATCAAGTATGGCTCGGCAGGGACTGTAGAGTACCTCGTTGACGACAAGACTGGGGACTTCTTCTTCCTTGAGATGAACACCAGGCTTCAGGTCGAGCACGGCATCACCGAACTCTGCTACGACGTCGATTTGGTGAGACTCATGCTTGAGCAGGCAGATGCTGAGTTGGGCGGGAAAGGTGGCCTCGACGCGGATCATCTAAAGAGCTTACAGCCAAAGGCGCCGAAAGGGGCTGCCATCGAAGCTCGAGTGTACGCTGAGAATCCGCTGCGGGACTATGCACCTTCTCCAGGCTTGCTGCAAAAAGTGAAGTGGGCAGAGGTAAAGGGCAGCCGCATCGACACATGGGTCTTTACAGGATCCACAATTACGCCGAACTACGATCCCTTGATCGGCAAGGTTATGGTCCACGCTGCATCACGAGAAGAAGCGGTGGAAAGCATGCTCGAATTGTTGCGAGGCTCACAGATCTGCGGCCCTCCGACAAATCTGGACTTCTTGGCCTCCATCTTGGCCGACGAAGGCTTCAAAGCAGGACGAACGATGACAAGCTTTTTGGAGTCTTTCGACTATGCACCTTCTGCCATTGATGTCATATCGGCTGGGGCTTACACTCTCGTTCAAGACTTGCCTGGGCGGCCGGCTGTCGGCAAAGGCATACCGCATAGTGGTGCCATGGACCCAGTAGCTCTGCAGGTAGGAAACATGCTGGTTGGGAATCCACGCGGCAAGGAAGGTCTCGAAATCACCCTGAGTGGCCCCGAACTCCGCTTCGTGGGCCCGGCAGTCATTGCTCTGTGCGGAGCTCCTATTGAAGCGAAACTGGATGGTGACGACTTTCCCATGTGGACGCGTAAACACATCAAGACCGGCCAAAAGCTTAAGATTGGCAAAATGACTGCAGGTGGATGTCGTTCCTACTTGACGGTTCATGGAGGGTTTCCAGAGGTTGCAGAGTACTTTGGCTCAAAGAGCACATCGCCGCTTGTTGGCATTGGCGGCTACCAAGGCCGTCAGCTTGCACCTGGAGATCTTCTTGCTATTGTCAAGGACTTGCCGAAGGATGTCGCGTCACACAAATCGCATCCGAAGCTGCCGGAGCACCTCAGGCCTAAGTACTCGAAGAATTGGGAGATCATGGCAATGGTTGGCCCGCACGACGAGGGCTATTTCCTGCCTGAAGACATCGAGATGATCTACAATACCGAGTGGAAAGTCTCGCACAATGCCAGCCGCAGCGGCATCCGTCTCGTCGGACCAGTGCCAAAGTGGGCACGCAAAGATGGTGGCGAGGGAGGCTCACACCCAAGTAACCTCATCGAGTACGGGTATCCCATTGGGGCGCTCAACTGGACCGGTGATGATCCTTGCATCTTTCCTGTGGATTGCCCCAACTTCGGGGGGTTCGTGTCCTCAACCACCATCGTCAAGGCGGACTGGTGGAAGATGGGACAGATCAAAGCTGGCGACCTCATGCGCTATCGGCGAGTGTCGCTTGAGGAAGCACTTGAGGCGAGAAGAAAAGTGGAAAAGTACCTCGACAACGTCGAAGAACTTATTGAATCGAGCGGTAAAGACAAGTTTGACCCTCTCGATGCCGAGAGCACCCAAGTCGGTAGTCGGAACAGCGACTACGGCAAAGCAATACTCTGGCAACGCGACGCGCAAGGACACCAGCCGATGGTGAGATACCGCCAAGCAGGGGATGATTTCCTCATTGTCGAATACGGCGACGAGCAGTTTGATATTAATCACCGCTGCCGCGTCACAGCCCTTGAAAAGCAGCTTTGGGATGCTTCCGCTCCCGACTGGCTCAAGAGTGGTCTCATCACTACTGTCGGCTGCTGCACTTCCATAACCATCTTCTACAACGGCCTTACTCTTCCTCGGGACCGCTTGATCTCCCACCTACAACAGCTCGAGGACCAGCTTGGTGATCTCACCACTCAGAAAGTTCCCTGCCGCCGCTTCCGGCTCCCCATCTCTTTCGAGAGCAAAGCCCAAGACGAGGCCACGAAACGGTACATGGAGACCCAGCGTCCCCACGCGCCATATCTGCCCGACAATCTCGCTTTCGTAGCGAAGAACAACGCCTTCACGCCCGAGCAGCTCAAGGAGATCTACCTCACCGGCACGCTCATGGCAGTCGTTATCGGCTTTTTCTGCGGCAATACCGTCTCCCTCCCCGTCGACCCGCGCCAGCGCATGAGCTGCCCCAAGCTGAACCCCTCGCGCGTCTTTACGCCTGAAGGGACGGTAGGCTGGGGCGGCTCATGCATGTCCATCTACCCTGTTGATAGTCCCGGCGGGTATCAGATGACGGGGCGTACGGTCCCATGTTTCGACATGCTGATGTACAAGGCCGGGTTCGAGGAGAAGCCATGGCTGTTCCAGGATTTTGACCTGCTCACCTTCTACCAGGTTTCGGAGGCGGAGATGGATTCTTTCCTCGCGGAGTTTAGGAGCGGGCGGTATAGGTTTGAGTGGGAGGACATCGAGTTCGATATGGCGGAGCACAACAAGCTGCTGGAAGAGACGGCTGACGAGGTTGAGGAGATCAGAAAGAAGCAGGCGGTGGCTCAAGAGGAGATGGTCAAGGCGGAGGCGGAAAGTCTGGAGAAGTGGAGGAAGGAGAAGGCGGAGAACCAGGTTGATGAGGGGACGGTGGAGAAGCTGCTGAGTGACCCCAACATTTATCCCGTGGAGGCGCCGGTGGATGCCAACGTGTGGAAGGTGGAGGTTGAGGAGGGGGCTGAGGTGAAGCCGAATCAAGTGGTGAGTACAGCTGTTCCGCTGCGTCCGAGATGTCTTGGGCATAATGTGTCAAGCGTGTCGGTGGCGCATACGAGCTAACGGTCCGCAGATCGCCATTCTTGAAGCGATGAAGCTTGAAATTGCCGTTCGACTTCCGGAAGATGTCGGTGCCGAGTCAGACAGGACAGCGAAGGTAGAGAAGCTCCTCGTCCGACCGGGAGATACGATCAAAGCCGGCGGCAGGATTGCGCTTGTTCGCGGTCAGTAACTCAACGTTATCCTGTATCGATTGCCAGTGTTAGATGAGAGCGTACGGTGAGGGGCTGCTATGGGTTCTTTGCTTGAGTCTCTTTGTCATTTCTGGAATTCCGGTGGACAAAAACCTTTGCAGGGTCTTTTACGCCTGCCAGCGCAAAAGCTCAGCCAGAAGAGATTGTTCACGCACTCCATTCAACATCTGGATAGGTCATACTTGCTGCGGGGTAGAGTGGCATTGCTAGAAGGAAGAGCGGGAGAAGATTTGCCAGAGTGTGCGCATCCTGTTTCTCACCTGGCCTTTGTGGAAGAGGTTACCCTAGGCTGAGGGGATTCAGAGTGGGAGTTGCTGGAAAGTGCCCGTTCTCGTCCGGTCTTTAACGTAGTAACAGACACAAATTTGTTGAATGGGACAGCCTTACCGTTGTACGAGCCTGACTCCGTAGCCCTTCACGAAGGCAGGACTGATCTGTCCCTCCGCTTCTTTTTATCAGCCCGATCAACCAAGCTCTTCAGTATCGGCTGTCCTTACCTGAGTCACACCATCGGATTGACAGCTTTGTCTCTCCTCTATCTCACAACCCTTTCCTGTGTTTGTCTTTTCGTCCCCTCATTAGGACAACTCTCGTCGCCCACGTCTCTCTCCCCATCCTCCCCACCCATTCTATTCACACACGTCTTTGTTTCGCTTCGCTCAAAAATCTCACTCATTGTCCCTCTCATGATAGAGCTGCCTGTGCTTCACAAAGCTATCTCATCAACTCCGCTCCATCTGTTCATCAACTCATTCTTCACTCAAGCAAGCGCGCGCTAGAGAAAACCTTTCTCCCACCAACGACTCTGATCAGTCTCGGCAGCACTGGAATCACGAACACATCCACCATGCTGTACGCCAAACACAACCCGATTGAGGTTTATATCCAATCAGTTGAGAAGGGCACGCGATACAAAGAGTACCCACGCAATGACAATGGCATCCTGAGCGACGACGAGAGTAGGGTTTGCTACATCGAAGCAGTCGACGACGACCAGTATTCCATTGTGGTAGTCCTGCAACGCGGATTCCGGTACCGTAGGGCACAGGGCATCAAGATCTCGTACAAGATCGATGACGTTGTCGATTATTACTATTTCCATGAGAAATCCTCGTCATCAGGAAACTGTGTTACAACGGCCCCAGACCTATGTCAATGAGTTTACGTACACCGCCGTCGACGACCAGTGCGAGCAAGCTACGTTCCGTTTCGGCAAGCTCGCCCTAGGTGAGTACAGCGGCAAGCGACGTGATAACTTCGAACTGACTGAACGTCAGATGAGGACATTGAAGCTGACAATAAAGATTCTGCCATTGGTAGGATCAAGGTCACGGTTCGGCGCGGCAAAGAGGTGACGAAGCAGCTCAAGAGGCCTAGAACGCCGAATACTACTGAAGTCCGTGGTCTTCCAGGCACATCTTTCGAAGCGACCATGTCTAAATCGGTGTTCAAGCAGGGCATCTCGCACTCTACGAGGTGAGTTGAAGATCCCTACTCGACTGCTGGCTGGGATCATAACAAGTTTCAGATTGGTGGGTACTGGTAAGCGACACTTGAGGAGGACAAGCATGTCGAGTACATCGACGAGGTTCGTGCCGCTTGGGCGCACACATGGTCGGGAATTTGTGTTCGAGTTCTACTACAGATCACGAAGTAAGTTGCACAGATCAACGGACTTATATCTTACTAACTTGTTGTGAGCAGTGACTCTGCAGCATCTGGGAAAGATCCCATTCACTCCGATAATTGAACCTCAGCAGGACACCGTGTCATCCGATTCGGTTGGAAACACCGAAGCACAGACTGCGGCAGCCGCTCAAGCAGGCGACATGACTGACGGCGGGTTGGTCAGCCATAGCAGACAACAGCTTCCGAGCCTCAAGCGCGAGCCACTTCCAGATTTTTCAAGTACCCAACCAGCTGCTCCAACAGTCGCTCAGACAGGCGATACGGCTGACGGCAGATCGGCCGGAGATGGCGGACAGCAGCCTTCGAGCGTCAAGCGCGAACTCAGTCCAACCTCCCCGAATGCACCACCTGCGGCTCCGCCAGCGAAGCGGATCAAGACTGTCGATCTTACGTTAGTCGACTCTCCTCCGCTATCCGTTCAACAAACGAAACCGGACACGAAGCGGGAAACGCCACTTGTTCCCTTGAGAAGCATACCCACCCTCGACTTGACCGCTGAAGAACATGTCAATGCGCCGGTCATCAAGAACGAGTCAGGTGGCCATGCTGGCGGCGCCGGAGCTGCGTCTGGGACAGATGCTCATGATGATATGGATGAGGAGGCTCTGAGGCTGAAACTGGAGGAGATTCAAGCTCGGCTGAAACTGGAGGAGATCCAAGTTCGGCTGAGGCTGAAGCAGATTGAAAAGTCCAAGGCGAGACCGCAGCTCTAGACGGCCGTAGCATTTGCTTGAAGATGGTTCTACGGTAGATACGCACTCAGGCGGGGACTTGGGAGGGCTTCTGGAAAATGCAGGACCTGATCTGGATGGACATGAGATCGGCATTTCGTCTATCTACGTGGGCGGTTGAATTTCCTTTTGAGCTTAGTTCTCTTTTCATATTGGAGTGCCATTTCAGATTGGACATGCGATGGATCAACTCAGATTGGTTATGTTTTGGGACTTTGGGTGGCACAACTCTGAACGCTTTCACGGTCTTCACATTACTCGGCATTAAGGCTCAGATCGCTGGCTGTGTTTCACAGACATCCAGCTCGTTTAGCTTCCCTCGAGTCAAGCTTGGGATACTGCTAACGATAGCCATCAGCTTCGGTTACGGTCTTTTTCTCTTAGTCGATTTCATGAATTAGCTAGCCTACTTATTTCCCTTACAAATCGATTCTGCATCAGACATCAAGCTGTCAGAACGTCCGAGAACGGTTCAGTTTCGTATGCCGCCAATGCACCTAATTCCTGTGGTTATAAGTATAGCCCTGATCAACGTGCCCCATAAGCGGCGTTTCCTGAACAGCGACATTGACTTCCCCAGTTTTGTACTGCGTCTCGCCGTAGCTTGTATATGCAACCGGTCCATATTCGACGTTCGCGCGTACCGGACCAATGTCGCTCTCCCAGTCGTCCGATCCGGCGATGACCAGGATGGTAGCATAGATAACCACGGAGAGCAGGCCGTAAAAAATCGTATGAATGAGCTGGGTGCTAGAGGTCTGCACACGCGCTTGAAGCTTGAAGACGATGGCGTAGATGAACTTCCCCAGGGTGCGGACCAGGACGGAGGCGGAAAGCAAGGGTAGACATATCAGAAACGTCCTGCGAAGCGCACCGGCTTTTCTGAGCCTCATCAAGGCACGCATAGCGATGACGGTTATGGAGATAGCGCCGGCGAAGTAGAGACCGTAGAACGCGACGTTGAGTTTTGTGTACGCAGCCAGGATCATCATAGGCTTGGAGCCGGACTCTGCCATGGCTTCGCGGAAATCCTCGTCGAAGAACCGGTCTGTGACGAGTTTCCAGACGAAGGCGGCGATGTTGGCGGTGGCGAGGCCGGTCAGGATGTAGTTGAGGCCTTTGTGGCATAGGATGGTAAAAGAAGAAGACTGTTCGGGAATCTTGACGTGGTCCGAGAGTTCCCGGGCAAGGGGGACTAGGAGGAAGGTCATGAGCATGACGTCCCCGAAGAGACTGAGTGCTTCCAGCGTTATCATAAAGGGCCAGTGCATGAGGATCCGTTTCTCTCCGAGCTCGAGGAGGACGCGGTCCGCCACGTCCAGGCCGAAGTATCTGATTGCGGGTCAGAATGGTCATTGAACACCTTGCAGAATACTCACAGGGTCATAAGGAATATCGAGAACCCGATCACCGCCCACCGCAGCAGCTTCTTCGTTTGCTTGTTCTTGGCTCGGATCCCAGCATACCAGACAATGAATCCGATGAAGCATAGTACGCAGATTGCCGAAACAACAAACATCGCAGTAGGCAGAATGTACTTAAAGTGAGTCGCAGGAAACTTCTGGTCCAGGATGGACGGCAAGGATGTGGTGGTGTTGCTGGCAGCACTGGAACCGCCGCCGCCGCCGCCGCCGCCGCCGCTTGAGGAGCCTCCACCGCGTCCCATGATTGTAAAGGAGTCAATACTCGAGGAGACAGAAAAAGATGGTGAGAGGATTGAGATATCAAGCGCGCCGTGCAGCAACGAGACTTGGGTTTAGGGAAACGAAGTGAGCTGCGACGAGACAGGGCTACGTTGAAGATAACTCCTCATGGCACAAGACTTATCATTGAACTACGGCACGACTGGGAGGCCATAATTGGTACTGCATAGTGGCTTGCAGCCATCTTTGCCCTATCGTGGTAGGGCTGACAAGGCTAAATCAAGTCATGGGGAAGGCTGCCGCAAATTCAGACTTCAGACTCCCTTCGGAGCCTTACCCTGACTACCGCGAGGAATCTCTGCCTACTCCCTGGTCCAATTGCAACGCATTGCCTGGTGATGGGCTCGATTCAGCGCAGATACGGCCGAATGAGCTTGATAAAGTTGGGTGCAGTTCAAAGCGGGTGTTTTCAGCTGAAGGCGGAGCGCGCATCCCGTGCGCCTCTTTCGGCTAAAAGCAACGTCGTGATAGGACCGCGACAGCAGAGTTGCTGCGCCTGAACACGTCGCTTGGATGTGTGTTGCCCAAATTCTCGGTGGACTGAGTCGAGGGCTTTCGAGGCGTTGTGGGCAACGTGGGATTGCTCCGACGAAAAGAGCGAAGCCGAGAGGAGATTAGGGGCATCGTGTGTTCAAGCGAGCCGCATACGAGGAGCATTGCCATAGCCTCATGCCAGAATCCAGACATTTGTCCGGCTGACACCGGTTATCTCGGGTGATTTCCAGAGACCAGGCGAAGGTCTCCAAGGCCAAGTCGGAGACGCATCAGTGGTCACTCGCGGTTAGCGTTAATGCAAGATCTGGTTCTCCTGAGGGGAAAGGAAGCCTCCTCAGGCTGATCGAGATACTGATTCAAGTCACTTGTTGGACAGACTGACGGCGATAAGTAGATTGTGAGGAACAGATGTGATTGCTATGCCAGTCACTCTCCAGCCATGCTCCACGAATGCGACCAGCAAGGAAGCCACCTTTGCTCGCGACGAGATAGCGTCTCAAGTACCGCGCAACGGCAGCGTATGAATTATCTAGTTATATTGTGTTGCCGGGACCTGAACCTCCGCCTCGTTTTCTTCCTTCTAAAATCTGGTCAGGACGCACTGTCGCTCCAAGATCCGCTCTGCCTGTCTGTACATTGGCCAATCTGGCTCTATGGACGCATGCTTGTAGACCGGATTGTCCATGAGCGCAAGCGCTACCATCTGGTCTTCTTCCTTATATCGCGCCAGCAAAGCACTCTTGTCCGTCTCTTCGACGTGTTCCATCTCGCCGATCCTGCCTTGGAGCGATAAGACTTCTTCATGTAGTTCCGACATGCGGTCGTTCCTCCCTGGATTTTTCTATAGCAATCCCAGCGGCCCGCAGTCGCGTCTCCAGCTCTTCGTCCTCTCTAATGCGTTTCTCCGCTCCAGCCTCCTCCAAGTGCAACTGCTGCGTCGGACCGTCGCTTTCCTGCTCGTCTGCTTCAGTGGCTTCTAGAGCAGGCAGGCTGTGATTGGGTCCTCCAATGCGCTTGTTTCGTTTGATTTCGGCGGACAAAAGTTCTCGTTGATGTGCCTCGCAGATTCCACGTAAAGCTTTATCGATCATATCTATTAGCCGGAGGCGGCTTGGAAGCAAAATGGAGAGTGGAAGTGATACAACTCCGCAAGGGCTGGTTGCAAAAGTCAAGTCCTCTCCGTGAACGCGACTGTCGCGGCAGAAGCACCAGAAACGCTCGCTGTCCTTCCGAGATAGGTTGAGAGAAAGAAGGACAATGATGGAAGGCAGGGGGGGCTGTCGATGGTTGCCCCGGATAGAGCCACAGTAGACTCAGATGACCGTGGACATGGGTGGCCGCTGAAAGGCGGTATAAGATCCACATGTTATTCTTTTTGCCCCGAAGCGAACCTTCGCCAGACTGTGTTCATCCTCCTTCCTTTACTCCGTATTCATCTACAAATAGGCTGGGAGCTTCAGCGTCATCCTCGCTAGAGTTTTGGCAATCCCTCTTTATCCCACTACCGACTCCTATTCTTGGAGGAACGCTAGTAGCATACCTACATAGTTACAGTTGTCGTCAAGCGTAGAGCCGTGGAAGATGGATGTTCGCGCATGCTTATGTGACACGAGATGAGCACGTGACGAGCACGATTCCTTACCGGTGGCACTCACGTGGTGTCACTTCACATCTGTCTTCTAGGGGGGATTCGGAGGCAGAGCAGTAGGAGGAGAAACACCCATATGTAGATGTTGGGAAGAGCTTCGATGGAGGTACTGCGGCCTGCATGGGTGGATTTCGAGGACGATAACTACATAGTACACATGCATTGGCTCGTCCTGGCCGTAGAGCGCAACGTGCTGCCAAAACAACATAAATAAAGCGCTTGAGCGGCCAGAAATCTAACTATGCAGGCGGGCCCAGTCCCTCAACCCCAATGATTCCCCGGAGCCGTAAGCCATTTCCGCCTCTTCACCATGCCCATGACGCCCCTTATTGAAGAACAGGCCAGTCGAATGGCCTAGAAGAAGGGCGAGAGGGGGTACTGTCCGCAAACGCTCGCATACCGTGATAACGATGCAAAACAAGCTGCCAAAATAAATGAAGGTACGTAACGTATCCGACAACGGCCGCGGAAAGTTCCAGGAACGCAACGAAACCCGACTGCGCAGTCGAGCGGTCCGCAGACTGAGAGAAAGCAGCGTGATACCCCAATGCAGATCGTACACCCCTTGAGCCGTAGGGAGAGGCTATTCGGTTCGATTCCCTCCAAGTCTAGAGGTAGGACGTGGGTGATGGGGTATCTCAGAAAACAGTCCCGTCGGACAAAATCATAATCGGCGGTTCTTTCGTGTTCGGCCGCGAGACTTCTGCGATTTCTCGGCCGCCCTGCAAGTCTCGTTAGCCCTCGTTCACCCCAGACATCCCCACTACAGCCTATCCTACCTTCCAAGACCCGGCCTCAAGCATCTGCGCCAAACTCAGCCCATCACTACCGCTCAGCCCCAGCATCGCATTCACCTCCGCGAGCAGCTCATCCAGAAACCCCACCGTCGCAGCCCTCCACTCGACAATAACATCATCATCCGCCGTAAACATCGGAACAACCTCAACATTCGGCTGACCCTGAATCTGCGCATTCCTTTGATACTGCTCCAGCCCGCGCCTCGCATCCTCCGGCTTCAGCGTCAGGAGCCCCGTATCAATGAACAGACCCCCATTCCGATACTCGGGGAGCCCAGTCATAAGCTCCGCGCCCGCGAAGTGGATGTGCATCAGCTTCTGCATGGGCACCATGAGCGAGTACGCGAGCCACTGGGTGAGTTTGTGGAAGGGGACGATGTTTTCCCAGGGGTGGGTTGGGTGCGAGGGCATGATGGAGCAGGGCCAGGCGTCGCCGATGGGGATGCCGTCGATGATTGTGCGCGTGGCTGGCCAGATGGGTGCGAGGCCGTCCATCAGGACGTTCCAGAAGGTCGGGAGGGGGACGATGGGGACGGAGGAGGCTTGGGTTGAGCGGTGAGAGAGGAGGTAGTCTGTGGTTGTTAGCGGTGGATGTGACGATTGGCGCAAGGGGATGGCGTACCGAGCATGTTTCCGGGCCGTGCTTCTACGCCGAAGATTTCTTGGTTTTGCAACGCGCTTCCTAGGCGCATTAGGAGCCCTGTCCGGCCTTGCAGGCCATCAATGGGGTTGTGTTGCGTGACTTGGAGGCCACGCGCTATCGTCTCTACATTCAATCTTTTCAGGCCCAGGCTATCGACCTGACATGGCTCAGCTGGGTCGCTGCTGAAAACGCCCGCCTTGAACATCTCCAAACTTGCCACAGCGAGGCCCTCACTGCGCCTGTACACTTTGCCCGATTCTTTACTCCTGTACTGCCATTTTGTGCCCGCACCCGCATCTAGGAGCACGGAGACGACAAAGAGGTCGATGAGCCGCCGTGTCCGCTCTTGCGTGTCGACGGTGGAGGGCCAGGAGGTAAGGAGCTGGTCGATGCGCGGCCGGCCGCCGACTTCGAAATGCTGCCATCGGCCGTGGGGTGGTATTTTTGAGTAGTCTGGCGCAAAGTCTCGCTATCACAAGAAGGGCGCGTCAGTTCCTATTGTTGAAAATTCTCCAATAACGAGATACCTGGGACAAGCCGCAACAAACCTTTATGATGGACACCACATAAGTCGCCGTGTCCTGGAACTTGCTCATATCCACCGTAAAATGCTTCAACTGGTTCTTCTTCGCCTTCTCAAGCACCAATCTCGACCTCTCCCTAACCGAGTATATGCTCCTGAGATAGCCCGCCGGGTCCAGCGCCGGATCCGGAGCCTTGGGCAGCGGGATGTCGGGCTTTGGGCGGAAGGTAGATGTCATTGATGCGCCGTTGGTTTTGGAGACTGAAGGTGTTTTGGCCGCTCCGTTGGCTTTCGAGGGAGTGTCGCTGCCAGCAGCATTCGGTGTTGACGGCTTCTTGCGACTGAAGAGACCCATGATGTGAGGATTGCGTAGGAGCTGTCGCTGGCCGGAAGGGGCCGAGGAATGCTACGGGTTACTGGGTACGTGGGAGCGGCGACGCTTGAACGGAGATGTGGATGTTGCAGGATGAGAGCATCACACAGCGACAACAAACCAAATCAGTGGTGTTTTCCCGGTCGAGGTCGAAGCGACGAGTGAAGTCTCGGCGGGAAGGTGTTTTTCTGGAGCTGGAAGTGGCCGCAAGGGGAGCAGTGCACCGGCACGCGGTAGTCTGTCCCAGAGCACAAAAGCGTTCAGTGGGCTGCAGTAAGGTTGGGCCGTGCACAGGCCACGGACGGGGTTCTGCCCTTTTTTTGGGGGGGCCTCGGGGGATCGGTGCCTGAGCGGGTGCCTGAGCTGTGCCTGTGCCTGTGCCTGCAGCGAGAGAACGGGGATCGGCAGGAGAGGCTGTCGGTTGGAAAGGGGAGCATGTTGGGTGTCTGGGCCTAGACGCTTGCGGACAATACACCAATCCTGAGCCCAAGGCCGGCCAGCGAGCCCGGATGCTGGGCGGTCGCGTAGGCACAAAGGTACAGAACTTACTCGTAAGGCATTAATCTTACTCGCAAGGCACCGCTCAAACGTTGTAAGCACTCTGAAGCATCGTACTGTATCTCAATCACGTGGAAAGTGCTTTCCGCTCCTTCTGCTGTCCAAGCCGAAGCCAGCAATGACTTCAGACCTCAAACATCACGCCACACCAACAACCCAAACCCCCCTGCTAGGCCCATTGCCAACCGCAACGATGGGACGACGCTTCCGCGACGAACGCCTTCCCGCCGTGCCGAACAGCCACGGGGCCGCAAATGAGGCCTAACGGCAATATCTGCCGGCGACCTTGCCGAATCCTTCAAGTGGTAATCTCCAGATGGACGGTACCTGGGTAGCCGTGCCGTCCATGGTGGTTGTCCGTCTCGCAACGGAAGAGCTAATATGGATGCTACGACTACGAGTACCTAGCCTACTGAGTTGGGCTTGTGATCATGTCGGGACGGGATTGTGCTTTGATTCTGCAATTATAATAGGAAGGATTTTGCTGCAGCAGTGTAGCACTCTCGGTCCATCGATCATCCAAGTTCGTCCTTGGCCTCGAGTCCAGATAATGGGGTGTGGAACACAAAAAGCGCCCAATCATTCATGTAACTCATTCGAAGTCTGCATCCTCAATTAACCGCTGTCCTAGATCGGATCCTGCTCACTGCCCAGCTAGCTGAGTGTGATAACTTCGCTACTTTGGACGTGAGCGTGGCATGTCTTCACATAAACCGCAGTTCTAAACACGCGTTTCGTTGATACCATCATCCTCTAGAGACACGATATCTCTATGCTTATCTACAAGAGGCTACAGCCTGAACCGGGAAGGCTCCATCCAACCCAAAGACAAACTTAGCAACCATACATCAAACTCCAAAGACGCTTGTTGCTTCGGTTATGAAGAGGTGCCCTCATGGCTAAATATGTCTCCTGGAACGGGTAGTACGGCAGTTTCCGCAACTGCATCATTGTATGTAAGCCCTGTTCACATCTGCAAGCACATCTACACTAGTTCGGCCATCTTCAAACCCCCACTCACACATCGATCCTCCCACACTCCGCATGCCTCTCCACCGCCTTAAAAAACACCTCGTCACTGGTCCCATAAATCACGTCATCAGAACTATCGTCCAGGCTCTCAAACGGCGTCCTAAGCCTCCAGTACACCCCCCTAACAGCGCCCCTCTCCTCCCCCGTCACAATCTTCGCCAACACATCTAGGCGCCCCTGAATCGTCTTCAGCTGCGCCTTCGCGCTCGACCAAAACCTTGTCAGTTCGTGCAGAGTCTTCAGACTCGCGTGGATCGCCTGCAGCCGGCCGGGGAGATCGGCTAAGCGGCCACCTGCTGTGAGCACGTCCACGGCTTGCAGGAAGACGTAGCCCGGGAAAGGGGTGGAGAAGACGAAGTCGTCGCGGCCGATGTCGCGTTTGCGGTTCGCTTGCGCGAGCCACGCCATGACCTGGAGGAAGTTCTCTGCATCAAAAATCGCGTGGCTGATGTTCCGCTCGACTTTATGGCGCGGTAGAGCCGAGGGGCGCGCGTGCCGATTCAGGCGCATGGCCGCGGCGTGGTAGATGGCGTAGAGGCTGACAAAGGTCCCGGCGTAGATGTCTTGCATCGCGGCCTCGAGGTTGCGCTGCGTAAACTGGAGTTTCGTGGGGAGGAAGGCCTGCCAGCCCGCGAGGCGCTGGTTGGTTAGGGCGTAGAAGTCTTCGTAGACGCGCTCGTAGCGCGGGGTCGGGAGGTGCGTGTTGCGGGTTGTGTGGGAGAGGACTTCGCCCCAGATCGCGGAGACGAGGGATAGGCAGGCCATTGGGCCGCAGGACTCGCTGGGGGGATACTCTAGGAGGGTGTTGTCGAAGAGGGTGGTTTCGTTTGGAGCGCATTGTTCGTAGAGCTCTAGTCGACAGGGCAGGCGGACGAAGATGTCTTCGATTACGACCATGCACGAGGTTCCGCCGCAAAAGCCGTTGTATCTCTGCATGCGCTATTAGCTTACAATCCTCAGTGCGGCGATATTCTGCACTTACATCCATGAGGAACGCGGCCCAGAAAGTCCTCCGGCGGCACTCCTCCAGCGTAACGCGATCGAATCCGTAGTCAAGTTCAGCCTCATCCGGAAAGTCCCGCACACCATGCTCGGAGTTTAGTTTCACAGCACTCATGGCTCGCAGGGCTGAGCCGCACATATCCCAGGCCTCTCGCAGCTTTCCGCGCGCAAAGTTGTACAGGCATAAGACAAGCCTAGCCTGGACGAGCTGCAAGCTGAAATTTCCCAACCTCTTAGCGACGGCAGTTCCGGCGAGACCGGCGAACTGCTTTCCAGCGTGTTTGACCTTGGGGTCGGGAGAGAATACGGAACCCATTGCCAGAACGGTGTGGAGCAGCATGCGTTCATCTGACGTCTTATGTTTGGCCTTCCTTGCCCACTCGATGAAGTGAGGCCGGGGAAACATGCAATACGTTGCGGCGTTGATGTGCGTGAAGTACATGTCTAGCAAGTGGTCCACCAGACCGGGGTCGGCCTCGTATGGGTCCCGCTCCCAATCAAGGGTAAAGTAATCGTCTGACCGTGACTCGTGACTCGGTGCCTGGCTCTGGATTGCAGCGTCGCACCAAATATCGGGCTGTGGAGCAGCGCTCGAGGGGTGGCTGTAGGCATTCGCGGAGCTGGAGTCTGATGGCCTCGCTTGTGAACGTGAGCTCTGAGCAGTCCCTTCCTTTCGATGGCTCTGGTCCAAGGACGATGTCCGGCGAGTTGAGTTGAGCGCGGCTAAATCCAGCACCTCATCCTGCTCCTCGCACGAACGCTTTTTGAAGGGCGAACAGCTTCCAGTCGCAAGCGAGTCGTCCGCTGAGTGATTTTCTCTACGATGCGGCGCGATAGACCCTCCTTTGCAAATCCTCTGAGACTTTGTGCATTGCACGCACTTGGGCGTGTTTGGCTCGCACTTGATCTTCTTTTCGCGACAGGTCAAACATGCCTGCGCCAAGCGCTTTCGAGGCTTCCCAGCTTTCGTGACACCCCAGGATGGGTTGACTGGCTCTCCGTCGATGATCGTCTTGCAAAATGTGCCGTCTTCGTAAACGTAGCACAACCCCTGGCCGGGCACGTCTCGTTGGCCGAGTAAGCGAGGGGCGGATGCGGTGGTTGACGTTGGCTGCCCTGCTCTGCTCCTGCTCTTCTTGGATGCCGGCGCAACCCCATTGTCCTCGGTCGGGCTGTTATTGGACACGGAGTCATTCCATCCAGTACAATCCGTATCGTAGGAGATAGATCCCGTCTGCGACTTGTCTTGACCAGGATGTTGTTCTGCCCGTTGCGCGCTGTTCAGTAGCACAGCTGGCGCCGACCGCGGAGAGGCGGCACCGCTTTGGAAGCCGCCGTTTCCTCCATTGAATGAGGGCATGCGGCTAGTTGTCGATATCCGCAGGCGAGGATCATCCTGCGCCCCTATGCCCTTGACGCTGGCGAGTGGGCTTCGTTCTAAACTTGGGTAGCTGTGCCTTTGACCGTAGCCACCGAGTGCGAACGGGTCGCTGGTCGTCGGTACGGCGATGTGAGGCGCTGGTCCAGCGGGTGCGTCCGATCGTAGGAGCGAAGATATGCTCGGAAGGTGGCAGGCCTGGTTGGTGCTGTCGGACCTCGCATGGGCATGATTGCTTGCGCCGTTCGTCGCGACGCCGTTGCCAAGCACCCCCTCCTCTGCATGTGTTCCTGCGCGAAGATATGAACGGTGCTGTTCGAAAGTTGTCGGCGGGTTGGGAGGAACATGTGCGCGCGGGAAGGCAGAGTCTACACGCCTCGGATTGCCATTGAAGTGCTGTGGGCCTTCCCAGCCGGGGTTTCCGTCTCGTGGGTACATGATTCGCTATTTCATGCGAACGTCGAGCTGTGTATTGCTCTCAATGCGCGATGGGTTGGAGGATGGCAGACCGATGGACCGCCGAATGTCAGTCTGGGGAGATATCAATCTTGGGCCCCACAGCATGAGCATGTGAGCACCTACCGTGGGAGGCCATATGTCACAGCTGCGCGCGAGAGCTCCCCAGCTTGGCGATAGCGAGTTGGTGGAGTCAGCGGCAGCGCTATTCGCGGGGTTTCGCAGGTGAACCTGGATAGGGCTGGAAGTCAATGCTGGCCTGGCACCGTGGGGAGAGATGCACTCGGGATGGCCGTTTAAGATATGGACTGGAGCGAGGCAGGGCTGGTCGAGGAGCACCCGTCAGGCGCGGCCGGCATGGTCGAAGATGCCGGCATGGCGATTGAGCTTGGGAGGCTTGGGAGGTTCAGCACCATGGATGAAGAAGCGATCGGCCCATCTAACTACCAGGCTGGCTAGGTAAAGGCAGCGGAAGATGCCAGAACAGCCGTCATTCGGCTTATTCCAACCAAAGCCACCACCACGCCACTTTCAAAGATCGACTCGGCCTTCGCCTTGACCGTCAACCTGAAGCAAGCCGTCGCGGGGGCGGGCACTCTGATCTCAGCCGCCCGAGATCGCCGTCCAAGGGCGGGTGAAGGAGAGGGTTGCTGGTCTGGACACGCGTGTTGGATGTGCAGACCGGCAACATCCACTTTCGCCAGCCCACCTCGCCCGGCTCGACTGCATGCAGACTGATGCAGGTGACCCGCGGCATCTTGCGTGAGTTAAGTTTAGCCTCAGCGAAAACGGCAGAAGCGGCCGCCGGTACCCCATACCTTCCAACCACACCTCGGCCACCAGCGGCCACGTACATATGAAAATGTCCAAAGAAAACATTGAAAAGCTCCAATATCCGGGGCACTGGGACAAGAGGTGCAGCGGGGATGGCGCAGAAGCAGACAAGTACGATTGGCCCCGATCCTTTAGCACGATCCGTCCCTTTCTGGACAAGCACCTTCCGCCTGCGCGTAGCAACCCTCGAATACTGCAGCTAGGCTGCGGCAATAGCGTAGGTAGAGCTTCAATGAAACTAGTTCTCCTTGACCATGAACAAAGAGACAGCACTGTCAGCATGCGGTTGACGTGGTTGTGCAACAAGTTAGATTTCCTCTAGTGACATATCTACCCACGGTTTTGTGGAGGTCAAAGTCACTCGTGATGCCTTTGAACAAAGCTGATACCGGCTTCAGGCCCTTCCCAAAGACCTCCACAACCATGGCTACACGAATCAAGTCAGCATCGACTTCTCCTCAACCGTCGTCTCCACCATGAGAACAAAGCACCCCGACATGGACTGGCAAGTCATGGACGTCAAAGAGCTACGCTTCTCAGCCAACCACTTCGACGCAGCCGTCGACAATGCTGCACTTGATGCAATGCTGCACGAATCGCTTCCAGACCTACCTGCCGAGGTGAAGAGGAGTCTACATGCACATATCGACGAGGTACGGTCGACCTTCAGAATGATGGAGAGATGTGTTTCGAGATGAGGTGATGACTGACAGCGAACAGATTGGCAGAGTCCTGAAGCCTGGCGGCAAGTGGCTGTACATCACATGGCGACAGCCACACTCCATTCGGCCTCTGCTGCAGCGGCCTGACTTTTGGACGCTCAACGCTGAAGTGCTCGCAGAAGACTCAGGCGTCCCCAAGTACTATGGATACGTCATGACGAAGCTGGAGGAGGCGCATGACGCTGAGGTGGTGGGCGTCGAGAAGCAGGAGGTTGTTCCTTAGATCTAGAAAGAATCAAAACTTATCCTTTTTCATTGTGGTGTCCTCCTTCAACGATCGCGTTGGTCTGGAGTATTGACAGCCTGTCGGTGTTCGCTGCGGTGCCTGTTGCTCCTGCGGCTCTCGAGGGTAGCGTGACTAGAATAGGTCGAGCCGTCGATGGCCCTGTTCTGGATCCATTGAAGAAGTCTCTTCCCTCCCTCACCCGATTTCTACAGCGCCTTCCGGAACGCCCCACCTACTCCTCAACCTCCTGGCAAAGAACTGCATAATCGGCAGCATCTCCTCCCTATTGGCCGGCATCCCATCCCCGACCTTCTTCCACTCCCTCACCTCCACCGCCTCAAACCAATCCTTTATCCTCGCCAGCGTGGAATCGGTGACAAGCGACCTGGCTCTCCCCTTACACACCAGCACCGGCGTCCTGCTCTTCCGCTTCCCCACCGCCGGCAGCGGCGTCGAAATCGGCAAGAACCCACCGACCGCCACCACGCCCCCGAGGTCCTGCTCCTCGAGCTCAGCAACCGCGCCCAGCGCAACCAGCGCGCCTTGTCCGAAGCCGAAGAGCATGATTTCTCGTGCAGCGTAGCCGCATTTGTCGATGAGGACTGTGCGGATCACGTCTTCGGCGACAAGCTTGATGGAGGACTTGAAGCCGGTGTCCATGTCCATCTCGCCGCTCGAGGAGTCGAATTGGATGTCGTCGCCCCAGTGGTAGCCGGGGATGCCGAAGAGGTCGGGGAGGGGGTGTGGAGCGCGGAGGGAGAGGCATGCTGTTTCTGGCAGCGAGAGCTGGCGCGCTAGTTGGGTGAAGGGAAGGTGAGTGTCGCCGAGGCCGTGGAGGAGGATCAGGATGTTCGTGGGTGGGTGGTTGGTGGGAGGTGGAATGATATTGAGGGCGATGCTTGGGGAAAAGTCGGAGAGCGTTGGAAGACGGCCGGGCATTGTCGCATTGGACGCCGTAGTTTTACGACTTTCGGCGAGCTGCCTCGGTGAAGATTGCTGGGGTGAAGGGCGTCAGTGTTTTATCTGAGTACCTTGAGCCAACACGGCCAGCAAAGTCACACGTCGGATGTGCCTGGTGAGGAAATCACGGAGATCAAGCAAAGCCGAGCGAGCGCTAAGCCGATAGCGTCCGCAGCTAACAAAGCTTGGCCTGCTTAGTAACACTCTTTACCTCGGGTTGCGCAATCTTCCATCGTGCCAACGGATGTCCATCGATCAATATTTTGGGTGAATGGAGCATCACTTCGTTGATTGATATCCTTCTACATCTGCAGGCGATGCTCCGACAGGAAGAACTGCAGATTTACCTTCTTCATTATTGTCCTTACCTGCTGCATCTAATTCATCCACGATCTGCATGCAGACTGTGCAAGGCATTCCAGTAGAACATCTCGGCGGGGCCGTGAGGTAAACCCCTAGTGCTGCACGCCGCGTTAGAAACACGTAGAACAATCCTGTTCATTTGAGAGGAGCACCGCTCTAATAGCTGGGGACCATCTTGATGTGAGCGAACTGGCTTTGCGACTCCTAAACATTTGAGGTACACGACATCCGCTCATAGGTTTATGAGGAGTACGGAACGAAGCGAGCTTATGCCACGAGCTGATTGCTAGCGGTGCGGCCTCCGCTGCCTTCAAAAGGTTTAATGACTAGCAACGCCAGACGGATCCAACGCAGTGATGTTACACAGAATCTATTACACCGCTGAGCCTGGACTCTTCTAGGCAAGCCCGCTCCGCACCTAGTTGCAAAGGAATCTCCCACCGGCTTTGCGGGCGCGAAAATCGACAGATTCGCCGCAAGACGAATGCAATGACTGCTTTGATAAGGAAAGAGCAAAAGACTGGGCGAAGAAGAAGACAGGAACATGCAACGCGAGGATTACATCGAAAGCCAAAGTGAAGATAGGTACGGTATCAATCATACGGCCTTCCGGATAGGCCGAACCAGCATTGCGGCCGGGGTAGATGCGGTCTGCCCGACCGGTGCAGTCGAGCCGGGTTTCCAGAAGGATACTATAGTCGGATGAGTTTATGTTTCATGCTACTCTCTAATCTACACCTAACTCTGTGCAAGGGCCGCCGGGGGATAGCTTTGCTCTCTGACAGCGTTTCGAGCATCCCGTGCATGGTTGAGGTTTCTTAGTCAATGTTCTGACGGTATTGGTGTCCGTTTTGCTACATGGGTCCAGCAGTGGAAGGGAGTTGGGTTTGCGGGACACCTGTCGAGCACGTGCGGTGCACATCAGCATGCATTTGATTCGTGTGGAGAACGGATCGGACCAACTTCGGCCATTGACCGGAGCCTGCAATGCCTGCAATGCCTGCAATCCCTGAATCCCTGCTTTTGTCAGTTTACTTACCTGCCTTGTATCTGCCTGCCTCTCCTGAACCCCCCGTCATAACTTACCAGAATGCCTTGTTAACGACTGCGCGCACCCGGGTGCCGTTGCTAAGGCCACTCCAGCAAGCACTGCGCACTCTTCTCTTCAGCCATGAAGTTTGCCAAGCAAGTCTCTCCCGCCTACCAAGCTTCTAGCAGCGCAGGACTAACGTAGTGCATCAGAGAGCTTGAACAGGAGCTTGTGCCCGAATGGAGGGCCAAGTATCTTGACTACAGGGTGTGTTGACCGAGTCGCACACTTCCGCGTTCCCCCGGCTGACTTTCTCGTCTCCAGCAAGGGAAGAAGAAAATCAAAGCAATCTCTCGCGCGCTGCGCAACATCAATCAGACACCTCGAACACCCCGGCGCAAGGGCCCGAATGCCTTCTTACCTACGACTTCCGATACCGCACCGAAATACTCCTTCATCAACCGCTCCCAATTTGGCCGTGGCAGCGGTGGCGGAAATGTAGCCGCGGCGCAAAGTTTGAGGAGTGTTGCGGATTGGAGCGGCAGTGTTGGGGCTAGAGGGCGCGAGGGTGCTCAGTCAACACCGTCCCGACGCGTGGTACCTATACCTAGGAGCTCAGAGGAACAGCCTCTGAGGTCTGAAGAGCGGCAGCACTTGACGAGATACGGAAGCATCATAGGCACTCCGCCGAGCGCGGATCGCCAGGACTATGCTCGAGCAGGCAAGCCTCCTGTATTGGAGCTTCCAGATCCCGCCATGGATCCTGAGCACGCCGACTCCGAGGGCTCAACGCGGTCAAGGAACCCGCTGTCTCGCAAGAAGCGTACCAGAACTGACGTTGAGGCCAATGGGAGTGTGCCCGAGGCGGGACGAGGAAAGTCGCATTCACCGTTTCGATCCAAATTGCCGGCCAAGTACCGCAGTATCTTTCAGCCTAGACGAGTAAACTCGCTGCCGGGAACCGAAGGCTCGCGACCACTTATGAAAAGGATGCTATCGCTCGGCGGCGGCGGGCCGCCAGCATCTCCGCGAGATACAGATGTGCCTTTGGAGGCCTACAAGGAGGTCGATTTCCGTCAAGCTGAATTCTTCAGCTTTCTTGACAAGGAGCTAGACAAAGTCGAGACTTTCTACAAGGAGAAGGAAGACGAGGCCACAGATCGCTTGAATGTTCTTAGAGAGCAACTTCACATCATGCGGGACCGCAGACTCGAAGAACTTATTGCCAGTCAAACGGCCAAGATGAAGGCCAAGCAGAGAAGAAAAAGCGACGCTAAAGGTGGAAACGACGGTGCGAACGGCAGTCTATTGCCGGCTATGGATGTCTTCTCTGCGGATGAACGACCCAAGTCAAATGGACACATTATGAGTAGCTCTTGGCTGGACCCTCTGGACAGCGCGCTCAAGGCTGCACAGTCCGGCAAATTTGGGAAGAGCACAAAGGCGATGCAAGAGCTTGGAACCCCTACTTCAATACAGCCAAGAAATCCCGACAACGCCCGCGATTACTCCCGCCGACCAGCTTCTCCAGACGTCCCCTACCGCACGGCCAGACGTAAACTTAAGGTCGCGTTGCAAGAGTACTACCGTGGCCTCGAGCTGCTCAAATCGTATGCATTACTTAACCAAACCGCCTTTCGCAAGATCAACAAGAAGTATGACAAGGCAGTCAATGCTAAGCCGTCGTTGCGGTACATGGTAGAAAAAGTCTCTCATACCGACTTTGTCCAAAGCGAGGTAATAGATGGCCACATCCGGACAGTCGAGGATCTGTACGCAAGATACTTCGAGAGGGGCAACCGCAAGGTTGCTGTTGGCAAGCTGAAGGCGCCCAATGCGAGAGCTGGAGACTACACAGGTAGCGCGTTCCGCAACGGACTCTTCGCGGCTGCGGGTACCGTGCTGGGCATTCAAGGTGTTGTCTACGGCGCAGACCTGCTGTTCAACCCTGACCGGATCTTGTCGACCAAAACCACCTTCCTCTTCCAGGTAAACTCCGGCCAATCTTCTCAAAATCTCATGGCTGACCGTCCGAACAGCTTTATGGTGGCTACTTCTTGATGCTATTCCTCGTCCTGCTTTTCTGTCTGGTGTGCAAATTGTTTGCTGTTGCTAAGATCAATTATGTCTTCGTGTTCGAATTCGATACCCGCCACCACATGGACTGGAGGCAGCTGTCAGAGGTGAGTACGGGATGGCTGTAATGTTTCCAACAACTGCTAATTTTGCTCAGATTCCCTGCTTCTTGCTTTTTCTTGAGGGGCTCATTGTATATCTCAATTTTGGCCGGTTCGGCAGCGATGCCATGTTCCTGTATTACCCTATCGTCCTGATAGTTGTCACTGGGATTATCCTCTTCCTACCCGCGCCGATTCTATATCCGAGGAGTCGGAGCTGGTTTGCGTATGCCAACGTAAGCCGTCACCTCCTCCTTCAAATGCGTTACTAACAGCATCAAGTGGCGCCTCTTCTTTTCCGGTCTCTATCCGGTCGAGTTCCGTGACTTCTTCCTCGGAGACATGTACTGTTCTGAAATCTATGCCATGGGGGTAAGTGTTCCGAGCCAAGTCGAGTACGCGATCTGACCAAAAGATACAGAATATCCCGATGTTCTTTTGCCTCTACGTAAACAAGTGGCAGAACCCTGGACAATGCAACTCTAACCATTCACGGCTCATGGGTTTCTTCTCGACCTTGCCGGGCATATGGCGTGCTCTTCAGTGCCTCAGACGATACCGCGACACCAGAGACGTCTTTCCTCATCTGGTCAATTGCGGAAAATACACCATGACTATCTTGTATTACATGTGTAAAAGCCTATGGCAGATTGACAGGGGAAAGCATCATGAGGTTCTCTTCATCTTTTTTGCTACTGCCAACGCAATCTACTGCAGTAAGTCCGTCGACCGATTTGTCTTTACGGAACTGACATTGGCAGGTATCTGGGATGTTGTTATGGATTTTAGTAAGCAACGGTGGTTCCTTGTGTCACCAGCTCTTCGCTGACTTTCTAGGCTTGGGCGACCCTTACTGCAGATACCCTCTCCTCCGCAAGACTCTTGGCTACAAGCAAGTGTGGATATACTATGTCGCACTAGTATTAGATCCCATCCTACGCTTCAACTGGATATTATTCGCCATCTATAAGAACGACATTCAGCATACTGCTCTGCTCAGCTTCATCTTGGCATTTACAGAGGTGCTGCGTCGAGGCATGTGGAGCGTACTTCGAGTTGAGGTGAGTCTAGCACGCGTGTTGACTTTGAAAGGCTTGCCAACTAACGTTCTCCCAGAACGAGCACTGCACAAAGTAAGGGCCCTCCCAGTACGCAATCATCGTCGAAATGCTTACAATCACAGCGTCCGCCGTTTCCGCGCATCCCGCGACGTCCCCCTCCCCTACGAGGTCCCGACACCCACAGGAAGCCCTACCCAGCCCACACAAGACGAGCAGCAACGCCTTCGCCCGCACACGTTCCCACCGTTGGTGCGCGTTACCACTCCTGCACACGCTACCGGCGTCGACCTGGAGGCAACGCCTGGAACCCAAGCCAACTTGTCGCAACGCTCGCATCGCAGCGAACCTAGCCCAGGCCCCATGACTAGAGGCATATCTCGCATCGGTACGCTGCTGCAAGAGGCTCATGCGCAGGACTTTGAGCGGAAGCGGAGACCGGAGGTCGGCCTGAAGCACCAGCGTGGGTTCGAGAGTAGTGACGAGGAGGATAGCGAGAAGGAGCTGGGTGGGATTGAAGATGAGATGGGGGAGCCGAATGACGGGCGAGAAGAGGAAGAGGGTAGGAATGAGGAGGCGGATGAGGAACGGGAGGCGGAGGCGGAGCGGGAGATCCAGGAAGAGAGTACGAGAGGGCGGGATGAGGAGCAGGTGGAGACTGCACAGAATCTGATTGCTGATGCGGGACATAGAGTGACTGCTAGTCCGGAGCGGATGTAGAAATGTAGATAGATAAATGTGTTTACGAGGCCGAAGATGCCAGATTGCCTTTACATCGTCATACCTTGTTGCATTTATCTATCTAGGGCCTCTCTCAAGGCAGTACTATATACTTCTGCAAACGCTCCGGTATTGAATTCAACAGCCTCTTCTCCTGCAGCCACTTCCTACTAAACAGCCTATCCGCATACCTATACGCGCCATCACACAGAATGGTGACGACCGTGTGGCCCTTACCCAGCTTCTCCGCAACCTCCTTGGCCGCCACCACATTCAGACAGCTGCTTGCACCTAGGTAAAGCCCCTCTTCATCCAGACACCTATACACCATCTCGATCGTCTTCTCATCCGCAATATGCAATGCCCCATCCACCATCTCTATATCCGGCTTCAGGTTATCCGTAATCCGCCCTTGTCCAATCCCCTCGGTGATGCTGCTCCCAGTCCGCTCCTTCAACTGCCCCCCAGACGTGATGTACGAGTGCAGCACGCTCCCCGGCGGATCCGCGAGGTAGCATTTCACCTTGCCCCCGCTCTTCTCCTTCAGATACCTCGTCACACCCGCCAGCGTGCCCCCCGTCCCCGTCGCGCACGTAAACGCATCCAGCTTCCCGCCCGTCTGCGCCCAGATCTCCGGCCCCGTCGTCTCGATGTGCGCCTGCCTATTCGCCGTGTTGTCGAACTGGTCCGTCCAGACCGCGTTCTCAGTCCTCTCCGCGTGCCTCTTCGCCTGATGGTTATAGTTCTCGGGATTCTCGAACGGGACCGCGGGAACGGGGTAGACTTCCGCGCCCAGCAGCCTCAGCAGGTCGATTTTCCCCTGCGATTGGGTGTTTGGCATGTAGATGACGAGGTTGTAGCCCTTGGAGCGGCAGACGTGCGCGAGGCCTATCCCGGTGTTGCCGGCCGTGCCTTCGATCACGGTCCCGCCGGCACGCAGCTTCCCGGAGCGCTCGGCGGCTTCGACGACGTAGAGGGCCGCCCGGTCTTTTACGCTGCCGCCGGGGTTCTGGAACTCGGCTTTGCCGAGCACTTCGCAGCCGGTTTCCTCGGAGAGGCGCTTCATGCGGATGAGGGGGGTTTTGCCGATTGCTGGGGGGATATTAGCGGTGTGTGGCAGTATTGGGGATACAGGTCTAGGTGATTTTATGTCTGTTGCCGTGCGAGTGAATAGGTAGCTAAGGGGAGGACGTATACCCTACCGTCAATGAAGCCGCGCTCGGCGATGCGCTGCGCTTTGGATATTTCGATGCCGTGCGCGTGGGCAGATTCCCATTGAGCAACTCCCTCGGCGGCCCGCCATGCTGTCGCAGCCAGCCGCCTTACTGCACTCGGTCGAAACATTATGTGGTGGGAGTTGATTGAGGTGAATGAGTTTGCGCCGGAGATGCCGCGGTCATTATTTTTCGGGAGATGCGAAATTACGCAATGGCGGGACCGGAGACAAGGTCAGCCACAGCTGTCAAGCCACCCTGTCCGAGTTCCTAGGCCACCCCGTAGACAAGTTCTACAAAGCACATCCAACTGCGCTACCTACATAGGTACTGTATGCGGCGGAGCGAGCGTCGATAGAGGGACATGTTCCTGTGGATCCTCAACTGACACTGGTAATCATTCCATGCGGCAGAGGGCGGTATCATGATCCGAAAGGCTACTCTTGTAAGCCGTACAGATGCGACGCTCCCCAGAACTCGAGACCCTGGAATTATGCCCTGGAAGATCCGCTACCCATACGGGTATCTATTCGGGTGCATCCATGAGTTTATTCCCTATACGTAGAAGCAGATGGGCGACGGGCTTTGATTAGCCGCACCCTGGACGGCGCTCCGCGCTGTTTTCCCGGTTTCTCCCCGCATCTACCTAGCTAATTCTCCGTTTTCTCCGCAACACCGCACTGTCTCATCCCACATCCAGTTCCCGAGTACTCAATGGCGGATCCCACCAGCTCGGATGTGCTCCGCTCTCCTGGATGCCGGGTCACCCGAAAGCTCGCTCGGCAAGCGTGCGATTCTTGCCGTGTGCGGAAGTCTAAGTGCGAAAGCCGCCCGTCGGAGTCTCCAACCGGTCAAGCGCGGCAGTGCCAAAGATGTGAGAGTTCGGGGCTGCAATGTACTTTTCTAATGCCTTTGGGAGTCCGTGGTCCCCGAAGAAAGTAGGACTAGCTCAGACCTTGAGGACCTTACAAGTCGGCTAACCGTGGAACGGACTCAGGGACAGGTCAGCCACTGGTACGGGGACTTCTTCATCTGTAGTGACTTCGCCTCCTCGGGATTCTCTCGCAGGGTCGGGATATGCACAAAGTTTTACTGCTTCCCCAGACTCGGCCATCACCCATATCGGTGCTGCGCCTGTCAGGGATCAACAACTGCTTTATAGCGACAGGATCACATCACCCGTCACGACGCAGCGATGGTCGACCTCACCTCAGTCTCTCAGCTACCAACCGGCCCCAGCGACTCCACTCACTCTGCAGTATCCTACAGATGGTCTATGTGCGCGGTCGCTGTTACATCGCATGTTGAGGGACTACCTCGAATTTCTTTACCCGCTGATACCAGTTGTCCATCGGCCCTCCTTTCGTCAAGATATCTCGCGAAACAGGGACATTCATGATAATGACTTCTTGATCCTGGTCGTTTCCCTTTGTGCCTTGACGGTTGGGGTTATGAGCAGAAAGTTCAAAGAGTATCGGTCTCTCGAGAATCCAGTACAATTCCATACCCGGACAGAAATGATCAACGCCTGCTACGACTTATGCCTGCGATTACGAGGCCCTGACTACTTTGATAAAGTGAATTTCCAGAAGTGGGCAGCGTCTTATTCGATGGCCATTGCATTCTTCCAGGTCGGCCAGCATAATCGGGCGCGCATGGTCGAGGTAGAATCCATGCAGCTCGCACGTCTTCTGAACTTGCATCAAATCTCTGAATACGATGGGCTCAATCTTATCGAAACCCAGCTCCGCAAGAAAGCATTCTGGCTCATGTGGTATGGCTATGTGTAAGTATTCCTCCTATCAATGCGAGCCGATTTCGGGCTGAATTCCGGTAGACACTCCCAGCTGCAGAACCTCAGGAAGGAGCGGCTCAACTACTTGGATGCCACAATTCTGAGTACCATAAACCTCGAGGACCTCATGCCTTTCGAAGTTGACGATGAGATGATCCTCGAGGATGCAGTCATTCCCCAGCCTACGGATGCCCTATCTCTTACTACGGGGTTCATCGTCCATTCGCGTGTATTCTGGGCTGCTCTTACTTCCCCTTCGCCTCGGGACTCTTCTGTTCCAAGAAGAGATCCCTGTATGTGCGTGAGGTCCGCGGAGCCAAAGCTTCAGATTGAATATCTCAGGGACCGCCTTCATGACCTGAAGTACATCATTGATGGAATGCCTCCGCAGCTTCGCCAGTGGGCGGCAGAAGATAACTGGGACACGCTAAACGGCTCAAGTTTGGAGCATCAACGCATCATCAAAGCACAGTTCGAGTCAATGCGAGCCAACATCCATGTCACACATTTGTGGCTTCAGAGCATCATCCTTGATCAATTAGACGCTCTCATGACGAGCGAACCGAGCATCTCAACTCTGCCATCATCTCTGGCTGACCCAAAGGCGGTGTGGGCTGAGAGAGAAGACATTGCTCGCCAGCTTCTCCATTTGCTGCACAGTATTCCAGAGATTCACCTGGAGCCCAACGGCCACCATCTTGTATGTTCCCTCCAATCTGGCTTGACTAAAGAGATACGCTAACAACCCGTAGACCTTTAAAGTCCGTGATGTTGCCGTCGCGCTTCTCAATTGCCCTCCAGAACTGCCCGTGGAGGCATCAAGAAGAGCATCGGAATATCTCCGCGAATTCACAAACAAGCTGTCGCGTTTAGACGGCAGTGAGATAGTAAACACACTGAGTTTACAGAGTTGGGTTGATACCGACCGTAGAGGGATAACATCTGGTTGAGTCGGCGTGGAGTTCCCCACGTGATTTCCGTCACCTGCCCTCTTTTCATTGTGGCATTCAACTATGAGCGAGCAAAGATCGGAGACATGAGGAGGGGACGTTGTGCGACGAGTTACGATTTTAAGTCTGATGAACAATGCTTAGATTGAGCACGGATATCTCCCGCTTTACAGCCCTGACCAGTAGACGGTCTTATGTAATTCCAAGGATGACTCAAGAAAATCACCCGCGCTACTTGTTCCTACCAAGATATTGTATGTTCCTGCATGACTACACCATCTGCTGCTATACTCATCCCAAAAGCTCGTCGAGCGGATTATATCAAGCTTCACCTCGACCACACTTTCGCTTCCAGGCTGCAAATACACCTTCTTGAAACCCTTCAGCTCCTTTTTCGGGCGGTTAATGGGAGGCGAGACAGGCGCAATGTAGACCTGGATTACTTCTGCGCCCGCACGAGAGCCAGTGTTGGCGACTTTGGTGGAGACGACGAATTCCATTTCCGACAGGCTCTCAACCCCGATTCCGGACAGATGAAATTTTGTGTATGAGAGGCCATGTCCAAAAGGAAACAATGGTGGGATCTCGACCTTGTCGAAATAGCGGTATCCGACGTAGACATCTTCACCGTAGAGCACACGTCCGCCTTCGGAGCGGTAATTGAGGTATGCAGGGGTGTCTTGGAGGCGCCGTGGTATCGTAAGGGGGAGCTTCCCGCACTGTAATTGGGTCGTCAATGTAAGCTGCAGTCAGAAAGCATCATGAATGGAAGAGCTCTTACTGGGTTCACATCTCCATAGATCACATCTGCGATCCCGTGACCAGTCTCATTGCCTCCATACCAAGCGTGTACAACAGCATTCGCTTTGTCGATCCAGGGCATTGCCACAGGCGTGCCGCTCTGGATGACTACCACGGTGTTCGGGTTCGCTTCGAGGACCTTGGAGATGAGTTCATCGCTGTGAGGTGGTAGATCCATTGCTTCACGGTCCTGTCCCTCTGTTTCCCACTCCCCACTCAGGCCTGCGAACAACACAACCTGATCCACATTGCTGGCCAGTTCTGCTGCTTCCTCCATGGCTTCCGGAGGTGATAATCGCTTGCAGCCACTGATTCTGAATCCTCCGTGACCGAAATCGACGACGCCAGGGGCCTTGAGCTTGCTCGTCTTTGCGGATCCCCACTGCACGAGGATCCTGTATCGTCTTCCTGCTTTCAGATCTTTTGTTCCAACTTCTTCGAGCGTGCCGGCGCCTAGAAAACTGGGACCAGATCTTTGATTTTCCACGTTGCTGACAAGAAGTTCGCCGTCAACGTATAACTTTGCCGTGCCTTGCACACAAAGACCGAAGTCGTAGATGCCGCTCTCCTCCGGGGTGAAGATACCCTCAGCATCGGCGTACCATATCGGTTGTAGCGATGGATGGCTGTAGTCAAGGAAAAAGACCATTGAGTCTGACAGTAGTCGCTCCTCGAGAAGGTGTCTTTCGAACGCCTTAGGGGGTTCGTTGTAGATCTTAAGCGTGAAGCCTCGCTTGCCATCGACGGTCCGAAGCAGTTGCCCGAGTTGCGGTAATGATTGATGTCCGTACGCGCCCTGAGCGAATTCGACTTCGGAAGTGGCTGAAGCCTTGATTCCCTCAAATGGTGTGACTGCGCGATAGGGATTGAGCGATGCGCTTCCTCCTCCACAGATAGTCGCTACCTTTGAATTCGGACCTATGACGGCAACACGCTTATCCTTACTGAGTGGTAAAACACCGTTCTGATTTTTGAGGAGGACAATGGAGTCCGCGGCCACTTGTCGTAGAAGTTGCCGGTCCTGCTCGCGGTCTAGAATATGCTCCGGAGCGTTCTCTGGAACACCAGATCTAGTAGCATAATCCACCAGTCTCAAGACATTCCTTACTCGGTCATTGAGCTGTGAGGTCTTGACCTTATTGGCAACAACGGCATGGCTGAGGGCCGGCCCTCGCCACCGTGATGGCCCCGGCATTTCGAGATCCAAGCCGGCTTGGATGGCGCCTGTAGTACTATAGGTACCAAACCTGCCAAATCGAGAGTCAGCCATTGGGGGCTTTTGAGGACAGGCGTAAGGGACGTACCAATCACTCATTACAAGACCCTCCCACTTCCACTCATCTCGGAGGATATCTTGTAGCAGATTCCGGCTTTCCGCCGCATGCGTACCGTTGACTTTGTTGTACGCCGTCATGATTGCGCCGGGCTTTGACATCTTTACTGCAACCATAAAGGGGAAGAGATATATCTCCCGCAAAGCTCTTTCGGTTACTACCGCGTTTACTGCCATTCGTTGGGATTCCATATCATTGCACACAAAATGCTTCAGCGTTGCAACGATATTCTTTTCTTTCAGTCCCTTGCAGTAATAACCGGCAAGGATGCCAGCCAAGAAGGGATCCTCGGAGTACGACTCGAATCCACGGCCGCCGAGAGGTGATCGCTGGATATTGATGGTCGGTCCAAGGAGTACGTGGGCCCCCTTGGCTTTCGCTTCTTCGCCCAGGAGGTGCCCAATCTTAAGCGTTAATTCCGTGTCAAACGTAGCCCCAATCGCGGTACCGCAAGGCAAGCAAGCTGCAGGCACGCCACCAAAGAACTTGGTTCCTCGGACTCCATTTGGACCATCGGAGAGGCGTATGGAAGGTATACCAAGCCGCGGAATATCGACTGTGTGCCAGAAATCCTTTCCTGATGAGTATCAATGTGAGTAAGCTATCCTTACCCCATGAGACGACGTGGAGAGACGTATTCGTACCTGCAGTAAGAGCTACTTTCTCCTCGAGCGTAAGCTCCTCAATGAGGCTCTCGACGTCAAAAGACTTTATGCTACCCATTTTTGATAGAGGTGAAGGATCGGTTCTGATCCACAAGCCCACCCAAGGGGAGGCTGTGGAGATATATCCTTCGAAGGTTACCCGCCATGGCTGTCTACAATAGCTGCCTGATCCTCTAATACCGAACCAAATTCTCGTAGAGTAGCATTCGCATTAGGTGGTCCAGAGCCGGGGAACGCTCGGCCACATCTCCGTCGCTCCCCGCTGCTGATCCACAGAGACGCTAAGTAATTCTCCGCCGCCAACACCCCTATGGATCCTCGTTTCTCCGCATCATTTCTCCGCACAATTTCTCATCTCATCTTGTGGCAAAACTCCGCTTTCCAATTCTCCGCGTAGCAACTCACTTTGCCTCTTCTGACGGCTTTGCTCCGATTCTCCGCCCGGTCGTCTATGCTTCATCACCTTTCAGCTCACTCTTTCTCTCTCATGGTCGTTCTCGGCCATCACGGCTATTGATGCGGCGCTGCAGCGCGAGCATCGGCAACTTCTCCGGCGCAGATTCCTGTACGACCGGTCTTGACTCGCTCAAAGCCCTGTCATGGAGAGATTGTGGCTTCCCCATGGAGGCGCTGCCCTCTATGTTGGTAAACTACATATAAGACCTCTCCATCTGCTTTGTCGAACCCATATCCTCAGCACTCTCGTCGTCTTGTCTTGTCGATTAACATCCTTTCTGATACACATCTCCACCCCCTCGAGCAAGCTTCTCATCTTTATATCATCGTCATGGCAGACATCCCCGTGGCACGGGTTGAGGCCCCTGTCACCCTCAAGGCCTACTTCCTCTGCGCCTTCGCCGCGTTCGGCGGTATCCTCTTTGGCTACGACTCCGGCTATATCAGCGGTGTGCTGGGGATGGACTACTTCAAATACCAGTTTGGTGGCCCCGTCCCAGCCGATTTCGACCACACATCCTATTACGACGGTGAAACATACTACATGTATCAGACGTGGCAGAAATCCCTCATCACCGCGATTCTATCAGCCGGCACGTTCCTTGGCGCGGTCGTCGCTGGCGGATTCGCAGACTGGCTCGGCCGCCGCACAACCATCATCATGGGTTGCGCGATCTTTTTGGCTGGTGTTATCCTGCAAACCGCTTCGACGACAGTCCCTCTCCTTATCGTTGGCCGCTTCGTCGCCGGTATAGGGGTTGGCTTTGTGTCAGCCATCATCATCTTGCACATGTCAGAAATCGCTCCAAAAGCCGTCCGTGGAATGATTGTTGCGGGATACTCATTTGCTGTAACGGTCGGATTGCTTCTTGCATCCTGTGTCACCTACGCGACCAAGGATCGGATGGACACTGGATCCTATCGGATTCCAATTGCTATCCAGGCTGTATACGCTCTCATCCTGGGTGTCGGCCTCTTTCTCCTTCCGGAATCACCACGGTGGTATGTTAAGAAAGGACGGCTCGAGAAGGCGCAAGCTGCTCTGTGCAGAATTCGTGGCCAGCCTCAGGAGTCGGAATACATTCGAGCTGAACTGGACGAGCTTATTGCCAACTACGAGCATGAAATCGCGTCTATGCAGGGCGGCTGGATGGATTGCTTCAAGGGCGGCTGGAAGCCAAACAGCAACTTACGTCGGGTCGTTATCGGAATCTCAATGCAGATGTTCCAGCAGTGGAGTAAGTCTCCCTGGCGATTTATTAGACGGTCATTATACTGATGGCTTATAGCTGGTGTCAACTTTATCTTCTACTACGGTACCACCTTCTTCCAACAAGCCGGCGTTCCTCAGACACCGTTCATCATCGGCATTATCACGACGGTCGTAAACGTTGGATCCACACCTCTCTCTTTCTGGACAATTGAACGTTTCGGGCGCAGGCCGCTCCTGATTTTCGGGGCTCTCGGCATGCTGTAAGCCACCCACAGAATATCCACCGTACTGTTTGATCTCTCGCTAATCGATTGCTAGGACTTGCGAATTCATCATCGCGATTGTCGGTACAGCAGCCCCTAACTCCGGGGCCGCCGGATACGTCCTAGTAGTCTTCGTCTGCATCTACATATCCTTCTTCGCATCCACGTGGGGACCAGCAGCTTGGGTTATAATCGGAGAGATCTATCCGCTGCCAATTCGCGCCAAAGGCGTTGCGCTTTCGACCGCCTCGAACTGGCTGTGGAACTTCATTATTGGCTACATCACGCCGTACATGGTCGATCCGAGCGCCGGTAATCTTGGAGCAAAGGTCTTCTTTGTCTGGGGCTCGACTTGTGCCGCCTGCCTCCTCTTTGCGTACTTCTTCGTCCCGGAGACAAAGGGACTATCCCTCGAGCAGGTCGACCAGATGATGGCTGAATGTTCACCAAGGCAGAGCGCCAAGTGGGTCCCGCATACAACATTTGCCACAGAGAAGAGGAGAGCATCAGAGGCTGGTGTCGTTATGTATAAGGAGATGGAAGTGTGATTACAGCACAGTCGATCAGAGGTGGGAGGGATTTTTTCAGTGTAGACAGTGTTCGAAATCGCTCGACCGTCGGACGGGCGAGGGTCTAGTAGTCCGACCCGCTCGACACGCCGTTTCAACGATATAGACGGTTAGGTGACCTAGTAACCGGTTATAGTAGCTAGCTAGCCGTTTATAGTTTAAATCTATAGTGATATCCAAAAAGCTTATAGTCTTAGTAGGTGTTAAACCTTATTTGCTTATTTATCTGAACGCGTAGGCTCTATCCACATCAATTTGACCGCTAGTAAAGCAGTATTTAACTTTATAAGCGTCTACCGACCAACTACCACGTCCTTTATTAAGACCACCCCTCCCTAACCTTACCACCCTATACTAAGATCCTGACAACCACGGTTTAGCAGCCTTATATGGTTAGCGGCTCGTCTAGAGCATCACGACGATTACCGGCTACTAGCTGCACGACTCCACACGAACGCCGTTTCAACGAGTTATGCGCGACCGATTTCGAACACTGAGTGTAGACTCCACGCTGGTGATAAGATAGGCACATTGCGGCAGATCAGAGTTCTTCAATGACCGCAGACTGTTGGGAGGTCCCTTGCGATGGCTCTTGCATTAGATATAGTCACATGTTTGGCCTACGGTGACATCTTAACCCGGTGCTAGCTATTGCAGACTGTAACTGAAGCGGAATGTGGCACGTTACCCATCAGAAACTCCATGTCTTTATCAACAGAGGAAAAGTCTATATACATGCGGCCCTAATGCAAGCGTACATAACAATTACCTCTCATTTACCGCATCTGTAACTCCGTGCCTGCAGAACTCAAATGCCAGCTGATCAGACTGCAGCGGGCCATCGCGACCGCACGCCATCACAAAGCTTCAACCAGCACAACGCCCTCGCTCCTCGTCTCGAAAAGCTTAGAGACATTCTTCGCTCATCTCCTCGCTTTCGAAGGCCTCTTCAGCTCACGCCCTCCCGCAGCATCCTCTTCTGGCGCCGTCACCACCCCAGACGCGAACAACACAGTCTTCGACGTTGGTACCAAGTGAATAATCACTTGCTCTGAATCAAGCCTGTGCTGAATGTAGGTCTCCGTGAGGAACGCCATCAACCTTTCTACATCCGCGATCGTACTCATTGCACCCAGACTCACCCTGACCACCCCTGTCAACTTCCCCTGCATTATCTGAGTCGGCCGGCTACACCGGTGTCCCGCTGTGTAGGCCGCTTTCATCTCCCAAGGTTGCCAGCCTAGGTAGGTGGCGAAGCCGCCTGGGTTGCAGAGCCCGCCGCTGCGCACGTAGATGCCGTGTCTGTCCGCACCCTTCTCAACATCAGAATAGCCGACGGGTGTGCCGTCGGCGCGGAGCACATTAAAGGCGATGGTGGCGCCTTGGGTCTTTGGATCGCCGTAGACGGCGGAGTCGTCTTTGTAGATCTGAATTGCCGGTTGGCCATTGGGGTGTGCAAGGGCGGAGAGGCCGTCGAAGAGTAGCTTGCTGAGATAAGCTGTGTAGGCCGATATCCGGGCCATTGAACCATACAGTCGCTGATGGACAGACATGGCGTGGTCCAGCGCAAAAATAGAATGGAAGGGGAGTGTGCCATCCTCAAGCTGGTCGTGGAGAGAGTAGTCTTTCTTGGCATGCCAGGTATCGTTGAGAGAGACTACCATGTCGACAGTACCTCCTCCAAAGTACCTTCTTTGTTGGAGCATGTGGCCTGCCCGCTTGCGGACGATTAGTGCGCCTACATTAGGGAAACCAAAGATTTTGTAGAAGCTGATAGTGATGAAGTCAGGGGCTTCAGATTCGACACTTAGGTCGAGCGGCGCGGTTGTGGCTAACGCTGCGGCATCTAAAAGGGAAAACGTAGTTTTACTACGCTTGGACTGCCGGATTCGATTCGGCCTAAGATCCATCAGCAGCTGTGTGTTTTTTGAAGCTTGAATTAAGGCACTTACCAAGTCAAAGGCAAACGGCGGCCCGTCATGTTCGACTGACCTGGGTACGCAAAGAGTCTTACTTGCCTCTTCTCGTCCACAGAAGACGTGTCGTCCTCCTCGTCAATCCACTCTTCCACCTCTGCATCACTATGGAAGCAACGATGCAAGCCCTCAGTGACCTCTCTGATTCCGACAAGACTGGTATGAGCATCGCGGTGGTATCCGTACCAGAATCCACGCGTTGCGTTGCGGATGGCGAAATCTCGGAAGGAGTCCATGACCAACTTGATGGCGGCCGTGGCATTTGCCGTGAAGACCAAGTCGAAATCCCGAGGGTCTGCGTTGAAGAAGCGCAGCGTCCGCTCTCGTATGGCATCCACTCGGGTACCACTTAGATGAGATGGGGAAGAATCTGAATGTGGATTTCCGTACAAAGTTGTGATCAGATCGTTTGAGAACTCTTGGATGAGGGACTTGGCATAGAGCTATGATGACTTAGTACAAGCAGAAGAACCGTCGCACCTGGGTGCAAGAATCACCGTCGCGCCGCCATGGTCGAGGTACACTTTATCTACATACGGTATTAGTGAAACATGAATTCATGTAGGAAGCCCATATAGACAATTACCCTTGAGCATGGGATATTCTTGATCTCTCAGACCCTCGACACTGCGATTATACGCCGCTGTTGGCCGTACTGGCTGCTGCAACTTCGACATATTCCAATGCTGGTGCACTTATGGTGAATGTGAGAGCCAAAATGATGCCGGTCGTATCGTTCAAACGAAGTACCGGAACGATGAGTTATAAGTGCCACTCAGGAGTCAGTGAATACCCATTCGTAGACATATAGTCAGCTATTTCGGCCCTCAAGCGCAATGAGATACGAACAGAGAAGTACGGAACCGCCGAGCGGGCGGTGTCGGCTCACTCATGGTAGATGGGCATATTCCCTCATTGGCTTGCTCGTGGATGTAAAACCGCTCACCACAGCCCACGGCGGAGGATGCTTCTCTACTGCTTTCGGCTGAGAGCCTTGCATCGTTTGGCTTCCTGTAATAAGAAGGCTCTTGCTATCGTGTACGCCGATGTGCAGAGTCTAGGCAGCCGCCGGGGTGACGCTATTATTCGCCCACGTGGACGCAGGAGCTGGCTGCAAAGTTGGAAGACACTTATGTGGAAGGACTTGGATCAACACGAGAATTGGCTGTGCCGCATCGTCTCATACAAACTTGCGGCAGAATTCCGGTGACGACTACTTCGCCCGAGCCTTAGGCGCCGAACCTTGCCGTGACTGTAACGTTACCTACATAGTGCGACCTCTCTCTCAGCCCTTCCCGGCAGCGCCGATCTGCTGGCGCCCGCGAACCCAGGGGTTGTTCCACCCATGCAGCCAGCCCTTTCAGCTGTCCTTTGACCAGCCTTGTGCCGTTAGCTTTTAGTTCAGAAGCCAAAATGTCCCTGCTACGCTTACATGTACCCAGGTAGCTTACTCAGATTCACGAGCCTTTCAGCTGCAACCCTTTCCGCTATTAACCTCGTGAATTCCCACCATCTCGCCATCTGTGAAAATCTCTAGAGTTTAATATCTGTTTGCGAGTCCGCTTGAGTCTATTGGCTTCCTTAACGGCTCTACCCAAATCCGTATCTATCAACTTTCCTGAGCATCTGCAGATCGACCGTGTTAGATCAGTACCTCCACTTGCTGACCATGGACTACATCTCGGTGCCAGACGTCGAGAAAAGCGGAGGAGACTATGCTCACCTTACCAACACGACCATTCAAGGCTTTAGCTGGGAGGGTGTGTCTGTCACTATGGAGGATAGAGTCACGAAGCTGCCGAAGACAATTCTGTCTGACATTAGCGGTGGCTTGAAAGCTGGCGAACTGCTCGCAATTATGGGTCCCAGTGGCTCTGGAAAGACGACTTTACTTGATGTTCTAGCTCACAGAGGGACGACCGGAAAGGCTACAGTCAAGAAGTCATTATATGTCAATGGCAGCCAAACATCGCTAGGGGATTTCCGGCGCATAAGCTCCTACGTAGAACAGGAGGACGCGCTTACAGGCTCGTTGACAGTGAAGGAGACGCTTTACTTCGCCGCCAAATTATCGCTTCCTAGGTGAGTAATATTAGTAGCCCTGCCGTGATACACACCGAGCTGACACTTATCACAGTACCGTAAGCAAGATAGAGCGTACGCAAAGGATCGAGGCCCTTCTAGCAGCATTTGGACTCCAAAGTCAGGCGAATACCTTGATCGGCACGCCCATCCGCAAAGGTATCAGTGGCGGCCAGAAGAGGAGAGTGAGTGTGGCCAGCCAGCTCATAACCAGTCCGAAGATACTTTTCTTGGACGAGCCTACAAGCGGGCTGGATTCGGCGGCAAGCTTCGAGGTCATCTCCTTTGTAAGGAGCATTGCGAAGCAACATGGGGTATAGTCTTCTCGGAAACACGGGCGACAGATCAAAACTGATCAGTTTCTAGATCCTGATCATCGCCAGCATACATCAGCCATCCACATCCACCTTCGCTCTCTTCGACAAGCTACTTCTTCTCTCGAGCGGCAGGATTGCATACAATGGCACTATCGCGGACGTCCAACCATACTTTGACTCGCTGGGATATAGCATGCCTCTATACATGAACCCGGCTGAGTACGTTATTGACTTGGTGAACATTGACTTTGCGCGAGACACAGAGAGGGCCCACCTGCAGCTGGAGAAGATACAGTCATCATGGAGTAAATCGCCAAACGCCACAACAATTGTACATGAAATCGGCGGGGAGACGGCTCCCCGGGAAACTACCCCTACGGTTGTTGCTGAGGAATATGGCTCCGCTAACAAGCTCCTGCTCCCGTTTACACTCATCCACCGCTCTTTCATCAAGAGCTACAGGGATGTCGTAGCGTATGGCATCCGTGTAGCAATGTACATGGGCCTCGCGATTATGATGGGAACAGTGTGGCTCCGTCTTGATACGGATCAAAAGAACATCCAGTCGTTCATAAATGCAATTGTAAGGCTTGTCACATTTATATGATACGCCCAATGCTTACAGAGATACAACAGTTCTTCGGAGGAGCCTTCATGTCTTTCATGGCGGTAAGTCACGGCCAGCATTGGTACAAGCGCCACTAATCGAAGGTCAGGTCGCGTACATTCCGTCATTCCTAGAAGACCGGTCTTTGTATGTCAAGGAACGAGCGAACGGCCTCTACGGACCTACGGCATTCATGATAGCGAACTTCATCATCGGCCTCCCATATCTGTGTAAGTCCTTCGGCTTCTCCCGGTTAAACAGCTGTCTAACATTGCTTTAGTCATCATCTCCCTCCTTTTCTCCTCGATAACCTACTTCCTCTCCAACTTCCGGCCGACCGCCACCGCTTTCTTTACTTGGGTCATGTACCTGTTCCTCGACCTAATCGCCGCCGAATCCCTTGTGATACTGATTTCAAGCCTCGCTCCCATCTTTGTCGTGGCCCTTGCCGCAACTGCGTTTGCCAACGGGCTTTGGATGAGCGTTATGGGGTTCATGGTCGAGCCAAAAACCCTCAATGTGTTCTACAGATACGTGTTCCATTACATCGACTATCAGGCCTATGTCTTCCAGGGCATGATGGTGAATGAGTTTGCGGAGAGGACGTATGACTGCGGCAAAGATTGCCAGTGCATGTATGTGAGCGACTTGGCCGACCAGTGTAAAGTTGATGGGAAGGCGGTGTTGGCAGTGTATGGGTACAGGCAGGATAGGAATGGCTTATGGGTGGGCATATTGCTGGCGATTGTGCTAGGGTACCGGCTTCTCGGATGGCTGGTACTGCATCTTCGCCGGACCTAGCTCTTAGTTCTCACAATGCAGTCTGATCTGGACCACTACGTTCAGTTCGGACAGGCCTACCACCCGCAACCCCAAATGATGGCATCGATATCTGAAGTATCTTTCACCCCTATTTCACATCCCCTCCGCAGGCAAGGTGGCATACCTCGCCATGACCTCCAAATTGATCTCCTTGTCCATCGCCACTCCCTTCTCTACCATCTCCCCTAATATCCTAAAGTAGTTGATGTAAAACGCAGGCGTGAACGTGCAGAGGAACTTCGCCTCTTCGTCAAACGGATTTGAGAAGGTGTGCGGCGCTCTAAAAGACATGAGGATGGATCCATTTAAAAGTTCAGGATACAGGATCAGCAAAACTCGGCCTACCGTGTTGGCACCGTAACAAAATCGCCAACTTTTGCGTCGATAGTCTTGCCCTCTGGCGCATGGAAGCGCACAGACCCTTTTGTAACCATGAATGTTTCGTCGTGCATCTCGTGCCAATGGGCTGGAGGACCTCCGATCTGAGGCGGAAGAGTAAATTCTGCAGAGCCAATACGGTTGTCTGGTGCCATAGGCGTCAAATGGCTTCTCTATGCGCAATGACTCGCTCGGGATGTTTTGTATGGGGGGTTGTCTTTACCTGTGTGGCTGCCATCCTCCATGACACGGATGGTGATCTGACCGAGAGAGAACATCTCCCCTGATGTGGCAGATACGAAGTTGATGGGAACTTTGGGCATAGCCATAAGCTTTGCGGCGGCTGCTGGGCCGTCGTCGTCCATGGTGTTCAAATAGACGCTTGAGAGATGATGAAGTAAAGGGTACTACGGCTGCTTAATATGTGTCTGCGAAAAGCAAAGATAGCACAATGGGAGTCATTGTGGTGGGAACTGGAAATATAAATGCTCTTCGCGTCGGGTTGGAGGACTTGTCACGAGCATCACCTGGCAGATGCTTACCAAGACTTATTCAGCGCTGAACCCGGCTCGATTGACTCCTCGCGTCGCGTATCCGGATTGCCCGAGCACCGGGTGGCCGATATAGGGGCCGACACACCGAAGAAGCTTTCGTAGCTAGCGGCGCCGTCATGTAAGCCAACGACCGGTTAAGATTTAGATCTTTCCTGGCGGGAGACCTCGTGTACCTCGCGTGGGGCTCACGTGGGCTCCATTCGATCGGCCGGTTGCGGAGCGGCCCGTTCGGCTATAGAGCACAGACCCGCAACCTAATTTTTGGTTCGACCACTTCAGGCCTGACACCTTCAGCGAAGGAGCAGCAAAGCCACTGAAACCGCTGTCACGGTGTTAAGATTGATGTGCTTACTAGTTGATTGACAAGGACGCTTAGATGCCGCGCCCAGCTCAGAGGCGAGATCCTGAGCGGAACCGTCTCCACCAATAGCCGAAAAGGCAGAACAGGGCTGCCGCCAAACGGGCCGCCGAGGAACCCGTTGACGCTACCGCTCAGGGCACTGCAAGTACCGGTCCTACTGTTACACCATTGAACCGAAACCCGTAACTATGGAGAGCAACCAATTCGACCTCTCGCTCGGCCTGAATGGTACCCACGTCGTTGTCACCGGAGGCGCCGGTTTGATCGGGAGTGTTGTGGTGAAAGCGTTCATCGCAGCGGGATCATCGGTCTCCTCCCTTGACATCAGGCACGACAAAGTGACACGAGTCTCGGAGCAGCTGCTAGAAATCGAGGCCGACATCTCGTCCACCGAATCAATGCAGAGAGCTTGGGCAGACGCGGAACATAGTTTTGGGCCCGTCATATGTTGCGTTGCGCTCGCGTCCCTCGACCTAAGCGTGCTGCAGCACCACGACAGCGCCGCAGACATGTCGCTAGAGCAGTTTAAGCGGACTATGGATGTCAATGTGGGCGGGACTTTCCTGGCTGCAAAGCTGTGGCTCCAGGGGTTGAGGGAACAGCGAGCTACTCGGGGCAGGGCTGAAGAAGATAGGAAGAAGAACCGGCCGCATGAGGAGAACCCCTGGAGGAACGTGGGGTTAATTATGGTGGGGAGTGAGAGTGGCTGGTTCGGCGAGAGGTCGAATGCCGATTATGCGGCGTCGAAGAGCGCGGTCCAGGTTGGGTTGTTGCAGAGCTTGAAGTCTGATGTGCCCAGGGTCTGGCCGGGTGCGAGGTACGGTTCTCCGTGCATCCATCACATCTTACCCGGATGAATAACCGCGATCATACGCTCGTATGATGGAGTAACTCACAAGCAACTCCTAGGGTAAACGCGATTGCGCCAGGTCCTGTGGATACAGCACGGTTCAAAGAGGAGTGCAAGCAGGATCCCAACCAGTACTATCTCGATGCGCAAGCCACTGTAAGTTGATCACCCTCAGTCTTCATTTCGTACTGGCGCTAACACGCATAGACCGCGCTGTGTAAACCGGTCCCTGTCGAGGCAGTTGCAAGAAGCATCGTCTTCCTGGCGAGCGAGAAATGGTCTGGCAATGTCCATGGCCAGGTTCTTAATGTCGACTCAGGGAAGCAAGGCAAACTCATGTGGTCACGAGACGAATGTTCTGCTTGAATCAACAGGTACGACTTCTGTGTCGCATTTTCAGTCCTGGGAGAGATTGCTCTACTAGACGGAATGGTTAGTCCTCCGCTTCAGATTACGGAGATCTGGAATAACAGGCCCGGTGAAACGCTTTGAGCGTTGTCTAGTGTACGTACCAGCAGCTTCGAGTTCTGTATTGTTTCCAGTGGCGCTAACATAAGACCGAGTGGGTCTTTCATCCCTATGATGTACAAGTGTTTCGCGCCACGTCCTTCAGAATCTACACTGCCCAAAACAACAAACAGCCGGCTATTCAAACGCCCCTTACCCATCCAACCCTTACACGCTAACACCCCTAAACGGACTTTTATGTTTTACAATCCAATTGATCTACAGCCCCACATCACTACACACACAACCACTCCGCAAAAACGCACCACCGCGCGCTCCGATCCGCAAGCACGAGTCCCCTCCAAGTCCCCCTCTCCCCAATCTTAACCACAGTCTCCCACGTGCCTCCCACATCCTCCCCGATCACCGCACTCGCTCCGCCATAAACCTGCTCGTTCCGCTTGACGAGCCTAATGATCTTCCCCGACGGACTCTGGACGGCTAGTTTCGCCGGCTTGTGCGGAGCTGATGAGGAAACAGATGAAGCGTTCGACGGATTGCTAGGATCCGACCCCACGGACCCCGCCGCAGAGACAGACGCCATACTCATTGCGGACGCCGGTCTGGCTGCAAACGTTGGCATGGGGCTTCTTCTTCCTGAGGCATCGGAGTAGCTGATGGATGTGTCGCCTGTGCGGGACGAAGCGGAGGTAGGGGACAGCGAGGACGGGTGCTGCCGCACGGCGAAGACGAAGGTGTTGTTGATGGCGAGGCGGTAGCACTGGGGTTGCGCGACGTAGAGGTCGTGGCGCTGGGCGTGGGGGGTTGGGTGGCGGATTAGAAAGTCGTAGGGGGGGTTGGAGCCGGTGTGAGAGAGGGGAAGGGAGAGGGCGAGGGGGTGGGGGTTTTGTTTTATGGAGTGCTGGTGGCGGTCCCGTTAGCAAATAGATCCGAAAAGGTCAATGGAGGGGGACAGGGATGGCATACCCTGAGTCCGCACTTCCCGGCATAAACCTTCAGCGTCCCCTGTCCCTCATCCCCCGGCAACAGCGCCTTAATCGTATACCGCTTCCTCCCCACAACCCAATCCGGCTGCGCCAACGCCGACTTCTTCACCATTTCCCCGCTCTCAAAGAAGTCGCCATCCGCGTCCCTCGCAAACACCCTCACCTCGACTTCCGCCACGCACTCCATGTCCTCCGGCACCTCGAGGAAAACATGCGCCTGCTCCAAGCCGTCCATGTGCAGCATACTGGTATCGAACTCGTCGATCCTCATATTGTTCCGGAAGTATGGCGGACAGGCCACCGGTAGCGCCATGAGGATATCGTGGCTCAGCGTCGGCACTACATGCTGCTGTTCCGGCAGCAGCGGAACATGCGTGTAGCAGATCTCCATCGGGCGAGCGAGGAACCACCAGCTTTCAGCAACGCTGCTGCCAGCGCTGCTATACGCGCTCCGTTTCGGATTCGTCGGGCTGGCCAAAGCACAGTCCATGATGCGCCACTCGCCGTCCACGATGACAGCGTTCCAGTAGTGGTTCGGCCGCGCCACCATCTCGATATCGAGCATCTCGTCCGGCGATTTGAGCAGGCCGTGCACGACTTCGCAGTGGATGCCAACCGCAGCGCACATTTCCATGACAAGCACGGCAATCTCCTTAGCACAGCCGCGTCGGGATTGGATGACGCGGCGGGTGTCGATTTCGCCTTCGAAGTCTTCCTCGCAGGAGACGCGCTCGGCGACCCAGGTGAAGATTGCGCGGAGCCGCTGGACGTCGCTTCTGTAGGGGCGGCAGACATAGCCCTGTGCCAGACTCGCTGGGGTGGTCATGGGCGGGATGCTGTTCACGAACCGCGCGGTCTTGTCTACCAGCGCGAGATTGCACGATGTGAAGTCTGTTGGGTCGGCGATAGGCAGGCCGTCGAGTCCTTCGTCTCCCTCGGCTGTTTCGTAGAGGAGATCAACGGGGTTCAGGACGGGGACATCGAGCATCTGGCAGCGCTCGGCCCGCTCGATGCGCTCGTTGCGGCTGATGGAGTTTGAGCGGTTGACATCCCGTCTCACCTGGACCCAGTCGTTGCCGCCACCGAGACCCATATCTCTTGCCGCAGAACCTGGTGCAGCAGAGTCCAGTCTGGGTGCAGCAGTCCCTCCCGCGATAGCTGTCACGCCGTTGGGAAGTATCGAGGATGTCGAATTCTTGTGGTACGAGGTGGGGCGGCTGACTTGGCCAGTTGCAATGGTGCTCCTGGCGCTCGCAGCCCCCGTTTTGGCAGACTCGATCATCTTTTTAAAAAAGCCGGACTTCTTTGGCTTCAGGACCGCGAAGCCGCCTAATCCATCTCCCGTGCTTGGTCCACTCGGTTGGGGTTGCCAGTTGCTCATCGATGTGTCTGGCCTCGACTGGTTGGAGTCATGGCTGGAGTGGTATGTCACACCTGTGAAGGGTGTTTCGGGTCTGTTTTCTCCACCAGCGAAGCCCAACTTGCTGCCCGCTGCGTCTCGGGTGTTACCCATCACGCTCTGCGGTCTATCGCGGATGCTGCCGAGACCCCATTTCCTGCGTGCCAGGCTGCCTGCGCTCGTAGCGCTGATAGCACCAGCTGAATAACCGCTCATAAGGCTGTGATCCGTCATTTGTGTCGTATTCGTGCTCGTACTCTGTGCTGTTTTGGTCGTAAAGGTGCGGTCCAGCATCTGGCGGCCGAGGTCGTATGCCGATTTTCGATTTTTCAACGACTTGCGAGAGTTGGTCCGGCCAGCTATTTCGGAGGCGTTCTCCAGCGAAGATTGTGGGCGTGGTTGGTAAGACTCATGCTTGGGTGGAGGAGCCGGAGGCTCGCCAGAAGATTGAGACGATCCGGTCTGTGGGCGAGATTGGCCTTCCTGTTGCATTTTTCGCAGCCGACTCTCCATGCGCTGAACATAGTTGTGTATCTGTGGCGGTCCATCGTGCTGTGTTTGGTAGCCGGAATCTGTGTTGTAGACGTCATCCTCGGTCTCCTCCTCTTGTGCTCCGATGCCCAAAGACGTCCGCGGACGCATCTTCTTCTCCTTTGTGTAAACTTGTTCAAATGCTTCTGGCGACCAAACACTTTGCGGCTGACGCGGCGGTTCTGGCGTAGGACTCCTCGCCGCGGTCATGTCTTCGAGAGAGGACATCACATCGTTCATCGCATTTGTCAGCGGCGACGGAGTATAGTTCTTGCCACCAGATGGCGGCGGCTCAGGCGTATGGTACCGCCCAATGTAATCCTGCTGCGAGTCATAGCGTGTTGGTGACGGCGCTCTGCTCTGGCTATACAGAACACGATGGGCCGGCGGAGGTGGTGGGGGAGGTGATGCTTCAGGTAGTTCATATGGATTTGGTGACGGGTTACGAAGCAACTGGCGCCAATCGGCAGAAGGCGCTGGAGATACGGCGCGTACGTGGTCATGATACTGTGACGGCGGGGCCGGAGACGGAGCTCTCGATCTTTGAGCAGAGCTTTGAATGACTGGCGGTGCAGGAGATGCGGCACGGTAATATGAATAGTCTTTCGGGGGCGGAGCGGGAGAAGGTGCGCGGTACGGGATATAGCTTGACGTTGACGGAGCAGGCGAAGGTACACGGCTCGGCGGCGCTGGCGATACAGCGCGCGCTTGCGAGAAACCATTCGCTTGTGGCCGTGGAGAAGGCGTGTGGTTGCCATCCGCTGACCTTTTTCTTGAGCCGCGTGAGCGAGGAACAGGTGCGGGAAGTGCACTTGGGGTATCCGGTGGCTTCTGTATTTCAGGCGTAGGGCGTTTCATTGACGCATACGGCTTGTGCTTTGACACGCTTCCATGCGGGGAGGCCGCTGGAGAAGTTCCATTGGCGCTCTTCGCAGTGGCGGTAGGATTAGGTGAGCCAGCGGCGTAGTATGCCTGGAATGGCTTGCGGAACATGCTCGTGGACTTCTGAGGAGTCGGCTTCGCGGCAACTGAATTTGGTGTTGATCCCCTGGATATGCTGCCGCCTCCTCCGGATTGTAGTGGTAACGGACTGGCATTGCGACTAGGCTGGAAGTTCTCGTCGAGAAGCTTTACGAAGTTTGAAGGGAACAGTCCGACCATGCGTTTGTCGCGCCTTAACCGGCCCATCCACCACGATCCGTCGCCAGCATTGAGACATTCTATAAGGTCGCCTTCGATGAAGCCAAGATCGCGCTTTGTCTGCGAAGATTGTCATGTCAGCGATGCTTCCTTCTGCCATGAGAGTGTGAGATATAGTGCTGAAGTACCTCTCCTCCCCACGAGTAGACGGCTTGACACCAGCAGGGGAACCGAGTAGGCAGCGCCGGAGCTGAAGCAGGCATTTCTCACGCCCGAGCCGTTGGTAAAACGAGTGTATCTGGTTGCGTATAGCTTCGAGAGTAGCAAAGCTCGAACGAGTGTTGGTGGTTCGGGGCTGTTTACGGGTCTTCGGTACAGTTGTGTAATTTGGCGTAACAGCATGCGACGTGCACTAACGAATGGACTTTTGCTGGAAGCTACTTGGAAACGATACAGCATGTGAGTTTGTATTGGAGAAGAAAAGAGCGAAAGCGCGTCGGCCCCAATTGATGGTGCAGGTCGAGCTGGGTGTTTTTCTTGATCTTGCCGCAGGTGGTCGCTTGGGAAACGAGCCGCCTCTTTTCAGCCTCAACGTCATCCAAAATCGGACACCTGAAACCACCACGGACTGTTTCGTACAACGACGATCTTCCTGTACACGTTTGAGGGAGCACTTTGCAATGGAGCAGGATCAATGGTCGGACGAAACGTGCGGGGCGGCTTTTAACACGGCGATTTTGTAGCTGAGATGCTGCCATGTACTCTTCGTGCGACCGTTGAACATGTTAATCCGCGTAAAGGAAGTTTTGTTGTGGATTCATCATTTCCACAAGATCTTTCTTTCTCATCGTCTAAGCTGTGTAAGAATGTAAAAGCAAGCGCTACCAGTCACCTATTGATGATGCCCGAATGATCATCACTGCATCCGATACTCGTTCTGAATTCGGTAATGCCCATATCCAGTTCTAACCCGAGACCCTTACCCTCTCCCCATGCCATCAATCTACGCCCACATAGCCTTAAACTTCCCATCAAACTCCTGCTTCAACATCTGAAACGCCCTCAACACATTCATCAGCCCTTTTCCAGGATCCCCATCGCGCGCAGCAGCGTTAGCTTCTTTCTGCTCCGCGGTCCGCTTCGCTTTATGTTTAGCAATCTTCGCCTCGACAGCATCAGCATGGTCCTCCCAGCTATCAGCCGCCTTAGCCTTGGAGACGCGCAGTGCTCCCACAGCAGCGGTCACAGCTTCCCCATCCCAGCTATCGTCGACAGTAGCGGCCATCTTCTTGGCTTGAGCCTGCTGCGGCTTCGCGCCTGCGGCTTCCTTTCCACCCGCTAGCGGCTCGTTCTCGAGCTCCGCGACCTTGTCGTCCTTTGATTCCTCGAAGACGTCGCCGCTGCCCATGACGTCCAGCAAGTCGACGTCGGACTCCGGGGTCAGCTTCATGAAGTTCATAAGGCTGGTGATGATAGTAGCGAGGATGAGGGAGAAGTCGTTTAGAAGGAACCAGACCTCGCCTCGCCGGATACGGTTGGCTTTGTCGAGAGCCGTGACGTCGCCGTGCATGAAGAAGTCGTAGAGGTAGGCGTTCAGTGGGACGTCGGACTCTTCGGGGTGGAGACTGATGTAGGGGATCACGGCTTCTTCTAGGAAGACGCCGCTCCGAGTTGTGTGGCAAAGGTCCGAGATGGACGCGAAGTTATCCCCGTAGCCAGATAGTGCAACGAAAGATGACCTGATTGCGGCGTGTGGCAGTGCCCCCGGTGGGGTGGAAGCCGAAGGCGCGTCACCGCCAAACTTCATTCCGGTGAGGGGCAGATGGCTATCGTCGTAATCGATGTGCTGATCAACGAACGTCCTTACATAGGTGCTGAAAATCTGGAGCGTCTGGTTGTTATGCCGACGAAGCACCCTGGCAGCCTTTGCGGGCAATGGCGGGAGGAAGACGATGGATGGAGAGCGCTTGACAACCTCCTTGATGAACTCTCGATCTGCCTGGCGGCACGGCTGGCGCCCGAAAAGATGAGCCATAACCAGCATCAAGTCCCGCAGGGTGCTCTTTGGCCTGGGTCGGACGCCTTTGCACAGTTGATGGAAGTATCCCTCCTTCAGAAGCGCGTGGAACGCGAAGCTGGAATTCTCGGTGAAGTACAGGTGCGAGACGCATCCAGCAAAGTTCAAAGGCCGCCCCAGGGTGTCAAGAAGCTGTTGCCTCCGCAAATATTCGATGGAGAATCGGAGATGATGGAGGACTGTCATTTTGGATTCATCTCCGCCAAGATACAAGCGGGGCTGAGAGAGTAGCGAGGTGATGGCGCGGACAGCATACTGCGAAGATTTCGACTCATGGAGCAAGGCGAAAAGCCGCAGTACAAGCGTCGTGGTGATGGGGAAGTGTCCGTTGAGGTCCGGTAGTCTCGAGCTGAGCAGCCTGCAGACCTTGCCGTACGGCACGCCCTGGAACACGACATTGCCCAGCATGTCGAATCCACGACGACCCGCACGACCAGCAGCTTGACGATAGTTGAGCGCTGTGAGGAACACGGAGTCTCCGGAGAACACGACCGTCTTACAAGGCATATTAATGCCGAGAGCAAGAGTGCCGGTGGCGATGACAACTCGCAAGAATCCCTTGCGGAAGAGTATTTCGACCACTTGACGGTACTTACGGTTCATACCCGCATGGTGGATGCCAATGCCTCTAGCCAGGCCTTCGCCGAGCCAGGCGGGGAGTCCGCGCCTCTCCAGTTGGTAACAATACTGTTGCAGCTCGGAAGGAAGGAGTTTCTTCAAGTCGGCAAAGTGGAACCCCTCAACTGGCGCATCAGGATTGAAAGATGCGAAGGGACTCGCATCAGTGGCAGCATCCTTTTGCAGGTCGAGTTTACTGTCGCGTTCGTCTCCATCTTCGTCGTCACCCTTACCGCCCTTCTTCTTTGAAGTCTTGGGTGGGGCCTTCTTGGGTTTCTTCTCCTGCTCTTTCTTCCATTGCTCCCATGCCGTGACCTTTGCCTTCCATTTTGGGCTGGATTCTTTCCACTGTTGCTCAGCTGACACAAGCTGGCTCATGAGCGTTGTGCAGATCTTCTCGCACATGCTGCGATCGTAGTTGAACAAAATGGCGGGCAAAGCATCTTGGGCGTGAAGTGTTGCGAGCAAGGGGAGTGTCGTTTCGCAAATGCCATCCGGGTCGAAAGGTCGAGCGTCAGCAACCGCACCCCCAGCACGTTGTTCGGAGTGTGGCTTGCTCAAATCCTCGAGAACCGCATTGAAAGGTGAATCTTGGTCTCTCATCCACTCCTTCAGAACTTTCTTTAGAGAAGCTTCCCACTGGATGATGTCTGCTTTGCGGACAATGTCCGGCAAGGCTTTGTGTGGTGCCAGCGACTCGGCCACGGGGTACCGTCTGCTCCGATTCTTGACCATCAATTGCCATAGAGTGAAGCAATCTCGAGCCTCAAGACTTAGGTCGTCTGGCATACCTCTCGACCTGATTTCATGTCAGCAGGAGGCTCTTGCAGTACCCATGCAACCCGTCGAACATAGAATGGGAATAAGAATGAAGTTGCGATAGAGTGAGATCTGCAATCACACAGCAGCTGGGCACTTTCGTGCATCGATCAGCTATGGGTTTTCCGGGTCTGGACTCCATATCCGAGTGACCGCGCTCCAGGCCAGGATGCCACAGATCGTGCAAAACTGGTATCATCGTCTTGCAACGACACGATTACAGAACTAGATCGACCACAACTCTACATCAAATACGATAGAGACTTACCTATTGATCAGACTCGCAACAGGATGCATGAAAGTAAACTCAGCTGCACCGTCCAGGCCCAGCGGTGCTAGCATTGGTCGCTCACCCAGACCGTCGAAAGTGAAGTCCTTGGGTGGATGGTAGATGAACTTGCGAAGATCAGAGTATCTCTGATGATGCTGAATCATTGTAAGATCGATGTTGATGGACCGTTGAGTTGAAGCAACCCAGCTGTTGAACTCCTCGGGATTTCCGACCGTCGCAGATAATGCGATGATCGGGCAAGGCGCCAATAACAGGAGTTGCTCCCAGACGATACCGTCATCAGCTTGGCCAATGCAGTGGATTTCGTCAAAGATGATTCGCTTCACTCGGCGTGACCACGAATTCGCATTCGATGGTGCTAGTAGCATGATCTGGAGGATATGGGGCACCGTGACGAGGACCTGGCAGCCTGTCGGATTGTTGATGCGGTAGTCCCGTGTGTGGATACCCCAGACAGACTTTCCGCCGTATTTGAAGCTCTTGGAGAATCTTGCCTGCACTTCAGCAGCGATCTGATTGACCAAAGCTTTGGTAGGGGCGACATAGACGAGGACACCATCGTCTCCTGACTCCAGGATCTGCTTCATCGCATAGAACGAGATGAACGTTTTGCCGGCACTCGTTGGCGCAACAACGAACAGGCTTCGCTTTGCATCAATCTCGTCAAGGACCTTTCGCTGCCAGCCGTCAGGCTCGAACGGAACTCTGCTGTCTGGTGCAGAGTCGATATTACGGTCAAAGAAGGGCCCACAATGCATGAGCTGAAAGTCCTTCGATGTCATGGGGAGGGAGACGTCCAGAGCTGCGTAGGAGTCCAGAACGAAGGTGAAGGGAAGTTTGCGGTCCGCAGATGCTGACGCGCTCAAGGAGACAGCTGGCAACCCGAGTCTCTTGACCGCAGACTGAACATGAGCGGCAACAGTCTTCGTCAGTCCCGCTTTGACTTTATCAATGTCGGTGATGGTATTCCACAGGAGTGCCGCCACGCCAAAACCTTCCTCCTTCTTTCCTTCTTTGCAGCGGCGTATCCACAAGCTGAGCAGAGCATCCAACATGAAGAGTCGTACTTCAGCTTCGACAGCATCGCGCTTGGCTCCCGTCAAGCTGTTTAGGTACTCTTTTGTCTTGAAATATCTTGATCCGGGATCTTGCTCCTTATCCAGCGTTTTGCAGACGGCATACCAGGCGTTGATGTGCTTCTCGGCATTCGCGTCTTCTTTGATAGCCCTCTCTGCGGCTATCTTCTCCTTTACTGTCATAACGGCAGGTCCTTTTTTCTTGGGCTTGCTGTCCGCTTTGGACTGCTTAGCATTGCTCTGGAGGTCCTGGCGTTTGCTGCTATCCACTGACGAGGCTTTTGGTGCGCCGCTGCTGCCAGTAACAACAGTCTCGGGTTCAAGAGCGTTGCCGACAGCATTGGTAAGACTTGCCGCATAAGCCATCATCTCCGCCATCCACCGCTGGTTCCGCCTGTTCGCATAGAAAGCCTGTTTCGCGTCCGGAGCAATCTTGCGGTCGAGCGGTCGTTTCGCGTTGTGCCAGTGCGAAAGCTCTCGAAACACTCTTGAAGCCGACTCGCTTACCTGTGAGAGGGTGTCGTCGGTGGACAAGTGGACGGAGACCAGATGGGTATCAAACACAGGATTGTTGAACGGTAGTACCGACATACTTCGGCTCGTGGTGCGTGATTGATGATTCTGGCTGTTCGTTGTGGATTGCAGCTTCTGGCTTCGTGTATTGTGGAGGGAGTTCGGCACTGCGATGCCGCAGAGTGCAAGTGTAGCGCTGATGAGAGCTTTCAGGAGCGCCTCAGTCTTGTCGTCCATGACGGCTGCGGTTTTAGAGGCGACGCATGCATTGAATAGCCTACCGTCCAACAAATCGGCGACATCGCAAACTATCGAGCTTCGAACAGCCAGCTCTGACTCATTCCAGGTTCTCATAAGCGAAAGACAACTGCTTGCATACTCTTGCAAGAATTCTTCGCTATCCGATGTCTTGGTGGCTGACACGCGCCGCTCCGTCAATGCATAATGGCGTAGAAGAGCAATGTGTAGGAGGAACTTCGAGGCTGTTTGAGTGTCGCATTCGTCTTGGGAAAGCATTTTGGCAACCGTGAGCACCGCAAGGCACTCGCGTTCCGTAAACTTGCCCTGGCCTTCAGGACGGGCGCCAATCCCGTGCTGGGCCAGCTTTTGAATATAGGAGGTCCAAGCACGGTTGCTGGGGGGTTCCTCGGTCGGTGAAGTGGAATTGGTATTCCGGATTCCAGCACCGAGTCCTCCGTGGCGGAATGAGTGGCCCTCAAGAACGACGGTGATGACCTTGGTGTCTCTCCACTCAAGGCCGTTTATGAGCGCAACGTTGTAGCCTTTTCGAATGCACCAGTGTATCAAGTTGCGGAAAGCCCGTCTACTACGCACATGCCGTGCATCTTCATCACCGCTGTCTTCCTCGGAAGAAGCATCATCCTCAGACTCATCGTCCTCAGACTCATCATGCTCAGGGTCGTCTTCGGAGCCGTCTTCGTCGCTATCTTCACCAGATTCGGTAAGTTCTTCGTCGCTATCTTCAGAGACGTCCTCCACCGGCGGCTTGGCCGATTGTGGTGGCACTGACACAGCCCCATCATGACACATGATGAAGTAGAGACCTGTTTGCTCCAGGTACTTCGTAAACTCATCGCTGTCAAAAGACTGAAATGTCTTGATACTCAAGCGCGGCTGCGTCATTCCAATGTTTTTCTGAAGGTGGCGAATTATCGCTGCTCGTGCCAGAAGATACTTGTCCTTGTTCTCAGGTAGAGTAGATGGCGGGACACAGCACTCTTCATGATTGTCGAAGAAAGCGACGTGGAAATTGCATTTTCGCCGCAGGAGATTCTGGAGGAAATTCTCCACATTGTAGGCTGCATGTAGAACCTGGAACCCGTCTGTAGAGAACCGAACAGTAAGCTAACGGGAACTAAGTGATGTTTGTAGTGCTACAAAAGAGTATCATATGGTATAGAGACCTGTAAAATCAAGCTTGTCATCGGAGAAAGCGTTGAGAAGTAGAGAATCGCCCTCGATCAGGAACAGTTCGTTGCCGGCATAGTCGCCCACGAGGTCGACGCGTCGTGATAGCAGCTTGCTGTACCTAGACTGCGGGTCAGAAAGATTTGTCTGGGAGGAAGAGGCAAATGAATTACCAGTTTTTACTGTTATCGGCAGCGTCGTTGGAAGCGTCCCCTCTGCTGGGGCGCTCGGAGGTCATTGCAATAGACTGTTCAGAAGAGAAAAGTTGCTCAACAGGGTCAGGCAACGAGGATGTAGGACTTTGAAGAAATCTCTTGTAGAATTCGCGAAACGTTAGAAACAGGTAACAGAAACTTCAGCGTTTCTGGTGTAACCCTTTGTGTGCGGATGTGCTGTGTTTGCTTGAAAGTGTTTCACCCAGCCTGCAGTGCTTGCTCAAACGGAAGAACGGAACGCCGAAGCAGCTGCATGATTCTGCATCCACAATCTCGGTGAATGGAAGTGGATCACAGAATCATTCATAAACGAGATGGCGGGTGGCTAAGGAGAAGACTCCGGTGTGCGATGGCTGAAATCTCGCTTAGCACGTGACTTGCTGGTGGGAACCTTGAGAGCATCTCCCACGCCATACGATGAACCATTCCCGGTTGATTCACAGGTTATGAGATACTAGTACCGTTATTGCGCAGAGGTACAGGCACACAGTCAGGAGGCAATGAAGGGAAAGGCACGAGGGGCTGCTGCTTTGGACCCTGAAAATCGCACCCTCGAACACTGGCAAGCGAAGTAACATATCTAGGAACAGACAGTCATTGATAGTACTGAGAGAATCGAACGATAGTAGTAGTCTCTCATGCGATCAACAGAATAGCTAACAAAAGCCCCATTCCTCTACTTCTTAGCCAACCCCGGCGTGTAAGGATTATTCCCCTTCTCCACCACCGCCCTCGCCCTCCCAACCCCGTAATCCCTCCCCTTAAGCCAATGCACCAGCGGACTCGGCACCTTAACATCAAAAATAACCCCAACGCCTCCCCTCCTCGTGATCGGAATGAGCTGGCTCTCCGTCGGATTCTGCTCATACCTCAGATCCTGCAATGCCGCGATGGTTCCCTCAAACCCCTTCTTCGCCTCCGACCTCAGCTCGTATGCCAGTAGATCGTTCTTGAGGTTGTGCATCAGCACCGGCAGCGCGTCGTAGACGTCCAAGACGCAATTCTTGGAGTAGGACGCGCAGTTGCCGAGCGCGTAGACTCTGTCGCCCGCGCCGTAGACGCGGAGGTAGGTCGGGTCTGTAACGACGTAGCCGTCGCCGTTGACGAGCTCGGGCGGGAGGTATGCAGTGTTGGGCTCGACGCCTGTCGCGGCGATGTGCACGTCTGCGGTGATGGTCATGGCATTGTTCATGTGGCAGTTCACGGTGCCGTCGGGGTTTTCGGAGAGGGCGAGCTGTCGGATGTTGTGCACGACGTGGACGCCCAGGCGCTTGAGCTTCTTCTCGGCTTTTTTGCTTACGGCTGGGGAGAGTCGAGGGAGGAGACGGTCGCTGCCGGAGAGGAGGGTCATAGTTTTGAGTTTGGGATTCGCATCCTGGCTGGACGCTGACTGCTTGCCGGATCCCCAGGAGCCTCCACTAAGACGCTTGGATTCTGCACTCCCTTCGCTGGACTTGGGCTGCGTGGGGCGAAACTTCAGTTTCTTCGGGCCGGCTTTGAAGTGGGTTGCTAGCTGGCCTGCGCTTTCTACGCCTGAAGGTCCTCCACCGACTATGAGGATACTTTTGGCTTGATTCGCCTTGTCATGGAATGTATTGAGAGCATTTATGGTGTTCTCATGTGGACCGTGTAGGGAGAGCAGAGGCGAGATGGCAGAGCTACCGGTCGCCAGTATGAGGGCATGATATGGTACCGTCTGTATAGTACTGAATCTGGAGGACGCTGTATGGGTTTTGCTGGCAGAAGACGCGTGAGAGGTCTTGCGCGTTGACGTAGAGCCACGAGGATTATAGGTAGGGGACGCGAGAATGACGGTTACATTCCGTGCGCTGGGATCCACTGCGATGACGGTGCCCTGCTTAAAGCTGAAATCCGTGAACGGATGCTGTTTGAAGCCCCCTTCTATCGATACAAAGGATTGCGAATGAGGTATCAAACTGGGTGAGACCAGCGCTCGCGGTGCACCAACGTTCCAGTAGAAGTGGCTAGAGGGTGATGTGAGGACCACACGGTATTTCGGTGGGTTGGCGATGGTGCTCAGACTTTTGACGATGTTGTCCAAGAAGTAGTGTGCCGCCGAAAGACCAGCGAATGATGCGCCGAGAATGACGACGTTGAAAGGCTCGCGTGGCATGCTCACTAAGACTTGGATTCTGCGAGTTGGAGGTGAGTAAGATGCTTAGGATACGACCTATAATGTATCACCCATGGCTTCAGCTCCGTTGAGGACAAAGAGAAGGAGAGGACGGATGCGGCAAAGGCCACGTGCTGAGGCTTCCACCACAGAACTCTGTGTTTAGCATGTCAGAGGCGCACGCACGAAGGAGAGACGAGCAGGAGAACAAAGAGGCACAATAGTAGCTCTGAGCGAGCTCCGGCATTCCTCAATTATCGACACGTGATGATGCATTCCGATTGATAGCCATGACAGAAAGCACCCACAGCGAATTAGCTAGTTGGTATTGAATGGATACCAGCAGTGCACAAGAATAAGGAAATAATTGAAGACGTAGTTCGTTCTGGCACGTAATAGGAGGAGCGGGTTAAACGGAATAGACTCAGGTCCGCGCTTATCATGATCCGTTTCTAGTGCCACTTGAGTGGAATAAAGGAAGCATGCCCGTATTCGCAAATCAGGTGGCCTCCGCGAATCACGTAGAGGTTGCAGCTGAACAGGTTTGCACACTCCCGTCATTGGCCCTGATTTGATGAAAAGTTATCATCAGCAAATGGAATGTTTAAAGTTTAGAGGCGCCACATGGGAACGAACGAGGCGGTCGCGTAGTGGCTGATTTAGGCGATGTATGAGAAACAAAGAAGTTACAAATCTGAAATCTTACCTTCCTAGTAATTTCTTGTAAACGGGACCGCTCTCGCTAAATGCTCTGATTTACGGCTCCCTCCTAGTACCAGCCAGGCAGTGCGATCTTGTGGTTACGTTAGATCTCTTTGTTGCTAGAATTGGGTGTCGTCAAGGTCAACATACCACATCAAGATCAGAATACTTCTTGGCTTCTGCTTGTTTGGCGGAGTTCGTGGGGCTTGGTGGCGGTTGGGGTGGCGGAGAGTGCGGACGCGGATCACCCTTTGAGCGCTCGATCTTGTCGGTGACAGCCACATTGACGGCTAAGGTTGGCTGAGGCCTCTCGCTTGGGTATGGTGACGCTTCGGTGGCCTTTGGTAAAAGATCCTCAAAGTAGCTGGACAAGAGGCTTTCGATTACGAGGACCATGCTGACGCACGCGCACACAGGCAAGATCTTTGAAAAGTTTCGATGCGTATAGTGAGCTGAAGATATGTTGTTTTGGGTAGCGATTGGGTACTTGTGAAGAAATGTTGATGAGCGGAGGAGACTGTGTGTAGCACGCCTTCTCTTGCTGCTGTGCTAGTGAATATGCATGAGATTAAGTACAGTCAGAAGGAGACATGACGCGCAACATCGCAGCAACGCAAACCCAGTCACGCTTGCTACCAAGAAATGCGACAGGTGCAGCGGCCCGTCTGGCAAGGCGGACATCGCATCTTTGCATTTTGTTCAGCGGACCTGGGTAACGATGCCTTTTTTTGGGTGCTTAGGGTCTTTGGACGCTTGAAGGAGGAAGTTGCTTCTGACAACAGCACTCTCAGGACAGTTAAGACAGTGGTGGCACAAAGACTACTTTCAGCACAAACAAGATCCTGTTCACGCACTGGCTCGGAGACTAGACTTCTAGTCCGATTGTCCTCTCGGTAGTGAGCTGACAGGAATGACGAACTGATCAGCTTGGGGATTTCCGGAACATGATGTCCAATGGCTGTTGATAGCAGCGACTGGGCGAACACGCCTCCTTTACTGCCCGTGTTGTGGTCGCCTTTCCCGGAGTCGAAGCCTCATACTTCGGAACCACGTGGAGACGATTATTGCCGCTCGTTTCTTGGGTTTCGGCCTGTGACTGGCTTTGGAGATACGATCTCTGGAGATTTGTGTGTCCGCTCCGCTCAGCGGAAATACCTAGATAGCCAGAGTATCTCCTATTGACGCCCAACGAAAGGCCTCTCACGCCTGATGCTGTCCATGCTCTACTCAATCGAAATCGATACCGAGCATCGGCTCTCATGGAGGCCCAAATGTCTAGTGGATGCGAGTCGTGGAGCCTTACGCTTTAAATGAGTTCTCCCCATGTGTGCTGATATCCCTCAAGGGAGATCGTGAACGTGAACAAACCCGGAGCCATGACCATTCATGCAAGCGCGGTCAACCGGGCAGTGGTATTAGCGGCTAGTTCTTGGAGTTTTGTTGCAATGGGACACGCCTGTAGTCCTTTTCGAAGCTTGAGCCGCCGCCAAGCATCCCTGCCACGAACGCCCCGCCAATGTTGAAAGTCAGAGCTCCAGCTTCACGAGCGAGGGAAGGTCGACAACCACCTTGACGCGCCTCCACCATAGGTACCTGCATTCCGCTCGGCGCTGAGGTGGCTACATCACTGCTAGCCGGACCACGCAGCATCTTCATCCACGCCATCGCCCACATGCAACAACCCGAATAACTATCCGCATGAGCGTCGCGAGAGGCGCGAATATTGTCGCGACTGCGGCCCGCCCGAGGGCAACCTGACCGTTATCAAACAGCTTGTGCTGCCGCGGAACCCTTCCGACTCGCCTCAGCAATTCGCACTGGCTGGCAGAATCCGAGGCCTCGACACGGCTGCCATGACCTCCACGCGCTGGAACCCGGACAACATTAGGGATGTTGCCGAATCCGTGGGCATTGCCACACTCCAGAAGGATGTTGTGGAAGCGCTGGCACAAGATGTGGATTATCGGATGCAGCAAGTTATTGTAGAAGCCTTGAAGTTCATGAGGCATTCCCGACGGACTACATTGGGCACACAAGATATAGCCCAAGCGTTGCGGGTGTTAGACGTGGAGCCGCTCTATGGCTACGAGTCAACCCGCCCGTTGCGCTTCGGCGAAGCTTCGATAGGGCCCGGCCAGCCACTGTACTACGTCGAAGATGAAGAGGTGGATTTCGAGAAACTCATCAATGCGCCTCTGCCGAAAGTACCACGGGAGATCTCCTTCACGGCGCACTGGTTAGCCGTTGAGGGGGTTCAGCCCTCCATCCCTCAGAACCCCACCACAGTTGACTCGAGACACCAAGAGCTCCTCCCCAAGGGACCCGGCGCGAATCCCAACCTCGCCGCACTCAGCGGCAACGACAACGTCTCCGTCAAGCCGTTGGTCAAACACGTCCTGTCGAAAGAACTCCAGCTGTACTTCGACCAGGTCTCCAACGCCATGCTCGACGAGACCAACGACGAGTACCGCTCTGCCGCGCTCGCCTCTCTACGCACCGATCCCGGCTTACACCAACTAGTGCCCTACTTCGTGCAGTTCGTCGCCGAAAAGGTGACGCACAGCCTCAAAGACCTCTTCATCCTCACACAAATGATGCACCTTACCCAAGCGCTTCTGGAGAACCCGAGTCTGTTTGTAGATCCGTACATCGCCTCCGTCGTCCCCCCGGTGTTGACCTGTCTCGTGGGGAAGAGACTCGGTTCGGCGAACGACAGCGACCCTACCGCACACTTCGCGCTGCGCGACCTTGCTGGATCCATTCTCATCATGATTGCGAAGAAGTACGGGAAGTCATCCCAGACGCTGCGGTCACGTATCGCACGGACGTGTCTGAAGCATTTCTTGGATCCGAACAAGCCGTTCGGGACGCACTACGGCGCTGTCATTGGGCTGCAGGGCATTGCGGGCACGGAGGGCATAAGACAGCTCATTATCCCAAACTTGAGGGTCTACGATGGCCTGCTAAAGGAAGGATTGGCGGATGAGGCGAGAAGAGCCGATGCGGAGATGGTGGTCGCGGCTTTGCTGAGGGGGCTGCAGAAAGTGGAGAGGGATACGGTGGATATGGCCAATGGTTACGGAGGTGATGAAGAGCTAAGGAGTAGGCTTGCTGACAAAGTGGGAGATGTTATTGCGGCGAGGGTGTTGGAGTTGGGAAGGCCGAGGCTGATATCGGCGGTGCTGGCGAGCGATGTCAACATATGAACTCTCTAGTATAGTCGTATGTCGCTTCGTCAGGAGTTTCGGGTCAGCGCGTTACGGGCGTATGCATAGGGCGAGCATGGCGTCTGGGATATCTACGGACATGTATCGTGGGTACCGGGCTGGTCAAATACTTGCGGCGGTACCTCAATATTATTGAAACCCCTTCTCAGGACTGACCACTGCGGCGCTTCGGGCAAGGGTGGTGCTTCTTGCAACCATACTCGCCGACCGAACGACTTTTAGCTGCAAGCTCCGTTCTTGGATCTCCCCATCCGTGCACAGCTCAGCCCTACGATTTGCGGGAGGAGTGCATGTGATGGGGTCACTGCCGCCTTTGTCAACAGCCTCGGTCCCCGGCAATCGTCACGCTGCCCGTTGCACGTCTGGGGCATAAACACTCACTCCAGCGCCATGTAGACGTCCAGTATTAGAGTACATAGAATCGCTTCATCGTCACCTCCTCATAGAATCATCTTAGAGACCCCTCGAGCACTTGCGCAGTGATCGCTCCAGAACCCTGCCAAGATGCCCTTCAACACCGCGCTCACAAGGAAGCTTGGGATAAAGAGTGCGCTTTTCCCACTCCTGATGCAGTCGCGTAGACTCTATGCTGATCGGGTTGATAGTCCCTGTTGTCCAGGGGGGCATGCAATGGGTCGGATACGCTGAGCTCGCCAGCGCCGTGAGCAACGCAGGCGGCCTGGGAATCGTACAACTCCCCATCTCCCCCATCCCAGTCTCACCACGCCCATAGCTGCACAAACACTGACACTCGCGCTCCACTACAGCTGACAGCCCTGACTCAACCCACCCCCGAAGACCTCCGCAAAGAGATCCGGCGATGTCGCACCATGACCAAGAATCCCTTCGGCGTGAACCTAACCCTCCTCCCCGCCCTCTCCCCGCCCGACTACCCAGCCTACGCACGCGTGATAATCGAAGAAGGCATCCGCATCGTCGAGACGGCCGGCAACAGCCCGGGCCCCGTAATCAAGCAGCTCAAAGCCGCCGACTGCATCATCCTACACAAGTGCACCTCGATCCGGCACGCGCATTCCGCCGTCAAGCTTGGGGTGGACTTCCTCTCCATCGACGGCTTCGAGTGCGCCGGCCACGTGGGGGAGAGTGACATCACGAATTTCATCCTGCTGAGCCGCGCGCGCCAGACCCTGGGCGTGCCGTTCATTGCCTCCGGTGGGTTTGCGGATGGCCAGGGACTCGCGGCTGCACTGTCGCTGGGGGCCGAGGGCATTAATATGGGCACGAGGTTTATGTGTACGGTCGAGGCGCCGATCCATCAGAAGATCAAGGAGGCGATTGTCGAGGCGCAGGAAACGGATACGGAGCTTGTGCTCAGGAGATGGAGGAACACAAGCAGGTTGTTTAAAAACAAGGTCGCGGAGGAGGCGGTTAGGGTGGAGAGGGAGAGTCCGACGGGGAAGTTTGAGGAGGTTGCGCCGTTTGTTAGTGGGAAGAGGGGGAGACAGGTGTTTTTGAATGGGGATAAGGACTTTGGTGTAAGTTTTCTCCTACGTTCTACTCAATTTGACACTCAAGTCCTTCGGCACTGACGGAGTTGTAACAGGTATGGACGGCCGGTCAAGTCATCGGTCTGATCCATGACATACCCACCTGCGATGAGCTGGTGAAGCGCATCGAGCGGGAAGCGATCGAGACGCTACAGAAGGCGTCATCGCTTCTCGTCGAGGACGACAGCACTGGCGAGAAGCCAATCGCACAAGATGGCAAAGTCGGCAAGAATGTGAACAATCCAGAGGCCGAGTTGTGGGGCATTGGCAAGAGCAAGCTTTAGAACAATCATGATGCGCTTAGATCCTGGTCGGGCAGCTTTTTCCTTCATCTAAGAAAGTACTGCTTCATGACTTGTTGCGTTTGCTGACACAACTTGCTCGAGAAATGTGCTCACATTGTGCGGTAGAACCCATAGTGCAGTCCTGGTTCCCACACATCGCAACCACGGTACGCTCGCAAATTCGCCAACATACTTCCCACATGGCATTCAAAATTGTGTTCTAGTAGAAGTTTTCCCATTGCTCCACATTTCTTTACCGTAAGATGTTTAGTTGTGGTTTTGGTCGTTTCTCACTCTTTGAGTTCTAATGTGTGCTAAAAACCAGGACAAGGCCATATTGTACACTTCCTTTATTCTCGTATTTCCACTTCATCTCCACCTTGATGATTGAAGGATCCTTTGTACGCGAGACACCAAGCAATTTGTCGCGACATAGATATTGCTGTGCAGAGCTCTCTTCCTTTCTAAATCCAAAAGGTCAACCACCAAGATGAAGTCCACAATCTCCGTTATCGCTGCCGCTGTAGCTGTGGCCGTCACAGTCATGGCCGAGACACACATGGCGACCTTCCACGATTATCCCTCGCTTGCTGATGGTCGTGCGAGGCTTAACCCGCCTGCTTGTGGTGTCCCATATGACTCTCTGGACCTCAACAGCATTGTCTCTTACGGGTCAATGGATGCTCAAACTCAATGCGGCCAGTGTATCCGCGTCTGCGGCGCGGCTGGCTGTAAGAATCTCCTTGTCGTTGACAACAACGGTTCTGGTGCAGGCCACCTTGACATCTCTACTGGTGCCGGTATGCAAATCGCGGGCACCAACACAGGCAGATTCCAAGTCAATGCCTGGGTCGTCGATGCGCACCAATGTAGGGGCATCTGGAACGGCCGCATGTTTTGGGATCATGACCAGCCATTTGGCCCTCTCAGGGAGTTAAAGGCTCTGCAAGGCCGAGATATGGCGCTGGATGAGAGGACTGCTCCCTCATCCTCGGAGAGGATCGTGACGATGCGCACTACGAGCACTACCACCTGGTGCCCCCCGACGTCCACGACGTCCCCGACGCCTAGCTCTACTAAGACGACCGCGTCGACCACCACCACCAAGCCGTCAACTACCACCAACACCAAGTTGTCAACCACTACCACCAAATCGTCGACCACCAGCTCTTTGACTTCCACGAAGCCGTCAACAACGAGCACGCCGTCGACAACCAGCACCAAACCGTCGACCACGTCAACCCCCTCGACCACAACTCCTAAGCCATCAACGACCAGCTCTTCCATCACAGTGACTCCCTCGTCTACCAAACCGTCGACGACACCCATCTCATCGACCACCACAAAGGCGTCCAGCACGAGCTCCTCCTCGCTCGTAAGCTCCTCCTCTTCGCTCCTGAGTTCCTCCACCTCCTCCACATCCGCCTCTACGACCACGCGAGCCCCCTCCACCGCCCTCACGACCGCAACCCCAATCTACAGCAACACCACCACCATGCTCCAAATCCCCAGCACCTCCCTAACCAACACAACCTCCACTCGCCTGACGACCAGCACCGCCACCATCCTGGGCACGACAACGCTGACGAGCAGCCTCGCCGTCGGCAACACGACCTTCGTCATGCTCTCGACGCGCACCTCGTCCAGCACCACGACGCTGACGTCTACGCTGCTGACGACCGCGCAATCAACCTCTGTTGCCAGCGTCTCGAGCACACTGGCGATTGGGATTGGCAAGGTCAACGGCACCGCTGCTAGCACGACGACTTTCAAGCCTGCGCAGGTCACCACGAGCGGCGCGAAGGGGACGCGCGCAGGGCTGACCATGGCGGGGCTTTTGGCTGTGGGGAGCGTTTTTGCTTTGTTGTAGGTTTCTTGGTTTATAGCAATCGGTACTAAAGTGTTACGGGCACGACGCCTTAAGGTAGCTCTATGCATTTGCAGGGGGGAGAGGCGTAGGGGAGGCAGGAATAGCTGCTGAAAAGAGCCCTATGCGACTGCCGCTGGATGGCTTCAAGCATGGATAGCGTTCTGGGTTTTTGTTTTATTTCATGTAGATTTTCCGTCGTATTGCATGCTGTACATGCGCGATAACAGATTGCCGTTATTCTTCTCCTCTGCGAGTTCTGGTTGGTGATGACGGTGTGGTCCCAGTGATGAGATTGTACCAAACCGAAAACGTGTCTTCAGTGAGGATTAGAGCTTCGCTGGGTAGTGTGCATTGTCAAGCCTAGCTTTCGGTATGTGAGAGACCAGAGCGAGGCACTACGCTCGTGGACGTGTCAACAATAGTCACTCTGATCCAGCGCCGCCCCAATATCATGACCGAATATCCATGGAAAGGTAAGGCAGCAAAGCCAAGAAGATTATCAGATAACTATCCTATCGCCCTCCCAACGCCCTCAAGCCAACGCGTCAAGCTTTGCGCATGGAGCGTTTCTCTGCCAAGTTGCCCATCGTTCGAAGATATGTTATTTCGCAAACACGGACGCCCAAAACTCTCTTCTTTGACTCACTCAACCCCAGATGGCATCCTTCGCTCTGCCAGCACCCCTCATATCCGGCGGCGTCAATATAGTGTGGCTCCACTCCTCCTTGCCATCGACGAAGAGCCTGTAATGCAGCTGGCTCTGGTCGCTGGCCGGCGGAGACGTGATCTCCACGGCGCCGAACTTGGAGTTGCCATCCGGAATGTACCTAACATATTTCATTAGCTAATGGAAGGGTCCCAAGTCTCGTGCAGCCGTCATGTCCAAAACATTCAGTTCACAGGCTTATCGAAGGTTAAGTACTCACTTAATGCAAACCTCCTCCTCACCCTCCTGCTTATACGTCCGATACGGCAAATAAAACATGCTCAGCGGGCTCGTGCTAAACTCATGCACCGTCGCGCTGAGCGGCCACCTACTCCCGCTCGGCGGCGGAAACGCCGTAGCAGCGAACTCGTGCCTGTCGCCGCTGAGCACGACAACCCCTACGCCGCCGGCCAGACCCACGGTCCACATGGCTTCCAGGATCATCTGCCGCTCCGCGAGATAGCCAGCCCAGGTATCGACGCTGTTAACGCGCCAGTTCTTCGTGAAGGGGATGCTTGAGGCGATGATTTTCCAGCGCACGCCGGGCGGAGGGGGGTTCTTGAGGAAGGTTAAGAGGTCGTGGAGTTGTTGTCTGCCGAGCATCGTTTTGCTGGTATCCCAGGGGTCCTTGTCGAATGCAGGCGAGCGGTATCGCCGCGTGTCTAGCATGAAGAACGATGCTGGACCTTGCGTGAAGTGGAAGTATGTCTGACCTGACCGGACCGAGGGCGGATTCACGGCGACTTGGTAGTGTGTCCATGGATCGTATGCAGCTTCGAAGACGCCCGTCGTGTTGCCGTCCCAATCGTTTGCAATCTCGTGGTCGTCGATCACGTGGATCCAAGGCAAGTTCTTCGAGGCGGTTGGCCACTCCGGAGACGCGTAGACTTGGCGGTATTCACGGCGGTAGTCTTCCACCTCCTTGCCCATCCGAAGAGGCACGTCAACGTAGATGAAGTCTCCGAGGAAGAGCATGAAGTGCGCACGAAGCTTGGGAATCCATTCGGCGAGGTGCTTGAGGCCTGGGATATGGAGCGGATGAGAGAAGGGATTGTATGGTACGCGTGGCTTAATGCAGCTGGAGTGGAGGAAGGTGTACTTGTCCCCGTTCCGTCTCGAGACCTCACCTACGCGCGGCGCAGTGATGAAGTAGCCAGTATGGTTATTAGACACGGAGTACTGGTAGCGACTGTCTGGTTTCAGGTTGTTGATAGCAACTGCAGCTGTGTAGTCGGTTTCGTTGCTCAACCAGGAGATGCTCCCCGCGGACTTCCACGCTGTGTCGATCGGGCGCTTGTCTGGATCCGTTGATAGCGGAGGGTCTGCTCGCCTGTATGACACAAAAATGGGAAGCTCACTCCCGTGCGGTTCGCGGACCAAGATGTTCGCGCTGCTGTCCGACACGTAACCCACTCGTGCAAACGACAGGTCGTGCGCTGGGTGAAAGACACGAGCTCGAAAGATGGCGTCCGTCACCAAGCCCACCAGGACCATGTTGATGGCAAAGGTGACCCAGCTCCAGAAGGCCGACGACGGACTCGGCAAACCTGTCAAAAGCGTCCTCAGGACATGAGGTCCCTTCTCTTCCACCACGACCGTCTCCTCCACGTCCAGCTCTTCAAGCGGCCCATCGTCGGCACCTTCCAGGAGCTCTACATCTGAAGCATCGGTCGAGTCTTCGCCCTGGCCTACGGTCTCCCTGACGATGATGTCTATCTCATCCGAGATGACCTTGTACGGTGAAGTCGAGAGGAAGCTAGTGATGAAGGAGGGAATGTATAAAGCGAGAAATGTGTAGATAGCTGGTGGGACAATCTTCGCGGCCGTCCGTCAGTTTGAGGACATGCACGGTTACATCCTGCTCGCGACGCGTAGTCCACTCACGGTTGTAGGTATCTGAATCGCTGTTAGTCGCGTGAGTTGCAGCTGGAGGAGCACACCTCACCCATCGCAAGAAGACGTAGGCGCACAGCCTGATGCCGATAGAGCTGATCAATGTGAGCGTGTCGGACGCCATTTCGAACATGCCTCAGGTCATTTCTACTGCGACGAGTGTTTGGAGAGAGCTCTTGTGCTCGGTGGTGGGAGTCGTGGGAGTGAACTTGGCGTGTTGTTGCGCGCGTCGCGAGGTGGCCTGAGGCTGGAATCATCACATGCCGATGACATCACTTGCTCTCGCAGCGTCAATCTGATGCCATGTTTTGGCACTTTTGCCTGTCCTCATCCTTGTCAGGCGGCGCAGGAGAGCTTTTCTGCTGGAGCTCAGCTCACTCACCCACTGTACAATTGATGCGCGTCTGTATGTAAGTGCTAAGAAAACGCGCCATCGCTTCTAGCGGGAACCACAGAGGGGAGCCTCGGAGTGTGCGGCAGCGCTGGAGAAGAGCCATCAACAAGGCACTGAGTTAGAGCCATGTGGGCGCCGAAGAGCTTCAAGGGCGTCAACATTGATCAAAAGTATCTCCCTCAGCATCACGTGGGGCATTAAATTTCGCGTCGTCGCTACTTGCAAGTATATAGCCCAGCAAGGCCTACGGCACGGGCTAGTGAATCTCTCGTCCTTTAGGCTGTAGCTATTCAGGCAATATGGGATATCTGAATCGTCCATAGGGGCTACGAGAAACGAACTCGACATCAGCAATTGACGAACATCCCCTTTCCTAGGTGCTTGCTCGAGACTTGATGAAGCTCTCAAGAACATGACCAGGTCTAACGAACCGGTTGGAAAATAATCTTCGATTCATAGTATTATTTCCGTACATCATCGATGCTCGTCCATTGTATGCTCGAAACGACTGAGCTGAGTACACAAAAGAAACGCTACAGAGCGGAGAGGTATCATCAAAGTCGACCGACTCCCCAATATCCCACCATGCCCTATCCCGTTCAAACCTACACAGATCCATGAGCGCCGATCAGAGCGACCAGCGCTGAGCAAACCTAGCGCCTTAGAACAGCGCAGCTACCTCCCATGACCCTTGACATACTCAATCATAACTTCAAGAAGCTCACGCCCCTACCCTGACCAGAACCACCCTCTCTTCTTCGACCCGCGCTGTTCCTGACTTACGCCCCCCGCCGACGGTGTGCTAGATGGTAGATGCGGACTCTCATCCGTGCTTCCCTGTCCTTGCGTCACGTGAACAGTCTCGCTGGACTCCTCCTTACCATCCGCGAAGCGCTTCTTCAAGATAACCTTTGTCATTGTAGTGCCATCGGGCTGCACAGTGCGCTCTGTGGTGGTGAGGGTGGAGAGAACGGAGGGCTGTGAGATCGGCTCTGTCTGCGTTGAGGATGAGGCTGTTGGGATGTGGCCGGAGGACGGCTGGACTGTGTTGGATCGTTCTTGCGAGGATCCGAGGAAGCGATCGTACATGTCCAATTCCGTATCCGGGCCTCTGCTGTCATTGTCTTGCAGCTGGGTAGCGGGCCGAGCGCCGGTTGGAGCTACGGCTGTTACGTAGTGCTGACGGCCCGTGCCGTTGCGTTCGTCAATCTTAGCATGTCTGTTGTCCCCAGGAGCGTACTGGTGTTGAGTGTATTGATCATGCATGGCGTCGAAGCCTCTGTCAAGGGCCTCTGGCTCTGGCCCAAAAGGGCGACCAGTCTGCGCATGAACCAGATCTGCAAAAGCGACGCGCCAGTCCGGCATCTGCTTCCCCACAGCATAGTGCGAGTGGTGCGGCATCGTCCACTCGAGATGGAGCGGCGAGTAAGGCGAGCTACGAAGGTACTGAGCCAGCTTCCGCCGGTCAGTCTCTGCTCCTGTTACATCAATGACTGGTATGACCCAACCTGGCTGTCGCGGCGGCTGGCTGCGAGGTGGAAATCTTGACTGTAGGCCTAGCGGTTCCTCCACGCGTTCGGAGGGGGCTTCACGTTGATGGTGCCATGGTGGAAACCTCGCTGCTCCCGAATCCTTCTCGGCATCGTCGGGACTACGGTTTAGTCGTTCCCAAAGACGGTCCCATAAGCCATGAAGCCGTTCATCGTCGCGCTCTTCCCACTGGTCATCCTCTCCCACCCTGAAGCCCTGGTTGAATCTCTTGAGCTCCCGCCATCTGTCCCTGTGATCGTCCTTGGACCGGTCCTCGTCTTCTCTGTTCGCTTTCCCGGGCGGACCGCCGAAAAAGTTTGAAAAGTGCTCGTCCATGGCTCTCCATCCTTTCGCGAACTGCTTCTCCATCTCCTCGAACTCCTTCTCGAAACCTGCCAGTTGCTTCCGGGCTTCTGCTTCCTCTTCTTTCGAGACGTTCGTACCATACCCAGCGGCCTGATCATTTGGCGGCGGAAACTGCCAGTTCCAGCTCCAGTGCCACACCTTGGGCTCATACTCGCTCTGTTTCCGCGCATCGCGTTGCCATGCCTCGTCCGCGCTCGTACCGGTCACCGGACACAATTGCTTCTCCAGCGGCACGTCTTCCCTCCTCGACTCAGCGGCCTCCTCAGCGCTCCTCCCAACCACCGGGCACTTTTGCTTCTCAAGCGGCAGCTCTTCCTGCTGATACCACGGCCGCTGGCTGTGCGTATTCCTCTCCCTCGCATCCTCAGCGGATGTACCCGTAACGGGACACTGTTGGCTCTCCAACGGTATCTCCTCCCCCCTCATCCACCAAGTCTGGTTCTTCTCACGCGCCCTAACATCCTCAGCCGAAGTCCCAGTGACAGGACACTTCTGCTTCTCCAGCGGGACCTCCTCCTCCTCCCTTACCCACCACCTCTCCCTAGCCACAATTCTCCCGTCATCCCGCGCTCTCGCTTCCTCAGCCGACGTGCCCGTGACTGGACACCGTTGCTTCTCCAGCGGCAGCCGTTGCTCTTCTGCGGCTTTGCCATCGCGCGATAGGGCGGACGGCAGGCCCAGGACGCTGTTGACGAGGCTGGAGATCTGGTCGTCGGCGAAGCGGCGGAAGGTAATGAAGGGGTTATTGTGGTCGTCATTGGAATCGGTGGGTTTGGATGGGCGCTTGTCGTTTGGGTTTGATGGGTCCATATTGGTGGCGGGGTTATAGAGTGGTCTGGCGATGCTTGGCTGGTTGTTGTGCTTGGAAGGTTGATCTTTCGATGAAGGGTTTGGATGGTGTTATGCTCCAAGTTTGGTGCTGGTGATGATGAGGAGATGCGGGATTGTGGAGGTGGCGGGGAGATGCGGGAGAGCCAAGACTTTGATGTCAGCGCTTCGCGTGTTTCGAGTTCACGAGCAAACATTGAGCGGATTGGTTGTTTTGGTGCCGGTACTGGATTATGGATGCTACCACTTAAGAATACAACGAACTGATATCCAAGAGCCGCTACTCTCATACAGTCCCCGCGTCTCATGACTTCTTCTTGTTAGCCGCCTCCAAATCATTCTTAGGTCCTCTCCCAAAAAATTTCTGAACCGTTGGTAAAGCCAGTATAAACGCCAGTACCAATGCTATAGTAACCAGGGGTACTGCCACTATAAAATACAATCTCATCGTTGGGCGCAGCTTGCCGATATCCTCCTGCATGCTGAAAAGACTGGCTACAAAGCTGAGTGGAATGAAGAAAGTGGCAAGCCAAGTCAACCGTTGCAGGTTCCTGTTCTCGTCTAATCCGCGTCGAGAGTCCCCTATACTGATGACGGCAGCGACGAGGGAACTGAGGCGGTCGATGCGTTGTTGGTACTCTTCCATGTAGGAGAGAGCCCGGGCGAAGTCAGCACGGTACGCGCTGATGGGACCCTGTTTGGCAGACGCTGAGGTGCAGGGGCTGGTGCCATCAATGGTGCCGCTGTTGCTTGTCCCACTGTTGCTTCGGCCACTCAAGCCGCTGCTATTGCTGACCATCTCTGTGGTGTGACATGGGAAATTGAACACTCGCTGGAGAGTCTCGCTTAACATTTCTCGATACAGCGGCACGAGCCGCCTCCACGTGTGCAACTTCTTCAGCGCGACGTCAATGTCGTTGTCTCTTCGGATGAAGTGCTTGGGGTAAGCTATTTCCCAATCAATCTGCCCAAGACGAGTTTTGATGTAGTCGGCCATGGTGAGCCACTCGGCGCAGCAGAGGTGGAGAAGAGCCTGGGTCGGTATGTGGACGTTCGAGGCAGGATTGCTCGATGACGTCGACCGGAAACTGTATGGTTTCTGGGCCCAGTAAACGAAATGGTTAAAGAACGAGTCCGTTGGAGAAGGGAGGCTCTTATTTGATGATGCTGGAGGCTCTTGTGAAGACACAGGAGGCGTTCTCTTGGTCGCCATGCTCGGAGTGGGTTCCCAGTTACGATAACCGCACCACAGCGGCTTCCCCTCCTTGACTGTCGGATCGAGCAACAAGACGCCTGTGGAGGATGCAAGTGAGCGCAAGAACGCTGGTTAAAAGATTTTCCTGGCGGCATCACAATCCATTCTAAAGATAGTTGCACTTACCAACCGCTTCTGTCTCCTCACCCTCGATATGCTTCGTCCAAAATGACGCCCTTGTCCTCGTGATTCCAACGATCGCTCCTTCTTCGTCCCAGTACGCCTTGTTGTTCTCATCATCGTCCGGTCTTCTTTGTACGTTGAACTTGTCAGCTTGTCTGCGCCCCGTCTCGAATAATTCCGTTGTCTTGAAGTACCGTGCTCTGACGAACCGGAGCTGGAGCCAGTTCTGGCCCCTGGCAACAACATCGAGATTCGGAGGATCCATCCAGGGGTCTCGGGTGTTACACCAGGCGTAATCGAAGATGTGCTCACGGAAGAACGCGGGCTCAATGTCAAAACGTGTGCCTAGAAGCTCGATCACGTCCCGAGAGAGATCTTCGACCACGAACAGTCTGAGATGGACCTTGTGGCCATGCCCCTGTTCAGCTTCTCCCTGCCCTGGAGTTTGTTCCTGTATTGGACGCTCATCCTGTGCAAGCGGCTCGTTCAGCGCCGGAGAACCGTGCGGCGCGGGAGCTCCGTCCTGAACTGATGTTCCGTTCTGTACTGGTGGTTCATCTTGTACTGGAGTTCTGTTCTGTGCTGGGACAACGTGCTGTACCGGAGTTCCACCCTGTACTGGAGCGTCACCCTGCACGGGAGCGTTGCGGTTGAGGGCTTCCTTCAGCTCCCGACTTGTCTTGTAATTTGTCGGCTTCACCCTGTTTGAACCGAGATAGTCGAGCTGCGTAACATTCGTCCTTGCGGCACGTTCGTTTTGCAAATCTTGCCACTCTCTTTCACTTTCCTCGCGCGTTGGTATAGCACTTTTCTTCTCTCTGGCAAGCTTTACTCGCTCATCATGCCACTCAGCGATGCTTCTGAACCGCGCCGGCGTGGTACCAATTTCCATGAAGTCGACCAACATTCTAAGGTGGGGCCATCTGTCCGAAAGACTTCTGACGTGTTCGAGGTATGGGTATGGGTATGGGTTGTCATCACTGGAACATTGTTTGTGTGGATCCTTTCTCAAGATCTCCAAATACAGGAAAACTTTGGAGACTATGAAATCTTGAGAGCGAAAAATTTCTCAAATATGGAAGCTGAATATACATAGATATGCTCTACTTACGGTTTGATCTCCCACTGTTCCCGCGCTTTCTTAGCCTTGTCGTCGTCATATATGTCACCCGTTCGATAGGTGTTGTCCCTTAATTGAGGGTTGAACCACGAATACGCTATCGCGTCCGCCTTGGCCCACGTCTTGCTGAGCATGCCTTCTCCACGCGATAGCAGACTTGCAACAAAATGTATCGAAAAATTGTGGATTCGAAAGATGGTGGACTTGCGAGGAAGCTGAAAAGGCTGAGGGCTGAGGTGGTGGTGCCGGCGCCCGTCAGCCTCATATAATCTTACCGTGCATGGATCAGACTTTCAGCCGCTCGGCCTGCAGCAAAAACGCCTCCAACGACTCAGGCTTTTGCCTTGTTCTGCTAAAGTTTAACGGAGGTTGCGGAGTCAGCAATTGACGTCTGCCCTCCATTGCCAATATCCAACCATCGCATCGCCTTGCGCGCCGCTTCCGACAGCTGAAACAGATATTCGTGAAGGCGCAAGGCAAACGAGTAAGCGTAACTATCCGCTGCGGTCTCGAAGGAGCATCCATCTCGCCTCCTGACAGCTCGGCCAACGCTTCCGCGCCCAACATTCACTGCACATGCGGCGGGAGCGACGTAGGATGTGGTGGCTCAGTTGCATGCCCTGAGAAATCATTCACACTGCGCCTTGCAGCCTGGCTTAGACGGTGTGTACTGTATTTTTGAAGTCTCGACACAGTGAAAGTTACAGCACGTGACAAACCCAAGAACTTGCGGAAACAATTGTAATCTTACGACATCTTCCTTCAAGGCTTCATTCGAATCATGAAGAATATCGCATCGTGGTATCCTCGAGAGGGTCGCAGTCTTACGCAGGTCATGGACCTAGCGAACGAATTGGATACAGTCGCAACAATTATCGAAGAGTTAACTCAAGTTAGAGAGAAGTGTGGTAAACAACGGCTAAATCTATAGCACGTGGCATACTTGCAATGGTGTAAACAAAGAAGCCCATCCTCCACAGAGTCCATTCCAGATTCTGAGTTACTCAACGCGGCCTACAAGCTCAGAACACCGGAACGACCTGAGTTGAAGATTACGAGAGTCTCGAAGCAGGGGTTTTAATGGTTATCGGTGCATCTTCGTCCCTTTATATTGTCATCTGTGGCTTGACTATTTTCCTTCTCGCAGCCCCGATTGGCCTCAACATTCTCAACGCCCTTCGTCCAGTACCAGTCAATCAGATGTTGCCGTCGCATTTAATCCTGTTCCCTTGTCTTGTGCATTCGTTCCCCCGGTTGGTCCCGCTATGGAGCCATCAGCAGTACCCTTAAATCACTCTTGAAGACCTTTGAGAAGCTCACCAAGTGGGTCCTGATAAAGACCAATCCCCTCTTTCACACTTGTTCGATTGTCCAGGACCTCCTCGACAATCTCAACGCCAGCTTTGACTGACAGAGGCGACTGTCAAGACTAGATGTCCTGATCCGCGAGCCACAATAAATTCAGTTCAGCCTGAACGTTAATAACTCGACTGTTCTAGGAAAGATAGATACATGTAGAAAGAGAAGAGGGCATCAGGACATGCATCCGAACCTCCATCCGTCCCAACGAATCGCAGGCAATGAAACGCCTCGTAGAAGCACATGTAGGCTTGATTTTCACCGCAAGCCAGCTCTGGCAACCCGAAAGTTCCACCGGCAATTCCACTGACAGTACCCGTCGTAGCCCGAGAGCGCTTCACAACCGCCATCCTGGAGATCTTCAGGAGCGAGCGTGGTCACGTGCTAAGATGTGGTGAAGGTAAGTGAAGTGCATGCCCGGGCGTAGTTGAACTTGTGGCCGCTTCTGAACTCTTCTTCCTTCCACTCTTGCTCCGAGTCACAAACCCTTCGCAGAGCAACGTTTTGCGTCAGCCCTTCGTCTTTGGAGCTCACTTTCAAGACACTCAATATATCTCGACGTCCGGCTCTACAACACGCCTTGCATCGACCCTTCTTGCGCTCTATCTTCAACCAAATCTCAGTCAGCGTCCCCTCAAAGATCGAAATGGACACTACGACGAAGTTGCAGAAGTTGCAGGACCTCCACACTAAGCTCTTACAGCGTCAGGCAGAGGACCAGGAGTGCTTTCAACTTATCTGGCTGTTCATAGATAAGCTGCTTGACGGCGATGTCCGCGCAGGTCTTCTTAGTGAAGAGAAATACAAGGAGCTTTGTATGAATATTCGACTATCGGGTAAGGCTGCAGCACCAGATGAGTACAGAACACTGCTGACACTGACGAGCCCTGCGCGAGGCAGACATGCCTACGGACGACCTGCCGGACGTGTAAATTCCCAAACAGCTACACGCGGTAGGAATTTCTCTTGCTGAGGAAGAGCCTTCTTGGGAGATCGCGTTGAAGGTTGTCGACCAGGTCATCACCGAGACCCTGACGCCTCCGCGCGACTACAATAGCAACGTGAAGGACTACACCCTCCGTTGACATGTCCCAGGGCCATCAAGGGGGTATGTCTCGAGAGTTCCGACAGTAGACTCAGCCGCTTACATGTCGTACAGTTCTTGAGGATTGCTTCGAAGATTTACAGCGTATGCGGACCTTCATACCTGGATGTCGATTACAACAAAAGGGTAGCGCGGCACCTGCGTTTCTCATGGGGTTGCTCGGCAGGGTTATCTGACTTGGGTTTTGCTTTTGGGTTGGGATAACTTCTGGATTGGGGGGATTGCAAGATTGCGGACGTTTTCCTCATCTGAATCCCCGGTTCTGACAAGCTTGCCTGAATTTTGAGGCTGGCCGCTTGGGAATCTGGACATTTTGAGTTCACTGAAAGGGAAAGACCTCTGCCAGTCATCTGTCTCATTGATTTGTTGCAAAATGATGACTCAATTAGCTAGGGGCAAACATCAAGCAGGTAAGCTCTTCACGTACTTATACGATCTTGAAAGTGTAACGGCCCATGCGATCATCAAGTAAGTATTCCTCATCCGTAAGCGCGGATTCACGAAGCGCCTCATCCAGCATCTCCACTGCGGATTCATGTGAGACAGTGAGCGAGCCAATTCGGCGGTACTCCCCACAGGCGGCACCTGTGGCTTCGAGCACAAGTCCCATCGCACGGACTTTTGTGCCATACGGTTTCGGAGTTGCTATCGGGGCGAAATACACTGTCTTCCCCTCCACAGGCCACTGCTCGTATAAGGATACATCGTCCATATATTCCCAGAACCCAGCGCCTTCGAGCAACGTTGAGCCAATCCGGAGCTTCTCGAGGCAGGGAACCTCGGATTCAGGATCCAGGCCTGGGCTCGCGAAAGTAACGCGGCGCAGTGGTGCACGCAGCACGAGGAAGCCAGCTGTGACAGGGCCGAAAACGCTACTGACAGGAGTGGTCTCCACCTCCACAACCTCCGCGACTAGATGCTCCCGCATGGTGTCACGTGGCGGATACTCTTCGAAATAAATCTCGCTATCAACAGAGGCCCAAGACCACGAGGGCGCCCGGTACACATCCGGGCGCTTTGCGAGGCGGATATGCGCGACGTGCCAGAGCAGAGAGAGCTCTAGGTCGATGCGCCAGTGGCCGGCCAGACAGGAGTTTTCAGGGAGATTCAGGTAATTGTGAACGGCACGAGCGACGCCGGCAAGCGCAACAAGTTTGTCCGAGCCGAACGTCAGGCGTGTTGTGGTGTAGTGACTGACAATCTCAAGCCAGTGGCTGATGGATGCTGTCAGATTGTCCTTGTCCAGCTCGAGCAACTTCGTGACGGGGTTGATTACATCCGGGTCGCCTAGGCGAGGGCCGGTCGTAGGAACGCCATGAGGGAAGCACTGAGACCCACGTGTATGGGCACATTCCCACCAGAGCTGGTCGTACGCAAAGTGGACCGTCCTTGGTGCTAGCATTCGTTCCTGGAACACCCATGCTCGCTGATTGAGGGGGCCCTCTTCGACATGTCGGGTCCATGTCGTAAGATCGACGCACACGTAGTCATCAGGTGTGAGGCCTTCCCAAGAGGTGTCAATGATGCAGGGTTCGGCAAGGAACTGGCTTTCCCCAAGGCGGAAACCACCGTCTCCGCTACTGGAAGATGTTGCTGCAAGATTCAGCCAGGAGTAAGAGTAAACAGATGCCATGAGCAACGCTTCATGTAACCAGTCCTCCGTCGAGTCTTGGATTATGCAGAGCGCATCGATCCATATATACTTTACTCCTAGAGCTCCAGTGAAATCAATCGCGTCTTGGAACGTCTGGGGGAGACTGGAGAAGGGAATGGCCTCCGTAAACTGCTGGTACAGTTCGTTCAACAGCCTCAGCTTGAGTACGCCGCCCCAGCAATGGCTCAGAGTCATATACCGGATGTCTAAGGGAAGATCTTTGGTCTCGCGAAGGCAGACACGCGGCTCGTCCTCCGTCGTTTCGATTTCCAGAAGTCGCGTGGGAAGCGTTCTTTCGGCCATCTCGCCTTGCATTCGCGATACACGCTCCTTGCAATGGACGTGATTGGCGGTGCAGTCTTCTAGCCAGTGATCCAAGTGCTCGAAGGCGTCGACGGGCGCCACACCGCCCGATTCAGCAAGCTCGGGCAACAACTCAGCGAGAACTGGAACTTGTAAGCTGCACTGTTCAATTGTGTCGTCCGCTTGAACGATTGAGAGCATACCATCAGAGGCATATAGATCAAGAGTAACCGAAAACAAAGGACCGCCCGGTCTCACCAGCCCGTCAATAAAGTACATTACCTCGAGGTAAAGATGTCCCGCATCTCTTGCAGGACGTATGACCACAACGCCCTCAATCCTTCGCAGGGCTTCCTCGGGGTCTTCAGGCCAGTTTTCGACATGTTTTGGGGACTGCGCTCGTTTTACTATGCCAGGTATCCCAGGAAGCCTGTCCCAGAGCATCGTGCAAATATGGCAGTTACTCCCGGCGCATTCCTCAAGACGTAGTATATTGTGGTGAACAGGGGATGAGTAAGAAAAGATCGGCTTGCCCGACGCGGTGACGCTGTTCACACCAAGAACTTTAACCCAGTTATGCTGATACGGGTATGGCCCTGGTGAGATGCTGCTATAATCGCCGGGATGAGGCAGTTGCGAGCGCCAGGGACCACCATCAGCGGGTACCAGTACACTCTCCTCGTGGTTGCCTTCGTTATTGGTGTCAGAGGGTACTTCGCTGGCAGGTCTTTTCCATTCCTTGGGCAGCCAAAGCCCTTCGAATATGTTGCGACACTCATCGCAAAGAGTCGCGAAGCCTTCTAAGCCCGACATCGCACTTGCTAGGTAACCTCGAGTATAGCAAGGTGACAGGAGGAACAAATCATTGGTGCAGGATGTAGGCCATGTTCCTTCCCACGCCTGATCCTCACATGGGCTGGGACGCGAACAGCTGGTTGTCTATCCTAGCCGTCAAACACCGACTCCTGATGGAAATCAGAATTAGGAGAATGAAGTAGGTATGTTTGCCCGCAGAAAGCAGGTGCGGGGGAGGTATCAAGCTGCCAAGCTGCGGCTGAACTGACACATGCTTCCAAAATGAAGTACATTGAAAAACATGCACTATGTGACGAGACTGGGCCATTTGAACTTGACTGTAGGAAGGACGGGGTCTTTGGTGAGGAAGCGGTGCTGGCTATTAGCCCATCGTCGAGCAGCTACAGCCCATGCTGTGCACGTGTTGTATCGTAATGGACGGCTGAGTCGCATGCTTTCCTATCTGTCGAAGTTCTAGAGCGTTATGAATGACGCTACAAAGAGGAAGCTGTAGTGTTGTTGATGGTTGGGGACCAGCACCACCTCCTCACTACAACCCCGTCTTTCGTACGCGGGAGCCGCTCCCGAAGCGGTAGAACCTCCCGTCCCCTATCTAGCCGGAGTAATCTTATACAGAATACCTTGGAGCGCCTAGCGCTTCTCAGGTGTGCGGCTCAAAAGACTCCCGCTGCTTCAGGAGAAGAACGACGTCTTGGAAAGATTAAATTTTCGACAGCGAGCCTTGCCGTGCACGTGTACGTGGTTTGCGAGATTAAACACATACCATGCTATCTCTACAATCTAGCACATCCTTTAGGACACACTGACCAGCACAGCCTTCCGGCTCAGACTAACTCAGCTTTGGAAATATCACCTTCTCCCCTTTCTCTTCCCACCACCCTCCCCTCCTCCCTCCCCACCCCAACCACCAAGCACCAGCGCCTCCCTCGCAACCTCGTTAATCAACCTAAACCGATCCGGCCCCAGCTTAACCCCGCCATACCAGCGACTCACCACGACAACAACCCCCCACACATCCATGACCTGCAGCAGCTTCAGCAGCCGCCCGCCCGCCGCCGTCTCACCGTCATCGTCGCAGTCCTGGTATACTATTCCTTCGTTCCCGGGGTCGCGAATCCGCCAGGCGGAGATATTGTGCGTTGCTTTTGCAGCCTTTTTGTCGGTGGTCAAGAGGTGGGTGAGGTAGGTGCGCGCTTGGGTGGGTGTGGTTACGGGGGCGGCGCGGGCGAGGAAAATGGATTTCTTTTCGGTGAGGACGGGAGAGAGGGTCCAGGGAGGGGCTGGGTCGGCGGGGCTTGTTTCGGCGCGTGCTGCTGTTGCGATTGCTGGTGCTGGCCCCGGTGTAGGCGCAGTCTCGTCGCCATGCCTATGCTCTTCTTCCCCCATCTCTTCTCCGTCATCGCCTCCTAGCGACTGCGCAACCTCCTCGAGCAAGTCGTATATACACGGTAGACCGGGCTCGAAGATCCTCGCTAATATCTCCCTGACTATCCCTACCACCCTCGCACCCTCGCCTTTCGCAACGTCGTTTCCGACGGACTGTGTGCCGAGAATTGCTGGCGGGACATCCGGGTAGGAGGAAGGGAATTCAAGGCGGAGAGATACCGAGTGGTGAGGCGGTGGCAGGCGGAGGGTACAGAGGATTGTCGGTTCAGAGGAGATATCAGCGAATTCAGAGAGGGGTGTGAGGGTCGTATCTTCGTAGATCGAGTTGATCGAGGTTATCTCGTCGGTGAGGGTGGGGTTCATGTTTCAGTAGAATTGGGTATCGTGCCGAGGAAGACACTACAGATGTTGGTGATCCAAGAGTCTCCCGTGGACCAATGGCGCATCACGGTGGAAGATGTATCCGTACAGGTATTCTGGATGATAAACTGGAGTGGACTGGGCTGTACGACGCGCTCATGGTGGAGCTCAAGAGTGCCGTTTGAGGCTTCAGACAGAGAGTGACTTGTCGTCAGCCCGCCGGCTGGATTGCGGTTGAACTTCTCCTCCAGCATGACTCGCATACATTGCTTAGCTAAACCACTTATTACTCGAGTCTATCACCATTTCACTCTGCGAAGCATCTTCACCATCCATACACCTCATTCCTTTGTCGCCGGTCCTCATGGCGCACCAACTCGCCATAGCAAAAGCTTCTTTCGGAGCAGGCCTCCGCAAACCTGATCCTACTTCAATATCGCAAGAAGAGATCGCCCATTTCCACACATTGCTTGATGCAGTTCTCAAGCAATGCTCGCCGTCGAATGTTCAGGTCTGACCATTCGCTCTACAACATCACAAGGAGATGACTAAATTAGGTTACGAGTTCAGAACTGCAAGGCATGGCTTTTGAAGAACACCATACCATCTCCGGCAAGGATTACAGCGCTGGGGAAATATTTGGTCACTTTATCCACGTCCTTCGTGGACGTAGCAGTCGGCGAGGAGGGCAAAGCTCGAGGGACGACAGCCAGGCGGAGACGTCTACACGTCCTCTACCTTCTGAATGACCTGTTGCACGACACGAAGTTCCACAGCGACACGCCCACAGCGCATATCACCTTCACGACCAATCTCCAGCGATACGTCAACGATCTGGTGAAGTTGGCGGCATCATACGATCAGGTCAAGAATCGAAAGTGTCATGCGAGAATTGTCGAGCTACTCGATGTCTGGGAGGACAGTGTTTATTTCCCGAAGGAGATCATAAAGGCATTGCGCCAGGACATCGAAGATGCTAGCACATCAATCGACGGCGAGTCGACGCCGACGAAGGATGCAACCGGCGTTGAAGGAGAACGCAATGGGACCAACACGCGGGACGCGCCGTATATCATGCCGGCGACGCACGGAGACCCGTCTACTCCCTACTACGACTTACCCGCAGGCAATATGATCCACCTCATAAGACCAAACTCGCCCTCCCCGATCGATATTAGACAGATGAAAGCGCTTCAGCTGCCAATCGGACCCGTACACAAGAGCCTAGTGAATGCCGTGCAAGAGTTTCTGAAGGATGTTGATCGGATCTATGATCCAGCGCACCACGACGACGAAGGCATCGTAGCAGACATCGACGAGATGGGGCAGACTATGGTTCGGGATGAGGCGGGCGACCTCGTGCCCAGTGAGGCATACTACGGCTGGTCGTTGGCCTTCTGCCAGCAGATGAAGAAGAGGAGGCTGGAAGGGCCGCCCAAGAATAACGGAGACCGGGGCCGCGGTAGATCAAGAAGTCGGTCGGAAAGTTCAACACCGCGCAAGCGTCGCAGATATAGCTCCTCTGCCAGCTACAGCAGAAGCCGCAGCAGAGGTCGGCTGCGGAGACACAGTCCCTCGCGATCAGGTTCGAGGAGCGGTCACCGCAACGAAGGCTCTCGATCTCGTTCGTCTCCGCGGCGAGATTCCCGCTCAGGGTCACGCTCGAGGAGATATCGCAGTCCACCCCTGCGTAGATTGCGGTCAAGGTCGAGATCAAGAACTAGATCTCCAGAGAGGCCAGGTCTCGGTGCCGGCAGACCACCAGCTTACCAGCAGCCACCTACTGCAACACATACGAACGCACAAGCGGTCTCACCGCCGCCGCCACCTCCTCAAGCCGCACTCCAGAGCTTCTTCCCAACCCCTCAGCCCTTCTCCACACAGCCTGGTATGCCCTTCCCCATGGGGCCGAACGGGATGCCCGTCCCACCACCGCCGCCGCCAAACTACAACGGTCCATGGCCGCCTCCACCGCCGCCACTATCCCAGAGCATGATGTATGGCACACAAGCACCTTCGTTCCCGCAGTTCCACGGTTTCGTGCCGCCACCGCCTCCGCAGATGATGCACGGTATGCCATTTAACGGACAGTTGCCTGTCGTATCGTCGCCTCCGAACGGTCCGAGGGGTGCGTGGAACTATCCTCCTCCGCAGCAGATGCAGCAAGGTGGCTTTAGTGGTGGTGGTGGTGGTGGTTACGGCGGCAGTCCGCCTGGTCGGCAGCGTGGTGGGTGGAATGGGCAGAGGGGTCGTGGGCGAGGGATGTGAAGCATGCTGCAGCGTGTCGTTGGGGAAATTGGTTGTATCTTCGCTGGTTCTCTGGGGGTTCATCTCAGTGCCATGGTAAATCTCGGCATGGGAGGACATATCACGCGGCTTGTGCGTTTGAGGGAACCTAGCCGGTAGTACCTCTAGCTTCAAGACATCTCCCTTCTGGAAAGTACTACTTCTAGTCGGACTTGGTTCGGATTTTCAAGTGCGTGCCTCGTTTACATGGTAGCCTTAGCTTTTTCTCTGTTCGTTCTAGCCATGCTCACCTAGGACTGCCGTCAGGTCCAAAGGTCCAAAGGTATAAGCAGAGTCTTTGAGATTGCACTGAACGAGGGGAGGATGGCTGGGCAACTCTTTGAGCGTGTACCGGGCGGATTTACAAGAACAAAGCAACTGAGGACCTTATTGTATGTGAGATGCGCTCCACGCACTGTGCAGTCATAATTCCGGAAAACCCATGCGGATACTGTACTTGTTGACCAACTTGTTCTTGCTTATTCTTCTGACTCCACTGTCCTCGTCTAACAATTAAATCTGCCGAAGGATATATCGCACGTGATCGCAAGGCGCCCCACTGCACAGTCCGTGCGAAGCGCTCTGAACGGCAGGGTATCTCGAGACATCCCAAAACAACCCTCACGGACGATAATTCTGTCCAACTGGCCTGCCGAACCTGAAGCCCGATGTTTGAGTCGGGTCATCAAGTTCACCAGGAGTTCAACTGTCTGCTCAGCTCTCATGTTGTGCCTGCAGCAAGCCATCAGCCTTCTCCTGCACCTGCAGATGGTCTGCGTTTCAAATCTCTCCAGATGGCAGCGGTCGGCAGGTTCATTCTCAATATAGATTCTTGCCGCCAATGATATCGTATACTAGCAGATCGCGGCGCCTACGCTATCAGTAGTTGGCTGCGCCGCAAGATCCGCGTTCATGATACCGTTGTAGCTCCCTGGCCACTTTGACTACCGCTTTATCATGATCGTTCATGTTGCTCACCGTCTGAGTCTTTCCTTGCTTTCAAGATCGTCGGTCCTCCTGGAGAGGATTTCGTTTTCATATCAGTCCTCCGTTTCTTACTTTTAATCTCCGCCATTTGCCTTACGCTTTTCGTCAAGAAGGACACCTGTTGCCCAGCAGACTTTGAGCATGTTTACCAAGCAAAAGCTCGTGGGTGTATCTGTATCTGAGAAAGAATACAAAGATCAAGAATGTGTAGCGGTTCCTGGGCTGTTGAGGAGGGTGCGCGAGCTGTCACGCTTGGGAGAGAAGAAATACGGAGGTAATCATGGTACGGGTGAGCATTCTCCCAACCACCTGTAACCCGACAACAGCACCAACAAGATCTTCGCTCAGCTGCCTCGCCACCCTTGTGGAAACCTGCTGCTCTCCGAGCTCCAGTGCTCATCGCCGCTATGCTTCTCTCAACAGCTTTTGCAGTGATTCTGGAGGTGTTCTTACGAAAGTCCAAGGCAGATGGCGGCATCATATTTACCTGGAGTGTTGTTGAGATGTCCTTTGGCGAAGCTTTCCCATATTTGTACCTGCCTACAATCATCGCTGTGCTGTATAGCATCTTCTGGAGCTGGATTGACTTGGATGCGAAACGCTTCGAACCCTTCCATCAACTATCGAAACTTGGAGGGGCGAGCGGCAAAAATTCTCTTTTGTTGCAATACCCATTCGACTTTATCGCATCAGTCCCCATCAAGGCCTTGAGACGCCGGTCAGTGTATCCATCGGCGAAGCAGTACTCTGCTGACAACTCTTAGACACTGGCCAGTGATGCTGGCATCGACAGCTATCGTATGTGTTTTCTGGGGCCTGACACCCACCCAAGCCGGCATGTTTGTTCCTGCGCTCATCACCTTCAATAACACCGCAAATCCTATGCGGGTATCGACCGACTTCATTCCCCTGGATAAGCAGCGCACTGAGTCAATGACGAACCACACATATCTAATATACGCTATCAACTGGCTCGGACAACGAGAGCCCCCCTACGTGGGCCTTGGTTTCGCCGTAACCCCATTCACACCTAAGGACTGGGCCCGTGAGCGGACCGTGGCCGAAATCTGGACCGCACCAACTACGCAATTCAGCCTTGATCTCGCCTGTGAACCAGCGACTATAACAACACGATCAGACGTACCAGATGACCAGATAGATCTTCCAGGGAATTCCTTCTACGAAAGCTGGAACGGGTGCGTGATATCTCGTCCGTTCGGGCCGACAGGCAACGAAACCATAAGTAGCGTAGGTTCCCAGAATGCTGTCAAACAATTCTCCGCCTTCTATACTGGCTTTTCCAGCGATTCTGACTCTAGCAACCTCACGCTTTCGTCTTACTGCCCAGCAAACGCTTCGCATACCTTTTTTGTAGCGTTCACAAGGAACAAGCAGTCTGCTACAGATCCTCCAGAAACGCCGGCTGCCTTGTTCTGCGAGCCCACATACTATTCACAAGCGGTTAATGTTTCAATCCTGGGAGACTTGTTCGATCCCCTGTTTCCTCTGCCGCTTGGCCCCAAGCTACCAATAGATGGGGCTTTGTTCGATACTGCTGGTTTTGAGCGTGGAATAAATTCCTTGAAGCCTACCGCCAGATCCGAGATACCAGGATCGGCATGGCCGGATATGAGTGAGCGCTTTTCGGCCATGGAGATTAGTGCCTCCGCGGGAGGGCTACCACTGCATCCTATCTTGGGCATCATGCTCGGCTCTTTTGCTGGAGGCTCAGATCCGTTACCTTCGGTCGAAAACCTCACGGACACAACTACTTTACAACTGGAGATCGAGAAAGCTTATCAGCAGCTGTTTGCAATCACTATCGGGGATGTCCTGGCCCAGAACAGTAATGGATCTATAATCGTGACCGGTAAGCGCACTTACACGCAGATGGCCGTGGCGCTAGACACAGCCTTCACTCGAATTGTTCAAGGGCTCCTCGGCCTGACTGTGCTGCTTGCCGCTGGGCTTCTTTTAGTATCATGGTCCATGACTGAAAAGCTGCGTTTCAATCCGGCTACGATCGCAGCAACAATGTCTCTGGTCGCCGATAACGAACAGTTACTAGCAGAACTACAAGATTTTGATGGTTCCACGGCGAAGGAGCTCCATACGGCATTCCAGGACAAGAAATACCAACTAGTACTTGAGGGCGGCCGCAGCCTCCTAAGAGCAATGCCGGGTTCTAGCGACTTCACACCGAACGACAATCGCCCGGAGACCGGTTCAAGTCAGCAGGACCATTCAGACCACGGCTCGTCCGTAGGACTGATAAAGCGCCCGCAGGGTGTTCGTCCATCTGAGTTTCGATTACTCACGACTGGGGCGTTCATATTATTCCAGATAGTGCTTATCGTCGGGCTTGCTGTGATCTATCTCAAAGCAAAGCCTTTCGGTAGGATATCCTCAGCAGGTTGTAGGATACAAGCAGCTAACACATCCAGGCTTGCCCCGAACGAGAAAAGAGCCTCCGCCCAGGGAAGAGGATGGCTTTGCGCTCGACGAGACGGACTTCGTAGGCACCCTGCTGTACAGCCTGCTCCCCATCGCGTTGGCCACATTCATTGAACCCCTATGGGTTGTCCTAAACCGCCAGCTGTGCCTGTTACAGCCCTTTGAGGATCTACGTCGCGGCAACTCAGCAGCAGCAAATTCCATCGGCGTCGATTACATGTCTTTGCCCCCACAACTCGTTCTCTGGAGAGCTCTTCGATCTGGTCACTGGGTCCTTGCACTCGTCTGTGGCATGTCAGTTCTGGCAAACGTTCTCGCGGTTGCGCTTGGAGGCCTATTCTACTCTCGCAGCGGCGGTCCTCCGATCAATACCAACATGGTGCAGCAGTACACCCCACGTTTCGCAAGATTGGGGAACTCTTCCGTTCCTAGTGGCAGTATCGCTCAGGTTCACATGGCGATGACAGCAAATTTTACTTACGACACGATCTTGCCCGACTGGACGGACGATGAATTTATCTACGTTCCATTCCTCCCTGACGACTATGACAGCACCAATATATCACATAGTGTAATGGAATTTGAAGCGACCACGCGGGCTTTTGGAGCTAGGTTGGATTGTGTGTCTTTATCTGCCGGGACCTTCAATGACTACGAACTCAAGGTCATACCTGATCAACAAAAGGATGGCCTTGCAGCGAACCTCTCCGTCATTGTCGACCGCGGTGACGGCACTCGGATCTCTTGCGCTTCCTCAAACATCCGAATCAACAACTCTCCAGGGACTGCGGCCGAGTGTCCTCGCGGGGCGGTGGCGATCGAGCTAGTCAATACCATGTCAGCGCTTCCCGATGCTTCGGAGAGCGAGCGCTCATTCTGCGAACAGTTCATTGTCGCTGGATGGATCCGCAACACTGGCCCAGATATCTGTGCTACAATGGGGCTCGTCGCACCGGAGGATGCCACTCTCATAGGTTGCCGGCCCCGACTGGTGACTGGCACCGCAAGTCTTCGCTCTATGGACGATGGGCGCATCCGCAAGCCGAAAGTTGAAAATGTCACGTCCGAGGGCATTGAGCAGTACTTCGCCGACGAGCCTTCAAGGTACATCACGCGCATCCAGGGATTCCTAGATCAGGGTCGAGCGACCTGGCATAACGATTCCTATTCCTCAGACTTCATGAACTACCTAATGATAAAGGCCAGCAACTCCACTCGTATGCTCGACCCTACCCTTCCACCGCCGCCCGCTGAAGACGCTGCAGCTTTGTTCAACCAAGTCTACACCAAGCTCTCTGCGCTCTATCTAGGCACATACTTGAAGATGCTGCTCATCCCGTCGGAAAACCCAAGAGCTGTCACTCTGTCCGGCATCGCCTTCGACAGCAAAGACCGCATCTTCGTCTCCAAGCCCATGTTTATCATCGCCGAGACCATCCTCTGCACCTACGTGATCGTGACAATCATCGTTTATATACGCCGTCCGGAACGCTTCTTACCCCGATTGCCGACGACGATTGCCTCGGTCATCGCGACTTTCGCTGCTAGTCACGCTGTGAGAGACTTTACAAGCACGGCGCATCTCTCAACAAAGGAGCGGGCGGAGTTCATCGGAGCGTTAGGGACGAAATATGGGTATGGCTCGTTTATCGGCACGGATGGGAAGGGGCATGTAGGGATTGAGAAGGAGCCGTTGGTGGCGCCACTGAAGCACTCGACATCTTTGGCTTGGGCGCGGAAAAGGAGGTTTGGGGCATTTCGTGGTGAGACCTGAAATCTTACCGTAGTCACGAAGCAAGAATCTGAGTATCTTCCATCCAGCTTCATCGTGAATGCCCCAACTCATTGCGGCAGTTCTACCAATGCATGTGATTGAAGTGGCTTTTCAATAACCACGTACGCTAAAGTACCATAGCACGTTAATCGTGATACTTTGGCCACGTTCCACACAATATGCTTAGCCATGGTTTGTTACCTATGCCGGAGGACCATGCGCATCGTATGCGATCGTGACATCTTCCCAGCCCGTCCTTCGCCGGATGTTCACATGTATAGCCTCAAGGGGCCTATCGACCGCAAGCATTCCTGTCCCGTCCTTGCCTGGTACAGGCATCGGCCCACCGTCCACAGCTGTCACATCAAAACACATGGCCATGGCGGCAGCCAAGCCCAGGATTTCAACCTGGGCGAAGTGGCGTCCGGGACAGAGTACCGAGCCGCCGCTAAAGGCACGAAAAGCGACCGGATTGACCTGCTTGGATCCCTGTTTGGCCTCGTCCTTTGCCGTAAAGTTGCCGGCGGTGGAGTTGTAGAAGCGCCTCGGATTGAACTCAGCAGCGTCGTGGCCCCAAACGGCAGGATCGCTGTGGATGACACCGCTGACGATCTGGACAACAGAGTTGGCCCGGAGTAGGTACTGGTCTGCCACCATCGTGTCGGCGGTCACTAGCCTGCTGGAGTTGACGTTGGCTGTCATGCGGAGGGTCTCGCGGTAAACGGAAACAAGGAGCGGACAGGAGTTTCGGAGTGCTTTCATGTCCAGCACGCGGACAGTACCCTCCTGCTGCGTTATCATTGCGTGTGCTTCTATCTCCGCTCTGATCTCTTTGAGCAATTCGGGACGGGAGAAGATGTTGCTTATGAGCCAAAAGGAGGACTGGGTAGCGTTGACCAGACTTCCCCAGAGGAACACAACTTCTCCATGGCCCAGCATCTTGGTGTTCAACCCATGCTCTGCATTTATCTCCACACGGTTCCGGATGACCTGCGAAGCCTTAAGATAACTCCTCTGTTTGATGTACTCAATAAACGCCGCGTAAAGCTTCTTGCGAGCGTAGTAAGCTTTCCTCGCGATGAGAGACGGCAGTATGCCAGGCATCAGCTTGGTCATCCCGGCATCAAGGTCCCAGAATGCCTCTACTAACTCAGGTTGCATCGCGAATATGTTCTCTGGCCCGTACAGAGCCCGCGCCGTGCACACACTGAACATATCCCTGGTCCATCTGTACAGATCCATGGTCTGGGATTCCCCACGCGCAAGGCCGTTCAGGTATCCCGCATGACCTTTCAGCACCAGCTCGCTTATTTCGTCGAGGTGCTTCCCGGGGGCAAGAACAGAGTAGAGCATATCGTGCATTGCGGGGATGAGACCAGGGTTCTCGTCCGTCTTCTCTGTGCCGTTCATGCACACTTTCATTGCTTCCTCGTCGTATTCAATCATACCAGGCAAAGAGTAGCCGACCAGTTTGTTGAAGGAAAGGGTCTTGGAAGCGCGCTGGATGTTGCTAGCAAGTACGGGCGATGTAACGAGGTACATTCTCGAGTTCAGCATCGGGAGAGTGTATATTGGGTATTTGTAACGTTCGCTGTATTCAAAGTCAGCATGTCTGTTTATTTGCGTGTGCAACGGTCCGGTTTACTCTAGCATCCGAAAGTACTGCCCGCCATATCGGATTAGCCCGATGATGTGGCCCACGTAGGGAATACGCGCAGGTACAACTGGAGGTTCTCGAGGATCGGGATAGTATTGCAGGAAGCGTCGCGATGCTAGCACAACGACTGCCACAATGGCAAGGAGGAGTATACCGCCAGTCGCTGTGCGGCCGCCAGGCAAAGTCGCGGTGGTGGAGGGGTCCATGGTGATGAATACTGCTCTGCGGGAACGACCTCGTTGTAAGCTACTGACAGCTCAGCGGCCTCTAGTAAGACATCATCGCACCAGGCAGACAGTTCTGCTTTATACCTAGTGGGAGCTCTTGCGGAGTACCTTCAGCCTCAGCTCCACCTTGGAAGCTGACGCCCAGCGGTTGTGGCCCCCAAAACATCGCCCTGCCGACCTGGCCAATTGGCGCCGATCGCGATTCAGACCGCAAGCGATGCTGCATGGAATTGGCAAGCTGCCACGAACGGGAACATGAGGTCTCCTCCTGCTCTAAGGCTGGCCATCAAAGATAGAGAATAATCCGTCCGGAGAACATGAAGCTGGAAGGGCATGGCCAGAGCACATGTCTGGATGATTGGCTGAAGCGTCCTTCGAGTGTTCATGACGATCATGTACCCATGTACCCCTTGATATAAAAATCCAGTAAAGTCCCTTCGAGCGCTGTCAGTTGGACATCGTAGCATTCGTGAGGCATTGAACTTCGTCCAGAGTTTGGTTGACCACTATCCTCCGCCATGAAGTCCTTACTCTTGACATCAGCCCTATTATCACTTCTCCATACAAGTCATTCGTTGCCAATCCCAGAAGTATCGGATGCCTTGCAGAACATCCTTGAAAACACGCACAAGAGCACTCTATACGCATATCCCACAGACTTCACACGTGAGATTATACCGGTAAGTTTGCTCCCAGCATTAACGGCGTGACAGCTGTAGTGCCGAAGCTACGAGCCCGTTACGGAAGCTTATGTGATGGACAGAAACCATTACATTCTCACAACGACTACTGGCGAGATGTTCCTTTCTACTCGGCCTTGGCTTACGGCGCTGTGTCCGCTGAGGCAGATGTCTGGTTGATCAATGGCACACTCTTTGTAAGTTCTTGCAATTCGATACATGCCCTGCCGTGTATATTTTAAAACACACATCTGTGGTCGATACCAGATATATTCTTAATCGGCTGCGGTCTCTCCAGTTGCTCTGTGTATTGGAACAGGTGTTTTACAAGTCCGAGACCTGATATACAACACATATTCTCGGAGGGTTTGACATCTTTCGTGCATTCTTTCTCCAACTTGTGTGTCTCGGCTTTCCTGTCTATTCTAGATCATGTTAAGCGGAAGATCATGCCAATCTTCAATGGGAACCTCTGCATACTATCGCGGTCACTTGAAGGGACGTTCCTAATAAGCTGCTTTAGATTGGCCACGAGGAAAGCGCCTTGACAGCGGAGCGCACATTCAGCAGCCTTTACATAAACCCAATTCTCGGCACCCTCAGACGGCAGAACCCAACCACTGCATTCGTGCATGAGGAGACTCGAAAGTAGGAGCCATTCACCCCTCGCCCGATGCACCGACTAACCCAACACTGCAGTGGTGTCTTTGATGCTGCCGCCGGCCAGACCCTCTACCTCTTCATCGATTTCAAGACCCGAGATGGCGGAGAGTTCGAAGCTGCCGAGGAGGCTCTCCAACCCCTCCTCGATGCCACCTATCTGACCGTCTACAACGGCAGCGCTTTAGTCCGCGGGCCCGTGACCGTCATCGGCACAGGCTACACAGCCTTATCCGCCGTAGTCGCGCAGGAGCCTCGCTACATCTTCTACGACGCCCCGCTAGCAAATCTTAGCAAGCCAGGCTATGAGAACATCACTAGCGCCGTCTCGCAGATCGCCTCTACGTCGTTCACTAGCAATTTCGGCCGCGTCATGAGGCAGAGAGCACCTGATTCTGAGGGGCCGCTGAACTCGACTCAGTTGGAGCTTCTGCGGGGCCATGTCAGCACGGCGCATGAGCGTGGGATCTTAACGAGGTATTGGGCTACGCCCAGCTATCCTATCGGCACGCGGAATGCGGTATGGCGGACGTTGATCGATGAGGGAGTGGATCTGCTGAATGTGGATGATTTGGCTGGCGCGGCTGGTTTCTGGGAGGGTAGTGGCTAGATGTGCTGGCCAGTATTGACAGCAGAACTGAACCATAATAGAGTAGTGGCGGAAACGTGAGGTTTAGCACCATGTACATAAAGACATGAAATGCGCTGTCTTGGCGATGCTCTTTGGCAAGGTGTCACTCGGAGATGTTTCTCGGAGACTAGGTATTCCCCTCCTGTTAATGTTCCCAAGCAGGATCTGATGAGCTTATGCCGAAGCTGTGCTCTTCGTTTCAAGACTTTCTAGAACAAGCCCATCATGCTCGAGTCTCGAGGATTCTTGGCTTTCCAGGCACGTGCTAGGCTACCGTGGCTGCCTGCAAAGTCGACCAATTTGCACCGAATATGACTCAGCCTCGCTTAGCTCTACTAGCGCGAAACCTGCCTATATCATCGCCTCCGTCCTTTGCACCTCTTCTCCCAGCATCCAAGTGCACGGGCATTACGCATATCAGTGAGGATTCGTCCGAGATTGCGTTTTTGCTAGTTGAAAACTACAACTACTTGACTGCTCCTGTTGGTCTTCGTGATCGGCAGGGAATTTTTGAAAACCAAAAGTCTGTCATGGAGCTTTTCATTGATGCTTTCACCTCGGGTGGGACGTTGAAGAAGAGACTTGTTTCGATGAAGAGGAGAGGCTGACACTGCGAAGAGTGCCGTTGCTGTAGATAAGGTAGTACTACAATAGATCTATATTGCCACTACTGTGACGCGCGGTTCGTCTACACTGTCGCTGTTGTCATTGCGTCCGCCTCCCGCTTGCCTGCTGTACGTGACCGTCGCCTGCTAGACAATCTATTTCACGACGCCATCCGCGCGTGCGAACACACTTCAGAACTTGAAGGCGTCATGACAAGAACAGCCCTGATCACCGGGGGGACGGGCCTGCTTGGTCGCGAGGTCGTGAAGGAGTTCAACGAGGCTGGGTGGAAGGCAATAGGCACTGGAGTCACTCGAGCGAAACCGCCTTCCATCGTGAAGTTGGACCTACTTGAAGAGGGCGGGATTGAGAGAGTGCTTGATGAAGTCAAGTGAGCGCAAACAACAGAGCCTACAGTCATGCTGGGAACCCCAGGCTGACGGATGCTGCACACCCAAGACCAGATGTCGTTGTGCACTGTACGTCCTTCTCCACAGCCCTCTCCTCCATGCACAACCATAACATCTCGAGGTCTGCCCTTTGGAAACACGCGCCAAAGCTCACTCTAACGTACCAGGCGCCGCCGATCGCTTCCCCGATTCCGTCGCCCAAAACCCCTCACGTGCTCGCGCTCTGAACGCCTCAGCGCCCACAAAGCTCGCCTCCCTCACCGCAGCCCGTGGCACATTCCTCCTCTACATATCGACCGATTACGTCTTCTCTGGCCGGCCTGGCGAAGCGCCTTACAAGCCCACCTCGACCCGCGATCCGCCCAACACATACGGCGAGACGAAAGCGGAGGGCGAGGATGGCGTTCTACGTGCCGGCAGCGACTCTGGGAATGACAAAATCCTGGGCGTTGTGCTGCGTGTGCCAATCCTTTACGGTTCCGGCGAGCGCTCTGAGAGCGCCGTCGGGGTGCTCGTAGACCAGGTCGAGAAGGCGCAGGACATCAGGCCCGACAGGGGCGAGGCGACGATCAAGATGGACGACTATGCACAGCGCTATCCTACAAACACCGAAGATGTTGCGCGGGTGTGTCGTGAGATCTGCGAGCTCTACACTTCCAGGAACACGAAAGGCAAGGGCGGGGAGCTGCCAAGGATACTGCATTTCTCGTCTGAGGACCGGATGACGAAGTACCAGATGTGCGAGGTCTTTGCTGAAATACTGGGGGCGCCGATGGGTGGGCTGGAGAGATATAGGCCGGATGAGGAGGAGGCACAGAAGGAGGGGATCAAGAGGCCTTATGATTGCCATTTGGATACTACGGAGCTGAGGGAGCTGGGCGTCAATGTTAGCACGATGGATTTCACAGGTTGGTGGTACGTTGAGCGGATTCTGTGTGGAGAGAGCTTCATGCTGACTACATTCCAGGAGGAGGGAGCTCAGAGCTTTCAGACATTAGAGCTTAGCAACATGGCTTTGACATATCCGGGCTCTTGGTGCTCTATCGAATTCATGGTTAACATATTTGCACATGGGTATCGTAAATCGAATAGTAGTACAGCCAATATCCCACCAGAACTGACCAAACGCCGCCAGCCGACCCGTCAAGTCTACAACTCTTACGACGCGCTCTCTAGCTGCCTCTTGGCGTCCTCGCCCACGCTCTCCGCACTCTCGGCCATGCCTGCGCCTTGAGCAAATGCCTGCTGCTTCGGCCGGCTGGCGATGTCGAGTTCCGCGAATCGGGGACGGGCGAGTAGGATGTTGATGCGTGCGGCGTTGAAGACCTGTTCAGAGGGCGGGATCGAGGCGGCTAGGTTGGTGTTTTCGGTAAGGCGGGTGATGAAGAACATGAAGCGGCCGGTTTTGATTTGCATCTCGGCGAAGTTTGCACTGCCGGCTGGGATGCCGGTGTGTTTACTGTCTAGATGTTAGCCTGGAGCCGGATTGCTAGTGCAACAGGGAAAGATATCGGCAAGCTTACGCCATGGATTGCTTGTGCGTTTTCAGTATACTTGATATGCGCTCGAAACGGTCTGTGAACGGATTCTGGGCTTCAAGACCACGCGTCACGTGGGTAACCATGAGGCATGTTGTTCGCTCGTAGAGGATGAGCTCGCGGGCATCTATCACCTCCGCCAGTTGCTGTAGTAAAGTTTCTATGGTCGCGGCGTTCGGGATTAAGAAGTAGATAATCTGCGTCCACGCTTTGTACAAGCTCTGGTCCCATATGCTAGTCGGAAAGAATTCGACGGTGTCTTTGAAGCCCTCACTAGCCGAGCGTATATATTCGGATCTTTCTTCGAAGAGCTGTAATCGCAGCCGCGCTTGCACGAGGTCCATTTTGTGGATGAGGCAGAAGACCTTGGCCGTCGGCGAGCATTCCTGGAGCGCGCGGATTATTTCTGAATAGGAGATAACGTCGGCCTGGAACTCGCGCGACTCGACATCGAAGACGAAGATAAGGACAGCGACGCTGCCGAAGACATGCTCGCGCTGGTGGGTGAGGTAGTTCTCCACGAATCCGTCTTGACCACCACAATCCCACAGGTTGAGCATGAGATTCCCCATGAACTTGATATTGCTGTGCTCTACATCGATTGTAGCCCCGAGCCGGCGCACGTCTTTGGCGACATAGTTACTGAAGACGATGGAGCGCATGGACGACTTCCCGGCGCCGCTCTTGCCCATCAGCAGCACCTTGCGCTGCTTTTGGCGCTTGCCGGTGTTCATCGTGTCGGTTGACCTGGGCAGAAGCCGCAGGTAGTCAATTGTTCGTGAACCAGTCGTGGGGTTGACTCGAGGTGGGATGTTGTGAAGCTCCGAGGCTCCAATCGTCGCTCAGACATCAGCGAATAAAACGCTCCTTACAAAGCAGCGTAATGAATGACACCTTGTACTTCAGTACGTCGCCGCGCTCCTCCACTTCATTCCTCCCTCACTCCTCCAACATATTCGTACCTTAGAGGACGGTGAGGCACTGCTACCGCGCAACCACATATATATCAATATCTGGAAATATGAGCGCATCTAAGCACAACACTGAGCCAAGCTCCACACGAGCGGAAAGCAAACGCGACCGAAGTACATCCAAAAGCGCAACGATGTCTTCACCAGAACTAACATAGGCCTCAGAGGAGCCAAAGCAGGTCCCGGTTGAGAATGGAACACCATCAGAATACAGCAGCAGTGAGAATGGGCAAATCTTGGAATCAGAAACGGCGTCACCCAATGGGCCTACATCGAATGGACCTCCACTACCAGATGAGCCAACACCTGAAGGGCCACCTTTACCTGATGAGTCCACCCCGAACGACCCACCGTTGCCACAAGAAGCGCTCCCTTCAGAGTCTGAGGATGGCTGGGAACCTGTCTGGGATCCCAATGCACAAGCCTTCTATTTCTACAACCGCTTCACACAGGCCGCACAGTGGGACAACCCTCGTGTACCTGAAGCATCCTCTAGCGTCATGGCGCCACCTCCCGGTTTAGGCTCTCACGACCCAGCACCCAGCAGCAGCGTTGGTGCCCCAGGTACTGAGTCTCTACGGTCTTCATCGCCTGTAAAGCGGCCACATGGCGGATACAACCCAGCCATCCATGGCGACTACGACCCTACAGCCGACTACGCTATCGCAGCACAAGCCGAAGAAGAAGCGGCGTCTGTCGCCTACGCTCTTCCCTCCTCAGACCCTGCGGCGGTTTATGCAGCCACGGGCGCGTTCAACCGCTACACGGGACGCTGGCAGGATCCGTCGCTCAACCCGGAAAGGCACAACGACGAGAACAAGTCGAAGAGGCAGATGAATGCGTACTTCGACGTCGATGCTGCGGCGAACTCGCACGACGGGAAGAGCTTGAGGGCGGAGCGGCAGGGCAAGAAGCTCACGAAGCAGGAGATTAAGGCTTTCAAGAATAAGCGGAGGGAAAAGAAGGAGGAGAAGCGGAGGGCGTGGTTGAGAGATTGAGATATGTCGGCAATGTAGGGCCTCAGGCGTTCAATGGAGCCATGGTAAGACTTGATCATGGTATGGAAGATAGGCTATTCTGGGTTGGTCCTTGAGGTTTAGGCACGGACGAGACATTCTTCCACAAGCTAGAGCTGTGTGCAGGTTGCGCGGCAATATCAATAAGCCATCCGCTCTGCTATCGGCTGGTCTGCTCTTAAATATCTGGTTACGTGCACTTTAGTGTCGGGATGGTTCAAGTGTCCAGCACTCTCACTGCGTACCTAGGTAGGTGCAACAGTCTCCACGCCTCCAACCCCGGCCCACTTACATCACTACCCTTCAGTGATCGGTGGGCCGACTAAGGCGCAGTGACGTCCGCCCCTGAAAGTCACGAGCCGCTCCTGCGTCGTCGAACTCGCGAGTCCGCCAGCTTCAAGCCTCTTTTGACGCCGCCCATGTCCGCATTGCGGCACCAAACTGATATTGAGCTTCTCCCTTCTCTTTCACCCACCAACCCTAGCCTTCCCCTTCCCCCTGCCCACCTCGTCAGTATCCACATCAATAGCCTCAACACCAGCGCGAACTTCCTCCGTTCCATCAAATTCCCCTGCAACCGTCCCAACCGTAGAGCCTTGGTGACCGTTACTATGTGCCTCCCCCTCAAGCCCGATCCCACCCTCTTCATCCTCTTCTCCAACTTCCATATCTTCCTCGTCCGCCGCGCCCGATCCACTAGCCTCCCCCTCCATAGCCTTTATGCCCCCAATCGCCTGCTCCAGCACCCCGCTCTTCCGCAGTATCAGCTCCACAACCTCGTTCTTCCCGTTCGACTCCGCTTCATAGACAGCATCATGACCCAGATTATTCAACGCGCTCGGATCAGCGCCGAGGTCGAGGAGCGTGTTGACAAGTGAGGCATGGCCGTTCAGAGACGCCCAGTGCAGAGGCGTGTTGCCCGAAAAATTTGGTGCGTTGATGAGGGTTTGGAGAGTAGTGCTTGAGTCGTCGTTGCACAGGTTCTTGACTAGGCAGAGGATGTCCTCGTGGCCATTTGCGCCGGCGTAGTGCAGGACGTTGTTTTTGCTTTCGGGGTCTACGGCTGCGGCTAGGATGGCGCTTTGTGGGTAGGAGTATTTCATGGATAGCTCGGTGAGGAAGGCGGAGAGCTCGGTGGCTTCGTTTGTGCGGGAGAGGTAGAGGATGTCGTCTGTTTCGTCCTCGGCAAGGCTGGGGGCTGGGGGTGCGGAGTCGTGGTATAGTCCTGGTGACATTGCTAGAGGAGTTTGCGGGAAGACTGGGTTATTGGATTCGGGTGGGGTTGGTGGATTCGGAAAAGATGTTTGCCTTGACACGAGCCTTCTTGTTTGCCTTTCTCACGTGGGTTTGGGATGATAATTTGCTTCCAGGTTGTCTTCGACAAACATTTTTGGCGGAGGATTCGGCGGGATGACGTGGGGCAAGTGCGAGACAAACACTTTGGCGTTCCACCCGCACTCCACCGATGACCTTAAATCTCGAAAATGTACCAGGATTCGGTCATGCAAGGGGCATACGCCGCATGGCTGAAGCTTATCTCGGCAAGGAGAACGAATTGTGTCAATCCGATCAAGGGCTCCTACGGCGAAGTCCCCGCGGACGACCGTTGGTCATCTAAGGTAATTGTACGAGTAGCTAAAGATGTCTTGACGCTTAAACAGGCGCAAGTAGCGTACAAGGTTTGCGTAGTTTTCATATCAGCAGCTTCCTAGTCTCGTCAAATCCTTCGGATGTTCCTGTTCTATTTTCGAGGATGGGGGCCAATGACTACCCCGGCTCTGAGTGGTACGGCGCCTACCTGCAGGCGGCTGTGCCTCACGCAGCGACTAAATTGGCTATATGGGACCGAAGGCTAACGTACGGGCTCATGGCTTGCATATACATCTCACCTCTTTCTCATTTGATATCCTTCTCCTGGTGAGAGGTTCGTCCTGCCTTTACCTCGAATAATCTCATACTCTTATCAATGACCGTGCCGGACATGAGCAGTCAACATAACCTTCTCGATGGATCGACCGAGTCAAATCGGTCTGCTGATGGCCACCAATCTCTGATCGCCTCGGATGATCAGGCCTCAAACGGAGGAAAGCAAGAATTCCTTGTCAGGGCTCGAGAATCGTCAGAAACATCTCGCAAAAAAGGACTCGTCCAGTTGTCTGGTAACCCGGGATGGAAGCCGCTCACATTGAAGACTCCCGTATTACTTGGTGTCATATTGATTTCTGTTGGTCTCATAGGCGCTATACAATATCTGGTGTTACGCAGTGAGAAGAACAATGGTATACTGTTCTCAGAGGATGTCAGCAGCCTTCCCCTTAGCCGCTCCTTTGGACACCTGTATCTCCCAACCTTGATCGCTGTGGTCTACAGCTTTCTCTGGACATGGATAGATCTGGACGTAAAGCGATTGGAACCCTATTACCAACTATCACAAGATGGTGGTGCTTCCGGGAGCAATTCGATCCTACTCCATTATCCATTCGACTTTGTTGCTTCAGTACCTGTACAAGCTATCAGGCGCCGGTGAGTCCACCAGCCTCCTTTCCATCGGTCGCAAGGCTGACTATTGACCACGTAGCCATTGGCCGGTATTCTCAGCTTCGGCAGCCATGGTTCTTGTATTCTGGGGCGTCACTCCGTTCCAGGCAGGTATCTTCGCGACGGATCCGGTCACCCGCAGCTTTCCGGTGCCGATGTCTAGAGCGACCAGGCATCTCACCTTGGAACAGCAGGAGACGGCTCTAACATCTACTTATGTGCAGTCAGCTTTCAACATTGCTTGGCTCAACGAGACATTGCCTCCATACATGAGCCGTGATTATGTACTCGAGCCGTTTGGTCCGTTAGAAGCCAATCGCATAGAGAACTCCGAGTCCTGGACAGCGGTCACCCGTCTGTACTCTGTGGATGTCGCTTGCGAGCGAGCTGAGGAGACCGAGGGCTTTTACATCACGGGCCGAGGGTGCGAGTTTTTCAAAGCCGATCCACCTCGTGGTGAAGGAGCGAATTCCACCCTTGCCAACGAGTGGTCGACCCTCTACGTTGGCTATCATAACGATAACGGTTTTGCGGATTATTACCTTTCGCAAGATTGTCCACTCAGCATGTCGCATGTATTCCTTGTCAGATGGGTCCATCGAGATTGGAATAGTTCAACAACAGAGGGCGTTGGCGAGACTGCTCTATGGTGTGAGCCGACGTACTATCAACAGGAGGTGAATGCAACAGTCTCCCCTCCACTGAAATCCGTTCAAGAGATCACCCCGCTTGGGCCAAAGCTGCCTGTCCCGGAAGCCATTTTCAATGCCACGGAGTTTGAATGGGCGATGTCTTCCCAGCAACAGAGGCGCCAGAATCGGGGAGAATTTCCGACCTCCGCTTGGCCTGAGGCCAGGTCACGTCTCCAAGATATGGGTGTCGACCTTACCTATGTTCCAAATATGGCTTCCTTCGCTGTAGCGGCGGAGAAACGGCCGGCAGCTGACTACCTGGATCCTGAGGTGCTGAGGAGTTCCTACCAAGCAGCATACAGATTGCTATTTAGTCGACAGATGGTCGAAGTTTTAGGAAAAGAGTTTGATCCTGCGACCATGAGCTGGGGCAAGCGCACATATCAGATGGAAGCTGTACACGTGGTGCCGGCTTTTGCGTACGTTGTTGAGGGGCTACTAGCTGCTGTGGCCTTCTTTGCTGGATTGCTGCTCTTTCTCTCCATCACCAAACCGAGAAAGCTGAACTCCAATCCTGGGAATGTCGCCTCTCTCATGTCCTTGGTGGCTGATAGTAAACCTCTGCTGGAGGAATTCAGGAGTCTTGACAAGAAATCGGCCAAGGAGCTGGAGCAAGAACTGCGCGATAACACATACAGTCTTTCTGTCAGTGGAGAGCAAGACGGCGCTTTTCGTTTGAAAAGGGAGGACCATTCACGTTCAATCACTCAACCAGCCTCTGCACTACAGCCGCGTAGCACCGAACAAGGAGTCCGTCCGACTGAATTTCGCATACTATCAGGGCTGGTTTTCATTGCTCTGCAGCTGGCGTTGCTGATATCTTTCGCTGTAATCTACGTCAAGATTCTCCGGTTGAATGGTAAGTGCTGCTTTACTTTAGTCTGCAACAAGCCCGTGTAAATAGGCTGACACTTTTCTAGGGCTCCCGCTGCCGTCTAAGAATCGCTTCGTCCGGCAACTGGTCGAAAACTACATCCCCACCGCAATCGCTACTTTCATAGAACCTATATGGGTTGTCCTCAATCGGTTGTTATGCGTCCTTCAACCGTTCGAAGAGCTTCGAAAGGGTAAATCACGTGCCACCAAAGCCATCACTATCGACTATACATCTCTTCCGCCTCAACTAGTCTTTTGGAGGGCGTTCAAGTCCCGTCACTTTGTTCTGGGTTCTGTTTGTTGCATGGCGCTACTGGCAAATCTATTGGCTGTTGCTTTTAGTGGTCTTTTTAACGAGGACACAGTTAGTGTCCCATATGCTGCCACCTTTTCGGTCCCTTTTGCACCGATAATGGATAGCAGGATGCTCAACAGGACTAATACGAACAACAACCGGACCTTCACTGACCAATTCAATGTAGCAATGTCTAATCTGACAGCTGACACTCCAATGCCGGTATGGACGGACGATCACCGCTTCTATCTACCGTTCAATTACACGACAGAGACCGAGGGCGCCTGGCAGCACCAAGTTACTACCCGCACTTATGGTCTCAGCCTGGAGTGTGAACCTCTGGTGTCCATCGGTGAAAATTCCATCAGCATGAGCTTGAGCGCGAATGCTCTCCGTGCTTCCTTCAACGTCAGCATCGCCAGCAGAGATCCGCTACGAGAACCGTGCAATGTAAACAACCTAACTATGGGATTTCAGGGTGTGGCTAACGGTCTGGCTGCACTGGAAATCACTGACTTTTTGTGTCCCGAGTACATCATAACCGGCTGGCTACGGGCGAACGCCACCCGAGTGGAAGGACGCACCAACATCGGCGACGATATATCCAATGTAACATTCCATTCACTGGATTACACCTTCCTAGGCTGCCAACCTCGTGTCAATACCGGCCTCCGCCAAGTCACTGTCGACAACATGGGTTTTGTCCAGCAAGCTTCGCAGTCGGAAATTCCGGAAGACATTGAGGCATTCAACGCGCGGGAAAAATCTGACCTTGCTCAACAGATCAATGGGGTGTTGATTTTCGGCTCGAACGTAAAGGTTGACTTCAGGAGGACCTGGCACAACGACACAGCCGCATCCGATTTCTACAACTATCTTATCTCAAAGACGGTCAACAGCACCCATTTCCTGGATCCCACGAACCCTCTGCCTACAGCCGACGAGATGGCACCGCTGTTCGAGATCCTCTACTCCAAACTCGCCGCAATTATCCTCGGCACCAACAAGGGCCTGCTCTTCCCACCGGCGGCCAACACCACAGTTTCTGGTTTCACCGTCAAACTCGAGACCCGCATATTTATGTCACTCCCGATGTTTATTATCGCAGAGACAATTCTAGCGCTGTACATCATCACCAGTATCTGCGTCTATGTAGGCCGCCCGTGGCGATTCTTGCCGCGGCTACCGACCACTATAGCGTCTTGCATCGCTTTCTTCGCCGCCAGCCACGCTTTGGTCGATATGGAAGGGACAGCGCCGATGTCGGTGAAGGAGCGGAACGCGTATGTAGAGAGGATGGATCACCGGTATGGATTTGGGCCGTTTGTGGGGACGGATGGGAGGGCGCATACGGGGATTGAGAGACAGCCTTTCTTCGCCCAACTGATAAGAGGTGGAACTGGAATCACGCAAACGACCACGGCTGGGAGCAGTGAGAAAGGAAGAAAGTCAGGACATTGGTATAGCCTCGCTGGCTGGAAGGAATACAAGTACGGAAAAGTGGAGGGACGAGGAATTATCTGAAGGATCTTGTTTTGAGAACTCATCATTCAGCCAACGTTGGCGTAGTGGCTTGTTAGGTACCCACCTAGTTCGATCTGATTAGTTAGTGCACAAAGCAGCCAACATATTTGATTAACCCTACCAGCAAGAAACCCTTTGAACATGCATCTGCTTTAGTACTCAATAACATCACAGGTAGTGCTCTGGGTAACAACAAATGAGTATTGGCAACGAGAGTTCGTCCTTGATGCGTGGTCAGGTTACTAGCACGTGACACACTCGCACGGGTAACTCAACCTCTTTCCAAGACTCCCCGCCCTATCTTAAGTCACCGATATAAAGAACGGAAGGTACGCAGCACGGTTGAAGCCTTCAGCATCGACTATTTGCTTCACAGAACGTTTTTATCCATCTGCACTAGGCTTTTCTTGACGAGCGTCTGGAAGAAGGGGCGCTGCAAGCCGCACAGCGACGAGCTCCCCAACCCGCTTCGCGCTCTACTTGGGACACTTGCCTTCGGAGAGCAGCTGCTTTTGCGGATATTGAAAAACTGCAAGAAGCTTGTAAGGTTTGCGTCTCTTCCTGGGAGCTCCTGTCCTGCGAAATTTTCTATTCCAGAAATGCCAACCAATCACCATCGTCGCTTGTGTGGTACGGCGCGTATCAGTAGGCGGCTATGCCGCCATGCAATCTGGGGGCGGGCTGTGCCTCATGGAGGTGGTATCAAAACTCGCAAACATGCTCTCCAGACGGCTTCCTCGTTTCGCTTTGCTTGCGGTATCTCCTGGCGAGAGCTGCTTTTTTCCATCAATCTTCCTTCTGGTCCATTTAATGTGCAATGCATCCTTCAGGAGAACAGATTCGTCAGGTCTGGACCAGCGAGTCGAGGCATGATTTCGGCCATGGATCGCATCTTGCGTCCGGAGGATTGATTCAGCATCAAGACAATCCCAATCCTAGCTGGATCAGCAAACTCAAACCCCGAAGGCCTTCCCGTTCACGAAGCAGGGAAGCAACGGACGAGAGAGTTGTATCCGACATCGTTTCAGACCTTCGACCATGGAAGCCTCGTGGACTTCGGGCTCCCATTCTGCTATGCGCCATCATCCTATCCGTTGCGATGATTGCCTTTCTGCAATTCCTCCTGATGCGGAGCCAGAAGAATAACGGGCTGATCTTCGCCCACGATCTGGATCAGTTGCCTCTTGGTATATCGTTTGCTTATTTATATCTTCCAACGCTGCTTGCCGTCCTGTATAGTATCTTTTGGGCCTGGATAGATTTAGAGACAAAGCGTCTCGAGCCATACTACCAGCTGTCCAAGCCTGGAGGTTCGCTTGGAAAGGACTCTATCCTTCTACACTATCCGTTCGACTTCATCGCTTCCGTACCGATTGCAGCCATCAAGAACCGGTAAGCACTCGATAAGCAGTTGTTTCCACGCAAAGCACACATGGACCGTTTAGTTGTTCCTAAACGCCGCGGCCCCTTCCTCGCTCCGCATGTATCGTGTTGCTAAGTATGGGCAGTCACTGGCCAGTTTTCTGGGCCTCCAGTGCCATCGTACTCGTTTTTTGGGGCCTGACTCCTTTCCAAGCCGGTATCTTTGCCACGGAGACGACAGCAAAATCTCTACCAGAGCTTATGTTGGTTTCAACAAGTTTCCTGCCGCTAGATCAGCAACAAAAGACAGTTAGCGCAAATCATACGTATTCGGTATTTGGCATGGCCTGGCTGAACAACACCCTGCCGCCGTTCATGACTCGAGACTTCATGGTCGCCCCTTTTAGACCACTGAAAGAGACGATTCAGGCAGCCTCAGAAACCTGGACTGGGGAGAGCCTCCTCTACGGCCTCGATATGAATTGCGAAGAAGCCAGCATTGTTCTGAATTCTGGGTTTCTGCCAAATGAAACGAATCAGGTTGGCTCATCATTCTGGTCCAGTTCGAGTGGGTGCAAAGTTGGTAGACCGTACGGCATGACCGGGAACCAGACAATGGGCGGCTCAGGAACGAATGAGATCAAGGAGTTTTCAGCGCTGTATGCCGGATACGATAACGCGAATGGATTTGCGGATTATTACATGTCGCAGTATTGTCCGAAAAGCGTCCCTCGCATCTTCTATGCTGCGTTCAACCGCAACAAGAAGACAAACGAAACTGTCCCCGAAGAACCCACAGTTTTGTTCTGCGAACCAAGCTTCTTTACCCAAGCCGTTAACGCTACGATCACCCTACCTCAGAAGCACGTCACCTCTGCTGTACCCTTTGGACCGAAGCTACCGTTTCCCGAGGACAAGTTCAACATCACAAATCTCCTATGGCGGATGAACTCTGAAACACAGGGAGGAAAGGTTAGAAGCGATGTACCGGTGCGTACATGGCCGGACCAGTCAGAACAGCTGTCGACAACCAACCTGAGCCTTAGAGTCTTTGGATCCGATCTGCCACTCATAGCCGGAATAGCAATCGGAGCTTATCCTCGTCCTCTAGAAGACTATCTGGATCCAGAGATTTTGCGTCGCTCATATGAAGCGGCATACCGTCTTATCTTCGCGCGAGCATTGGTCGATATTGTTGGACTGGATGACTCCCAAGATGAAATTCGCCTCGGGGAGAGAACGTACAGCGTACAAACGGTCCTGATGGTGCCAGCCTTTACCTATCTGGTTGAAGGTCTCCTTGGCGCCGTCGCACTTTTTGCTACCGCACTTCTTTACCTTTGTCTATCTCGAAAGCGGAACCTACGATTCGACCCCGCCACCATCGCCGCGCTGATGTCTTTGGTAATGGACGACAAGAAACTGACACAGTGCTTTGAAAGCATGGACAGGTGTACTCCGAAAGAGCTACAGGATGCCTTCAAAGACAAGAAGTTTGAGCTCCAGTACGACGGACACCGAAGTGCATTGACTTGTGTTGCAGCCGATTCTAGTCAGCCCGTTGATGGCTGTGGTCCCAAAGCAGGCCATACCAAGCGCGATGTAGCCACGGACGGCATTCGGCCTTTTGAATTCCGCTTCCTGTCGTCGTTTGCATTTATCTCCCTGCAGGTCGTGGCACTAGCTGTGTTTGCGGTCTTGTACATCAGAGCTCAACCATACGGTAAGTCGAAACCGCAATTCTTCCGCCATACCGATTATTACATCCTTACTCACGGCGGGATAGGCTTAGCATTACCTTCAAGAAATCGATTTGTTAGACAGCTTCTAGAGAGCTACATCCCAACAGTGCTTGCCACGTTTATCGAGCCGGTGTGGGTGGTTATTAACCGTCTGCTCTGCATGCTCCAGCCATTCGAGGAGCTTCGCCATGGTCATGCACCAGCACGGAGATCGCTGACATTAGACTACGCATCGCTGCCGCCGCAGTTAACGATTTGGAAGGCACTACGTTCTCGACACTTCGTCCTTACTGCCGTTTGCGGAATGGCTCTTCTTGCCAACATTCTCGCAATCGCCTTTAGTGGGCTGTTCAACGAAAGGATAGTCAGCGTTCCGCACCCCGCAACATTCGTGCAGCCGTATAGGCCGTTGTTTGTCAATATCAACGGCTCAGTCGGGCCCGATACGCGTGATGGGACCTCTGGCGCTTTCACTGGCGGCAAAGGGCAGTCCCAGTTCTACCTAGCCATGTCGAATCTCACATCTGGAAGCAAGCTGCCACCATGGACAGACGGAAAGTTCGCGTACGTCCCGTTCTCTCAAGAGCCGCTATTAGATTCTTCGCATCACTTTCGAGCGCAAACGCGGGCGGTCGGCTCTCGACTGGACTGTGTACCTCTAATCCAAGGCACGGCGGACACTTACAGCTACTCAATCGACGAAGACCTCATCGACAATAACTTTACGTTCACCATGCGGCGTGAAGATGGCTCATCCACCAACTGCGACGCAGTCGGCGTGGGCACTCGAAATGAAATTACGATAACAATGGATCCATGTCCGGCTGGACCTGCTGGCCTCGAGCTACTACTCCGCACTAGGGCGCCGCCCGGTGCAACAGACGCTGAGCGAGTCTTTTGCAACGAGATGATCGCCGCGGGTTGGGTGCGTAACCCCGGTCCAGATGTTTGCGTTCAGAACAGAAACGCGACAATAGATCCAGCGAGGTCGACGTTCATAGGCTGCCGCCCGAGGTTACTGACAGGCCTGGCCGATGTACTTGTTGATTCGTCTGGATACGTTCAGGAAGCCGGTCCGCTACACAATGTCACTGAGGAGCTGGAATCCTATTTTCGAAGCACGCCATCTGATCTGATCCGACAAGCACAATCTTACTTCGTATACAACACTAATAATAATTATGCAGGAGTCGGCGCTGAATGGCATAATGACTCTTTTGCATCGGACTGGGAGAACTTCCTGATATCGAAGAAGTACAATACCTCTCACCTGATTGATCCTTCGTTGTCAGCGCCGTCCTTCAACGATAGCGCAACGCTGCTAGGAGGGATCCACAGCTACCTGTTTGCCATCTTCCTTGGCGAGAACCTGGAGAAGCTTCTTGAGCGATCACCAACACCGCACATCCCATCTCTCGAGGGTTCTGTCATCATGCGAGAAACCCGCATATTCGTATCCAAGCCACTCTTCCTCGTCGCGGAAGTCATTCTGTCCATTTACATAATCGTCACCATCATAGTGTACCTGCGGCGTCCCGGCAGATTCCTCCCGCGTTTGCCGACGACCATGGCGTCCGTGATTGCGAGCTTTGCGGCTAGCGGTGCGGCTCAAGATCTCCGCAGTACCTCTCACATGTCCAAGAAGGAACGTAACGAGTATCTGGACAAGCTGGATCGACGCTACGGCTACGGCTCATTTGTAGGAATTGACGGCAAGCCTCATGTTGGGATCGAGAAACAGCCGTTTGTGAGACCGTCACCGAGCGAGCTTGGACGCCAGAGGACAGCTTGGTCGTTGAGGAGCAACAGCGGGTCGAAGGATGGGTTGGTAACTCACGTGCAGGGTGTTTGAGTACTTTTCTGGGAAAAAGAGTGCATGGGAGAAGAGCGCTTGCAAAAGCGAGGAAATCGGACACCAAACTGTAATGATTTAATCCCGCATTGATCCATTGGTTGATACAATATGTGCGAGTGGCCAGTCACACTGGAGGCTTGAAAGCAGACCATGACTACTCAGCGTACGAAGCTCATCCCTAAGAGTGAAACAAGGAGAGTCCAGAACATGATTGCGAGTCGTGTGTTCTCCATCGTGCACGACGCTGCCCAATGTGTTCTGTTTCGAGTTGGTTTTGATAAAATGTGACTTGCCCCCAGTAAGCGTCAACATGGACCAATCACTAATCAATATGATACATCTCAGGAAACGCTGAGTCGTGCAGAGATCCACCACGCAATCCCGTCCGCTGCGTAATGTAAGCGCGTAAGGCTGTCTGTTCCCAGAGAGCGGGACGGGGAGCGAGTGGAAGAAGTTTATTTGCTTTGCCGCCCAGCTGCAGCAGCCGCATGACGCATGACGCATGCTAGTGGCCGCATAGAGAGCTACTCTCGACATCGGGCCCAAATGCGAAGGAGACAAGGAGACACGGCAAACATCAATCGGCGCTTCTGTGGATCGCCCTGTCCACCACAACCAACCGCCCTCCCCAATACTGATATGTGGGCTGTTGCATTACGCGGGGCAATTCCATCGCAGCATACACAAAACACACCTTAGTAGCTTCGCAGATAAAAAAGCACGGCTGCTATGGCGGGGCAACTAACGGAGATGGAAGGCGGGGACCGCACGGTGGCGCAATCTTCTTGATCCCCCCCGACATCACACAATCACATGAAGCTGGTGTGACCTCGCTCGATGGTGGAACCTCTACTAATGGTTGATGATACGCGCCTTGTAGGGAGAAGAAGACTGAGACGGCGAACAACACGAGGTAAGCTCGCATCACAGTGGTTTCCTCGCAACGTTTCTCACACTGAAAACGGTCAAGCCGCAAGCTCACGAAGCACCCAGCTGGCCTATGGCTCCCCTCAGCCGGTAAAAGTGGCGACGTTCGGTGGTGCGTTTCAGAATTCGGGGCCGGATGAGCCAACGAAGACCCGGCATTGCAACAACACCGCCGTTTCGCGCCGAGAAGTTCTAGCCCACATCGGCTACTGCAAGATCTCCTAGCTGAAGCCGAAGCTGCGGCCGCTGTGATGTGCATCCTGTCTACAGCTTGTGATTGGCTCTGTCGACGTCCTCGTCCCCAGCTCAGGGATAATCTGCCGTCCTATCGATACGCTAGTGTGGCCGGCCGGAGCTGGACCTGCATTTTGTCTCATTGCCAAGCAGGGGCAGCCTCTTACTCGTACACTGCTTTTTCGACTTCTCCTGACAGCTCTTTGCCAAGTTTCGAAACGCACCGTGACAAGCTACTTGAGCCAATACACCCATGCTGCATGAACGACCGCTCATCGTTTAGCTGTTCCAGATGCGCCGGGACAGGAGCTAACCTAGCAGCAACCGGGTGCCAGCTCTCCTTACAGCCAACTGAGATGAGTTGACTAGCATCCTAGCGTCAGACGTCGCGAGCCGCACTGCAGCGAAGCCTGGGTATGGGCTCGCATCAGTCGGTCCAGCCATTCCGGAGAAGGGCTGCATGCGGAAAAGTCGAAGATGTTTCGCTGGCAGCCTGTCCTTGCGCTTGCTGACCCGCTGGTGGCTGCCAAAGGGCGATATCAGATACCTTGCATTCATGCAGACTGAACGAAAGCTTGTTTCACTGTTGATGCCCCTCAGGAGGGAGCTAAACTTTTGCGAGAGATTATAAAGTGTCCTGTCCTACGTTGGAGGCGCCTTTTTCTTTCCTCATCGCATCATCGACCAAGGACACAGGCTAGACCTCTCCATTCCAGTTCTACTGTCTCTACTCCTCTTGCCTGTGGCAGAGATTACAGTCCTTTTCAGGTTTCCGTGAAACTTCGAGCATCACATTCCTTTGCGAATTTTTGTCGCTTCCAAGACCAGAACCGTCAAAAAGATTGATCAGGGATCACGAGCACCGTCACCTATACCGTCGTCTTCATCACCCACGGTCTTCAGAATCGCCAGCTGGTCTAGCGATTTTTAGCGTCCCACCGCTCGAGTTCACACTACGCTCATTATCGAACTGTATACCAAAAGCAAAAATGGTTTTCTCCAAAGCAACCCTCGTGGCTCTAGCCATGAGTCTCTTCTCAGTCAATGCGCACATGGTCATCAGCAACCCTGTGCCATACGGTCAATCCTCCCTCAACAACAGCCCGCTCGAAAACTCCGGCTCCGACTTCCCATGCAAGCAGCGACCCGGCGTTTATGACATCACCAAGATGAACAACATGCCAGTCGGTGTGCCTCAGAAATTAACCTTCATGGGCGGCGCAACCCACGGAGGAGGGTCCTGCCAAGTCAGCGTCACGCTTGACCAGAAGCCCACCAAGAATAGCCAGTGGAAGGTTGTCAAGAGCATCATCGGCGGCTGCCCCGCTAGCGTTAATGGCAACTTGGGAAGTGATGCTCAAGGCACTGACGCAAGTCAATTCGAGTTCACTCTGCCCAAAGGTATGCCCAATGGTCAGTACACTCTCGCATGGACCTGGTTCAACAAAATCGGCAATCGTGAGATGTACATGAACTGCGCGCCTATCGAAGTCACCGGCGGCTCCAGCGACAACACCGTCTTCAACTCTCTGCCGGACATGTTCGTCGCCAACCTTCCGCGAGAGGAATGCCAGACGCCCAGTGACACCAACCTGATCTTCCCAGAGCCCGGCAACGACGTTCAGACAGTGATCGCCGCTTCTCCCGGCACCGTCAGCGGTTCCAACTGCGCTGCTCAGACCAAGCTTGGTGCCGGCGCTGGCAACGCAGGTACGCCCGTCCAGCCAACCTCCGGGCCGTCTTCCTCCGCTCCAGCAAGCTCCCCATCCGTCTCATCCAAGGCCGGCGGCGAGTTCGCCCCCTTGCCCTCTTCGTCTGCCGCCAGACCAACCGCGACCTCCCTCGCCACCGTTACACTCACCCGCTCCGCCCCCGCCTCCTCAAGGACTGGGACAGCGCCCCCACCACCAGCCAACACAGCTCCCGCCGGCAAGTGTGGCGTCGGCGCCGCCCCCTGCACAGGCGAGGGCATGTACTGCTTCAGCACGACCAAGTGGGGCCTCTGCGAGAACGGTTGCGCGGCCGAGCGCTTCGTCTCGCCCAAGACCGAGTGCAGGAACAACAGCATCCAGCACGTCTCGGCTGGCAAGCGCGACTTCCTCCGCCGTCACGCCCACAGGCGCCACTTCCAGAACAGCATCTGAGAGGGCAACCGCTCAGACCGCACGGCGTAGGACGTTGTTGTATATACGCGCAGTGGTGGGCTCGGCTGGCTTCGGGTCGCTTGCTTCTTTGGCTATTCTTTCGAGGGGTCTGCGTTTGGGGAGGAAAGCATCTGGGGCGTTTTGATGATGGGAGAGAACAAGATGCGTCGCATTTAGAGTGTTCATATAGCCGTTTGGATATGAGCATATGGATGGACTTCGTTGTGGCGATGGTTGTTTGTATAGCCATGGGTTGGAGACCGGAGGTTGTGGATAGAGCTATGAATATATACCCGCAGGGTGTTTGTCAACCATATTGCTCCAAAACCCTGATGCCCTGTGTGAACCTCTTAAGAATCATTACATGACAGCAACTTCAATGCGTCCGCGTCAGCCCTTTAGCATCAACCCTGTGCACCATTTTATTGTGCGACTGCGAGATTCTTCAGCGGTTCACGCAAGATTTCGTGTTGCTATGAGCTCTATGCATCCGCATCGCCCACGTTTGGGCAACTCCGATATACTTTTCACCTTCCATGCCGTCCGTTCTCGATATCCGGCTATGAGTCTCAACTCCACGCCATGCAAACCAGCCGAACGACAAAAACGCCATTTAGCCTTGCCCTGCTATCGAAGCTACACCCAGCAGCACCAGCACCAGCACCCGTCCGAACGCCCCAGCCTAGAGCCCGTTATCCTTCTTGAACTTATCCCACGCTTCATTCAGCGTGCTGAAGACCGCCGCGCTGATCATCCGCTGCTCCGTCGTCGCTTCCTGCGGTATCTTGTCCGGATGCACCTTTGCGATTGCCTTCATGTAGACGATCTATGCCGCCAACCGTGATCAGCAAATGCTCTTCACCCTCCTCCATCGAGCCTGGACGACAGCCCGGCAGACTCACCTTGACCTTGTTGGCCATGACCAACTCTCCCATCCCGACTTTCTTCCACCCCGCCTCGGGCCAGAGCACGAGGTCGAGACTCCCAAGCAGAGCTCGGAGGTTGTCTGCTTTCGTGCCCTTCCATGCTGCCAGCTTGGCGTCCACGGTGTCTGTCAGAGCGAAGCGCTCGTTCTCAGCTGCCTCTTGCGCTGCGTTCTGCTGGCGCAGCTTGCTGACGGCTTCTGCGCTCTCGACCGCGCCGACCGGGGGGCCTGATGCGAGTCCATTCGACGTGGGCGCGGTGGGTCTGGGCTTCGGCTTCGTCGCTGGTTTTACGGCTGCCGCAGGTCTAGCCGCAGCCGGCGCAGGCTTCGGCGCCATCGCTTTCTCGCACCTGTCCCTGCCCTGAATCGCAACAGCGCCGCCGACCCCGGCTTCCACGGCCTCCCGCCACGCACTTGCGGCGTCGCCCCATTTCTCCATCGCCTCGAGCGCTTCGGCTTTCCGCATCAGCGCCTTGCCGTGGAAGTCCCGCATATCCCTTTCCCCCTCCTCCCCACCCAGTGCAATAGTCTCCCCCTCGCCCCGTCCGGACCCAATAACCCCCAATGCCGCCTCCGCATCCGCAACACACGCTTTCGGGTCTCCCGTCTTGAGGTGGCAGAGCGCGCGGTTGCAGAGGAGGATGATGGCGATGGGGTGGCCAGTTGGAAGGGAGGAGAGTGCGGTGGTGTAGGATGATTGGGCGGCGGCGTAGTCGCCGCGCTTGAAGGCTGCGGTGCCGGCGAGGCGGTGGCGGGTCGCTTGGGACAAGGCGGAGGGGGAGATGGGAGGAATGTGGCGGAAGGGGGGCGCGGGGCGAGTTATGGGGGCTGGGGCTGAGGGGGCGGGCGAACGTGAGGGTTGAGGGGAGCGGGCTGCAGCGGGTCGATGAGGCAGGGAGGCTGTGTTGGGTCGGAGAGGTGGCAACGATGGTGAAGATGCGGTGGGTGGTGCTGCGGGTGGTGCTGGGGTAGTCTTTTTCCGGCGGGCGGGGCTGATGTATGCCTGTGAGGATTGCTGGTCGACATCTTCCCGGGTGAGCTTGCCGAGTGCTCTCTGCGGCTGCTGTGGTTGCTGCTGAAGGAACCGCGGCTGGGTCGAGGGACGGGTCGTCGTGTTGGGAGAAGATATTTGTGGAGCAGGCTCTGGTGGGCCAAGGTCCTGAGGTCGTGTCGCTGCAGGCCGCGACGGTTTCTGAGGACGGCCTGAGCTCGCTTCCAACATCATTGCTTCATCAGTCACTTCGCGTTCGGGCTGTACTGGCCTGCGTGACGATCTTTCATCGGTATCAGCCTCGCGCTGTTGTCGGCCGCTCCTGCTGCCGTCGCGGTGGAGAACGTCTTCGGATGCATGCATCTGAGCGTCTCTCATCCATTTCGGCTGGCTCGAATCGCCCTCCTGTTGAAAATCGGCCACGGCTCGCTGAACCTTTTTCTGGCTAGTCTTCCACAAACTGTTGGCGGATTTGAACAACGTGGTGCCCAGCTCGGAGGCATACTGTGTAACATCTTTTTCAGGCCCTGGTGAGCGGCTGTCCTGCCTTCGTTGTTCGGAGCCTGAACGGGCGTCTGCTCGCATCCAAACCGGCACGGCGCTGTTATCACGGCTCTGGTCTTCGCGTGTTCTCCGGCCTGAGGCTGCGCGTAGCTGATTTTGTTCGTTCTCGTCAATCGGCTGACGTCCTCTGCTGCCGGCTCTTGATTGTTGCTTCGACTTCGACTCTTGGTGCGCTTGGTTCAGTAACCATCCGACTGCTGCTTGAACGTCTGTACCGGATTCGGTTTGCGCTAGAGCTTCTACGGACCTGTCGGCGGGGAATCCCATATCCACTAGATCGGCAACTGCTTTATCGCGCGGGTCCACGGTAGCTGGTTCGTCGCCGTTCAGCGATATCGATACTGCTAGCTGTGGTTCTTCTACCCTTGGCTTCGGCGGTGGTAGGTCAGTGACCGGTTTACCCAGCATGCCCAGTATGTCATCCTCGTCATTTTGTAGCGATGATTGCGCAGGCGTAGCAGCGGATTTTTGAGTCATCTGACCAAGACCAAACGGATCGTCATCTTCTCCAAACCCACCATTGTATGCTGCCTGTGCGGCTGGCGGAGGTGATTTGGCGGTGCCGGCTGGCGTGCTCCGACCGCTGATAGCAGCTTGTGGGACTGGAAAATGGCTCGATGCATCGACAGGTGCGGCGGAGTTGAAAGCAGCCAGTATATCGTCTTCATCCTCTGAAGGGTTAAAGGGCTTCTGCACAGGTGCATTTATCGCAGCAAACGGCTTATTGATCGACTTAGACAATCCTGGTGCTCCCGCCCCGTTGCTTGACGATGCTGGTGGCGGAGTAGCGACTGGCTGTGGTATGCTCTTCCCACGTCCCAACGAGTCCCAATGCGCATCATGCGCGCCGAAGTGACTGTCGAACTTCCTTCTGCGCTCTTCTTCTTGTCGTGCCTTCTCTTCCAGCAGCTGCCGCTGCCGCTCCTGCATAGACAGGCCAGCGCCAGTCTTGGCCGCATTTGACGATAGGAGCCCGGCAAAGCTGTCGGCTGCGGGAGTAGAGGGTTTGGAGGGTGGTTTGATGGCCCGAAAGGCGCTTGCGGTATTACCGGATGGCTGGGCTGATAACGGAGTACTCCTGCCGGAAAGCGAGGGAAGTGGAGGCGTAGGCCGTAGAGCAGGGTAACTGGGGGTGGCCTTGTTCTGGGCGGTGTTGGTGGTGCTGGAGCTCCAGTCCAGGCCGGAGAGGTCGTCCATGATGAAGGCTGAGTTTGTGTGTCGCGCTGCCTGTGGTTGCTATCGGAGCAGCATTACTCAGATGTTTCTATCAGGGCGTACTGCGCAGAGAGACCAGGTTTTGCGAAGTGGTTAATATCGCGATCGGCGCGTGGCTAAGATGCATAAGGTGTCGAAGTTGAAAGGGACAGCTTGCGCGATTCGTGCGATCAAGCTGCTTGACTCGCGCGGGCGGAAAGCCGCGGCAGAATTTCATGTGTTTACCACTGTCAACACGACTCGGCTGAAGCTCTCACATATGCGCCGCGAACAGCTTTCTCACAAGCACCCAAGAACCAACTCTTCAACAAAGCCAGAATGCCTGGCCGGGTTTCCGCGCGCTCTCAGCGCTCCTCCGGCGCCGTCTCCCGCAAATCCTCAACCGCGACGCTCAAATCCCGCGCATCCTCAGCGCGCACCTCCGCACACGCCGTCGAGATCCCAGACGAGGGCCCCATCACATCCCTTCGAGAGCAGATATGCGCCGTCTTCGCCGATGCGCAACGCACTACTGCTACCCAAAGGAAGCTGGTTGTTAGCCTGAGAAAGGTGCAGGAGGCATGTTGCTACGAGCCTGTGAAGCCGAAGAAGCGACGAGATGAGGAGAATTTTGGGGAAGACGAGTTCAACGAGGAGGTGGGACGGTGTTTCCTGAGAGTTCTGGGCGTCAAGAAGAGCGAGCCGGTCGGCGACAGAATTGTGCGCTTCCTGGGTCTGTTCCTGAAGGTTGCGAGCGAGAAAGGTATACACCACGGCCAACGCAGTATCTCCGATACACAAGTTACATACTAACGTGGACCAGACAACCAGATCGCGTCGAGCGGCGACCCAGAGACAAATTCCTTTCCCGAAACCCCCACCACGCGCCTCACCTCTATAATCATCTCCCTCGTCCTCCCGCTTCTCGTAGCCAAAGACAAAGTCGTCCGCTTCCGCGCCACCCAAATAATCTCCCACATCATCAACACGCTCGACTCCATTGACGACGAGCTCTTCCAGCTGATCCGCCTCGGGCTGCTCAAGCGCCTCCGCGATAAAGAACCCTCCGTCCGCGTACAAGCCGTTCTCGGGCTTGGCCGCCTAGCTGGTGAAGGCGACGAGGAGCAAGACGACGAAGACAGCGATGACGATACCGCGGGCGGTGTGTTGGAGAAGCTGGTCGATGTCCTGCAGAACGATCCCAGCGCTGAGGTTCGCAGGTCGCTGTTGCTGAATCTGCCCTTCACGCCGGCGACGCTGCCGTACCTGCTCGAGAGAGCGAGGGATCTGGATGCAGGTACCAGAAGGGCACTGTACGCGAGGCTGCTGCCGGCTTTAGGGGATTTCCGTCACCTGTCTCTTACCCACCGAGAGAAGCTGCTCCGCTGGGGCCTCCGAGACAGAGATGAGAACGTCCGAAAAGCCACAGCCCGTCTGTTTCGCGAACGCTGGATCGAGGACTGCGCCGGCCTCCAGCAACTGACCGAAGAAGGTGCCGCGCCCGCAACTGGCCAAGTTTCGAAACCCAGCTACGAAGCCCTGCTGGAACTCCTCGAAAGAGTCGACATCGTCAACTCCGGCATCGAGGGCGGCATCGCGCTGGAAGCGATGAAAGAGTTCTGGGACGGCCGGCCCGACTACAGGGAGTTCGTAACCTTCGAGGACCAGTTCTGGGACGAGCTTACGCCCGAGGCGGTCTTCGTGGCGCGCACATTCAACGACTACTGCCGAGCAAAAGGCGAGCAGAAGCTGATGGGTATGCTTGAGGACAAGATGCCTGAAGTGACGAAATTCGCCTTCTTCCTGCAAGGCCATCTCAATCGCCTCATGGAAGGCGTTCAGCAGGTCGCGCTGCAAGCGGAAGAGGATGCGGCAGAGGCAGAGGAGGACACGGTGCAGCAGGAATTCTGCGTCGAGCAGATGCTGCATATCGCGCTCAGTCTAGACTACTCGGACGAAGTTGGCCGGCGGAAGATGTTCTCCATCATGCGGGAGGCGCTTGCGCTTGCTGAGCTGCCGGAGGAGTGCACTAAGCTCGTCATCGAGGTGCTGCGGACCGTGTGTGGCGCCAATACCGCGGGTGAGAGGGAGTTCTGCGGGATCGTGCTCGAGGCCGTAGCGGAGGTCCACGATACCATCATGGGTGAGGAGCTCGCGCGGCCGGACGCAGCGTTGGAGGCAGACGAGAGTTTTCACTCCGCCACGTCGCATCTGAGCAGCGAGACTACGCCGACGAAGGCTAAGAAATCTGCAAGGCAAAAGGGCGGCGAAGAGGAGGTCGATGATGAAGAGAAGACGATCCGTGAGATTATGGTCAACATGAAATGCCTCCACATCGCGCAATGCATGCTGCAGAACGTGCAGTGCGACCTCGAAGAGAACAGCGACCTGGTCACCATGCTGAACAACCTCGTCGTGCCGGCCGTTCGGTCACAAGAAGCGCCCATCCGCGAGCGTGGACTTGTTTGTCTGGGGCTGTGCTGTCTACTGAGCAAGGTAAGTCCTCTTCCTCCCACCCTATACCTCAGCCGCTCGGATGACACCGAAACGGGAAGATGGCTTGTTAACCAGTGTTACGAAACAGAACCTCGCCCAAGAAAACCTAACCCTCTTCCTCCACTGCTTCACCAAAGGCCACGAAGCCCTGCAAACAATCTCCCTCCAAATAATAACCGACATCCTAACCACGCACCCCGTCCTCCTGTCCCCTATCCCCCCCTCCACCGATCAAAGCACAGCAGATGCAACCGAACTTCCGCAGCCCCAACCCAGCCCCCTTCTCCGCCCGCTGCAGAAAACCTTCCTCAAATCCCTCAAATCCCCCTCTCCAACCGTGCAAACAACCGGCACAGTCGCGCTAAGCAAGCTCCTCCTCTTGAACGTCTTCCGCGCCGCCGAAGGCGTAGACGAGTTGCTGCGGCACATGACGATCCTGTATTTCACGCCCTCGACGCGTGCGAACCCAGGGATGCAGCAGGCGCTGAGCTATTTCCTGCCTGTGTACTGCCACAGCCGGGCTGCGAACGCGTTGAGGATGGCGAGGGTGGCGGTGGGGGTTGTGCATGCGCTGCTGGGGGTTGCTGAGGAGGCGGAAGAGGAGGACGAGGAGATGGTTGGGTTGGGAGTTGTGGGGGGATGTTTGGTTGATTGGACGGATGGGCGGAAGGTCATGAACAGTGGAGGCGTTGTCGGGGCGGAGGGGGAGTGTGGGGAGGCGCATCTGCTGCTTGCCGAGGAGTTGCTGGAGAAAGTCTGCATGCCGGGAACATTAAGTAAGTCTTTCTCTTCCCCTTCTCCTTATACTCCCCCTTTTCCCTGAGGAGCTTTCGCACATTCCCGGCCCATTCCCCCTGCACGACCTGCTCTAGACTAAGAGTAGACTAACGCCCCCCAACAGAAGAAGAAAAGAAAATCTACTTCTCCGTGCTCTCCAAACTCCACATCACCGCCCCCACCACCTCCGCCCCCGCCCCTCCCTCCGAGCGTCTCACAACCCTAACCGCGCTCCTCGACGAAGCCACAGAGGCAAAAGTCGCAAACGACGCCACATCCCGCAACGCGCTCGCCCGGCTCAGGAACGCCGTCTGGAAGCTCACCGAGACCGGGTTCGGAGCCCAAGACGCCACGGTCGTCGGCAACGGCGAAGACAGAGCTCGAGGCAAGGACAAGGAAGAAGAGGCTGAGAAGGCCGAGATGGAGGAGGTGGAGGACGGCATGGCGGAGATCACGATGGCGGATTTGGACGGGGAGGGGACTGTGATGGGGGAGGATGATGGGGACGATGAGGGGACGGTCGTGGGCAGGGGCGGTAGGGGTGGGGAAAGTATTGTGGATTGTTTGCTGGAGAGTGAGATGGATGTCGAGTGAGCAGCGGGCTGTAAGAATGGAGCAGGGGCGGTAGTTGGTCGGCTGGGGTTTTCGGTGGGATAACGTTGGTTTTGGCGTTGTGGTGGGTGGGGATCGAAATGTAATCAGCTGGGCTTGATGCCGTTTATGCGGGGTTGGGGATTGAGCGTTTTAAGGGTTCATGTACAAGTGTGAATGCACAGCGTGATCGAAAGAACGTGCGGATTACTAGCCGCGGGTCTGACTGCAAGTTGTGGACGGCATGATGACACAGTCTCTTAGATTTTCTTAGAAATGTTGTCTTGACCTCCATAAGTGAGGTGAAGTTGTGTCTCCGGAAAGAAGAACGGAGACCGCTAGGAAGGTTGGTGAGCCTTTTGCCAAAGTTGATAAGAACCGGTTGTGTATACGGTTGACTTGGAGGGTTATAAGGGAGAGACTTTACCTGCCCTAGAAGTAGGACCAAGGGCAAATGAGGAATCAGGAGCAGGCGCAGTGTTCCTCCCTAGAGCAACGGCTGTTCTAGAAGCATAACACTGTAGAGTTGTCGTCCTTTTTGTGGCTGCCATGGGCTGCTTGACAACACCGAGCTTTGGAACTGCTTATGTAGCGATTGCCCTCGATAAGACCTAGAAAGTCGAGCTTGAGGAATGAAATTGATTTGTCCTTGCGAAACAATGTCTATGAGCTGCTTCGAGCAATACCAGCATCGAAGCGAAGGATTCGAGAAAGCCCAACCCGCTTTAGGTCGCCGCCCACTAGCACCAGGAGGTATCACCCAAAAGCCATCCACCCAACCCCCTCGCCCCTCACTCGCCCCCATTCCCCAGCGACATCTGACTCGACCCATGCCTCCTCGCCACATTCAACGTCGCTAGAATACTCGCTCCCTCAATATCAAACGCCGTCATCCTCCTCCCCACCCCCTGCCCCGTGCCCGCCCCCATCTCCGTACCCCTCCTACTCCCCGGCGCAACCGACAGCATCTCCTGCACCCAATCCTCATTGATATCGACCTGCGCATTCGCGAGCCAGGTAAACGCGTCGGCGCACCCGACCGAGCCCTGGTGGATCGGCATGGCTTGATCGCTGGAGGTGGTTGCCGTGCCGCCGGATGAGGCTTCGGAGACGGAGAAGATGCGCTCGAGGTTTACGAGGGAGTCGTAGGAGGGGGCTGTGAAGGAGAATGGCGGTGCCATGGTGGGTGCCAGGGTCGGAGGCGGCTGGCGGCTGGCGAAGGTCTCGCAGGCGCGCTTGAGGGTTGGGTCGCGGAGGCAGGCGTCGCAGGTTCCTGGCAAGACGGCGGCGGCGGCGGTGGTGGTGATGCAGGAGGCCGTCGATGTGGGGTCGGCGGATGCGGATGCGTTGGGAGTGGGCTTCGCAGGCGGGAGAGCTGGATCGCTGGTGCTGGCGCCAGGCCCAGGATGAGAGGGCGAGATACGCTCCTCGCTTGTGTCTGGCTCCCCGATTGCATCGTCGTCCCCACTGGCATCTTTGTCCTGGTCGGGCTCTTGATGCTCTTGATTCCGGGGTATACAGACGCAATTGCTCTCGTCCGTGCAGAAGCCGCAACGTTCGTGATCAGTAACGGCTGGGCTTGGTACGGCTTCCGTCGATGGGACGGGTACATCCGGCCGGCTCGGTGCTCTGCCGAAATTGGTGAAGTCGGTCTCCTGAGCCTCGTAGTAGCGGCCGAGATCGGGATACACGTCGGCCATTGGAACGTCGTTGACATGGGTGCTGGTGCTGGACAGTAATTCGCTCGACTGAGAGCCCCGCGAACTTGGTTTCGGAGTGGGCAGGCGACGCGATGGAGATAAGTTGGTGTACGGGGAAGCGAACCCGTTGCCTTCGGACATGGGCTGCAGCATTGGAGGCGTCAAGGGGCCGGATTGGTGTCGCATCAGCAGAGGGGGCAGCCGGCCGGGATCTGCTGCCGTCGGGAGCGATTTGAACCCATGTCCTTCCGTTTCGACGTAGAGCTGTCTCTTCTTCAAAGGGGGTTCACCCGGACTGTGTTTCTTTCCGTGCTGCAGAGCAGCATTCTCGTTCCTCAAGTCCTGATTCTCGAAGGCCAAAGACTGAGTTTGGAGGACCGATTCCCGGCGTTGGAGATTGAATTCCCTGCTCAAAGCCTGATATCTTTTCTCCGCGGCCTCCAACTCAAGCTTGTGCGCCTCTTTCAGTTCGCGGATCTCTTTCTCCATGTCCTCGACTCGTTTGGCACGTCGCTCCCGGAACGCTCGCTGAGCCTCGCGGTTCTGCGCTTTCCGCTTACTGGGTGGATCATCGGTCGCTGGCTTGCGGCCGGGTTTCGGTCGCGGAGGGATGGTGACAGCCGCATTCATGGGGCCTGCGATACCCATGGGCGTAGTCGAACCAGAAGCAATGGGGGACACATGGTGATAAGGTGTCAGGCTGGCCGGCAGCAAAGACGGAGGGGCGTAATTAGCTGTAGCGGCACGACTGACAGCTTCTGTGCCTGGGTCATCTCGCCAGGATTCGACATAAGCCGGCGTTGTTGGCTTGACTGGCGTCTGGCGCTGTCTGTCTCGAAGAGGAGAGGAGCTGTCGTCGCCCGAAGCGGTTGACATTGTTCGGAATGACGCGTTGCTCGACTTTTGGGAGCGAGGGAGATTATCTGATGTTGATCTGATAAAACTGCCCGCGTCCAACTGCCAGCTTTGAGAGGCCAACATGGTGGGGCCTGCCTTCCGAGATCGGCCTCGTTCGGAGCAGCGAATAATCCGACGGCTCAGACGTCGTGCAATCGATGGTGAACGTTCATCGACAGCAGCTGGATAGTAAGCCTTTCTTATAATTGCAAAGCAGTCCCTCAAGACTGTTTAGGCGAACACCTCGCTGACCTCAGAGTCTGCCTTTGCTGCGGGGTTTCAGTGTCCTCATCCCAGCCCAGTACCTTGGTAGAATGCCTCCGATCAGCCCCGCAGCGAAGTAATCGAGGGTACAAGAACTTTGGCACGACTGCCTCAATTGTGGGTTCCTACGAAGCGTCTGCTGAACAAACTCTCCTGTTCTGGCGAGTCTCCGAGCGGCGTATCGGACGAGGAAGCGGGATCTGGGCATTTTCCACTCTCCGTATTTCAGATCTTTCAAGAAGCTTCGTGTTCTTTGCTACGTTGACCCAAACTCCCGCGCGAGATCCTAACTCTCGTAGCCTCAGAGTAGGTTCACTGGCCAAGCACGGCACCGTTATTGAAATTTGTGAGGCACGGTACCCGTGTGGTCCACACCCTGATGATGGAAACATCGCTTTAATCCGTAGCTCAGTCCACATGCCCTCGTAACTCTGATTAGACCCTGAACCTCAGAAGGACACCTCCTCACTAATTTGAGAGCGTTTCTCCCCCTCATCTGGCTCACGAATGAATGTCCTTGTACCGCAGCTGTTTCTTGTGGGTCAGCTCCACAGTCTTGAAGCACTCCATTTGGCTTTCGCCACATCTCATTTCACTCCCATTGCTCACATGTCTTCACTTGAGGACTGGTCTCTGCGTTTGCATGACCAATTATCCTCCGCTGGAATGCAATTACAATGGCTACACTCCCTGCGCAAACGACCGGAATCATCCGCGTTTTGCGGAGAGACGGAAACTCCAGTTCCTTAAGGCAAAGACCACTTCGTCCGACACGGACGCCTAGGACGGGGAGGTGCGCCGAGTCTGAGATTACCGCTGCTGTCTGCACTGCGCCTCATGGACTCGACATTTTTCGTCGCGTCGACTATTTGGTGGCGACTTTCCTGCGTTGGACTCCACTGCGGTGTCTTCTTCGCCTTCAGCGAGTCGCGATTTCCAGGGCTGATATCCCGAATTGGGCCTACCGCTCCGTCTTGTCTACACCCGTCTAAACTTGCCCCTGAAGACAGCCGCAATGGAGCCATGGAAGACTCCCAGTGGCGCTTCACTCGGGAGAAGGGCCGGATATAGGTCTCGTTTCCGCTTTCCTCCTGCAATGATAAAGGGCAGTTTGTGGGCTCCCTGTGGACCCAGCTTTTCCTCATTAAGATCGCGTCGTAGTGTTCTCCATCAACCAGAATGTGCGCCTCTCTTTATTCCGATGATATATGACCATGGGACCATCAACGGGGCATCTGTGATGATTTCGTCACGGCTTTGAACTACGTGACGCAGCATCGTATCTGCCAATTGGCAAGGACTTAGTATCTTAGCGGCTGCTTTCCCGCATGTTCTAAGGGCTATCAACAGCCCTTCCCAATGCTACCTGCCGATTGGCAAACCTCTCACTAAGACCCAAGAGTGTTTCGGTGACGGACCATCCTCGCCTCGTTGCGTGTATGGTAACGTTGTCTTGTGACACTTTTGCCGCCCCTCCTTTCAAAGCAAATGGCCAATCTCAGCTCTTGATTCGAGAGGCAGGACAGGGGCTTATGCTGCCGATCATTCTTGAAGCGTCTCACTGGATAGAGTGCGCGCATAACATAGCGGTTAACGTATTCCAAAGGGTTATATTGTTATACTTGGCGAAGCAGCCCACGCCGAATGCGCCATCTTTGAGCAGCAACCAAGAAGCTCTATGCTGGCCTTACGGAGACGTAACCGATGCGAACCCCTCCACCGTCTATCATTGCTGATGCTCTATCATGCTGCCGACAAATGCTGTTCAAACCCAACCGGACAGAAACCTGACCCATCTCATACCGCACTCTCCAGCACCTCCTTCTTCCCCTCCCGACTCTGCTCCAGCGTCTTCCCAATACTCCCATTAACACCCCTTCCCCCCGTCGGATCCGCCTGCTGGGCCTTAACGGCATCATCGACATCTACGAGCAGCATTAGCTTGCACCCCGCCCCGCACCATCGCAGACCAACCCAGGAAAGACTGCCTACCAGCAAACCCCTCATCAACCCCAATCCACCTTCCCATCTTCTCCCTCACAAACACCTCAAAATCCCACTCCTCGTCCTCCAGCTCCTGGCGCCCCGCAATCCAGACATACGTCTCCACACCCTCCACCTCCCCCGCCGCCTTCCCCTTCTCGTCCAACACCTCCACCTTAACCGTCCGCCGAGAGTACTCGTCCCCCTCGAAGATGTCCAGCCGCCACATGTCGCCGTCCGTGAGGCCCGTGACGAGGGTGCCGCGCACGGAGGCGGTGGGAGAGGCGCACGGGATCATGGCGGGGTAGTCGGCGTGGAGGACCTTGTGGCGGCGGTGGTGGGGGAGGATGGCCGGGCGGATCTTGAGCAGGGAGCGGTAGAAGGAGTTGGGTTGGTGGCTGCCGTGGCAGACGCGGTGGAGGACTTCGGGGGCCATGAGGGTGCCGTAGAAGAAGGCGGAGTGGTCGCCCATTGTAAAGAGGCGGTTGGGCTGGTGTTAGGGCGAGGGTGTGGGTACTGCAGGTGGATGGAGGAGAGGCAATTGGAGGTTATGCTTCGCGCATCTCCAGCAAGATTGATAAGTCCTGGCCGTTATCGGGCGCCGAGGTCATGGCGTAGATCGCGAGATAAGCTCATGGGTGCTCCCGGCGCTACTGCAGACCCCTGGCGAGGCGCTCGGCACTCCTGAATCTGGAATCGTAGCCTTCGTCTTCACGGTCTTCGCCTCCGGCATACAGCGTCTCTATTCGAGCCAATTCGCTCACTACAGCTTTGGAAAAGACTGTTCTTTTGATACAGCAGTATGTTCCGGTGATCCGATCTCGCTGCCGTCCCTCCTTTCTTCACACCCGCAAGATCTCCGCCTGGTCAGATCGTAGCCGCCGCAGCTCGCGCGCCAGCATCATGGGCGTCATTGTATCGGTGGTGCAGTACATTGCGCCCGTATTGTAGGTGTCTCACATCCGGGAAGCTCTGCGCAGCCATTGCTAACCAGCTGCGCATCCCAGCCTGGTCACCTCGCCCATAACCTCCTACGCCGACCAGATCTACACCATGCACCGCACACGGTCCTCTGCCGGCTTCTCTCTAGACATCCCGTTAATAATGCTAGTAGCTTCGATCCTCAAGTGCGTGCAGCCCCTCTCTCCTTCCCCCTCCCATCTTACCGTCCACAGAGCCCCCCATCTCCCCTCATGCGCTGACCTCCACTCAGAGTCTACTACTGGCTAACCGCGCACTTCGCTCTCGCCCTCCTCATCCAATCCGTCCTCATGATCGCCGTCCAGTTCCTCCTCCTCCACGTCGCCCTCTCCAACCGCCCCGCCACCGCCTCCACCACATACATCCCCTTCATACCTCCCTCCCCCTCGCCCTGGAACCCGACCTCATTCTGGCGCTGGCGGCCCGCGCGGCCCTACTGGCTCTTCCTGGCCTACCTCAGCCTCGCGCTCCTCGTGCTGCAGGTCCTGGCGGGCCCGTACCCGGCCTACAGCACCGTCCAGGGCTATCTCGCGCTCGGCATCGAAGCGACGCTGCCGCTGCCGCAGCTGGCGGCGAATCAGCGGCGGAGGAGCGTCAGGGGCTTCAGGGCGAGCGTCCTCGCCAACTGGCTCCTGGGCGACGCGTTCAAGATGGTGTGGTTCTTTACCGCGCCGAAGGGCGAGGTGCCGGGGGTGTTTAAGGCGTGTGGCGTCTTTCAGGCGGCGTGCGATGTGCTGCTGGGTGTGCAGGCTTGGGTGTTTGGAGACGGGGTCGCGGTCGGAGACGTGGGGGGTGTGGTTAGGGATGAGGTTGTGGGGATCAAGGAGGTTGGGGGCGTGGCGATGGAGGAGTTGGAGGGGGCGTGGGAGGGGCGGAGGGGGGTGTGAGGGGATTGGGGATGGAGGATAGGGAGGGGAGATGGAGAGGAAGAGCTATGAAGCGGGCGTTTGGGATGGGAGATAGAAGCTTTTTGTTAGATGGACTCATGGGACTTTTCGATCGTTTGGCGAAGAGTCAGAAGATGCTGGGATCCCTTGCGTTAGACGGTCCGGAGCCATCATGTGTTCAAAGGACAAGACAGCAGTGGTGGAGTCAAGTTTGGCACCAGGAACCTTACATGGTTTACGGGTCGCTGAAGAGCAGCAAAGAACTTCATGCTAGTTGGGTAAGGGCGCACCTGGCGGGGGCTGCTTAGCCGCGTATAATAATACGACCCTTCTGAAGGTGTTAACCGCTACACCGCACGCACTGAAAGGACTTCAGGTTCTTGGGGCTGTGATCGTGAGCACGTTAAGTCACGACCAGAGAAGCATGCGTAGACTTTGCAAATGTCGGTTGCTGAATTGAAAAGCCGCCTCGGGCGTATGATATCAGCCTACAGCCACCCTGAACCCAACAACGCCGCGACAGCTCAGCTGTAAAGACCGCGAAAAATCCCACCAGCGACATACAGCCTACAGAACAGAACGCTCAATCCTTTCATCCCAAGCAGGCGTTTATTGCGAACGCCATTTGCCTAACAGCACCAGCACCCGTCCAAAAAAATAAACGAAACACCCTCCCTTACGTTCTCTTGTCCTTCGGAATAGTCGGCCCCGCATTCAGCGCTCCCGACAAAAACCTGCTCAGATTCGTCCCGCTCATCCTCCGTCCCGAATGCGCAATCGCCGGGTTCGCGCTAGCCTCTCTTTGCAGGCCCGAACCAGCCATATCCCCAACAGGCGGCGGCGGCACCATCTGCGACATGATAGAATTCCTCCTCATCTGCGCGCGCCGGTTCGCGTCCTCGGCCTCCTTCTGCTGCAGCGACTCCGAGGGGAGCAAGATGGCGCGATCCAGGGCGTACGGGAGGCCGCGGTGGCGGCCGCGGATCTCCATGGCGATGATGACGAGTTTGGACAGCGTGTGGAACTGGCCCGAGAAAGAGGTGTTGAAGCCCGGGAAGCCGAGGCTGAGCCCGACGGTGCCGTACGCGCTCACGATTTCGAAGAGGATCGAGAACAGCGTGAAGTATGCCTCATCTCCCTTGACGTTCTCGAGCCGCGAGCCCTCGATGATGGCGATGATGAAGAAGCCCAGGAAAACGTACCACAGATCAAACGACAGCTGGCGCCGCAGATGCTGGGACACGTAGCTCTGCTCCTTGCCGTTCGCGGCGGCTGGTTCCTCAGCCTCGCCGCTGTGGAAGATGCCCAGGCTTTTCTCCTCGTACACGTTGGTGCGGCGCAGCGAGATGGCAATGGGGAAGATGGAGATGTACATCATGATCAGGTAGCTGACCTGGACGGCGGGGTGCAGTTCCGCAAGGTTGATGACTGCGAACCCGGCCGTGCGCGTGCTGGCGGCCTGGAACCAGCCGACGAGGATGCGCACACCGACGGGGAGGTCTGTCACGGTTGAGTCGTTGATGTCGAGGACGATGAAGAAGAAGAGATCTGTGAGGTTTAGGATGATGAGGACCCAGAAGAGCCACCAGGTTGCTTTGGATGGGAAGAGCAGCGTAAAGCAGCGGCGGGGGTGGTCGAGCAGGAATTTTAGCTCTTCCCAGACGCCGCTGCCGACGGGCGTTACCAGGCTGGCTAACCAGATGATGAAGCGCAGCATGCACGGGAAGCCAGTGTTGCCGATGATGATGAGGAAGCTACCGAGGAGCAGTGGGAACACCGCACGCTGGAACGTGACCATCGAGTCCGCCGTCAGCGTGAAGCCGAGGTCGTTGAACAAGGATGCCGGAGTGAAAACGCCCCAGAAATCGGGGTCAACTCCTTGCTCATGCAGGTAAGGAACGTAACGGCTGTGGTTGATCCAGGGAAGCAGGCACACCATGCCAAGGAGATGGAAGCCCACATAGTAGATGATCAAGATTATGGCTAGAGTCTTCAGTGAGCGGTACTCGATCCCGCCCAGCTCTTCCCTTTGCTCCTCGGTGAGATCGACGAATTGCGAGTTGCGCCCGATCGTCGGCGTCCAGCTGAGATAGGGCATTGGGTCTTTCTCCTGACTCCTGTTCGTCACGAAGCTAGCAAAAGTCCTAGTTCGCTGGCGCTGACGTATCCCAAGAGCCGAGTCATCTCCGGTTCCTGCGGTCGCCGTTCTCTTGTTGAAGCTGAAAGCGGACCAGCCCGCCTTCGAGTTCCGGCGCGGGTGTGCCGGCTGATCGAACGTGATGTTCCGCTTGAGAGGATGATCATCCGAGCTGCTCTTTTTCGGCGCGTCGCCTTCCTCGTTAATGCTGGTAGTTCGCTGATTCCTGAGAAACTGGTGAGGTTCAGGCTCTGAAGTCGATTCATGCGAGACGACGCGGTTCAGGTCGCTCTTTTCATCCTCGTCTACGCGTTGGATGGTGTCGCCACGGTCGAAGTCCCTTGGTCCCGGAATGCGTAAAACGCCCTTGTCCTTGGGGTTGCGCTGAGCTTCCACAATCGCAATGTGCTGCTCTGCACTCATCGGCTGAGGAAGGCGTTCAAGATTGGAGGTTTCCTCCTTTTCCGTATCAGCGCGGCTAACTTCGTCCGCGAACACGATATCTCTGTGGAAAGGTGGTGGATGTTCGGCAGACGGCGCGGCCGGCTGGGATGTCGGAGACGGCGGGCTGACGAACTTGCCCAGAGTAGGATCAAAGATCTTTTCCCCGGGCGACTCATGTTCCTCCCGCGAGCTACTAGACGATGTACCGGAGCTCGGTTCCGCGTCACGTTCGGTAGTTCCATCCTTTCCGTACTGATTTGGCCACTTGTTGTTGTCGGTCTCGCCTAGCACGATGTTGATCTCCCGTTTGCTTACACCGCGCTCTTCGAGGTCGTTGTCAATGTCCCGACGAGCTTCGCTCATAGTACGGGAACGCTCGCGTGTCCGCCGAACGTGGCGTGCCTCGGCGGCGACGTGCTGGAACCGCTTCTCGAACCAGTAGAGGCGGACGAAGACGACAAAGGTGTTGATGATGATGGGGTTACACACGCTGGCGACGAACATGAGCGTAAGCTGCTGAGAGAGGTATAGCTTGTTCACGTCGATAGTGTTGAGCCCGCTCTGCGTTGCTGCGCCGCTGCCGAAGAAAAGCGCATCGATGTAGGGCATGCCGCCGGGGCCGTAGATGATGACGGAGGCAAGAATGGACATGAAGATGATGTATATGTAGTGCAGGGTAATGAAGTTGAAGTGCGGTGTTCGCAGGTTCTTGAAATTGGGTTTGGATATCCCGCCCTTTTCAAATTTGGGGAGGCTCGGCCTGAGCCATCGCCAGACCTCGACCCATGGGCCAAACATGACTGTAGGATAGAGCTGGGAAGCTGTGTGACGAAGTGGAGGTTGCGCTTAGGAGGTGGAGGGAGAAAAGCCGAGGTGGATCGCTCGCTGATAACGCGGTTTCGCGACAGGCGACGGTGCGATTTGACAGTATCTGGCCAGCGAGCCTAGAGGCCTAATGTCTGAGCTGAACTGAGCACTTGCTGCGAGCAGCAGCCTGCTCTTATGAGAGCGACATGGCCCGGAGCGCGTGAAGTCGGAGCTGAGATGCGGTGGTGAGGAAGTTCGGGTAGTCCGACGGAGAAAGACGGTATGCGCGCTGCAGTCAGCGGTGGCTGCGCAGCCGGAGAGCTGTGTTGTAGGTCTACTGAGGAGGGAGTGAGCACCCGGGTTGTAGGTGTAGCGGTATCAGTGGAGACAAAGGATGGTGTTGTGGCTGTGCAATAATCAAAGGATCTTGGATGTCGAGCAGGGTCATCGAGGTGCTGGCCTGAAGCTGGCCCGGGCAGGCCGTGGAACGCGCCCAGGAAACAGCTCGCTGGCATTCCCGCAGCCGCAGCCGCCCACGTGCCCGGAATCCATTCGGCCTGGGTGCAAGGGTGCGTGAGCAGCGGATAAGAAATCCTCCGCCAGAACAGTCTTCTATCTCTGAACTGTGTCCCGGTTGTCCACACGCGATACCTGTTCGCGGATGCTCTCAATGCGGCAACGAGCCTTTCGGATAGCCCTGGGTGGCGCGGAAGGTTGTATAACGACGCTTAAGGGATCACGCGAGCTCGAGAGGCCGAGTTGGATCCGTCCTCTCTGAGCTGACTTCAGACGCAATAGATTCAGATAGGCAGGTAGCTATGCAGGTAGCTGTGCAGGCCGTCCCGGCGAACCAACTTACGACAACGCAACGAGAGGTAATGATAGAGTACACGATAAAAGCATCTAACGCAAAGAAATCCGGTCGTGTACAGAGCTATACAAGTAGTTTTGCGCTGGTCGATGCAAGGTGCCATTCGCGCTACCAGGCTTCCAAATTAGATTCCCCACTCCCTTTTCACTTCTTCCATCTCCTCTATCCTCGCTATTCTGATTGTGCGAAACGCTTCTACAGGACCGTGGCAGTGCCGTTGATGGCAGGCGATTGCGCGCCCGAGTTTGCGCCGGAGTTGCCGCCTGAGCCGTTGCCCTTCTTCCTGAGGGTAAGTGGGAACGCGTAATCCTCTGGCTCTTCCTCCTCGCTATTGAGCTGGTCAGTGAACGTGTTCAAGCCGACTACGGAAAGAGTAATGAACTTACGGCAGCTTCCACGCGATGTAATCCTCAGTGCTGAGGCCCTCGTGGATCTCCTGAAGCGATGCAAAGTCACCAGGGGTCATCGTGCCGGAGCGTTCCCTGGGAGATCCAGGCTCAGACAGCGGCCGTGAGATCTTGACGTCGACTGAGCCGAAGAAATCGGGCTCCTCTTCGTCACCTTCGAACGAGTTCGGATACGCTGCGAGAGACGTTAGCTGTAGTAATTGTGCAAAGTGTCGACCACTGCTTACCTCTCCGGAGAGCAAGTTGGCGCGCCTTGATGTATTCCATGCCCATCCTCTTCCAGTCAAGCAGATCGCTCAGCCTCTCAGTTCGGTTGCGCTGGTTGATGCGCTGCCTCTTGCTTTTCTTGGTGAAGTCGAACATGTACTCCGCAAGCTGGTTCACCGAGTCATCTATACCCTTCATCCGTCTATCCACGATGTAAATGCCATAATCTTGCGCGTTCTCAATCAGCTCCTCCATGTAGCAGCCGAAACCCGATAGGTTTGTAGTGATGCTTGGAACACCCATGACGGTGCACTCGGCCGGTGTGTAACCCCACGGCTCGTAGTAAGAAGCGAACACGCCCATATGGCTGCCACGAACGAAGTCGTCATAGTCGATTGGGAAGACAGGGTTGGCGGAGTTGAGGAATTCGGGGTGGAAGACAATCTTAACCCGGTCCGAGGGATGGTTGAAAAGTTGGCAACGCCGGATTTGGTTCAGGACCGGGTCGTTCGCGTCGTCGACCATGTTGTGGGTCACAATCGGCGGGAGATTGGTCCTCTTCATAGCGAACAACCGTCGACGTAGCATGATCTTGTCTTGGGCAGTGAACACGTCCTTCTCTTCCGGTAGCGGATCGCCCTCTCGCCAGGTGATAGCGCGCTCGAACAGCTTCTTGCCGATATTGTTTTCTATCTGTGAGACAGTGTCGTGCAGGGACTTGATGACTGCCTGTCCCTTGAGTGCCTCGACGGTCAACGAGGTTGTCTGCGCCGGCAAGATGATGAAGGCAACGACGGTCATGTTGGATCCAGAGCTCTTCATGCGGTGGTTGAGACGTGCCAGGGACTCGATGAACATGTCGACGCCTTTGTTGCGGTACTCGTATCTGCCCGCGGTGAAGAAGAAAAGAGTGTTGTCGGGATCGAAGTCATTGGCTCCGTAGAAGTGCCCGCGAACAAAGTCCATAATCTTTGTCTTGGCCAGTTGGTGCAGGTTCTGGAACTCATGCGTGGCGGCAAACTTCTTGACGTTGAGACCGTTTGGCAGAACACCGTCGGGCTTTCGCTTAAGGAGATGTTCGCTCTCGTAAGCCGTAATGTGAGATACAGTGGTGAAGACGTCCGCGGCATGGGCAGCTGCTCGCTCGATGCAGTATCTGTGGTAGATGCCACGCTTCCCAGCCTCCGCGTCCACATCAAAGTATTGCAGGTTATTGTAAAAATCGACGGATCCAGCGCACAGGTATCGGCCCAACAGCGTTGCATGTGTCGTGAAGATGGTCGTAACGTCAATGCGCCTCTTCTTGCAGAGAGGGAGTGCCACACCAGCGAGCCATTCGTGGAACTGCGCAACTACCGCCCGCGTCTTTTCATGGTAAACGTACTGAGAACAGTCAGTCTTGAGCGTGTGGCAATGCATCGGTGCTTTCGCTCATACCTCGCCTAAGAACCAAGCAATCAGATATCCGAAGACGATAGCTTCATTTGTCTCGTCGTCGCCCGGGGGGGAAGGGATGCCAGAGGTGGCCCAAAGGTCGCCTTTCCACTCGTCGAGATAGCCGTAAGCTGTCTTGGTATCGAAAAGTAGCACTCTCGGAGCGCCATCGATCAGCCATCGGCCATACATTGTCTTGATGCCTCGGTCGTTCATGGCTTTGATCGTGTCAACGAGAGCCGGGTCCTTTGGCACAATCTCTTCGACTTCGACCGATGCCTGGCGAGTTGATCAGACGCTGCTTAACAACACGGCCGTTCTCGGATGATGCCTACCGAAGTACGGTTGAGAGGTCCGAGCAAGGTGTATCGAGGCCCATACTCTACAGTCGTGACCTGCGCTTTCGACTTCAACACCGAGTAGATACCGCCGACTGCCTGATGTTAGTATGTGCGACCAGCCGAGGGATACGACTTGACCTCGTACCTCGATTGGCGACCTCAGTCGCGATCTCGAACAGCACATGGTTCTTGACGTCGCGCACCGGTGCTCCGTCCATCGCGACTGGTCTGGAATCGATGGCTGCTGTGGTGATGCTTGTCGAAGACTGAGCAGAGGCCGTTCGACGCCTGCCTATGGGAGTTTTCTACGCAGGGGGCCGAGTGGCAGCTGTATGAAGGTCAGCGCCGCTTCGAGTCCTCCCCACGTCTTTGAGGCTGAGACAGTGGCCGGTGCGGGAATGCAGTACCTCTTATGCTTTCGGCTCTTTCAAAGTGCGAAAGCTCAATCAAAGGGAAAAAACCTACAGTGGGCCAGCTGCAAAGGTAGCGAAGCAAGAATTGAACCACGGTGAGGAGCAGGTGAAGCAATTGAAGAACGGGAAGCAGAGCTGTGGGGAGAGGTTGGGAGAGCTCAGGTGCCGCGCTAGCGTCACTGGCGGTTCGCAGGGCAAAGGCCGGGGTGCAAATTTGACATCACACAGGTATGGAACGGCGAGGATCTCGCAGCTATCAGCTACCTAGGTACCTACTTGACACTCATGTCTCCATCTATCACAGTGCACAGAAGCAGCAGTCGAGCAACTCGTGTCTAAGGCGTCTGGCTGCGTACTGCAGAGCTCGAAATGCTCCCATTGAAGCTCCGTTGGCTCCTATCCACAGTTGCGTACCCCAACGAGCATCTTCCCTGCCGAGCTAGCGGGACAAAACCTCTGGGCCGAGAGCGACATGCCCAAGGGACCCGAGCTCTGCGAACCGTGTCCAGTCCTCCACCAACATCCGCCCTCAAGGAGCTCCTTCAATCGTGCCCTCGCGTTTAACCGAGTCACCTTGCGTCATCGTCGCTCGAGGATTGGCATTGGATGCCTTGCCTGAGTGCGGGGTGCTGCAGGTGACGGGTTTCGGCCTGTGGGAGCTCTGATCGCGCAGAATGACCCTACGAGCGTGAAAAGAAACTCCCGCCGCGCCTGCATCGAATCCGCCTTGGCCGGCCAATAATGGAGTGCCATGGACGACGAAGAGCCGTTTCCGACCGCGGCCAATCGAACGGAGCTCTTGGCTCAGCCGGAGGATCGCTCCGGACACTCTGGCAGCGAAGGATCGAGACATCATTCTCTAACTGCCTCCGAATACCAGGCGAGCTGTTGCCTCTTTGATCACTATACGTAAAGCGAGGCTCTGGGGCTGCTTCGCAAAGCTAAGTAATAGACGATGGCGGAACGTGGATTCGGAACTACTTGTATCTGCGGCGCAGATGGGCGGTCGTAGAATGCTCCGTATCCCTTTCATCACAGTCGTTCCTTTCAGTCATATTAATCTACTTTCGACGGCCTTCTCCGTTGTGATAGTAATGCTTGTATGTCACTCAACGTTTCAACCTCAAGCACCCCCTCTAACATTCGGAGAACATCAGCGAATCGAAATACTGTACCCCAAACTCGACTTTCATTCTTTCTATTCTCACCTATCTACATCCTATTTCAGGTTTAACATAAAAGAGAAACTTCCCTGGAAAGTGGTCCAGCCACTTGTCTGAACAAAGAAAAGCACACTCTGCAACGCCAAACCTATTTTTGGTGCGTAAACGCTTGATGAACGCTGTTAAAGCATTGGAATCCAAGAACGCATAGAATCAAACGGCGAAGGCTAGAAAGATGATGCGATCAGACGACGAGAGCATCCGTACGAACCAAAGGTCGGCTTCATGCGCCAACAGGCGTCTAGTGGAGGCGGTGGGCCTACCGACAGCAGTTCAATTTACTCATCGTAACGAGCTTCATCGTCCGAATCATCGTCGAAGGCGGAGCCCAAACCCGCTGCGCTGAAGTAATTTGGTAACGCGATTGTAAGACTGGTAGATCCTGCACTGTCTCTACTTGCTAGGCTGAAAGCGCCAGAGAGCAGCGAGACCCTCTGGGCCGGCCTTAAGGGAATCGCAATTCTGGAAAACGCCCGCTATACCGGAGGCCGGAACTGTTCGACATGGCCCGCGTTTGTTACTCCCGAAAAACCTGAAAAGGGATCCTTGGATGCATCTTCATTTTCGGTGTTGGCGGTGTTGGACCTATCGCCTTCGTATATCCTGAGCAAAGCTTGAACCGCAGGACCACGTCGGCGAGCGACCGGAGCTCGCAATACTGGTGCCGGAGGCGAGTGATCTTCGAGCGGCTCGGCAGGTTCTCCAGCTGTGGCAGCGGCGGAGTCTGCGAATGGATTGGGAGCATTCATCTGCTTGTTGCCTTCGACCCGTGATACGATGGAGTAGGCGTCATCATCCGAATCTTCATCGTCAGAGTCATCCAAGAAGCTTGGTCCGTACAAGAAGTCTATGGATTTGCGCCTGTCCCAGTATTCTGGCTCCGGTGACGGCGTGGGTTGAGGAAGGCTATCGTCAACCAAGCCCTTCTGTGTGTATCGAAGTCCTGGACTAACCGGAGGAGTGGGATCAAGTGAAGGCGTCGGTGACAGTGCACAGAGGCCATCAAGGAAGGTTTCGATATCCCTGAACGATCGGCAATCGAACGGGGTGCTCTCGCCAGAAGAAGTGACAGACCCGCTGTCATTTTGCGCCGGTACCTCGTTAGCTTCCCTGCATCCAACACTTGCCGTGCATTGGTCAGACTGCTGCGGCTCGTACACCTCGTCGGCGGTTCCGATGAAGGTTGTCGATGAGCCGTTCTTAGAACTATTCGCGAAGCTTTCAGGATTCCGGAACACTAGAGCAGCAGCTCGCTTTCTCCAGGAGTCCCAGTACGCCTGCGCGCGGGTTAGTCGTTCTACCGAGCTCTCATTGTCGGACTCATGCTCATGCTCATCTTCATCTTCATCTTCATCTTCATCTTCATCTTCATCTTCATCTTCATCTTCATCTTCATCTTCATCATCATCTTCATCTTCATCCTCGTCTTCGTCCGAGCTGGAGCTGGAACTGGAGTGAGCAAGCTCCGCTTGCTGAAGCTCTCTCCATTCGTCCCTCAGCGCCTGCTGTGGGATCGGCTTCACCTCCACGGTACTACAGCTAGACTTGGCTCCCATCCAGCTCATACCAATACTGGAGAAGTCTAGGGAGGCCAGCTCAATCCGAGGATAAGGAGTGGGGCCCCTGAGGAAAGCCTGACGCACTGGTGGTAATAGATCAGGATCACACCCGGGACAACTACAATACGGGTCATCAACGTCACCCATATAGATTCCAGGGTCTCGTCCCTTGACGATACCGTCGTCCTGGAGTATCTCCGCGACGATGAGCCTACTGTCGCCATTCAGACGGTTGCCCGTCGGCCAGCGAGGGGCAGCCAGGGCAAGGCACCCATGCGGCATATCCACGATTCCGAGAATCGATTCCAGTGTGGGCTGAAGCCACGGATCAGTAGGTTTACTGGATGGGGCTGGCGTTTTCCAATCCTCTGGTTCGGCGTCCTGCCAGTCTGGCCGTGGACCTACCTGCTTCTCCACCTCGGCAGGTCGCAGAAATGGCGTCATCACGGCTTCCGTGGAGCGTTCGACCTGCGCAATGCTCTCGGGCAGGACTTCGAGGTCATCAAATTCAAGGTCGCGCTGCAGTTCGACAGCCGCGCGACTATCCGATATCAGTATGTCATGGTGGTGGATGGGAAGTTGTGGCTCCATACTGCCAACCGTACCGGCGGCTTGCGATTTGTTGACTTTGGTGGAGATACGGTGAAAAGTAGAGATAGCCTTGTCAACTTTCCGCGAGATGCGGGCCTTGGTTTTAATCTTCAGCTTGCGGAAGAACCCCTCTCTGCTCGTTGCTGGCTCAGCGCCGCTCGATGAGACCGGCTCATTCGTTCGACGGAAGAGCTTCGTCATGGTCAGTGAGTTGTTGATTGGTTTGAGGAATGGTACCCGTCGCGCTAATGTGTATAAGTTGGATTTGAAAGATTGAAATGCTTGATAGACCGGCTACCGATGCAAATACAGAGCAGTGCGACGAGAGAGCAACATTTCCCGAGATGGCATCGGAGCGCTAATATATCGAAGGTCTTCGAAGAGAAGTTAGAACTGTGAAAATACAATGTTCCATTGTGGGAGATCGGGACAAAGGGAAAGAGTTCGCGAGGGTCGCTGTATGGGCCGGGATAAGAAAGAGACAAAGAACGCTTTGACCGGGCTCGAGGCCATGGAAGTTCGAACAGTGCTTTTGCAGCCGATGACGAAAGCTGAACGCAGCTGTGGGATGGTGCTGCTCTGGCGGCCGCGCTTGCATTGTGAGAGCTGGACTGGTGAGAGCATGGTACTGTTATTTTTCGGTGACGCGCAATTGATTTCACAAGAGCATGGTGGGCACGCAGGATTATTCGCCGGAAACTGTCGGAAGCGACCAGTCGCTATGGACTACTTGGAACTACACTTTGCTGAAACCGCCCCCCCAGCGCCAGGGAGGGGCGAGAAACCACCCGCGATGGACTGGGCCGCGCAACCTTTATACGATATAGACAACGTGATCACGATCGAGCACATGCCAGTTAAGTTCACCCTGCTCGGCTGCCGGCAGATCTACCAGATCATCCGAGCGAAGAATCTCAACCTGATTGCAGCCGCCCACACCACCGAAGGCTGGGCCGCCTCCTTAACGCAGAAGCTCGAACCCCAACCGTACGAGCCCCTAGGCATCGCAGCCAAAATCCTCTATACTGATGACGATGGAGTCGTCAGTCCGCGCTACCTAGTCTATCAGGAATGCCACGTCCTCTGGGGAGCCGAAGTAGCCTAGACGGCAAGTTCCAACCGATTAAGTATATAGTTGTACTTACCCTCAGCCAGCACCCTTCAATGCAAGCTGCTTGGCTCTCTTTTACGACTTAAATACCTCCATGCCTCCTCGTCTTCTTCCGATTCATCCAGTATCCTCTCATCCATCAGTCTCGAATACAACACCACCGCTGCGCAATACCGTCTTCCAACACGATGCCAGCCACCATGCACCGAGCACCTAACTCTCTTCGATAGCGCTCATCAGTGAGAGTCAACAACTGCAACAATACACGGAGGATCTTTCACTAACAGCTTGACGCCAGACTTGATGGCGTTCCTCGGTTGATACCTTAAGGCAAGTAAACCATCCCGCTCCTCTACTCAGACATACGCAGACAACTGACTTTCTTCAGCTTCCGCACCGTCATCACCGGTACTGCTACCTCTACACTACTTTTGTCTCATCGGCCTCTGGCCCGTCCTCAAGCCGTTTCCCATCGAGCAGCACCTTCGACCATATCCGACTACCCCAACATGGGCTATCGGCGCATTTCAGCACGCTCAACACCGTTGCGCGCTGGAGTACTGGAACACCACTCTCCATTCTGAACACAAGTATATGCAGCAGAAGAAGTATCCTCTCTATAAACCGCTGGCTTATCCATTGCACACCCAGTGGCACGAGACAATGATTCTCACCACTTCGATCACCCCGTTTCTCAGTCCGCTGGGTGAGCTTCGCAAACTTCAATATTACTCGACCAGAACCTGACTCTTGAGACAATGCAGCTCTACAAATCGACTATCTCGTCGTGATATGCACGCCACTCCGGGATAACTTGAACGAGCTTCAACGCGTCTCTCAACGACACCAGGGAGTGATCGGCAGCAAGCTCCTCTACGGCTATCCATACTGTACCACCCAACCGCACGAGCGGCTATCTCTTCCCGACGGCTGCAGTGCCTTGCCCTTGACCGACTCCTAGATGACCCACTCCTAGGAATCATCTTTTCGGTTCCAAGCTTCACAAGCAACCACGCAATTCCGACTGCCGAAATCGAGGCTACTCTGATGGCTTCCGACTACACACTTGAATTCTTGGACGTCCCGGATTGCTTCACGGCGCACAAAGCGAGGATTGAACATTCCTGACAGACATCGTTTCGGGGTTCCAGATTCACAACCTGCGCCGCGCCTGACGTGGAGGACGGATGATCGTCTAGGGGTAGCTTGCGCATGCTGGACATCCTGACCAAGATTACTTGGCCTCTCGGAGCGCCGCGACATCGTCCTTGAGTGGTATATCTCCTCGCGCCTTGGCAAGTGGTGGTGGCCGGCTTTGACGTCGCCCCCTCCGTCCCAGGTCGGACACTGACCACGATGAGATATCGGAACCCGATTAGCAAGATTGCGTCCCCCTCGCCACCCTGGCGTTCCCCCCGGTAAGCTCAATCTGTCCTTTAGGGTGAACTACTGACCATCTGCTCATATCGATTGGTAGGCCGGTCTGGTCTACGGAGCTTTCTCTGTCGTAAGAGGCGTCTGCCGTAAGGCGCGTTCTTCAACGCGGGGTCGATCGCGAAGGTCGGGCCGGAACGGTGACACTGGGCCCTCGGACATAGAGGCCGTCGAGACTGTGTCATTCGGGGCTAGGGCAGAGGTCCGGAGGTGAGCTCTGGTTCGGTGGAGGCGCCCAAGCGGCCTACCGAAGCAGCTCCTGCCGCTCTTCGTCGATCGGATCGGTGTGCCTCGGGCCGCTACCGGTGATCCAGGACACGCGGCACCCCGGACAACTCTTTAACGGCACCGCATTCACACCCTCTTCTTTCATCATCATCAAGAACAACCTCTTCTTCAACCATCATCATCATTATCATCATCATCATCACCACCACAATTCTTCATAAAATTGTCAATACCTCCACCATGTCTTTTCTCGGATATATCAACAAGAAAAGCCAGCGAGCCCACAGGGTCGCAATTGTAGGTAGGCCTCATAGCCGTCATTCCCAGATTTGGCTTGGCCTACTGGAGGTCCCTTGTTGCCTATGAGTGGGCCGAAGCAGAGGCACTCCTGTTTGGCGTGGGGTCCTACAACGACAGAGGGGGAGTAGAGTTAGGAGACGAAGACGCTGGGATCGGGAAAGGCAAGGCGGCATGAGGTCGAGCAAGAGTCCTTTCAGGCGAGGAGTGCTTAGAATGTATCACGTCAAGGATGGACTTTCAATGTGTAGGTATTGACTCGGCACTATGCTATGTATCCGGGGATGTTTTGGTACTCTCTTGTAATTATTCATCGTACCTCGCCTCATGTACCTCGTCTCATACCATAGAAGTGCAGTTCTTGCTCCACCGTCGCCGACCACGCATCTGCCTGGCCACGCAGAGCTCACAAATGCTGCATTATGGCTCTAGAACGGATTCTGTTCTCATTACGACGTAAGCAATCAGAGACGTGAGCAATCAAAGCGCCGCTTTTCTTTATCTAAAGGATACTTCGCCAGTACACCAAAACTTCATTATGTAGCAAACCCTGAGCAGAACCCAACAATGAACAGCAGAAGCGCTAATGCAAAATCCCTCCTAGGTGGCCCGTGCTACATGTTCCGGCAGCTGAACGTCACATAGAATATACAGCCACCATTGCACCATGTCTGCATCAACAAGCCGGATGCCCAAGTTCCAAAGCCAATCCCATCCATCCATAATCTTTCTCATACTGATCTTATACAGTTTCTTGCTATTCCTTTCGTCGGCTACCGGCGAGCCACCTCCATGTCCTTGACTGCCTCACCCTTGCGGATCCCGGTTCCATGTCCGCGAACCCACTTGGCGACGGCGTGATTCTTGCTCATTTTGTGAGCAATGCGGATGGTCTTCCCAGGTTGGAAGACATGCCCTTTGTACGCCATAGGCTTGCGAAGGAGCCGACCCAGGCGGGACTTCTCATCCGCGTCGGTTCTGGCTTTGACGGAGCGGCGAAGACCATCTGCAGAGATCACATCAGTCGGGGCGACGAAAAGAACAAGGGTTTGAAGCGTACCTGTATCGAGTGCGCTAGATCTATTGAGGGTTTGCGCGGTTTCTGCAAGCGACACATCGTTTTGATCATCGTCTGATTGCTGGTTTGTGATGCTCGTGGCAGCTCCAGGAGCAGCTGTTTGGGCCTCCTGGTAGAGTGTCAAGGCCATCGAGGTCTCTTTCAACGGAACCTTCCCAGCTGAGTGCGGATTGGTCGACTCGGTCGTCGTGTCGCAAAAGATGGCATTGGTGGAAGCATTCGTGCTTCCGTGGTTGATCTTGCACTTTAGGTCCGAGGCGCCGGTGGTAGCAACTGCAGCGGACGTGAGGAGCTTCTGGTGTGGTATCGTCTCGAAACGGGTTTTATCGAGCTGGCCACCGTTGAATACACCCTTGTCTACCGAAGCGGTAGTAAGATCGCGTACGTCCGTGTCGGCGGAGAGAGTCGTGTTTAGGGTTCTTGTGGTAGAGGCCGAAGTAGCTGTGGCGTCTGAGCTGGTCGATATGTTCGAGACTTTACGGATGTGAACCGTTTCGGAGCATGTAGTCGCGTCCACTGCGCTCATCCTGAAGGTCCAGACCGTAGCGGCTTCCGTATTCGTCACCATAGTTGAGGGTTTGCGGTCGTGACAGATGCCGCGCTTGTCGCTCCGGCTGTAATGCTTCTTGGGCTTTCCGGTAAGAAAGATATGGGATGGCATTGTACGACGTGCGATGTTTTATGATGTGTGATGTGCTTCGATGCGATGCTGAAAGAGTAAAGCTGTGTAGCGAGTAAAGCGATGGAGCGATGTTTGTGAAACGGTACAAAGTGCTGGCGGTGGTTGGATGAAAGAAAGAGAGCATCTGGACAGCAGTGGAAGGTAAACAAGGTCATTTGCGAGCTGTGAATGTTGACCATAAAAGTGACTGGTATGACACTCGGCTATTGGAAATTCACAAGGCCTTGCGAGAACGCACGAACCAAGCAAACAAAAATGCATATTCACAGACGGACTGTCCCATAGGAGAAGTAAGAGGGCTGTGGCGCTGCGGGCGGTACTCATGCAGTTTTGGCTCCCGCAGCGGATCGGAATCTCCCTCTGGCAAAGGCTTTGAGGTCTCCATACATCAAAAGCTGTAGGTATTAGACACTGTACAAGTTGCTTGAAGAATTATCTGTTAGAATCGCAGCGATTTCCGCTACAGGCTTCAGGAAAAATTGGGCGTGTAGTTGTGCTCGCAGCCACAACGCCAGCAGTAGATCACCGGTGTTGGCAGCCCCTAAGTACTTCGTACGCCCGAATGTTGTAATTGGATATAAAGCAACCTTCCAGACCATACGGATGGCGTTCAAACAGAAACTGGTCACCGGTTCTTGAGCATCATCTCAGGAGGCAGATAGGATGACACAGTGACCAACCTGGCGCGACGTTTCGCAATAAGACCATTGGAGTATTTCTGCGTTCATGAGAGATACCGGAACAAGCTGATGATGGCTCAAAACGTCAAGATGATTTGATGCAAGCGAGGAACATGGACGTACAGCACACTTAAATCAATCACGGCTTCCGGATTGAAAAATGAGTGGAAGGAGGAGACTGATGTAGCAACACGGAAGTATGGTCGAAGGTCTATCGCATTGCAGTAGTTGAACATAGAGCACTGCGGTGCTCTATTGCAAGGAGTCGCATGCTGGTTCTATCTCAGAACCTGCGCCATTCTAATGAAGCCACTTATGGAGCCTCGTATAGACACCCTTCGTGTTGGGCCGGAAGCTGCACAGAGAGTGCTTCTCTTGCTACGGACCCGTGCAAAACGATGCATACAGACCGGCTGGGAGCCGCGCTGAAAGGGCATCATCCGACGAGGCCTACGCAGCCCCGGAAGCGGACTCTATAACGCTGCACCGGCAAACATCGACAGATATCCCAGAGGAGTCACAGTCGATATCTTTCTTCATCATGGCAGAGCTGGTGCCCTGGAGAGATCACCAGGAGCAACGTTCAAGACGGACCAACGATGTTCCGAAGCCAAATGCTGGGCGCTTTCAATGCGCCTGTGCATCGCGGTCAGTTAATGGAAGAACTACAGCCGTACAATCGTTCGAGTTTGAGTGAAGCGCCGAGTCCGTGGAGATTGCACCAGTCTCGCGCTCAGATATGGGTGAGGGCGACATGATACGCGCAACCTATCGAGCTAGCAATTCCCGATGAAGCCTTCCTTTCCCATGCGTTCAGCAGCCCTCAGCAGCACTCCGTACGCTGTAGGATCATGTCATCACCCTCCCGGAGGACCGCTGATTCTACCGACTCGCCTTCACCTTCCCATCTGCCGCGCTCCCAGTTTCCCTTCCCCCAAAATGACTGGTCGAGAAGACCCAGTGCGAGCAGCAGGTACGACCCGGTGCGGAGACCGTCGACCGCAAGCTCTGTCAGCTCTATTGGAGGATCGCTTGATACATCGATGCAGGCGCATGGCAGAAATCGAGCGGTAGCGGAGACTGCGCAAAATGGTAGGCGTCTTCGCCGAGAAATTTGGGCTCTACTGACATCGACAAGCCATCTCCAGCCTACTTCTGCCTCCGATAACACGCACCGGCATGTTGCCGCAGACCTCTACCACCGCGCCGTCCTCTCATAGACCACCCTCTACCAAGGATATACCACCCGTTACTCTCACCAACATCCCTCATGTGGAGCCGTCGGCATTCAAACCTTATCTGACGCAGGTCGGTAGGTTGTTTGAGGCGTTCCAGCGAGCAAAGGATGAGTCGAACAACTGGCCGCCGCAGCTCTCTCGGAGGGATTCAGAGAGACCAAATCAGGAGGATGAGCGCCTTCAGCTCCTTGGAGCAGGGGTTCCGCATCAATCGTTGTCAGCACCACCTACTCCAAGGCTCGGCTCTCTCGCTGCGCTCCCTCCGCTCGAGTCTCCCGAGGGGAAACGGCGGCCCAATCCACGAACAGCCAGAAGAAATGTCTACGTCCCGACCCCTCTCACTACCATACCGCACATATTCTTTGAAGACCACTTCCACCTTGAGAATCCCCGTACGTTTGACGTTGTGAGCGAGCGTTCGGAGGTTGTGCGGCAAGAAGATATCAAGGGTGCCAACGGTTCAGTCAGTAGTCCGGGACCGAGCGGACGAAAAGCGCTTGCGACCAATGCCATCCTCCAGGAGAAGCTGTCCTGGTATATGGATACCGTCGAGGTGCATCTGATTTCCTCTATCTCAAGCGCATCCACGTCCTTTTTCGCCGCTCTTGGATCATTGAAGGAGCTACAATCGGAAGCCGCTGAATCGGTGGCTAGAATCAAAGAGCTACGGGAAGATCTACGGAATCTGGATCAGGAGATGGCCGTCGGTGGACTCAAGATCATAGGAATGAAGCGGCGAAGGCAGAACCTCAGGGCACTGGGTCAAGCTACAACACAAGTGCAAGAAGTTGTGGATGGAGCCACGCATTGCGAGGAGCTGGTTGACAGTGGCGAACTCGAGACTGCGTTAGAGCGTATGGATATCTTGGACAGTTTTGTTGGTGGTTCGCTGGACCCAGCACGATTTCAGCATGCGCCGTGGCTTTCAGAAGATACGCCACGAAGATTACTCGACCTTCGGACGCTAAAGGCTCTAGATGGCTTCTCGGACGGCATGAGGCAACTTAGATTCCGCATTGGCAAGGGCTTTGAGTTGCGGTTTCTGGAAGCACTACTTGCAGACTTGCGTCGCCACGTACAAAGTGTCTCCAATCAAGAGACGCTCAAGCGCTGGGCCTCAGCATCTCAAAGGTCTCGTGGTGATCACTCACAGTCGCCATCTGTGTTTCCATCTTACCTGAAGACCGACGATAAACTCCGGTCTGAGTTGTCAACAACTCTAAAAGGGCTGAGCAGGTCCAGCCATACTCGTCCCGCAGCAGCAGCCTTCCGAGAAGCCATCATGCGGGAGATGAAGAATGTGATTCGGCAACACTTGCCAAGCTCTAGCGAAGACGATGCCGAATCAGTATCGTCCGTTTCCACCAAAGCCAGCCGAGCACAGTCCCAGCAGGACAAGTCCGCGATTCTCGCACGCAATCTCCGAGCCTTGAGCACAGAGGACGCCGAGCGACTGCTTGTCCAGATGTACTCGAATGTTGGAGAGGCACTGCGCAGGCTAAGTACGCAAGTCAAGGTCCTGTTAGACGTCACAAGCGGCATCGGCCCGCCCTCTACCCCCGGCCTAAGGTCTCCGCTAAAGAGTCCCGATGCCACTAGTATCGATGGATACATGCAGCAAAAAATTACTACGCGGCCAAGATCGAGCAGCCAAGTGCAGCAGGAGCTGATGGAAGCACTGGACATGTCAAGTCTCTTAGGCCAAGCCGTGGACGTAGCCCAGAGTCAGATCACGAAGATTCTCAAGGTGCGGACCGAACAAACGGTGCGACTTCCGCTGCTGCACTTCCTTCGGTACTTCACGCTCAACCGCCTGTTCGCCGACGAGTGTGAAGCAGTGTCTGGTCGATCAGGGACCGCTTTGAAGAGTGTGGTCAACGGTCAAATTGCCGACTTCGTTTCTATTCTGGGCGACACTGAGAAGCAACGCCTTGCTCAAAGCATGGAGTCAGACCGCTGGGAAGCAAGAGACTTCAGTGATGCGGAGAACGTGCTGCTATCGAGGATCCTTGACAGTACGACGAAAGACCCATCCCCGTGGCTTCGCAAAGCAGCCGTGTGGGAGGATCCAGACGGCGACAAGCTGAACGGCGAGACTGCGGCCTCTGAAACGAACGGCGCCGCAAAGGAGAAGGCCCGCAGTGCCGTAATTGACGAAGAGAAGTACATTCTCGTTGACTCGGCAGTAGCAGCCCTCAAAGGCATCGAGCAATTCGAGAACCTGATCGCAGTGATACCCAGCATGGCGTCAGATGTCTCCACTGCACTGCTGGACTACCTAAAGCTCTTCAACTCTCGGACATACCAGCTTATCCTCGCCGCAGGCGCTACGAGGAGTGCAGGCCTGAAGAATATCAACACGAAGCATTTGGCACTGGCGTCTCAGGCTCTCGGCTTCATTGTAGCCATCATCCCATACATCCGCGAGTTTGTCCGCCGCCATTCACCCACGTCGGCGGCAGCCTTGGCAGAATTCGACAAGGTCAAGCGACTATACCAAGAGCATCAGTCCAATATTCATGAGAAGCTGAGCGACATCATGAAAGGACGAGCAGCTGCCCATATCAGCACCATGAGGAAAGTGGACTTTGATGGCGGGGCAGACGTCCAGGTCAGCCCGCATATGGAGACGCTCGTCAAGGAGACGAGCACGTTGCATCGCGTTATGAGCAAGCATCTGCCGGAGATGTCGGTGCGGATGATCATGACCTCGGTGTTTGAGAGTTATCGGGAGCAATGGAGTAAGGCGTTTCAGGAGGTGGAGGTCAGGACGCCTGCTGGCAAAGCTAGGTATGTGTTGACGTGTTACTGCGTCGATTCTGCCCGACCTCAAGACACTATGGCTGATCTATTTCCTTAGGCTACTTCGCGACGCAGAGTTTTTCGATGCGCGGCTCGGCAAGGTTGAAGGCGCGGGCAATATCGGAGCCTACCTCATCGATATCGTTAAGAACAAGAAGATTGCTGAAGCATCCGGTCTGCCGGCACCTGTGACGAACAACCAGTCGGACACGAAAGGCCGAACGTCTACTGATTCTTCTGCGTCGAGAGCGTGATTGTGTTACTCTATGTTCATCAGCGAGATCGTCTGTATAGTAAAGACAGTTTCTATACCGGCAGCGGGGAATGCATGGAAGGCGTTTGATGGTGATGGCTATGTTGAAGGCTGGCAGGCCACGGGCGAGGTCTGAAATAGATCATTTTAGCAACCGATTCCTTGAGCAGTTCCTTCGAACATTCCTTAGCAGCCAGGGTCTTAGTCGTATAGTAGTATTTGCTGCACTCTACCTTCTCAAGCGGCGCTTTACCGTCCTTGGCGAAGTAACCGCAATGTCTTACTGGGGAATCGCGATGTATTCGAGCGGCCGTGCGCGTCTTGGATTCCTTCTCAGAAACGGACCGAAGATGGTCTATTGCTATACTGGATTCGCGCAAATACCAAAATACCATGCGCTATTACTCCAAGGTTTTCAGCGACCTGGTCATCGTTTTCTTTTCGTATAACCTCCCGTTCAATCTGCCTTGGCGCTCGAATGATCCACGTGAAAAAATCTGCGCTAAAGATCTCGTGACGGCGTTCAGGCTAGCGCCCAGAAATCGGTGCAGATCACAAACCTAAACAGGACCTTTGAGTCAGAGCGAAGTCGCTGAAGAAAGTTTAGCGTACTTTTGTTCCAGACTTTGTCGACGTTGGAAAACGGTCGTGGTTATGCTAAGCTTTACCTAGCGCGCCAAGGGCGGGCCGTTCCACTCTGCATCAGCCAATCGTGGGCCGCATCTACCTTTCGCTTATCGTAATCTTTCTATGATTCGTCGGCTGTGGGAATTCATGAGTTTGGTACAACGTAGATCTTTTCGCTGTTTGGACTCGATTGAGCTTTCGATGTTTGGTACAGATTCGATAGATTCTGCGATTCTGCACTCAAGAGTTTTTCGCTGAGTTGATGCGAGCCCCGCGCAGCGTGGTGCCGCGCAGCATAAGTGTCGGCTTCCCTCCTCCCACTTTCTTCACTTTTGTCCAGACGCTCAGTATCATCAAACTCAAGCTGAACAAGAATATTATCATCAAAAAAGCAATCATCATCGTAAACACTTTCACACTATTATAATCATCCTCATCATCATCAAACACTATCAAAACCGAATCAAAATCATTATCACCAACACTAAAATCATCATCAACATGTCGGCAATCACCACTATCAATAACATCACTACCCTCACCACCGAAAATCTCATGGCGCACGACGCCGCAATTATCATGTCGGCTATAAACAACGACACCACCGACACAATGTCGGAAATCACCGTACATCGCGTGCTGGGGCGGGGCCCGAGAACCTATTTGTTGCAACACCTCACCGCACAAGAGGCCATGGAGGCCATCAGCTTTGCCTTGCCGATAGTGGACCGCGAGATGGCCGGATCAACCAATGCCGAACGTCGTCAGTTTCTCCGGCGCGGGCAGCGCATCATGCTCACATACCTGGAGCGCGCAGGCGACCCCGACCAAGACTACGCCAACATTCCGGAGATGCGTGAGACTCTCGCGGGGTGGCACGCGGAGTGGCGCTGGGGGCCGCTGATGGTGTATGGGTACACCGCCGCAGATGTCGCGCGCTCGCGTGCGAGCTCCGACACGGATTACGATGCGCTTCCGGAGATGGATTGGGAGCAGCACTATGCAGCTGAGGCGGTGGCCGCGCACGCGGTGGATACTTGGAAGGAGGCCCTTGAGGCATACAAAGCCATACCGGTACCGGATAGCTACGATCCTGAGGGCAGTGTCGGGAGCACGGAGACGGATGAGATGGAGAACTTGTTTGATGCCTAGCCTCCACCAGGAGGCTGGAGTCTCCATACTCATGGCGCGTCTTGTTTTCTTTTGTAATTCTTGTTTGGGTCTGTTTTCCGGCGTTTGGTGGCGATTGCCGTAGTTGTCTGATTTGGTGCTGCGTTTTACCTCCTGTACTTGTTGAGTCATGTTTTCTTTTGTAGGGTTGGATTGGATTTATTTTCAAGCGTTCGGTGCGGGGTTTCTGGGATTTGGTTTCTTGCTTTTTCGGTGTTTCAGGCGTTTGGTGGTGGTTTCCTTTGTTTGGGCTTTGTTGCTTGGTAGCTAGTTAATACAGATTGCATGACCACCAACAACTGCATCGTGAACTGGAAGACTCTGTGTCGTGACTTCAGCTTCGCATCCAGCCTGCCCCATCATACGTCGGCAAGTTTAAACCTTTCAGCTACTGTATAGGACCTCCTCGTCAACTTTCCTTCTCGGTTCTGTGTCCTCAGCATTGGCTGATCGACTAATAACGTCGTCTAGGGGGTTTTGCCCGGCACTGAGTTCTGCACGATCTACTCTCCCTTATCTCAGTTAGCGACTCAGACTTTTGTAGGGGTGGCCTTAGTATTAGCACGAGCCTGTGGTGGTGTATAGAGTCACTCCTGCCGTCTAAGAGCCACTAGTGCACAGTTATTAGAGACTTAATTTAAGGTGAGAAACTAACACTTCCCTTATATTTCTCTAAATTTTGGAATTTTTTTATAAAAACTTAGAGGACGCTTTATGTTAAGTATATAAAGCGTTCCCTAAGTTTTCATAAAAAAATTCTAAAATTTAGAGAAATACGAGGGAAGTATTACTTTCTTAAACTTATAAGTCGAGCTGCTTTTACTAAGACTATTTATACTAAACTTAAAAACTCTCTTACTATAGAAGTAGTTATCCTAGAGAAAGCTAAGAACGTAAGCTTTAATTATTATATATATCTCTATCATCTCTACAATTAAATTTTTTATAGTAAGATTACTTAAAAAGCTAGCGATATAATTTTTCTTAGTATTTACGAGTCGAGCCTTATATAAACTCGCACTAGAAGCCCTTAGACAGCAAATAAGACAAAATCTAGAGGGAGGAGTTTAATTAGTAGGTGGGGTAGAGCTTAGCCATAGAACTCTTATCTTATTTGCCGTCTGAGCCGCAAGCTGAAATAAACTCTCCCGGCCGAATAGTAACTGAATCACGTGCCGCAGCCCGTGCTTCATCACCAAACTGTATCCGAGCTTGCTGAAAAGGCGCAAGGTAACAATACAAGCGCGCATTGCAATACTAATATATAGGCCTTAGTTTAGAGCTATATTAGTGGTAGTTAATTAAAAGATTATCCAGAACCGAGCTAGCTGAGTTTGGTAATAGAGCACAGGCTACAGCACGTGATTCAGTTACTTTTTGGCCGGGAGAGTAGACTCTTTAATTATCCGCGCTGGTCACGTTCTTACCCAGACCAGGCGTTCGAAGCGCTTTGCTCGATATGCTAAGACGCTAGCCCTATCACGTTAGATTGTGCAAACCCCAGTACCGTGCAAAACCCCCTGGACAACGTTACCATGGTACGACGGACCATAGCTGCTTCCAAAATCAAAAGACAGGTGCCCTGCTGTCGGACGGCGGGGGTACAATATATATTGAACTGGCAAGAAACGGACTCATGTTCACACAGAATCCATATTCAGCATGGTTCTTCAAATTCTGAAGGGGGCCTACAGGCGCGTTACTTCAAGACTTGGGGATTGGAGGCAAGAGGGTAGCGGAGAAAGGAAACGCATCAGCAACACAAACTCGCCGCTTCTGAACTCACCAGTGGAAGTCGTACTCCTCATAGCCGAACGATTGACTCCTACCGGAAGACTTTTTCTTTCACAAAGCTGTAGCGACTTACGAGCAATTCTTGGACCATTATCTCCATCCGCCGTTCAAGAAGCCTTGGACACGAACCGCAGCGAATTCCTTACAATCGCACACAAGATACTGCCCCATCACCGGTATTGCGACCGCTGCAAGAAACTCCATGCAGTAAACAGATTCGATGTCCCTGAACGGCACCAGCAAGATCGGAAATGTCCTTGCAGCAAAGAACACCTGAGGCGCTACTTCGGCTACCGGTTGGCGCGCCGTCACGTGCAACTTGCGATGAAATACCACGCCTTGGGAAAGCCATGTGCAACCCGCTTGGAGGCGCTGATGAGAGGATATAAAGTGCGGGGTCTTGGACCGCTGAATGATGCAGCTATCTACACTTTTAAGCCCAAGATCTCCCAGGGAAGATTTCTCCTCATGTCGCGTTACGAGCTCAAACTCCCCACCCGCGGAAAGGACCGTTCCCTCAGCAGAAAATGGTTCCGCACAATCCGCATCTGTCCGCATCTCATGATGCGCTACGAGCAGGAGGTGTGGTTCTGGACAAATAACATATATCCTGGGGCCATCGAATGTATCTACAATGCAAGGGACCCCACAGTTCTGGTAACCCAATCCTCTCTGAAGTCCCAATCTGCCTCGTGCGAATACTGCCCTACGGATTACAACGTGATGGCCTCGCGTTCTGAGGTAATCATCACGACTTGGCAGGATATGGGGACGGGTTCAGTTGGCGAGGATCGCGCCTGGGATTCCCATGTTTCAAGCCTTTGTCAGGGTGAAATGCGTACTACTAAGTACCCTTTTCTACCCGGCAATGTGCGGAGGAGCTACGAAGCATTGAGTTGGAAGTAGTTGATATCTGGGAACAGCTAGCAGCTACGAACCAACGTCGACGAGCTTTTTTCGTTTTCCAGATTTCAAGTTTCAGCTTCATTTTGTGATCAGATACCCTACTAGTCATATTACTTATCACTTCAACGATGGATGTATCAAGATTATAGAGACAGAGGAAAGACTGTGTTGTTTCTTACAAGACACAAGGCGCGAGGCACAACATGACAATGAGTTCCCAATTATGTCCACGGCAACATGACCATTCTGATAGACTGTTGAAGATACCCACCGCCAAAGACAGTAAAGACATGACAAATTTGCCATCACGATCGAGTGCCAGAAGCAACCACAAGAGAAAACAGAGATAGGAAGACACAAACACAAGTACGACAATAATCGTTGAGAACAAAAGTACGTCCTTCTCGCCCGTCATATTGTCCAGAAGCGGAGGGCTCAGAAGGCGGCGAGAAGGGACACCGAGGCGGTAAGTCAATGAAGCAACCCTCAGTTCTCACCACATTTCCGTGTATTGCCATCTACTAACACTCACCACAGTACGGAAGTCTGTGTTAACGAGGTAGACCCGGAGCCCAGTTGGGTGGTTGACTTCGAAACCACCATCACCGGCGGTGCCATTATCGACACCACAATGGGCTTGGGCCACCGAGCTACGTGAGGCCCGATTTCATTCGGCCAATGGGTGTGCCGGCACCAAAAACGATTCAAAGAATGAAAACCCCAAGAAAACCCCCCCAGCAATTCACTCGCGGCTCTCTGGCCGCCGGCAAGCATCAGCGAGAGGACCCAGCGACTCTCATTTTCCCAGTCGTCCGCCTGCGCTACCGGTGTGGAACTGTCAATGAAGCCCAGCAACTCACCTCCAGCCCTCCGTCTTCCGCTACGAGCAATGACAGCATCTGGCTTTCCGTCCTCTGCTACTAGCACGGACGTTCGGGAAACTCAGCAACTCACTGTCCAGCTCTGCATCTTCCTCCACAAGCAGGCACAGCAACTTATCTGCTGGCCGCCCGCTTTCTGCCGACCTGCACGAACAAGCCAGAGAATGCCAGCGGCTCACTTTTTGACTCTCAATCTTCCGTCAGAAGCAGGGGAAACAACGGATCTGCCGACCGTCCGTCTTTTATCTACCAGCCTGAACGAGCCAAAGGAACCCAAGAGCTCCCGTTCTGGCTGCCCGTCTCACACCACGAGCGGGGACCAACGAAGGAAACCTTCGCAAGTCATCTTTGACTGTGTATTCGCCGCGACCAGGAGAACAAGGAAAGAAAATCAGCAACTCACCTTGGCTATCCACTGTTGACTGCCACCGGCATTCCAGGAGGGAAACTCAGCAGCCCATGCTGAGCCGCGTTTCAGGACGACCTTTGTTTTTCTTCACATCTCACCTCCTTTAGCTCCCGCAGCCACCGAGTCCGAGGTCCAAATAAGCAAAGGAATCGGCTCGCTCGACAGAAACTCTTAATCACACCCATGATAGGATGTGTGCTGCCCTTAGGCACTGTCCTGTTTTTCTAGGATTCTCAAACACTACCGGTAAGCTATTTCCGCTCTGCCGCTCAGCTTATCTGTCTTCTGACCATCTGGCTCGTTCTCATCCAGAACCTCCATTACTCGGTTGCTCTTCTCGCTACCGATTCTGCCATTTCTCGCGACAGCGGATTCGCCGACGCAACGCTACGGCGCGAGCAGCCTGAGGATACTCTCCACCTGATTGCCCCTTCTGGCGCTGATCAACCATCTTCTCGCTGAGGCCCCGCACGCCAACGATACCAATGATGGGTGTTTCCATCAAGGTTTCAACGCCGGCTGATCCGTACAACCTATGGTTGCGTAACGAACAAAACGCATCCTTTATGCTCCATAGAGCCAGCTCATTCAACTTCACGTCATGCTCCGCCCACCAACCCAGAGCGGCGATGACGAATCATAAACAATACAGGACCAAGTCAGCATGATCCAATACGGCTGGATTCCTTGCCTTCAGAGACCACATCAGTCAATGCCACCCAGGAGGGACTACATCTCAGAGGATGGAGCAGATCAGCCATCCTTTCGCCGAGGCCCGCGCATCAACAATCTGGATCACGAGTCCCTTCGTTGCGCTATGAATACCAGCCGATCCGAACAACCTGCGGGTGCATCCATACAGGCCGCCGACGAACGCAAAGCGTCCTCTTTGCTCCATGAGGGCCAGCTCTTCTATCGCCGACATGCTCGGCGCTTGAAGCACTCTCTCGTCCACTCGTCGGCACATGGTCACTGGCAACGCCGCCGTAATAACAAACAAACAACACGGACCAAGTCGGCATATGGCAATGTGACTGGATTCGTTGCCTTCGGAGGGCATGTCTGTCCCTGGACCACACAGAAAGGACTACATAACAGAAATTGAAGCAGGAGATGGTATTCGTTGTCACGGAGGATGTTTCAAGAAGATATGCGATGTCTTAAGGACATGTGGCTGGTGCTTTTTCATTTCTTGAGAAGCGAACGAAGATCTCGGCCATGTACGCGGCAATGCCCGCAGGGGAGTCATGTATACGGCACGTTTGTTGGAGATTTCATTAGTGCAGACTACGTATTTACAGTTAGCAAGAGCTTGTGAGTCTTAGCAAGATGCTGAGGATGGCAACGTTCTTTGAGATAATTGAATAGAAATGAACACTGTGCTGATTTGACGGCGCCTTCTCAACGCCGAGCGCAGCGCCGAAGTCCTTCCTCTTTTTCTCGACGACGCGCTTGAACTCGGGTGGCGGCGCCGCAAAAGTCTCTGCCGTGGTAGGATGACCTGGCGAACGAGAAGGGCACCGCCATAAATCAGTGCGAAGCCTGGGTTGATAGCCGCGAGGCTCACGAAAACTTGATGATTTAAGGATTGATGATTGAGAGATCGATGATTGAAGAACTGATGCGTGCCGATGGAGGGGATCTGTACGCATAGGTTAGCTTAGCTACGTTTCCCGCGCTGCGTGGAAACCGATGAACATGACACTCTGGGCAGGACATCGTGTAGTATTGACTAAGGTAAAACAAGGTGATGATGGCATGACGTTGGTGAAAAACATAATGGCGAAAAAGGTCCAAGACGGCGGCGAGGCCCTCGATAACGGCCTGATATGCGTGCTGGCTTTTCTGGAGAGGTAGAATGATAAAGGAGTAGGCAGTGGTGACTGCGATGAGAACTAAATATTGCTCGGCAAAGGCATAGCACGGTATCGTGGTGTATAAACTAAGGGGGTTAGCCGGTTGGGTTTGCTGGACAGGACATGAACTGTTCACTTGCCTGAGATATCGATCAAGGAGATTGAATCTAATAACACAATGGAGGGATTGATACGGAGCGAATTCGATGAGAAAGAGTGGTTTGATGATGAGGAGGAAAATTAGTTTGATAAAGAGGAAGAAGAACAGGAGCACGAGGAGAATATAAGCTGCAGATCGGAAGCCAAGAAGCTTGCGCACGGGGAGGCTGGCTGAGGGTAAGTACGAAAGGTGTGGTGGGAAGGCCGGTAAACAAATGATGCTTGGGTTGATGCTGCATGGAAAGAGACAGAGAGAGTGTGAGAGCAAACAGAGAGTGCGTGGAAGGCAACGGACAGTGTGTGGAAGGAAACGGAGGCATTCGAGGTGCAGCGCGTAGTACTCCTACCTAGAACTGGGCCAGCTGGAGGCCAAGGGGCGGGTTGCTGCCATCCATACCGCCACTATCCTGCCTTGCACTAATCCAGTTCGGAGACCGAGGGGATGAATTTATCATATTTACCGTCGCTGTGCTGCCACGCACTGAGCCAGTTGGGGGCTAAGGCAATGCTCGTAGACAGCGTCGATATTCAAAGTGGCATCCATAGTCCGATGCCTTTGCGTACTCATCGGCTTGGACATCATGAAGGCCTTTGCGGAGCGCATTCAAATTCATGAACGTATCTGCCAATACCGTGGATGGACATCAGTGCTTGCGCCGTCACCTGGTTGGTTGCATCACCGTGATGTCTAAGGAAGCGGAGCACATGACGAAGTAGATGGAAGTGAGCTGGTGAGCGAATTGATAGTGTTGCGGAAGGCTACCTTAGCTGCTGAACGGCAGACAAAGTAATCAGCTTGGACATTCTGAAGTACCATTCGTGAAGCGCGTTTCAACTTCTGGACTTGTTCACCAGCCTCACGAACTGATATTGACGCTTGTGCCGCCGGTTGATTGCGTCGGGAATAACGTCTTCAAAGCGGATTCCGTCCCCTTGCGAAGATGACACAAGGGCTTTCAAGAGTGCCCGAGATAATGTCTACCATGCTGAGGTAGGTCGCAGAACAGAGTATGGAGTGAATGACTTCGATATTGACTAATGGTTTCAAGAAGATGAAGCTGCTGTGGCATAGCCGACAACATACGAAGCACTCGCGCACGATCCGCAAACATCCATCGCAAACTCCTCAACACAACGCGCTATGCCGACAAGCGCAATCTCAATAGGTACCGAAGCACGCTTCTAGCGACGTACAGCACCATCGCTCCAGATATCTAACTGTCCCTACTAGGCGTATCCCATATCTTCACAACTCGTTAACATTTCCAAACACCACCACCAGCAGCCCATCCCAAACGCCTTTGCCATGCCCTGCCAGCCCTCTCCCACGTCTCAGCGTTACCTCCCCGATCCCACCACCCCGCCCGCAAACGGCCCTAAACACCACACCGATAAACCTGGCTCCCCCCATGCCTGACCTGCACGACTTCCCGTCTCTGCAGCACCACCAGCGCGCGATTGAGCGCCATCTCGCTATATCCCCTGCCACCCACAAACTCTCTCTTCAGTGTTGCAAGCGAGGTCGACCAGCCAACGGGGAGCCGACGCCGCAGCTCGTCCTCGACCTTGTTGACTTCTGCGGCCAGCTCGGCGGAGGATGCCGTGCCGGAACCCTGGGAGACAGCGTCCATGGTCGACGCCAGGAAGAGGCGGATTGCTTCGTTTACGTGGGAGTCGGTTGCGATGGGGGAGAGGGACTGGATGGGGTGTTAGCTCTGACTTTCTAATGCGGAATCTCTCGGTTGGAAGTCTTGGTGCCTGCGAAAGGGAGAGGGAAGGGAGAGGAAAGGGAGATGGGAAAGGGGTGACTTACAAGCTTGGCGAGGGATTCCGTGATGCGGATGATGGCTTCGAGCTGACGAACGGTGATGGGAATGGAGGAGCGGGCGTTCGCGGACAGCTCAGCGGAGTGGACTTGGCGGCGGATGGTGACAAAGTGGGAGGAGAGGGTTTCGGCTGCTTCGGGGGAGAGGCGAGGGGCACATTTCCTGTCATATGTCAGCGTCAACACTCCCCCCATTCATTTGGTGGAGGAGGGTGGGCAAACACAGGAAAAGTGGGAGACGGCGGAGGAAAAGAGGACATACTGTTTGCAGTAGGAGATATACCGCTTCATCTTCTCCACAGGGATCTCGGCCTGAACCTGCTCCTCAACGCCGCGATTACCCATGTGGATGCCCATGACGTGCTTGGCTATCCGCTCGTCTCTACCACGCTCATGCTCATCGCGCACAATGAAGATCATGTCGAAACGGGACAGGATCGTCGTTTGAAAGTCGATGTTCTCCCCCGGCGTTTTCAGGTCATCGTAACGTCCGAAGATCGGGTTCGCCGCAGCTAGCACGGACGTTCTGGCGTTCAAGATGGTGGTGATGCCGGCTTTGGCGATAGAGATGGTTTGCTGCTCCATGGCTTCGTGGATCGCGACACGGTCTTCGTCGCGCATCTTGTCGAACTCGTCGATGCAGACCACGCCGCCGTCGGCGAGAACCATTGCACCACCTTCGAGGTAGAACTCGCGCGTATTGTTGTCTCGTTGAACGGAGGCTGTCAGACCAGCGGCTGAAGAGCCTTTGCCGGAGGTGTAGATGGCTATTGGGGCGACTTTCTCGACAAACTTCAGGAGCTGCGATTTGGCGGTACCGGGATCACCAAGCAGGAGGACGTTGATGTCGCCTCGAAGCTTCATCCCGTCCGGTAAGATCTTCTTGGAGCCACCCATCAGTAGACAGGCGATAGCTTTTTTGATATCTGCGTTTCCGTAGATGGAGGGAGCAATGCAGTTTGCAAAAACCTCGAAGAGGTCCGGCCGGCGGCTCATCTCGAGAAACTCTTGCTCCTCCTCCTCTGTGAAGATAGCGTTCCCCTTCATTGTGTGATCGACATCCGAATGAATGCCGACAGCACGCAGGTAGGGATTGCGGATAGCGACAGCTCCGCCCTTGTTCCCTTTGCTGCCTTTCGCCTGATATATGGAGAAGACACCCATGACCGTGCAGCGCGATCCAGGTACAACGCGATTCGTCAGGTAACGGTCCGCAGAGATGAGAATGTGCCTGGGCAGCTCTCCGACCGGCACCTGATCTGGCGCCTCCTGCAATTTCAGCACCTGCTGGTCGATGAATTGGCATTTCTCGTGCACAACGAAGTACGGGTCTAGCGGACATCGCTCTGCTGCGGTCCCCTCCACCGTGATTCTGCCGCATGTTCGAGGTAGTGAAATACCGGCGAAGCCGCCAACGACAGACATAGTTTCTGCATGTCCGCAGTTGCGGCATTGGATGTGTAGGGCTGTTGCTTTGGAGGAGAGGGTGCCTGCGCCGATAACGATGCCGGGTATGCGGACGAGGTGGGAGACGCTATCGGCTGTGAGATCGCGGATGGAGATTTGAGAGGCGGACGAGTGGAGGAGAAGTTGATGCTCGGGAAGCTGAATTTGTTTCTGCGAGGGGTATACGATTCGTTGGGTGCACTTCTTCAGTGCTGCCTCAAACTGCGAATGATGAGCACAGTGTCCCCAGGAGAGGGTTTCTAGGAGTTCACTACCAGCGGGATGATCTCAGCGGGCTCGCTGTTCAACCTGTGTGCTAGTTCTTCGTTGTAGGAAATGAGGTGGGCGACATCGATATCGCAGTAGTACTGCTTGACGAGAACGTTCTCCCGGATCTGGTCTCTGCGACAAGTTAGAAGCCTGTAGAGCAAGCGACCATTCCCTCACTGACCGATATATAAACACATTGTCAATGTGGAAGTCTAGCACAAAGTCGACGAGCTGCTGTTGGATGCGTGACGGTTGCTCGTCCGCGTTCCTGTCATCTTTGTCGTGACCGAAGAGACTCAGCGAATACACCGATTGCCTATCCATCGTTGGTCGAGAGTTTTGTTGTTGGCTTTGTGCTCGTTGTTTGTGTTGTCACTGCCCGCACGGATATCTAGATAGGAGTTGAGGTGGGCGGAGGGGACGCGCTTAGACGCGCAACGCGACAGCCTCGCGTAAAGTGGTTTTCTGTGACAGGCCAAAGAGCAATCCGACAAGTGCATTGCCGCGAACAATATCGCATCGCCGGCTGTAGGGGGAGGAACATCAATGATTGTGAAGCCCTTTACCATGTAGAAACTATGGCTTCTGGACTCATACCTAAGCAGCACGAAGCCTCCCGCGCCTGGATCGACGGTGAGTGCAGGCAAATTACCGTCTATGAGGTGTGGTATTGATCCCAAACGCATAATCACGCCCAGTCTGTTCAATACCAGATTCACAACCGAACCGGCCTCCTAGTCTCGTCTATTGTAGAGCAGCTAGATAATCCCACCTGGAAAGCTCATCACTGCATCTATGCCCAGCTCACTTAACACTAGATCCGCGATCGAAAAGCCCCTTGCCGCGTCTATGCCCAGCTAACCAAAACGCTACATTCACCATCGATGTGGCCTCATGATCATGTCGATTATGGAGCAACTGGGCAATTCCATATAATAGCTGCGCTACTGGCAGAGGTGGGTCTATCATAGCACTACGCACAAGTACCAAAGCCACTTCCCAATCACAACCCCAGGCCATGGAGCTTTGGTTCCCGACCGCAAACAGATCCCTACCGCCCGAAGCCATTCGCCGACGTAGCAATCCCTCTTGGCACGTCCTTGGACCATCTGCGGTGGTCAGCATTCATCACGTTATAAAGGATAGAGAAAGGGTAGAGGCTTGGCGCTTACATCCTAATCCGACAATCATCCCCGGCAGAGGCGAACATAGACGGGTTGGTTGGATGCCATGCCACAGCATTTACGCAGCCAGGCCGATGGGCATCAAGCGCTTCGACGAGGTGGCCGTTTGTGCGCCAAATGTAGACGCGGGAGTCTTCGTCATATTAGCGCTGTCTTTCCAGTCCATAATCAAGGACTGGGGGACGTCTCGTCATAACAACGACAGAAGCAAAGGGTTGAAGATGAACAGCCGTACCTTCGCTCCCACTAACGACAAACCCCTCCCCCGCACCACCAAAGCTGCTCCTAATGATGAACTCACTCTGCCTCTGTCCCTCAAACATTTGTAGGCACTCTCCCGTCTCTACACTTAGCAGCCTAATGCAGTTCTCGTTTGTGCTGACCAGCATCCTACGTCCGTCGCCGCTGACACATAAGCTTGTTAATGTCTTGGCGTTTTCCATCTCCCAGTCGCCCAGCTTCTCACGGGTCTGGTAGTCGTAGACAACGATACGGGTCTCCAGCAGGGCGATGAGCCGGGTGCCATCGGGCGAGATGGCAATGTCATGCACACGGAACGTTTCGGATGCCGAGAAGGCGTACAGCCGTGCACCGTTGAGGTCGTGGATGCAGAGAGCGGAGCTTGTGTCCTGGGAACCGAGGATGAAGGCATCGCTGTTTGGTGACCACGCGGCGCAGGTGACGGGGTAGGTAAAGTGGTTGAGAGTTATGATGCATTTGCCCGTCTGAAGCCTTTTAGTGTACTGACGGTGAGGTCGGTGAGAGGCAAAATGGGGAGGTGTATACCTTCGTGTCCCACACTCGTGCGCAGTTGTCTTGAGCCTGAGCGCAGCTGATGAGCTTGGTGTCGTCGGGACTCCATGCTACATAGCACACTCCGGCGTCATGGTCGGCGAGGATATGCAGTGGTTTGAAGGTCGTGGTGTCGTATATCACGACTGTGCAGTCTTTGCTCGCTGTTGCTAGCATCGAGCCGTCGTGCGAGAAGCGGAGAAACCAGACCTCATCGTGGTGGTTGCGTAGCTCGAGGACGGTTTTTAGTGGAAAGTCGTCGCGGTCGCAGGAGTGGTCGACGTAGAGGGAGGGCGATGCTAAAGTGTTGTGGTATAGACAATTCGATATCCAGTTCTCTTTCACTTGACTCAACAGCACTGCGAGCCGGTGCTCGGGTATCATCACGCTCGGTGATATTGATTCTTCTTAAACTTAGCAAATTACGGAAGGCACATTCAAGCATAACTTACTGGACAGCTCTGACAGTAGATAACTCCGCGACTCTCCTACAGCGCCGTCCCACTGTGCTTGGTATTTGAGGTCCTCCGCCGATTGGCACATCATCAGACTGCATAACCACATCAGCGTGCCGCTCGTTCGTGTGCTTGGATGGGTGCTCCGGCCACGCACCTCGACAGAGCATGTAACCTCCCAGTGTCTTGATGTAGAGGCGTCAACTCCTGCCGTAGCACCATGAGCGCCGCTCCTAGATCCCTCTGCTCCAGCAACTCCAGATACTTCTGCTGCCGCATCCAGAACATCATCTCGCTCTTGTTCGCCCCCTCCGCAAGCGTAAGTCCTCCTGCCGGACCCTGCGACTGCCACGAACTCTTGCTTGATCTTATGGCCGCCTTCCCGTTCCCAATTCCGGTGTCTCCGTCTCCTAGTCCTACTCCTCCTCCGTCATCATAGGACTCCACGCCAAACAGTAGTGCCTCCGCCTCCGCCCAGTCACCTAACAGCACCGCACTCCTGAATGCGGCAACCGTCGGCCCCTCTAGCTCGTATCCGCTTTCTTGACACAATGCCCCCGCTGCGCCATGGTACCCGAGCTCCGTCAAACTCTGTATAAGTATCCGGGTGACCTCCTCCCGATCGTGCCCGAACCACGGCCGCTGGGGTGCTCTTACTGCGTTACCGTTTGCGTACGAGCCGTTGCTTTCGGTCTTGGAATGAGAGCTGCCATTTGCGGCCTTCCGTCTGGCAGGCGAGACACCATTTGAGGAACCGTTGGAGAAGGTTTGCGAGGGCGACCGCGAGGGTTTAGGTGAGTCTGTGGTAAGCCGCATGGTCTCTTGGGCGTGTCTGCGGCGCTTTGGCTGCCGATGCGAGGACCGGCCTCGAGCGTGTATATACTGAGTGCCGGTCTCTGTCGACCCTCCGGAGGATTCTGAAGAGCTGCTCCGGCGGCGCTTAGCGCGTGTGTTGGACGTCAGAGGTTCTGCAACTGACGGCCCGGGTGGACGGCTGGAAGACAGGGCTGGCGCTGAGAGGTGGTCGGAGGCGAGTGGGGGAGGGTTATCGTCTGCCAGGACGACAGCTGTCAGCACAAGAGGAGCGGCTGGAGGCGTGCTGGAGACGGGAGCCGCAGTCCTAGCCGGCCTCCCGCTGCAGCATAAGAGATCAGACGCGTAGTCGGGTTTGGTGAGCTGGTGAACCTTGGACACTTGACGGCTGCTTAGCGGCAAACGCGGAGGGGAGATGACCGCGTCTTTGTAGTCTTGACGAGGGCTAGTTCTGACGGTGTAGAGCTCAGAAGTATCGTGAGGCGAGTGCACAAAGGTGCAGGTGGCTGGCGGTTCGAGGTGTTCAGGGCAGACGTGCAGCGTCGCGGAGCTTGATCTCCAGAGCCGGAACTTGTCGATAGCTAGGTTGCCGACTACGTCAACGATCCTGGACCTTGGAGGCCGATTGCTGCAGATGCTGCAGGATTTCTGCTGCCACGAAGTAGATGCAAGAATGCCACCCTACCTGCCTTGTCCAGTGTTTCAGAAGCAACCAAGACCAGAAGGCACCAAAGTCATAGCCTGAAACCGACAGCTGGTCATCTGATTTGTCTAGGTGATCACGACTGTGCGGGCAGCTGGAGAAGCCGACAGCCCGCCCTGTGTCTAGCGGAGCTTTACGGACTCCCACACGATAAGGACGGCCGTAGCAGTGTGCCTGGTGATTCGGCAATTGTCTCTCAAAAGAGGCCTAAAGACAACCTGGAATGCATACAGCACGTGGAATTTATCAGCCGAATTCGACCATGTCAGCCTTTCGGCGTGTGAATGACTATGTACCACCAGGTGACTATTGCCGACTGTGTTACCGCATATCCTTAAGGCTTATCCGTGGGTTTTAGTAACATGCAACGAACTCGTAACGGCCTTTGCAACGATTCGAAGCTTGTGCGCAAGTTGCAGTAAACCCCAACCCCTTTATCGCAAGTAGGATATTCAGATTTACAAGGAAATGGCTCGTGTATAGAATGCGGCCCCTCTTGCTCTATTCCTTCGTCCTGGCACTCTCAAGCAATCAGCGTATACTACCCTATTGCAGGCTCATTGCATCTCTCGCGCCAGCGTACAGTCAGCCGTGCCCAGGCAGAGCGATGCACGTGTCAACTTCTCTCTATATCCACAGATAACTCCGTGAAGAGGCCTCGACTATTAGCAGCATCCGGATCCTCCTGACTTCTAGCCTCAAGTCCTTCGCTTCTTAGGTGGCGGAGAGCTCTCGGCACTCTTCTTACCCTTCCCCACAAGCCCTCTGATATCGACCTCCTCTTCGCTCTCACCACCGCTTGCGTCCTCGAACTCCATATCAGACATGTTCTCGTCGTCCATCTCCTGTGCAGAAGCTGCGATCTGATCAGCAGTGACTCAATATTCAATCTACCACCATGAACTCACTGAAATACTTGATAGCATTCGGCCACAGATCCTCCGCAATGACATTGGCGACCTCGTCACCCCCCGCAAAGATCTCCACATCAGCCTGGTCCTCTTCTTCATCCACCTTCTCTTCTTCATCCATCTCCTCTTCCTCAACCTTCTCTCCTCTCCTCCGCCTTTCCCTCCGCTCCCGCTCCTCCCTCATCGCCTCCACATTCTCCTCAGCACTGATCCACCTCTTCGCGCCCACGAACCCGAAGAAGCAAAAGAAGCTTGCCCCACTGGGGTCATTCGCTTCCAGTTTCCGCGCCAGCGCTGTGTACTCCGGCAGCTGCCCCGCCTTCTTGCCCTTGCCCTTATCATTCGCAGTCTCCTTCCCATTCACCGCCGTCGTATCAGCCACCTTCTGACGCGCCTCCCACAACGCAACCGCCGCATCCGTGAGCCCCTTCGTAAGATCCTTGCCCTTCTTCCAGCGGATCTTGACCGGCTCGCTCACCAGCCCCGCCCACCCGGCCTTGCTGCGCCGATACCAAAACTTCTTCTCCAGCACCGCATCCTCGAAGTACTCGTTCGGCGCAAACTCGAACTTGAGCGCGATGCTGCGTGGTGACGTGTCTAGCTCAAAGCGCTCGACGTGGATGGCGGTGAGGCAGTCGGCGAAGAGCGCGGAGTCGGACGGCTGGATGAAGGTGTCGAGTTCGGGGGGAGATTGCTCGAGGACGAGAGGCCAGAAGTGCGGGATTTGGGAGACGAGGGCGGCGCGTTTGCTGTAGAGGGGTTCGGAGAGGCGGGATTGTTGGCGGACTGCGTGGGGAGGGGTTAGTGGAAGTCGTGGGGCGGATTGGCGGAGGGAAGCAAGGAACGTACGAATCTCGAGGTCTACGTCGTCAAAGTCTTGCTCGAGGGCGATGAGCTCTTCGTATGTGGGTGCGGTGGGCGCGTCTGTGGGTGCTGCCATGGTGGGTGTGGAAGTGCTTATGCCGGGAGGGATACACGGAATTTTGGGGTGCTTTGTGTTCGAGGAGCTGTAGGCCACGAGGAAAATCGGCTTGTTAGAGGGAGAAGACGCGGGCTGAGCGTGTTAAGCGTTAGGAATGTACAGCAATAAATTGGTGCCAGGATCACTTTTACGCCATCATGGCGTTGAGCTTCACGGACCTTGGTGTCGCGTCACGGGATCAGCCCTACACAGATGGCTGACGTTCGGGAGGACCGCAGCCGTGGGGGTCCTAGCTGTGCCGGGACTAGTGATCTTGGCGGGAAAGTCTTGGCTATATCATCCACCTTCATCCCACCTTCATCCTCCCTTCAACAGCCTTGCCTCCACATCTTTTACTCACCGCCACCATGAGCAACAAGATGGCGAAGAGGAAAGCAACAGGTCTAGACACGCCTGAAAGCCTCAACAGCGATACGGACGCTTCGGACATCCGTCAAGCAGTCTCTCACTTCTCGCTGGAGACTTACAGCAAGCGCCGTAAGACCGACAACGGGCCGCCGACGTCTGAGCTACGGGATTTCAGCTCCCTCCCGCTCAAAGATGATCATGTCAACAGGCCGCTGTGGATAGAGCCGGAGAAAGGTCGCATCATCGTTGAGAGCTTTTCCCCGTCCTTCAAGGGGGCCGAAGACCTCCTCATCGGAATTGCAGAACCACAGTCTCGTGTGTCTGCAATACACGAATACAAGCTGACGACACACTCCCTCTTCGCCGCTGTGTCCATCGGCTGGACGACGAACGACATCCTTCATCGGCTCAAGTTTTACTGCAAAACTGCCGTACCCCAGGCGATCCAAGACTTCATCATTGTTTCCACCAGTTCCTTCGGCAAAGTCCGCCTCGTTCTCAAGCACACCAAGTACTACATTGAGAGCTCGGATGAGCAGGTCCTACAAAAACTGCTTCGAGATGAGGTCATTGGGGCGTGTCGCATCGACTCTACCGAAGAGCTTACGAAGGAAGCGGCACCGAAGATGGGCGCCCTCGCTATTCCTGGTACGAAGGCAGCTGCTGGGGCAAGGCAAGCTGAAGCAGCAGTTCAGGAGCGACCCGCCGATGATGAAGATGATGACATCGTACGGCAAGAACAGCAGATGCTGAATGCACTTCGTGACGATGACGAGGAAGAGGAAGTGGACCAGGTCCATTCCTTTCAGATCGCTCCCGAAAACGCCCAGAAAGTATCCAGGCGCTGTCGCGAGATCAATCTCCCGCTGACCGAGGAATACGATTTTCGCAATGACGAGGCCAACGCAAACCTGGATATCGACCTAAGACCGAGCGTTCAAATCCGACCTTACCAAGAGCAGGCGCTCAGTAAGATGTTCGGCAATGGCCGCGCCCGAAGTGGCATCATCGTCTTGCCCTGCGGCGCAGGGAAGACACTTGTTGGCATCACTGCCGCATGTACGGTCAAAAAAGGCACAATCGTGCTCTGCACCAGTGTCATGTCCGTTGTGCAGTGGCGCGCAGAGTTCTTGAAGTGGTCGAACATCGATCCCTCTGACATTCTTGTTTTTACCGCCGACAACAAACAGCAAAGTCACTTCAACAAGAACACTGGAGTGGTCATTGCTACGTATAACATGATCACTCAGTCTCGGTCTCATGACGCGATGAAGATTCTGGACTTCATTACGAAACGAGAGTGGGGTCTCATGCTCCTTGACGAGGTGCACGTTGTGCCAGCGGAGATGTTCAAAAAGGTGACTTACTCCGTTGCAAGTCACTGCAAGCTCGGACTTACGGCGACTTTGCTGCGAGAGGACAACAAGATTGAAGACCTCAACTTCCTCATCGGCCCGAAACTTTACGAGGCGAACTGGCAGGAGCTCTCCCAGCAAGGCCACATTGCGCGCGTCCAGTGCGCCGAAGTGTGGTGCCCCATGACCCCAGAGTTCTACACTGAATACCTTCGGGCAAACACTGTCAACAAGCGCGGTCTTCTCTTCACTATGAACCCTCGCAAGTTTCAAGCCTGCCAATTCCTGATCAACTTCCACGAACAGCGCGGCGACAAGGTCATCGTGTTCTCCGACAACGTCTACGCGCTCAAAGCCTATGCTCTCAAGATGAAGCGTCCTTTTATCTACGGCGGCACGCCTCAGAACGAACGGCAGCAAGTGCTCGACAACTTCCAGTTCAACCCGGCCACCAACACCGTCTTCCTCTCGAAGATCGGCGATACCTCTCTCGATCTGCCCGAAGCGACGTGCCTGATCCAAATCTCCTCGCACTTCGGTTCCCGCCGCCAAGAAGCGCAGCGACTAGGCCGCATCCTCCGAGCCAAGCGCCGCAACGACGAAGGCTTCAATGCCTTCTTCTACTCCCTGGTGAGCAAGGACACGAACGAGATGTACTACGCCACCAAGCGCCAGGCTTTCCTCGTGGACCAGGGCTACGCTTTCAAAGTCATCACGCACCTCCAGGGCATCGAGAAGATGCCAGAACTCGCGTACACAACGCCCGAGGAAAGACGCGAGCTGCTGCAGGACGTTCTGCTGCAGAACGAGACCGCGGGCGAGGCGGAGGTCATCTCGGAGGATCTCTTCAGCGAATACGGGGTGAGGAAAACGAAGAAGGGCGCTAGAAGGACGGCGGGTACTCTGAGCGAGCTGAGTGGTGGGCAGGACATGGCGTACATTGAGTACAACAAGAGTAGCAACAAGGGGTTGAAGAAGAAGAAAGGGTATCAGAATTCGTTCATGAAAGGCTTGCATCGCAAGGCTGACCGGGTCGCTGCGGCGAAGAGGGGGGAGTGAAAGCGTTTGTTGGGGTTTTGCTTTGAGCGCGCATTCGATATCCATTGGTGGCAGACCGCGGCGTTTCAGGGTTTGCTTTGGCATCACGGCGTTGGGCGGTGGAGGGTGCACTCAGTATTTGCAAAGGTCTAGGGAGCATTCATGACGGTGTCGCTACGAGTTATGATTATGAAGGCATTGTACAGGAACATTCATACAGCAGGATTGTCGTCAGGAACGATGAGCTGCACGGCGTTGCCAGACTCTTAGTACTCGTAGTAATCTTAGTATCTGGAGTGTGGAATATGCATACACGTTGAATGCTGATCCACATCTGTATAGCAGAGTGCGTTGAGTACACTGAGTGTGCCAGAACATAACACTGCTGTCACTGAATAACATCTCGATTTCTATGAACCTTGCTTTCTGAGGAAGCGGTCGCCGACGCAACGCTCAGTGCCCTGGCCCAAAAGACAACCGTGATACGTGTTTTGCTATTCCTGCTCAACTGCTATGTCAGTCAACCTCCAGGCTTTCGACGCGGTAGCGGCAGCCTGCAACGTGTGAGGCAATGCCACCATCGAATTAAGAGGCACGCCTACGTGCAGCTCAGATGTTGACTTCTTCCCCTCTGGTAAGCACATACGGCCACAGATCAAGGAAAACATCGGATCCCGTCCGCTCTCCTGCAATCAAGCCTTGAATCGGTGGGTTAGTAGTTAGGTGGGTGACCACTAGCGAATACCTACTGCTGTATGTTTTTGCCTTTAAAATTTTCTTCTGCCTAGTACAAAGTACTCCTTTTGCTATTGTTTCTTTTTCTCCTGAACGTGGCTGGACTATGGAAAGGAGAGTTGACATGGCGCTGACATTAATCATAACCACGAGCCCAACTGGCGTTGTTATCAAGAGATTGAAACACTTCTCCAAAGGCATTTCCCTGCCTTCTATACATGCACTATATCCAGCTCATTTGGTATGAAGTTGGGATCGAGCTGGAATTGCCCACATGTCTTCTAGGTTGGCAATCATATTGCAGTGACCAGACTTGATCAAAAGCCACAAGTCAAACATACATGAAGCTGCTGTTCATGCCACGATGTAATTGCGACTCCGGCTCAGTCGCAATCTTATGCTGAACAAGTTATGTAGAAAGCGCGAGCATGTAGTGCTGTTTGGTTGACGACAAAGGCCGACTTCTTGGCGCATACATTGGCGGCCTGAGGTGTTGAAGGCAGCACTTCCTGTCAGCCACCTACTACCTACTGAGAAACCGCATCCGCTACCCTCGCTCGCACGATTCAATGACAGGAACCTAGACTGGCCTTAGAACTTCCCTTAGCCCGACAATGGGCGCATCCGACTCCAAGCTCGTGTTCAAGCAGGGCATCTTCCGGCTCTCTGAAGAGAAAAGCATACCAGCGGATGATGCATACTGGACTGGCGTATGGAGCGCCCTCCGAGAGTACCTTCGTTAAGCCTAATGCTAACTGCAAGCATAGTTCTGGGAGCTTCCGGAGTCCGCAGACGATGTCTTCTCCCTCTTCTCCCCCGCAGATGTCCGCCGTACTAGAGACAACTCCATAGCGAACCTCGAGACTCTTATACTCGCCGTGTCCTCCAGATTGTGCATATTACGGAATCACCCCTCTTTTCCAGATCCTGAGCTTGCGCCCGAACGAGATGCGCTCAATTGCATACGGGTACTCACTCGCGTTCTCCCCTACATCTACGAAGCCGACCACCTGGAAGCGTGGGAAGACAAGTTCTTTTGGGGAAAGCGGAGGAAAAGGAGCAGGAAAGCCCAGGTCGCAAAGGCCGAAGTGCTGTTCGACGGGGCACATCCTGATAATACAACGAGAGGTGATGCGCCTGAGTTCGAGGAAGCCAAACCGCTAGCTGAGGAACTCATTGATACCCTAATCGACCTATTGTTCTTCTCGGACTTCACGTTACCGAAAGCGCCCGCAGGAAAGAACAAGGTCACGTACGCAATATGGCAGACTGGTGTCGGTTGCAACACGCCCGTCACCTCCAGCAAAGAATCCGAGAGCAATCGGCAAGAGATTTTGAGGCTGCTTCTCGCTTTAGCTAGCAAATCAATGTATATGTCTCCCAGTAGGTCCCTCTGCTCGTTCAAGTGGATGCCGTGATCTGACTCAACCCAGACGTTCTGCCGGTCAAGGGCGTGAAGGCCATAACATACATGGCGACATGTCCGGACAAGCAAGTCGTGCTCTCTCTGCTCTGCTCCCTGCTCAATACGGTCCGTGCTCTTGTCTGTATACGTTGTGGTCTCGTTGTTAATTCGAATGCAGACGCTCAAGTATAACCCTGCGACATGGCGCGTACCCTATGATCACGTAGTCTTCAAGGACCCGAAACAGGTCCTTGTGACCTACTGCCTTCAACTGCTCTTGGTTTTGATCCTTTATCCTATACCTGAACCAGGCAACGGGGTTCCACCTAAGAACTATTTTCGACATTTCATTGGTAGACTGCACCGTCCGCAGGACTTCCAGTTCTTAGTAGACGGCATGACAAGAATTCTGAACCAGCCTGTACGCTGTCGCCTTATGTATCGTATGCGAACCCATGCTGAACATCTTACAGTTACAGGCAACTAGCTCGTATCTCCCGGGAAGTCAGAAGTCTTTGACTTGGGCACCTGAGATGATAATGCTTTTCTGGGAAGCGTTGCAATGCAACAAGCGTTTCCGATCATTCATCATAGACACGGACCGTGCTCATGACTTCATGGTGCTGGTGTTGTTTTACGCTATCGATCAGAGGAACGAGCCCTCGAAACAAGGCCTTGTTCGCATGTGCATCTTCGTGCTTCAGACGCTGAGCGCTGAGCCAAACTTTGGCAAGAGCTTGAACAAGACCTTTGAAGGCCAAGAGACGCTTCCAGCCAGTATTAGAATACCCAATTTCCATGGCACTTATGCAGACTATCTCATAACGGCAGGTGTACATCCTGGGACGATACCGAGAAACGGAGTGCTGACAGTTGAATAGTCTATCTACACCCTCCTCACCACCGGCAAAGGAAAACTGGATGCCGTTTACCCTGCCCTTCTAGCTATCATTAACAACATCGCCGCATACACCGAAAACCTGGGCCGCGCATCGAGCTCGAAGCTGCTGCAGCTCTTCGGTTCTATGTCATCTCCTGGCTTCCTCCTTGCAAATGATAGCAATCACACGCTGCTACACTCATTGCTTGAGGCCATGAACGCCATAATCGAGCATCAATACAGCAGTAAGCTGTGCTGCGACCTGTGGAAGAGACGTTGCTGACTGGATTTTAGAAAACCCTAACCTCGTCTATGCAATCCTACGGTCAAGGAAACGCTTCCAAGCCCTTCGTGACTTCACCCTCGAAGGCGCGCAGGAGGAAATCGACCGCCAGGCTCAGCAAAGGAAAGATCAGGGCACCGAGGCCACCCCCGGCCGCACCAGCTCCACTGACAGCCTGCGCAGCCCTATCAGAACCCGCACGCCGAGTCTCGGCAACGTTCCGGAAGAGAATGCCGCCTTCACCATCGGCGATGACGATGACTCTTCCGACACCGACATCCCTCAAACCTCCAGCCCGAAGCCCGTCTCATCCCACAGCGTATCCCACTCCACCAGCTCCTCTCGCGCCGCCTCCATCTCCTCCACAACCGACGAAACGCTCCCGCTCCAACTGCGCGGCATGTCGGAAAAAGCGCGCGGAAAGATGCCAATCAACACGCCCGCCTTCGCCCGCCAAAACAGCAGCTCGACCTCCCTCTCCAGCAGCCTCTCTCCCACAACCTCCTACCACCACCAGCAGGTCGGCCTAGGCGCAAACGCCGCTTTCACGCCCACCCCCTCCTGGCTGGAGTCCTGGCTCCCCTCCCTCCCCCTCCACACAATCCTCACCCTAATCTCCACCCTCGCGCCCACCATCCCCCTCGACGACCCTTCCGCCGCCCTCGCGGCCCTAGTCCACACGCCCGCACCGCCCGGCATCGAGCCCTCTGCGATCCGAGTGCACCTGTTCGAGTGGAGCGCGCTGAGCCTCGGCTGGTACGAGAGCCTGCTGTGGGGCTTCGTGTTTGTGAGCGAGGGCTTGGTTGCGAAGGGGAGTATGGGCGTCTGGAATGGGACCGCGATTAAGCTGTTTAGGGTCCAGGAGACGGGGCCGCAGCCGGTGAGTTTGAGGGATCCGAGGGGTGCGGTTGATGCGGTGGGGAGTAATCTTGTGCAGAGGATTGGGAGCTTGAATGTCGGGTTGAGGGGGAGTGGAGGCGGAGGAGGTGGTGGGAATGGGCAGGGTGGAGGCGGGAATGGGAGAGGGATCGTGAGGGATGTGTGAGGCGTGTTGCGCGTGCGTTTGCCGGTTAAGCATCATTTGACAGCGGCTGTGAACTGTGGTTGTCGCGGATGCAATGGTTAGCATCCGGTTGGTGACCGGGCGGTCCGAACGATGCGAACTGGTCAGGCGGTCTGGTTCGAGCAAAGGCTCCGAAAAGCATTCATTGGCGTCTCATTGGTAGAAGCTGGAAATGTAGAATGAACTCGTTTGCAGCAGTTTGGTGTTTGCCACCGCCAGTCAGTCGACCCATGGGTCGACAATGAACCGGCATGTGGTGATCAGTATCTCCTGCCTGAATTGTGAGGAAAGCCTTGACGGGAATGGGGCTATGAGAGGGCAAATCGATTGTAGCGAGCTCCTGAGAGCCTTAGGATGCACTTCGAACCCCTCATTGGTGTCCCTGAGAAGGCAGGCTACTTATCTAAACCTGCAGTAGTGGTTCTTGCCACAGGAGGTCAATTCGATCGCCCGACGAATGAACAGGAGGGGCTGCATCCGAGAACCTCAGGTTGCTTTCGCGAGGAGCAGTTATCTGGAGCTTCGCTGCAACCGAGATGTTAGAATCGGGACAATGCACTTGCGGCCTCGCCAGGCTGTGCAGTAATTCCTTCTGCAGGACCAATACTTCGAGCGAAGATGATCTGGTGTTGCGGTAAATATAGCAGCTAAGCCCTGTTCCAGAACGTTGTTCCGCGTCAATCCTCGCCTTAAAACCCGTTAGGGGCAGCCTCAAATCTGAAAATCGGCACAGCCACTGTGGCTATAGCGCAGGGTTTGCCCGGTAAGCGCTTGTGGCGAGTGCATTCATCTGGCGAACGGGCCATACAGAGACTCTGGTCGGCCTCGAATTTCGCGAGCTATGGGGATTTGGGGGGAGCTTTGCGGAGCACGCGTGGTCCTGCGATTGTCAGTCGGGTGCTGCTAAAACGGCCTTGGAACGGTCCTTGCCGATGCCTGAGATTGGCGGCGCCTTAACTGATCGTGCTGCCCATGGGGTGCTGGCTCGATGTGTTTCAAGCTGTTGAGGACCATGGTTGTATTTGATGATTTCTTTACATGGCGACACTTCCCATACTCCATGAGGAGAGTGACGCTGTGGGAATTGAATCTTATAGCATGCATGTGAGTATCTTCCATTGCTACGCGCAAAGCTCGAAGTTGATGGTCGACTTTAGGTTTCTTCACGCTATCTGGACTTGACCAGACAGAAATTAGAATTGACAAGACTACCGCGCGAGCTGCAACTTCCGCAGCACAGGAAGTGGCAGTACGGGACCCCGAAGGCTGCGCTCGAGCCTCTGGTAGACTTCTGGTAAGTGGCTGGCTGTTGTTACGCAATTGCCGTGAGACTTGGCAGAAGTTGAGGTGATTGTGCTAACGTAGTCGCAGGCTTGAGCACTACGACTGGCGCGCGCAAGAAAGCCATTACAATAGCACCCTTCCACAGTGGAGAACAACCGTTACGCCCAGCGGACCAGACGGCGAGGAGGCAGTGCATACACCTCTGCGTGTGCACTTTGTTCACAAGGCTTCTCAACATCCGAATGCGATCCCGCTTCTCTTCGTTCATGGATGGCCTGGGAGCTTTCTCGAAGTCAGCAAGGTCATCGATGCGCTTACCGAACCGACGACTGCATCTGCCGCGAACCCATTCCGGGATGCTGGAAACCATGGCGAGACTCGGGTGCGAGCATTCCATGTCGTCGCGCCGAGTATTCCTGGATTTGGCTTCAGCGACGCTAGTATGGATGAAGGATTCGGATTAAAGGAGACAGCAGAGATGTTTGACGTCCTGATGAAACGACTGGGCTACAATAAATACGTGGCGCATGGTGCCGATGGGTAAGTTAACCTCCACTTCCAGTCTGGAGAGTGGTATGCTAATTCTTGTTGTAGGGGCTTCAAGGTGTGTCGAATGCTGGCGCTGAAAAATCCTGAGAGCTGTTTGGCGGTCCATACCAGCTCCTCCAAGCTTCCAATGCCCGCATTGCGTCGAAGACCGCTCGAATGGCTGAAATACCACACGGCGCGTTTGACCGGTGCGCGCGCGCCCTGGCTTCGCTTTGGGTATACACCAACGGATATGCTTCCGATCCGGCATAGCTCTTACGAAAGAGAGTTTCTCGTAACCGACACCTCTTCAAGCATGCCATCTGTAAGGTACGCACAGCGCCCTCAGACCACAGCATACGCGCTGTGCGACTCACCTGTTGGTCTCTTGGCCAGCATGCTCGACGTATTGTACACATCTTCCGACGCCTATACTTGGACGCCGCGAGAGATAATCAATTGGACGATGATGCAGTGGTTACCAGGTCCGGAAGCTGGGCTACGTTGGCTGCGACAGGTACAGGCGGACACCTCCTTTCTCTGGGATGACTACAGCGCAGTCCCTTTGGGCATCAGTCAGTTCAAAACTAGTGGCGAGACATCGAGTCCGCCAGTATGGGCTGCGGCCTTTCAGAATCTGAAATGGGTGAAGAGACATGAACGGTTCGCGAGATGCCCGGCTTGGGACGCGCCAGAGCAATTGGTCCTCGACATCCGGGACTTCGTGAGGGAGATGATTTATGGTCGACATGTGAACTTCGAGATCCATGCAAACGAAGTGCAACCGCTGGAACTTACCGACGCTGACGCTGGTAGACCTCAGTAACAAGGAGCTCAGAGCCGGTCTCAGAGCTGATGTCCTGACGACAATTCGCCTCCGCTATTTTTATTAGATTCTCGGCTGTCGTAGCTCACTGTGGTGTTTTGGTGCAGGCGGCGTTTCACTGTAAAGGTGACATGGTTTTCTTTTTTGTAGATATGGCGCATCTGTTTCCACTTTTAATGCTGACAGCCATCGGAGAGCCACCGTAATATATAGACTCCACCTAGCATAAACTTTTGTGCTCCCATTCCATGAAATGGGCACTTCATCCGAACATCGCGCACCCGAAACAACACTCAGTTGGACTCGCACGCATCGACTCGATCCACTTAAGCAGGGGCTGGGCCTTGACACTCAGGAAAACCGGCATTGAACAGTATCGCTCCGATGTTGGCTTCCACGAAACTCTTCTTGATCCTACGGGTATCTTTCTCAAGGATAAGGTAGTCAATTCCTAGCACTTGGGCTGGCGCGGAATTATCTACCCAGTGGACCGCTATGTTGCTGCAGTCATGAAACCAGTCAAGAGCGGTGTAAACGGTCATCGTGTTGGCAGTAGAGCCGATTTGCCTCTCGATAAACTGAGCTTTGGATGTTGTAGCGGTAGACTGGGAGGGTTGTCAGCCGCAGTTAATGTAGGGTGTCCAGGCTTGTGAAATGGATTTTGACATGTGGGCAGATTTCTCATGAAAGTGTATGATAGGTATGCACCCATGCGAGTGACAGAAATTGCCGGACTTCTAAAATACCGGACTTACTACTCACTCCCAAATCACCGAAATTTATGAGATTCACCATGTCTTTGAAGATCTTTACTCTAGCCATCCTACCTCCAGGTGTGGCTTGCACATGTTATGTGGCAGCATATCATGAAGAATCGCGCCTATTCATGACCTCCCTAAGCTGACTGAAGACCTATCTGTTTTTCGGAGTCCGGCAATTTCTGTCACCCACGTGGCACCATACATTCTGGCCCGTAGGGAAGTTCAAACCTCCAGATTGCTCAACGAAATCTTCGGTCAGGGTTCGTTCGGCAACTGCAGGATCAAATCCTGCCTCGAAGAAAGAGAAAAACAGCTGAACGATATCATATGCCTCTCGGTCAGTGAGGTAGCCTTTTCCTTTGTGCCCGCCCTTCCCTTTACCGTCATCCTGGGGATGCGCTAGGATCAGGGGCGCTAGGGTAAGTGCATAGAAAAGAAGGGACTTGATGTTCAGCATCATATTTTGGCTCGCTGAGGGGCGCTTTGGACTTTTATAAGGAACTGATCCTGCAACGAATGCAGCTACGTCTTGATATAGGAAAGTACGCGCGTAAGCTGCCAAGGCGCAATAATGGTCTCCATCAACTTATGATATGTTCTCGATCCATTAGGAAAACATGAAGCTGGTCATTGCAACATAAAATCCCGCTGGCGCGAATAACATGGAGTAATCGATAGCGGCGATACGAGATCGTGCTTACAACTATTGGTGCCCACGTTGAGGATAAGAAAGAGCTGAAGGCAGAGGCGGCTTACTATCAGCAAAAGGAGAGAGATACCGTTTGAGGCATCATCGAACAAGACTTGTAGATGTTGTGCCGTAATGTCGATACTCTTACGAAGGATGGTGTTTGTGGATGCCAGCTCCAGCACAGCAAATTGCGGAGTGGACGCGGCGACGGGTGATCCCGCGACGCGACATCAGGCAGGGGATTGGCGACTCTGAATGTCCGTCAAGGCAGAGCTCAGGGTTTTTGATGACCAAGAGCACACTCATGATCATTCATATATCTCTTCCCGCAGCTGGCGACAAGATATGTTTCGCACTTGCATGATCAGTGTGACGACCGAGCGGATCTACAATCACTTGCGGGGATAAGTACTGTAACCACCATACTCAATCTATACGATGAAGGCAGTCCGCTTTGCTGCAATCTCCGCTCACTGCCTCGAACGCCTGAAGGATCCCGGATCAGGAATCGACACTCAGGAAGCCAGCTCTACAATCACGTTGACAAACGATGATAATCTGAGTTGGCTAGATGATCGCAGTTCCAGCTCAGTCGCAACAAAATGACGAGCAAACACCTTGTTAGAAAGCGATGATTCCAACTACGAGAGTCTTCTAGCTCCTCACGAGTGCAACGCCTTCCTCTAATTTAGCGACTTAAATACCGCCCCAGCTAAGCATCATCTTAGAAACCTGAGCAATGCAGGAGGAGTTCAAAGCCACCGACGGTGGAGCTTTAAATTGTGATGAGAGTAACACAGCATCAGACGCGGCTTAGGTGACGACAGCAAACGCATGAAGCTGATTGTGAAAATGAAAGCTGGTCTCTTTGAGGTGTCCTTGAGACAATTACACTGGCGAAATGTTTGCTGCTTAGCACTTATGGGACATAAGAAGCACGCATGAAGAACGCAACATCATCCAAACCCAACCTTTACCAAAGCCACAAGAAATATGACTGAGGAAGCCATGGACGACAAAACTATCATCATCATCACATTTGTAGCACTTCTGACCGTCTGCTTTATGGCCCTCGGCAGCGTGATCCACCAACTGAGCAAAGAGATCTCCAGAAGCCGCGACGACATCTTATCCAGTCTATCTTCCCTACGGGATGCTATCCTACTCCTGAACCAAGACGCGATCACACAGCTCCATAATGGCTCACTCATCATGGCCAATCGACTGGCCGAACTGCGGAACATGGAAGCAAGCCTTGCTGATATTCAGCGCGGCACGGATGGGATACGAGCGGACGTGGCGCGTTTGAAGCGGTTGGCTGACTCTCTGGAGCCTCAGCTACGGAGGATGCGGGATGTGCCGGCGGCTGATTTTAGATCGAGTGCTAGTGCTGGAGCGAGTGCGGACGATGGATTGGATGCTGATGTTGGATCAAGTGCTGATGTCTAATACGATGGGATCTTGCGAGAACGTGGGGATTGGAGCCCACGTTGATGAGACGAACAGGATGTCAGGAGTAGGAGCGTGGTTTTACAATCATTGGTCAGATTTTCAGTGTTCACTGGAAGGTGGTCATGGAAGATCTGTATATCATCAATACACACTACGACTCTTGATCGCTGTGGGCTGCTCTAAAGCGGCTGCCCACTATTCTTCGCAGCCTTGATGAATTTGTACATCGAGTTCGTTGCGCCTCGGAATGCCAACTTACTGTACACAAACAGACCATACCGTCAACGCCTCTGCATGCCTTTCCTACTTCCTCCCCTTCTTATTGTTCTTCTTCCTATGACTATTCCCATCCCTCCCCTTCGCCCCCGTCCCCAGCGCCTGACTCCTCCTCTGATACTGCCTAACCAAATTCTCCACACTCCCCGCATCATGTTTCGGCTGGCGCATATAATACAGTCTGGCCCTCCTCGCTCGTTTCTCCTTCCTCTGCACGACCTCAATCCCTTCAACATTCGGGCTAAACAGCTTAACCCACATCTCGACGCCCACCCTCGTCAGCTGGCCACGCAGCAGGATCGCAGAATCCACACCCCGCCGTCGGATGTTGATGCACACGCCCGCGAACTGGTCGCTCTGTCCGCTGCCCGGCCGGAACCGCACGAGCAGTATGTCGCCCACCTTGGCAGCTTCGATGTTCGACTTGTCGAAGAGGCGGCGGCGCGCGCCTGTCGGGTCGAGCAGCTGGAGTTGGGCGTCCTCAACAGCTTTTACGGGGTCCGGGCAGGTTTTCTTAGGGTTTGGAGGTGCGACAACGAAGCGCATGCGCTTCATTTCGTGGGCCGGCTTTACGACGCCGGGGAGGGTGGTGCGGCAGCCGGGGAGGTGGAATTGGGCGACCTTGGCGGAGGGGATGTATATGGGCAGTGGAGGAGGCACGGATGCTGGAGATTCTGAAGATGCTGGAGGCATATGCCGTCAGTCTATGGACCTCAAGCAGACAGAGGCTCAGCGCTGATCTCGGAGTGTGTACATACGTCGCGCCTCTTCAACGGGTGGTGGTGGAGGAGGGACATCGGGTGCGGCGGAAGTTTCTGGGGTTGAGAGCCCCCATAATGCTCGTTGCTGGTGCTTCTGGATTCGCGCTTGCCGTAAAGCCGATTTCCAGCAGGCCAGCGGCCGATGCGTCGGACGTAATGTCGCCATTGGTGTTCACGAATGGTAGATGGGATGTTCTTGGTGCAGTCCGCTCGAGCTTCGCAGATGCGGCTGACTAAGCCGAAGTTTGACGCCCAGGTGGATGGAGTTGCGGACAACTTGGAGGCACTGATGGCGACCAACCCGCACCATGCTCCGCACGATATCTTGCAAGTGCTTGTGTTCAGCTTGTTCAGAATTTCCCTTCTACGCTCTTTGGTTCACAAACGACGTTCTTTTGAAGGCATTGCTAGCTCCTTCAGCTACTTAGATATAATCTAAAAAGCGCCTAAGCCAGGTGGCACGTGGATGCAACTAGCCATTCGACAGTCATTTTGGCTGCAAAAACCCGCTGGGCGCAAAGGTGCCGCAGCTCTTAAATGCATGCTAACTTTTGAGATGTCCATATGCCCAGCTGGGTCAAGAAGTTCCGACAGACCAACCGTTGCAACGCCGATTTGATGCTTTTACTTTTGACCAACCGAAAACCATGTTCAGCGTAATGCTCAGCAGCTTCCTCCGAAGTTCATCTCAGCCTCCTTTTGCGGCGTACCCGCGGGTGTCTCCACAGGCGTCTCCGCCAGCGTTTCCTCTCCGTCCATCCATGTCAGCCCGTTGGCAGACTCTTCAATTATGAACGCTTCGCCGGCGTATTCTTCTATGCTCCGCGGGCCTTCCCAAAGCTTCCACGCCTCTGCGGTACAGTTTTCCTCCAAATCTGGCCCGAAGTATGGCGCGCGCATTTGTCCAAGTGTCTGCTCTAGCGCCTCGAGGTGCTCGCGGTATCCGGTAGGTACGGGCACGTCGATGCATATAGGACCGCGGACATAGGTTACCGGACGATGGAGAGCGCGAGAAAAAGCTTGGCAGACTTCGCGAGGCGTGAGGTGCTCGAACGCGAGTGGAATCCTGTGAGCGAGGTTTTGTTAGCATCCTTAAGCCTGCTGCACGTCCCCAGCGGGGTAGTGCCTTATTTCAGCGTACAGTGAAAGGAGGGACACTCACCGATGCCCTGACCATTTCCTTGGGCCTTCTTTGAAGATCTGCAGAACCGCCGGACCGACGTCATGCTCTGCGTCTAGCCACGGCAACTTGTCATTCGGGTGGAAGGGTGCCTGCCAGATGAAGCTTCTGTCCGGCTGAAGCTCCATTCTGAACAAGGGGTAGGCCAAGCTGGTGAAGTTGTTGTGGTAGATACCGCAATATATGAAGGTTGCAGGGAGACCAATCTGGCGGATGTAGTTCTCAATGGTGAACTTCTGGGCCCACAGCGGTAGTGCTCGCCAACCCTTTCCATAGATTGAATGATCGGGCATGCTGCTATAGATCAGGTGCTGGACGCGGGCCTTCTTCGCCGCGTCGGCCATGGACCGGCCGATTGCAACTTCATCGCCCCAGTGGGTGGTGTTGATGAAGGCCAGCTGCGCGCCGTTGAAGAGGTCGGCGACGAAGGCCTTGTCTTGCAGAGATCCAACCCGGAAGTCGACATTGGGCAGGTTCGAGAGCTCTTCGGCGACGATGCCTACTTTGTCCCGTGACTGCGCCCGGACGTGCCATCCCACGGCTGACGCGACGCGAATGAAACTTGCCGATTGGCGGCCGGAGCTGTTGATGGTGACGACCGTCTTGCCCGGCATGCGAATCGAACGGGTAGCTAATGGGCTCAAACGTGGCTATGAGGGGGACGTCACGCCAAGTTCCGCGCGGTGTCAGGATTAAATGCGACTGAAGAATTGATCTGAATTTTTGACAGTGCGCGGATAGCGTCGGGTGTACAGCAGGCGACTTGGAAACACTTGGATGGTATCAGTCGAGGCGGCAGTGAGCCTTGACAATGCAAGGACCGACGATGAACCAAGCGGATATGTGTTGCGACGCCGTGGTTGACGGCCAGCGATGCGAGATGGCGGCTCTGGGATTGTACTGGGAGGTTCACACGCAAAGTTGAAGTTTAGAAGAGATACTTTGAGTGGAGATCAGCGGAACGGGAACATGGACGCTTATGCAGGTAAGCTGGATAAGGCGTTACTCTAATAAAGAGGTTGATATCGATTGTTCTCGAATCCTGGTTGTGCTTGCCGCAAGGGTCGGTAGAGGCCGTACGGACAGGGAAAAAGGGAGACGCCATTTAGGATGGGGCAGAGTGCGGCTAGTTAGGGGTGACGAGAGGAAGTCACGGAAGGCTCGAAAGCGCGGAGACGTCTGAAAAGAAGGCGGTTAAGCCATCGGTTTTGTGCGACTCGGCCATGTGTGTGGGCAGACGGTCAACGGGTTGAGGCAAGAGATCCTCGTCTTTTACCTAATAGCAGCGAGCTGGAGCCACCTGCAGTTCTGGCACGGGGCTTTGTGTTGAGCGAAGCAACTAATCAAGCGGCGGGGAGTCGTCCTGTGATGGCATTATTGGGAGCGGAGTGTGGAGATGTGGAGTTGTCAGCTGCCATCAAGCTGGACAGCTGGAAATCAACCAAATGGACAGCTGGGAAGCGGTGACGCTGTTTCTCGTGATGGGCGGCTGATTCTGCTGGCCAGCCGCCCCTGTTCGGCTGCAAATCCGTCCGCTCGGAGTCTTCGGCGGATGAGACTGCGGGGGGGGGGGTTCCCGTCTGGAAAGCCATCGCGGGGGCTGGCTTGGGATTCCCCAGGTGGCTCTCGGAGCGCTTCCCTCGTTCGGAGCAAACGCCTAGAAACTCATCTAAGGTATCACGCTCCCCGTGCCCCTTTATCGCATCCCTGGTCGCCAGGAACGGTAGTATCTTTTCGGTACCTTAGACTAGCATTCGTACGAGCGGACTCCAAGAGCGGGCTGTTGAGCCCCCCCGGCTAGTCTTGTACCCTCTAGCGGAAACCACATATAAAAAGCACCTCGCTTCTCGGGAACGCGACTAGCCCGATCATGGCCCCCCCTTGTAGATGCATCTGCATTGGCCCAGAGGCGGGCAGCGGCCCACAGCTCCGAAGCGGCTCGCTGCTCACGGAAAGACGCACCTAAAATAGGGCAGGAGGGGATAGGGCAAGAGATCGAAGCAGTAACAGCAGGCTCACGTGACGACCGCCTATCACGCATGTCCACATCGGTTCTCACGGCGCCTCCGCCGCAGGATCGCAAGTGTTGTAGATACTCCATTGGTGGGCAGCATAGTGTATCTTGTCCCTGCTAATTGCATGATGTCAAGCCAAGTTGGGACTCTCGGTAGTTAGCACTCACGATAACCAGGCGACCACGTCCGCAAGCCACGGCTTAGTGGGGTGCAGTTGGCTGAGAACGGAAACAGTATTCCGATAAGTCAAAAATAGCGAGACCTTGGGCGCTAGAGGTGAACAAACGCCTTTTCATCTATGCTTTCTCTATGAGGTATTTTCAATTGCCGCTGCATACGCCGCTCTTCCCAAGAGTGTGGGTGCGCTCGCCATGAGCACAGCTCTGACGAAACATCGCACCAATAATGAAGTGCTCCAGTAATGCCAAAGCGCGTTTGCGGATGTCTCATGACCTTTAGGAATGCAGCAATAGCCCAAACACCTGTGATGTGGAGACCTTCAAGTCAACTATGCGAATCCCTCCCCAATTCTCCTATGAAATCTGTCAGCGGTGCGGCTGTTTAGTCACGGCTCTTCAATCGTCAACGGAATATCCTGCTGCCCTCCAAAGAGCAGCGTCGCCTCTCCCTTCTTTCGCCTCAAGTCTTGCGGCTCTCATCTCTTCTGAGTATGGATGCGCTCCAGCCTCTCGTAAAAGCTCCACATGCTTCGCTAATCCAGCCTGCGCTGCAAGGAAGAGAGGAGTGCGACCTTCGCGGTTTCGAAGATGTACCGAGGCGCCCTGAGAAAGGAACTCGCGAAGTATCTCGACGTTCGGGCAGCGAGCGGCGAGGTGCTGAGGCACATGTTAAGCGCTGTTCCAGATCTAAGCTCCTGATTCTACTTACAAGAGGCGTATTTCCAGAGTAGTCCGTATCGTTGAGCAGCCACCTCTTCTCCCAGCGCATCACATCCAGGACACCCTGTAGGTCGCCTTCTTGCACCTTGTAGCCCAATGCAATAAGACTTGAGATTTCTGGAGTAAGTGTTCCGCTGTTCGGGTGCTGAAAATGCGTGCGAGAGGCCTCCGTGAGTTCGCCTCGTAGAGACACGCTCATGCGCTTAGCAATCTCCTGAGGCGTCGTATCTGTCACAGGTACGAGTCAGCTGAAATCCACTGAACATTTGAAGTTGAGCTATCACCTGGTAATGCCAACAAGTACGAAAGCTTAGTGAGTGCCGCCTCAGTCGTCATGTCCTGTCCAAACACAACCCCAGCCCTCCCAAGAACAGTAGCCGGCGCATAGAGCGGGCTAACGCTGCCGCTAAGGCATTGCGTTACGTTGACAATCACAGTCCCGCGCTTGACAGCATCCGCAAGCACCTTTGTCATGTCCGAATCCGGCCCGCCTGGCGTGTTCCCCGCGCCGTACGTCTCAAGTACCAACCCTCGGAGGCCTTCTTGGCGCAGGACGGCGTCTATCATGTTTGGCCTGATGCCGGGGAATATCCTGATGCACGCTACGTGTGCTGTATCCAGTCTCATTTGTATGTTGAATTCTTGCATCTCTGTTGGCCGGTATACTGCATCCCAGGAAACGTGTGTTTTTGTGGCAGATACAGTGGCTAGTGGCGGCATGTTCGGCGAAGCGAACGCGTTGAAGTCGTCTGCTGCCACCTTCGTTGCACGGTTACCGCGGAAGAGCTTGAAGTTGAAGAAGAGACAGACTTCCGGTATCATGAAGTGGCCGGCTATTATCAGAGACGATAAGAGGTTGTCCGTGGCATCGTTCTGGAGCTCCATCATTGGCGCTTGGGAACCCGTTAGGATGACCGGTTTACCCAAATTCTGCAACATAAAGCTGAGCGCAGAGCAGGTATACGCCAGCGAGTCGGTGCCATGTAGGATGACGAAGCCGTCGTACAGCTTGTAGTTCCAGTACACGCACTGAGCGATGTAGTCCCAGCCTTCGGCGTCGATGGAGCTGCTGTCCAACAACGTCTCAAACTCGTACACGGCATACCTCACGCGTCTGTCGTATGTGCTGACAGGAGTCCGCAGGCTCTGGATAGCCTTTCTGCTACCAGCGTCGTCGGTGACGATTTCGAGTGGCTCTGGGTATGAGCCGTCGTTGAAAGAAGGGCGCGGAGCCAAGCCAGACTTCAAGAACCCCCTAGCCTACGTGCCCGTGTCAGACGCAGCCTGGGTAAAGGTGAAAAGAAGAGCAGGTTGCAAAAAAGCATAGAAGGTGTTGTGCCGCATGCAATCAGGAATCTTAGGCTGACTCTACGAAATGCGGAGGGACAAGGCTATGAGCCTCAGGTGAAAGGTTGGAAAAACGCCGCGCAGCGGACAATGACTTTTACGGCTTGACAGAAGGTGAACAAAACTCATTCCTACCGGTACAAGCCCGTCTGGCGAGCGCTTCATGCATATTGTTCCACCCGTAATGATGATAAGGACTCGAGACTCTGGAAACTGCAACTCAGGTAGAGCAGCCATCATGACTCCGGCACGAGGCACAGCAACTTCAACAGCCCACTAGAGGGGTCCAGTCCAGTGAGAAGTCTTGACTTGGGATAATAACGTGACGCGTTGCGCTTATAAAGAGCGCACAAGATAGTGACAGGTTGACCAGACTTGTTTAACTCCCCCGGATCGGTACCAGGTCAACGAACGTATGTCAGATTGAATAGAGGTTTGAATCGCTATTGCGTAGATTACTCAGATAACCTTGGATGTTCAGATTTCGCAAGGCTCTAGTGCCTGAGACTCTGTGTTCAAGGTTGTGCAGGGGTTAAGACTGCGGCACGCGAAAATTCAACTGATAAAATTGGTCGCGTTGAACTTGCCGAGATCGGCAGGACCACGGCACCGCATTATTATGGCAGTACGAGCGAGTGAATGTCCTAGTAATTCAAACGTGTGCTCAGCTTAGTGGGCTCCTTCCGTCCAGGTGGTATAAATCTATGACACATACCTGGGTAGCGTATCTGTGCTGTGTGGTGTTGCAGTGAAGGTCTCAGGAATTGGGCTGATGTTGGATTTTCGGACCAAGGGACACCCGGAAAGGCCGTTGACGCATCTTTGCTCCAGCTTGTTTGATGCCAAATTCGCGATCAAACTAGACTCAGGATCCTATCAGTCATGAAGCAACTAGACCATTCCGCGTAGTAGAATGTAAATGACGTTCCAGCAGATTGGCTCTTTGATGCACCGATCACCTAAGGTGGCTTTAATTTATGGACTGTGCTTGAGGCCTATCCAGCTCCAGGCTCACGAGTAACTTTTCAGGCGGCAATCGACTTTTAAGATTGCTCTTAGACAGCTTCAAAAGCCTAGCCCTGGCGCGGTTCACATATTGGGCTTTCTACGTGTATACGAGTTCTTAGGCAGAGAAGATCGTTGTGGTTTGCAATGGACCTGGGTACCTGCGTTGTCACCCACGTGCAATTCCGGCTGTCAATTTCAACGGGACGGTCATTCAGACAGCAAAGGCGTCCTCAGAAGCCGGGCTGCTGACAGCAAACGCAAGGTGAAAAGACACTACTTGAGTCCATTGATTGCAGTGCCCAACTCAGTACTAGACGAGGAGATCATCCATGACCTGTTCGTGATAACAATAGACGTCGCTGAACACCCCAACTAGCCTGCAAATCATCGCGGCGTATCCAACTCATGTACCTGCTTCGTCGGACTCTGAAACTCGCTATACTGCGGCGCGGGCGTATTTTGCGGACTTGGCAGCTCCGCTGGAAGTTCCGCCTTTGGTGTTGCCGGCAGCTCAGCCTTGTAGCCGAAAGACTGCGGCTGCTGATACGACTGAGACGCGTATTGCTGGGGCGGGGATGCATAGTATCCATCACTGTTGGCTGGCGGCGCTTTCGGGTCGTTTACAAGAGTAGGACTTGTCGGATTGTTGTTTTTGGCTCCACGTCTGCGCTTACGCCAGAGGAAGACGAAGACGCCTGCAACGAGAAGCAGGACGCTGCCTCCTACGCCGACGGCGATACCAACGATTGCACCGGTGCCCAAGCCATTTGATCCATCATGAGTTGCTGCAGAGCCGGTTGAGCCTCCAGGAGGGCCCGTGACAGTGACAGTGGCTGGACCTGCGCCTGTAGCGAGCGAAAATACTGTCTCAGAGGCCCCAGCAACAACCACGATATCCTGCTGAGTAGTTGGCATCGAACGGGTTGAGTATCTTTCATCCAGACTGGTAGGTGTATATCCCGAGACAGGGACGAAAGTTGCTCCACTGGGCGAGAAGTAGAGGGTTGGGGTAGCCATGTCCGTAGGCAATGATAGAATAGGGTTAAGGACGCTGGGACCGGCGAACGCAGCTCGTAGGGGTCTCATGTCCAGGCAATTTTGCGTCGGCGTTAAATATTCTATGGCCTCATGCCATCGAGTCGTAAACGCTGGACAATTGTCACCACAGCTCATCGGGTGGTTGCATCCCCATGAATTCAGGTTGCCGCCGGTGTCGTTGCAATACACGAGGCCTACCCAGCTGGACATCTCTGCGAAGTTTAAAGTCAGTAAAGCCTACACGCAAACGTCTAAGGGTTAAACGAAAAGTGCATGGCGGCCGTTCGACCAGCAAAATTGCCGCCTGGAAGTCGGACGAAATGTGCATGGCGAGATTTTGACAGCAAAATCGCAGCTCAAGGTTCGGACGTAGAATGTTTGAAGGGCGTTCGAGTAATAGGATTGCCGTCCCAAAGGTCGAACGAAGAGTGCATGGCAGCGTTTCAACAGCGAAACTGCCGTCTATAGGACGTCGCCACACAAGTTTCGGCTGACTCTTGGTCGTATCAGGGAAACGTAGATGATAGACTCGACAAAGCAGCGCAAGAGAACAAGAGACTGAACGAACTCGTGTCGAACCCGCACTTCTTGGGGCATGTATAGTGCTGATAAGTTTCATCCGTACAGCCATACTGGTAAGTGATCGTGGTGTTTGGGTCCCAGCAGGAGTTGTCGCTGAGACAGATGTCGCCGTTTACGCAGCAAGATGAATGACCGGATCCACTAGAGCAGGGAACAATCGCAGACCCAGCTTGAGCACCGACGTCATAATAACATCGCCGAGCTGGGGCTAACTGAGCTTCGACGACGCGCAAGGAGATATTGCAGACCAAAAGGAGTGCCAATGGAAGAATTGAGAGATTGAGCATCGTTGACGAAAACATCGTGCGAGAGAGGTCCGACGACGGTAGAGAAACTGGTGTGACGTTATCTGCGGCCTCGCCCCGATATATCTCTCCGCAACAGAGATGGGGGCCAGAAAGGCTGAAGGGCTGGTTGTATGTGCGCCAGAGGCGCAGCTCCCAGTCTGTACGACAGCCTTCCGGAGCTCGCAGCGCACAAGGCTGACGGACAGCCGCATCTCGTTTGTTTGCGTCAGGTCAGCCTTCACCGTCTGAGCGGTTGCCCCTTGACGAGGCTGTGGAAGGCTGTCTAAAAATGGCAAACAGTCCGCGAGAGTGGCTTACAGTTCTCGCCAATCCGAGGACCCGTTCCAATTGACATTCTGGTGGCGCTGGCACAATTACCAGTGGAAACTGGCTGTTGAGGAGCGATGGCACTGGAGCAGTTCCGCCGATAACGTCTATCAATAAGGAGATGTCGAGGCGATGTGATGATTGAACCCATACTTCAGAACTGCCATCTCAGACTCTTGGACTGCTAACTAGGTTACCAGTCGGAGCTGAACACATCTCTCTACAAGTAACAACCCTACTGCCGGGCACATGCAGCAGGGGCATCTGCATGCTGCATGCTGCACGAATCCTTTGGAACGTTGCAGGCAAACCAGCGGCGCCGACCGAATGGCGGCATGCTCACCTCATCCCAGCTGAAGGATCGATGCAGAGGAGCGGCACCCACATCCCGGGCCCGAAGGCTGAGACATGTTTCGAGGAGCGATGTTCGGTGGCCCCGACACCATTTGACGACCTAAAGAATCTGAAGAAGATGAAGACGCGCGAGAAAACCAGCTGGAAGGACGATCTCGACAAGGATAGGCCTGAACAGTTCAAAAATACGTTGCAGCACTGAAAGCCACTCATGGACAGTAAGGTGAACAAGATCTTGGTTGATTGATTCACTGCAAGCCTAGAAAGCTAAAATGGCTAGTGGTTTCTACAGTATGAAATCGGTCTAGTTATCTTGCCCTTGCCATGATCACGAGTCCAGCTCAGTCATGAATCTGGCGTTCAACGACTACCAGCCAAGATGCGGCAACGGAGTTTTTGGCTGGCCCTTGGGCGCTTCCGGTGGCTGTTTCATGGTTAGACGCGGCAGACGCGTTCTGCACCGCCCAGCTGGCTTCGGTTTTAGCAGTATCATGTAAGAATCACAATATCACACGTGAATCTTACAGTCGTCTCAACGATGCAACAAAATCAAAGTCGATTGTACTATTGACAGAATGCCTCGTAATGAGTTATCATGAACTGGGTATCTTAAAGTCATCACGTGCAACAACCCCCATACCAGGTAGTCTGGATTCAACCATCTCCCACTACTTTTGCAACCTGATTATCAAAAGATCTTCTTCAGTGTCTTACCAACGCCATCCACGAAGCCACCTGGGGGCTTCCCCGACCCGTCCTTCTTCCCGCTCATATCCTTCTCCCCACCCGCCGACGTCCCTCCGCCAGCCAGCGGCTGCAGTACCTGCCACCTCAAACCCGAAAACCCAACAATGGTATTGAACGCCTCATCCCTTACTCTCATCGCCTCGACCTGATCTATCGTACCGTCCGTGAAGGCAAATTCGAGCAACTTATCCGTCTTTCCCAGCTTGAGCTTGGCTGAAGTGCTGAGCTTCCTCAGCTCTACCAGCTCCGCGTAACGTCTCCGCCACAGTTCTTTCTTCGGGAAAGACCTGATGAAGCGAATGCCACCTGTGTAGATGGCTAGTTGCCCGACTTGGCCGTGCCAGCGGCAGCGGAAGGAGAGGAAGTCAGCTTCCTCAGACACGTAGAACGCTTCATCGGCAGTCTCGTAATCCGCGCTATCGTCGGACTCATCAGTTGCGTAGGGCCCGCCGGCGGAGCTCGCCTCTACAAGCATTGGAATAGCATGACTCTGCGGAGCTACCGTCGGGTTGAGGCTGCCATCCTCGTCTTGGAATTGCTGCTCGATCTTACGGTTGATGATCTTCTCGCGGGTCTCTTGAGCGTACCTTCGGAGGTAGCGGAAAGACCATTCCGCATGGGTCGGTATGTCCCAGAAGATATATCTGATAGGAGAGACGATGTGCCTGTACTTGGGATACCTCGTTGCAATAGGCCTGCAGAAGAAGAAAATCAAAATCCCTATCAGTGTCACGCTGCGCATCGACCAACCCGTCGGCGTTAGGAGGCCGAGGGCTACGCAGCAGGAGAAGAAGAAGACCGTCGCTGCCGTCATGCGAGGATCCTTCCACTCGTAGAAGTTCGTGATGATTTCGAAAAAGTCCGCCAAATCACTGAGCTGGATCTGCGCCCACGGACCGATCTCATTCAAGGTGGGTTCAATCCAGTCGCCGCTGCCGTGCCGATTGATGATTTCGCCGAACATGAACGCGCTGGTGCTCTCGTCCACCGCTCGCTCGTGCGAGGCTCGCAGGCTGTCGACAGAACGCGCTTGGTATCGATTTGCTACAACTATGAATACGATGTAAACCCACTGAGGCAAGCATTAGCCGTACTGCTGCTAGTCATCATACCTACGCCGGATTACCCACGAAGAAACTTATGACGCAGTCGGACACCCATAGAAGACTGAAGATTGCGAGCCACTTCGCCGTATGCATTGGATCTTCCCAAGTGTAGACCTTGCGGAGGCTAGCGAACCAAGACTGCCATGGCGACGAAGCCATGATCAGTCGTTCACAGTGCTTGACGAGGACATCGCGGTCAAACGGTAATTCGTCCGCGTCCACTTCATCGATATAATGGCTCGTATAGGTTTGGACCTCGTAAAGAAGGTGCTATGAGATCTTAGCTTGGTACCTCTCGATACAACGCTGCTTAAAATCATACGACATACATGACCAATATACTCCGGCCACCGAAATCGGACGTATTGGCCGTTCTCGTCGTACTCCCGATAGTCTGGCTTGCGCGGATAATCGATCTTGGTTTTTGGCACTGTCCGCGCGCGGTAGACGAATCTGCTCGTTGTCCATGCCACCTTCATGCTCTCCCTGTGGTGCTCTATATCTTCGACCACGTCTCTCATATGCTCCACGCGCTCTTCATCGTCTGAAAACCCGTCGGCACTCGACTGTGCCCGACTCAGTTCTTCATGAGCTTCGAGGAATATAGCATCCGCTTTCTGCGAAAGGTATGGATGCTCAGACGTGGCCAGCTTGGAGGCAGCCTGATGCTGTAGCGCTTCTTTGGGATGAGCGACTACATGGGCGGCCTTCTTCAGTGCTCCGAGGCTCTTCTCGACAGTGTCAGAGACGGTTTGCTGCTCGCCGAATATCTTCTGAGGGTTGAACGCGGGATCATTCTCGACGGTGTCGGGAATGCCATCGTACTCTACCTGTATCTTTTCCCGGGTATCATCGGCGCCTACGGCTCTCTTGACTTTCAACTTCGTCTTCTGGCCGAGGCGCTTGATACGTTCTCGCTTCGATGGCTTTGTGTGGCCATCGTCTGCTTGCTCCGTCGAGACCTCACTCTTCCCCTCCTCACCAGTGCTCGCATCTCCGAGACGCTCAGAATGATGCGCGAGAGGTGGCTCGTCGCTCGTGGTAGTCCTGAAATCAGATACCGGATCGCTGATAGTGTGATCGAACGTCTGTTCCGTCCATGGGTCCTCTGGATGCGGCATGGTAAGCCACTCAAAAACTACCGTGAAGCCAGAAGCTTGGTATGCAATTCCAGGAATGTAGGGAGTGGTTTTGTTCCTAGATTTCTGAAGCCATAGCTAGGTGGCCTGAACGTCGCCAGCAGATTTCATCCCCCAGAACAGATGACGAGGTTGACGCTGAATGATGTGCAGTCGAGGGTCCAGAGGCGGGCTAATCACAAGACTGTCCTCGTATGGATGAGATCGAGGGTGCAACATAGTGTTGCTGTCTCTCAAAGTCGCAAAGCCTTCACGGCGCCGAGATAGCCGTGGTTGCGACATGCGCAAGACGCACATCGCAAGTCTCATGACGCTTTGCCCATCTGCACGTCATGCTTTAGCTTATCCGATATCTAGCCGCTCCGCGTAGATCTGGGTGGCGACTGTCGCTTATTTTCTTGGGCATATCAGACAAGATGGAATTTGAGATTTGCTGCAACACAGAGAGCATCTCGAACAAGCTATGCTCCTCCGCCGAAGTAAATTTTCCGCATGCGACAACTATCAGTACTCTCACATCAAGAACAAAGGCATATGTTCGTCTGGCGATCTTCGTTCTACCAATGCCCATCCCGGAGACCTCTCCGGAAACCCCGCCGCACTAGGTATCATTACTGGAGTTTTACACCATAACTCGACATCGGGAGCTTTAGAACCTCATTATTGCGCCAACATCGACGCTTCTTTTACCAAAACAGTTAACGGCATTGCCTAAAACTGCTCTAGATATAAGTGTCATCGTAACGGATCTGGCTTCGAGTTGTGGATAAGCTAGGGCTGCGATCACGTGGTCTGGAGAAATCTCAACCTCGACGGCAGCTGTATGACTTACGGTACACCTGGGTCCTTGTATACAGATCCTACGGACAGCTCCCTGAGGTTCTTCAGACCAGCAATGCGCGGCATTGTTGAACTGGCTCAAAAGCTGCTGTCATCAATGATCGGCGACAAGTCTAGCATTTTCGCCACCATCCTTTACGACTCCAAGCTTGATCGCAACGACAAGCTGATCGTTCAATCACACTAACAGTTGGGAATGGGAGATACGCAAGAACTTCCCTCCAAAAAGCGCAAAACCCTGCATGATTATTTCAAAGCGCCCAGCAAGACCCCAAGCGGGGAGCCAGCGCTCAAGCAGCCGCGAGAATCGTCAATACCCGGGTTTTCAGTCCTGCCATCATTGGTTTCTCCATCCGAGCAGGAAAACATCCTCGCCTTCCTCAAAAACCAAGCATGGCGTACCGATCTCTCGCGCCGCACAATTCACTACGGCGGTACCTACTGTCTGATGCCTCCCAAAAACGCCACAACAGCTGAACGAGCCGCTGTCGAGCGCAATATCATTCCCGCACCTCCTATTCCATTGGAACTGCACTGGCTCATTGACCGCATGGTCGCACGCGGCTTCTACGACGATCACGCACGGCCTGAGTTCTGCATCGTGAACGAGTACCTCCCCGACCAAGGAATCTCTGCGCATGTCGAGAACTTCCGTTTCGGCGAGCCGGTGTGCAGCTTGACGCTGGGCTCTGGGGATTTTATGCGGTTTCATGAGTTGGCCGCGCCGCATGATGGCTCTGTCAGATCGTTCAAGGCTGTGCAGGCGCCGAGGACTGGGAGAAGAGAGGATGTTTGGCTGCCTTCTGGGAGCTTGGCGGTGCTCACGGGAGATGCAAGGTACCGGTGGCAGCATGAGATTGTGCGTGGCAAGAAGGGGAAAGAGGCGGGTTGGAGACGGGTGAGCTTGACTTTTAGGGTCGAGGTGAAGGGACAAGCGTCAGGAAGAAAGTAAGCGAACGAGTTCGACCAGGCGCTGCATACGGTACGGCGTCGCAGTCACTGGATGCCTTGGCCTGTTAGTCGTGTCGGAGTCGAGTTTGAGATCTGGATATCAGTCATCCGAGTTGACATTGCTGTCTCATGTGCAACTCTTGGTCAGTTGCGTTAAACTAGGGATACAGCTTGTCCGCTTTCTCGACGCTCACGCTTGGCCTGGCTGATGCGGCTTTTCTCCTTGTCCTTCACTCTCTCCCAGTTCTCTTGGACCCAGTTGACCAGGCCTTCCTGGTCCTCTTCGTCAACCGTTGATGCCCAAGGAGGCCGATTCTCATCGTGCATGTCCGCTTCATGACGCAGCTCAGGCTTACCGTTCTCGAATTGCACCCACCGCTTCAGAGCCCGGAGAACCAAGTTCAGCTGGTCTCCCTGCTTGGGTACGACTCTCCTTACCTCTTCCCAGAGTGCATCCTCCCTTAACATGATGTCGTGCGTATGCATCATCTTCTCATACTCTTTCTGCTGGTTGAATGCGCTTAGCGCTAGCTTCAGGATCTCCTGCCTTGTCCACTTCAGGTCTTTCAACTGTCAGCCAAGACCCACGACAAATTGCTTGTCACTTAAGTTGAGACCGCTTACCTTCTACTCTTAACTCTGGACGAGCTGGCAACCACTCGTTCAAGAAGCTCGCAAACATGGAACGCTGCTTCAGACGCCGCCGATCATTCGACTTCTCCCTCTTATCGTTCAGAAACTCAAGGCTGAAGAATCGACCGCTGGTACACCACTCAAAGATGTCTTCCACACTCGTAAAGCCTGCTGGGCCTTGCCCTAGTGTGCTCCGGCCATGCCACTTGTTCGCGTCCAGTCCCAGAAAGGCCATGACCGCGTCCGGGTCCTTCGTTAGGAGCAGCATACTCTCCTTCTGATTCCTCGCCTCGATCTCCGGAATGCGCAGGTGGAATCCCTTGACGTTGGCCGTAAAGCCGAGGTTCCGCAGCGTGTGTCCGAAAATCTGCCACAGGTCACCGTAGGACTTCATGAAGACATCCCAGTCCAGCATGTCTGGCGGGCACTCTAGCAGGTCGACCTGTACGTATTGGTCGTCTGTTCCGGCCAAGGGGACTGCATAGCTGACCGCCGGGTGGGTCTTCGTCCATCTTTCCGCCCGCAGCCCGACGGCTACGTCGTCGCGCACGCAACCATGCTTGAGTCCTGCTACCAGGAAGTCGATGTCGCCGTGGTCGGGCTTGTCGGGAACCTCTTGCGGACATCTGACCTCGTTGTAGAACTGTTGAAGAGTTTCTTGGTATTCTCGCTTGAGCTTGAAGTAGAGCTCAGGAGGCATTCGAGGCGTGCTTAGAGCGTCGTCGCCCTGGGAGAATGCATTGCCGCCCATAACGCTGGAGGCAGAATGGAGGAGAAGTGGACGCTGAGAGACACTCGAATGGAAGGCAGCAGAATCAGACAGGGCGGTCTAGTAGACACTGCAAGGTCGCAAGAGATGCGTTGAGGAAACGGACAGACGGACAAAAAAACAACCTGAGGCGGATTGTCTGTCTAAAATATAGGCTATGAAGCAAATGCAGCCAGATGGAAGCAACAAGATTAAGGATACCGTTTGTTAGATAGCATCAGCTCCTGTCTATCACTCATCCTGTCCTTGCGTGAGTCAAACAACCGAACCCGCAGCTAGCCATGGCTCTCCTCTTGCGAGCCTTAACGCCCCATCTTTACTGTACTCTAGGTTCCAGTGATGTGTAAATTGTTGTTAGAGTACGAGTAGCATCGAACTCTATGAATGCCAAAGACTTTGAGAATAGTAACGGCGCTCGTGGATTGGTTGGCAAGGGGTGACGGGAGGTGCTGCGGCGGCCCTGCGGGCCGAGACTGACGTCGCCGAAAGGGCCCCAAAAATGCCGCACCACAATGGAAATTTTGGCAGGCGGCACGCCACCTCCCAAGAGCCAAACCACCTTGAACTCACGGCTTCCGTTCTGCTTCTGCCTTCCTTCACATACAGGTAATTACCACAGCAACTGAGCAAAGGTAGCTTCTGCAACTCACCTTGCATACGAGGAATAGACGCTGATCGGTGAACAGGCTCTGGCAGGTTCTACTCAACGCTCACGAGAACACGAGACAAAAATTGCTTAGTTGCTTCTTCAACAACCTACTTGCTCACAAGCCTCCTACTTCCCACGAGACAGCCTTCGACAATTCCAAGCTGGCAAAACAACGCCCCTCGAGGATCGAAGTGCGCTGCTAGGCTCACTCAGCCACCGACCTTGCGTTTCCTAGCATAACCTCAGACTTCCATGCGTCGAGAGGACCTCGTGCGATTTCTGTCCAAGCCTGCGAAGTAAGCTTCTTCCGCCGCTTGGCGCTCGTTCGCTGCTGCTTGCCGATATATCGGGCAGCCGCCTGAAACCACTGCGTTGATTGCTTCCTTGAGTTTGGACGCTCCAACTGACGCGTCACTTAGGCCCAGATAACACGACCTACTCGTATTTCGTCGATTCAATCTACCCCACAGAACCCACAAGCAGATATCCTCGTCTGCTAGACCCGATACTTTCCCAGGGTATCGGAATCTGTCAGATCGAGGACCACAACTGATCGGCACCATTTCTCCGCGGAAAGCCTCCTTTATCCCTCTCTCTGCGCGTCCTCCCTAACGCCCTTGACGGCCACCCGAATAGCTTCCGCGATTGCTGCTGGCTTAAGCCAGCCTCCACAAAACCCCACATTTCGTGGGCCTTCTCTTCTCGGGCGAACTCCGCACCGTTCGTCTGGGCAGCAGATTGTGCTTCACAGCCTTACAACCAATTCAGTCACCGTCGTAATCAGCCTTACACCGGTTTATCAGTCATCCGCTGCCTCGCGCCGTGTCCCCGCCCGCCACTCACACGGAGATGGTCAATACTGAGATCCCAAGGCATTACACTGCGTCGCCGTCGTCGTACCCGGGAACGCCCCATTTGACGATCAATCGTGAGGCTACTATAGACCTCGACTCCACCAATGCCTTCGAAGGTATGTTCAACACTACATGTTACAACTCAATCTCTGACAGAGGACAGGGCCAGAAAAGCTCCTAGAAGTATGGTTCGCGGCCTCTTCAGACGTTCTGCCGGACTCTGCTGGACCTCATGGCCTCAAGAAGGTCTCTGCTGACACTTGGAAGGAGATGCTTGACCTTGTCAACTGCAAGGTTCTCTCCGTCATCGAATCCGAACATGTGGACGCTTACCTGCTCTCGGAGTCTAGCATGTTTGTATTCCCGCACAAGCTTGTTTTGAAGACATGCGGCACCACGACCCTACTCTTGGGTCTTCCGCGCATGCTGGAAATTGCCGCCCTTGAAGCCGGCTTTCCACATGCGAAGGCCGACCCCCCGAGAGGCATTCCGGCTGCTGCGACTCCGTATCGCGTCTTCTACAGTCGCAAGAACTTCTTGCATCCGGAGCAGCAGCGCGGGCCCCATCGCAGCTGGAGAGACGAAGTTCGCTTCATGGATAGGATGTTCCTTGGCGGCAGCGCTTACATGATCGGCAAGATGAACGGCGAGCACTGGTATCTGTATATCACCGGACCGGATACCCGCTTGACACCACCTACCACACCGGATCGGGAGAACTCAGAAACCGAGACTAGGTTCATCGATATGCGCAAAGGAGAATCGCCTGACCAAGGCTCCGACGAAGCCCAAGACGAGACTCTCGAAGTCCTAATGACCGATCTCGACGAGAAGAACGCCCGCCAATTCTATCTTGAAGATGCGAGCGCCGTCGCAGAGGGCCGCTTCTTCCAGCGTGCCCGCGAAGCCCGCAAAACCGCCATCTCGAACCTCGGCGTCATTCACGAAAACCCATCCGCCGAGTCCAGCTTAGCCGGCAGCACCCTCCTCAACGGCCAAAACAACACCACTCGCAACGCCGCCGACGACTTCGACGTCTTTGAGCAGACCTCCTCGGACCACAGCGGCTTCTCTTCCGGCGAGGAGAACGAGGAGGACCTCACTTTCCCCGAGGAGCTCACGACCGAAGGCCACACGCTCGGCACCGTCGTCTCCGACTCGTGCGGCCTTAGCGACGTCTACCCGACGGCCAAGTACCCAGATGCCCGCATCGACGCGTACTTGTTCACGCCCTGCGGCTTCAGCGCCAACGGCGTCGTCCCCGCCCCTACCCGCGCAGACGGCTCGAAGAGCACGCACTATTTCACCGTGCACGTGACGCCGGAGCCGCAGTGCAGCTACGCGAGCTTCGAGACGAATGTTCCCGCGCGGCAGTCTGGGCGCGAGACTGCTGACATCGTCGAGCAGGTCGTTAAGATTTTCCGCCCGGGACGCTTCTCGGTTACGCTGTTTGAGGCTAAGCCGAAGGCGGGGGGCGATGGGGAGGCGGCGAAGAGGAGCAGGAGGATGGAGGCCATTGAGGGGTATAGGAGGGTCGATCGGATTGTGCATGATTTGGATGGGTACGATTTGGTGTTTAGGTATTATGAGAGGTTTGATTGGAAGGGGGGTGCGCCGAGGTTGGGGGAGGTGATGTAGGGGCGGGGTGATGGGTGAGGTATGGCCAAAAGGGGGTTCCAATGCGGGATGGTGAGGCTGTTGGGTTGCGAGTCGCTTGTGTTGCGTTCTGCGGTTCTTGGTTTATGGACTTGGGGTTGGCTTGATGAGCAAGGCAGAGGCTTGATGTCCACGCTTGTCGTCAGGGTGTTTGCTGCTGTGGTGCGTTCTCACGGCCTTTGCGCTGAGGTTTCCTACATGGTTTAGCTCTATCTAATTGCGCGTGTTGCAAAGTCAGTGCTCTTCTGCGTTACCCCTCGTGCGTGCAATCTGGACGAGATTGATTAGAGATGCCTTGAAGTTGCATGCATCCGCGCCACCCTCTACGGAGGCAGGTGCTGCAGCTCGACGTTGGTAATAGAGAATCTGGCTAAACCATTCCACGCCCAGTATCTTGACCTTATCGATCATCACAGGCAGCATCATTAGGGACTAGCAGGCTGCTACCGTGCGTCTACAAGCACCATTATGAGGAAGACACCCACTCTCAAGCAGATTGCACAATGATACAGTTACCATCTATGTGAGTGACTACCGAAGCATTTTGACTCCCTCCCACCACGCAATCAACACAAGCCGAGTTGCCCGAAGCAGCAACTCCAATTCCATGGTCTTCCCACGCTAGCAAGTCCGAAGGTTTTGTACAACGCCTAGGATATGCCCCCCTAAGCCGAATAGCAAGGTATAAGTTACAGTCAGTTCCCTGGGGTACTCGGGGAAACCATGAGACCCCTGTTTGAGACCCAAGAGACAGAGTCGGGTGTGGACGACAAAGTTTTGACTTGAGCGGGTGGCATGGATCTCCATGGCTCATCACCGATAGAAGGAAATGTTCGAAGGGAGATACAGGCTCCACAAACGGCACAGTCGTTGTCCTGCTCACGTCAACTCGCGGCTCCGCTTCCTTCCCTTACGGTCACCAGGCGTCACCGCCGGGTTCAGCTGTCCCCTGAACGACATCTCCGGCGACACCTGGCCACGCTGCGAGGGCTGAGAGTCTGGGATCTCGATCACGGATTCTTCATGCTCCGGGCGAGGTTCTTGCGGCTGGTCGAGCATCTCATCGTCTTCCTGCTGGGAATTAAGCGTGGCGAGAAGTCTTCCAACCAGGGTTTGTTCTTCAGCCGTTTCCGGGGCTTGAGGTAGTGGCTTCTGGCGGGGTTTGGTCGGGTTGGACTCGGACGTAACAGGCGCTTTGCGAACCTTCGGCTTGGCGGGCGTGTGGTAGATTACAACGTCTGGATGCACCTTCGAGGGTGGTGGCGTCGGCGCTGCTTTTGGTGTTTTGGGTTGCTCTGGCGCTTTGATCCGCTCCGGCGCCTTGGGTTGCTCCGGCGCCGGCTGGGAATTCGGAGGAGCGTCAGGTGCTGGTTGAGATGATGTGGGTTGAGCCGCAGCACCGTTTGCGAGCTGCTCCTTCTCCCGCCTCTTGCGTTTCAACTCCGCTTTCCGCTTCTCCTTCTCGGCCAGTCGGGCATCTGCCTGCTTCCTATACTCTTGCTGGAGGATCTCCCGGATGTTGTGGCGCATCTGTCGCGGATCCATCTCTGGCCAGTCTTTGTCGGCATCCATGTCGCGCGTCAAGACCTTCCGCACGAACTCGGTTGGATTCTGCAGGAACTTCTCGACATAGCCGAGCAGGAACAGGCCGCAGTCGCAGAAGTTGTCTTGCAGCGGGATGTTCCTTGCGGTCATGGCTTCGAGGTCCTTGATGTCGATGTCCAGGCTTCGCTTAGCTTTGCCTTCTTCAATGATGTAGTCTTTCAGGTTTCTCGCAGTTTTGTTGTGAGCAACACCCAAAGAGTCAAGGATGATGATGACAGGACTATGTCTGTTAGCATCTACTTCAGAGGACTTGTAGCTTCTGTTACTTACTCGCTAGGATCGTACTTCTTTCCCACCGGCTTCTGCTTCTTCCGAGGTGACTTCTTAGCCCGTTTGGCAGATTTGGTCTCTTCAGCCGCGTCCTCGGATCTGAAAGGTGATGAAGCTCTCGGTGGCTCGTTCTCGGTAGGGTCTGGCCACTCTGCACTTTCTTCATGGGGAGGTCCAATGGCTTCAGCGGCAGCGGGTCTTGGTCCCTTGTCGGTTGGCTCTCGATGCCCATCCTCGTTGTCAGAGTCGATGCTCATCCGAGAAACCGCATCTTCGAGTACACCATTCTTTTGAGGCTGCGCGTCGTTATCCGCATCATCGAACTTCGCGGTCCGCACAGGGGAGGACGTGGCTGTGATTATGCGACTACCGACTTCTTCAACTTCCGGGTCCTTGGCGGAAGAGACATCATCCTCTTTCGGCCCGGAATGGAAGACCCGACTGATGTTCGGCAGATTGCAGATGATTGCTACATACCAATGCGCGCTACGTAATGGATCAGCAGGCGCCCTGTTTCTGAGTTTGGGCAACTTACTCCTCATTCACAGGCACGATGATGTAGTCGTAGTTGAATAGGTCATCCTTCGCGGTCCATCTCTGCACAGCAGCGTAGTTGATACCCTTCTGTCCTTTGGGCGCGAGTTGTGAGTAGAAATACGTATTGAACGAATAGACTGTCCTCTCCGAAAGCCCCCGTTGCCGTGCTTCGTGCTCTCTCAGCCTGGAGCAGTTAGCGATAGCTAATGCTTACACAGGTCACCATTTACTCACAGAATGTAGAACGAGATAATGTTGTCATTGAGAAACTCTCCGTCGTCGAGCCGCTCGAGATCCTCGAACTCGACAACTGCCCGTTTGCGACCTGTAAGGGAAAAGACTACTGGCCTGCCAACGTCAACGGCGGGAACTTGGGGATGATTGTCAAACTTACTGCTCCCACTTTGGACCTAGTCCATGAGCGAGTGAATACTTCTCCTCACAGGGGTCGACAATGCTTTGTCGAGATTAGTGATATGAACATGCAGGACGAACGCAAACACATACAGGCTTGGTGAGGGCGACTTCTGCCGCTTTACAATTGCTTTAGAGGACGTAGTGCGCGTAGAAGAGCGTCTGACAGGGGATCCTTGAGAAATAGTCGCTCTGTCGGGCACGTCCCTTCGATAGCCTGTAAGATCAGCGGCTACCGCGTTCAGACGAGCGGATCCAGTGTTCTTTCTTGCTGAGCTTAAGGGTGGTTTCGGATCTTGCGCATCGACGCGCATTTGGGAGATGAGCTTCGGTTTCGCAGGTTGAAATGATGGTTCTTGCCCTACGTCTAGCCCTCCCGCTTTGGTTGCAGTGTTGTGCACCCTCTGCTTCAATAATTTTATCTCTTCGCCCTCATCAACAGGAGCGTCCACACTCCCAACCTCTTGGTACGGATTTGCGGAGATGTTAATAAAGTGCTTGTTCATTGCACCACTACATTTTGTCAGAACTTGTCCACCGCTCCAAGAGGAGTATCACTTACTTTGGCTTGGCAACTATCCTTAGGGTCCCCTTCGTCGCATCCTCCAGATTGGTCATGAACTCGTTGAGGTCGCTCGGTTGGGCGAAGGCTAAGTCGCGACTGTAGGACACGTCCTGACCTCTCGATCCAGACAGTTGGACTTTAGCGCAGTCAGGAGGGCCTCTAACGGCCCTTTGAATCTTCCGCGGATATATGCAAGCTGCAGTATCTTCAAAATTTGGAGGTTGCTCGTCCACAGTGACAACCCCTAGTCGTCGATCCGTGTACCAGTGCAGCTGTAAATCTTCACGAACAAGTGTAAGTCCATCTGCTCCGTAAATCAGAAGTGGCCAGACGATAGGCGGCTGTTCGATTTTGCGCCGACTCTTCGGCTTCACAGCAGGAGGGTCGATAGCCACTTTTCTTGACCGTACGAACTCGGTTCTTTGTATGTCGTTGGGCGAGCGGACTGTCTTCGGTGCAGGCTCTGGCGATATGGACAGTCGATGTGTCAGATTCTTCTGCGGCGACTGAGCCTGGGCATTTACTATTTCCACGGGGGGCCGAACAGTAGCGGATGAGGAGCCAACCGTGATGTTAGACTGCAGCTCATCAGGGCTGTCGTAAGCATTTGCCTCCCTTGCAGCTCTTGCTGCTTGGGCTGCAGCCATTTGACGGTCTTTGACGGAGTGCAGAGGAGGGGAACGCTCTCCATTGAGCGGTCTTGGGCGTCTCAACTTGCCGTTGGTACTTGGTGTCTTGGCTTCACGGGGTGCGGACTCGGCAACTTCAGAACCGCCATTGAGGAAGTATGGCGACATAGTGTCGTGATGCCTCTCCCTGGTCTCATCCCTGACTGGCCTCCGATCCGCATCCTTGAGGATGAGTGATAATCCTTTACTCAGGTCCGTTCCGCGAGAATCTGGTTGGGTTGAGTCATCCTCGACAACGATAGGTGAAGACTGAGGCGCTCGCCTAGCGGGCTTTACAGCCTTCGACACAGCCAGCTCAGATTTAGGGAGATTCTTCTCGAAAACGGTAACCCTTTGTTTCTTGGCTGGACGTGGATCGACTCTTCCATTGACTTCGCGGAACTCGCTTTGTAGTCCAAAAGATTCCAATGGAGACTTCCTATTCGAGGCATGGCTGGGTTGCGTTCGGGGCGCGGTGGCTGAGAAAACACTAGGAGGGACCCGTGTCACGGTTCGGTTCTGGATACTTTCCGGTGGAGCCACTTCGTCGTCTGAGTCGAGAACGTGGACTGGTGAGCTAGTCGGTGGCTCGCGGGTAGGTCGGTCTTGGATCTTTCGCCGCTTCGTGGACGTGTTGTCGCGATCGGGAAAGTCGTGATAAGTTTCCTGAGGAGGCACATTGTCACCCCGGTGGGTTTCGAATGCGAGTGTCTGCGGAGAAAAGGCGTGTGAGGTCTTTTTGCCGTAGCCTGGGCGCCTGGGAATTTGCTGTGTAGCGGGGCGGTTGGAGCCTTTCAAGGTGTTCATAGGTTGAAAGTTCGGACCTTTAGGCTGGGATGATTATGAGCGCGGAGTTTCGCTCTGAGCATTTGTACTACTGACCTTGTGATAAAGCGCGCCTGGCATAGCTATAGGAATAGCATTCCGAGGTGTCCTTCACTAGTATCAGCAACTTTCCGGCCACCCTATCACGGTGCGCGTGCTCCTACCGATAGTCCCCCATAAGACGCCACTCGTCTTCCGGTATGGACTGCTTCCGTCGTAACCGAGGCGAGGTTTCGATGTTTGCGGTTCTAGTTGGCTGCGCATGAGCGGGGCTCTCTGTATTCTCGTCGATGTATATATGAAACGTGTTTCTACCCTCCTCCAGGCTCTCTTCTATGTCCCGCGGTGGCGCCGGAAGGCTCTTGTGAAGCGACGGTGGGCTCTCGCTCCGGATCATCTTTACGGGTCTGCTCGTTCACCTTGTGAGCCCTCCGCTTGTGGATATTGTGGGAAGTGTCTCGGAGCTTCACGGACCTCCGAGGTAGCTCTGGGATCTTTCTCAGCCTCGATTGGCGTGCTTGAGCGCAGAAAGCTCGGTACCAGCTTGTTCACGGCGGTCTGGAGGAGGCCGGTCATGAGGTGGTCTGGCAGTCGCGTTGAGCTGCTTTTGGGGATTTGAAAGGAGATTTCAAGGTATATTTTCGTGCCGTATGGTTCCAGGAGGGCGTAGAGAGACCAAGATGCGCATCATTGTCCAAGAATCCAAGTTGTGGGAGGCTCGGAGAATTCGCGACGCTCACAGCCGCTTACGGTGACGTTGGGGAGATTTGGGATGGCCGGCTCACATCCGAACAGGTGCAGTTCTGCAGAACAAAGCGCACAGGGGATTCAACACCGCTCACGCAGTTCAAGACCTTTCAAGGCTCTTCGAAGTCTATGGCTCGTAATCTTTCATCGTGCGACGCTATGTTTTCATTGTTTACAGCTGTTAAAGAATGGCATCACCAGGAGTCCTCTCATAAATCGAAGCCATCAGCAAGACACTGTACTCTTACAAAAGGCAGAAGAGCGATGATATGAGCCAATAAAATCGCAGCCCCCTTGACCGATAGCCTCCGAGTACAGAGCGGCCATAGACAACTCCCCAACCTCGCACATGCAATGCCAAGAATGCCAGAATGGAACCTGGACCCGCTAACGTAAGTCGCTGAAATCATGTCAAGGCCATGCAATACAGGAATAGGGACTCCGTTCAGCCGACATGCTGTGCTTCTAGTCACGCAGCATGACCCTAGCCAAGTTTTGTTATGTTTGCTCGTCGCCTCAAGTAGCATTGCTCTTCTCCCTGGCCGGATTCGAGTCGTCAGCATTGAGTGTGCTACGACGCTTGTCCGAACCATGATGAGTCGTCTTCTCCTGACGAGCCTGGTCAAATGCGGTTCGCTGAGCTATGCTGTCGTCGTGGCTCTTCCAAACGATGATAGTATCCGGTGGAAGCGACAGTTCACGCTTGATAGTTTCGCTAGTATACTGATCAGTAAACAGTCGAATACCAGCTCGAGCCGGACATACCGAATCTTGACGTTTCGGCCACCGTTATTTTTAGTCCAGATGCTGATGACATCTTCACCACTCCGAACACTCACGACCGCACCGCAGACCTCCTCTCCAGCCTCGGCGAATTGGTCGCCGATCATGGCCAGCACCAAATTCTCCCAGTACCGATCCGCCACACCTTTCTTCAGCCTCAAGATCCACTTGCCGCCCTTCTTGTTCTCCTCGTCCTCCCAAACGGGGCGAATACCTTCCTTAAAGAAATGGTAGTCGGAGACGGTAGGCAAAGAGGAAGGGCGGGTAAGATGCGCATAGACTTTCCAGAAGTCTTGCGCAGTAGCCATCTTGCACTTGGGCTGTATCGACTGCTCATAGTCCGAGTTCTTGGATGTGGGCGGCCTATAGTAGACGATCCAAGTGTATTTTAGAGGCCATGGCGCGTCCAGTCCTGCAGAAGATGCGCTAGACGTTGTGCTTTCCTCCGAAGTCGTCTGCGCTGCAGTCCGAGCCGGTGCGGCAGAGCCTCCGCTTGCTCTTTTGTCCCGCTTTTCGCTGGGTGTGGACGGAGATGCAGCTCCCGCAGATTTGCCAAAGTCGAACGCTGTGCCGGGAGTCTTGGGTGTCTTCGTGCCAAATGACGCAAATGCGCCGGTGCCGAGGCCAAAGGCCGTGGAGCCCCCAGATATTGGTGACAAGGTGTTGTTGGTGGTTAAGGGGGAGATGGCGTTGAGAGGATTTGTTTTCCCGTGTGACGAATCGGCGCCACCAAAGCGCTTGGAGCTCGAAAAAGTGCGCGCAGGATGATCGTTCTTGCTATCGTTGCGGTCGGTATGGGGGGTGGAAACGGAGAGCTTGCTGGAGCTGATGAGCAATTAGCACCTGCAGTCGGCGTACTTGGGAGAAGGTTTGCACAGTGGGGGAAACTACTTCGAACGGCGAGTCCATAGGTTCTGGCTGTCTCTATCCATTTGCGTATTCCGATCTCGTTAAAGAGCTGGTACAGATATTATACAAGCTTGAACGTGTTTTGCGCCGGACCTTGAACAAGCGGATTCAGAATTGGGTACGGATGGGAGTAAAATGTTCTGGGCAGTAATGGGTATCTAAGCGCAGGATAAAGGTGTGAGATGGCACGGGTATCGGATGCGAAGTATCGGTCGTCAGGAGGTTGCAGTAGAAGGCGGTGTTTGTAAGAGAGTTTTTGCTACGGTGATGGTTGTTTCGAGGTTCAAAGTCGCCCGCCGGGGAAGAGCAGCTTGAGGCGATTGGCGAATTAGTACCTTAGCTCGCTTGGCACCAGTTTCGACGCTAACAACATTATTTTACGCAGCAACGTCTGACTTCTCTTCTTCTTGAATCCAAGACCACCAACTCAAATCATCGTCGGCTTGACAAGTTTGCTCCCACTCAGCTGGCGGTTCCGATGTGTGCGTCGAGAATACGTTCAACCCTCTTTAAAACCGTCATCACGAGGGTCCCACTGCGCGGCTTCCATGATGCGGTGACGACCTGAAAGAAGGGACATATCTTCGTATAACCACTGCCTGGCACTTGATAGTAGCCTTGGGCAAAGCATGTGACCTGCCATGATGAAGGAGGAAGCAGCCTGCGTTTCCCCGTAGTTGAGTACAACGGATACATCCTGAAATTGTAAGCACTCCGGGGACGTCGACTTCTCCAGGACCAATATCAATCGCCTCAAGAGCTGGGATGCTTCAGTCAGGGCTACGTCCTTATGTGGTAGTCTCCGTCAGGAGAATAGACGCTCGGGGGTGCGCTGTGGTCAGTTGTTCTCCTGTTTTCTCAGACAACCTCATTCCATGAAGAACCATTAGAGCTCTGGTAAACCGACTGTAAGCTCAGCCGCGTACTACATCCATGCTTTGGCATGACGCTGGTTGAGCATGAGGTGAAAAGGCAAAGTCTGACTACTGAACGCCTTGATGGAAGCGGTGTTTGCATGCGAGATCACAAGCATATGCTAACACGGCATAGTAGCAGCACGCAACCAGGGGGACTCTGGCAAACCTGCACGATGCTACCTAGCGGACCTGTTAGAGCTCAGCAAACAGTCGTCAAGCCGTGTTAATAGAACTGGTTCTGATCTTCGGCGAGCTACCTGGCGCTGCATTGTCATGGCTGAAGATGCTATCAGAGGCTGAGGTGCGATCCCTCTCTATTGTGTACGATCATGCAGCGCACGAAGCCTTAGATTGGGAAGAATGGCTGTCCGAAGTCAGTATCGCGGACTGAGTGTCGCACCCTAAGGGTTCCAATCGTCATGCTAGATATGTACCTAAAAAGTACCTGCAGAATGACCAAGCCTGATGCACTGCTGTTGAACATGCTCCGTACACAGATAGGAAGCTATCTACCTCTTAAGACTAAAGTAAGCACATCGATATCCGCGTTTAGCGATGTTGAATCTCGTGAACACGTGGACGTCTGTACGTCACTGCTGTCCCTCGCTCAATTCGGCAAACCGCCTGCCCTCCACCAGTTCCACTCATCACACGCCGATCTGCAACACCCCACCACCTTCAATTACATACACCAGCCCCAGCCCCAGCCCCAGCCCCGAGCATCTGACTTGCCTCGCTCCAACTCACGAGAAGCGCTCCGCATCTCCAGCTGTGTTCGAACCGCATCAGTTTCCAACTAGTCACCACCGTTCGCCAGCCGTCAAGCTACAAACGTAAATCCACCCCGCGTGCCTGCGAGCGTTCAGCCTCGTCTCCAGACACGAACGCATCCCACATATCCAACCGCCTTCACATCCTTCAAGATGACGCAGCAATCTCCAAGTGGGCAGCACTCGCCTCCGCCTGCGCAGCAACGACCGCGAGGTAAACCAACCGTCCCGAGCCAGTCGCGTGATAGCGAGAACTGACAGACGCAGGCATTCTAAAGAACTCCAACTCCTACCAGCGGTCAAACTCACAAGCCGGGATAACGCCACTCAGCCCATCAGGTCCAGCCCCTCTCCAACCCGTGTCCTCTGCCGAACGACCTGAGCTCAACCGCGAGATGTCCGAGAAGGAAATCACTCTGCAAAACACCCAAGCGAACGCTGGTCCCGGCCATCGCCGGTCATCCTCTAATCCCCGCGGTCCACCATCACGCCGTCAATCTGGCATCCCGCTCCAGGGCTCGTTCGCCGACGAGAACAGCCCGAGGCTGAAGTGGGACGAAGCGAATCTCTACCTCACCGAGCAGCAGCGGGACAGCACGATGAAGATCACGGAGCCCAAGACGCCGTACGCCAGGCAGTACGATCCGACCGAAGACGAGGAGGAGATGAGTGCGCTGAACGCGGACGAGTTGATGGTGGACGAGCTGGACAAGGCGAAGCCGCAGAAGAAGCCGACGCGGGAAGACGAAATCCCAGACATCGACATTGGTGAGCCGGAGCTGGGGCAGCAGAGGGGAGAACACACGCCGGATAGCGAGAAGAGGGTCGTTGTGGAAGAGGACATGACCGATATTGGTACACACCATGGCGAGGAGGAGGATATGACGGCAGAGGAGAGGGAGAAGCATAGGAAGTTTGAGGAGATGCGGAGGAAGCATTACGAGATGAGGAACGTGAAGAACCTCTTAGGGTATGTCCCATCATCCCGCTGTGTTATACGCGTTTACGCTGATCGGTAACCAGCCATCCGGAAGACCTGGACGACGATGACGAGGATGGCCAGCCATTACCTCCAGCGAGAGATTCTAACATCCCAAACGGCCAGTGACCGATTCCACGGCGACCTCACGACACGCTTTCTTCCACTTCAGTGCATCAGTTTCACGCGCATAAGCATGGGTACTTTCGGTTTCGCTATTTGTTCGGTGCAGGTCCCCTCCCACACCTCCAACCATGCCCCTTGTACGTCTAGTCGGATGAGGAAGTTGTTTGTTGCAGCTTTTGTCACCCCTTCAGCATGTAGAACACGCATACCCAAAAGACTACCCCATCATTCCGTCGTCACCGCGAAGCGTCAAAGCATCAGCTAGCATTAAATAGTAATGGATCATTGTCTCTCCGAACCTATGTACTGCCGTATCGCGTCTGGAGTTTCCATGTATTGATACCAACTGTCCCTACATGCTGCCCTATCTTCGCTCTAATCCCCAGCGTTTATACATCCGCAGCTCTCCACCCCACAACTCGCTCAGGGCGGATTCGGCTTCAAGCCAAGATGCATCCTCAGCCTCTCAACCTTCTGTTCCTTGCTGCCCGTCCGGTCCGCCTCTAAACCCGAGAGCATCGCATCCAGCTGAATATCTGCAGCATGATCAGCCAACATGCCATCCATCTGGGGCCGAGCCAGCAGGGGACGCACCACTCAGTCTCGAGATGTTTTTAGCAGTCGGCGGGAAGTTGTCGAGCGGCCGGTTCGTCTTCAGGCTGTAGAGCGGCTGCAGCTTCTCGTCTGCGGAGGTGAGCTGGCTGTTGGTGACGCGGGCGATGTTGTTGGTGTTGCTGTTGCGCACCGTTCGTCAGGGGCTGCAGATCGTTTTTCCGACTTGTGGGAGAGGGAAGCTCCTTCTTCTTCTTACACGGCTTTGGTGCGGTTCTCTTGCCGGTTGAGACGGTCTTTGATCTCCTCCTTGCCCGGGCTGGCGGCTGACGAGGCGGGCACCTTGGGCGTGGTGTTGGTGGTTTTGCTAGGCGTGGTGGAGGGAGTGGGTGCCATTGTTTCAATCAGTTTCTCAAAATCGAGGGCCTTTCCGAGGGAATGTGGGATGTAGACGTGTGTGTGTGTGCAAACAGGTGGTTATGCGGCTCGGAAGCTCAACAGAAGACTACGAGATGGTCTGACGCGCTCTTTCCCATCTTATGTGAACCAACCGCAATTCCCAGATTGCCCACCAAACTCCCGTGGTGACGTGTTACTGCTGGCCTGCTTCCACCCCCCTCCACTCCCCCTCCACCCCACCGATTCGATGGTTGCAGTTCGGCGCAGGGCTGACCCCTGGAGCACACGGGCCCCTGGCTCGGCGCGGCCGCCCTGCCGCCGACGGAGCTTCCCAGACAGGGCATCCATGCATCATCAGCTGCCTGAACCACAACACCACAGTATCACAGCATCGCAGCATCGCAGCATCACAGCATCACAGCTCCTCCACCACTGCCAGCTGTCCTCGACTCCTCGATACCAACCCAGCCCGTGGCCTAAATCTCGCTTGCCTTCGTCCCAGCACTCCCGCAGTGCCCTACTATGACGAAGAACGTCTACGACCCCAGCCTCCGCAAGGCCGCCTCCACGATGAACTTGGGACAGCCTTCTTTAGGGAAGGGTGAGCAACCGGCAAGCCGCCCGCACGAAGAGCTGCCAGCGACTGCGGGCGAGTTACGCAAACAGGGCACGAAGGTCGATACTGCCAGAATTCTGCCAATACGCCAGCAGCCTAACGGAGGACACCAGAGCGGTTGGGAGCAGCCGCGGGAAGTGTCTTTCGGGCAACCTAGTACATACGGCAAGGACCTTGTGGATACTTCAGCCTTTGAGCCAAGCACACGTTGTATCACTTTCGACCATCCCACTGTCCATGACACGGCAATTCCGGCGGCGAACACCCTGCATCCCCTGCGCCCCTTCGATTCTTCCACCTACCTCAATCCCGCATTTCCTCCGCTGAACTACCTTCCAGGCTTCAGCACCACTCTGCCCTCCCGCCAGCCAGACTACTTGCCGCCTCGACTCGACCCGCTCGACGGCGTGCAGCCGTCATCAGCATCGACAGACTTCAAGCCTTTCGGGACACGCGTAGACCGCGGGGACTACGCCCGTATCTTTCCACATTACGCCCCACCACGGATTGGGTGGGCGCCGCCCCAGGTCCCGCCAAAGCCGCCAAAGATCAAGATGGAGCCCGCAAAGGTCCAGGCCGAGCCGGTAAAGATCGAGTCTGAACGCAAACCCATCGACTACGCCAAGCCCTTCTGCGAATTCCTAACTAACAACCCCACCGTCTTCCATGCCGTTGATACTATCGCCAAGAACCTAGAGAAGCACGGCTACTCCAAGCTTTCAGAGCGCGATGCGTGGGACCTGAAGAAGGGCGGAAAGTACTACCTCGAGCGAAACGGCAGCAGCCTAATCGCCTTCGCGATAGGCGACAAGTACGAGCCCGGCAACGGCGCCGCCATGCTCGCCGGCCACATCGACGCTCTGACCGCGAAGCTGAAGCCGATTCCCAAGCTGGACACCAAAGCCGGCTACGTGCAGCTCGGCGTCGCGCCCTACGCCGGCGCGCTCAACAGCACATGGTGGGACCGTGACCTCGGCATCGGCGGGCGCGTTCTCGTAAAAGAGAGCTCCGGCAAAATCGTCACCAAGCTCGTCAAGCTCGACTGGCCCATCGCACGCATCCCGACACTCGCGCCCCACTTCGGCGCCGCAGCCAACGGGCCCTTCAACCCGGAGACGCAGATGGTGCCCATCATCGGCCTTGACAACAGCGACATCTCCGGCTACGGCAACGCGGCCATCGACGCCGCGAGCAAACCCTCCCTGCTCGGCGGCGCCGGCGCCTTCGCCTCCACGCAGCCGGAGCGCCTCGTCAAGGCCATTGCGGGCGAGCTGGGGATAAGCGACCACGGCTCCATCGTGAACTGGGAGCTCGAGCTCTTCGACACGCAGCCCGCTACGCTCGGAGGGCTGGGCAAGGAGTTCATCTTCGCGGGCCGCATTGACGATAAGCTGTGCTCGTGGGCTGCGATCCAGGCGCTGCTGAACAGCACCTCCACCTCGACCTCCACCTCGACCTCATCCTCCTCAATCATCAAACTCGTCGCCCTCTTCGACGACGAAGAAATCGGCTCCGGCCTGCGCCAAGGCGCCCGCGGAAACCTGCTCCCCTCGACAATCTCGCGCATCATCGACGCCTTCACCCCCTGCACCCCAACCCTCACATCCCGCACCTTCGCAAACTCCTTCCTCCTCTCCGCAGACGTCACCCACGCCGTGAACCCCAACTTCCTGCCCGCCTACCTGCCCCAGCACTCCCCGCGCCTCAACACGGGCCTCGTCGTCGCGGCCGACAGTAATGGCCACATGACGACGGATGCGGTGAGTACGGCGGTTCTGCAAAGATGCGCGGATAGGGCGGGCCAGCGGCTGCAGGTCTTTCAGATCCGGAATGATAGTCGCAGTGGGGGCACGGTGGGGCCGATGCTGAGTGCGGCCACCGGGGTCAGGGCCGTGGATGCGGGGATCCCGCAGCTGAGTATGCATTCTATTAGGGCGACGACGGGGAGTGAAGACCCGGGGCTGGGGGTGAAGATGTTTGAGGGGTTTTTGGATAACTACGAGGAGGTGGATGGGGAGTTTAGGAAATAGGGGGGGTGGGATAGGGAGTTGGTGGGAGATTTTGGGCGGACTTAATTAGGAGGAAGGGGGGGAGTGATAGATATACATTAGAGGGCAAGGCATTTCGGAGATAGGATTCTGTAGAGGTATGACTGTGAGATTTGCTGCCCAGCTGCCGTTCCTCCAAACGCCCCCTTTGCCATCGGCGCCGCATCTTTCAGCTTTCCCCTTCGAATACCGCGGCGGGGGGGCCACAGGATGCCAGGTGCCGGCCCCACCACGTTGTAGATGCAATAGGCCACAGACACGCGGGATACGAACCTCAATTCGAGAGTCCAGCGAGCATAGAGCCGCCACCGCAGTTCCCTCGACCAAAACCCAACACGCTCGGAAACGGCTATCCTCAGCCCACCGGACCCCAGCCCTCCCGGTCTCGCTCACACATACCCTACACACTCCGTCAGCACATCCCCTTCCTTCCCCCCTACTCAACCCTCCCAGATTTCGCACTCACCTTTCCTGGCCCCCTGGAAAAAGAACCTCACGATAAACACCTGCAGCCCGGCCATGCTGACCATCATGACGCCCTCGATGACGCTGAAGTTGAAGATGCGCCGCTCGGTGCTCCGCACGGTGCTGAAGTTGCGGTTCTCGCGCGTCCGGAAGTACTTCTGGTTCCGGTTGATGGTGGAGAGCTGGGCGGAGAGCTTGAGGATCGACTCTTCGAGCACTGTGGTTTGTTCGGGCGAGGTGCCTTGCTTGCTGGGGAGCTGGGCGCGGGATTCGTTTTCGACCTGGGGTGCGTGTTAGGGTTGTCCATCCATGATGCTCGGCGATTGTGGGTTATGGGCGGCGAGAGCAACGAGTGCCCACCCCTTTGCCCCCTTCCTTCCCCAATGTGATCCTGTGGGTGGTTTTTTGACGGTGTGCAGTGAGGGAAGGGGGAGGCCTTACGGCAACCTCGAAATCCACCATCTTCTCCGCAAACGTGCTCATCTCGTTGTCGAAGCAGAACCGATACTCGCCCACGTCGTTGGCCGTGAAGACGAAGTCGCCCTGGCGCTCCTTGGTGCCGTCCATGATGATCCTCTCGTTGGGGCCGACGACCGAGAAGCCGACGTCGAAGGAGCCGCCGGATTGGACCTGTTATACCGTTTCTCAGCTCACTTGTCTCACTCCCCCCTCTTGCTCTCCTACTCTCCTACTGCTCCGGGCTGAGGTGTAGGCATAGAGGGACGAAGGTTCGGGGCACCTACAGCAAAGTAAAACGCAACCTTGGCGCCCTTCTGCTGCACATTGGTGAAGAAGCAGGACTTCTCGTTCGCGGCGAGCTTGTAGGTGAGGGCGGTTGCGGAGGCGAGGGTTAGGTAGGCCAGGAGGCTGGATAGGAGCTGGAGGACGCGCATCGTGGGCTGTGGCCGTGGAGAACGGCTTGCTGGCGGAGGTTTACTCTATCACTGCTGCTTTGCTGCTGCTGGTGCTTGGTGTTTGGGATTCAGGGACGGCGGAGCGGAAAATTGTCGGGTCTTGGCGGGGATAGAGCGCTCACGGGCAGGGCGCTGGTGATAGAATCGTTAGATGCCAACCATGGATCACCAATTGGCAAGCCCAATGTGTCAAGCGTCAATCTGAATCGTCTTCGTCAGACGAGATAACGCAGCTAGATCAGTGTCGCAGGCGAAAAGAGACGCTTATGAACTTTGTGAGCTTGGTACAGGCATAACTGGAGGCGGAGCGGTCACGGTGAGGAGCCTCGTGTACATAACGATGGTGAGAGATCGTGATGATTTCGGAGCCTGGCGACCTTTGTCGCGCTGATGACGGGGTTACACTGCGAAAACACGCCTAACAGGCAAGGTCAAGCACCCGTCGAAACTCTTCAGGGTGTTTGAAATCACGGATTTAGGTGTGGGCGTGGACATGGAGGAGTACCACGTGGTTCAGGCATGTAGGCAGCATGCTTGGCTGAAACTCTCGTGAAGAGACTAACATGAGTGCAGAGGCGGTAAGGGGGCTCCCAGGCACATCCTCAGTGCTACAGACACCTCACTCTCCCATCATTTCCCTCTCCACCAACATGACGATGGAGGATCTACCCAAAGAGCTGGAACTGCAAATTCTGTCCCATTTATCGCGGCCGGACTTGTTGGCCCTGCGCCTCACGAACAGATACTATGCAAACGTCGTGAAGCCTTTCGTCTTCGGCACCATCCTGCATTTGACTGGTACCAGGAAGCAGGACTGCTCCTTTTGGGTTCACAAATACTCCGACATCCCAAACCCGCTTGGTCTATCCAAAAAAGTCGAGTACGCGAAGTTGGATGAGGTAGTCGAGGAAGTGCTGTCTCTAGCACATTTCGTGAAGATATTGGAATTCTCACCAGCGTTCTATCGAGAAGGTTGGTCCCTCTTCGTCTCTTATATGCATTACACTCACGGTTCCAGGTTTCTGGGATGACTATCGCAAATATCTGAAACAGGAGATGGAGGAGCCCATAGATGGCGCGGACTGGGAAGGTGATGACGACGCATCGGAAGAGGACCCCGAGGGGATATTCATGAACATGGCAGAGAGGCGTATCTGGGGGTATCGGCAGCAGCGACTCGAAAGAGAAACTTCCCTGATTGGAGCAGCGGAAAAGGTCTGGGAAGAAGCTAGAGCGGCACAGCATGCCAACAGAGAAAAAGTCAAAGAGTCCATGAGGTTGCTTGTGGGAAAGATGGACGCTCTGGAGAAGATCGAAGTCGACTCGTGGAAATTTGGGAAGTTTATGGGATTGCAGGTTGAGAGGTATGTAGATTCCAAGACTCAAAGGGATATTCTCATAACTGACATAAATTCAGCGCAGACATGGATGAGCAATGGTGGGCCGGCCAGGAGCAAGAGTCTGACACCTCGTTCACATGGAACATGTTCGAAATTCTGGCCGAAGGTCTATACTACGCTGGTCGCCACATCGAGGATCTGTACATTCACAACCTTGTGCTCTCACAAGTCAATGATTCCGCCGCTGCCAAGCATACGTTTCAAAGCCTCACCAGGTTGACATTGTCATGCAGTAAGACTGAACTCTTCCTCGACGACGCAGCACCATCCGCCAAGCTTGTCAAGCTCTTAGAGGCTGCTCAGCAAACGCTCCAGCACCTCGCCTTGAACTTCGGGGAGCGCCATCCGTGGCTTCCACAGCGTGGCGTCCACACACTCGACAACGTTCTGAACAACGATCCGCTCGTCTTTCCCCGTTTGATCTCATTCTCCATAACCTCGCTGATCATTTCCGGCATCTCGCTCATCAGCTTTCTCAAGGTCCAGCCTAGCCTCACAACAGTCTCTCTTAAGGCCATCTATCTAGGCACTGCCGGAGTCACATGGCAGACAATAGTCGATGCGTTACCACCTACTGTCCGGACTTGTGAGGTATCAGGTCTGGGCCACGAGCCGCATGCGGGATTCGAGGCGCCAGTGGCGTACAACTGGATTGGCGACTGGTATCCTTACGAGAATCCACTGAGAGGTTGGCGCCTCCCCGATCGAACAGACGAGTGGGTTAGGATTAGAGATGTCACGTTGCAGAAAGCGGATTGAGAGGCGGTCATGAGGTTGGCGATAACTTCCGGTCACTGTCCATGCAGACACGGGAGGCTTTGTGCCTCTAGAGCATAAGTTTAATAGCTATTAATTCCAGATGATAGAGCGTTCTAGAGTTCTAACGATTGAGAGCGCCGTCTTGATCATTGATATTTCGTCTCCTTTGGCTGGCTGTGTGATAGAATTTGCAACTGCGTGACTGTTGTGAGATCCTATCGCTACGTAACCCTGCTTGTTCCTGCAGATGGTCCCTGCCAAGCTTCGGTCGATTAAAAGTTGGGGTTGTTGGGCTTCATAGAAAAACATATACAGCGACTCAAAAAGGCGCAACACCAGGTATAGAATTATTGCGTAGACCTTACATTCGTTTGACGTGCTCGGAACCCAGCCCAGGAGAAGTGATGGCGCGAACAGAAGCCACTAAGCTCTCCAACGGCACCATTCACAATGAAAAAGCCAATGGCTCAGTAACAGTGTCCGAGATCCACGAGGAAAAGACTGATTACGCCCGCTGGAGACTCCTGGACGAGCGGGGACGTCAGACCTGGCACTACCTCCAAACCGACGAGGAAGTAGAGCAGTGGCCGCAGAGCACAGCGGACAAGTACCACCTAGGCCTCCCCACTGTAAATCTTCCCTCTCCCCTCTCCTACATTGCTTAAAAAGGACACACCAACTAAGTTACAGCCACACTAGGGTCTCCCCAACCTCCAACCCCCCAAAACCCCCCTCGCCTCCGCCCACAACGCCCTAACCTTCTTCTCCGCCCTCCAACTGCCCCCAGGCAACTGGGCCTGCGAATACGGCGGCCCGCTCTTCCTCCTCCCCGGCCTCGTCATCGCCTGGTACGTCACGCAGACCCCGATCCCGCCCGCCTATGCAACTGAGATCAAGAACTACCTCTTCGCGCGGCAGAATGCAGAGGATGGAGGCTGGGGGCTGCACATTGAGGGCGAGAGCAGCGTGTTCGGCACCGCGATGAACTACGTCGTGTGTCGGCTGCTAGGGGCAGATGCTGAGGATCCTAGGATGGTAAGAGCGAGGGCGCTGTTACATGAGCTGGGAGGCGCGGTCAATGGGCCGCATTGGGCGAAGTTTTGGTTGAGTGTGTTGGGGGTGTGTGAGTGGGAGATTGTCAATCCGGTACCGCCGGAGCTGTGGTATGTCACTTGTCATTGATCGAGGTTGTGGCAGAACACACTGGTTAGGGACCGAGCGTGGGAGACATGAAGACAGGCTGATATAAAGACGCTACAGGCTACTACCAGACTGGGTCCCCATAGCCCCCTGGCGCTGGTGGATCCACATGCGCGCCGTCTTCCTCCCCATGAGCTTCGTCTGGTCGCGCCGCTTCTCCCACCCTCTAGATCCCCTGACCCGCTCCCTTCGCGATGAGCTCTTCACGCAACCACACAGCAGCATAGACTTCGCCGCCCACCGCAACAGCATCAGCCCCCGCGACAACTACCACCCAAAAACCTGGATCCTGAACACGATAAACTGGCTCCTCGTCAACATCTGGAACCCCTACCTCCGCAGCGCCCGCCTCGTGCAGAAAGCTGAAGCCTGGACCTGGAAGCTCATGCAGATGGAAGACGCCAACACCGACTTCGCGAACCTCGCCCCCGTGAACGGACCCATGCATCTCCTCGCCTGCTACATCGAGGAAGGGCCGGACGCCTACAGCGTCAAGCGGCACCGCGAGCGCATGGAGGACTTCCTCTGGGTCAAGGACGAGGGCATGCTCATGAACGGCACCAACGGCGTGCAGAACTGGGATACCTCGTTCGCGATCCAGGCCGTGATGGCGTGCCCCGGCTTCGCGGCGGACGAACGCTGGAGGCCCGTGCTCACCAAGGCGCTGGAGTTCCTCGAGGACCAGCAGATCCGCGAGGACTGCGTCGACCAAAGTGTGTGCTACCGCCACCCGCGAAAGGGCGCCTGGGGCTTCTCGACGAGAGAGCAGGGCTACACGGTCAGCGACTGCACGTCCGAAGCCGTCAAGGCGGTTATGCAGCTGCAGTTCACGCCCGGGTACCCTCAGCTAGTATCGGACGACCGCATCCACGACGCCATCGACATCATCCTCACGATGCAAAACCCTTCCGGCGGCTGCTCGTCCTACGAACCCACGCGCGGGTCAGAGTATCTCGAGTACCTGAACGCGGCCGAGGTGTTTGGCCGCATCATGGTTGAGTACGACTACCCGGAATGCACGACCGCGTGCGTGACGGCGCTGATGCTGTTTAAGAAGCTGTACCCCACCTACCGCACCGCTGATATCGATGCCTTTGTTGAGAGGGCGCTCGCTTATATAAGGAGGGTGCAGCGGCCCGATGGCTCGTGGTATGGCTCCTGGGGCATCTGCTTCACGTACGCGGGCATGTTTGCGCTGGAGGCGCTGGCGGCGGTGGGGGAGACGTATGAGAGTTCTGAGCGGGTGAGGCGCGCGTGTGAGTTTTTTATTGAGCGTCAGATGGAGGACGGGGGGTGGGGCGAGACGTATAGGAGCTGTGAGACGGGCGAGTGGTGTAACCATGAGAGGAGCCAGGTTGTGCAGACGGCGTGGGTGTGCATTGCGCTTATGGAGGCCAGGTTTCCGGAGCAAGAGCCGATCAGGAAGGCGCTGAGGATGGTGATGGGGAGGCAGAGGGCGAACGGAGAGTGGCTGCAGGAGGGGATTGAGGGGGTTTTTAACAAGAGTTGGTGAGTTACTAAAACCCTCGGAGAGGATGTAATCGAGGAAGATAGTAGGCTAACTGTGGGACAGCATGATATCATACCCGAATTACAAGTTCATATTCCCGATCAAGGCGCTGGGGATGTATGCGGAGAGGTATGGGGATATTGAGCTGGACTGAGAGTTACGGTTCAGCTTGTGAACAATCGTATCGAAAGCGAAGGAGGAGCCGATAGTCCACACTAAGGAACTGATATCAATGGATATACTGGGTTGGGACGACTAAACAAGGCAGAATTACCCCCTTGAAGGAATTTATATGATTGCTTCTGTATCCTTGAGTGCAGGTGTTCACCACCCAATGCTATTGACAACCTGCTGCGCTTTGGGCTTTACGGTCAGTCATCTGTTTGGCTGAATAGAGAGGTGTACTTGTACCTGAGACAACCATGGGTGAAGTTGTCTAGCTCAATGGACCGCTGGGTGATTGGCGCGTAAATTGATGTCACCTGCTCTCGCGACACCGCGTTCTCCACTTGCTCGCTTGGTGACTGCCACCTCCTACCACCGGCCCTGACATGTTGAGTTCCGTTCATTCTTCCCATCAATCGCCGGCATGGATACGCTTGACGGGACTCTAGAATCAGACGTGTTCAGCAACCTCCGGAGAGTGATGGAGCATGTGAGTGTTCCCTGCAGATGCGCGAGTCAAGTCAAGCCGGGATGCCTCATCCCGCACTTTGGCCTGTGCGAGAGGCGCATCGAGAAACTCCAGAGCTGCCCACGAGCTCTCACATTCAGAATCTGATACCTCCGCAGGCCTCGCCACAAAGCCATACGCCCCGCCTACCCTCGACCATAGACGAGACGCCTGATTTCTCGGCCGGCAGTCCGCTTAAGTTCCAAGTCCTATCCCCTCAGTCACTTGCAGCCGCTCCCGATCAAACTGCACCCTACGAGCGCGATGAACACAGCACACGACGCGCCTTAGCGAACCCTCTCTACAACGCGCCGCGGCTGAAGCCCTCCAGTACGGCGCCCACGATGCCGAGCGTCATGGTGGACGAGGCCTCCAGCCAGCTGCGGCTGTACCGCTCGTTCGCTGGCTTCGATGCCGGTGGAGACACACAGCCAATGGACTCGCAGATCTACAAGCAGTACACCAGCACGCGTATATCACGCGACGAGGATGATTGGGAGGTCTCACAACCAACTGGACAGGACGTCACACTGCACACGGGCGATGCTGGATACGTGAATCTGGTCGAGGAGTGGGAAAAGAACCGCGCTCATGAAGAGGTGGAGGAGTCGCTGTCCTCGGACAGCATCGATGAGCTCAGTCCCTCAACGCAGGATCGTGTGCGCTCTGCGACAAGTCCAAAGTTCCGCAAGCCGGAGACGCCTACAAGATCCAGCAGGAAGCGAAACCATCAGGGCGAAGTTCTTAGCTCAGTAACGAGAACGCCTGGGTCAGCTTTGACGGCCTTCTTCGCCAACGCCAACGTAAACGGAGCCGGAGCGGCGGCGATGTCTTTGAGCCAGGCATTCAATCCCACCCAGGCGCCTTCGTCTCCACTGCCTAACGCGCCCACCTCGGACCCTGTCTTTCAGCGACCTTCGCCGAATTTCTTCGCTATCGCCCGTTCGTCTCCTTCGGCCGTGCAGTCTTCGCCTACGAAGGCGATGCGGAGTGAAGTCTCACGTGCCTACACCGAGCCTGCTTCTATGTCGTCACCGATGAAGCAGACGAGAAGCGACGTACCGCGATTCATGACGGAGCCTAGGGATACGTACACAACTATGAAGGAATCACAGGAGCGACGGGAGGCACAAAGGAGAAAGGAAGAGGAGGAACTGCTCAGGCTACGCTCAGAGGAAGAAGATGATGACTTCGGTGATGAGCCGACGGCAGCAGAGCAGCTGGTCGCGCGGCAGAGAGCACGAGAAGCGCTTGTAGCGAAGACGTCCGTCGAATTCGCGAAGCTCTCTGCGCCACCAAGAGGCAAGCAGGACATGCGGAAGAAGGTCCTCCTCTCGAGCGGTGGCGCCTACGTCACGCCAGCTCGCTCAGGACGAAGGAGAAACGAGGTCATCGAGATATCTCCTGACACTCTAAGGGAGGAGGGGCTCTCAGATGCCGGCTCAGCGGATGAGCTTACAATCTCACCTAAAACAGTCGGTAAGGCTGCAGATATGCGCAACCGAGACCTGCAGATACCCATGACTTCGTCGCGCCGGCAAATGAGTCTACCGGACACGCAGTCGCCCTCTCTACGGGGCAGTAGTGAGGCTCGGGAGCGATTAGCGGATCAGGACAACCACAACAGTAGCCCGCGACACGCTCTGGTCGACGCTTCACCTCTTGAAAACGTGCCCCAGCCGAACGCGAGTGGTACGGCAGGCACACAGACGGTAGCCGTGGCGGATTCGCAGCCGGAAATTATCGACGCACAAGAATGTCCAGTACCACCTTCCGCTATTGATTCAATAGCTCTCGATGCTAAGGGCCGAATCCTTCAATCTCAGCTCGCCTCTTTGACGGACACCGCGAGAGCTGAGATCAACGCTGCGTTGTTAGGCGGTGCCGATTCCTCCTCCTTACCGCGACCACCCGTCAGCTCAGATCAGCTGCTGAAAGGCGCCGCAGATGAGCGTATGCCGAGTAGTCCTCCATTGCTACCTCAGACTGCAGAGGTTGAGGAGGATGAGGGTATGGAAGTGTCAGACGACGAGGTCAATCTCGTTGGATATCAAGGCCGGCAACAGGGAAAGGGATTGCAAAAGCTGTCCGTGAGCGCCAGCGCGACAGACGATGGCAGCCCTGTTCAAACATCTACATCCGCGGTCACCAAGCTGCAAGTGAACGATCGCAGCAATTCCGTGGCACAAACCACGATCCCGGAAACCGATCCGGCAGAGGAACTTGACTCTCCTGCGCCGGAGGCATCACCGCACGGTAGCAGAACGGCGACAGCGACGTCTTCGGCCGCGGTGGGATCGGAGCACCTCCTGCCGCACACTTTGAATACCAACAGCACGACTCTATTCGAAACAGCTCGTTCACACTTGACAGCTTCGCCAACCAAGACGCACAGTACTAGAGCCAGTCAGAGCACGCCAAAGCCGCACGGCATCCGCCGCTTCGCAGACCTGGCTCGGGATCCTACGCCAGAGGAACCTACGGATGTTGATCTGGATGTGAATCTGATCACGGCTGAGGATAAAGAGTTCGAGGCGATAATGTCAGGCTCTTCACCCGTCCACCATGGACGCAAGCGGAGAAAAGTGTACAGCACTCGCACCTTGAGGCAACCAACCCTAGCTAGGCCAGTGCCTCCCTCGGAACCACCATCGAGCAAGCCGGAAGCGGCCCCTAGTCCTTCCGAAACGCCGTACTCTCCCTCGAATACGCAAAAGCGCGAAACTCAAGGTGCAGCTGCCGCCGTCCACGCTAGGGGAGCTGCAGTTCTCCGCACGCCGGCTATCCTGAAGCCCGGAAGGCTGTCGCGACCGCTACGGAAGACAGGCAATGAGCAAAGCCCTGCCCTGAAGGCGACGGCGGGTGCTGTTGCCCGTGCGAAGCGTGTCTTTGGGGCCACAACTGAGATCGCGGAGACACCCCAGTCAAAGTTAAGTGAGGCGTCGTCTGCGCATACTGGCTTAGGAGCTCACCTGCAAGGGCGCATCGAACTACCTCCGCTGCAGACTGACGCTGGCGCTGAGCATGGCAACGCGCAGGGCCGCTCCAACGACGCCAACGCCTTGGATGGCAACACTGGAGACATCATCGTCCCTAATCGTGTCCTCGCTTTGTTCAAAGGTGGCAACATGTCTTTCTATCCCGCAACCTGCGTGGGTATATCGCACGCCAATGGACTCCGCTTCAAAGTCAGGTTTGACGACGGTACAGTCGTTGACCTGGAACCGAAAGGCGTGCGGAGCCTCGACCTGCAGATTGGCGACCTCGTCAAAGTGGACCTAGGCAAAATGCGCCAGAAAAGTTACATCGTTCAAGGCTTCAAGGATCAGATTGCTGCTCCAGACAGCGAGGGCTTTCCGCTGACCGATCAGCACGGGCATAAAACACTCATTCTGGCCGCCAAGGGGCGCGACAGCCTTGCAGGTGGAAACGCGCCAACTGCTGACGAGACTGTTGAGGTACCTGTAACCAACATCTATCTGACACAATCGATGTGGAACCGGTTCCAGAGTCGCATCTACAACCACACTCCCGCAGTTCCTATCCTCAGCAGCCACCTACAAACCCCGACCACCGAACCATCCATCCCAGGCACGCCAACCTCTCGTTCGCGCCGGCAGACAATGACAATGCTCAACCCCCCGATGCTTCGCGCCGCCTCAGACGCATCCCTCGGTACAACAATGACGACTAGCTGCCTCTTCGCCGGCATGGCCTTCGCCGTCTCCTTCACCGCAAAAGACCCAACCAAGCGCGACTCCACCAAGCACGCCGCGCCTTCCCCCCGCGACGCAACCATCGCCCTAATAGCCTCCCACGGCGGCCTCCTCCTCGAGCCAGGCTTCGACGTCCTCTTCGAGATCGGCGGCGCCTTACTCACGCCCGCGAAGCCGCGCACTCCCCTCGAGTCTCCAGACAAGACGAAGCAAGCCGGCCCCGCCGATGCCGCCGAAGCATTCCGCCTCACCCCGCAAGCAGCAACGCTGGGCTTCGTGGCCCTGATCGCAGACGCCCACTCCCGCCGCGCAAAATACATGCAGGCCCTCGCGCTCGGCCTCCCCTGTCTGCACCACCGCTGGCTCCTCGACTGCGTCGCCGCCTCTGCTGTTCTTCCCTGGGCCGCGTATCTGCTTCCTGCCGGCTCGTCGAACTTTTTGGCTGGGGCTGTGAGGTCGCGTGTCTTGGCGCCCTACCCGGCGCAAGAGGCGAGGTTTCGGGAGGTGGTGGCGAGGAGGGAGAGGCTGTTGGGCGGTAGGAGTGTGGTGCTTGTTATGGGGAAGGGGCGCCAGGAGGAGAGGAGGAGGGCGTATCTGTTTTTGACGTATGCCTTGGGCGCGAGGCGGATTTGCAAGGTTAGGGATTTGGAGGGCGCGAGGGAGGCGCTGGATCACGGGGAGGGGGAGTGGGATTGGGTGTATGTCGAGGGGGTTGAGGAGGCGAGGAAGGTGTTGGGGGGTGCTCCGCCGGCGGCAGCGGGTAAGAAGAGGAAGAGAGGAGTAGAGGTCGAGGAAGAAGAGAGGAAGAGCAGGAATGCAGTGAAGATTGTGGGCGATGAATTTGTGATTCAGAGCTTGATCTTGGGCGAACTGTCGGAGGAGTAGGGGTAGTGAGGGTTGTAGGATATCTGCACAGCGTGATACCCGTGTCTATATACATGGACAGCCTCCGTTCTCTCGCCTAGCGCAGCCTCAGCGAGACGGTTGTCGATAGCTGCGGCCGTCCGCCTCAGCACTGTTTGAGGATATTGCAGCGCCTCTTGAAGCCCAGTAGGGTCTCTTACATTACAGTAGAGACGCCTGTTCAAAAGCCAGTATACCTTGGAGCAAGTAGATATTTCGCACAGGTTTAGCGGACACTCTTCCGCGGTCTCTACTCACAGCCGCTCCGAGTCCTCATGAGTGCCTTTGCATAACCAGCGATAATGCTAAGTTAACTCTGCTGATCCCATCGCCTAGGTCAAACTATGGGTTGCATTCGCTGGCGCTAGAGCTTACTGACTTCCCTTCGTCGGCGGAGGCAAAGGGGCGGAGCAATCGCATCATGAGAGATACTATGGTTGTCTGCGGTGTTTTGATCTTACGAACTCTAATCGGCATTCGCAGAAATCGGGCCTCGATGATAGATTGTGACATGCTTGCAGGAGCTTTATGGTTGTTGATGGTTGGCAAAGGAGGCAGTGGATAAGGCCTGCGTTCCGGGGCTGTGGGGATGTGCATGTTGGCTGCATAGTGATGTGTTGCCGGCGTTATGTCAACGATAGAAGAGCATCAATACGGAGAACGGGGTGGGCATTTGCAGACGTTACAATTACAGACGAGCGACCTTGGTCGGTGATCCGCGTAGTGTGTTGAGTAAGTGGTCAGGAGTGACCAGGTGTTAAGCTATAGCTGGCTTGAATGTACAGGACACAGGACGTAATTGGTTACAAGCAAGGACAATCTGTATGAGAAAAGCTGCGTTGACGTTATGTATACGGTGCCTTCCGCATTATATCTTCACTGCCAGGAAAACAAATGCTGATATACTATCGACGGTACACGGGAGACGGAGTGGTGAAGCAAACAAACTAGAGGGTGAAAGCATCAGGAAATGGGGTACTAAAAAGAGCACCAGCGCGCAGACAAAGATGTCAACCGCTAGAAGCAAAGGATCATTCTTCTCGAGTATCACGAACGTATAAAGATAGAATCTCCACATAAGGCGGACTGGTGTAATTAGATCGGACGTATGTATTGTCGGCCGTGGAAGCAGTGAAGGTTCGACGAGCGAGAGAAGCGGCACCAAGGGGATGTGGGTGGTCCTCTTCCGGTGAAGGACAGCGGCGGGTTGCGCGATCGATGCGGCACTCAGTGGAACATGCATCCGTATCCACCCAACTCGTATGCTTCCAGGGCAGCTCGGCTCGATGAGGGAGCGCACCAAACGGTGACGACCATGCCGCGTCTGGCGAAACCTATAGTATGTGTCAGGAGTAGATCGTACCAGTAGACTTTTGATGTTTGTCTTACGCCCGTGCTGCTGGTCGGGGTCCAATGTCCAAACTCCATTACAGAATTGGCTGATGAGGGCGTACTGGAGAAGTTGGGGATGGATCGAGAATGCTACGAGTGCCAGGATTATAGGCAGCTCACCAACCAGCCCACCTTTCTGACTTTGGTCATCTGCGTGGTAGATTTCGGAGAACAATTGTCCCGGCCAATGTTCCCGAGATAGATGCGCGCATAATGTATGTTGTCCGATCGGTACAGTCGCCGATGAGAGGCGGCATCTATCGGGTGCTTCTCCCGCATCACGAAATCCCAGGCAGAACCAGTCCATATAGTGAGGGCTATTGTGGCCGCCATGCTCAGGGCAAGCAGGTCCGTCACCGTCGTCGCCATCGCCTACCTGATACTTGGTCGCATCGTAGTTGATGGCGTAAAAGGTGCCACGGTCATAGTACATGGAGCAAACCCTGTACTCCTCAGTCCCCTCTGGCAAGGCTCTGTCCCATGGGATGATGCTTTGGCCGTTGCAATAGAACATCCTGCCAGGGGCTCCGTCGGGGCCGAGCTTGTTCGATCCCCGTGATCGGGGCGGACCCCAGCACCCGAAATAGAAACAACTGCGGGTGTTAGGCGCTTGACACATGCCGTCAATGCGCAAGAAGAAGGCGATGCGAGTCTGTGTTTGCTGTAGAAGCCAGCGCCATCAGCGTCTAAGGAAGCAATAGGGCAGAAGGGCGCTCACGGCCATGTCTGTGGATCCACGGTTCAGAACTCTGTGACTAATTGAGCGGTACGTGCGGTTTCAGTCCGGTCTTGCTACCGAGTGACCGCAAAGTTGGGGCGACCCCTTAAACCCGCGTTGCGGCTCAACAAGTCTTCGGACCATAGTGCCCACAGCTGTCGGGGGTGTCAGCAGACAGGAGCTGCCAGCCTATAGACAGCAGCAATCTCATGACAATGACGCCCAAGCTGAACGGCTGCCTTAGCGTTAAAGATAGCGTCAAAGCCATGATGATGATGGAGGCGCTGTCAACCAGTATGCCGCCTTTTCGTCATGTGGATAGTCGGATGCAAATGAGCGTTTGCGGCATCTCCGCGTAAAGTGATCATCGAAGATAGGGATGATACAATCTCATGCTGAGGCTTTGCGGTTGAATGGATTGCTGTTACGGAGTCGCCGAAGTGACGTCTCTTCGAGGCTCAGAGACTGTGGCAGACCCTGAGGTGAAACCAATTGGGAAGGGAGGATCTCCGCACCTTAACCCGGCGTCAGCGAGCGGTTGTGCCAGCTGTCAGTACCGACCACCTCTGGGCAAACTGGTGTGACGGCTCCCCCACAGAATAACCCTGGCCTGGGATTAACCACTCCGCCAGTAAGAGGCATCCGGAGCGACATGGCGCACGGCACAACCGGTACGGTATCGAATCGTCCCGCGATGGTGCCGCGGAAGGCTCTATGCCTATGCTTGTCTCGTGACTAAGCAGTGGAGGGTGTATGCAACGCTGCGTTTCTGGCATTTTAAAGCATTTGTGGCAACGCGTAGAGAGTATTCGATCCGAGAAACATGCGAAATCGAACAGGACTCGAAAAACTTGACGTAGATGTATGCACGTGCTAAGAAAACACCTGTGTGACTTGAGGCTCAACAATTGAACGAGACGCGCGCGACGCATAAAGAAAGCTAGAAGCCCAGAGCTTGACAAGCGATCCAGCTGAATTGCTTTTGGCGAACGAGCAGGGAACAGCCGCTCTATCTTTGCCGTGGATGGTTACCAGTCTGTCGGGAGCGCGAGGCTACGATGAGTAAGCGGGTAGCGAAAAACAACTGAGAAAGTGACGGAGTTGTTTGGATCTGAAAGATGTGGACGAAGTGTGCTTGAAGTACTTTCAGCGACGGACACAGCCTCTTTCTAGGATCCCGCTAACGAGGTGTGACAGAAAGCTCGTCAGGCGGTCAGGGTTAGACGGGGCGTAGTCGACACCGTTGCATTCACAGCCCCCTCGAAGAGTTCGCCCCATTTTCTGCTTAACCATGGTTCGCTGGTCGGTCAGTATTCTTTCGCTCTGCCTCTTGGTACCACCAATCTGGCTGAGAGATCCGACAAAAGCCGCAGACGAAGGATTGCCATAAGTCATCGGAAGCGGATCAAACTTCCGATTCCAGTAAGAGCTTCGGCCAGGATCCAAGACAAGAGGGCGATACCACTTTCAAAGGACACCTATACGAAGGGAGACCTTCAGAAGACAAACATCTCGGTATAACATGTGGTGTAACGAGAGCGACAGAGTGGGGACGATGTGCGGATGTCAACGGAAAAACGAGGAGCCCGTATCTGGGGCTAGGGTATCAGAGTGTCCGTGAACTCGACGATACTTGGGCAACTTATGGAGTGAAACACAACCAACATGCATCAGGCTTGCGGTGACCTGCATGATCGACGCTGGGAGGTAGAGGCGGCCTTGAGCCAATCATTAAATACCTGAGCCCAACTCATAAAAGCTCAGCGCCTTACCCTTAGCTATAAAGGAGGTTCGTAGTAGCCGGTATGCCGCAGCATGTTCAGCGAGTGGTCGACTGCATAGAGAAAATTTTCCCGAGACATTTCAAACGGTCTGATTCCTCGGAACGTAGGTTGATTGTAACGGCTTGTCGTAGTCTTGGACGGTGATAGGTAAGGACTCAGTAGACGCATATCAGCTGCTATGGACGCGCGTTGGAGCGTCATTTGATATGCTTCTTTGGCTGAAAGGGGTCGATGACCGAATCCGGCTTCATGTAAGTTCAAGTGCCAAAGTTCTTACTAAGGATCGAGTTCTTGTTCGCTTCTCTCGCATGCGATTCTCTTACACATGACTTCTTCACCAGAGATATTCGTCCGTTTTCTCTAGCTTGTTCAAACGCGTATCCCCTATGCCAATCTCACCAAGGTCCGTTGAATGGCCGAGGCAAGCGGCCAACTCTTGCTCCAACGCCCGATTACTTTCTTCTTGAATTCCAGCTTCCCTCCCTGTCCATTCTTTTTCTCTCCTTGTCCGCACCTTCCGTGTCGGAGTTACTTTTAACCCATCTCTTTGTTGAGTTTGTATCGCTTTTTGATATCAAGTCGCCCAATCTTGTGTAACGTGGTCCTGACCAACTGTCCTGACGCCAGCAGGGAACTTCCTGATGGGAGACCCAGAGCTAACCCACTAAAGGCGCTGTATGGATCATCGAAAGTCTCTGGCCACGTCCGATGGATAACCTGCATAGTGGTTTCCCTGTGTCACAAACATTGTCTAAGAGCAATCATTGGCCAACGTATGGGCATGCGCGGCTTTCGAGCCAACCAAATCTTGTACCAGCAACGGGTATACCTTGATGCCGCCTGCAGACTATTCATCGGACGTCGCTAGAGGCTGTAGGTAACTTGGTAGGAGGCGCTGTGTAGTGGTGAGGATAGAGGTTCGTTGTGGATCGGGCGGTAGGAGAGGAATCCATCGAGCGAGTTTCCTTCAGTACCGCCAGTACGCTTTGAGAACCCGGATAGATTGCGACCAGATCGCAACATCTCGCGATCATTCTTACTCCTCTCGCGTCGGCGGCGCATCGATGGTGACATTTGATCTCCTTTCAGTCTTAGCGTGCGGTTTGTCGAGTGTCTTCGCTGAGGAGACATGCGGCTAGCGGTGCAGCCTCTCCTGCCGATCCTCGTTCTCGGGTGGCTGAATTGGTCGTCTCGCAGGATGTAACTTATGGGCTTGCTTGTCAGCCTCCATGGCTGGAGCTTGGTGGTTGATTCCAGCTCGAAAGTCGCGACGTGGCTTGGACTACCGCGGCCATGAGAGTAACGGGTCAACCTAACTGCCACAGAGTGAAAGATCTTCCGGTAATCGTTGAAGAGAGCCCCAAGACACCTATGTGGAGTACATCGATACCTTGCCCTACTTCGCACGATTGGCTTACGTAACTGAAATAAATTATCTGCGGTGGGTAATTTATGCCACGCAGAAATCGCGCAGCCACCTCGAAGCCCACCTCGTGACTTTGAAAATTCAACCTTGAACAAGCAGACACACAGATAGGAAAAATCGAGCAAAGACAAGTCGCGCATAATGGGCCCCCTGCTATCAGAAAAACCTGTTCATACTCTCGTTCTGGATACAGGACCGATTATCAAGAATGAGCCCGCAGTATCTACCCTGCTATCTCAAGCAGAGATTCTAGTAACGACGCCTGCAATAATATCGGAGATCCGGGATTCAACTACAAGAAATCGTGTCCAGTCTACCCTACTACCATTTCTAACGCTACGAGAGCCAAGTCCAGCCAGTATCAAAGTCATCACGGATTTTGCCCGCCGAACTGGAGACCTGTCTGTGTTAAGCAGACCAGATATACAGATCCTTGCCCTCGCATATGAGCTCGAGTGCGAACGCAACGGTGGAGACTGGCGGCTGAGGAGCGTTCCCGGCCAAAAACGCACAAATGGGCCTCCTCCAAGCAAGAAATCCGAGGCCGCAACAACACTTACCGAAGAACTGTCTCAGGATATAGCCTCTGGCGCCGGGAATCAAACTCTCGATCCTGCACAAGAAGCTATCAGCGAACCTGCAATCGCACCGGAAGACATGTCACATGACCTGAATACATCAGAACCGACAGACAATATCAGCAAAGCACTCGCAGATACGCACATATCGGACCTACCGGAGGCACAGGAATCTAACGAGTCTAGCGAGCCCAACGATCCGAAAGAGCCCGAAGAGCCTGTAATAGCAGACGGTCAACCACCAGAGGATACAGCAGCAGACGCACCAGCGCCGCCCGTCCAATCTCCCGACTCCAAAAGCCAAAGCACGCCATCGAGGCCAGACTCCGACTCCGACTCCGAAGGTTGGATAACGCCCTCCAACATCAAAAAGCACCAAGACCGCGACAGTCTCTCCACCACATCATCAACCCCCGAGCCCAAAACCATGCAAGTCGCGACCATCACCACCGACTTCGCCATGCAAAACGTGCTCCTCCAGATGAACCTGAACCTGCTGTCGCCGAAGCTGCAGCGCGTCAAGCACCTCAAGACCTTCGTGCTGCGCTGCCACGCCTGCTTCAACGTCCACAAAGACATGAGCAAGCAGTTCTGCGCGCGGTGCGGGAAGCCCACGCTTACGCGTGTGGCCTGCTCGACGAACCAGAATGGCGAGTTCGTCATGCATCTCAAGCGGAGTATGCAGTGGAATACGCGCGGGGATAGGTATAGCATCCCGAAGCCTGTGGCTGGATCCGCGAATGGGAGGGTTAGTGGAGGTGGTAAGGGCGGCTGGGGCCAGGGTTTGATTCTGGCGGAGGACCAGAAGGAGTATGTCAAGGCTGTGGACCAGGAGAAGAGGGTCAGGCAGAGGGATCTCATGGATGAAGACTATTTGCCGTCAATCTTCACGGGGGACAGGCAGAGGGCTGGAGGAAGGCCGAAGGTGGGGGCTGGGAGGAATGTCAATTCGAAGAAGAGATAGTGGGTTGGGAAATGCAAGCGGCATTGTCACGAGGAGAATGAATCGGCATGGCATTGCGCGGCGTAATAGTACAGGAAAATTAGACAAGGTTGTGGCTTAGATATACCACATTAGTGGAGGGTATCGTGTGGGGTCTTTGTGTTCTATAGACAGCACGCTACTAAATACCCTCGCAAATCAGACATGAACAACCCAATCCTTGGGCCTGATATGTGAACACCTCAAACTCCCAATCGCCATACACCAAGCCAGCAAAGATCGCCCATAGCCAGCTACTGTCCTAGCACCTTCTTGTCATCTGCGCTCAAATTAGCTCATGGACTGCTTTCTCAGAGCTTGATCTTCCGTACTTTGCTGCGTCAAAAGCAGGCCATAGCGCTTCTTGAGAGTGACCCGATGCCTAGAAAAAAAGCGTCAGCTTCTTGCCCTCCTACATGTTCCGAAATCGCCATCCTTAGATATCCCGCCGTGTGATCTGTGGCGACTGACCTCGAGTACTTGTCGTCAGGTGAGAATCTTGCCGGATGTGCTGATTTGGAAACTGCGCCGTCGAGGACTTTCTTGAGGGTGTAGACGCGCTTGCCGCTGGCGTCGGGGATGTACATGAGATGCATGCTGTGCGCGTAATTAGTACGATCTACGCGTAGCTCGGTGTGCTTTCTTACATGGCTGAACTGGGTGGGTGACTACTGTATCCTCTCTGAAATGCGGCGAGCTTGAACTGATTTGCGGTCGTTAACTTTTTGTGAAATCTTGGCGCTCTTTCGCTCCGGATGCGCCCGACGTTTCGCCGGTATATAGAGGACAGCTTCGCGACTTTATGATTTCACTACCAGTAATAATCATTGCGCATACAATACCAGAGTCTATCCTGAACAGCATCACGAGAACCACAATGAAGTCCCCTCTAGATCTCCTCCTCCTCATCCTCAGCTTCGCCCTCGCCGCAACAGCCCAATTCCAGTTCTTCGAGCAGATGTTCAGCCACGGCCAGCAGCAGCAACAACAACCTCAGAACACGGGAAGCGACTCTGCGTGGTATCGGCAGACGTACGACAACGGTAGGCCCTGCCTCTTTCCTGCCTCAGGCTCCAGAATGACGGATGCTTACACTATATACTAGCGTATTGTGACAAGTACCTATGTCCTGGCACCCTTTCGTGCGTGCACTTCCCGCACCACTGTCCGTGTGCATTCTCGGAGGTTGAGGAGAAGGTTGAGTTGGGCGAGGGCATTGCTATTTGTGCGAGTAGAGGGGGTTGGAAGGCGGGGGAGGCGGCGAGAAAGATCGAGCTGGCGAGGAAGGGGCTGTTGTAGGGGGGCAGTAACGTATGTGCATTTTTGCAGCGTACACGTAATGATCGAAGACTCAAAGAACGTCGATCTCATGTGGACGTAGACGAGAGTGGTCCCTAACCAAGTATCCTCAACACCCTTCTGAAGTCCCGGATACGTTCTCCGTGCGCCAGCGATCCATCCAAGAGAGCAGTGTAATCTCACGCCTTCTCCACATACTTATACCTGTACGCCTGCGGATCCTTCACTCCGCATTCCTCCTTTCCCCACTCATGCATCAGCGCCTTTCCCATCATCTTCCTCTCCTTCCACAGCTTTTCAAAACGGGCCGCCCATTCCTTCTCCTTCGTCCTAATCAGCTCCACAATCCGCTCATCCATCTCCCTGTTAACACTCTCATAATCCCCCCTCAGCACCTCCGCCTCCTCTCTCGCCGCCCTCGCCTCCGCCTCCGCAGCCTCCACATCTGCCCTCAGCAGCTGGGTATCATTTCTCAGCGCCTCGCGCTCAGCTTCCAGCTCCCTGACCCGTTCAGCCGATTGCTCCAGGGCCGCAGACAACCGCATCGCCACCTTCCTCGCCTCCTCACCCGCCTTCCTCTCCCCCTCAAGCAATCCCCCAATCCTCTTAACCGCCTCCTCAGCCTTCGCCCTCATTTCTTCAATCTTCGCTTCATGTCCCTCCCTTAGCCCCTCCATCTGCACCTGCAGCGCCTCAACCCGCGCCCACGCCTCGCTCCGCTGGTCCGCGAGCTTGTCGCGCAGGTCGTGCAACTCGTTTTCTTTTGCCCAGAGGGCTGCGGCTTGGGCGTCGGCTTCTGTGCGTAGGGCTTTGGTTTGTTGCCGTGCGTTCGCCGCCTCTTGCTCGGCGTCGCGGCGGTCGTCACGCGCTCGGGAGAGGTCGAGGCGGGCGCTATCTAGGTGTTGGCGCAGGGAGGTGAGGCTGGCTTCTAGGGTCGCGATGCGGGGGTCTGGGATAGTGGATGGTGGGAAGGAGGGGGTGGGGGGCTGGGCTGTGGGATGTTGGTCTTTTGCTGAGAGTTGCGTGAGCGCTTCGTCGCGCTGCTGCTGCGCTGTTGATAGGCGGTGCTCGAGATCCGCGATTCGGGCTTCTGAAGTGGCCTTCAATTGCGCCAGCTCCGCCTCATGGGATTTGCGGGTAGCGGAGTGAGATGCGTCGTTCTCGGAGCATGCTTCTTCGAGCTGTTGTTGCAGACTTGTAACCTGCTCTTTCAGCCTCTTGATCTGGCCCAGGTAAGCCGAGTTCCGCTCCTCAATCTCGTTTTCATGCTGTTGTCTTGCTTCTTCGAGGGCCTCTCGGTGTTCTGCATGAAGCTGGGTGCGAAGGCTTGAACTTGTGGATCGGAGATCTTGAATCTGCTGTTCGTAGTCGTCACGCTGCTGTTCGAGCTCCTCGGCATGGGTGTTTTGTGCGGCTTGGAGCTGCTTCGAGGCGGATAGCCTGGTATTGGCTTGCTCTAAGTCAGACTTGAGCGAGTCGAGATCGTCCGTAAGGGATTCTCGAAGTGTGTTTAGTTCTGCTTTATGGGCTTTCGTGGCTGATGACTGAGCTGCTCGGAGCCTCTCTAGCTCAGCGTCCTTGGTCGTAAGTTCCTCTTCGAGCTCTGCGTTGCGTGCTTTCAGCCGTTCGATCTCAGCCGAAGCTATCTGCGTTTGTCTTGTGAGATAGTCACGTTGTCGTACCAGCTCCTGCTGATGCTGTGTCTGGATCTCTTGGAGTATCTTTTCTTGGACGTTATTGGCCTCGGTTGCCTTACTCTCGGCGTGTTCTAGCTGAGTACGTAGGTCTTGGACAACGGTCTCGTGATCTTTTCTCGCTGCCGTAAGAGCTTCGACATGCGCTTGCTCCGCTGTCGTCAGGCGCTCCTCGGCGTCCTTCTCGTATTCTTCGAATGCGTTTCCCAGTTGCTCAATCTCCGCCTTCAGCCCTTCCACTTCGGATGCGGATGCGACGTATTGAGAATCCAGCGTCTGCTCGTGCTCCGCTCTTGCGTTCTGCATGGCTTTCGTCCAGCTGCCATTCAGTTTTTCATTCTGAGTGCGAGCAGCTGCTAGGAGGTTTTCTAGCTCGGCGACTCGTGCGTCTGACTGCTCCTTCTGACGAGATAGCTGCTGCTGTAGCTCCTCAATCTGATTTGTATCAGTCTGGTGTTGACGGCTTGCACGTCTATCATCGCTTCGGACCGACCCCTGATCTACTGGAGTGACTTTCCGCGGTGTGTCCTCGTAGTCCTCAACGGTAGGCTGGAGTGTGCGTGCCGTCGTAGCCGCTGAGGTTGGCCTGGACGCATTTCCAAGAGTTGCCGAAGGAGACGATGGAGCGCTTTCTGAGCGGTCTGGCAGGACTTGAGACGAAGAAAAGTAGTTCGCGTCGTCGTCTGCTGTAGCTGTGGTCCCATTCTTCCCAGTAGGCGCGAAGAGGGAATCGTTCAAGTTCTGCATGAGCGCGCCGTTGGACGTACTCCGAGTAGAGGGCATGTTCGCTGGTTCCTCGTCCGTGACTTCCTCTTCTCCGACGCGTCCTTCTGACTGCTCGTCCTCTTCCTCGTCGAGGGTTTGCTCTCCCATTTCTTCCCCCCTCTCTTCGTTGCCCTCGTCATACCCATCCTCTCGCTCTTCATTTTCGAACCCCTGCCCGATTTCCCCCGCACTACTATCACTCTCAACCCACTCCTCCAAGTCCCTCTCAACCGTCTCATCCTCCAGCTTCCCTGGCTCCGTTACTGTCGGCACTGGCAGCTTCGTGCGCATCCAGTATCCCATGTTCTGCGTGAAGTCGCTGGGGCCATCGATGTCTTCCGTCCTAATCAGATCAACGTCCTCGTCTTCGCCTGGAAGCGGTATATCTAGCGCGCTGCTGTCGCTTGCGGAGCCGTAGAGCGCGGCGGCGTCGATGGAGTATTGGATGCTCGCTTGGCTGAGGGCGCGTGGGCGGGTTGGGGTTGGGGTGTCCATGTTGAGATGTTTAGTAGTGATGCATGCGATCCGAGGGTTTTAGCGCGTGGGGCGCGTAAGAGTGGACGGTTTGGTGCAGTGTTGGTGGTGTTGATGGGAAGTGCAGTTGCGGGTGGTGGAGCGGATTGTTGATGGATGTTTTGATTGCGGGCCGAGCCGCTGGATCTCACGAAACGCGCACGCGATCGGGAGACTCGATTTGGTAGTGCCGGAGGCGGTGGACTTGAAATCTGATGTCACTGGCAATTTGTTGATCATCGACCTTACGCTTAATCGTTACTCGAGTTCCCTAATCCTATCAAAGGACTATACATTGGTACCCACTCTGCTTCTCCTCCGAGTCATTCATGCTGAGAGATGGCTGTTCCACGTAACTCAATCCGAAGCTTCCTCGTCAACGCGAAAAGCGCGCTCCACACTGCTATCCAGAAGAGCCAGAAAGTTACTCTTGTCATAGGCAATGAGTCTGCCGGTACGTACTTTGTCTTCCATAGCTATCAGCATGCTGAACTGATGTGTAGACCTCGATTCGCTGACCAGCTCCCTCCTCTACGCCTACATCCGCTCCAGCACCCCCACCCCAAACGCCTTCACCCCGCTCTACATTCCAGTAACGAACATCCCAGCCGCCGACGTCGACATCCGCCCCGAGTTTCTAAAAGTCCTCTCACACGCCAACTTAGAGAGCCAGCACCTTATCACGCTCGACGACCTGCCCGACCTCTCCAGCATCGGGTCCCAGCTGCCACCCTACAATACCAAGTGGGTCCTCGTCGACCACAATGCGCTGCAAGGCGCTCTGGGGTCTATCTACTCAGGGCGCGTTCAAGGGGCAATAGACCACCATGAAGACGAAGGAAAGGTGCCGAGGGATACTGGCGACGAGCCGCGCATGATTACAAAAGCCGGCAGCTGCACTAGTCTGGTCACGGAATACTGCGCGAAACCTTGGGACGGCTTATCATCCTCGGCCCAATCATCTGGTGCAGCACACGGTCAAGACGATGCAAGTGGTGTGGTGGACGATAGCGCAGTGAGTGCGTTGTGGGATGCGCAAATTGCGAAGCTGGCGCTAGCGAGTATTGTAGTCGATACAGCGAACCTACAGTCGAAGGACAAAGTCACAGACCACGATGAATATGCTGTGAAGTACCTGGAGGCGAAGATCATGGCCGCGCCGCAGGTCTCTAGGGATTTTGACAGAGGGAAGTTCTACAAAGAGATCAACGCGGCTAAGAAGGATATCGGCAGTCTACCGCTACGCGATATCCTCAGAAAGGACTACAAGCAGTGGACGGAAGGGAAGCTGGATCTAGGAGTCAGCTCCGTCGTGAGGCCGATAGAGTTCCTCCTAGAGAAAGCGAAAGAAGAAACTCAGGACAAGTCGATGCAGGAAGCTTTCTTAGCAGCGATTGAGCATTTCGCACAGGAAAGGAATCTCCAGATCTACGGGATCATGACGATCTCGACCTCCGCGAGTGGGGATTTCCAGAGAGAGTTGCTTGTCTGGTCTTTTACGCCCGAGGCGAAGCAGGCAGCCCAAAAGTTCTCGGAAAACGCCGCGCAAGAGCTTGGTCTAGAAGACTGGCACAGCTCGGATGGCACCAGTCTGGACGATGTTGAAAGGGATGAAAAATGGCGCAAAGCTTGGTGGCAGCGCAAGGTTCAGCACAGTAGGAAAAGGGTTGCGCCTTTGCTGAGGCAAGCTATGAGCTGACGCCAGAGGGGTGGGCGTTTGTGAATATGGCGCGCTTCACGACACGTTGGAAGAGCCAGATGGATGTGTCAGGGGTCATTTGACGTGCAGCTGGTATGGACTTACCCCAGATCTCGAGGGCGGCTTGGTTGCGTTGCCGTCAAACAATGGATTGCTGCAGCGTGCTACGAGAACGGTGCAGGACCGCGCTCGCGGATAGTGGCAGCATTGACACCTCCTGAGTTCCTTACGATAAGATGAGGATGCTCCATCGGAACTTTTCACTCCACACTCTCACCAAATCGCAAAAATTTGGTTCCACAGAAAACACTTAGCAAGATAGAAAATAGCATCCCAGAATGCGCCTCAAGCGCAACAGGGCCAGCTCCACATCTTCAAGATCGAGCCATGGGTTCGGCTTTTTGTGTGAGCCAATCAAAGGCGGATCAACCCATCACAATGCATCGCATGCCAACTCATCACTGCGAGGTGCCTATCAATGCAACGAGAGCCAGCGCTTTTGAGCTTCAGACGCATGCTCGACGAGCTAATGCAACTAATATGTCGCTAGAGCCAAGCGTGCCTTCGAGGGCAACTTTATGCAAAACAAGACGCGGCCGCAGAAACGGCCGGCAGCCTCCATGGTGGCTTGAGATGCTTCGGGTGATCGCTTTTAGAGAGAGACATGCCTAACAACGCGCTGCGGACCTCCAGTGTTCGGTCAGTTGGCTTAACATGCAACAAACAATTCATAGCGCACAATAGCTGCACACTCACTCGTGTGCGTTTTCTCAAGGACCCTGCTGCTCCTACGATACGGCCAAGCTCTTCGAGGGACCAAGCAAGCTGAAGAGCACCCCCGATCTTTCCATGCTTCTTGATCCGCGCCACTGCACGCCGCTGGTTCTGGCGACGAGCGAAAGCTGGCGGGACCTGTCAGAGCCAGTTCTTCGTCGGCTGCGGCGAACTCATGCATGGACACGCTGGCCATCCGCGCCCTGATTCGTCGTCGACTTGCGATGAGCTGGCCATGCTGCCCTGCAGGTCATGCTTGCTGCTGCTGCTGCTGCTGCTGCTGCTGCTGAATCTCCTCGCCCTTGTCTTTGCGGTTATCACGGGCGAAACTCAGCCGGGTTAATGCCACTGCAGCGTACACGCAGTCTGCCAATAAGCCTTTCAAGTTTCGCGATCCACCTCAGGTTGTTGTTCCATCAAATCTCCGTCTCCGTCGTGCGCTGTCGACTCGACTCTGTATACACCAATCAGTGTTTGCGCTGCTATCGATACGTGCATCACCAGCATAAGACGCATCGGCCAAAGACCGAGGGGCATCGCGCAAGCCGTCGACTGCCAACACATCCAGCCCCGTACCAATACCCTTCTACACGGCGCGCAGCTAGTGCTGGCCGTATCGTGGACATGCGGTCCTAGAGGATTGTGACTTGGCATCTCGGACGCCGCGCCAAGCTCATAGGCGGTCTTCCTGATGGCGAGATGAGTGGAACTGATATAGCCTCGCTGCCGGCGCCGGCCTCCCGTTCTTCACCTCGTATGTCGATGCGCTCTTACATCCACTTCATATGCTATCAGCACTCAATCTCCTGGTCTTGCGCGACTCTTTATACGATGATCTGGCGAAGCTAAATCCTACCGCAGCCCTATCACCAACGATCACGCACGTCTCTTCCCGAAGCGCTACTCCTTCTCCTATTGCGCTTAATGATCCTCCTCTCGAGACAACCTTCAGGTCCGGGAGTCCCTCCAGGCCGCACTCACCTCCTGCGCAACTAGAACATCAAGACAATTGGCCTGGTGAGACTGACGACAAAGGCGAGGCCAACGGGGGACTTCAGCGACCCTCTATGCCACCATCAACCTCCGCGCCTGCCGGCCGTCTTCCCCGACTATTGCCTCACGAGCCGTCGCACTACACCGAAACCTCTTTGCCGACCTCAGCGCTGAGCACTTCGTCAACCTCGCTTGCTGAGCTTGCACACCTTATTAGACTTCAGAAGTATCAAGAGCAGCGATGCTGCCACGCGCGCGTACGGTTGCATCGATGGCTAGTATCAAGCGCTCTTTCCGCGCGCTTGGTACGCTGTGGAGAGCTTGCGCATAGAACTCTGATCGACAATCTAAGGTCGGACGACAAGAAGAGCTTTGCTACTTTATATAATGCATTTCAAGACGTTCGAGATTCTTGTGATGCGACCAGGAGATACGCGCTTCTGGAACCAGATCTAGAGCTCAGCAAGGCTAAGGGCGCTAAGAGCGAGAAATTTCATTCCATTTCCACTTTTTTGCATGAGATACCCAGTCCAATCCGAGACCAGCTCTTGGATTTTGTTTCGGAAATCAGGACGAATCCTGATTTCCTTGCTACTCGTATTGCTACTTTGTCACAGCAGGAACTTTCTTCTTTAACTTCTTTCCACCAGCCCTTGGATCCTATCGACTCGGTCATGGCACTTCAGACTCGAGGAAACCCTTTAGGCCAAAACCAGAAGCTTTTTGCCCAAGGTCCTAGCCCCGTAGAACGTCTGCTGTCCTTTCAACGCCATGACCCTCTCTATGCTCTTGTCTATACTATTTTCGCGAATTCCTCAGGCCCCGATTCCTCTGAGGACCTCCGCCGGACAGATGTTTGGGCTACAGCGTGCGCTCGATTGATCACTGAAGGAAAGCCCGGAAGCGATAAGTTTATCAAAAGTGTTCTCGACGCCTGGGCTGGCATGCGCGAATGGCGTGGCAAGGCCAATTTGGAATTGTACCTGATGCAGATCCTTCAGGACGGCCAGTTCTTGCTGGAGAAAGTCGAGGACCAGACTATGAGACCACGCACCACTCAGGCCGATACTAGAAATGCAAAAGACAACATCCTAGCGGAGGAGTTCTATGACAAGGCCGTTAAGAAGTTGTTCGAATTGATCGATGACGAGCCGAGCGCTGGCGGCATCCCAGACGGTGTCCTAGAGATCGGCCTTGCCATCCTGAGAAAACTCGACGATTGTAAAAAGCATCGAGCAGCTGCGCAAACTTTTATCGTATCTCGCTGGCTATTTTCAAAGTTCTTACTCAATGCCATCATCTATCCTGAGGCAAGTGCGGTATTTTTCAACAGGTAACTCCGAATGCTAACGCCAACCAGAGCCAGGGGATAATGTCTGGCTACCACATCAGCGAGCATGCACGACAAAGGATACTGAAGGAAGTCGCTATTCGTGCGCAAAAGCACGTTTTGGATATGACGTACAACTGGTAAGCAAAAACTATAGGATAGCGCATTCGTCAATTGAGTGTACTCCAGGAAGCAAAACATACCTGTCCTCCCAGAAATACGATCACATATCGAAAACATACTGTCCAGGTTCAAGTATGCCAGATCTCGTTCGAAGCCGGTGTTACTTCCTGCAAGGGCCATTACATCTCCTCGAGAGACTACCGAAGTTCAACCATTTATTGTGCTCTCATCATCTGATATTATCACTCTTGTTAACACTCTCTTCCCTGAACGCCGGCCGCCATCGAGTCAGACAGATCTGGATTCCCGAAGAAGTGGGCTAGCCTCGGCCGCTTCATCTATATCGGGCGTGTCTCTTCCTTTCCGTATACCTTCCACTCCCGGGGACTCAGGTTCCGTCTTCAGTGCTAGTGCATCTTCCTTGACTAGCGACACCACCTCGCGTGAGCCGCTTCTGGATTCAGCCGGTCAAATGCCCGACGAGCAAGAGCCTGTACTCCATGATGTTGGCCATACTGCTACCAGAATTGCACCAACAGAAGAATACGGCCGAAGGCTCCGGATGCTATGTTCAGAAATGAGACGCATCCTCGGCGTCGAAGCCGCAGCTGGTTCCTGCCATCCATGTGCGGAAAGATGGGCGGTGCTTTATGTGTCGCCAGATGGCAAAGAGCTTCGAACCCGATTGCGCAAAGATGCATATGACGAAGATGACACTGAAGAGGAGTCTCCTGATAGCGATAGCGGGGATGAGGGCATAGGCAAGGCAATGGATCTGGAGAGCGACTACCATCAGCTGAAGCAAGCCGTTACGAAGCTCGTTCAAGGATACGAGATACCAAAGGAGTTCGCACCCGAAAGCGAGTCGAAGACCTTTAGTAACCGGACGTCAACACATCGGCGAGACTTTCGAGCACACGTTGCTGCTCGCTCACAAATGGCGTCCGAGCCCGACAGGAATCCATATCACAACCAAAGTCAAATTTCGGGTCTTATTGCAAGCCAGACGTCAGCTGCGCTGGGGCGACATCGACCATTGCAGCACAAGCGAGACAGCGCTAACATAGAGACTCACAATGGACCTCAGGAAAGGGACCCGGTGCTGGTCATCATGCTCGAGGCAGCCATGCATCAATGCCAGGCTAGAGCGGACTACGTCAACGCACACCTTTACTTTAGAACTTTACAGCAGTTGCGGAGGCTCTCTTCGCCTTCGCTGACGCGAAACGGCTACGCATCTCTTCTTAACTACTTCTCGAGGGGGCCCCGTGATTCGCTCGGACGATCTGCGAGTGCCATCGAACAGTTCGAAGCATGGTCAGTCTCACTCAAGCAGTCCCAAGAATGTCACGACTTGGCAGTCGAAGACATGATGCTTCGGCTGAAGCGTCTTCGCGACAAAATGTGGTATATCACTGATGTTCGAAACTCGGCCGGGTACGATGAAGCGAGGAACATTACTCTTGCACTTAAGATCATGGGCCAGCCAACTCGGACGCCGGACGGCAAGCCCACCCAAGCTCATCGGCCGCGGAATTTTTCGAAAACATCTTCGGGCCAGTTCTTTATGAAGACCGAAGCCCAAGTGTTCGACATTATGGCAGCTTCTCCCGACCATGCCGGCCCCAACAAGCTTACTGATGAGCAGTCGGACATGACCCTGAAGTGGCTTACCCAAAATGGCATAGAGAACTTCTGCAAAGGCGAAGAAAGGATACATCGCTTCGCTCTTGAGATCGATAGATGCGTCAACAAGCTTGTCGGTGATGGTATCCTTGACGGACCCGTCCTGTGGTCTAGCGAGCTGTATCGTCGCGATAAAGAAATACTTGATAACGGCCGACAGAAGGGGGATTTGTTCCTTACAAGAGTAGGCACCTTGAGCTTCGCTGGCGATGATGACTATGAGGAACAGCCCCGTCGATCGGGCTTGAGGACTCTGGACTTCGCGCACCGTCCGAGCAACAGCAGCCTGCATTCCATTTCCCGCTGGAACGGATCACAGTACAGCTTCGACTCCGGAAATTGGAGCAGCAGCAGAGGGGTCGACATCATGGATTCTCAAGACTATTTCGGCTGGTCAAGCCCTGTGCTTGCAATTGACTCTACCGCCACCTTCTGGTCACCCTTCCAGTCCGAGTTACAAGCTCAGTCTCCTTCCAGTGCCACAAGCCTCCGACCTCGCACTGCTTCGTCGTTAAGGAGTGGCAGGATGCATCAAAACTCCGCCGGTGCCAACGATGATAAGCGCCGGTTCCTACTAGACCTCAAGCAAACTCTGACTAGCCTTCTGCTCAGTGATCTTGGTACACTTGTCTTCGGTCACGGCAGCGAGACAGATGCATGGTTCTCTGGAGAGCTTGGCGAAGAGTGTATACAGCGGAAGGAAGAAGAGTATCGCCAACGTAAACGGTCCCCTACGCGAAAGAAAGGCACAAAGAGCACACGAACAGAAAGTCGATCGGGTCCGCTTGCGGAGCTCGGTCATACTGAGAGGAGCGATCCAGCGGTGCCGGTAGCAACGCTTCAGCATCCAGGCCTTGGAAACTTGTCCGCTTCGGAATATTCTGCCTCCTCGACTGACGCTACGACCAGCGCTTCGAGTACATCAGCAGCAAAGAAAGCTGGCTTGAGCAAGTTTCCCTACGACGTAGCCTTCCGTCGCCTCCTTCGCAAATTCGCGACTCATCCAAATCCGTATACCAAGCTCCATGCACTCTGGGAGCTGGAGGTTCTGATCATTGCTTCACTCAACTCCTCTGGTCGGCACCACAACAACCGCAGGGACACCTTGCCCACGCTGCCCCAATCACCGGATTTTGGCGCAATGCCTAAACTCAGCTCGCGACATAAAACGGTGCAGGTCGACCGCGCGCAGAACCTCGAGGAAGCCATCGCAAACTGCGAACAACGACGCTCTCACACCATGGCGATACCTAAGCATACCGACACCTACCCCACCCACCCATCAGACCCGCGGTCGCCCACCAATCCCCCAAGCACTGACATGATCGTCGACGTGCTCCAAAGCCTCTTCCGCGATGCCTCTATCCGTCCCAAAACCCTCTTCCGCGACCTCCAATACATCGCCTCCTTGGTCCCCGCCCAAACCCTCGACCGCACCGAGCGCGGCAAAGCCTTCTGGGACGCCGGTCTCGCCGCCCTCGGTCTCAAGCAAGACGTCTGCCGCGTGATGATCGAGATCGCGGACGACATCGTCGCGCTGAACACTTCGAACCGGTCCGCAGCCGCGCATGCCGCCGGCAGCGGCACCCCGAGCGTGCAGCAGCAGCAACCGAACGGGTCCGCCGTCGCTGCGCACAATGGCGATGTTGCGCCCACCAGCGATCCCCTATCCCGCTTTTCGATGGCCGACGCAGCCACCATGCTCATCATCACGGCGAAAGAAGGCGACGCGGTCGCGGAGCGCGAACTCGCCATCTTCTATCTCACGCATCCGGACCTATTGCCACGGACCGTGCTGCCGCTGACGAGGCCGAGAGATGTGTTCAAGGGCGAGCTGCTGCAACGGGATCGCAAGAAGGAGGATCCGGTCCGCAGCGACCCTATGACGATGTGTGTCGCGCAGCATTGGATGGAGATGAGTAAGCGGGGCGGGGATGTATTGGCGACGAAGTACTTGAGGGCGAGGGATGAGATGGAGAGGATACCTTGAGCGGGGGGGATGGGAGATGGGTCTGGGGGCTGTAAGGTGATGACGTGAGGATTTGCAGGATTGGTGTAGGAACGCTGCAGCACCGTGTAGACGTGATAGGGTTTGTGAACACATGGATGCACGTCACGAATCCCCTTGCGTTGGATGTGTGGATATTTTGTTTCTTTGGAGATGAGATAGCATCGATACTTATGCATATATACCCGTTACGCGAATCAATACAGTACTACCCTGTTCGCTTGCTGATGCGCATCGTTGCGCGTGCCTTTCCGTTCAAGTGACAATTCACGCTCTTCCACTATCTCTGCTGCTTCTTGCCACCAATTCCACAGACTCAGGTTTCCACTCCACGTTCCTCCAACCATTGCCCTGCATCGTGTCGTTAGACCCTACGCTGTCAACCGCGCCTCTTTCCAGCGCTAGCATCTTCGCCTCCTCTTCGCTCGAAACATCGCTCCGCCTACTCTCACCGGCATTCGTGCCCTTCATACATTCAGGGAAAACAACCACATCCGGCGCCGTCGCCCTTCGCATAGTCGACAACGGACTTTTAGGCAGTGACCCGCTTGAACTGGTTCTCGAGCTTACGGACGGAGGGACCGAGCGTAGCCTATACGCCCCACGACCACTACTGCTGGAACGCTGCGCTAGTGCCAGGAGCACAGGCGAGGGCGGCGCAGAGCGGACGGTGCTGCTGCGGTATGGCTCGGTTCCGCTGCCGTAAGGGGGACTGCGAGGTGGGTGGACGGCGCGCCAGGCTGAGTCAATAGGGGTTGGAGGTGTGGAGCGGAAGGGTGGGTGTGTTGGTGCGGGTTTAGTAGTGCGGGGGAGGGATAATAGGGAGGTGGAGGTGAAGATGCCGAGGCCAATCGCGGAGGGAGAAGATGAAGCAGAAGCCGAGGCGGAGGACGTGAGGTCGTAGAGGCTGCTGACAGGTCTAGAGGTGCTGGAATTCGACGATGGGAGGGAGGCTGGGCGTGATGAGGTCTTCTCAGACGTCGGCGAAGTGGCGGATGAACCGATCACTATTCCTATGTCTCTGCGACCGAGGAGGCCGGCCTCAAAGGGGTTATGAATTCCGGTAAGAATGCCGAAGAACACACAGGAGGTAATGCTGGCGCAGTTGAGTTAGTTCGGGCCGCACGCTCTTGCTGGTTTCGAGGACATACAGTGCAATAACCGACATTGCCGTGTTGAAGCGTTCCGCAACACATACGGCACCTACCTCCCATCGCTCCCCCTCTGCGCCCCGAGGCTTGCAGACAGGTTGTCTAGCCGTGATAATCAAGTGCCAGCCCGATGCTAAGATCCAAAGGATGCACTGGCATACTACTAATCCGATGCTGTTACGACGGAATCGCTTCTTCAGTCGCTGTAGGTCGCTTTTGGACCATCTGGTTGCCAAAACGATGTGGTTGATTATATACATCATTGACGCAGCCGACTATCTCGATGTCAGTTGTGGGCTATTACAGGTGTTGAGAACCCAAAAACACAACTCACAGAGCCGACTGTGTGGAATTGCGCTACAAGCATCGTAGAATCCTCGCGCCCCTGGACGAACAGGTACATCGTGCTGCAGAAGGCACCAAAGGAACTCCAAAGTAAGACGTGTAACCAGGCCGTAACGAATCGCAGAGTCCAAAGGCGCCGTTGTCTTCTTCGTGTGGCTTTGTTTCTCACATCCATAACCACATCTGCCGCTAGTGTAATCGTGGAAATTCTACGATTCTCGAAAGATGGCTTCTCGGCATCTGAAGACGAAGCATACCGTAAGGGAACCTCCAGCGGGGCGTCGTTGAGGCTTTTTAGAAGGCTATGTATATCAAGTGACGATGGTTCTGGCAACATCGTGTTGAATGCGGCTTCTTGACAGCAAGCAGCTAGCGGCAGTAAAAGCTTGCGGACGACCGATGGAGATCGTCAGCTGATATAGAATGATCTCGACGCATCAGGAGATGATGAGACGAGCGGCTGATTGATGAAGTGGCGAGGCTGGGTACGCGAGTAATACGCGTAGATTGCCAGGCCACCATCACCGGCCGCGTGCTATGGGATGCGCGCTGATAGCGATAAGCCCGTGTAGTGCTTGCAGCTTTACATTCTCTAGTCCCGTCGCGGAAGAAAGGGGTGGGTTCTGCTGGAATGGCGGCCGAAGATGGAAGCAAGGAATGTTGTGACACCTGGAACTCTCTTGCTTGGCGCTACAACCAGGGCGAACGATATGATTACTCAGGCAAGATGGAAAGGTGTAGCGACAATAGGAGATTCAGAAAGACGGAGAGGTCAGGAAACTCGCTCCACAAACTTCCCACAAGAAATCTAGGGAAGCGTTTGAATGAACAAGCAATAGCAGGTGAGCGAGGCTGATGCTCCACGGCAAGTCAGTCGCAGACGGCAGCCGAGGCGTAAAAGAAGACAGGCTATTTCCGCCTTGCATACACAACAGAGTTGCCCATGCTCACTTCGACATGACGTTTAGTGTGTTCGGTATTACAGGCTCTCATGTGCGGGCACACTTTGCTGCTGATTGATTCAAGTCTCAGTACGACGATGCACCACTTAGGTGGATGGCATGCCTGCTCAACTGTGCCAAGCCTGTGCGTGCTTAGATTCAGTTGCCACGGCAGCCTAGTCATGGCGAGGAGTGGTCTCTGTGTCGCATTTATGCAATCTCTCAAGTTGTTCGTCGACCCGACAAACTGGAACAGATCTTTGGCGATGTTAATCTTATAAGAACAGCCCGAGGTATCGTGCGCCCATAGAGTTGGCGACAAGGGTGACATCGCGATCGTGTTTTCTGGCTGTTGCGCCGGGCGTAGAGGCTTTCAGCAAGGTGTACGCATCTTATGAGTCTTCCTCGTAAGAGACGCCAAGGCGGCGTAGTGGATGATATCCAACCCCAAGCGCTTCATAGGACGAGGACGAGGATCAACAACAGGATAAGGACGAAGATCAAAACTGCTATGCAGCAGCTTGACATGGTATCTGTTGCGCACAGCCCCGTCAGCAACATCATCAGTACATCACATGGTCTCCCAAGGAGTGAACCGACCTTCATTCTTCTTGATGACCCAACCGACTTTCTTGATCCCCGTCTGCAGCTTGCCGCCAACCCTATCAGCAAGCGTGTCGACATCATCCAGTATGACTGCCTGCTCCTCAAGCTCCCTGCCCATATCATCGGCTTGCTGGCGCAGGTTGCCGACAGTCTGGAAGACGCCATCAAGCGCCTCGTCCTGTTCGTGCATAATCTCCAGCTGTCTCTCTTGCTCAAACGCGGCATAGTTATCGTCTTCGTCTCCGAATGAGTCTGGATCCGGTAGAGGACCTCCATTCATAGCCGCCTTGCCCTTGCTCTGCGCATCATGAACGGTCTTCTGAAGCTCTTCCCGCATATCCTCGACCTCGCCGCCCACCTCTTCAACCAAGTGTCTTCGGCGTTCGACTTCATCGATCTCGAGGCCGTATTTGTAAGGATCGTGCTCAACGGCTTTGACGCTGTCCACCAAGTCCTGGAGGTCCGTGGTAAGGTCTTGTAAGGTCGCTTCGAGCTCGTTACGCGCTTCAACTAATTCAGGAGAGTTCGGAGACGATGCAGAGGAGCGAATCCGAAGGTACGACGAGAATAGCGGCCGGGTCTGGTTGAGTAAGGAGAGGACGTCCCTGACCATCTGCGTCAGTAGGGCGTTATGCATTCACCAGGGGATTGACCTACGCCTGTACTTGCAGAAAGGGGTCACCCTCGTCCGCAGAAGACATCATATTAGCGAGTTGCCAGTTCTTCGCTGAGCTGATCCACCGTGTCTCGATTCTGTATTCGTAGTTGAGAAAAGACCGCTGTTGGTCGAGCACTGAACCTCTACGGTACCTCGGAGATAGTAGGGCTAAGCCCGAAGCACGTGACTCCAGCCTTCAGCACCACCGAATGTCTCAGCACCCAAAATGTGCATGACCCCTATAGAACTGTACTAGATCTCTCGATCTCGGCACAAACAATAGCACAGCTGCTTGAAAATTGCTCTTGTGGATGCAGCGTACATCTCGATCTTGAAGATGGCGCCTGAAAAGCCTCTGCCGCTGCCGGACCAGTTCTCAGATGTCGATGAATATGTAGACTCGCTATTAGCATTTGGATCATCATCCAATCTTCTACAGACACTATGTGGAGGCGTGCATATACTGGACTTTTTCACACGGACCCCGGATCTATACTCGCTGGTACTTCCATGGGAATGGCGAGATTGGGTCAAATCTGTGGATATGATGGATTTTCTCGATCTTCTCATGAGGGAGAAATTAGACAAGTTTGATGCTCATGCATCTCTAGATGGCTCAGAAAGAGCTAAGGAAGACTCATGGCGTGGGGCCCCGCTGCCTCCCAAGAGCTTGGTCCAGTACATCCAGAATGTCCGGAGGCATAGCTTGAGGCGAGATTTCCATACTATTGGTTCATCAAGCAAGGCTTCGGCTTCGAAAGAACCATCTATGGCACGTCACGTTGCCGTAGGCATGAAGGTCAAAAAGGTCCACGAAGTAGACAACTTCGCCCGGTATGTAGACAAGCTGACCGCGGACATTGCAGTTGCTCGAGACCGAGAGATCACGCATCTTGTAGACTTTGGATCTGGTCAGAACTATCTCGGCCGCGCTCTGGCAAGCCAACCGTACAACAAGCGTATCATTGCGGTCGAAAGCAAAGAACACAACATTGAGGGAGCAAAGAACATGGACGTGCACGCAAAGCTTGCGCCGAAGCTTAAGATCATGCGGAACAAAAAGGAGTATCGTGCTGGGCTCGATGATGCCAAAGCTATGAAAGACCAGAGCAACACAAGAGAGATGTCTTTGCGGACCAAGAATATATGCAGCAACGGGTACTTTGCCACTAGCACCGAGCAATCAAACGGCACGCGTGACGAAGACAGCACGCCCTCGAACGAAGATGGAGCTGTTAGCCAAACACAAGTTGAAGGCGCAGGCTCCATTCAATACGTAGCCCACCGGATAACGGACGGCAACCTCGCACCCGTAATCACCCAGATCTTTGGAGAACCCGCCATCGAGTCACCTCAATCCAAGCAATCGTCTTCCACCACGCCGTCGGCTTCTACAGATCTCTCTCCCGCTTCACCAACGGCATCTACAGATCCCAGTCTGCTAGTCCTCTCCCTCCACTCCTGCGGCAACCTCCTACACCACGGCCTGCGCTCCCTTCTCCTCAACCCCAGCGTGCACGCCGTCGCAATGATAGGCTGCTGCTACAATCTCATGACCGAGCGGCTTGGGCCCCCAACCTACAAGCTCCCCTCGCTCCGGCCCGCCCACCCCCGACTCGACGCCACCTCCAACGCCTGCGACCCGCACGGCTTCCCCCTCTCCCAGCGGCTCGAGCACTACGCACCTCTCGTCCACTCTCCATTAACCGGTGCCCCAGAGGCCGCGACTCCGAACACGGGGTTCCGCCTCAACATCACCGCACGTATGATGGCCGTCCAGGCGCCCCAAAACTGGGGCCGGTCCGACAGCGAGGCATTCTTCACGCGGCACTTCTACCGCGCCTTACTCCAGCGCATCTTTCTGGACCGCGGGGTGGTGACGGCACCAACAGGTGCGAACGACGTTGTAGGCGGGCGATCTCCGGCCGGCTGGAGCGGGCGAAGCAGCGGCGGGCAACCGATCATCATCGGGAGTCTACGGAAGCGGCATTATGGCTCCTTCGTCGCGTACGTGCGGGCGGCGGTCGAGAAGCTCACGGCTGTGGACCCCGGGGTGGGGGATGCGGAGGGGGAGAGGGCGAGGGCGGCGTTCTTTGCGGAGAAGATGGCGGGGTTGGAGGATGTGGAGATTGAGGCGTACGAGGCGAGGTTTGGGGAGAGAAAGAAGGAGCTGAGTGTTGTGTGGAGCTTGATGGCCTTTAGTGCGGAAGTGATCGAGGCGATCATTGTGGTTGATCGGTGGCTTTTTCTGAGGGAGCAGGAGTGTGTGAGGGATGCGTGGGTTGAGCCGGTTTTTGAGTATGGAATGAGTCCAAGGAATTTGGTGGTTGTGGGAATCAAGAAATGATTCCGCAGGACTGGTACATAAAGAGGTCTGGCGAAGTTATGGGTGGTTGTTGTTGAGGTTACGCAGACTGGTCTGTGTATAGCGCAGCAAGGCTGCTGACTTGACTGACTAGCAGAACTGCCGCTGCTATTGCATTGCAACTCTCCAATGCCTAAATACTGCTGTTGCGAAATCATCGTGTTGCAGACAAGGGATGCGTCAGAACCGAGATGTCCGCGTCCGGTCACTTGTCCTGGTAGAGGATTCAAGCGCGGCGCGCTGAGGCCGCCTCTCGGGCGACGATGATAATCCAGTCTTTACGCCGGTCGCTTTGCATTTAGTGAATGCTTGATCGGCAGCTGCTCAGGTATTGCGGAGAACAGCTTCGCTCAACTGAACGACGGTCAGGGCATAGAATCTATTTTCGGGTGCTCTCAAGGTACATGTGACATGTAGCGGGCAGAATATAGGTTTCGAAAGAAGAGGATGAAACCCATCATCAATGTCTCATCATGGGTAATGCAACAACTCCTAAGCATGTTGATACAAGTCATTCTGGGCGGATGCTGATAGCTGCCACTACAAGGAACTGTTGAGGTTAATTGAAAGAGAAGTTTGATGAAGGTCTTCGCTGTATCAATCTAATTTCGCTCTGCACTACAGTCTGAATATAAACAGGGGTATCTTCCGCAACAACTGAACAGGGGTATCGACCGAGAGCGCCGCTGCGCCACAACGTCGCGCTGGAACAAAGCGACAAACCAACAAGACGAGAACACGGGCAGAAAACAGGAATGTCTGTCAAGGAGGATCAATCGTAGCGCGCCTCCTTGATGGCCGTTTGTTGTTTCCACCTAACGGGATCACGAGATTCCCCGGCCACGCCAGGTGCACCACCTTCCCGAACCACTCGTTGAAACGGCCAGCGACACCTTTAGTGACCGGCCAGCAGCGCTGCCAGATCGGTACGAAGATGTTGAGCGGGGGCGCCTTCAGCAACTCCGGATTTGTTGAATAACCCAGATTGTCAAACTTCATCTCGAGGAGCCTGTTCGTGTCAAAGTTCACAGGGCCGATGGTGATGGTTGCGTAGAAGCCGGCTCTGAAGAAGATCCAGAGCCCGATGGCGCGTTCGTACGGTCCGCCTGGGTAGCATTTCGCGTCAACACCTGTGCAGCGTTAGGATTCGGTGGACCGAGTGCATGATGCTGGCTGGGGGGATGTCGACATTGATGGCTTACCCTGCGGTTCGTTTATTATCATCGGCAGCCGTCCAATATCAAGCGCTGCCATGAACCCCGGTCGTGCCCATTTTGGTATTCCTGGATTGACAACCTTACCTGAGATCTTTGCCCGCAGCCCTATCGACGAATGCAGATCGAGTCCTTGAACATTGAGAGCTGGTTCCAGAACCACAAGCCTACCGGGGAGATTGACATCCACAGCGTCAGGTGCCAACAGGTCGATCTCAGCTGATGCACCTTCCTCCATTGTCCAGCGCATGCCCGGCAAGGTGCTGCAAAGAGGTTAGCAAACCTTGCGTAGGTCCACGCGACAGGCCAGTGGGAACTTTAGGGGACTTACAGGTTCAACGTCCCTGTTACGCCCACGTTAAAGAAGATGAAGAATCCGATACCACTGTCAATCGACTCAACACCCTTCTTGTTCTACTGAACGTCAGCTGCTGCAGCGGCCATACGAGCATCTTCCCCTACCTCGCCACCTTTGCCGACTCCCTTACCAGCTTGGTTCTTTGCTTGGTCCTTTGTTTTGTCCTTTGTTTTGTCCTTGCCAAGGCTTCGGCCGTCCCATAGGATGCTGTTTACGGTGTAGCCCAGGGAGCAAATAGGAGTATCTGGAGGAACGATGGCAAGGCTAGGAATGGGAATGTGACAAAACATGTCCACACTGACGTCGATATCGACTTCGAGTTGTAGCCGTATATCTATCGGCTTCATCGCCCTGAAGCCTGCCTTTGCTTTCTTCAGGACCCGTTCAACACCGTGTCGGTTTTCTCCATCTGCGTTGAGCGGATTTACATCGAACTCGAAGTCGTAGTATATCATCGCATCCAGGTGGATCCAACATTTTACACAGAAGATGTTTGGCATAGGAGTGAAAGCAAGGATCCTAGGCGTGGTTAGCGTACTATGTTGCTTCCGGAAGCTTTGTCATGTGTAGACTCACCCTTCTCGTCCGGCAATCAGCTTTCTATCTCCAAGGTTTTCGTGAATGCTGTACGGGAAAGAATTGTTGAGCTCGAGCCCTAACTCGACGTTCCTCCAATCATCTTTGACATCTTCGTAGCCGTCACTGGCGGTGCCGGGGATCTCTTTCCACTCGCCGTTCCTAGCGTGTCCCGCCACGCTTTTCCCCGTGTCCCAGCCGTGCTTGCCGCTGTTTTCGACGGCTTCTTTTACGTCATGTCCTTTCTGCTTGAACTCGTCCCAGCCTCTCGAGACGAAGTTCCGGCGTGACAATCTGTTAGCCCGGTGTGGCAATCGCGGTTGGAGTACGACATCGTTCGGCAGGTTCACGGCGGCAGAGTTGAGGGTTCTTAGATGAGAAGCCCAGTCCGCGGATGTATTGTGTACAGGCATGCCGTCGATGATTACCGTCTGAGACCCTTCCACGAAATTGAGCGATTGGGATCTGCAACAAACGTATAAGTAAATAGGTACTAGTAGCCACAGCCGTCACGTACTTGTACATCGAGCGAACGCCCTTTCCACTGAAACACGACTCGTCTTCGATGACGAACAGCATGTCAGACCGTGACTCCCAGGTTCTGCGGGCCGTATGATACGCGTCAAGTTCCAAGAAAGGCAGCGTCAATCGGGTCGACTCGTCCTTACGAGCAAGCGGCAAACAAATCCGTTCCTGCGGCGTAAGAAGGAATTCGAGTTGTTCCAGATCGACGTAGCGACTTGAGTTGTGAGAGAGGACAAGCGTGGATACAAAGCGCTGAGTAACCTTATAGTCTGGCAGGTGATGATCAGCCATGTTTTCATGCTGTGAATCGAGTGGAAGTAAAGCGTTTACCTTCTTCAATGTAGTCAAGGGTGACCGAGGTAGTTGGTTCGAATAGTCCTTCCCACATATCATGGGGCACGTCCCGCTTTGACAGTACCGGCAGATGAACCAATGAACGCGGCCGTCGCATCAGAGCGATGGCCTTCTGGGACTGTTCCTCATAACTTGTGATGGGGGCCATCAAGAGGAAGGAGAGGAGAGAAAAGAGAAAGGCAAACATCTTGCGAGACATTTTAGCGGTCTGGAAAGAGTCTTCGTTGAAAGATTGTAGAAGAGGAGGGACTTTAAGCTGACTGGAGTCTGAATGATGGAGCTGAGTAGAAGGCGGAGCCAGGACTTATATAGTGTTCTGCTCCTCGCCATGTGTACTCATTTGGGTGAGCCCCGCACCCGGTCGATGGAGATGTTTCTCTTGAGTGGGGCCGCGTGTCGTGAGCATCCCTGGTGGATTGATCATCTTCTTTTCATGTTATCATCGACACCATCTCTTGTGCCATGGGTGCGACGCTGATAGTTATCGACTTCGGGTCGAATCCTGATACCAATTGCAAAATGGACTATCCGTCCAAGGTCCACAAGTCAGATGTTTGTCCAGCCTAGGCAGTGTACAAGGTGCTCAGGCAGAATGTAGACAATCGTTGACGGCATGGTGTACGAATGAAGCATAACCAACCCCGTCGGGACGAACGGATGAAGGTTGGACTCGTGGAGACCCCTCATTAACTATCGAGATAGTGGGCGGTGTGGAGTGTGAAATACCTTGGAGGAGTTGAGGTCGATTTCCTGATACGAGATCGTGTGATCTGATAGCGGAAGCAGAGAACAACATCGTAAGCGCCCCGCCCCAGAAGCTTCGTTGCGGTATCTGAACGCCTGTTACTGTGTCCACATTTCAACCGGATGATGACGAGCAGCCTGTTTGTGTGGTGGGATGGAAGTGGAGTTGCGATATTCGCCGCTGGTAACGGTCCCGCGCACGGGCCTCTCAAGTTTGGCTGGGTTAACTCCACCAGACTTCCTTGACGTCATGATTTTGACCGCAACTCGATGAAGGCGATTCGTTGTGGTTCACTGGAGGCCGAGTGGGCAAAGCTGAATTTGCCCTTAGAAATCCGTGGAGGTGTTTAGACTTCCAACAAGGCCTCGCAAACATCCTCACTCTCCGTACGCTCTTCTTGAGAACAGAGGTCCGGTTTTCGCATGGCTGGACGTGCTTGTTCGACGGATGGGGGTCAAGCGGCGACGGGGTGTTCGGACGCGGTCTGGCAGAGGGGCCGTCGATAGCTTCGAGGCACTGGAAAGGTGTGCGGGTCTCAGACACGGATCGCGTGATCCTTAGAGCTGGTGATGATCTTATTCTCGTCGAACGAGCAGCAGTAGACGCCGTCTGTATGGCCATTAAGATAAACGGCAACGGGGCTCCCAGGCAATCGGCGGCGCTACGTGGCCCAGCGGATCTAATACATTTTCTTCCAATCCTAGGAGTGTGCGCGAACAATGGATGTGCGTAGAGGGTGCGTAGGATAGCCGAGCTATTGTAGAGTACGGTTGTAACGTGCACGATTGCTTATAGCCCTGCCCGCTCGTATCTTGATTTAGCGATATCCTGTGTGTGGGCCTAGCGGCTGGCGAGTCCGCGACTGAGAGGGTAGTAGAGGTAAAGCATGGATATCCATCCTGCTCTGGTTGCGGACTCAGGTCGGTAGAGGTTGACGCGGTGTTCGCGGTCCTCGAAGTGCACTACGGGTTGAGTGCTTCGAACACAAGAATGGCACGATACCAGCGCGTGATGCTCGGTGTGCCGTGTCGGACCATTGCCTCAGTATAAGCCTCCTTGTGGAGCTCGTAAGCAAGATGGACCATGTCCTGGGCTGCCGTGTGCTCTGGTCGGCTCCAAGCCTGGAGACCACCTTCGGCAAAGACACCACCGATACTGTTTACAGAGCTGATTCAAAGGTGGTCTCATCGATACGCGCGAACCGGGCCGCCAGGACGTGATTCAAGACGGTCTGAAGACCTCGACCAGTTCGGGGGTTTCTTTCCGCTTGGTCAGTATGCTATACCTCGTATAACACGGTAGGAACGCTACGTACCTGTGGCAATGAAGAGCTAGAGGAAAGGATGTCGCTCGTCGTCTAGCCGATGGACACAGCGGCGAAGAGAGAGAGTGTCGTCAGTTTGTATTCGTGGATTGGCGACACGCAAGACTGTGGCTCTGCGATTCCGATGAGGAAGGATTGCGCGGTGGAAAACATTGGCTGAAGCAAGAAGTCAGCATCCGTATCTCTCCACCGAGCGTCGAGACGCGTAAGGACGAGAGGGCTCATACATACTGGTAATGTTGAAAGAGACAGATACCGGCAGAAAGAGCTGTATACCATTAGCAGCTGAGCAGCATGGAAGTATTTCGAGTCAACTCTTACCAAGCGACGCGACGCTCAGTTGTACAGAACAGTGCGTGCTATCGTCCGGTGGATTCAGTGAGCAGCCTTGCGGGTAAGCCGACGAGTATATGGAGGGCTGAGAAAGCTGTTGAATGTGCCTCTTGCGGGCGCAAGTGGTCGAAAGAAGCAATGATAACAACGACAAGTATGGACGAGAGAATCGTTCCAGAAGACGAACAATCGACCCGACGGAGCGTGGTGGCGTAGGGACTAACAGGACAGATAATTGACAACAAAGAGGAGGTATTCGACAAAATAGAGAGGAGAGAAGTGGAATGAAAAATGATGGAGGGAGCCCGCGGCCTTTTTATCTGTATATGAGACCACGCAGGTAGTTGCTTAACGGAAGGAAAGTAGGAAATTTTTCTTTGTCACTGGTAAACAGACCCACCCTAACAGCAGGTGGAGGAGGTATATAGGGAAAGGTAGTTCCGCTTCGAGGGAGGCTGCTCGGGCAGACAGCCAGAAGATGTAGCACCGGCCTCTCAGGCTTACCTACCTGGATAGATTCGTGTTGCTGCTTCCCTCTCACCGCCATCGTTTTCCAGACAAATGTGATCATTGCTGCTTCTGTAATAGCGGCTATGACGTGTCTAGTGGGTAAACAACACAACTTTGAGCGGCAAAAACAGAAGCCTCGGGAGGCAGAATTCCGCTTCGGATACGCTGCCCAAGCAAGCCATCCTTAAGCGGTAACATCCCGTGCACCAACTCACCTAGCTTCGACTTGCTGTTTCCCTTCGAGAGTGAAGGCGTTCAAAGTGTACTGGAGGCTGTCCCAAAGACTTTTCTCCAGCTGTAACATAGCGATGTCTCCGACAGGTGCTGCGACATCCCCATATCTTACTGCCGAATCAAACAAAGGACTAGGTAAACAATTCAATGCTGGACAGCAGGCGCAGGAACCTTGCGTAGAAGGGGAAGGTGCTTTCTAGAGAGAAACAGATCTGGCGAGCCGCCCGTAGGAGCCAGCCCGACCTACTCGTTCAATCTGCTGTCGACTTGCCAGAGCTACGGCGTCCGAAACTTCCCAAAGCGAACGAGACCTGTAACTGTTGTGACCGCAGTGCTGCTGTCTCGAAGCGCGTACACTCTATAGTCAGCTCTGATCGGTCTGACTTCCGGGACATATTGGTCAGAACCTCTCCTCGGTGCCATATCACGACTATTACAGCTACTAGATGTCTACGCATCGAGTTTTGATCGTATTGATTGCAAAGCTGTCACGGCTGGATATCAGACGGAATGTCACGCCAAGATGTCCCGCCCGCCTGCCACGAGATCGAGCCGCGGCACCTTCGGGTACTGTAGGGCTGAGCTTCCACTATCGATAATCTTACAGTAACATACACTCGTCATCGTCTTTTAAAGCTCAATTGACGCGTCGAGAAAGCTTCGTTCTATCTACTACACCACCACACAATGTCACGAATACTACGGCCCCTACGACCAATTGCACGCGCCACAGACCGACACAATATCTCGTATGGCGCACGACACATGTCAGGCGATGCATTACGCATTGGCTATGTCCCTGGTGAACCGCTTGATTCACTCCCACACTACATTCGCTAACACGTACGCCCACTCCGCCAGAACACTTCTCCACGCCCCTCTACTTCGCCCACAAATACTACGACCTCAACGCAAAACTAATCCCCTTCCCCTCCGGGACCGGGCACATGATCCAGTCCCTGCAAAACTCTGAAATCGACGTCGGCATCGGCCTGACCGAAGGCTGGGTAGCCGGGCTGGGAAAGTCGTCCAAAGAGAATGCACCGTACAAACTTGTGGGGACGTACGTCGAGAGCCCCCTCTGCTGGGCCATCAGCACAGGTAGCGAGCGCGACGACACCGAGCGCATCGAGCAGCTCAAGCACAAGAAAGTCGGGGTGTCGCGGATCGGCAGCGGGAGCTACGTGATGAGCTTCGTGCTGGCGGAGCAGCAGGGGTGGTTGAAGTCGGACAGCAGCCCGCCGTTCGAGCCTGTGGTGCTGAATGACTTCGCTGGGCTACGAAAGGGCGTGAATGAGGGCCAGGCGGACTTCTTCATGTGGGAACATTTTACGAGTAAGAGGTATTTCGACAACGGGGAGATTAAGCGTATAGGCGAGATCTATACGCCGTGGAGTAGCTGGAAGATCGTTGCGAGGGATCCGCTGGATAAGAGGATGCAGCCGATGAGCGATGCGATTAATGAGGGGATTGCGCACTTTGAGAGGAAGGAGGACGAGTCAATAGACTACATCAGTAAGGAGCTGGACTACTCGGCGGAGGATGCGGAGGCGTGGCTGAAGACGGTGAAGTTCCCTCAGGACGTCAGGGGCGTGGATCCGATCGTAATTGAGAAGGCGATAGACACTCTGAAGAAGGCTGGTGTCATCGATCCAGAAGGTGGTTCGGTAGATGATATGGTAGCAATCAGACGGTCCAGTCGTGGGAAGTCTGGTGGCGGCCAGTCGAACGGTGGGAAGTCAGACACCAAGGATACGGTGAGAGGGACGGTGACTGGCTTCTAAAAACTGGACCATCCAGTGCTGTACATATAGTCCATATGATCTGTACATAGGTGCGAGCTCGTAACACTGGAAGTCGTGGACATTTCCTAGATCGTTCATGCTTCCTGAGACGTAGCCATCTTCTTCGCTCCGCCACTGGTGATCAGATCCAGGAAGCCTTGCTTGCTCATCTCATTAACCCTCTCTTCCCTCTTGCCAACGCCCACCACACCACTCTTCTTGGCGTCCCTCGCTGCCTCCTCGCCCTTGACCTGAGCGGCGCGCACTGCGTTGAAAAGCTTGACAACACCCCTCTGCGCCGTCTTCTTCAACCTCCGCTCCTCTTCCACAATCTCTGCTGTCGAAGTACCAGGCGTCTGAAGTCCCATTACATCCTTCACTCTGCCTTTTTCAAGCGCATCCTTCTTGTCTTGCCGTATCTTGTGACGAGCCTTGGCTTCCAGCTTGGCGTCTTGAAGCTCTTTGCTTGCGGTCGAAGCGTCTTTACTGCGCGATAGGATCGGATCGGAGCGCTTTGAGGTTGTCAATTTTGATCCGAGGATCTTCGACATTGATGTCGCGAAAGCATCAGGATCATTCCGTTTCCGCTTCTTCGAGGGCGCATTGGTGGACGTTTCCGACTCCGATGCAGAGGACGCATCTGTGAGGTCCTGGTCTTCCTCTTCGGATACTTCATCCTCTTCGGACAATACTGGATTCTGGTCATGCGCTGGGTCTGCCGCGTCCTCCTCATCTGCTTCCTGCACGCCTATCGCCTTGGATTCCTGCTCCTGTGCCAGCTCTTCGTCTTCTTCAGATAGCTGCGCAGGGGTCTCCTCCTCCTCATCCTCCCCCTGGACGGTTCGGCTCTCCTCTTCGTGTGCCTCTGTCGGCCTTCTTTCGCCCAAACCTGTCAAGTTTGCGGCACTGAAGTCCTCCTTCGCGGTGGGTTCATCTTCATCGCTTGAGCTGTGATACTCGACTCGTCGCCGCTTCGAGAACTTCGCTTTTGGCTTTGGTTTGCCTCGCAGGCCATCTTGCGTTCGCTTCCTCTTTAACGCGACTGGCGTTTTCGAAGGCATGGTGACTTTCTGGAGTTTGCGAAATGTTTGACCGTGACCGTGAACTTCACTCAGGAAAAGTTCGAGTTTAGACTCTCGCCAAGACTTCCGCCCCGCCATCATCCCACCAACGACACATCTTCATTCGAGTTACAATCCACAGTATTGCATTATAGCAGCGCGGCCATAGCTTTTTTACATAGCCCACTGCTAGCTGCAATAAACTTCAGCGCCTGATCGCCCGCCTCGACAGACTTCTTTCACCGCCATGGTCCTCCAAGACCTCGGCCGGCGCATCAATGCGGCCGTCACAGACCTCACGCGGTCCCCTAACCTGGATGAAAAGGTGCGTAGTATATGCCTTGTATCCCTATACTCACACCTAATAACACTCTCCCCAGCAATTCGACTCCATGCTCAAAGAGATCTCCAACGCCCTCGTCGAAGCCGACGTAAACATCAAACTAGTCGCCACGCTCCGCACCTCAATAAAGCGAACCGTAAACTTCAAAGACCTCCCCCCGAGCACCAACAAGAAGCGGCTGATCCAAAAAGCCGTCTATGACGAGCTCGTCAAGCTCGTCGACCCGCACGCTGAGCCCTTCAAGCCGCGCAAGGGCAAGCCCAACGTCATCATGTTCGTCGGCCTGCAGGGCAGCGGCAAAACAACATCCTGCACGAAGCTGGCGCGCTGGTACCAGGCGCGGGGCTTCAAGGCGTGCTTAGTGTGCGCCGACACGTTCCGCGCAGGCGCCTTCGACCAGCTGAAACAGAATGCCACGAAGGCGAAGATACCGTACTACGGCAGCCTAACGCAGACGGACCCCGTAATCGTGGCGCGGGAAGGCGTAGAAAAGTTCAAAAAAGAGCGCTTTGACCTCATCATCGTCGACACCTCAGGTCGGCACCAGCAAGAGAAAGAACTCTTCGCCGAAATGTCACAGATCCAGGCCGCCGTGACACCGGATCAAACGATTATGGTGCTCGACGCGACGATCGGACAGGCCGCGGAGGCCCAATCTCGCGCCTTCAAAGACACAGCCGACTTCGGCGCCATCATCATCACGAAGACGGATGGCGCAGCCGCAGGAGGCGGCGCGATCTCGGCTGTCGCAGCGACGCACACGCCGATCGTGTTTATCGGCACTGGTGAGCACCTTCTCGATCTCGACCGCTTCGACCCGCGCGCCTTTGTCTCGAAGCTGCTAGGTATGGGCGACATGGCGGGGCTAGTCGAGCACGTGCAGAGTCTGAAGCTCGACCAGAAGGACACGCTGAAGCACATCGTGGAGGGCGTCTTCACGGTGCGCGATCTGCGGGACCAGCTCTCCAATGTTATGAAAATGGGGCCGTTGTCCAAGATGGCGGGGATGATTCCGGGGCTTGGCGCTATGATGGGGAATATGGACGACGAGGAGGGCAGCCTCAAACTGCGGAGGATGATCTATATTTGCGACAGCATGACGCTCAAGGAGCTTGACTCGGACGGTCGCATTTTTGTCGAGCAGCCTGCCCGCATGACGCGTGTGGCGTACGGCAGCGGCACCTCCGTCCGCGAGGTCGAGGAGCTGCTCACGCAGCACAAGATGATGGCGGGTGTGGCCAAGAAGATGAAGGGCGGCATGGCGAACATGCAGCGCGCGCAGGCGGCCATGGGGGGTGGAAACAAGGCGCAGCAGATGGCAGCCGCGCAGAAGAGGTTGCAGAGTATGGGCGGTGCGGGCGCGGCGGGTGGGCCGGGAGGCATGGACATGGCGAAGATCATGCAGATGATGGGAGGCGGCGGAGGTGGTGGTGGGATGCCGAATCTGGGGGGAATGGATATGGCGAGTATGATGAAGATGATGGGGGGTATGGGCGGAATGGGCGGTGCTGGAGCGGGACGAGGGAGAAGGTGAGATTGTGCCGTATCAATTATGGTTGTCGCATGGCGCGGAGTCTGGCGCTTCTGGGTGGTTACCTTCGGGAAGAGCATTTTTCGCATGGAACGGCGCTGATCTGGTGGGCGACATCTATCACTACATCATACGGAGAAAATCGCCGGGTGAGCAGAATGTACAGACGCCTCGTGCGCCCTACCGTCCTCACTATGTTCCAAGTGATACATCTACAGTACACCCAGTAACGGTGGAAGAGAAGAGCGATTACCGCACCCAACCATCCCATCACGGTCCGTCAAACACCCAGACGCCGCTCGCTAGCCTAGACCTCAATCCATGATACACTCATCATCTCCCGTGTACACAATCTCCATGGCCTCGTCAGAATTCCCCTCCCACAGCCCCACCCCCCATAGCAGCAGCTCCCCACACGCCCACCAACCCCCAGAAACCCACTCGCCACCCCCTCCACAGCCCACTAACCCCTTGCCCCTTCTTCGTCCTCTGACTCTGGCCCTTCGCAGCCGCCGCAACAGCCCCCACATGGCTCGTCCCTTCCTCCCTGGCAATATACCACGCCGTCCCCAGCACGCCCCTATACGGCCCCACATCTACCACCGTCGGTACCCCCTCTCCTGCGGCCGCAGGCGGATAGGGCGGACTCGGCGCCGCGCTCCCCTGGCGCGAGCCTCTCGCGCTCCTGCCCCTCGACCGCGACTCAGCTTGCAACGTTGTGAGCGCCTCGCGCTCCGCGTTCTGCTTCAAATGCTGGATCTGGCCACGCCGGAGCACGGTTTCGAGCGGGAGCTTGGCGAACAGCTCGACGATGCTCGAGGCGAAGGAGGCGAGTGAGTAGGTCGAGGGGGTGAGGAGGGGATCGATTGCGAGGGTTGAGCGGAGCACGAGGGGCGCGGAGGCTGAGATGAGGGTTGGGAGCGTTGAGTGCAGGAGGGTTGGGGTCAGGAGGGAGGGGGGGAGGATGTAGGAGGGGAGGCTCCGTAGGGAGGGGAGGATGGCGCGGGGGAGGGAGGTTGTCGGGGTGAGGATGAGGCTGGGAGGGTGTTAGTGTTAGTGTCAGAGGATATAGGTGAAGGGAGGGAAGACGAACCGTGTCCGCACGATGTCTAGCGGTGCTAGCACGCACCCAGCGATTCCTGCGGCGGCGACCGCACATCCTAGGCTTGCCAGCGGGCTCGTGGAATCGATGACATCAAGCCCGCCGGCGCCGAACCCGGAGGTATTGCCCGCCAACAGGCCAGGGTCGGACACGTTTAGCAGTGCAGCGAGCAGTGACCGCGTCCAGCTCTCGATCGTCTTGAACAGGACATTGTACACAAACGTCGCATTCGTGCCTTTCCAGACGCCCCAGGCGCCTTCTTTGCTCCAGAGCTGGGAGAGGACTTCGAGGAGGGAGTTGGAGCGGCGGAGATCGAGCTTGTAGCTGGGTGATGGGGAGCTAGAGGAAGGCGTGGGAGTCGAGGATGCTGAGCGGGAGGTTGGTCGCCTTCGGCCGGAGGGCGAGTGCGGGGAGGTTCGTCTGTAGGAGGAGGCAAGCTTCGAGGCAGGAGCGGCGGGAGTGAAGTAAGAGGGCATCTCGGAGTCGGAGGCAGAGTCATACTCTTCCTCGGGGTAGGGTTCCTAAAGTCTCAGCTCAGCATGCTGCTATTCGTGAAGCTTCCCATCGCAGAGCTGTACGTACGTCTTCGTACTTTTCGCCCCCATATGCATCGCGACGCGGTCTCTGCGAGCTTGTTCTTGACGACTTCCCACTCGGCGCATCGGCCCCAGGAGCCAAGTGACATTGCAGCACCGTCTTTGCGACCTCGAACGGCTGCGCCAGCAACACTGATGTGTAGTTCCATAGTGCCTGATCCACGATTCTCTTCGTCATCTCCGCCAGTCCATAGCCCCGCGACGCCTCCTCCAGGAATCCGCTGCCATAGTCGAGGTCGCTCAGTATGTCGCGTGCGGAGGTGCCAAAGCTTGGTTTAGCGGTGGGTATGGATGACGGTCTGGTAGTCGCGCCGGTGGCATTCGCTGCAGCTGATTCGGGAGGGAGGCCGATTGAGGGTGGGATATAGTACGGTCGGAGCGGATTATGGGCGTCGCGTGATGTGGCCATTATTGGCGTGTGTAGATGTGTAGACGTGATAGTTTGGTGTTGGAGGAGTTCATGCTGCGGGAGATGCGCGGTGATGTCGACAGAAGCGAGGCATCTCGAAATCTTTTGACGGCGAACAGAAATCTCGGTTTGCCATTACAACACCAGCAAATCTCGGAGTCAAGCGGCGGTGCCAGGAGTTTAAAGGAGAGTATGCCGTCTTCACGCGCATTTAATCGAGTTGTATGTTCCTCGGTACTCCAAAGTATACACCTCCGATGTCCTCCGCCTCTGTCCACCTCATGTCGAAGGTTTCAGTATACAGTATGCGCCGATAGCAGCTGCAGCCTTAGCAGGCCCTCGTTTGTCAGAACGCATAAATGGAAGAGCTTGGGATTATCACAATGGGAGCAGAACACAACCTTTGCCCGGTCACGGCGGAGATTCTCGACATCCCCCATCTCGCAACACGGCCACCTGAACACGCCAAAGCCCGGTGAAGAGTAAGGCGATTCTCAATGCAAGGCCGCATCCAGAAGAGATCCGCAAGCTAACCCCCGCCCCTAACAGACGCCACGTAACCTTCATCGACAAAGACAACGACACGCACACCTTCGCCGTCGCCGACGGCGACAACCTGCTCGACATCGCGCAAGCCAACGACCTGGAGATGGAAGGCGCGTGCGGCGGCTCCTGCGCCTGTTCAACCTGCCACGTCATCGTCGAAGACCCGGACATGTACGACAAGATGCCCGAGCCGGACGACGACGAGAACGACATGCTGGACCTCGCGTTCGGGCTCACGGAGACGAGTCGGCTGGGGTGCCAGGTTAAGATGACGAAGGAGTTAGATGGGCTGGTGGTCAAGCTGCCGAGTATGACGAGGAATTTGCAAGCGAGCGATTTTGCGAAGAAGGAGTGAAGAGGGGGGATTGGTGGTTGGGGTTAGCAAGGAGGGGGCGGAAGAATGGGGGTGAGGGAGAGGACAGGCAAGGTTCGAGCATGGAACGGCATGTCGAAGCTGCCCCTGAGCCGACTGTGAGGAGGGGGAGGTGGTGTTGGGTATGTCTAGTTTCTCTGTACGTATCACGCGGCATGTGTAGTGTCGGATTGTTTGTAGAGAAGTAGCGGGTTCCAGTGACCGGCTAGCGAGGTAATGTATGGTGTACCATAGACCAAAACAGACCTTGGAGTACCTCCTCCGTATAGTGTATATCTGCCAACAGCACTGAGGTTATGATAGAGTGCTTTGAACGTTATAGGCTTATCTTATAGAGATCTTGTAGAAACCCAACGCATGACATTGCGAGGCAGTGACTCCTCTTAACCTTAAGTTCAGAGAAGACGCCCGATCTATTCCCTAATGCTCCACTCAAAAAGTTCTTCTACTAGCAGGTGCAATGAGGGAAAGAGTGGAAAGAAACAACAACTCCGTGTTCTGAGTTCGAGCAGTAAACAACTGGACCCACTGTAACCCACGAACTGCAAGTATTTTAGTTCATCTACAAACTTCGATATTTCTGAAAGTTCCGGTTGGAAGGAGTACTGAGTGAAATGACGTCACGGATGCTTACTCTCCCGAATAAGGGTTATAAACACTTTGAGCTTTTACTTAATGTCCGACAGATGAATCGGATGTAACGGAAGTCGCATTTCGACGAACCAGAGGGTGGGCGCACTGGACAAACTCGAACTCTCTACTGCGCGATGATTTCCCCCGTCATCGTCGAGGACTACAATCCCGCCTGGCCGTCCGACTTCGAAGCGATCAGGGCGCAACTCCGGCCCATTATCAGTGAGTCCGCTCTAGCAATCGAGCATGTCGGATCAACGTCCGTACCAGGGCTGGCAGCGAAGCCAGTCATCGATATAGACATAGTAGTCAAGTCCCCCGAGGATTCCCGCCATGTAATCATGAAGCTTCAAAGCTTTGGATACAAACATCTCGGCAACAAGGGGATTGTCGGGCGAGAAGCTTTTCTTGCTCCAGCAGGTGCAAGAAGGCAGAATCTGTATGTCTGTTTGGAGGGGTGTGTGGCGTTGAGAAATCATTTGTTGCTGAGAGATCATCTACGGAAAGACGGGCAAGCTAGGGAAGAGTATGGAGGGTTGAAGAAGCAGCTTGCGGCGCGGCATCCAGATGATGTGGATCGGTACTGTGAGGCTAAGACGAGCTTCATCATGGGGATATTGAAGCAGCACGGATTGGGTGACGAGGAGCTTAGGGGTATAGAGGAGGCAAACAAGGTAGTTGGAGGTCCGATTGGTGAAATGTCCTGCGCATTTGATGTCAAAAGTATAGCGATTATAGGCGCCGGTCCTTCTGGCCTTGCCGCCGCGAAGTGAGTAAGTCACCTTCGTCTGTCTAAAACTACTGAGTAGATGACCTACGCTTCAAAATAACACAGCTGACCAAGTTCACAGATTCCTCCTGGCTGAGAAGGCTTTTCAAAAGATTGAAGTGTTCGAACAGCGGAGTACAGTTGGCGGCGTCTGGAACTATACGCCTGAAGACCAGACCGATGTGGCATTTACCGTGCCTTCAACTGATCCGCACGTGCCTGTTGATGAGCCAATCTGGCATGAATATGCAGCTCAAGGGGATCTGAGCAGCGGCTCCAGTACTCCCAACGGAAGCAGAACTACCACAGATAGCAGCTCTTCCAGCCCACCGAATGGAGTTCACGACCAGAAGCGCTCCAAAGAAGCTCACTTCATCTCGCCAATGTACGAGCGCCTTGAAACCAACATCCCAAAGCCCCTGATGCGCTTCTCCGATACGCCCTTCCCCGAGCATCTCCAACTGTTCCCCAAGCACCAAGACGTCGAAGACTACCTCGTCCAGTACTCGCGAGACGTACAGCACCTCATCCACTTCCAAACTCAAGTCGTCTCCGTCCGCCCCGCCCTAGTAGGGAAATGGCACATCACGACCTCCGATCTCCTCAGCGGCCAGCAGACCACCACCCTCTACGACGCGGTCATCGTCGCTTCCGGCCACTTCGCTGTTCCCTACGTCCCCGCCATCCCAGGGCTCGAGGACTGGAACGCCGCCTACCCCGGCGCAATCTCGCATTCCAAGTTCTACCAACGCCCCGAGAACTTCCGCAACCAAAAAGTCGTTGTCGTCGGTAACGGCGCATCCGGGCTTGACATCGGATCCCAGATCGCGCAATACTGCCGGCAGCCGCTACTTGTGAGCCAGAAGAGCGAGAGCTATATGTCTCCAGGCAAGTCGGCCGCCAAGCTCGAGCTGCCGCCGATACGGCGTTTTAGCACTCAGGACCGCGCTGTCGAGTTCGAGGATGGGAAGGTCGAAAGAGACATCGACGCCGTGGTCTTCTGCACGGGCTACTTGTACAGCCTTCCCTTCCTCGAGAGCCTGGAACCACCGCTCATCACTGACGGTGAGAGAGTCGAGCAAGTGTACCAGCACCTCTTCTACATCCCGCGGCCGACGCTCAGCCTGCTTGCGTTGCCGCAGCGTATCATACCGTTCCCGGTTGCGGAGATCCAGGCAGCGGTCGTGGCCAGGGTGTACGCGAATAGAATCGCGCTGCCTAGCGTAGAAGAGATGAGGGACTGGGAGAGGAGGACCATTAAGGAGAATGGAGAGGGGCCGGCGTTCCACATGCTGAATTTTCCGAAGGACGCGAGATATATTAATGAGCTGTATGATTGGGCGGCGGAGGCGCTTCTGGAAGAGGGGCTAGAGAATGACGGGAGGGGGAAGATGGGGAAGAGATGGGGAGAGTGGGAGTTTTGGGCTAGGGAGAGATTTCCTGCTATCAGGAGGGCATTTGTGGAGAGGGGTGAAGAGAGGGCGAAGGTGACGAGGCTGGAGGAGATTGGGTTTGATTTTGAGAAGTGGAAGGAGGAGGAGAGGTGTAATAGGCTAGAGGAGAAGCGAATTTAATGCACTGTAGACGGTGCAGCGAGAAGAACAGGTCGATGATATACCTAACTGTCTAGCATGCTCGCAATTGAGCGGACTGGATGTAGGTGGCATGAAGCTGCTGACGCGTCCTCCATTGAGCAATGGGACAGTGATACAGATACAACTCAAACCCGGAGTTCTACTCCCCTGCACCTGCTAATAAAATTTCACCACCCATCCACCTAGGTGGTGAAGTTTGTCCAACTTTGATGCCGCAGTATTCGTTGTCTTTTTCGTGACTGATGATTGGGATGCCGTGGATCCGTCGTTCAAAGAGATCCCGTCATCATCCGACAAACTCCGAGGGCCCGATCCTAAACTCCGCCGCATCAACCACAGTTCAACCAAAACCGCGAGTGAGGGACGTGAATACGTGCTGCGATAGCTATTCGTCTCAAGATCAATGGGTAAGCGCCACAAAGTCCATCGGAATGGTCCCAACATCCCTGCTTCATCTCCGCTTCCTGTCCACCTAAATCCGTGCTTCCTGAGGCGGTCTTAACTATTCCGCGGTCCGATGATGGGGTTAAGGATGATTCATGAGTGACATAAGAGGTGCCCTCATCCCCCTAGTGACACTATCCATCCATACATCGAACATCCGGACCGTTTCGATCTTGCTCTCCAAGAGTATAAGCTCTGCCTTGTACCCCACATCAACCTTAACCACTCCATTCGATTCCGAAACCTCGCCACAGTCCTCTACAATGCTCGAGCTCACACTCCCCCGTCTTACCTCGTCCTCCAAGCGAAGGGTCCTTACGATCTCATCGAATCGTCACCAAGAACCCCAGACCGCATCTTACGGCTTCCCGCTCCAACGCTATCCCACCATCTACAGGGAAGAGCGGCGTCCCTCCACCACAACGACCCTCAGCTACGATCGCATCTCACGCTCGAGCAGCAATGACTCCACTGCTCGTTCAGACTCCGGATCCTCCCGGGAATGAGGCCTCTTTCGCAACTCGACCCTCGAAAGTCGAGATCCGAAGCCCGGATTGACGCGGCCGAGGGAAGTTCTTCCTAAGGAAGTAGTGAGGCCGACGGTGCAACATATTGAGAATCTAGCAAAATGGGAAAGAGCTCCGGTCGTTGCGGTACCCGAATTGCTTCTGTCGCCGCAAGAGGAGGACTTGCTATTACCGTTACTATCCTATGCAAGATGTAATATTTGAAGTTGGCTGGCACGATGTCGTGTTGATGGAAAGACGAAGATGTTACGGACAAAGCGCGGACGGAAGCACTGGACGAGCGGTCGGCCAACAATGTGCGACAGATGACTCGCAGCGTGCTGGAGCACTGGTCTAGGAATGTTTGAAAGAAAAGTCCGCTGACCGGGCTTGCCGGCTGTTGCGGGTCACTTTGCGTTGCTGCTGGGTTGGTACGGCGGAGATCCCTTAGATGGAGCGGAGGCCATGGTAGCGGACGTCTGATGTGTTCGGGTTCGGGGAAGCGTATACGGTGCTTCTTGTACCATGGTGTCTCCTCGTGCAACCTGAATGAGGATTGCTGCTCTGTGTAGGCCAATGGAAAGAATCGAGCTTGACTTGACCGATTGATAGTGTGTTAGACTTCCTGGAATCTTCGTCAGGCGCTCTTCGCAAGGCGGACCATAAACCCTAGATCCGTGCCGTGATTGAAATAACCAAGAGCGTGTTGGACGTGACAAGTGCGTATAGAATGAGCATCTCATCCCCTAAGTCGCGTAACCCATCGCCCGTCTCCACCACAGCAGGACTCCTCGCTCTTCCATACATGTACTAAACTCTTTCACAGAGCCTACTTCATGGAGTCCGTTCCGGGACTGCATCACGTTTGAACTTTCAAGCTCGACTTCTCCCACAGTGGGACGCGCAATGAGCTGGTAGTCCTTATACCGCAGTTTCTGCAAATCCGGAGTGTAAGTCACCCAGCATTGACAGTTTAGCAGGGCGGCAAGAATCTTACTTGCACAGTGCTGACCCACTGCTTTACACCTTCCTCGCTCCCTTCGCAATACATGATACCCGGGCATCCACCGCTCCGCAGCAGGACATGGCAGGCATAGTCATCGGCGGCTTTCTTCAGGTGGGCCACCTTCTTCCGCGAAGTGATATGATGGGTCCGAATCAAAGCCCTCCATAACGGCTTTGACAGTGGCGACATGCAACAAGGTGGGACTTGTTGGTTGGACCTGTATTTGAGTGTAAGTTCCCCCTGAGATCGTAGTTTTTCAAGATGCTGAAGGACGTGCACGTGATCATCGAAGGCGGCATTAACCCCTCACCTGGGTGACAAAAATCGTGAGACTCCCAGATCACGACACCATGTTCATCACTGATACACAGTTCTAACGGGTATAAGAAAGTAGTCGGCTGTGAAAGTTGTGCTAAAGGAGACGTTAGAAGCGTTGTGAATCTACTACATGGAGGATCGAAGGCTAAAAGCCCATGGTGATGGCCGTGTGGACATGCTGATGGATTCGCGGCTTGATGATTTCTGAGTCCGGCCATTTTTGTCATCCCGTTAGAGTGGATAGTACTCTCACACTAGCACAGCCAAAACTTTTACTGAGCTACAGTGCTTGTAAGAAGGAGAGCCATTGCTCCGCTCAATTACCTGTATCGTAGCTTGGATCATCCTATACAGCTAACCATGGCTGGTGCCTTCCGTCCAACATGACCGCGGCCAAGTCAGCCGCTCGCGCGGAGAACTACAAGAAATTCCTGAAGCACGCAGCAGAGAGCTGTTCCGACCTCCAAGAGCTCCGGAACTTCGTCTTCAAACCTTTTGTGCCGCTGCTGGGCTGCACGGCCAGGACATCCCTGGTCGAGATAGGTGACCAGGAGTCTCCGTCCCAATACAAGCTTAAGATTGGTTTCATACAAGGTCCTGATCACCTGCTCCAGGTTCTCGATGCGCAAGCAATCAAACCTTCAACATGCAAGCTCTTCGTAGTCGGGAAGCTGATCCAGAGACTATCGCCCGCCTCGGCGGCGCGTTCGAACTGGACCCCCAGCTGTTCGCCGATTATCTGGACGACGCGCCATGGTACCGCATCGCCTCAGTCTCAAAGCACTTGCCCCCATTGCGGTCGATCAAAGCCCGGCAGTCATTTATCCGTCTCCGGTTCATCGAGCCAATGGAGATGGAGTCCGGACGTGACACTGATAGTGTCTACTCCTTCATGTATGCTGAAGAAAAGGGCGGCTAGGTAAGGCGGAAGGCCGGAGAGTTGAAGCCGCGCTCACGGACTGGAGAGCGGTTCAGCGATGTTCTCTTCACGAGACATTCTGTCAATATGTGGTTCTCGGCGAGAGCATCCGGTACAGGGTGGGATGGTCAGTCTATCTACCGAGATCCTATCACAGCTGCTTGAGTCTCTGACTCGATGAAGGTATCATTCTTCTCCAGTCCCTGTTCGTGCCCGAGAAGAGCAAGGGTACATGCGGTCACTCTGAGTATCGAACCTTCTGTGCGCGCCCAGACAGTCCCCTTGATCCCGGCAAGAAGTTTGATAAGAGTTCAATGCGAGACACGTTGGTGTTTTGCTTCAAAAATCGTCCTGAAATTATTCAAGACTCGGTAAACGATCCATTCATCATTCTTCAAGATCTCTTCCGCATCATAGCATCTGAGTGGACTGTCGTCCTCACCTACCTCGAGCGGGAACTCGTTACGATAGAGTATTGCCTGGAGAAGGAAGACCCCACTCTAGAGGAACTCGAGACCTATCTCAAAGACTTGTTCGTACACCGCCGCCGTGTCACCAGGTACTGCCTCTTCATCCTCGAGGCACGAGATCCCTGTGCATCACAGGGCCAACGGTCTTGGCCGAGAGGTGCACGTGACGGTCCAGCCCTCGAAGTCAGCACCGGGCTCGTAGCCGACTTCGACCAACTGGAGAATCTGCTAGCACGCCTCAGCGAGCGGATCACGAAGAACATCAATCTGCTGACCGCGCTCGTCTCCATCGGGGAGGGGAAACTCGGCCGCGCGAAAACCCAGAATATCGCTATGCTAACCAAGGTGGGCGTTTGTTTCATTCCATTCAGCACCATAGCTACTGTCCTAGGTACGGAGGGTCCTTTCGCGCCTGGTCAACCGAAGTCTTGGGTATTCTGGCTCGCGTCGGTCCTCGGTATCTTGCTTATTGTTGCGCTTTCGTATCTCTATTAGTATGTCTTGCGCCGGAGCTTCACGAGCTATCTTTCTCAGGATGAGAGCAATAGGTGATTTCGATGTTGTGAAGCAGTTGCCTTGGACAGTCATGCTGCGGTCCTTCTCTGCATCTGTTTAGGCTTTTGCAAACATTGTCACTATGCAGACAGCCGCCAGGATGGACACAACGTAGATATTTCGAAATATGAAATGCAGGCGGGGTGCCCAATCACCCATTACCCTTAGAAATAACCAAAATGTCTGCGCCGCGGCAACCCTCTGAAAACCAAAATCCACTCACGACCCCAGTGTCCTGATACCATGAAGTAGAGAAACATTGACGCCGCTAGTCTGATAGATAGAAAGTAGGGATTGAGCCTTGACTGATGGGGATAGGCGTTGGAAGACAAGCAAGTTGGCGCCAAGCATATTTCCCCGGATTACCCTTCTCGCCTGAGCCGATGCGCTTGCGCCCCGCCAGCTGTTTTACCTTCTCTGACAAACATTCAACGCAGAGCTCTTCAGCATCTTCCATAGCGACAGCTCCCTAGAACTACCAGTGGCTCACTCAGCCGGACAACTGATCTGGGATCAATCCAAGTGTTTCCAATCATGTCAGAAGCCATGGACCTAGCCGCCCGCGGCGCCTCCGCCCTCTCCGCAAGCAACTTCCACGAAGCAATCTCGCAATACACGAAAGCGATATCCCTAAACCCCAAAGCCGTCGACTACTACATCAAGCGATCTACAGCTTACCAGCGCGCCTCCCCGCCGGACCACCAAGCCGCACTCCACGACGCAGAGATCGCGCTCGTGCTCGCGGTCAAGCGCGCGAAGCGGGAGCTCATCGCCCAGGCCCAGCACCGCCGAGCTATAGCCCTGTACCATCTGGAGCGGTACGGAGACGCGCAGTTCGTGTTTGATATCTTCAAGAAGCTCGACCCGAAGGACAAGACCCTACCGATCTGGGAGGCCAAGCTCAAGGGGAAGGTGAAGGAGCTGGCTCAGGACAATGAGAAGATGAAAGTCACCGTGAAGGAGATTCCGGATATAGAGCTGCCCACACCAGAGGCCGCAAAGGCCCCAGCAAACGGCGCCGCGACATCTGCAGAGAAGGCGAACGGTAGCGCCGCCCAGACCTCCACTGCAGCAACTCCCGCACCGACAGCTGCCGGAGTCGTACAAACACCGCCTTCAAAGATCAAACACGACTGGTATCAGAACAACGACGCCGTCTACCTCAGCCTCCTCGCCAAGGGCGTCCCGAAAGACAGAGCAACCATCAACATCGAAGAGCGCGCCGTCTCAATCTCCTTCCCAACCAGAACCTCCGATTTCGACTTCACGCTCGACCCGCTCTTCGCGCCCATCAACGCGTCAGCGTCGAGCTATAATATCACGCCGAACAAAGTGGAGCTGGTGCTCAAGAAGGCGACGCCAGGCACCAAGTGGAAGAGTCTCGAAGCCCCCGCCGCTGCACCCAACGAGTCCGCTCCCACCACAACCTCAACATCCGTCAGCCAAGCCCAGCCCAGCTTGCCAGCCCGTTCAGCCGCCGCCCCAGACGCGCCCCCCGCCTACCCAACCTCCTCCCGCACGGGCCCCAAAAACTGGGACAAGCTCGCGCGGGACCTCACAACCGCCAAGCCCACCAAACCCTCCACCGACGCCTCCTCCAACCCCTCCACCAAAGCCGCCGCAGAAGACGAGCCCGAGGACGACCCGGCTTGGACGCAAGAGGACGACTTCGAGAGCGGCGATCCCGCGCAGAGCTTCTTCAAGCAGCTGTACGCGAACGCCAACCCGGACACACGGCGCGCGATGATGAAGAGCTACTATGAAAGTAATGGAACTGCGCTGAGTACGGATTGGAATGAGGTGGGGAAGGGGCCGGTGCAGACGAGTCCGCCGGATGGGATGGTGGCGAGGAAGTGGGGGGAGTAAAGTGGGCGGGAGGAGTGATCTGCTGGAGCGGCGAACCTGAGATGAGGAAAGAGCCATGGCAATGACGGTGATGCATTTAGGAGGAGTCGCTTGCGTGACGCGGGTTTCCTCTGGGTTTAGCGAGGGTGCTCTGGCGTCGTATCGGGCGCATTGGGAGTCAGTAATGAAACCATGTCAGCTTGGAAGTCTACTTCAGGAGTCTAGGCAAAAGTGTAGCAGTAGTCATCTGAAGGCCTGCGCGCTGCTGATTCGCTCACGCTTGTATACTCTCTTTCGTTGCTCGGCGCCCTGTCTTCGTGAAGATCGTAACCCGTGTCCTTCATCATGCTCTCCTCCATTCCAGAACCTCAACCCATCTCACTCCTCCTTCTCCTCCTTCCCCTCCTTCCCCTCCTTCCCCTTCTCATACCTCCCCAAGACCCCCTCAATCTTCTCCCACGCCCACGTAAAACTCGGATACAAGAACGGCCTGAGATCAAACCTATTATCATCCGGGGAGTACTGTTCCGCATGATACGCCGGCGTCATGGTCGTCATCTTATGGCGATTGATAGCATAGAAGTAGTAGAACCGCCGGACTTTTTCGTAGACTTGGCGGGGCGTAAGGTGTGTCCATACGGGGACCAGGTGCGTGAACATGCCGTAGGGGCCCAGTTTGGAGACTTTGCGGAGACGGCCGAAGACCTGGTGAGGGAGGTTAGCTGTGGGGAAGGGAAGGGGGGAGTCGAGAAGAAGGGACTTACGCTTAGCTCGTCGTAGGTCATCCCCATGTCTGCTTCGTCGCTCTGTACGTATGTTTCGCTGATTGGCTCGAGCTCCGCGGTCGGGGTCGCGTTCAGGAAGTCTTCGAGGATCGGGAGGTCGAAATTGGTCCGCGCCCACGCGATGAAGCGCTTTAGGTCTGTCTTCGAGATTCCGCCGATTCTGGACAGTAGATGTTAGTCAGGACACCATAAGATTACCCATCTTCAACCCTTTTCCGGGCAACTTTCATGAACCTGGAATCGAAGCTAATGGGAGTACTGGGGAGTAATAAGAGAAATGGAATGCCGTACGGGTTGATATCTGCGCTTGAGCAGTCATATTTCGTCAGGTAGCCCCGGAGGCACTCGTCCACGTTCGCCGAACCTAGCACAAGGAGACTGCCGCCGCCGGGCCGCTGCCGCACTGTTGGGAGCAATTGTGCGAAGAGGTAGATTATCACCATTCTCAAGCGCGCCTGGATGTTTTGAAGAGCGAGGTTTTCTGCGTTTGTGCCACCGTGCGCTCGAAATCGAGGTGAGAATTTCGTGACATAGGTAAACAAATCTGTGAGACTCTTGACTACGGTGTCGATATTGAGGTCTGAATGATAAGCGCCGATCCGTTTGGAAAGCTCAGAGGCTCGCGATCTAGTTTCTTTGGACGAGTTCTTCTCTGTGCCCATATACGCGGTATGGAAGATCTTGGCGCATAGCTCTTCCGGCGTGCTTGGCAGCCAATCTGACCCCTCTTCAATCGCGCATATTCGGCGGCAGTCCTTGATGACCTGCTCGTTTTCGTCTTTTATGGCCTGTATAACAAGTCTGCACATTGAGAAGACTATCGTGGCAGTGGCGCATGAGTCGATACCTCCGCTGAGGGCGAGCATGTACCCAGCAACTCCGCAGCGCCTGAGATAGTCCCATAGCCAGCAAGCAGGACCGAAGGCGATCTCTTCCTCGGGCAGGTGGATGCGGGGCTCGATGGGACTGGTAGGACGGACACTCTGGTCTAGAGGCGCGGTCTCTGCAGAAAGGCTGAACTCTGTCTCTATGCGCTCGTATGAGGGTGCTTGCACAGCTTGGAGGCCTCGACTTGGTGCGAATCGGAATGACCTGACTTCCTCAAGGTCGCAGGTCGCAGTGATAACTTCTACGTCCAAGAGCGAGAACTGGCTACCTTGAGCAACAATGTCGCCGTTGATCAGGATGAGCGCGGAGCCGTCATACAGCAGCCTGTCGCCATCGCATCCGGAATGGTTGGTGTAGATGTATATCCCTCCGGATTTTCGCGTAGCCTCTTGAATCAAGTTCAATCGCGTGTTCAGCTTTCGAAGTTCGTGGTGAGAGCCGCTTGAATTGGTGATAATCTGAAAATTAGCCACAGAAACAAAAAATAAAAGGCTATTTCACTTAAACATCTGAATAGCATACCTCTACCCCATTCAGGGACATCTGAATATGAGGTGCATTCGGCGTAAAGAGTTCTTCGCATGTCTCGGCGCCGATGCATGTATCCGGTGTACTGATGACGGCATCGCCAAAAGGGACCTTCGTATTGCCGGTGATGGCGCGTATCGACCGAGGGAGGTAGTATGACTCGACATGCTGCGGCCGTGACCAAGGCGTGAAGTACCTCATTTCGCGGTCTAGGGTGGGACAAGCGGTCAATAAGAACCCAAGCTATGGAGCAGGGTTGTTAAGCACAGGAGAGGAAGGAGACGCTTACAGTTGCCGTCATTTGCAAGCCATAGCTTCGGCCGTATCAGTAGGATCTGCTTATTGTAACACAGTATCCGGCAGTTATATCGAACGTTCCGGTGCATCACAGGCATTCCAATGTCCAATATCATGTCCTGACAACTATCATGTAATAGAATTGTCGCGAGACACTCCCAACTTTTTACATCAGCGTCGGTTGGGGCTGATGAAAGAGCAGCCTACCTGTGCATGAACAGATCGGCTTCAAGGAAGTGATCAAGGCAGCCATAGCCGGTGATCTCAAGCTCCGGTCCGCATCGCAATGTGGCGCCTTTCTCCTTAGCGATCCGGCAGGATTCGATAATCCGCTCGGTATTGCCCTTGAAATCAAGTGCCCTGTCAAACTGATAAGCCATCGTTCGGTTCCGATGGACTTATTATATCTCACCATTGGTTCAGTTGGGCAGCGGCTACTGTAACTAAATGGCCCATGGTAGAATCTATGACTCTGACAGGACTACGAGAGAAGCGTCGTTCAATTTGTTGTGATTGTCAGGTCCGGCCTTGAGCCTTCGAGTGTTAGCTTGAAGTAGCGAAAGACCGCAACTCCCGCCTTGAGAGTAGGCACAGCGTTGCAGCAAGGATGAAGCGAATGGGTTCGTGTGAAGATGGAGTATAAGAGCGAAGAATATTGCAAGAAGCAGGCCTATGCTAGGGTAGGGAATACGAGAATATGTTAAGCTACATGTGACTCAGTATTCTTGAATAATTAGAGCCCGTTCGAAGAAGAGGTGCTATTATGGCCTTCCATGGGACGCAGGTACATAAGCAAAGAACTCTGATGTCCGGTTCAGAATTGAAAACTCCCTGTCTTAACACATGAAATGGATATGGAGGCTTGAGCAGCAAAATGAGGGCGTACAAGGCATGCTCTCAATAACGTACCTCTCTTCGCTAGTATTGGAGCAAGATATGCCTGATAGTTGTAAATGACTGTGCCGGAACTGCCGAATTGAATTCGAGCTTTCCCCAGACTAAAGTTCCCCGGACAAGGCGGATCTTATCTAATCTTCGACAGCTAAAATGAGCTTAATGTGACATCAACAGGCGACTCTAAAGCACGCCAGAATGACTTTCCAGCGCTCTGTTCTCCTTCTGAATGTCAGTTGGCGTTCGAGATCTTTGAGCGGCGTCGTGCTTAGTGCTTCGCTCGTTGACAACGCTGCAACATGCCTCATTCACCGCAGACGGTCGCAGCGGTGCGAGAGTACGATGCCCTCGATTACGTCAGGGTGCGTTCTCCGCGCGTGAGCTTAAAGTGGAAGGCCTTAACTATGGACTCCGCTGACAAAGTGGTGATATGCTTTGAAAGCATCTACTAATCTCACGCATCTCCTATGTTCTGGCCAAAGGCTCTACTCAGAACCAGCATATCAGCTCCCGCAAGACTGCTCACCAGAAGCCATCTCCGTCCATCGCCAATTCGCGCCTTAGCTACAATTCAAACCCCCGCCATGGCCACCCCATCCCGCGTCCAGCTCTCCCTCACCGAGCATCCCGAGTTCTACCTGCCCGGTATCACGGCCGAGTCCGCGAAGAAAGCCTCCGAGCTTCTGCAGGAGAACCACGAGCAGCACCACATCTTTTTCAACAAGGACGGCTTCCACAACCACATCGCGCACCACCTGCTTACCATCTACGCGCTCGCCGCGCCGCCGCATATCATCCAGTATCAATATGACCACAACAAGTCTTACCAACGCCCGGCTGTGTCGCTCGAGGATTCGGTCATGCAGGACATGCGGGATCCTGAGAAGTTCAATAAGTACCTTGGAGACGAGAAATACTACCATGACTTCCTGATCTTCTTCCAAGACGAGATGGAGAGCAAGGGCTGGGAGAATGTGCTGAACGAATACCTGTTCAAGGGCGACGAGAGGGCAGACGATATGCTCGTCAGGATGTTCGCTGGTTGATGGCCCTTATGTTGCGACACGCACAACACACAATGACTGATATGTGGCTAGGCTTCCTACACCCAATAATACATCTCGGCTTCGGAGTCGAGTTCCACCAGCCCGCCATCATCGCCGAAGCGCTCGCTCAAGCCGCCATACACAGCGACTGGATGAAGCCCTTTCTCATTGGCGCCGAGAAAGCCGCCAAGGAGAACAACGTCACGCAATCCAAGACACTCGTCGAGCTCCTCGATGCAATCAAAGCGGACGAGAAAGTCGCCAAAGCGCCGCGCTGGGACGACGGCAACAAGCTGCGCGATGGCATCGTCAAACGCGTACCAGAAGAGATGATCAAGTACGCGAGTCAGTACGTCGTGCACCCTGAAGAGCTTGAAGAGAAGACTGCCGAGATGACCAATGCTGCCAGTAAGTCCCCCCTTTCCCCTTTCCCCAGCTCCCCTCCTCTCCCGGAGCTAACAAGACCACACAGTCTACTACACCGGCGCAGCCCAACACCCACCCCACCAAATCAAATTCGACTTCTACTACATGCACTGCACCAACAGCAGCATTTTCTTCTCCGCCTTCCTCTCCGCACCCTGGCTCTCCACCGCCTCCAAACGCCGTCTCCTAGAATGGAAAGGCAGGAACGACCTCGCCATGTACGCCTCCCGCCGCGCCCCAGACCTCCTGCTCGACGAGATCACAAACTACAAACCCAAGGAGCCAACAGCCGACAAGACGGATCCGTGGGGTCCGATTTTTGAGCGCGTGGGCCGCCACGAGGATGATGGACATGCGGCGAAGTTGGTCAGAGCGCTGGCGCATGGACAGGTGATTAGCGCGCCGTATGAGGAGAAGGATGGCTTTAGGATCAAGGGCGGGATGTGGTTGCAGTTGGGGCACATGGCGATTGACTCTGTAGAGGCGGGGGAGCCGCATTGGGTCAGGAGCGCGGGGTTTGAGGAGGCCTGGGAGAAGATTCCGGAGAGGCCGAGGTTGTAGGGAGAGTTGGGTTAGTGTTTGAGAAGCAAAAGTGCGAATGCTCCATCGCCTTCACAGTTTGCAACGTTTGGGATTCAGCAATTGATTTCCGGATATATACCAATCTGCAGTTGTATGATGCGCCTATGCTGATGCGGCTGAGATTTCCGGGGGGGGGCTGCCGATCCGGATGATAGAAATCAGCGGACTCGCTAATCACATAACCTTTTCTAATTCCCTATGCTCACAAGGACTTCTACGGTGGCCAATCCGGCTCCCGTTTTGACTGCGACGTTAAACGATGGGCGGCGGTCTCAAACGCCTGCGTTCAGCGCGTCCGTGGATTTTGGCTAGATAGAGAGACTTCGGCTATGCTGCCTAGCGACAGTGATGCCACGTGATCGACTGAATCTGAAGCTGAATCGATCGATCTAGGTCGAGCGATTATGGATCGAGTCTTCGAGTCTTCGAGTCTGCACGTGGTCTATTAGTTAAGTAAGCTTGCTTCATCCGAGGCTTCCGATCTAGATCCGGAGCATCCGAACCACAGTATCTATTCATGTTAGAATAGTGTTGATGCGCACATGCGAAAGCCTTTGTAATCACATTCACGCTGTTTCCCGCACTTAGTGCCTTGGCCATAAACGGGGTTGAAGCCATGTCTAAGCAAGATATAGATCGACTCGACGACTCGAGCTGGATTGGTTGGATTCAGGGTCCGATCTACTCTACTCGATCTCGTGGCATCACTGGCCTCACCCGGCTTCGTCTTCCACACTCGGGAAGTTGGACTTAATTGTCGTCGTCCGAAGCCCTCGGTTGATTAGGATGAGCATAACGAGTGATATGGGCCGTATTGTCGCGCTCTAGCAAAGACTTCGAATGCCTACGTCCAGCGCGTTTGTGGAGTTTAGCTGGATTAGAGGCACTTTTAGTAAGACTACTCAGGGAGCGAAGCGATTAAGCTAGTGAAGCAGCTATATAGATGTAGTATCAGTAAGCGATCTATCTATATGGGTAGGCGCTCTTAGCTAGCGCGAAGGGGAGCTTTCTGGGCTTTACGCCCGCCGCGGATAGTTGTGACTAGGTCCTGGGACTACCGCGCCAACCTAGGCTTCCATCCTCTTTATACTGTCAGCTAGAGAAACGCGAAATTGTGACAAGGTGACTCACTTGCTTACAGTCTCTACGGCGGTCCCTTCGCTTCTCGATGTAACGAACCGCGATGAGGAAACCGTCGTAGACTAGTGCAAAGCCTGAGTTAACGGCCGTGAGGCCCACGACGGCGGCCCGATAGGCGTGCCGGCTTTTCTTAAGAAAAAAACAGGGCATCGTTGTTAAAGCGTTGATAGTGGGATCGTTACGGTGATGATGGTGACGGTTTAAAGAAGTTGAGGATTTGATGACAAGGAAAGGAAACATGCTTGGACGGGACAGGAGGCCGACAGTGACGGCGGTGTGGAAGCGCCGACATTCTCTATTTGGTCCTACCTTTTCGAGAAGCCGAACTGCTGCGAGAGATGCAATCCGTACAACAAAGGTGATTGTACTGCTCCACGCTTTTCAGCCACATGGCTCGTGTCTTCCATCTCTATTACGCTCTAATTTGTGCCAATGCCGAAGATTGGATGCTATGCTCGAAGTATAACAGTGCACTGCAGCTAGTTTCCACGGCGTGGTTGTCCCAGATATTCCGGACTACGAGGAAGACGATGCTGCAAGCACCAGATCCAGGGAGGTTCTTCATCGAATCTCATCTGTCCCGCGCCCTTGACTTCGACTCTGTTTGGATAGTCGAGTGCTGCACTGAAGGCAGTGCTTAGCGGATATGGGTGGAGTTCCGGCACAGTAGTATGCCGGATCTGATACTGCGAAGTCAACTCCCATTGAAAGGAGTTGTTGCACGTGTGGTATGACAAAGTGTGCATCACATGAGGGTGATGCGGTTACTGCAGAACCCCAACGCTTCAGACTCGTAAAGAATCGATACCGGCTGATTGCGTCCCATGGATTGACGGCAATGATGTGAGGGTGATGTCGAGGCTTTAACAATATCTCACCGCCCGCCCCGAATCTCAGCTCGATCATATCGTGGTTTTCAGAACATGAACGGTTAGATGCGCAATGTGGTGTCTAAATTGGGGGACTGACGTCTTCCACAGGAGCCTAGCGTATTCCAATGTGTCCGTGCAAGCCTCCGGAGATGGCGCCGTGCGGAAATGTCACCGGTTCTCTGCTGATAGGGTAGACAGGACTCGAGGATCTGCGGGTCCGAGCGATAAAGAGGACGTGTCTGAAGCGCGGAGCACGTTTGTTGCATCGTTATGACGACGGCGTAATCCGTAATCTCGATAGCTCAACCTTGCTGCAACCGCTCTTGAACGATTGAGAAGATTGTGACGCTTTGACAGTCAGGTATGACGATGTACTTCGTGCAGCACAAGTTTTGAACGCTGGACTTTGTTGGAGCAGCCCACTGGGTACCTGATGGCGTCGTATTCAGCGTTCCCGTGCTTCCATATGAGATGTCGAGGACATGAGAGAGGTGCGTGGGGCAGATAAAAGGGTGGACCATTTATGGTGATTTTCCTAGCGAATCTGTCCACCCTTTTTTCCCGCTCGGCACTGAAGCTGGCCAAAGTTGTGTCCTGGACCCCTACTGCTCCAAGCAACCGGGGTTCTCCACACTTGTGAACCTGAGCGAGGGATATCTCCAATGCCGATCTCAGGGCGAGGTAGAGTATGCCAGTGGCAAGTCTTTCGTCACCGCGCCGGGATATCCCAACGCTTGACTGCGTCAGAGTTGGTGACTGACTGACGTGAGACGTCTCGGAATGAACGCAAAGCTGAAACGTGACTGGAGTTCGGTTATTGTGGTCTCCTAGGGGCTCCATGATCCCGTGCGGCGACCTTGGTGGAAGCGACTCCGAGACTAGGGTTTAGGTCATGGCTTGACGGGTGCGGCTGAAGACCACGGTTTCCCGCTCAAGGCCAGACTCGTCAGCCTAACCTCGAGCGGAAAAGCGGCATCAGGGTTTTGCCTCTCGTCGTGCGGCCAGCAACTCAGGCAGTTCAGGCGCTGGAGAGTGCGGAGCCGAGGCTGAAGTAATCAGCGCCGGGGAGTCGGACAAGGGGCCAGGAGCACGACGAGATCAAGCTCTGTGCGACAATGCCCTGAACTCACGTGTTCGCGGAAGGTAAGCTAGGGCATCACTGCTGGCCTGAGAATCCTCTGGCGTGATGTCGCTGGATTCGTTCCTAAGCTGCTCTCCGAGCATCCGTGTCTCGTGGGACGGATGCACTCGCACTAGTAGAGTATGCTGTGCCTCGCCGTTCGCATTCCTTTACCTGGGTACTCGTAGGGTAGTCGCGGTTCTCAAAACGAAAAGATGTCATCAGGGTCCGATTGCTGCTTACTGTTTTTCTTGGCGCACTAGGGACGCAGGGTCTGACATCATGCAGAAGGGGGTCCCAGCCTTCCGCCCCACTGCAACGCTCCCTGCATCGCGAAAAATGCCACTTCGGAGTTGGTCCGACCCACAAACGGCGCATATCGTGAAGAGTTTAGTGCTACCTACACAGGTAATACCCGTATTGAGCTGAGAAGCAAGCGCCAAACGGAGCCCGTACTGTTCTCGAAACCATTTCCGTTGAGGATCGCACACTGAAGCGTCGCAACCTCGAATGTCCCATGGCATCATCGCTCGCGTTGGAAGCACGTCAAGTGGCTTCAGATAAACCAAATGACGACCGCGCTCTGGAGCTGCAGCACAACGGCGGCTCCCCGTCCAGAAAACCGTCAAAGACGGAGCCATTTCCTCGGCGCTCGTCCGCCAATCAGAGTACAACGTCGCGGCGCACTGCCGATCAACCTGTCAGCGGCTTTGCAGCTTCGTCACAGGTTACCTGGGGTCCTTCGTATTACACGCGCCAGAACAGAGGCGCAACCCTGCAAGCCGTCGGCAGCCTTCCCGGTAGGGGGGCTAAGAAATGCGCGCCTCCCGTCGGGAACCCTGGGCCGTTTGCTTGTAACCTAACCCCTCAACATCATCAAGCTCATGTAGCATAGCGTCGGTTGCTCCACACCCAAAGAGCGTCACCGATGCAATGCAGCTGAGGAGAATGAAGAGTGATCCACTGACTGCTTAGCGATCCATGAATCCATGTTTCTGAAGGAGCGCATCCTAGAATCGGGGCCTGCCTAGCACCGCCGCTAAGCACTCCGCCAGGCTGCTTCTGCATGCTTGTGCCACCCTCAGCTATCAACAACTGCTGATCTTGGTCTTTATTAAACGTTAGGCTTTTTGTGAGGCGCGGAAGTTACTCCAGTGGACAACCGCACGTATATTAACCAGCTTCTGACCCTCAACCGCCTGACATCGATACACATTCCTGTCCACCGTCCAGCCCTCAAAGGAGTCGCGACCCGCTCAAACCATTCGAAACCTCCAAATCAATACATCCGAACAACCACATCAACTACACCTTTGATACAAATTACTACACAAAATGATGGCCGCGCAGCACTCTGGCGTCTACATTCACGGCGGCTTCTCCGAACCGATGAGCGCTCAGCACAACTTCTCAAACCAGTACTCCTTCGACGATCCGCAAGAGGCAATGTCGGTATACAAACGGTACGTTTCTTCGGAGTTTCAACTGTCAACGCAGCTGGCTGATTCTCACACAGCATCATGCATCAACATACCAAGGAACAACTGAACATCGCCACCAACTCCGCACGGCGAAGGTCGCAGCCCACCACACCTAGCCTCCCCACCGAGGGAAGCCGCGGCTCCGTCAGCTCTCGCGATTCGTAATCTCCTCGCCGTGCAACATTTGCACACTCAGCTGCTACTCCGCTGCAGCTTCAGTTAGCGGTCCATCGGGCATTTCTCTGTATCATAACGTCTATGTACGGATTACAGGCTAAAGGGAGCGGGTTGCGGCGTCTGGTTTGATGGCTCAGCTCTTCGGTGCATTGCGGGCGTGTCAGCGCTTTGGCATGGTGTCTCAGGCTTTGGGATATCTGGCGTTCTGTTCTTGGGTTATTGTCGGTGTAAGACCTCTAGGACGACTATCAATGTCTTCGACCATCAAACTTCATCTCACCTACTTCTCATCCCACTAGACAGTGGTTGCCTCATGTGATTTCTAAGTCTACGGCTGTTAACGCCTGCTAATTATCTTTTCTCTATCCTACGCTATGAGTAGTAGATGTTCTGGTCCATCATTGCTATAAAACGGCAGTTGTGAAATCGGTTTTGGTCCACGGAGTGCCCTCTGCAAGCCACAAGTTGAAGAAGCATTACGGATACCTCGCATCCGCTCAAATCACCATTCAAAACTTTAGGTGTTCGTCTGTCCATGCATTAATGTATATACTGAGAGAACCCTGTCAACGCCCTGTTCCTCACGCTAAATATCTCGAGTAGCGAACTCCACCTCAACCGCCTCGCAGTCATAAATTATTTGCGACAACCATAGATCCCTTCCGACAATCGCTCCCCAGTACAAACCACCCCTGCTTCCAACAGCTTCTTCTCATGATCGTCGGTCAGCGCGGGACATTCCCTCCAACTCATCCTACCGGGTTGAATTATCATCATGATCCCGATCGAGATCCAACGCAAGACCTCGCTGAGAAGTCTTGTCGTCTGCGATATCGAGGGAGCCTATTCCATCTACACAGAGGATCACACCCTTCGGGTCCATCAGACCAGCCACATCGGTCTAGCGACGGAGACCAGAACGCCTCACAAGATAACAACCTATCGGTCCACCAAAAACCGCTGCGCGGCTTGCGGAGGTGGTCGACAATTGCTACACCTATATGCAGCGGAGACGCCACCGTGAGGGTCCCACGACCCGAACAGCTCACTATACCACTCATCGAGGGCTGAGGGGCTCGCAGAATGCCGAACATACCCTACCTGCTCTGTCCAAAAGATCGCCAAGTGGTCGACGAGGCTTTTGATAAGTTCCACGATCAGGGCAAGATGGGTTGGGTTACCAAGGCTACTCCCTTTCGGATTCTCAGTTTCTGTAGTATGGAAGACACCCAGACTTGGTGCTAGTTTGGTCACTTTGGGTATGGACTTGGCAGTTTTCTCGAGAACATAGTGATCCTTTACTCAAGATGGTATGGTATGGGCAAGTGTAAGGCCACAAACAGCTCCCGCTTCTCCTTCTGCATGTCGAGTCGGATTTCGGACGTCGGCTGAACTTCTGCATGGTCCGCAGCGTAGGAATTCGCTTCGGATCAGTAGATTGTTTCCGCATTCGATGTACCCGAGTAAATCTAACATTAGGTATGACAGATATTGCGGGCCTCTGAATGTAGATCAAAAGTTAGGGTGAGATAATCACCGCTTCATCAATGATAAGAGACCACGAGATTGAGTTCTACACGCTGTATGTCCAAGCTGTTATCTGTGACTACGACAGCTTGCGTGTATTGTTCTACTATCTACCGTGTTCGGGAGTGGATCTTCCAGATGTCTGGGCAGCTGCACAAACCTGGGGATATTCGGATAGGACGTCCTAAAGCGGCTTAGGTTATATCTACCCCGGATTTTCATCCCAAGCCTTAGGGACGACGTAATACAAAACTCTGATATCTGCGAATAACTGCTGCTGTATGCGGCGCGTAGAAGAACACTCTAGTGTCTAATTTCTGCGTGGCACTATCAATCGCCTCTCATAATCATACACCTAGAGATAGACGGAATCAATACTCCGTAGACAAGAGCTTTGTGTACTCGCGACATCCACCAACCTCGAGCGCTCGTGTGCTCTGTATACCACCGCTCTAAAAGGTAAACAATATTCCTTCTTGCCATCATAGGTCGTTGACTAGCGCCTCATGATTCTTACCACCCTGAGTTTGCCTTCTGAGAGTGCTGATCTCCGAAGTTCCAGATTCAAGCCACTTGCCTGCCGTCACCGCTCCTCGTCTCACCCATAGCCACCATGTATCCACCCTCGCAAGGGTTGAACCTTGACATCGACGCCCTGAGCGGCATCTGCGGCTCCATCTCGATTGCCTGCTGGGTTGTTGTCTTCTCTCCACAGATCATTGAAAACTTTCGGCGCGGCTCTGCCGACGGGCTGTCAGTCGTTTTCATCGTGATATGGCTCGCAGGGGATGTGTTCAATATACTGGGAGCGGTGCTTCAGGGCGTGCTACCCACAATGGTACTACAAAGCGCCAAAGACGTGGATGGAAGCACAAGTGCTGATAACACTCCCAGATCATCCTCGCGCTCTACTACACTCTCGCCGACATCGTCCTCCTTGCGCAATACTTCTACTACGAAGGCTTTACGCTGCGCGACAAGATCAAGAAGCGGCCCGACACCTCCACAGAAGGCGCTAGTAATACCCCCTCCTCCGAGCGCACTCCCCTGCTGTCTCCACCCAACGGTCCCACAAACGGCCACGCAGAGGCCCCCGCCCACGTCTCCACCTCCGACAGGGAGCGCCGCCCCTCCCACAGCTCCTTCCGCGAGCGCCTCCTCTCCGTCGGCGGCGAGCACCTCTCTCCCGCCACTCCGCTCATCACCGACCCCGCGAAGTCCGGTACGCAGTCTCCGGCTCGCGCGCCGAAACCGAAGCCGTCACTCCTGCGCGCGGCGCTCTTCAACCTCGTCTCCATCCTCCTCGTCTGCGTGGCCGGCTTCCTGGGCTGGTGGCTGAGCGCGCGGACGTCGCGGATGTCGCAGGGAGGGCCTGGATACAACGATGGCGATGGCGATGGCGATGGTGCAGAGGAGCCGGCGGCCAGGGAGGCGGATACGCTAAAGTTCAACATTGCGGGCCAGGTGTTTGGCTATATTTGCGCGGCGTTGTATCTGGGGTCGCGCGTGCCGCAGCTGCTGCTGAATTGGCGGAGGAAAAGCACGGAGGGGATCAGCATGTTGTTTTTCTTGTTTGCGTGCGTGGGGAACGCGACGTATGTGCTTTCGATTCTGGCATATGAGCCGGTGTGTACGGATGGGAGGGGGTGGGTTAGAGGGTGTAGGCCTGGGGAGGGCGGGAAGGTGTATGGGAAGTATATTGCGGTGAATTTGAGCTGGTTGATTGGGAGTCTGGGGACGCTATTTTTGGACGGGTTTGTGTTTGTGCAGTATTTCCTTTATAAGAAGGAAGAGGAGGAGGAGGATGTGGAGTCGGTTACCGAGACAGATGAAGAGGATGCTAGTGCGGCTGGAACGCCGAGGCTTGCGAGGGACTGAGGCCTTTAGGAGAATGAAAAAGATGCCTCAAGGGGAGATTCCAGGTTTCGTTCGATCGTGTGATGACAACTTCCGGCGGATTGGCTTTCCCGTGTCCTCCCTTTACGCCACTATCGGTCGAAAGAAGCACTGCATGAGGCATTCACCGGCACCCTAATCCTGGCTCTCGAGCTCTTCAGCGCGGCGGCGGCGATGGCTCTCAGTGTATACTTATTACCATTCGTCGATCACAAGGTCAGCAAATACCTACAACGCAGCGGCGGTACAAGAGACAACCCCTTCGTCGCCATGGCGTGTCCGGTAAGCTCGCTCGCTACTGAACCAACTACTGGATTACTGACAGCGTCATCACAGGCTGGATTGGCGTACGCGAGCGTCCTTTGATAGAAGTAGCCTTCTCGGATCACGATATGTTCAAGATAATTTCTACTGAACGCTCCTCCTACCCTTACTCACTCAGCCAGCATTCAACACTCTGCACCTGTCGGCTGGGTCGCTGATACGACCTAGCCGTATCTCATTTATGTCCACATGGCTTCTTCACCAGCTCAATCGCTTCGCTCGCCAAGCAGCACGGACGAAAGTCTCTCTGATCTGGCCGAACTCCACGAACGCGCTGAATGCAGGGGTTTGGAACCGATGTCCTATCGTCTGACGTTCGGGTTTCACTTTCCCAATCATAATGTACTTAATGAGGAATCTGGATGTCGGTGCCTCGAACCCCTGATCAAAGCCCCCGTGGGAGATCCCGACTAAGCTTGCCAGCATCTCCCGGAGCGCCGCGGTATCGGCCCCGAATGGTATACCAAGTGGCGCTTTAGCGAACTGGTGGTGGCCGGCTTTATCGATGCGTTGACAAGTATGGAGCAGTAGAACCACTTTTATTATACGTGTTACATCGCTCAATTTCGCGACGACGACTTCCGGCGACTTAGCTTACCCACACGTCGAAGTCCTTCCGTCACGCTACCATCGATCAAAGGCAGCCCAAGACGAGGCATTCGCCGGCACCGTAATGCCGGCTTCATCTCAAGCGGACCACGCTTCGTACGCTTCAGGGGCCGTCCGTGTCGTTTGCGTACCGCCTCGCGCATCCCACGATCCAGGATCCAGCGCTCCGAGCCCTCTGTCATCCCAACCAACGTCCTCACTTGCTGGCGTCGCTCGAGCGGACGAAGTCTCGCCCGGCTGCGTGCGCGGGCAGTCGCGTCATTGGCAAAGCAGGCAAACGCTGCCCGCCTGTGGACCCAGGATATGAGGGTCAATCGACGCCTGCTAACAGTCGCGCTGTGTGACTTGTTCCGTTAGTGTCTGACTTCGTGTGCTGTTACCTACAGTCCTTGTGCTGGGAAGATGCATCGCGCTAATCTCGTCGGTGAGGGCCGAAAGATGGCAGAGAGCAGGGTGGCTCGGAGGAGCGGTCTGCGAGCATCGCGTTGGCCGGATGCGTGCTGCCGCGATGAGTCGGACGGGTGGTTGGTTGATGTCGATGGATGGGATGATGCATTTGGGCGGTTGCGGGGGGCGGTGATGCTGACCCGGCTTAGTGTGGTGTAGGCTGCCATGGGCTGCAAATGCCCCGATGAGTGAGCTGCTGCTGCTGCTTCAAAGGGCCAGATATTCGGATCACTGTCGAGATGAACAGGGCTCCAAGATTCCAGCGAAGACACATGTAAGGGGACGAGACGATGAAGCGCAGCTCAAGGGATCCAAAAACTCTGTTAATCCTATCCAAATCCCATGTGTTCCAACGCTCCACCATGCACCTTGCAATGCTGTCCAAATGCCATATCCAATGCCCCCCGTAAGGATCCGCTCACTCCTCCTCATCCTCATCCTCTTCCGAATCAACCAACATGCTCTCCTCCCCCATCCCCATTCTCCCCCCACCCTCGCCATGCCCCGCGCCCGCGCCATCAGAAACATACCTCCTCCTCTGTCCCCTCCTCTGCCTCCCCGCCTGCCTCCTCATAACCTCCACCCTACTCCCCTCCAACCTCCTCTCAAACTCCTCTTCCTCCTCCTCGCCCATCACACTAACGCCCTCGAGCACCTCCAACGCCTTCCCCAACAACTCCGTCGCGATCGGGTCCTGCGGCGCGCCCGCCAGCGCCTCATGGAATGCCACAACCGCCAACCACGCCTCGCCCATCTCGAGCAGCACGAGCCCCTTCGCCGTGCAGACAGCGGGGTCCTTGTTCGCCGTCGTGCGCAACACGTCCTCGAACTGCGCGAGGGCCTCCTCGAAGCGGCCCGCACGTCTGAGCGCATGGCCCAGGTTCGTGCGCGTCGCGACCGTCGCGGCGGGCTCCGCGCCCAGCGAAGCAGCAAGCTCGAGCGCGTGCGCGAACAGCCGTATCGACTCGTCGAGGTGGTCTTCGTGGTAGAAGACTGTGGCCAGCTCGTTCAGCAGCAGCGGATCGGTCCGACACATAGCGTATGCTGCGCCCAGATACTCGTGCGCAAGGGCTATGTTATGCAGCTGCAAGTTCTGCATCCCCAGGAACAGCGACGGGAGATGCGAGCCGCTGAACAGCCTTGCCGCGGTCGAGTAGGCGGAGATGGCCTGGTCGTGCTCGCCTTCTGCGGCGAAGGTGTGCGCGAAGCCGATCCAGGCGGGGCCGAAGTGCGGGTCCATCATGCTGGATTTACTGAAGAAGCGCCGTGCTTCGGCGATGCGGTTGATGGTTAGGTAGTAGACCCCCACGGCGAGCCAGGCGACGGGGGAGTCGGGGTGGGATTGGGCGAGGGAGTGGGAGAGCAGGAAGAGGGCATTCTTCTCGTTCAGCTCGTGCAGGCAGGCGAGGTGGATGGGGAGGGGGGCCAGGTTGTCGGGGGAGGTCTGTAGGATTGTGGTTGTCAGGGCGAGGGCGTCGCGGAAGCGGCAGGTCGTGAAGAGGGATTCAGCGCGTGAGAGGAGGATGTCGGGGTTGGCGGAGAGGTTGTAGTGCGTGCTGAGAGTTTCGGTCGCGGTGGCGAGCTCTTTGGGGTGGCTGTACTTGGAGAGACGGGTCGTGTAGAGCATCTTTGTGAACTGCGCGGCTTCTTGGCTAGCCGAGGGCGAGTCTGAGGAGACGGTGATGGTGTCGAAGTCTAAGGAGGCGAGGAAGGACCACTCTTCGTCCGGGGTCATGAGTGAGTTCTTCATCAGCTGGTCGAAGGCTTCGAAGCACTGCACGTCAATGCGAACGGCGTCCTTGTAGCACTCCTTCGCCCGGTCGAAGGCGTTCTGTTTGGCATAGCACACCCCTCGCAGATAGCACATGGCGGCCTCGAAGCGGATGTTGTTGATGTCTTCACGCTCCCGGTCCTCACTCCTGTCAACTCTATCACTGCGGTGCGCAAGCTTCTTCGAGACGCCGTTGGTGGCCCTTCCGTCAACATGCCTGAGCTTCTGCCGCGCGCTGCCAGGCGCCGCGATCAGGTAGACTGGATTCTTGTCACCAAGCACAACCAAGGCCTGGTCGAAATTGCCCTGCTTGACATGGCAGTGCGCCAGGAGGTACTTGCACGCCGGGTTGTTCTCGACTAGGCCGTCTCGCTTTAGGTACGTTTGCGCTCGCGTGTAGGCGCCGGTGGAGAAGTGCACCTGGGCAAGCCAGAAGGCATCCTTGTCACTGTCTGCAGACTAGCAATCAGCGAGCGTTTGCAGGAGAGCGGCCAACGCGTACCCACTGGTCAAAGCCAGTAGCTTGTCGCCGATGAAGATGGCCGACTCGTACTGATGCTTGTTCAACGCGTCCTGCCGCCAGTCTCTCAGAAACTTCTCCATAGTTGTGAGCTGGCAGGTAATCGGACCGGTGCAGCGAGAGTCATATCAGAAGAAATGTCACCAGTCGCCAGCGCTGGAGCGACGGGTCGCGACTGCATTCATTCACCGCGACGCGAAGCAATCAACAGCTTGGCGAAGGACCGTGGGAGCCCACTGCAGAATCCAAGCCTTGTGCCGTCCCGCTCCCGCTTCAGCCTGGCGAAAGCTTGACTGCAAGTGAGGACGCAAACAGAAGTCCAACCAATCATTGCGGCTCGTTTCACCGCTAGTTTGTTTGCTCAGCGAAGCCTTGCTGACATGGCGGGGCACTTAAGGAACCTCTTCGCCCAGCTCTCGACCTCCCCCCTTCACAGCATCCAACACCACGAACCTCCTCAACAAATAGCTGAAGCTCCCTCAAACCTCAAGTCGCATCTACTCCCCCTCTCTATAGCCTCCACACCTGCCCGTTCACCATGTCTGAACGCAAAGTCCTCCAGAAGTACTACCCTCCCGACTTCGATCCAAGCAAGATTTCACGCAACAAGAGCGACAAGCAAGCGGGTCCCAAGGTGCAGCAAGTACGACTCATGGCTCCCTTCAGCATGAAGTGCCTGTCCTGCGGCGAATACATCTACAAGGGCCGAAAGTTTAACGCGCGCAAAGAAACTACCGACGAAAAGTACTATGCCATCACCATCTACCGCTTCTACATCCGTTGCACGAGATGCAGTGCCGAGATCACCTTGTAAGTGTTCAAATTTCTTGCCGCCGCTGAACCTTGGCTGGCTTTGAGGATTTGTCGTGGCTAATTCTTCGTGCAGCAAGACGGATCCGAAGAACATGGACTACGAGTGCGAGCGTAACGCGCGGCGCAATTTCGAGCCATGGCGAGAAGCGAAACTTGCCGAAGAAACCGAGGAGGAGAGGTTGGATCGCCTGGAGAAGGAGGAGTCGGAGCGGGACAAGATGCAGGAGCTCGAGAGTAAGACGCTAGACGCGAAGGCGGAGATGCAGGTGGCCGACGCACTTGACTCCATACGTACGCGGAACGCGCGGCTCGAACGAACGGGCAATGTAGAAAGCATCTTGGCGCGTGACGAGCCGTCAGACCGGATGCAGGAAGAAAAGGAAGATGCAGAAATTGCGCAGAGAGCTTTTCTGCGTGGCAGCGCCGGGCGGAGAACAAGTGAGGAAGCCATGGAGGAGAATCCGCCGCCGCCGCCGCCTGACTTTCGGCGCGTCGTTAAGAAGAAGAAGGATTTTGGCGCGGCGCTTGGGATCAAGAAGAAGGCAGCATCGAGCCAGTAGGGACCTGCGGCCCTTGGCAGAGCGAGTAATTAGCTTGCGAATATAATGCCCACATCAACATCTCACTTCATGCATCAAAAAGGTACACCTACTTCACTACTTGTGATACTCTCAGTGTACACTGCTGACCTGAGATACAAAGCCGCCAAGATGCCAAAACCAGTTAGCAGGAGAAATTCACTGTTCGAGATCCCTTCGCCACCGCCGTTCCCACGTATTGTCATGGTCGGAGTTATAATTCGACACTCTCCACCAATATGTCAAAGCCAGATCTACGAAAGAAACACGCTGTTTCGAGTCATTTCAGAACCTTCTAGTACGCCTTGCGAAAGATGAGGCGGATCTCGCTAGTGAATACGCCTCCCTGGATGAGAAGGCTCGCTACTAGGCGCCGCCACCGCCAGAACAACTACCGCGCTTACTCTTAGAGAAGGGCTCTAGAATCTATCATGATGACGCCTTTAACGCATATAGCGCAGCCGCTAGTGCAAGTAAGAGGCCGGTCCAAGACCTTGCTTCTCTATAGCGGCAGTACAAACAGCTCCACGACCTTCACACTCGGATAGCTGAGAAGCTCTTTATATTAATACCAAGCTTCTGGGTCACAATCGCCTTTTCCGCAGATCAATGACGTCTGCATCACAGTCGAACATCCGCTACCAACATGCCAGTGTCATCTTTATGGATGAAACTCTCTGCTCCAAATCACTTCGCCATTGCCTCTTCCACGGATTGACGACGACTAAACCACGCTTCAATGCCCGCCGCAAAGGTTCCGAGGCCTTCTGCGGCTTGATTTCGATATCCATCAGGTCTGCGAGAACGGCGCAACGCGATATCAGCGTTTCACACGGACCAAAATTTCGGCCAGCGAAGATAGGCTGAGGACGTCCAAGCCATAGTTCCATATCGCCGTCAAGGTACACGCTAGTGACCTGCAAAGCAATATTGTTTGGAGGTCGCCGTATCAGAGTTCTTCGTCATCTGTAGACGATACTCCCATTCGCCGACCACTCAACCGAAGAGCACCGTCCCGTCTCTTGGTTCCTTACCTCGAAGTCCTATTCAAATCCTCAAGATATGCTCGCCTCCATCACTCAGTTTGCGCTTCCCCTCCAGGATTTATAAGGTAGCTCGCTCAACTCGGATTTGCGAATAATGTTCCGCGCCCTGTACTCAACTGTTACAAGCGCCATACCTGAAAGGAGGTTGATGCTCACATCAGGCAAGCAGCTTGCGCAAGTGGTAGTGTTCCGTCAGACACTGGTCTCTCCGACGCTGCCGGGAACAGTCTCCGGACAAAGTTCACACCTGAGTCCACTCTACCAGGGCCCAGCCGTCTCTCACTTCATGTACCGAACAGGCCAAAGCTCTTAAACTTTGATAAATACTCGTTCAAGCCTCGATTTCCTTCCGAGACCATCCGTTTTGAAGAAAATCGATGACGCGAGGCCCGAAGTTGCGCGAGACTTGATGCAAGATCCACAAGCTGCTATCATGTCAGTTCGAAACCAGCGCAAGTAGACGGCCGGCACAGCGAAACACTCGAATTTCCCGGATTCGGAGCAGCACAGACACAACTTATACCAACATAGCGGAAGTCTTGACTCCGCCATCAGAGCCTCAATCTCGGACAATCGCAAAAATGCGGACGTGTAAGACTCAACGTACAGTTCGTCGCGGCGAGGCCGCTACTGTGTAGTAACCTCGCCGCCAAAAGCAAAGACTTCGATGCGAGGAGCTCTCTGCATGGAAGCTACGCCGATGCAGAGCCGCACCTCGAAGCCGGTGCCAGCTATGGCACGGCAATGAACTTTTGGTGCTCACACTCTCTCGTTTCAGAGATTCCTCACGTCGCTTTGTGGGCGCTCATCACTATCAGCACAAGTTCACCGAAGCGCCAGTGCGTGCTATGAGCTAAGCAATTTCTCGACCTTTTTGTCAAGGAAAATGCGAGAGTTCATACGAGGTATGGACAGCTTAGCAGTAACTGAGCATGCACAAATGCATCAGTAACAACCTTGCACAGGCTCCGCTTCGTAGGACTCACTAGCGTTAACAGCAGGTCGGGAGCGATCTGGCCACCCTGGACGGAACGGTGGTATACCAACCCGGATCGTACTGGCCTTTCCTCCTGCCTGACAATAGACTGCACTCGCCGTACAGATCATTCGCGGACAAAATGTCTTCTATCAATTTCTGGAATTCGTCGAGGATCTGTTCGCCATACATGCGCAGCCAATACTCCATTGCCAGCCACGAATGCTAGGCAATGAACAGACAGTCAACCCACCAACACAGCCTCTCGAGCTCTGGATGGGGCTTCCGGTGCTTAGCCAGGCTGCAACGTGGAACCGCTGGTACAATGTGGATCAGGATTCTACGTCATTCCTCACTATCTCACCATGAGAGCCCTGCTATAGCACAGGACCCAGCCCTCCGCGAGTGGAATACAACACTTGGTGATGTTGATGCGTTTAACCTTTGCGGGCTAAACCCAAACACATGTCCATCAGCCAACGATTGGAAGTAGGGGATTAAACGGGCAACGCTGCATCTACATCTAGATAAGAGCAGGGGGAGAGACATATCCCACTTAGGCCCTTAACATTACGGTGGTCAACAATCTCCACGAGTTCTTAAAAAACGGCAAGAGCGAAACCCAATTATCCCGGGCCATGTGGATATACTACAACAAACGGGCGCACTGGAGGTCCACCTGGAAGCCTAACGTGGAGGTGGTCTACTGCGACCCTAACCCGGACTTCTCGCGGCTAGACCAGCCTACTCGTTCCTCCATTAGCTATGGAGACACACGCCATTCACCTGTACCAATGTAGATGCACGACCAAGGGCGAGTTTTTAGCAGTGTCCTGCCAAATTCAACGAACAGAACTACCTGGAGTGCGATGTTACCGACACCGAAGGATTGGCAGCTGGCACCGCACATATTCCAAAAGCAACTGGTTACGTTGCAAGAACTCAGATCAGGCCACCACTAGGTGTCCACGGTAACCCTATCACACATCCACCGGCGCCGGATATCAAAATTGATATAAGACCTCTCTGCTAGCCATTCACTTGGTGTACGAACAACCATGCTACAAGCAATCAGAGCAAGGTCTTAACAGTCGGCTAGATACCAGGCATGTGGACGGAAAGACAGCACTCCGCCAAGAGCCAGTAACGTCAAAAGTCTCAGGCGCAGTGCTGTCACCACACAGGGAAACGCTTTTGATAACAATATCACACCTATGTACCAACAAGCAGAGTCACCGGCTTCTGTTGAGACCACAACAATAACCATTACAGAGCTTGAAGCGGGCGCTCGCTCTGCTACGGCTGTTCAGAAAGAGCTACTGGACCGGAAGGCGGTGGACGCCTCTTCTCAAACTCTTGTGGACCGCCGCCTGAAGGATCCTTGTGACAACGAGACTGAACTTCAAGGACGGGATCGGATCGCAACCCTTAAGGCACAGGTGTCAAACCTGAGCGATTGGCTTGAAGGTAGCGAGCGTACTAGTAAGCAAAAGGAGGCGAGGCTCTGCGCAAGTATCAAAACACTCCAGGCCAGACTTAATGAAAAGAACTCAGACCCTCCGCGAGCTCGAAGAAGAGCATGAGCAATTAAGCTGTTTCCATCCTCCGCGAGGCATTTAGCGCCAGAACTCCATATTAAAGGGCCTGCCTCGCCCCCTGGAACGTATCCTACGATGACAATAGTCATGACGATAGTCCTCAAGATCGAATTGGGACTACACCAGGCCTGTTCTTAAGCTGCTGGACTGCACTGTGGTTCCAACCAATGCGGCTGGCCGGGAACGTTAACGCAGCAAATGGTTCTCGTAGAACTGCACAGCGTTATCGACCTCTACGGCGCCCTTCTGGCATTCCAGCTGAAGGCAGCCCGACCCACTTGTCCCCTTCGGCAAGCGGGAGTGAGATGCCAGCACGCCGCGCAGCTAGCCCAAAAGCTGGGCTTCAATGCCACCAAGAAGACAGAGGACACACAGAGGGCAAAGCATCCCGCTACGCTCAGCGTGGAGAATGCAATAATACATCATGACCAAGCCGTGATCCTCGACAAGCTCGATACTATCGAGCAGCTAAATCAGACAGCTATCATGGACAAGCTCAACGCCGTCATGGTAAAGCTCGACACCATCGAACGGCTGCAGCTGATTGCGTGAGTGTTGCACCCTGTTGTTCGGCCTTGTGTATCCATACGCGCAGCGCAACACCGCCGTCACAGGCGCGAACGGCAGCCTAGGGTAAGAAAGACACGACCAGGGCGGCTCCAGGCAAGAAGGACCCGAAAGACGCGGTGCGGAATCTTATGAACGAGACTCCCGGCCAACCATTCTTCGAAGGCCAACTGGCACTCTTCATCAAGAGCTACGTTTTTGGATGGCGCTGCGGATGCTGTTGCCGCTCTGGACAAATTCTATATCCAGGATCCGACCTGGATTGAGCTGTCAGCTACGGTCTCTGCGTCCGGGCACTAGCCCCGACGCTCGGCATGGCAAGCTTATATTACTGTAAGGCTCTCACGCCAGCTCCACCAGCTAAAGGTATACGAAAGGTATACCATAACTGGAAATTTATGCGAACATCATGGCCGGTTCATTACATCCTTAACGCCTTCGCCTCGGGACCAGCGAACAGGCGCCTTATAAAATTCCCAAGGAAGCCTGGGAATGAATCAAGTCTCAACACAGACCACCGACCATCCTGTAACACCGCCATGCACGCCTAAGCCAGTTCAGACGCCTAAGCCAACTCAAGCTTCCAGGCCTCCTACCACCAAGGCCTCGCCCGAAGCTGCCGCCCAGAGTCTGTCTCGGAGACTACCATGGGTTGTTGTCTGTATCGTGGTGGTTGTGGTGCTGCTACTACTCGGCTTTCTCATTAGGCGCGCTTGGAACCGCCCGTTGCAGCCGCCTACGGTTGCAGAGCCACACAACAAGCCGAAGGAAAGGGTGTGGGAACACAACTAAGTTGCGGTAGGAGGGAGGAGGCTATTAGTGCTCGGGCAGTGTAGAGTAAGATCTGCTAAGCAGTCTACCTTACAGTACTCGCCAGGTCCACACGTTAAACGCAACCGGCGCGAATATCGGCGTTCTCGAGTACGTTATCCATGTACACCGCTGGTACATGACGGAACCCGTCTACAACCTTACGGATAACCTACTCAATCCTATGGCAACTGTTCGTTTTGTTATGCCAACTAATAGCGAGTATAGCGACCCAGCAGCCGGCCTTGCTGTATAAGGCTAGCTAGAATGGGTCGGCTAGTGGATCGAGACAAAGCTAGTCTCGTATAATAAGGCTGGCTGCCGGGTCGCTACACTCGCTATTGGTTGGCATAACGAAACGAATAGTTGCTATAGGATTGAGTAGGATATCCGTCAGGTTGTAGACGGGTTCCGTCATGTACCATGACCATCGACATCAGGCACGCGGCGTCAGACATGATATTTGGCGGCGAGATGTTCGCAAGGGTGGCCAGGCTTCCGCAACCGCATCAGAGGAAGCGTTTAGATGCTCACAACAGTGGCACGCGGTGCAAGCAGGGTGCAAGGCATGGCGGGCCCTATTTTCCGTTAACTTGGAGGATGCGGATAGACAAGACGAAGAAGACAACAAGACAGAGAATGTAGCAAGAGCAAAGATGATGTTCAGAACACTTCTGGATATCTCCGCCTGTCGTACGGTTCGCTGAGGGCTCCTGTACGTAGGCGGGAACAGGCGCTGTATCACTCAGCCATTCCATAGCCTACCAATCTGCAATTTTGGATGCTTCTGCACACATCTTAGACAACAAGGCGATGTCTCAGGCGTAGAAGGGATATTTTTCGAACGGGCGTTTCTTTGTTGTAGAGCAAACACGACTGGCGATATAGTAGCAAGTTGGTTCCACAACGGTTCAATCCACAAGCTTCAGCTAATTCAGACTCGTCACCAGCCCGTGTTTACAAAAATCCACCTCGTTACTCTCCGCTGTACCATTCAACCGTGAACACAATCACCGTAAGGAGATCGACGTTTCCTGCACAATGACCATGTGCCTCAACGCCGACGAACCCAGGGACCAGCCAGAGCAGCAGCAGGCTGAAGCAGAGCAGATAGAGGCGCTCCAACAGCGGCTCCAACAAGCGCAAGCTGAATATGCTACATGGAAAGCCAAGATAGCTGCGGTGGATTCACTAATAGCTGCCTTAGAAGCCAGAATAGCTGCATTGACAGCTGAGACTGCTGCGTCAAGACTAGAAATGGCGAAAGAGCTTGCTGCAAAGGCAGAAGAGGTTGCCGCATTACGGCAGGAAGAAGAGCGATTGGAGCGGGAACTGCGCCAGAAGGTCCGTCGGGGCTGGGTACCGTGGATGAGGTGGATCGTAGCTCACTTTTTCGCCGGGTTCTTCGTTGTTAAAGGAGCCACCAGTCGATGTTGGTCATGGGGAATGTTGCGTAGGGAGATCTGTCGCCACGATCTTGTGATCGCTGCGGTTTTACGTTTTGATGCGTTTCCTAGTCTTGTGGTCCCCTTGGTGACACGTGGAGAAACGAGGCAACCAAGGACGGTACGGGAAAGAACTTCAGGCTCGCGCTCGTTCATAACTCAATCTGATTGCTTCCAGCAGAACATTCGTCAGCATGTTGCTCGTTAGTTAATAGAAGGGTCAGACCAACCTTTTAGCTACAAAGCCCATATCCTCCACGCTGAGATTCCCTGATATACAGCGCGCTGCGCGCCGAACGCCACCCGTCACACTGCCGAGTGTATCTTTGGCCTGTCAATTTGCTCCAACTGAGGTTCCATGTCTTCCGCAACGCTTTACGACAAGAGATCCGCCACGTTCATAGGCATCTCATCGATCTGAGTCGAGTAGTACACTGTCCGAGTTAGCTTCTAGACGTAAGATCCGTGTTCATGCAGACTTACACTCAATATCCCTCAAAATCCTCACATCCTCGCTCGTCACGAAGTTGATCGCCACGCCCTTCCGTCCAAACCTCCCACTCCTACCAATCCTGTGAATGTAGTTCTCACGGTTGCTCGGCAAATCATAGTTGATCACCAAGCTGACCTGCTGCACATCAATCCCCCTAGCCCAGACATCCGTCGAGATCAACACCCTGCTGTTCCCCTGCCTGAAGTCCTGCATGATACTGTCCCGCTCTTTCTGCGGCATCTCGCCGTGCATGCTCGAGACCGTGAAGTTGGCCTCACGCATCTTGTCCGTCAGCCAATCGACCTTGCGGCGCGTGTTGCAGAAGATGACGGCTTGCGTGATGGTGAGCGTGTCGTAGAGGTCGCAGAGGGTGTCGAACTTCCACTCCTCCTTCTCGATGGCGATGAAGTACTGCTTCAAGCCTTCGAGAGTCAGCTCGTCTCGCTTGACGAGGATGCGCACGGGGTCCGTCATGAACTTGGTCGTCATATCCAGAACATCGTAGGGCAGAGTAGCAGACACCACAACCACCTGCGTCGCGGGCGGGAGGTACCGATAAACGTCGTAAATCTGCTCGCGGAAGCCGCGGTTGAGGAGCTCGTCGGCTTCGTCGAGGACTAGCATCTTGATGTGTCGGGTGCGCAGGTTGCGGCGCCGGATCATGTCGGCGACGCGGCCGGGGGTGCCGGATACGACGTGCTGGCCGTAGTCGAGTTTGCGGATGTCTTCGCCGACGTTGGTCCCGCCGATGCAGGCGTGGCACTGCACATTCATATAGTCGCCGAGTGCCATGATGACGGATTGGATTTGAGTTGCGAGTTCGCGGGTGGGAGAAAGTACGAGTGCTGACACGGACAGTCAGCCCAGAGCTTGCGATATGTACGGAATGATATCTGTACCTTGCGTCTCCCGCACCGCGGTGTCAATGACCTGGAGTATGCTGATGGAAAAGGTGGCCGTCTTGCCGGTACCGGACTGCGCCTGAGCTATGGTATCTCGTCCCTTGCAAATCTGGACGATGGCGCGAGACTGAACAGCGGAGGGCGACTCATATCCGTACGCGTAGATGCCTCGTAGAAGGTTCTCCTTCAGGTGCATGGCCTCAAAGGTCGGCGCAACGGAGACCTCTTTGGAGGTAGAGAACTCCATCCGCTCCTCTGCCTTTCTGTCGATGCCTTCCGCCATGGTGTCGCGTAGTTCTGTCGTAGTATGGTTTGTTGGATAGGGTGCTCGGTAGCTGTTGGTAAGCAGGTTGTATGGAAGGCCGTTGAAGAGTGACGGTGCAGGCTAAATGAGATGGCGGCGCGACACGGAAAATCTGGGGAGCGGCAAATTCCGTCACGGCTGAAGCGACCCTTAGCATCTTACGCGCAGTTCAACTGCAGCAGTGCAACCTCGACTACGAAGCCAGGACAGCAGGAGGTTCACCAAGAGCGCATACCGAAGCAACTTCGCATCTGTACCAGGAACGCGGCTACACTCGTTTGTTCCAACCTACCCTCCCGCCATGATCCTCGAGGATCAGAGAGTCCTTCATGAGGACCTCGAAAGGCTGGAACAAGCGATCGCGGACCGCATATTAGAAGACCCCAAGCACGTAGGTCCTCCTGCAACTACTCCATCACACGCGCAGGCGCTGACCAACACCCAGATACGAGGCCGCCTAAACCGCGACCACCAAATCTCCGGCTTCCTCTCACGCATACAAGATCAATCCAAGCGGCTCATCGACATCTACCAAGACAAAGATGGCTCGCGCACGCAAGAAATCCAAACCATATCCACCGGCGACCCCTTCGACGCCTTCTACAAGCAACTCCACAGCATCAAAGACTTCCACCGGCGATATCCCAACGAGCCCGTCGAGAATCTCGAGCGCGCCTATAAGCGACGCGCCCCCGGCGACGACGGACCCGCGCCCCCAGACATCGACAACATGTTCACGGGGGAAGAGGGCTACGGGCGATTTTTCGATTTGACAATCCCGCACGAGGATTACCTGAACCTGCCCGGCGTGAAAGGCGCGCGACGCCTCACGTACCTGCAGTATCTAGACACGTTCGACACCTTTGCGCCGCCACAGTGCCCGGTCCGACGTCCTGACAAGATGACAGATGCGTACTTCCGATACGTCGGCGGCTTGGCGGACTATCTTGAGTCGTTTATGCGGCGGACACGGCCGTTGGAGGATCTGGACAAATTCTTCGCAAGCCTGGATGCCGAGTTCGATGCGGCATGGGAGAGGGATGAGGTTCCAGGGTGGACGGCTGAGGCGCCGCAGAAGTCTGGACCGGCTGCACCGGTAACGGAAGGCGAGGGCGCGGGCATCTGGTGTCCGGACTGCCAGAAAGAATACTCGAACGAAAATGTCTATAAGCACCACCTCTCTAGCAAGAAGCACAAGAAGGCCGCCGAAGCGCGCGCGGCGAGCGGCGAACAAGCCAGCAACGGCGCATCAAACGGTGTAGCCAGCAAACAAGCCGCGATTGCGAACCGCTTAAAAGAGCGCGCCGTCGCGGAGCGCGAATTCCGCATCCGCAAACTCGCCTCCGCGATGCAGACCGAGCGCTCCGACACGCGCGTCAACGTGGAACGCAAAGCCGGCATGACGGATCGAGAACGGCAACAAGAGCTCGCAGCGCTCTACGCCGAGACCTCTGAGCCTGCAGGCGGCAAGCGCGACGACGAGTCCGACTCGGACGGCGAAGAGAAGATCGACAACCCGCTCAAGCTGCCGCTCGCGTGGGACGGCAAGCCGATCCCCTTCTGGCTGTACAAGCTGCACGGGCTAGGGGTCGAGTTTCCATGCGAGATCTGCGGCGGGCATGTGTACATGGGGCGGAGGGCGTTCGACAAGCATTTCAACGAGGCGAAGCATATTTACGGATTGAAGTGTCTCGGGATCACGAACACGAGGCTGTTCAATGAGATTACCGGGATTGAGGATGCGCTCAAGTTGTGGGATAAGCTACAGAGGGATAAGAAGCAGGAGAAGGCGGGGACGGAGAACATTATCCAGATGGAGGATGGAGATGGCAATGTTATGCCGGAGAAGGTGTATTATGATCTGCAGAAGCAGGGTTTGCTTTGAGAGGTCGAGGGGTAGATGTCGGGAAAAGGAAGACCTTCACATTAGGTGCTGCTGGGATGATTGACATCCCACTAAGAAGACCTGGAAGGGGATAGAAGGAGGCGCGCTGCAATTGCACAGCGTACCATTCGACGAGCAAAACCATCAGAGCAGACCTCAGGCACCTTGTTGAGGCAAATTTCGAGTGTGTCCCCAAGCCTGATAGGACCTAAGAATCATTGCAAGCGAACCTTGAGACTGCAGCGAGTGACAACGGGATCTTACCTACCTAACGGTGTTGTTACATGGGTCGGCTCTGTGCAATCTGACAGCCCTCCCTGCTTTCCGCTGTGAAGCGAACCACTCAGGCAGTGTGTTGAGTCGATGTAATTATGCTATTGGTTCTGTGCAGCCGGGAGGGCTAGCAGCCCATACAGAGCTGACCTTGGTATCTATACCTAAACTATTAGGCTTAGGTAGTTACATCTACGACTCTCATGGTTCCTGCTAACACTGCACTGAAATGAGTCACACGGTACTCGAAGCATATCGTGAAGTGACCCGTTACAGGAGTCATCAATGCGTTCGATGGGCGGTCTGTAGTAACGCATGCCAGGCAATGGTAATTCCACGCCTTGTCAGGCCAAATCCAGTTGGCAGCTTTGGACTAAGAAAGCCTGAGCTATCAGGTTGTGGGGCTTGCGATGACAGGTCGCCACACTCCTTACAGTGACACGAAGAGAGGTCTTTGGAGACCATGGAGAGTTTTTCGGCGACTAAAACGCAGAGAAAGCATCCCTTGAGTGAATGATGCCGGCCCCAACTGACTCACAATCCAGTGCCTCGGGTTGAAAACACAGTCATCAGCGTGCCGGACCAAGGCCGTCGGGCTTGCCGATCCGCATTCGGGAGGCCGTTGCAGAGCTTATTGGATACAGCTGCTGAAACGTAGGAAACTGCCTTGTCGTTATGAACTTCGTCAATTACGCTGATGTCCGGACGGTCGTGCTGCAGGACGCCGGTGATGACTCTTCAGACGCCGCGAGGAGCAATGCAGCTTGTACAAGTTGTCATGGCATTGAATAAAGGCGCCCTTGCTGTTGCTCGAAAATGAGAGATAACGGCAGCATCGCGGTTCACGGCACGGACTTTGGGCGGACTTAGCGGACCTTTTTCGCGCGTCTGCTCTCTAAGAAGGGCTGTTATTCGGCCAAATAAACTCCATTGACGTCTGCTTACACCCTCGCTATCAATTTCTGTTTCTTGCTCTTCACCTTCTCTCTCAGCCTTTTCCCTTCATTGTGTGGTGCGCCTTCGTTCTCTTTCCTTTCCGTCGCCAAACGTACGAAGCAATTCCCGGTATCGACTTCGTCCCACCAAAACCCAGCCTCAACGGCGCACGGTACTTTTCAGATGGATCCCGACGCGCCCCACAAGTTTCCTGAAGAGCGCGAAGGACTACCGGCTGGCCATCTGCACGAAAAAGTCGAAGATGCGACAACCACAGGCCACTCTCAGGTCGACAACATCGCGGACCTAGAAGAGCGCCAACAACATGGAGGCTACCAAGCCCCGGAATCCAGTACCGAAGGCTACAGCGCCATTCGCGGAGGCGTCAACGTGGAGCGTGCAGAGGCCAGCTTTGCGGAACTCAACAGAGAGCTCTCGCGGACGAGCTCGCATATGCGCAGCTTGTCGCGGACGCAGAGCAGACGGAGTATCGCCAGAGCTGCTGCCCCGGACGTGGAGAAAGCAGAGTCGGATGAGAGCACGGAGGAGCAATTTGACCTCGAGCGCACCTTGAGGGGCAACAGAGATGAAGAGGAGGCGGCAGGTATCAAAAGTAAGAGAATTGGTGTCATCTGGGACGAACTTACCGTTAGCGGGATCGGTGGCGTCAAGAACTATGTCAAGACGTTTCCGATGGCCTTTGTGTCTTTCTTCAACGTGGTGGAGACTGCGATGAACATCTTTGGGGTGGGAAAGAAGGGTAAAGAGTTTGACATCTTGAAGGATTTCCGTGGCGTGACGAAGCCTGGTGAGATGGTGCTGGTGCTGGGAAAACCGGGCAGCGGGTGCACGACCTTTCTTAAGGTCATCAGCAACCAGCGCTTTGGGTACACCAAGGTCGACGGAGAAGTTCTTTATGGCCCTTTCGACAGTGCTTTTTTTGAGAAACGGTACCGTGGGGAGGCTGGTAAGTACTCCATCAATAGTCTAAAAATTTGCGGTTCTTCGACTTGTGGACGCTGACATACGGATGCTTTGCGCAGTCTACAATCAAGAGGACGATGTTCACCATCCTACGCTCACTGTAGGACAGACGCTTGACTTTGCATTAGAGACAAAGGTCCCCGGCAAGCGACCGGCTGGTCTATCAAGACATGATTTCAAGGACAAAGTAGTCGACATGCTGCTGAAGATGTTCAACATCGAGCACACGAAGAACACGATTGTCGGCAACCCTTTTGTGAGGGGCGTGTCAGGAGGCGAACGCAAGGTACATCTCTCATCGTCGGTCCTAAACTTTACCGCTCTTTGGTCAATATTGGATTAGAGAAGCTCCCCATGTACTCAAGCAGACAACTAACCAAAGGACTTCAGCGCGTATCTATTGCCGAGATGATGGTGACGGGTGCGTCAGTCTGTTCCTGGGACAACACCACTCGCGGCCTTGACGCGTCGACCGCTCTGGACTATGCCAAATCTCTGCGCGTTATCACCAACATCTACCAAACCACCACTTTCGTTTCCTTGTACCAGGCCTCCGAGTCGATCTACAGGCAGTTCGACAAGGTCATGGTCATCGACGAAGGCCGCCAAGTCTATTATGGACCTGCAAAGGAAGCGCGTGCCTACTTTGAGGGGCTGGGCTTTCTCGAGAAACCGCGACAGACAACACCAGACTATTTGACTGGCTGCACAGATGCATTTGAACGAGAGTATAAGCCAGGCCGAAGCGCGGAGAACGCGCCGCATGATCCGGATTCGCTTGTGGAGGCTTTCAAGAGGTCTCCCTATTCGTCCCGACTGGAGCAGGAAATGGTGGAGTATCGCCAGAGCATTGCCGAAGAGAAGCACATCTACGAGAACTTCCAGATTGCTGTGAAGGAAAGCAAGAGGCACGCTTCCAAGAAATCCGTCTATTCGATACCTTTCTACCTCCAAATTTGGGCACTCATGAAGCGCCAGTTCCTGCTGAAGTGGCAAGACAAGTTCTCTCTCGTCGTCTCCTGGATAACTTCTATCGTCATCGCCATCATTACAGGTACCGTTTGGCTCAATCAACCCCGGTCCAGCGCTGGTGCATTCACTCGCGGTGGTGTCCTCTTCATTGCTCTGCTCTTCAATGCTTTCCAGGCGTTCGGCGAACTGGCGTCCACCATGTTGGGCCGACCAATCATCAACAAACATCGCGCCTACACGTTTCATCGACCGTCCGCACTATGGTTTGCGCAGATCATCATCGATCTGGTGTTTTCAGCTGCTCAGATACTCGTCTTCAGTATCATCGTGTATTTCATGTGTGGCCTGGTGCGCGACGCAGGAGCCTTCTTCATCTTCGTGCTGATGATTGTTTCGACTTACCTTGCGATGACATTGTTCTTCCGTACCGTGGGGTGTCTCTGCCCAGACTTTGATGTGGCTATTCGGTAAGCAATATCTGTTTCCTAGCGCTCCGCATTTCACGTGAAGTTGCGATCGATGTGGCGCTGCAGTCACGTACCAGTTCGGTGCTCACATGCATCGATCACCTGAGATGATCTATCGGTAGAAAGTGTGTTCGAGCGTCTCAGCTCCAATCTCTCTAACGATCAGCATCGGACAATTTCAGCTCGGCCGCAGCTCAACCACCAATACGGCAGAGTACTTTCTGAACAAGATATCGAGTTTGCTAACCGTTCACTAGCTTGGCTGCTACAATCATTACCTTCTTCGTACTCACGTCAGGCTACCTTATTCAGTACCAATCCGAACAAGTCTGGCTTCGCTGGATCTTTTGGATCAACGCCCTTGGTTTGGGATTCTCTGCGATGATGATGAACGAGTTCGGCAGGATCGATTTGGTTTGCACCGCGGAGTCATTGATCCCGTCAGGCCCAGGGTACACTGACCTCAACTATCAAACATGCACCCTGCCTGGTAGCGTTCCCGGCTCAAACGTCGTTTCCGGAAGCGATTATGTACGAATAGCATTCCAGTACGCTACCGGTGACCTGTGGCGGAACTGGGGCATCATCATCGCTTTGATCGTTGCCTTCCTGATCGCCAACGCCGTGCTCGGCGAGTACATCAAGTGGGGCGCTGGAGGCAAGACGGTGACGTTGTTCGCCAAAGAAAACAAGGAGCTCAAGGAGCTGAACATGAAGCAGCGCCAAAAACGAGACCAGAGGCATCGTAAAGAAGGCCAGGCAAATGAAGAAGACGGCCTCAATATCGCTTCTAAGGCCGTACTTACTTGGGAGGACATTTGTTACGACGTTCCAGTGCCGTCAGGCCAACTGAGGTTGCTGAACAACATCTACGGTTACGTCAAACCTGGCCAGCTGACAGCTCTCATGGGCGCTTCCGGAGCCGGTAAAACCACGCTACTCGACGTGCTTGCCGCTCGTAAGAACATTGGTGTCATCACTGGTGACAAGCTAGTCGACGGGAAAGCGCCTGGTATCGCGTTTCAGAGAGGCACTTCATATGCGGAGCAGCTCGATGTCCATGAACCTGCTCAAACTGTGCGTGAGGCACTGCGCTTCTCCGCCGACTTGCGCCAACCGTACGAAACACCTCAGGAGGAGAAATACGCGTACGTGGAAGAGATCATCTCTCTACTGGAGATGGAAGACATTGCGGACGCCATCATTGGTGAACCTGAAAGTGGCTTAGCAGTCGAACAACGCAAGGTACGTTCTTGTCTTACTATTCATGTGTGTTATCCACCATTAGTGGAAGGCCTTTTTCGTTCCACCTTCACCACGCAAATCTCATTCTTATCAATCCTCGTTACGGTGTTCGTTCATTCTTCACGCTCAGACATCATGTTCGCCACTAGCTGCTCTCGACCTTCATTCGAACTTTGCCATCCAAACATCATATCCACCTTTCACCGTTCTTATCTTGCATTGAGTTCTCACTGCTCATGCGTTATATTCGCCGCTAGCGGAGGGTTCCATACATTTAAGCAGCATACTAACCTAGTCAACAGCGCGTAACTATTGGAGTCGAGTTGGCTGCTAAACCAGAGCTTCTGCTGTTCCTTGACGAGCCCACCAGTGGTCTCGACAGCCAGAGCGCCTTCAACATCGTCCGCTTCCTTCGCAAGCTCGCCGCTGCTGGACAGGCTATCCTCTGCACCATTCATCAACCCAATTCCGCGCTCTTCGAGTCGTTTGACAGGCTACTGCTTCTGCAACGAGGCGGCCGCTGCGTATACTTCGGTGATATCGGCAAGGACGCGCATGTGCTGCTTGACTACTACCACCGTCATGGCGCCGACTGTCCTCCAGATGCCAACCCGGCCGAATGGATGCTCGATGCCATTGGCGCTGGTCAAGCACCCCGTATTGGCAAGCGTGACTGGGCCGACGTCTGGACCGACTCGGATGAGTTCGCGGCTATCAAGGAAGAGATTGTGGAGATCAAGCGCCGCCGAATCGAAGAGGTTGGGAACCAGCCGCCAGCCATTCAGAAGGAGTATGCCACTCCTCTGTGGCACCAGATCAAGATGGTCAACAAACGCGCTCAGCTGTCGTTCTGGCGGACGCCCAATTACGGATTCACCAGGCTCTTCAACCACGTCATCATTGCTCTGCTTACCGGTCTCATGTATCTTCAACTGGACGACTCGCGCACTTCTCTGCAGTATCGTGTCTTTATCATCTTCCAGGTAAGGCATATTGACATTTCTTTGAGAATGCTGCCTTGCAGGTGCTAATCCAGATAGGTTACCGTGCTCCCGGCACTGATCCTCGCACAAGTTGAGCCGAAGTACGCCATCGCCCGCATGATATCGTACCGCGAGCAAGCAGCGAAGGCGTACAAGACCCTTCCATTCGCACTGTCCATGGTCCTAGCCGAGATGCCCTACAGCATTCTCTGCGCTGTCGGGTTCTTCCTTCCGCTCTACTACATTCCAGGTTTCAATCCTTCCACTAGCAGGGCCGGCTATCAGTTCTTTATAGTGCTCATCACGGAGATCTTCTCGGTCACCTTGGGTCAGATGATCGCGGCGCTGACGCCATCGCCTTTCATCAGCTCGCTGGTGAATCCTTTTATTATCGTTGTATTCGCTCTGATGTGTGGCGTTACCGTCCCATATCCATCCATGCCCTCATTCTGGAGAGTGTGGCTATATGAGCTAGACCCCTTTACCCGCTTGATCGGCGGTATGGTGGTGACTGAGCTGCATGAGCTACCTGTCCAGTGTACGCCGGGTGAACTCAACAGTTTCACGGCACCTCCAGGTCAAGACTGCGGCACATACATGTCCGACTTCTTCGCGAATGGCGGCCCCGGGTACTTGATCAACAACGTGACCGATGTGTGCGAATACTGCGCGTTCGCCGTTGGTGATCAGTTCTACGAGCCGCTTGGGTACAGCTTCGATTATAGGTGGAGGGACCTGGGCATCTTCGCGGCCTTTATTGGCAGCAACTTGATTTTGCTGTTCATCGCTGTAAGTTTTTACATTCCGCGAACCTGGGTGTTCTCTACTGACATTGCCAAGGCCCGATATCTAAACTTCAACCGCCGCTAGAACTTCGTTTGCTTTCTGTGTCCTATTTGCTACTTCTAAGAGTAATAGACGGGGCAGAAGGGGATACATCTTGACGGATCTGAAGCGTTCGGAAAAGCACGTTTGCAGCATTCTAGAAGCTGATGGCATAGCATGGAGAGGCGTTGGTGAAGTACCTTAATTTGTCTCTGAGTGCAAGCAGCATTGACGCCGTATTGCTGTTGTCATAGCAATAATGACTCCCGTGTCATTCGCAATCACTCGCGATCAAGCTGCCTTGAGTCACGTCAAGCAAACTGTGTCCTTTGATCAACCTGTTGATTCTAATATCCTACTCCACACCCTTCATTCTCATGAAAAAGCTCCTGATCTTAGTTGCTGCAACTCGGATCTAGATCACTCACAAGTTTGTCATCATGGCGCCTCAAGCCAAAGTCTCCACATACATCGAAAGCGAAGGCCAGCCTTCTCCACTTGGCGACATTCATGAAGCGACCAAGCCCTTTTTCGAGGTCCCTACAACCTCCACGACACCTACTAAGGTCGGCATATCGTTTGGCAATACGCCCATCTACATCACTCCACGCACTACAACCCACCACGGGCCAACTCTCTCCGCCGAAGCGCGAGAGTACACCACCAGCCGTCCACTGAAGAAGCTAGACCACGACCGTTTCCCTACGCCCGCCTCTCTGGTTCTAGAGACTCGCCGCAGCCCAAGATCGCACACCACCGCGCCATTTTCTCCAGTTGGCGTTGTGCCCAGGCGTGAATTACCGGGCTTCGTTCTTTCACACTCACACAATGACGGCCCATCAACACTCTTGACGAAATCGTCAGCTGCATCTGTCACTCCCGTAGCAACTTCGCACTCAGTGCTGGATGATGGCATGCCTGACCTTCCGCCGCTCCCAACGCCGGTCGTGGGGATCTTGATTATCCTCACCATCTTCGGCTTCGTTGCGGCCATTATCGCCTACCTCTTGACATTTCCTCCGCCGCGAGAAGGTTACTTCAGGCGCGTGAAGCGGAAGCTTCTAGGGCACCGAAGGACAGCATCCGCGTACGAACTGCAGCGACTGCGCTCGAACGATAGGGACAACACCTACTATAGTAGCGGCGATGACGACGACGGCGAGTACTACTCAAGAGTCAGTCCGTCAACCGCCACGTCAACCGCCTATTTCTCACCTCACACGCCGGCGTCGCCCTTCCTTCACACACGCGCTCCGCCTCCGCCAACTGAAGCAGAGTGGCTCGCTCGCCGTCGTGCCTTTGACACAGATGAGGAGGCACTCATTCCGACGACGCTGGGGAGACACTCTGGTGGCTTGCTTTCTCCTCTCCTAGCCGCACCGACACCGAGATCACCATGGTCGCCAGGTCCCGATTCAGGCCGTCCAACCCTAGGACGCAGCAAGAGTTCCTCCAGCACAGTTTCTCCCGCTCCAGAAATGCAAAGCGGGATCAGAAACCGGAGAAGGCGCCCAGAAATCAAGAGCTGGCTCTCTAGTATCGATGGCGTGGTTGATAGAGCTATAGGATCAGCAGCGAGGTATCTGAGCGATGACAATGAAGAGCAAGGGGAGTTTCGGTTACCTGTGACGCAGTGAAGGAGGGTAGGCACAGCAGGGAAGTGGTTCCGGTCTGATTCGAGTAACTTTCTCTGTCTATTGGTCTACATACATACATACAACCCCAATCCCGTCCAACTCAAACATACTTCGCCCAGCAATGTCCAGACCGTGCTCGCTTTCAAACGCCCGACCCAGCCCCTACGTATCCAACGCTAGAAAAACCAACCCAGCTTTTCTCCTGTAACTCCCACAGTGCTTTCTCCAAACGTCGCCCAAATCGCAATATACAAGAAGCGAAACCCCCTCTACTCCCGCCCTCTATACCTTCCTTACCCACCCTACGCACCCCCCCACCTCCCCCTCAGCCCCTCAACCCATCGCCTATACAGCACGTCCGCCAGCGTACTCACGTGCTCCAGTCCCGGCACCACCCCCTGCCCGGGCATTCTAGCCTCCTCTCCGCCGTCATTCTTCCCTTCGCCGCCGCCGAAACCACCAGTCGGACCCACGAACGCAGACTGCCGCCGCCGATGGCTCTTGAGATGCGGATTGTTCTGCGCAAGCACCAGTTTCTGCTTCGTCGGGCTGGACGTCGGCGTCGACGTTTGGCTCTCCTGCTCCCCCGTAGCCCACTCCGCCGAAGGACTCAGCACCGGCACCGCCGGGTTCTTGATCGGCGGAGCCGCCAGACCCAACGCAGCAGCTAACTTCGGCTCCCCCTTGCACCGCTCTACCACCGCCTTGAGCAGCAGGAGCTCCCCCTCCGGGTCGACCCGGTCGAGCACGCTCCATGCGTGTGCGACGGCTGCGAGGGCTTCGCGTTTCCGCGCCGTCGCTGTCGCGGCATACGTCTCCTGGAGGGCGGGCTCGATGGCTTTGGCGTAGGCTTTGCGGCCCAGGAGGGCTTCTTTCGTGATGCGGGTTACTGTGCCCGTAAAGTCTTGAGGATGGGCGGAAGGTGTGGAGGGGTTGGGTGGCTGAGATGGGGCGGGAGGGGCGTGGTTGGTGGAGTCGTGGAGGAGAGAGGGGGTTGTCGAGGGTTTGCGGGAGGGTGAGAGAGCGGGTGCTGGCTCTGCTGCTATCGGGGAGTTTTCTTTCTCGGCGGAGACGCGGCGGAATAGGCGGGTCGTGGATGTGCCGTTGCCGAAGGACATGTCGAGGCCTAGGGGCTGCTTGGTCGCCTGTCCGCTTACTCGCCGGGACGTCGGCGTCTGTGACGATGGGACCCGGCGTGCGGTTGGTGTTGCTGATGAAGGGACTCGGCGAGCTGTCGGTGTTGCGCCTGAGGGCGTGCGGATGGCGGTGTTGGCTCCTGAGGAGCGCCGCCGGTCGGGCGTGTTGCGGACTTTGCGGATGTTGCTCATGTTTGGGGCTGGGGACATGGTGCCTAGAGGTGTGTCGTTCAGATCGAGGCGCTCCATGAGGGTTTCTGGGTTTATGTCCCAGTCATTGGAGGGGATGCGGGTGAGCTTGCGCCGCTTGGAGGTATGACGAGTTGGTGCAATGGTCGCGGGCTTGATGGTGTCGAAGACCCATTCTTCCTTCTCTTCTGTGGGGGTGATGTCTTGCCTGTTGCTCCGTTAGAATACAACGTACGTAGGAGCGGTTCTTTGATACTGACAATGTCTCCTCGTAGTACTTCGGGTAAGCCTCCCTCTCTTCCCGCGCATCGAACTGCTGCCTCCGTTCAATGAGTTCCCGCAGCGCCTCCACCTTTCCAGCCCGCTGGATGAAACGGTGCCGCAGCAGCTCTTCCGCCGTAGCCCTCCGATCGGGGTCCTTGATCAAGCATTGTGCCACGAAGTCCCTGAACTCTTTGCTGAAGCGGTTCGCATCCAGCCGCGGCGCCGGTTGCTTCGGTATCAGGAACAGCACCTTCATCGGATGCGTGCTCGCATTTGGCGGCTCGCCGTTCGCCATCTCCATCGCCGTTATTCCCAGCGACCAGATGTCCGCTTTGAAGTCGTAGCCGGCCTCCTGGATAACTTCCGGCGCCATCCAGAAGGGTGTCCCCACGAAGGTCATCCGCTGGGACTTGATGTTCGTCAACTGCGCAGCTACGCCAAAGTCTGCGATCTTTACTTTTCCTTTGTTCGAGAGGAGCACGTTGGCGGCTTTGATGTCGCGGTGGATTTTGCCCGTCTGGTGGAGATAATCGAGGCCGAGGAGGAGCTCGCGCATGATGATGGCTATCTGGGCTTCGGTAAAAGGACCAGGTTTGAGCTGATATTGTCAGCATATTGGGATCCGACAGTGATGGGCGGGAATGTCGTACTAGATCCAGACATGACCCTCCCCCTAGGTACTCCATCACTATCCATAGCTTGACGCCGCGAACGAAGCTTGTCTTGTACTGCGTGACGAAGGGACTTGCGCATGTGCTCAGCAATGCAATCTCCTGCTGTATCTCTCGGATGTCGTCGTCGCCGCCCTCGAGGTCGATCTAGAGTGCGTGAGTATAGAGAATGCAGCTGGTTGATATGGTTGAAGCGTACATGCTTGATGGCCACCATCTCGCCTGTAGACTTCTCAATAGCTTTGTAAACCACTCCGAAGCTTCCACCTGCGCCATCGATCAGCATAATTCCCCAGTTCCTGTCGTTGAGGCCACATACTCCCCAGCTCCTCTAGCACCTGATAGTTGTCCGCCATGGCCCCCGTCTACAGTCGACGCAACTGGCAAGAAAAGCGCACCACAACACTGCAAGCCTCGGTCAGGTGCCAGGATGAAATGCGCGGTAAGGACTGGGCTGGAGATACAAAAGCGTGCGACTAGGAATACTGCAGGTGGTCTCAAAAGCGGTCATGCCCAAGGGGTGCTCGTGGCTGGGGTTTTGTTCGATGCGCAGGTTGACGATAGGCGGGCGTAAACGGCCAAGAAAGTCGATAGTAGACACGGCAACGGCGGATCAGCGCAAGCCACGTCGTCGGTCTGTGGGCTGCGGACTCCTGACACGCTGGTTCGATGCACAGTAACTCAGTCACAGTAATTATTGGAGTGTGATGGTCTTCTCATTTCATATGCTATGACACAAGACCCTTCTCAATCCACAAAGAGTTCGAGTGCTGTACAGCAGCGCCTGAGATGCACCATAGCGGCACAACGCAACCGTACCTGCATTAGACTGGGAGCCTTAGAACTTCCCTGCCTTAGACCTACGCTCTATCCAGTGGCTTCGTTATGCTACCCGCTAAAACCTTTGAGGCCGTCACCAGACCCGGATGGAGCTCCGAAGAGCGCCACTTGTCTCTACGGCCACTGTCACGTCCGAGTCTGGACTCCTCTACCTTTCTCCCGGGCCCGCCTCAGGCCGTCCCACCAGTGTATCAGATGCTGCGATCCTGTGCGGTCTCATGCGGGTCATCTTCCGGGTCGTGCTTTGTTTGTTATTACATTGCCTTTGTCGGTTTAGCGGGCTCGGCTGACGCGGGGCATCGCGTGTCGGGGCCGCGCTCATGGGAATCTGGTGTTACAGGGGGCTTTTGAATATCATCTGGAGCCCGGTTGAAGACACTGAAGAATCTGACAGCCGTTGCTTTTTGGAGACATCAGTTTCTCTCCGCGCTGCTGATCCAATTGCTCTATCTCCAATCCGAAAAGGGCACCAGTACGGCCATTTGAATGGCTCGCAAGCATCCTGACTTCTTTCAAGACCTGCTTGAAAAGTTCGCCTGCAAGATGACAGCCTGCTATCTTGCAGAGATTTGCATGATGTTGAGAGGCATAACGAGCTTGATTCGCCGTCCCTTCTCGGTCGCTGGAGATACCTTGATGCCTTTGTATGGGACATGATGCCCTGTATCTACGCCTACCAGACAAATATCCACTATGGAGACGGAGTGAAGCTTGATTGAACAAACCGATCCGGGAATGCTGCAATCATTATGACCTACCATTCATGTCTTCAAGAAGTCCATCAGGCACCGGAGCTGCTCCACTTCTGTAACTCGTGTCCAGCAGGCCTCGGTGCATAAGCCTGGGATGATCCTCGGTTGTTGTCAGGTACCATCTTGAGATGCTGCACATGCAGGGCGCCGTCGGAGATTGCGCAACTGTGTGGTTCCATAACACGTCGGGATACTGGCACCGATTCTGTGTATCTGCGGGGCAGTGCAAAACATCGCGACAGAGCTCCTCAGCAGCAGCTCGCAACAACATGAGAGCAACTGGCAGCTGATGAAGGTCCATCGCAGAGCAGCAGGCCGAGACGTGGAGATACTGGGCGCTGCCCTAGCCGTTTGTTGCGTGTCCTCGATCTCCTCCCGCCTCCCCATTCGCTGGAGAAGCTGGCGCCGATCCAGGGTCTTTCAACGGCTCATCAGCTGTGCCCGCAACCTCAGGCTCACCACAACAAATTTCCTGTCACTCCTATCGAGCCATGATATGAACGGGCTTTCCTTCTTTGGAGGAGCAGACTCAATGGACCGTAACGCTTCAGCAAAGACACAGGCGGCGCGACGCCCCTCTGTTGCGCTGATTGATCGCGCAGCGATCCTAACATCAGGGGGCCCAAACAGCCCCATTATGCCGCCGCCAGCAGAGCACATTGGCAGCCCGACGAGCCCAAGACGGTCAGAAGACTTTCCACGGCCTCAGACTGGACAGATGCCTCCCCATGGCCGCTCCATGTCCCTCGCCGACGTCGCACGCCAAGCCAAACGGCTCTCCCTCAACTTCCCCATACAACCCGCCCCCGGCAGCCCTACACGAAGATCGCGACCAGTGTCCTGGGTGGAAAGTCCTATCCCGACTCCCGATACCGCACAATCACCGACACGAGAGGGCAACTTCCTCACCGCGCTTGCAGCGCAGGAGCGGCGGGTGCTGGAGCTCAAAGACGAGCTAAAACAAGCGGAGCAAGAGCTGGAGAAGCTTAAGAAACAGTGGGCGAACCACGAAGTCCTGCGGAAGCGCAATGATGTGCGGCGGGTGCAGCAACTGCAGCCCCTGAATACTTCTTTCGCGAGTCTGGCCACTTTCCATGAGGATGTCGATGGCTCGGACGCGTGGCTGCAGAAGGAGATGGACAGGCGGAAAGCGCTGCTATCCGGGGCGAAGACTTCGCAAAGGAAGGTCTTCAGTGGATCGCGCCACACACGCGCCCTGTCTCTACTATCGCCGGACAAGGAGTCCTTCGGCGCACCGACCTCGCAACCCGGCGAAGCCCGCAGACCAGAAGACCGCTTCAAAAGACCCAGCCTTCTCCCCCGGGCCTCAACAACGAGCGACCTCTCAACACACATCGCCGACGCCCCCGCAGCCGATCCCTTGGACATGGGCGCAATGCAGCGAGACGCCCTGCTACGTACCGGGAAGCAAATGGCCTCAGAGTTCAAGGACGGGCTGTGGATGTTCATCGAAGACCTACGGCAAGCCACAATCGGCGACGAGGCCGTGCAAGGCACACAGCCACGAGCCGGGCAAACCCCTCACGGCGGGCAGAGACAAGTGCCTCGACGGCAGAGCGACAAAACGGGCCTCAAAGGAGCCGCTCCAGCGCCCCCGCCAGTCCGTCGCACAACCAGCAGCAACGCAGCCGCCACAGCCAGAAACCCTTCTCCGACAAAGGCAAGCGCCGACACCTCCGCCCTCATCGACATCGGCGGCTCCTTCTGGAAAGAGCACGGCCTCGACGAGCCGCGCTCCAGCAAAGCGGTCAGAGTCAGCAAGCCGCCAAAGTCGCCGCAGAAACCTTCCCGAATGCCCTTGCGTCAGCCTCCTCCAAGTCAGAGGACGCCGCAGAAAGCTGGCGAGGACGAGGACAGCTGGGATGTCTGGGACACGCCGACCGATAAGCCCACCACGGCATCCAACAACAGCAGCAGTAACGAGTCCTCCGACGGCCGGGCGTCGCCGTCCTCGGGACATAGCAGCAGCGGCTCGACGGATGTCACGACGCCGGGCCCTGTGTCGGCGTCGGCGGGGCAGCACCCTGCTGTCGCGGCAGCGAATCGGGATTCGATTCCGTGGCCGGCGCTTGTTAAGCTCAGTCCGAGTAATCTGAAGCGCACGGCGAGCCATTTGATGAGTCAGTGGGAGAATAGTTTGACGCCGCCGCCTGCTGAGGGGAGGGGGGAGGGGCGGGATTATCTGACGGGATCGCCCTCCGTTGGGAAGGGCGGCAAGTGAGTGCAACAAAGCGGTGGTCGGGTACGGATGTGATGTGAAATGGAGATCTACGATGGCGTGTGCTGTGTCAGCGACGAGGGATTTGGCGCGGGGGCAGGCGTGAATTGTTGTCGTTATCACCACTATCTATTTGGACATATGCGGAGTTTGTTGCTCTGTAAGAACTGGAAATCTCGGATGTTCGGTCGGGGCGCCTTTTCCCGCAGAAAGGCTAACGTCATGAAGCGTTCTACGGAAGGAGACAAGCTCTACGGTATATAAAAGCATACAGCAGCCGTTCCATCATTGTCCCAGTCGCGAGGGCTTCGCGATGCTCGTCGAACATCTTTGACAGGCCCATGAGTTCACCTTGCTCGTAGAAGTCACCATGACTTCGAAGCTTTCTTTTAGTCTTGCACCTGACCGAAGGCTTGGTTCAAGCAGTTTACAGCGGCTACGAGTGTCTGATGTAGGTCTGTCGGCGCTGTCTTGAGGTGTCCACCCTCTTCGGTCCTAGGCCCCCCTTCCCAGACTATGAGAGGTGAAATTGCACGCGGCCGCATCTCTTTTCTTCGCCTGCGCTGTTGTGCTGGCGCCCGCCATGGTCGACGCGGGTCGCTTTTCTCAACCATTCCCACTGCGCTGGAGCTCACTACGCTCCGGAACCTTTTGCTGTTCGCATCGTCGCCATCATGTCCGTCACCGCTGTCCGCCAGTTTATTCGTTTTTCTTGATCTGTGGCAGTGCTCTGGCGGCCCTCATGGGCTTAGCAGTTTCAACTGTCGCAGCTATAGTTTCGCCGGCTCTCTCGCGGCCGCGTTTTGGTGATGATGGATTCACGCGTCGTTCTACGTGGGTGCTACCATTGCCGTGTTTGGATGTGGAGCCTGTGTACTTTTCAGAGCTCTCCCGGCAGCGGGCGAGAAACCATCCTGTAACCAGACGGGCGCATAAGATTGGACACCGAGCAGAACAAGCTTGCGGATAAAAGGACTACAAGGCAGGAGTGGCTACGCCTTGAATCGCAAGAGCTTAGAGCCGAGAGTGGATAGACCCTAGACAACTCATGGGATGTACCAACAGTGGTGCACCACATATTGGATCTTGAAGTCGTGTGAGTTTGAGTCCGTTCCTTACTGGGTCGAGACACATTGTACCAACCCTACAGGTCTTACGGACTAGTGTCCAGCCTCAGGATATGTATATTTCCCCCCCGGCAGACAGCAGCAGCACACTTGTCCTTTGAGTTTGGAAGAATCCATCGTCCGTCGTACCACGGCACTGATCGACGAGTAGGTAACTGGGCAAGCACCATTGAAAGCTCATCCCTTTCCCTTCATTCTGGAGTCGTCAGACAGCTTGCGTGGCTTTTCGTTGACCACGTTCCCACGTTCCCACTCCTCAACTTCGCCGGCATTGCTCGAGGCGCTTCCTCCCAATCTCTTCCCGCTTTAATTGCCCTTCCCCTTCCTTCTCCGTAAGCTCCGGACGCCCATACAATAACCGCCTCGCCCACTCCCCACAGATCCCATATCCCGACCCTTCTAGCACACCATCCTTCTCCCTTGAAATCGCATTCGCGATCTCCGCCACGACTCCCCTCGTGAACCTCCTTCCCTTCTGCTATCACCACCGCGGCTAAAACCACACGAGGCCCGCTTGTCCTGGTGCTTGCTGAGCTTGGTGTTGCTTCGTCCGCTACTGGTCATAGGTGGCGCGCCCGTGGAAGCATGCGTAGAGGCGTTGGTTGGAGGCATTGTGTTTCCTCACGCTTCGAACGCCTTCGCAGCTGTTCGCGACCTTCCATGCAGTATTCGCGGAGAATAACCGAAGTGCAGGATCGAGGACTTGCTGTTCGGCGCTCGCAAATCACGGATAACTACGGAATGTACATAGGGTCACCCGCTTCCAGTTCAACCGCATCAGCCCCAGAAAGCGAGCCCAGTCGCAACGCTCACAGCGGTCAGCTCAGAACTATGTGGACAATGCTGCCGACGACTAGGAAGAAGAGCATGTGATTGCTACGCTTGATGGCGTTTCAACGGTGACAGTAAGGGAATTTGGCGTGAATGTTGAGGAAGAACTTAGAAAGAACAGAATCTGCGCGTTGCTGTTGTCTGCAAGAAGAGAGGTAATCTTGTAGGGAGTATTTATGAAGAGCTCCAGCGCGAATGCAGAAAATTACACCTGACGACTGATTCCACCGAAGACGCAGTACAATCACAACTGCCCGACCCTGAGGCCGATAACGATGCTGACACAATTGAGAGCATGATGCACTCGTGATCAGATGGCTTGATAACCGATACACGAGTGCAATGGACGTATCGTTTCAGCATCTAGCGCACGGAGCTCAAGGAAGCTTCAGCCATCATGGGAGCGATGGGATTACTGCGCGTTTCATGGCGCTCCGAAAGCCTGCGAAGGCTAGGCTTGCTTGTTACTTGCGCTCGCAGCCTTAAGACTTAGTCGTGTTTAGAGAAGTGAAGAGGATGCGGCGTAATTTATCCCGGAATCTCTAGATTTGTGATCATGCGCCCAGCCACTGGCTGTATAGACGATGATTTGGGCTTCACTGCGCACAGTTGATGATATTTTTTTTGACAGTCTTGAGGAGCAACTCACAACTGTCAAAAAATCCAGGCGGAGACGACCGTGCAGCTAGCAGTAAATCAGAGAATGAAGTAATTCTCAGCTGCACAAAAACCGTGATACAAGTAACCGAGTAGGATGAATATACAGATCTGTATGAGATAGTATTCCGCAGCGGAGGCTTTCGCATAGCCTTGTAAGTCTTGCACCGTGAGACAGTGCTGTGCAAAAAATCTGTTCAAGTGGTGAGTATGCTATAGGCGTGCCACGATTCGGCGCCCCCATCAGCTCTTTTGTCAATTGCAAAAGATTGCACCACGCGTGGCACGAACTTCACCACCCTTATCACCCACCTCTCGATGCTGTCAGATCCATACAAGAAGCTCTAGATAAGCTGAAATCACTAGAACGATATCTTTAGACAAATCACTCAAATTCGGAACGTTTATATTATAAGATCTGGAGGATCGTAAGTGGAGTATAGCTACGTGATAGCTTCCAAAATATATAAAGGAAACAACGCCTGTGCGGGGTGTAATCTTTTGAATTCGACAGAGAGCTGATGGGGGCCGTGGCACGCCTGTGTTGGAACGTGAGGTTGCATGAAAGTTGTGCAGGAAAGCTGAACTCAGGGGGCGGTCGTGTCATCTTTGCTAAGCTCATTGAATGACTTTGATTTATATATTGTTAGAGCCGCTCCAACTCACATCGAGCAATAACTCGGCCATGTGGCGTATGTTTCTCTCCCGCAGCTTCCAAAATGATCCCACACTAACATTGCAATAGCCAATGGCAAGGCGCTTGACTACGAATCAAGAGATTCCAGGGTAAATGACGCCACACTTTGTTCACTTCGATCAATCTCTGACCGGCTTTCAGTTCGACCCCTGGCATGGTCAGTTGACTACAATTTTTTGCATCTTTTCTTAGCTATGTCCTTTCGCTAATTTGCTGCTCTCAGTTGCAAGGTAGCTAGCGTAATTTAGCCAACTAGCGAAGCGGGTCTCATCGGCTCCTTACCTTTTACTACTTAAGATAGCCTTGTTAATGGCTTGAGCACGCTTACCTACAAAGCTCCAATACATGGTGCACTAAGAGTAGTCAGATGCTCCTCTTGAAGTACGACGGAAGTTTGGATCGACTGTGCACCCTGACAGCGCTCCAGGTACGCTTTTTGCGTGGTGCCGAACGTCTGAGAAAGCCGCGACGCATATTTAGAAATCGGGTTTGCAGATCACGAAGTGTCACTCTTACACGGGTCTTATAGTAGGGTCTAGTAAGTAGCATAGGATCTCAGAGATATACAGAAAAGATAGATGCCAAAACCAGAACGATAGATCGGGAGGAGCCGCGGATATGAGTTGAGATTTAGCTCTCTATTAGCAACTATCTCCCCGACACTGTCGGTCATCAAAGACTATCTTACAATGCTTCTATGCGACTTCCTGCCTCGCTTATGACAAGGATTCCCAAACACCATGAAATGCAGCCAGAGCTTTGATATAAGCCCTTCAAGTCCGATGTGACTCAAGACCCTACAACGCCAGCGTCTGATGATTCCTAAACCATGATGCCGAGAATGCGCACTTTCAAAATATCAGCCCAGAGCACACACTCCGACCTTCTGGACAACCTCCCGTCTAACCCCTGCCCAACGCCCTTTCCATCACTAATTTGTACCTTTATATGACCGGCTTCCTGGTTTCATCCGCGGGCAGCCTCATATAGTAATCGATCGCCGCACTGAATGCCGCGAAGCCCGCACAACCCACCGCAGCAGCCTGCGGTCCAGCCTTAGCCGCCAACGCGCCTCCAGTCAGGCACCCAGCCGCAACGCCATTGTATAGATCGTTCTTAGCACGGAACCCCTCAATACAGCACTCAGTACCAGAAAATATAGCGCCGACGAGGCCGAAGTTGCGTCCGGAGGAGAGGGACGAGCGGTACATATCGCGGAAGCCCTGGCGGAGCTGTTGACGGACGGGCAGGGAGGAGATGGCGGCGCCTTGCGGGGTCATGGGGGTATCGTAGCGCATCTGGTGATCATCAGGAGGGAGTCGAGATTCGGCGGATAAGGGAGAGGCTTGCGCTTGACATGAAGAGCCCGAACATTGCGCCTAGGCCCATGCCCATGACGCCGGCGATTACGGTTTTGACGGGACAGGATTCCATGCCTGTTTGCATCTATGGTTGACCAGGTCCACTGTCAGTCCGAATTCATCTCTTTTGTCCTGCTTCCTACGAGAGGAGCGCAGCGTGCTTTGAACATGGCCGCCCTGGGCGCCGGGTGAGGGAGGTCGTACGGCTTTCACCATCTTCATCTCCTGGTCACTCATTCCACCAGTGTTCTGCTGCCCACCGGCCATACTGGGCGGGAGCATGCCTGGTAAACTCATTGTTGGGACGTGTTCGTGCTGGATGTGGTGGGGTTTGTTCAAGTAGATGCGGTGGAGTGGAAGTTTTGCGGAGTTTCTCGGAGGTGCCAAGACATAAAGTCCAACGCACGGATCATACGGACTTTCAGCAGCGTCGCGGCTCTTAAGCAGATCATAAGCAGATCATTCTAAGCGCTAGAGCTGAGAAGCAATGCTCAAACGGTGTTGAAAGGGGCTCAACTTCTTGTCAAAAAGCGACCCATCTCCAGTATGTTTGTCATGCCACTCTCAGTTCCTTTACGTACCCCAAGACTTCGCTTCTAAGAGTGTCCTGACGAGCATACCGGCTTGCCATCTCTGCTAACGATTTACCAACATAAGAGTTGCAAATGAGAAGCGTTGATGGCAAGAGAATCGATACGGATTCGTACGACTGACGGATCAATCCCACTTAAGGAGGACAGAGTAATGGCGCAGGGAAGAACAGTGAAAAAAGCTACTGTTGGAATGCTCAAGAAAGATTACAGGAACACCATTTGCCTCAAACATCAGCCATGATCATCGCCTTCGTCTATTGTTCCTTCGCGATGTGAGACAGTTGCAATCCCAGCCCTGCGGGTACACAATCCTCTTCTGAAATTAGTTATCGTCAAGGCGATCCATGCGCAGGGCAATTCATGCGCAGGACGCGTTGCTCAGCATTCGAGGTGGTGAAGGAGTGACGTAAGTATGTCTCCAATATAGGTGCTCTGGACAGCAACGCTTATCGCACTTGACGTACCTGATAGCTGTATGGATCAGGTAGATTCAACGACCTGTGTCCGCAAAGGTGGGCAGTTGCAACGAACTGGGACAATTTCTTACTTGTAGATACGATCGAAGCCGGATTTGCACACGACATGATGGAACCAGTACCTGAACTCTTGTAACAAAGATGCAGAGTAGTTCAGCAACACAGCCCTTTGAGGTATGCATCGACCACCTGAACCAATATCCGACTGACCACCCACTTCGAGTTACCCAGCGTCGACTCGGGCGCCAACAGGTCATACGAAACCAATGCCGGCGTCTTGTAGCCTTATGATGGTAATGCCAGCTGGACTGTGACTTCAGTCTTTTGTACTGACATCGTGGTGCATCTCAAAAGAAACAAATGTGCGGACTCGATGCACGGCCTCCCCTTTGTCGATACGCTGCAACTCCTTGTCGCCGATATCATGCACAGGGAGAATGCATCGCCGTTGAATGGGAGGCAGTTCTGGATTCTAATGACGCTCGAGGCTTTGAATCAACGTGACACAGCAGCTCCCAGGACAACGAAACGGGAACCGGTAAGACCCAGCGCTATCGTGGAAAATGCTTTGTGCTTTTCATGAAGACATGTACGAAAATCAATGACATGACGAAGAAGCGGATCTTTGCAGAACGGGTGCTGTGCGAGGCGCTCATGACATGAAACGAAGACGCTGTGCGAGTCTGCATGTCTCGCTCAACGCTGCGAGGATCCTGCATGGCCCCACACTCGCAAATCTTGGACAGATCGGTGCGCCTGCAAGGGCAGCACAAGATCTTTAAAGCGACTCGACGACACTGTGGGTTGTACCTCCTTCAAGCCCTCCATAGCAAACTGTGTCTCGCTCTCACGGAGTCGGTTGCCGGCGCATTACTTTGATGTCTACGGGGGGATACGGAGTACATAGGTAACTACCTATTCAGTCATGACTAACTAGACTACTACTCCGCATTAGCGCTGCCTGCGGACCAGACGGGTCTAATGGATGTTCAGGCACCGGCACCAGCAGCACCGCTACTATCAAAGATAGCTTGGGTTGATTGGCATCACACCACTTCGGGTCTTTGGGGGTTCCCACCAAGAGCGGAGGAAGAAGCTAGTTTGGATACAAATTGCTTCGGTAGACTGGTTTTGAAACTCTGGATGAGCACGCTCTTGTGCCCGGTCCCGAGTGTGCGGCCCACACGCGCTGGCTGTGCCTTGCCAGCAACCGGGATCCCGCGGCCAGAATCTGTTGGGTTCGTGGTTCTTGCAAAGTGCTTGCATGAGGCGTCCTGCGGGCGGCCATGGACACTTCCTCGACCAGCCACCAGTGCCACCCAGCTCCGCGAGCTCCTGCCAGACGTCTCGAGGCGCCTTTCCCTCCATCTCCCTGGTCAAACAAAGATGCCCGAGGCACGGCTCTATGACGCTCATCTGCACTGGGCGCAGACAAGGACCTTGGCAGACCATGTTACTGTACGGAACGCGAACCTCGAGTCCGCCCAGATTGCAGCATCCAAGGGAGACGGCGCGCTCAGAAGACTGTGGATGGACTTTGATTCTCTGACTAAGATACCTGGCTTCGCCTTGTCCGTCAATCACCCTGCTTGCGCTGAGGTGAGGTGTGAGGACGGGAGGATCCTGCCCAGGTAAACCCTGCGCTAAGTTCAACGGCCGATCCTCGGCCCGCCTGAACGGTGGGTGCCAAGCTTTCTTTCCGGACGCCCCTTTTCGGCAACTCGCGCGCTAGTGAGAGTTTCCGCGACTTCCATCGGCCCCGCTGCCCGTCACGCCTGGCAACTGTCTTTCTGGACTTCCTCTGTTCCTCGACAGCAGCCGAACAAAATACCATAACCGGCCCCCTCGACGCACCATTCGTCGTTTCTGCACCTGATCATCATCGCCCCTCCGCATGATCTCATCATGCTTATGCCTATCACAAGGGTAAGCCCGGTGAGGCTTGTGCAGTAAGCTGCATGCAGCGGGGAGCTTGCAGCTTGCAGCTGGTGCTCTCGTAAACTTTCCAGAGCTTCAGCTGGCGCGCAAAGCGGTGTAATACAGAGCCTCAAGGTAAGCAAGTGAGCAGCCACGTCGAACGTCCCTAGCAGTGCTTGTGGTGGGCCTCTAGGTCTGTTACTACCAATTCCTCTTCTGATTGACATCTCTGCTACACCATCCCATCGCGCCCTGTCACAACGTGCACTCCCCGATTGAACTAGGATCATTAGATCCCTCGCTTCTCCACGCATTCTCCGGTTTATGGCGTACTGAACTCGCCACGATCGCGACTGTCTGCTTTGTTCGGGGACCTGGCCCGGAGACGTGGGGCCCTGGCTACCGTCTCGAACTTGCATTCGCTCAGCCCGTGTCTAAATGCAGACGCCACCCCAGCAGACTGCTGCGGCGAAAGAAGCTTATCTTAAGCCTCTCTAGCCATTGTCGTACACTTGGCGTGCTGATCCCTTTTGTAGGTGTCAAGTCCTCGACATGGCGCGGTTATCTTCACGGATCCCTCAGCCCAAGGCCGAAGATGGCTTTTGTCAAAAAGCCCAGGCTAAGAAGCTTAATCCCACGGTTTAGCTAAAACATTACCGATTCGGCCATAGCTCCTGGATAGTTCCTGCCGTCTTTTGATAGTGTGCTAGATCCTGACAGGTAGTGATGGGTCCTGCTTGCTTTATTTAAGACCACCCGCAGGTACGGCCAAGTATCTTTCCGCTTCAGTCTCACCCCATTCATCCAGTCCCTTCGCTGTTCTATTCCCTCAAAATGACGCGTCTTCTCTCGTTCTGCGCGTTGTTTGGCTTGTCCTACGCGGCAACTGTCTACCGCGAGTGGGACATTGGTTGGATTACAGCAGCTCCGGATGGCTTCTCACGACCTGTTATAGCCGTAAACGGACAGTGGCCTCCGCCACTCCTTGAGGCAAATGTTGGAGATACCGTTGTCGTGCGTGTGAAGAACTCTCTGGGTGACCAGACGACCAGTCTCCATTGGCATGGTATTAGCCAGCGGGGTAGCATTAGCATGGACGGCGCTGTTGGAGTCACGCAATGCCCAATCCCACCTGGGGGCGAGTTCACCTATAAGTTTCAAGTCGACGTTCCTGGCGCGTACTGGTGGCATAGTCACGATCGGGGCCAGTATCCGGACGGCCTCCGTGGTCCTATGATTGTTCACGACTATGAATCTGAAGCGGCGCTCGGTGTCGATGAGCAGTATACGATGACTATATCGGATTGGTAGGTCGCGCTGCCCCTAAACAGGATTCCATACTAACCTGAATGATAGGTACCATGACCAAATGCCGGGTCTTATCGCCCGTTACCTTGGTCCACAAAATCAACGCGGAACGCCTCCTATCCCACAGTCAGGTCTCATCAACGATGCGCTTAATCCTTCCTTCAACATCCAGCCAGGAAAGAAGTATTTGTTCAGAATCATCTCGATGTCCGCCTTGATTAACCATTTCGTGCAATTCGGTAAGCACGGACCAGCAGACTTATAGAAACACCGCACATGGTAGTAGACACTGATGATTGCAATAGAGGACCACAACATGACGATTGTCGCAGTTGACGGCGTCTCAGGTATTTGCGCTTCTTTGAGTTTCGCATCGCAAATCATAGGCTAACTTGATGTAGTTGAGCCTAGGCCAGCCAGCCTGCTTCTGTTAGCCGCAGCTCAGCGCTACACCGTGATTATCACTGGCAAGGAGAACCCAACCAAGAATTATGCGGCCGTTGCACGGATCGACGACACCAGGTTTCCCGATGGTTTGCCTCCAGTTAACCAGGTCTTCGCCAATCTGAATTATGGAGGCGATCTGGCCGCCGCACAGTATTACGCTCCACCTACGATCGGCTTCGTAAATGACATGTCCCTGGTTCCGGTGGATGCTGTTCCGCTTTTCAGCAATGTCGATTATTCTGTGGGCATGACCGTGAACTTCGCCAGGACCGAAGGAGGGTGGAGGCTAGTACAATATCTCTTCTTGCCTACGCTTTTGCTGACGATCCACAAGGTACAAGATGGGCTCTACTCCATATGTTTCGCCCAAAGTGCCAACTTTGTATACGGCCATGACTACCGGCGACGATGCGTGGAACCCTGAAGTGTATGGCGCAAGCGTGAATCCTTACATATTCGAGTCTGGAAAAGTCGTTGAGATACGTGTCAACAACGCTGATGCTGCAGGGTAAGTCAAGCATCGCATATGCATTTCTTGACAGTCGTGCTAATCAGGTCGTCCTCTAGCCATCCGTTCCATCTCCACGGAAGAGAATTCCAGGTTGTGGGCCGTACTGGCGGCGGCCCCGCTTTCACTTGGAACGGCAGCATCCCTGCTATGCCTATGCGACGTGATACCGTCGCGGTTCCCGGAAATGGCTCGCTTGCTATTCGCTTCAAGACTGACAGTCCCGGAGTATATCTCTGTAAGTAGTCAGCGCGGTATCGTCAAGGACGGACTTTTATTAATGTTTAATCTCCAGTCCACTGTCACATGGAATGGCACGTCGAAGCCGGTATGACCGTTACTATCATTGAGGACCCAAGCAGGCTTCAGAAGGAACAGTGGATCCCTGATAATCATCTTGAGAGCTGCAAGGCGTTGAACATACCAGTTGCGGGTAATTGCGCAGGCAACGTGGAAAACCTTTCCGATAACTCGCAATGCAACAACGCGTTCCCAACAGTACACAATGGGTAAGCCATTCACATTCGCTTCGAGAGATATGAGGTGTGCGTTCATTGGATTGGGCTGACTTTCTATCCAACAGTGCCAGAATTGACGGCGGAAACGCTTCCTCAAGTGCTGCGCCCAATGCAACCGCCTCCGCGCCAGCAGGGTCACCGTCAGCGCCTGCACCAACATCAGAGTCATCGCCTGCACCAACATCAGAATCGGCGCCTGCTCCAACATCACAGTCAACACCTGAGTCTACACCAGCATCAAGCCCTGAGCCCACATCTGAGCCAACCAGCGCGGCGCCCAGCACTTCTGCTGCAGCGGAAACCTCGACTCGTTGGTGGGATGGCCAGAAGCAAAATGGATACTGGGGGGGAGGCAGGTACCACTGGAACAACAACCGCAAGGGCAACGACTGGAATAGAGGCAAGCAGTACGATCGTAAGTGGAACAACTATCCACGCCGGGACCGCCAGCGAAGAGGAGCGGTGGTAGAAGTATAAGAGCGTGGAGTTCCTTGTTGTTGATCTCAGTCGATCTCCAATTGTCAATACCTGTATCCCGAGAGTTGTGCATATGGCGCTGTGGCATGTACTAGGGTCGTCTACACACCCATGGTGCTTGCAGATGAGGCTGGCTAGAGGGTGGCGGCGTTTTGAGTTGATGCCATTTAATGATAATCATACGCTTTGTTACGTCTCTCATCCAAGAAAGTTGCATATCAATCGTGTTGTTCAACAAGGATCAATGAGCTTGCAATACGCAGTGTAACCGGCCATCAGGCACCGCCGTGATAAATCATGGTATGCAGCGTTTCATGTTGTCTTGACAACAGTCTTCATGCCTGGAGTGAATTCCGAGGCTGTAGAGCCGCAGCGGATGAATTTTCGTCCATATTGATGCCCCCTATGCTTCACTGGACGGCTCGAGGCTGGGGAGATGCGAGAACACCCCTCCAAACCAATACAATAATCCCTGAAAGCTATCAACCCCCCTCAATGAGTTTTCCGCCGAACCCGGCTCGTCTCCAGCCTCCACCTATCATGGCCGCTCCCGCCGACGGTTTTCTGAATCCGGCCGGCTTTGAGGCCGAACACTAATGCAGGCGCTGGCACGGCTTGTTTATCTCTAATATATGGAGACACGGTGGCAGGACCCGCCTATTCAACACATCATTCGAGCGATCTTAAGCAGGCTCATGCATAACGGCTTAGAGTCTTGAAGGAGTCCGAAGAGGCGTTGAACTAGCGTCGCGACTGCCGATGTGGCGTTCATCCCTGCATCGCCCATGAGCCTGGTACGAGATAGCAATAGCGATGCTTACTACACCATCATCTCCTCGTAAAGATGTCCAGCTGGACCTCATGGGACCTTGGCATTACTCTCTATCTTCGAATCCCTTCAGCAATCACATCGTAGCCTAAGATGTCCAGCTCGCGAGGTTGGCGCAAGCGGCTGGTGCTTACGCCAAGGATACTCGGTCTTACCTCCGTACTGTTCATGGCAAATCCTCTGGAATGCTAAAAGCGCTTTACGAGGTGGGTGAACATCCAGATGGAGTTGATCACCCGAGCGAGTCTCGTGATGATGCACTTGAATCTGTTTTATCAAGATTGGGGTCCGGTACGGCTTACGGCCCCCAACCAGTCCTCACCGGGCTGAGCGAGGAGGGTGTGGGTGCAGCCTCGACCACTTCGCCAAGACTCAATAGGTTAAGAGGATAAGCCGCTTCATGCGCAACATCTCTGAGTTGACAGTGTTAGACGAACAAGGGGAAGTATGTCGAAGGTTTGGTTGAACTTTCTTTGCGGCTCTAGACAGCCGCACTGGTCTCTTCATCTTATTTCTTATGGTTTATTCGTTGATGCAATTTGACTCTTTCTTACCTTTCGATCTTGACATTTCATCGGTGAGTTTGGATATACTGGGGCCCTACAATAGCCATCTGTCTTCAAGCGTACAGTGCTGTAGGCGGCAATCGAACCCTGTTGTGTATTTAGAGCCTGGTATGAGCGGCACGATCTACTACTGAGCGGACCAAGAGTGTAACTCAAGTACCACGAGCGAGCTGCCTCATGTTCGGACGAAAGCAGCTGGATTGCTAGAAGAGGCTACTTGGACGTATCGGTGGCCACCGGTGTTAGGGAGCTTCCTTTAGAAAGCTTTCGAGAGCCATCGTCGCTAGAGGCTGCTTTTGAGCCAAAGCTTTACTTTCGGTCGATGTAACCGTGAGCTGCTCAGTCCACAATTATCACGGCTACTAGCACCAACGCAGAAGACTAGGTATAAAAGGGTAGACGGATACAACGAAGCGTCGCCGGAGAGGTTCTTCAGCTCTTCTTCGAGCATGAACGGCCGGAATAGGGGCCATACTCTCACCAATGATGCCTGCTGGAAGCTCTGAAATCCAGGCAACAAGTACTGGAACAGTCGACCAGATCGTTCAGGTCCGTTGTTTATTTTGACCCTCGCAGTCACTATAACGTCAACACAGTATGTTGGAGCACTGCAACTGCTAGCACCTCGAATGCGGAGCAGGCTTGCCAATGCCTGACAGTCAAGTCCACTGGCCTTACATACATCATGCCTTGTCTTGTCGCCTATAGAGAAACGATAGAGCACAGTAGTCGAGTATAACACGACACACGTCGTGATAATTCGTCTTCTCCATATCAAGCATTTTAGCTTGCAACATAATACTGTGTGCAGTCCACGTTAACCCTGCTCAGCCAACATCTGGTACTGGCGACATAGCTTCAACTCTCTGGCCCGTCCATGTAAGGACTCCAAACCAGCCTTTTCGACTACCAATCGAGTTGTACAACGCCCCGACCTGACGGTTGTGCTTGTGGGGCTGGTTCCCCTTGAGGGCCTTGTCGGACCCGCTCCATCAACCCTCACTGATCTCAGAACCACCGCGTGGAACCCCCCGAGTGCTCCGCTGCCACTGTCCCAGTCTTCCTCACCCTGCATTCTTGCCGCCCCCCACACTCCCCTTCTTTGGCACCACGCCTGCACTAGTCGCCCCCGTCCCCGCCGCCGTGCCCACAACCCCCTTCCTCCTCCCCAACCCGACCATCCTCCTCACCCCCTCCCTAACAGGCACAACCGCCCACCTCGCAAACCACGGCGTAGCCGAGACACTAACCGCCAGCCGCAGCGGCAACAGCGCCTTGACAACCGCCCACGCCGTCGCAACCTCAACGACCCACCTGACGCCTCCCTCGCCAAAGCCCCAATACCCTTCCCTCCTACTCCCCTCCTCCCCCAACCACCCCTTGCGCCTGAAATACCGCCCAAACTTCTCCACGCCTGCCTGCACCCACGCGCCCTCGGAGATGTAGGGCGGCAGCCAGCGCGTGTAGTGGAATGTTGCCGCGAGCCCGATCAGCGGGACGACGGCGGTGAGTTCGTGCAGGAGGAGGAAGGCTGTTATGTGCGTCAAGGGCGCTGAGCGCAGCTTTTCTAGGTAGGAGCGCAGGAAGCGCGGGGTGCGTGAGACGGTGCGGTCGAGGCGGGAATGGGCTTTTGAGGGTTCAGGTTTGGCGGCGTTGAGGGATTGGGATTCGAGGATGTCGGCGGCGGGGTCGGTGGGGCGGGTGGAGGGGGGTTTGCTGGATGTGTTGCGGGCGCCGTGGCGGAGATGGGGGCGCAGGGAGGACGTGGGTTGGGAGGACCGGATGCGGAAGAGGGTTCGGCGGAACATTGGGATGGTGGGAGGTGCTCTGAGAGAGCTGGTGGTTTTAGCAGATAGTGGTGTAAATGTGGTGTTGATATCGAGGCGCGCGTAATCGTGTCAAACGTCATGCCGCGCGCGGGTGGGCGCGTTTAAACACACAGCGCTTCATTCATCCTTGCCTGGTATATTCCAGTGCTATAATAATACATGCAACTCCTTTCTTGAGGACCAGTCTGTAGTACGAGCAGTGAAATGCTTGTCTAACGAACAATGACTTGACACTCTACCCTCGATGTCTCCCAGAATGCTCATCACGCAACGCCACCAGACAACAACCAGCCAGCTCGCCTTTGCTGCTGTGGTACGATCTATCGACCAAAACTCGCTCAAATCAAAACATCCAGGAGCCTTCTGCCAACCCGCTCACTGCACTTGGTTCACAATCTCGGCAGCCTTAGTCAAACTCTCCACCATCTGCTGGCACTCCTTCCTCCTCCGAATCGTGTACTCGCTCTCCTTGAGCAAATCGTCCAGCTCCTCTGCCCTGTACATATTCTCTAGCAGCTCCCGCTGCATCTCCTCTTTCGTCATCGAGACGAGCTGGTACATGATTGCTTTCGGTACCATGTCGATCATTGTTCTGCGGACTATGTTGAAGTATGATGTTATGAGTAGCTCTGTTATATGTATTAGCATCGATTTTACTTGGAAGCATGGCGATGGCACTCACTGATAACCTCAACTTCCTGCGTCTCCTTCTCCGACAACGTCCCCGAAGCCTTCAACGTAGCTGGCGGAGGCTCCATAGCCGCCATCTTCTTCTTGTTTTTGCTCGCGAAGAAGCTACCAAAGAAGCCCGTGTTGTTATCACCGTCCAGCGATGGACTCGCTGACCTTGGCGGCACAGATGGCGGTAGCGGCTTTCCGGTCTTTGGATCCACTTGTGTCGGCCGCGCCGCATTGTGTCGCTCGTGCACGATCGCCATCGCGCGCGAACCGTTGATAAAGTCCGGATGTCCTGTGTTGATGTAGCATGACTCCATAGCTACCAGGTCCCGGACAAGCTTATTCGTTGGGTCCATGGCCCTCTTGAAGAACGCTATCACCACCGCGTGAAACTTCTCCTTAAGCGCCGGATAGCGTCGGAATGTTGGCTTAGTGAGGAGCTGTCCCAGTATTCGAACTAATTCGTCGTAGACCAAGGACACGCACTTCAGGCTGGGGTCTTCTAGCCGCTTGATCTGCTGTTTGACTACTAGTTCAAATGCGGTGGTGCCCACGAAGAGTGCGGGCGAAGAGCCGGAGGAGTTGTAGAGGACGGTGCGGATATCTACATCTTTAACTTGGTCGAAAGGATCGATGGCTTTCACGCCATTTGAGTAGAGCTCGTGATATACGAAGCTAATACGTGCACCTCCGGACAGCTCGATACTTGACAGCTCTTGGTTGTTCCCTTCCAACACTGACCGATACTCGTTCGAGAACTCTGTGATCATGTTGAGAACAATGTTTGAGCTGTTGCCTAGGAGGGAGTCGCCAAGAGATTGAAGCTCCGCACTGTACTTTTGAAGTGAAGACGCGATGCGCGCCTTGATGTCTGGTAGTGTCTGCTTGATGTGCATCATGAGAATCTGCGATATAGTGTTAGTTATACTTCTGCTTCACACTCTCATGTCAAAGTCGTACCAGATTGAGCTTTCGCGCCAGATAAGGCGTGCCGCAATACGAGCTCTTATTCCGGTATGCCTTGTGATTCTCGAAGAAGTTCTTCTCATGCTCCAGCGCGTACGAAATCGGCTTCCTAGTTTCGATATCCCTTTGCCCTCGGTTGACAACAGGTACGTAGCCTAGCCGTAGCGGGATGATGCGCCCAGCAAGAATATCCACGACGTCTGTGCCCTCGTCCATCAAATCCACCTTGGTGAGCACACCGATAGTGCGCTGACCCTCTGGATCCACCTCCCTTGCGAGCTTCAGCCCATCCGAGTTCGCCAAGTCGGTATTTGCAGCGGTGACGGCTAGTATTATCGCGTTCGGTTTGCTGATCTGCTTGAGCACCATATCCCTGATCTGCTTCTCAATATCCCTTGGCTGATCACCGACTGGGACCTTCGTCAACCCCGGAAGGTCGACGAGCGTGAGCGTCAGGACGTTAGGCGAGTATATCCGCAGGTTGATGGGCGCTGGTGAAATGCCCGCATTCCGACCTGTCTTTGACTCCGTTTCCCGCACAATCTCCTCCCTTATCTTGTTGAAGTCATAGAACTTCTGCCCCGGAATGTGGAGGAACTCGCCCCATTCGTCAAGGTTGGATTCTTTGTCCGTCGTCTGGATTTCTTCGCTGATGCCGTTTGCTTGCGCTTTGGGAGAGGCAGGGCGGTTGATGAGCTGCAGGATGAGCGGTCTTCGGGTCACGATACCAGTACCACGAGGTAGGCTGAAAGAAAATATGGTTAGCAGGCACTTTGACGTACGTTGCCGGTCGGGAGCTCCAGCTGGGACGCTCACAAGTCTCGACCGACGATGTTCTCCAGCACTGAGCTTTTCCCGCTCGACTGCGAGCCGACGACAGCGATCTGTGGTAGGTCTATGGGATTTTGGACCTGGGTCAGGCGTCAGCGTTTTCGTTCGGCGCATGTCTGCGGCGGCGGTATATAGGGCCAACGCACCCCTACTGTTGTGAACACATCTTGTAGCTTGTTGACGAGTGTGATAAGGCCCGGGTCGTTAACGTTGATACTGGTTGGGGGCAAAGCTGTTAGCGTTTGGAGGTCCGCTATGGTTGCTTGAGAACCTACGCAGATGGGTTGACTGCCATTGCTGGCTTTGTTGATAGGAACTGTCTGGCGGATTGCCGTGGTGTTTGTCAGGCGCAAAAGTTTTAGGCGCAAGCGGCGGAGCGAAAGGAGTGTACTTGTAGGTGTCTAGGGTTTTGGTGGGGTTATTGGGAGTCGCAAGCTGGTGATGTTGTTCCTGTCCAGTTCCGCGTATGCATGTGCCTTGTGCGTCAAGAGCGACGAGGATGCGAACGCCACATGTCACACTCAGCCACAGTTTCGTGGCCTTGGCCGCGTGGACGTTCAGAATGACTGCCTGGAATCTGATATTCGCGCAGAGTGTACAGCATGGCTTCAACGTGTTCACGAGAGTAGCAAGGAGAATTGCTATGATGCCGTTACTCTATCTACAACAGCAACAGCAGTGCGCCTCTCACAGATCCTTCCATTTGCTCTCTCTCTACTCATCGATGACCGACGCAAACTTCTCCTGCATCTTCTGCAAAAGATCCTCGTACTGCGATTCAGTCAGTAAGCATTTGTGGTCAAGGCAGGAAAATAGCTTGCCTTCTTCGTAACCTTCTCCTCGCCATCGCTAGGCAGCTCAAACTTCATATCTCGAAGGCCCTTCTGGATGTCACCAGTCGCCTCCCTGATCTTGTTCCAGCTCTGGCCCTGAGACACCGCCTTCTGTGATTCGTCGTGGAAGCCCATCATAAGCTTCATCATCCAAAACGTTTTCCAGAGCGGGCAGAACTGATCGTAGTCACTGTACCCATTCTGCTGGAGGAAATCCTCTTTGATCAATGTAGCAACGTCCAGAGTAATCTTATCGGGGTCACCAAGCGCAGATTTGCCGACTAGCTGCACGACCTGATCTAGATCCTCTGAGGTGGAGAGCAACTCCTTGACCTTGTCGCGCAGCCGGGGAAATTCGGGAATGTTCTCTTCGTAGTACTTGTTGAGGGCGTTGTTGTACTTGGTGTAACTCTGCGATGTGTTAACAGACGGGAAATGCTTCCTCTGCGCGAGCTTCTTGTCAAGACCCCAGAAGACCTGCACAATACCTAGGGTACTGCTAGTGACTGGGTCGGAGAAGTCTCCTCCCGGAGGGCTAACGGCGCCGACGATACTGACACTGCCCTTTCTGTCAGGGCTACCCAAAGCGGTAACACGCCCGGCACGTTCGTAGAACGAAGCCAGTTTTGCGCCGAGATAAGCAGGGAACCCTTGGTCAGCAGGCATCTCTCCGAGGCGACCAGAAATCTCACGAAGGGCCTCTGCCCACCGCGATGTGGAATCTGCCATCATGGCAACATTCTTGCCCTGGTCACGGAAGTACTCGGCAACAGTGATACCTGTGTAAATGGAGGCTTCCCGAGCAGCGACGGGCATGTTTGATGTGTTGGCGATGAGAGTGGTACGCTTCATGATGGGTTCTTTCCGGCCCTCGATCTCAATAGATAGCTTTTGCAGTGTTAGTAGATGGTTGCTCGTAACTTCTTCAGCTCGCACATACCTCTGGGAAATCCATCAACACTTCCGCCATCTCATTACCCCGCTCTCCACAACCAACGTAAACGATGATGTCGCTGTTCGAGAACTTCGACAGAGACTGGCTGATGACAGTCTTACCGCAACCGAAAGCACCGGGAATGCAGACAGTGCCCCCCTGTACGCTGGGGAACAAGGCGTCGAGCACACGTTGGCCGACAATGAGCGGTTGATCGGAGGAGAGTTTCTCAGTGGAAGGCCGGGGCACACGGACTGGCCAATTGTGCATCATGCCGTACTCCGTCTTCTTTCCATCAAATTCAACCTCTAGGATCTTCTCATCGACAGTGTAGCTGCCTTTCTCCGCAATCCTGGTGATGGTGCCTCGTGCCCTGGGTGGTAGCAAGATCTTGTGATCGTTCAGGAGAGTGTTCTCGAATACGCTGCCAAATACATCGCCTCCGGTGATGTGATCCCCAACCTTTAGCTTCCCGGGCGTGAAGTCCCATTTTCTCTCGCGGTCGAGTGAGGGTACAGCGATGCCGCGTGGGATGTAAATGCTGTTTGATACGTCGGAGATACTTCGAAGGGGACGTTGAATGCCGTCGTAGATGGTCTCCATAAGACCTGGGCCAAGTTCGACGGAAAGCGGCTTCCCGGAGCGGAGTACGGGGTCACCAACCGTGACACCGGCTATGATGTATCTGCATTAGCTTGTGATAGCAGGTATTTAGGTTGCGATTGCATACCAGTCTCCTCATAGACCTGTACAGTGGCCTTGTCCTGATCGATTCGGATGACTTCTCCCACGAGCATGTCATGACCAACTTGTACCTACAACAGTTAGATCTGTGTATGTCCTGGGAGCCGACTCCTCTTACCAGCTCGTACATGGCACACCCTATCATGTTCTCTGCCACAATGACGGGACTGCAGCTTATCAGTAGCCGTCAAGTCCGAGCGAAGCGCGGCAACGTACCCGGAGACTGAGAAGATCTTGCCTGTAGAAGCCATGTTAATCTCCAACTTCTGCATTGAGACATAGCACAGGTAAGGCTAGGGTGTTATCACTTACCCATGTTCTCCTCTGACCCACCCTCGCCTTTCTGGACACCACTTTGCTATGTGCAATCAGCCATTACTACTCCAACCGAGTCGGTGACGCCGGAAGCTTACAGAAGCCATCTTCGGTGCTGGAGAAGGTGCAACGGTACTCGAGGCGCGAGAGGGGTATCTAGGTCGAGCGCGATAGAGCTCTGGAGACGGCGCTGGAGACGCTGGAAGTGGGACTTGGATGGCTTGGCCCTCCTCCGCTGCGGGCAGTGTGGGTGATGACCTGGAAAGGCTGTCGATGTTCTTCTTGGTGATGAGATCAAGCAGTGAAGGACGATGCTTGAGGCGAGGTCGAAGTCCGAGCATGCACCTCTAGTCCAGTGGCTGCACTAGAAGATGGTGTGGTGGTTGATCTCACCTGCACAGACAGCTTCGTCACAAGAGCGCTACTTCCAATGATCCCTGCCGCTCGCTTGGTGGAGCTTCACTGAAGACGTCGTTGGAACTTGTCTACCTCATATTTTTGAACAATTTGTCTTATAAACGGTCATTCTGTATTACCTTCTGCTACGGGGTCGCCACATTACCGTAGCAGACATCTTTGAGGGGGAAATGTAGGTGGCTGTCATCGGGTGGACTTGAGGGAGTGATTATGGTCACGCAGTCTTGCATCGGCTTCAATTTCTCTAGCAGACCTAAGCCTTATTTCATGCCAGGTGTCACGACGCTTGCGGCATTTGTCTACAGCTTCAAGTATAACTAAACAGAATGCTCCAAGCAGTCAGGGAGTACATAATCAGATAAACCTACATAGGGTTCTTCGCCGCGCTACCTACTCATCAGCATCGCAACGGGTTGAATATTGGGCCCTTCGAATCCAAAACTCGCAATCAAGCAAATGCATAGTCAGCACTGCCTAGGTAGGTCTCCAGTCTCTGATCATACACCAAATACTTCCTTTCCTCTAAGCTCTATCGGTCGACGCTTCATGCTTCCACGTAGTCAAACATGCCCTTAAACAGCACTAGTCAAGATGCTTGCTATCAGCATCGGGTTTCCAAGACGCATTATCGGTACCTTGCGGTGACGAGTTTTAGCAGCAGCCATGAAAGTAATTAAATCCTCATCACGGGCCATCAACGGCGCTCATCAACCACTCTACGGATTTGCCTTCTGGTGGTTCCCGGATCTCGTCTGGACCGACTACTTCGATGCTTTTCCTTGCCAGTTTCCGCCAGGCACGAACCACACCAGTCAGTCAGAATTTCGATTGCATTGTCGAGACTACGGCGCGCGTTTCGGAAAAGCTTATGCACCAGTTGGCGGACAAGCCAACCGCTAGGCCCACGCACAGAATGACACCAAACCAAGATACGAGCGGGTATGGCTATAGGCAATCGAACACGTTACAACCGTACTCCACATTCGCTTAGCTATCCTACGCACCCTCTACGCACATCTTTTGTTCCGGTTCAAGCTCCGGCCGGGAGTGATTCTGTGGTGCGGTTGTCGGCCGTCGTTTATGGTGACATTCTTGCATCCACTTCGTGGCAGCGGAAACGCTACAACATCTGTAATCAACATCAAGGTCCGGGACCGTTAACGCAGTCGGCTGGCTCTGGAGAGCCAAGCTCCACGACGCTGCATGGTAGACGATAATCCTCTATCAAAACCCGCTCTATTCGCTTCCGACCACCTCACTGGCCCGTCGTCATCGTCCTCCAATATCTGGGAAGATGTTCTACCCGCAGAGCATCAGACATCCACCACGAATGCTAAACGCCGGCACAGCTCATCAAAGTCGTCCACAGACTCACCAGAGACCCGCTGTAGGCTGCTTATTTAGCAGCTCTGGTTCTTGAGGCTCTTGTCCACCCTGTGTCTAGCATCACATCGCCATAAGGGCAAAAATTTAAGGGCCTCGGCCGGGATAGGATCGCAGTCGCTATCTCTTTACCACCTCGAAGGCTGTCTGCCACGGTATTGTTCTGCATCAGAGCAGCTAGAAGCTCGACCAGTGGAGCAACATCATGACACGGCTAGAAAATCGTTATCAATGAACGCCGCTAATCAATACTACCTACCATCAGCGTTGACCGGCAGACTCCATCAGCAGTACCTTGTGATGGTGCACTTCACGAACCCATTTATCGTCATCATCACCGGAAATCAGCACGTCAACATTGGCCGCGACGAAGTGGATGAGGATGACGGGCTTCTTGCGTCTCTGAAAGGCGTGGACTGTTGCAACCTTAATCCGCGACGTTCTGGCGTGTCGGATAGCGCGCACCAGCTCATCGCAGTCATGCCCGTGCATGGAGATTACAGCGATCTCGACAGGGGAAAAATCCGCGCGGAGGACTGGCAAACGTGGCCCAGATGTCCTGGACGCTGCTCGACATTGCCTGGTCGCCGTATCTGTGCTTCAAGCCTTTGTTGAAACCAGAACTTGTCCTTGAGCAACGAAAGGAGCGTCTGGGGCTCGCACTCCTCGTCGGTGGGTCACCCATCACCGGCGAACTCTGATGTCGTTCTCAACCGCCTTAACGCAGTGATCTACGGAGAGAATCGTCGAACTCGAGTAGAGAGAACATGGAGAACGAACCGACGGGAAGCAAATAGCTCCTAGAAACCGGGACTGCTCAGATCGATTGTTGGAAGACGTTCAGTGAGCAGTGAGACTGGATGGATTGTTGGAAGACGTTCCAGTAAGACTAGAAGAGTTGCTGGAAGATGTTCCAGTAAGACTAGGAGAGTTGCTCGAGTGATGGTTTTTAGCAGCTTGTACTCGGGGTCTTTTTATTTTATTTTTGGAGGCCGGAGCCCAAGCAAAGGAGAACCAAGAGAGCAAGTGCGAGACCGGAATCGCGAGAGGAGACCGGAGACTAATAGTAATCTACACCCTTGTAGCGCTTCGACTGCATCGTGATTAAAGCCGCCGCATTAACGGCGGTCTGACGCCGCGGCTGCCCAGTTGCTGTGCTATACAAACCTACCAGCTACTATACACAGGGAAGCGGGGTTGAGGCCGAATGTGGTGTGTTATCTCTTGAGTATTCTATAGTTGCCATGGGCGAACTGCAATCGACATCCTCGTTGGAGCAGAATTCTGTATGCATACCTGATAGCCTAGCGGTCGCCGTCCAAGCTACCGCTGGCAGTGGAAACGCCGCCACTGTTGGAATTGTCTCTACAACTTTCTTTAACCTTTCTGCCCATTGTGCGGTCATCTTCAGTCTTTCCCGCGTGAACAGAGACGAGCCATGACATTGTGCCGCATTTGGTTCAATTCGTCGCGCGTGAATTGCCGCGTGGCTGCTTCTCTCGGAGTCATTCTGAGCGACCGCTGCCAAATGCAATTGTTGATCAGGTTGATAGCCTCTTGCTTCGTGTCTCCATCAGCGACCCAGCCCTTGGTTATCTGGAGCTGTTGGTGCCCGTAATCTTGCCTCTGAAAGTACTTCTTCAGGACACGGACCCGCTAGAAGTATTGCTTTGTGGGCTTTCCGGTTTCAATTGCCGGCGTGCAAGAGGAGTTCAAGTTCATTCCGTAAGGTGTCCTGAACGGCAAGGGCCTCACGTCACACTTGATCAGAAACCTTTGTGTGCGCAATGACCTTCTAACTTGACGTTGATAGCAGCATTAGCTGAGGGGATGAGGTTAGCAAAGAGTCGAGAACCGAACCGCCACAGGGACAACCAGGGATGTTCTGTATCGATGGATCATTGCTACTCTTCCAGGCTATAGCATACACAGACCCGATGAAATAATTCATAGGGTGCGACGAACCACAATGATCGAAGCTCACTGCGTCGTTGTCGTTGACCTATAAATGAGAATTTAGCGAGTCCAAGGTGGGGAAGCGGCGCGCCTTTGATAAGCCTCTTATAGGCCACTCGTCTTCTGCTGTTCGGAGCGGACCGAATTGGTTTTGGTATCTGGCTGTAACGGGCCCGGTCTCCGAGTCTGGTATCTCCTCGCTATCTCTTCGCCTCTTAGACGGCGGCGGGATACAAGTGGTGTATGTAACAGCGGAAGATACAGGCATGTGTACGGGGTCCTTGCGTACTATTCTCGGCACGCCGTTCTCGATCCTCGTCGAAAGTATTTTGGCGAGGGTGCTGTCGTGGGGCAGTGGCTTGTCTTCGGCTATCGCAATTCCTCCACTACTCTTAAGGCCCCTGAGAAACTACCCGATTTGTTCGGTGCTGGCACCTCGGAGGCGGCCCACCAGTCGTCCTTGCTGCAGGATCTTGCCGTGCGTGATGCCGTGTTCAGAGAGGCTGTATGTCCTCGCCTCGTCGCCTCCATCAAGGTTGACTCGTCGAACTCGGAAGCGGACGTCTCCTTCATTGTTAGCTCGAGCAACGACAACATAGGTAGGCGCCACGTTTGCCGGTTGCATAACTCGTTGTGCTATGCCGACCACAATAGCAAACTCCCACCCTGCAAGGTTAAGCAGATTTGTCTAGCGCTTATTTGCTAGAAGGTCGAGGCGAGCCGGCCTGGCGACAATTGGTGTAAAGCTAATACGGCTGTAGGGTCCGCTTAGGGGCCTCACCAATCTCTTCTTCCACACCGGCCGGTGTTGGGGTTTGAGGCGCTAGGTTGCGGAACGTAGGTGAATTGGGGGGCGTGTCTCTCGTCCTCGTTGTCCCCCCTCATCGCTTCTCGTCCAACCAATCGAGATGTCCACATACAAGCGCGATCCTGCAATTGATGGTCTACATGTACGAGACTTCGTTACCTATCATCATGCGTTGCCTTGTTAGTAAAGAAACACTCCGCGTCCACGCCCAGTCGATCCAGAAAGAAACGCTCTGGCGCGCTTCTGATGTTCTTGTACACCTAAAACCTATCGAACTAGGTAGCAGGATATTAGATGAACGATGGATTGGATACCTTGCGCGAGAATTTTTCCAGGGTCGGCGAAGTATTGAACACTCAGATTCCCCACGGCGAAACACTTGCTTGGTAGTTGCTGCTGCTTGTCGGCACGCCCGGAGCAGCCGCCTTCCAATGCCGCGGAAGACGTATGTAATACATCCTGCAAACAACATTACTAGAGACGCCGAATCCCGGCACACGGCGGACAATGCCGGCGAACACGAAGTGGTAGATGATGAGACGCAGTTCGATGGGAATTTCCAGGAAGGTTGCGGTGAGGGTTGGAATGATGTCATCCATTTGGATTGGGACTGCTTCAATCTTTGCTGCTGTTCTGCTGTCCATTACTCTAGGCAATTCAAGCGTAGTCAATTCCGATGTATGCGAGTTAGAATGGTCTGATGTGAGCGCGTCAAGGTGTCGGACGTGGTCGTCCAATGTCTTTGAGAAACAGTCCACATCGTCGATGTATGCTTTAACCGAGGTCCGTAAGGGTCGAAGCATGTTGTCTAGGCTTCTCTGTACGTACTGTACTGAGTTACAATACCCCATGAGAGCGACCTTGAGGATCTGTTGGCCTCGGTGGCTGTTAATTGCGAACTTCCATTGGTCTTGTTCAGCCACCATCCATTGGCAGAAGAAGCTCACGGGTAGGGTCTATATTAGTGTTGGTGCGGTCAGTCTTGTACCCTTGTTGGTAAATACAGACAATTACACACCTTGAGCGAGATAGCCGCCTCCACCGTGGAGATAAAGGAGCAACCCTTTAAGGCCGAGATGAGACTGGCTTAGAGAGGTACTGGGTAGCTATCACTAACGGATATCGCGTTTAGTCCTCGGGTGTCAACCACGGCTCGAGATTTCCGTTGGACTGTCCCATACTTTTGAGGGATGGTGCGCAGACGACGAAGACAGGGAATCCGATAGGGTTGGTTCGTTTCGACCATTCTTCGGACGCGTCGCGCAGGTAGTGTGTGACATCGGATCACCGGACGGATGAACACGTCGACCTTAGACTGCTGCTGTGCCTGAGGTGAAAGGCACTCGTCGAGTGTAAGAACGGTAACATATGAGTGGCTTTGAACCCAGCGTGGTACTCCGACTCCACTCGCGTCTCTCCATCTTGTTGACTGAGGATTATTTCCTCTGTAGAGGATCAACTCAAGGTCATGTGCTTTCTCCAGCCCTCCATAATATCTCTTCTGGTCTTGGTTGCTTGCACGAATGTAGTGTGTATTTTTCCAATGACTTTGGGTTGGTCTTCTAACTGCCCCGTGCTTGATAGCGGGACAGGACCTGTCGAAATTGCAAGGTAAACGAAGGGCGCCGGTGTCAACCCTCTGAGCGCTGAGTCCGAAGAGCCATGCGGTCAATTGGACTGGAGACTAAGTGACGTGGGGTTCTGACGTGCCTCGTCGATACAAGGGCTAATGAGGCTTTGGGGAGAACAGCTCACTGTATACTGACAGCCACTTGTGTTCAAACTTTCTTGCTCAGGTTGTTCGATGTGTAGTCCGTGGTGTGTTTGGTTGTTATTGTATCCAATCGTGCTGTTGCTAGTAGTTACGCGTAAAGCAGCTATGCTAATTCTAGCGTTGCTTGTAGCAGTGATGCTCGTACTTATGCTGCCCATACTTCTGTTGTTTGTAACGGTATGGCCCGTGATTGTGTTGCTCGTAACTGCGTTACTCGTAGTCGTGTCATTCGTGGGTGTGTTACTTCCACTCTTCCGTGGACAAGCTGTGATTGTTGCAGTTGTGAAAGCCAGACCGCATGTTCGTAATTTCTCGAGAGCTAGGCATAGTTCGGCTTCGATCGGCCTGGTCGGGCTTTGAAAGCCGGCGCATGATCACTGACAAGAGTAGCGTACTTTCCGCCTTTCCCCTGAAGATGAGTGCGATGGAAATGCTCGACTAGTAATCCGGTAGCCTCCCCAAGTTATGAAATCAGCAGGAAGAGTTCTGCAAGACTCCGGGAGTGGATGAGAAGAGGGCAGAGTGGAAGCGTCCGGGATTCGATTTGAGATAGGGATATGTATTGGTTTAGATCATGTGTCCTCAAAAAAGCAAGCGCACTGCGGAGACATGGCACAGCTTACACAGCAGAACAATTCTCTCTACATCCGCATTGCCCACGTTGCGAGGACTGACTCTGAGCCAATGAAGAGAGCTCCGGGAAGAGAGGACGGACAAGAAAGAAGCAAGTAATAAAACGCATTGACAGCATGGAGATCGAAGTTGAACAATAGCCCTATTGACATACTCCTTTTCCTGTTCCGCAGATAAAAAAGAATCTGAGGCCACATCCAAACATATCCCAGCCGTCGCGATCAAATTCCACCCCTAGAGAAGAGTGTCAAAAAGATCGTGTATATGAAGCGCTTCCCAAATCCAATAAAGCACCTTGCCGCTTCCCGGAAAAAATAGAAGATGGGCATATACACCATGATCGAACAACCGCCCCGTCGCTCGCGGTACCACTCCCTCCTTCCCTCCCAGCAAGCCCGAAAAGAGGGCCCACTCACAGCCCCACCTTCTCAGCCTTAACATCAACCATCACGACCTCCCTCCCCCGTCCATCTCCCTGCTCCTCTGCCGCCGTCCTCTCACCTCCCTTTTCGGCCCCTTGATCGGGCCCACCAGCCCCACCGCTCGCCCCAATCCTCTCCAACCACGCCTCCGCGCTCCCAATTGTGCCCTCAACCGTAAGACTAACCTGCGCCATCATATCCAGCCCCTCCTTCGCAAACGCGAGCATGCGGTTCGTTCTCCTCACCGTCTCGCTCGAGCCCGCCGCGGCGCTCTCCCGGCTATGCTGGCTTGCGAGGCGCCAGCGCTCTGGCACGGACAGCAGCTGGGACCGCACGAAGTTTGCTGCGTTGGTTGGGAGCGCGCCGCCGGTGTAGCGGGACACGGTATTCACGACTGTTTTGAGCGTGTTCAGGATGTCGGTGCTGAGGGCTTGGATGCGGGCTGCGAGGCGGGCTGCTTCGTCTTCGGGGGCGGGTCGGGGTTCTGCCTCAGCGCCGTCGGCTGTAGTGGGCTGCTGCTGCCTTTGCTGCCCGTTTGAAGAAGCCGCACACGCGCGCTCGTAGTCCTCAAGCACGAGCCCCAGCGCCCTCATCACGCTCCCCAGATGGTTCGTCGCGCGCCGCAGGATCCCGAGGCAGTATTTCAGGCTCTTGAGACTGGTATCGCTCATCGCGACGCCGAGGCCTGACGTCGTCATCATGAGCTGCGTGGACCAGTGGGCAGGACGGCGGGTCTGGGCGTGTTCTTGCTCCTGCGAATCCTCTTCCTCAGGCCGTGGGCTGCGCTCCTCGTACTGCGGAGACCGGTTGTCGTCGTATGCGGGGAGCGACTCGGTGGTTGAGTCGCGCGAGGAGGTGCGTGGGCGCGACAGCGGAATCAGGGGACCGCGCTCGATGTCCATGGCCATATCATCCTGCGCGTCCGGAGACCGTGCGACGCGCCGTCGTTTGTGTCGGTCTTCATCCGCGTCACCGCGTTCCAAGTCACTGGGCCGGCGGCCCACGTCTCCGAGATACCGCCGTAGTCCCCCTTCGACACCTGTGCGTCGCCCGACGGCCCCGACGGTGTTGGCAACGGGGGAGCCGATGTTCCGCTCCAGGTAGGTCGCGCTGGCTTGGACGAAGCGCGGGGTGTAGGATTTGGTTGTTTCGTAGGCGGAGAGGGAGCCGTTGATTGTGCCGCCGAGCCAGGGGTGGGAGGTTGTGAGGAGCTGGAGGAGGGGCTCGGGCTCTTGGATGTGGGACATTGATGCGTGGCGGGTGTGGCTGGTGGGCGACGATTGCGAGGGCAGGGTTACGCTGCGGTTGGAAGGAGAGCGGACGAATTCTGTGGTGTGGTAAGCGTCTGTTCGGCCAATGCGACGTAGGAGTCGCGTGGAAGTCGGTGCAAAGCAAGCCGGACGGCGAGTAGCAGCGGGACCTCCACTGGCCGTAAACGTGTATAACGACAGCGCCATTGCGTACCTGGATTCCCAAGTCCTGAGAGTGCTTCCGCAGCAATGCGCACATCCGGGTCTTCTATCGACACCACGCTCGGCGCCCTGTTGCCCAGCTCGTCCATGCTCATTATGCTCTCTCTCGGACTGCTGATGTCCATCTCCGTTGATGACCGTGGTACTGCTGACGGCACGCGCGGAAAGTCATTGTGGTGTAAGGCAGGTGAGTTGCGCCAGTCGACGGTCGAGTGTAGCGTCGGGCCATTGTAGCTGTGGTTGGGTGCATGGGCGGTGGACTCAGGTAGTCCTAACGATCTGAGGTCCGGTAGGTGTATAGACTGTGTCGCATTGCCTCGTGGAGGCGCCAGCTGCGGCACCGAGGGCAGCTGAAGCGATTCGGGGTCGTGGGAGTAGGCTGGCGGGCGCTCCTGCTGGAGCGACATCGCGATCCAGCGAAGCCGATCCTCGGGTGACGTCGAGGAGCACGGAGAATTGGAGACGGATTGTGCAGCAGCTCTCGCAGGTCGCACGCTACTGTCAACTGCGCTGGCTTAAGAGGCTTCTTCTGCGATCGCTTTTCGCTCTTGAAGGCATTCGCAGGGCGGGAAGGGAGGCTTCTGGCTTCGGAAGCAAGAGCGAGACACGGGGCGGTTGAAGAGGAGCATTCATCGTCACATGCAAAAAAGCCAAGCGCTTCGACCAGCAGAAAAAGAACCTCCAAGTCACCTAACAGTCTCTTTGCGCCGGTACAGATGCTGCACGCTTTCTCCTTGTCTGACCGGGAAGGGTGCACATGTCAGGTACCAATTCGATGCGCTTCTTCCCGGCTGGCAAGAGGTTGATAAACTCTGCTGCCATTGACACAGGACGGCCTGCCAGATCATGTGGCTGTCATGTGGCTGTCATGTGAAAGTCACGATGCGCCGCTCTGCGCCCCCATCTTCTGATACCGAGGACGTCCTTGCCGGCGATCCAACAACGGTTCGGTCAGAATGAGAACCACGCCCTAACATCGGAGTGTGCACAGCGCCCATATGCCGATCCTTAGTACGATACGCACGTGATATACATGCAGAATATACACTTGTACTCCTACTGTCGAAGCTCGTTCCAGAACTTGATAGCACCGTTGTTCTCCCCTTCAGGTCTCTGAGTCCTTACAACGTCCGCTGCGGCGTCGATTCTCTGCTCGAGCAGGCGAACGATTTCTTGGGTATTGTGGCCTGTGATATCAGGGACAAGCTTCAAGCCGTGCCACACAGGTATCCATTTCCGCATGTACCCAGGTGCCTCCTTCACATTCTCTGGTGCCGGCGGTATAGCCTTCTGCAGTGAAGTCGTCAGCCATCGAGCCCATAAGCAATAGTGGACCATGCACTCACCTCAGCGCCGCCCTGGTGCTCTATAGCCGCAAGCAACCTCTCCGTATACATCCTAACCTTCCCATCATCATCAAACCTGTCCTCAAACCTCGTCGCCAGCACCGCCGACAGCTCAACCAGGACCCCAATAACCGCCGCGCTCGCCCTCGGATCCGACTTTCCGACCCACGCCCGTCCACAATGCTCCGGCTGCTCCATCCACGCAGCTACCTGCTCCGCATAACTCAGCGCCTTCTTCGTATGCTCTTGCCCCCATTTATGCACCACAGCCAGATCCACGATCCCCGCCAGCACCGTCTCCAGCACCCCCTGATCCCCCAGACTCAGCCCCGTATGCTCAACCCGCTGCAGCGCCTGCAGCACCACCGCCTGCCGGCCCGCCATGTTGGCCCGCCGCACGAACTTCTGCAACCACGCGCTCTTGAGCTTCCGCTTCGACGACTTGAAGCCCTCCAGCATGGTCACGATGTTCGCCCAGTCCTGCTTTGATTGCGCGGCGGAGAGCGCGGCGTTGAAGATTGGCCAGGTGCGCGGGAGGTCGCGCACGCGGTTGAGGTGCTCGAGGGGGATGTCTTCGCCGCCGATGGAGGCGTAGACGGGCTCGGTCGGGCTGGAAAGCCGGGGGATGTAGACGGGCTTGTAGATTAGGTCGAGTTGCTCGCGGTTGAGGTGCGCGGGGAGGAAGATCTTGGTGCGTATTGTGGAGAGGACAGAGTTGAGTTCGGTGTTGAGGGTTTCGATGAAGGTGGGGAGGCCGCCTGGGGGGATGGTGGTGTTAATTGTCTATCATAGGGAAAGGATAGGGTGCGGGTGCTTGCCATGCTTCTGACGGCGAGCGCTCGAGGTGAACGCGCGCCTAGGTGCTGCAACGAATTCGGCATTCCGTATGCAGGTCCGGGCGGCCGCCCGTGAGCAATGGGATGGTATACTCATTGCTGAGGTGGTGGAAGATGGAGCTGGCAGAAATGCCGCCGAGAAATGTTATGAGATGCTTGGCGTGCCCTGACCGGGATGCGCCGATTCTCTCCCCGCGACCTCCGCATCCTTTTTTATCTCGTCGTCTACGATTGAGGAGTCTTTGCGCTCTCGATGCAGTAAGCGCGCCGCTGATGTGCGTATTCTTGTGAAAAGAGCACATAGCGAAGTTGATGGAGACTAACCTACTTGCTTTCCAAGTATCAGGCAAATCCTGTTCAAGGGCATGGTAAATTCAAACCCAATAAGGGATAAGACTTCTAGCATATGAGATGGCATCTACCCAAAGAAATGATAGAAAGCTATCAAAGGGTATCTAAAGTAGTACCGCTCCTCATCCAACCAATCCAACATCCAGCCACCACCAACGCCTGGCCCAGCGACCAGCGCTGGGCTGTTCATGGAAGACATGAATTGCCCTCTAAGAAGCACTCACCGTCATCCCGTCTCTACGCCCTTGTGAGTATGTTGAAAGTGCCACTAGTCCGTCAACGCCACAAATCCGCCCTACTCCCCCTCCTCTGATGCTCCCCACTGCCCCTATACCAGCTCTGGCTCTGGCCTCCACTGCTCCTCGGCCTCTGCGGCTCTTCACTCGGCACAGCCAAGAACCCACCAAACCCGTTCCCCACAACGATGCTCTTCCTCGCCTCGCCGCCCCACTGCGACCCCAGGCCCTGACTAGCACTGTACAGGCTCAGTGGCCTGCCACCGCTCATGCTGCCTCGGTGCCCAGGCACGTTAGGCGGCATGATCTCGGTGAAGATCCAGTCCTGTTCGTCGTTGGGCCCTTTAGCGTAGACTTCGAGGGGCTGACTGAAGCCGCGGGGTGGGCCCGATGGGCCACCTCCTGCGAAGGGCGCAGAGGGCGGGGCGAGAAGGAGGTTTTCGGCGAAGTCGAGGTCACGGACGTAGAGGTGGCGGAGAGCGGGAAGGGAGTGCGAGAGGAGAGATTGTGTCAGGTAGGTGTAGTAAGAATCGGAGGGTTGTTGGAGGGCGCTGAAGGGCTCGGCAGCAGAGGTTATTTCGTAATGCATGGTTTGGAGAGAGATTGATTGGAATGGAGGGAGCGGGTCCAGTGGGAGAGACTGAGTGACGGATTCGATGATGGTCAGGTGTTGGAGGCTTGAGGCTGCCCACATGACGGAACGGAGGCCGGGGACAGTGACACCCGTGTTCTCCAAGGTCAGTGAGGTGAGGCTTTCCCGAATTTCTTCGTGGTTGAGGTAGTTCGTCAAGCCATCGGCTGTCAGTTGCGGTGTCTGCTTCAGCGCCAGCTTCCGTAAGGGCGGAAAGTTGGGAAGGATAGGCGTGACTTGGAAGATATCGTCGCCCAGCCACGGAAGCTCCGCCAGCCTCAGCTCGATGAGGTTCGGGAGGCTGTCAATGATGCGCCGGAGCAAGTTGGGTTCTATACGCAGCCGCGTGAGCTCCAGAGTCTCCAGATTCTGCCAGTACCTCTGCAGCAACATCTCAAGCGTTTGTTCTGAACCCGCTTCATATTTCATCTTGCGTATGTCTGGACACCGCGCCTGCAGCTCCTGCCTTAAAGTATGTGTTGCAGGATCACCACTGAAGAAGCCATCAGGCAGATCGACGTATCGTAGGTTGGGGAGACAGGAAACAGTTCGGGCGAGTGTAGCTTTATGCGTTTCGCGGGTCATGTAAGGTAGCTTCAGGAGTTGCACCGCCGGACCAAGATAATGGTTCTCTCTGAGCGTTCTTTCAAGGAGCTGTAATCGCAGACCGGGCACATCAATGGGCTCGCCATGGCGAGATTTGCGCCGTCGGGTTTCGGCGAGTATCTCTTCCAGCTCGCAATAATGGACGGCGTCAATGCGGACGCTTGTGTAGCTACCACTGATCAGCAAACTGTCCAAAGTTGTTGGCGGATACCAGCGCTCACAGCACACGGGCACCGACTGAGAACCACCTTCGTTGGACTCGGGTGCAATTGGCGAGGTCGCGCAAGTCGCAGAGCATGCACCCGTCGCCGATCATAGACCGCTCGCTGGGCTCATAGCTCTCGTCGGTCGAGTGAGGGCACACAAAGCCGAAAATGATCCTCAAGACATTATCTGGAAGCCGTTTCGTGAAGTCGGCTCGCGGGCGCGTCGGTACTGGATATGAGTACTGCGCAGCCGGAGAGTCGTTGATAGCCCTCTTCTCCTTGTCTTTGAGTTTGGATTTCGAGCGAAGGTGCTTCAGAAAGCCCATGATGCCGCGCTTGCCTCTAAGGAATAATCAGAATAACAATATGTCATGGAGAATGCAGACAGTGCCTGGCGGATGCTCTCCGCGCCCACTTCTAGACTGACCCTGAGGTGCCACTGTCGCGGTCGTCGCGCTGCCGCGGGGTGGGTAAGATACGCCGACGGATGGGGTTAGGCGCTGTGGCCAGGGACCCTTGTTTAGCTCTCATTGACAGGCCTGGAGGTTGATCAGGGCCGAGAGAGGCCCTTGAGAGGCACGTCCGGCTGCCGTTTTTCTTTTCTACGAGTTAATGATTGAACCTTTGACGTGTTGCTCTACTGTCAATCGACTGTGGAAGTGATCACGCTGATGACGCAGAAGTAAATTGTACATCTTATCGATTCGACTCTTCACGGCCAAGCAATGGCAAACGCAGTGAAGTCCCGGCTTTCGAGCCACGATGACTCGTAACACCGTAGTACCCGTTTCGCGGACAGCACACGAAGCCGGTTGTTTGATGGACCAAGGAGCAGCTGGACTGGGTTGGACTTTGGCTACAGATCTTGAACCGTCTGGCCTGAGCAAGCTCTTAGGAAAACTCTAATTGCAGTCCCATAGTTAAAATCGGCCCCGTCCTCTAGACGCGGCACGCACTGTGACAGATGAAGAAGTGACACCTCTGATAAGACCCAAGTCGCAAGGTCGTGCCACGCTGTGGGCTCCTGAGCTGACAATGCCCATTCTCTCCGACCACTGACCGCTGCGATCAAGGCCATTGTTCGCTGCGGTGCTAAGGCCGCTGTCTGTTCAGGTGGAACGTGGTACGAGGGTGTTGTACTCTACCAAGAAAGACCGCTGGAGGGGATGGCAGCCACGCGAATGGGAAGCGTGCCATCTGTTTCAGCCCAGAATCCCTCAAGCCGAAGCCGCTGGACGGCGGGGTTCAACGTGAGGAAGCGACATCTCGGATGCACGTTCGCCTCAGAGGTCCAAAAGAGAGCTTGGTGGAACTGGGCAAGCTTCAGTCGTAGCTGTCAAGGCCTCAAAACAACAGGGACAAGCTTAGAAGCCCCTTATCAAGCTGCAGGTGCTCCATCTGATGTTGAAGCTGCCAGATGCCTTAGCGCGACAGACCCCAGCTCCGTGACGCTCATGCTAGCCGTCACTTTGACGCTTAGCGGCTAGTTTAGTTTACCGGCCAGAACGAGACGCGAATTTGCATCTGAAGTCCCGAAGTCGTGCTGGGATCCATCACACAACCTCTCCGTCCTCCGCCCGAACCCTCTTCAACTTCTCCCTTTGCTGGTCCCGGAGTCATCCATTGCTAGGACAGGAGTTGGAGGTATCTTTTCCGGGTCATTGCCTCCGTTAGAAACTCGTTATTGGCATTTCCATCATCTGAGACTTTGTCTACCGCTACTCCTTTCCACCGCTCCCCGTCATCAAACGGCCATCTGGCAAGCTGTCTCGGGATCCTACGTTTGTTCTCAGAGCTCGAATCATTGTCCAGCATCCAAACGCCCAGCAAAGTTCCCGAAAATGGCTACCAATCAACCTCAGGGAGGCAATCTGGACCGCTACGTGGTCATCCACGTTGCGACCACCTGTGATGAGCATGGCGTCTATGTAACGAAGGACTCCGCCGAGGTTATTGAGCTTGGCTGGATCTTGCTGGATGCTAAATCCTGCGAGGAGGTGATTCTCTCTGCTTGCAGTGGACCGGTGGAGAGGCTAACGAAATTCTCAGCTTCACCGGCAGAGCGTTCTCGTGAAACCGATCAACACACCCATCACCCCGCTCTGCAGTAAGATTCCATCTCGACCCTTCACCTCACTTCACTCTAGCTGACGCTATTAATAGCCAGCTTGACCACCTTGACCTGGGAGCACGTCCGCAACGCCGGCTCCTTCCGCGACGCTATCAATCTTTTCGACCAGTTTGCTCAGGATCACCTTCTCCCAAACAACCTCGAATTTGCGTTCGTTACACTTGACTCCTGGGACCTTCGCGTTCAGCTTCCCCGTGAAGCCAGGGACAAGGCAGTCGTTCTTCCACCGTACCTTCAACACTCGCGGACATTCGACCTCCGAACTGAGTACCAGCGCTGGCAGGCACATCATCCGGAGTCGCTGCCTTTCGGCTCCAGTGCCCTGTCCAACATCTGCGCCGCCCTTGAAGTCGAACCCGTACAGTCCTCGGCACCTATCAAGCATAATCTTCCGTTCCACCTGCAAGCTCTCGCACCTGCCTCGCCGAGGCGGGCTATGGAAGAGGCCGTCACACTTGCTCGAGTATTACGTGGTCTCATTCGCAAGTCTCAGCCACCGCACGAACACCCAGACGTCCTCACCCGCCCAATGGACGCCCGCGCAGACGTCCGGGCCTTTTTGTCGGAGCGGAGCAAGGTTCTTCACATGAGTGGTCTTCCTCATGATACTACGCAGTCCGAGCTGGAGAGTTGGTTCACTCAATTCGGTGGAAGGCCCATCGCTTTCTGGACCCTCCGCACTCCAGACCAACACAAGCCGACTGGTTCCGGCTTCGCCGTATTCTCCTCCCATGAAGAGGTATACTGAACATTGTATTGAGTATCAGAAAAAGAACTAACCCTATCATGTAGGCTGCAGAATCTCTTTGCATGAACGGTCGCGCCCTCAACGAGAAGGCCATTGAGGTCTCTCCATCCTCGAGCCGCGTTCTCGACCGTGCCGCCGAGATCCTTACGCCGTTCCCGCCAAGCAAGAACCGACCTCGGCCAGGCGACTGGACCTGCCCATCCTGCGGCTTCTCGAACTTCCAGCGCCGCACCGCCTGTTTCCGCTGTTCGTACCCAGCAATGGGTGGCGGGCCCGGCCCCGAGATGGGCTACCCACCCTACGGCTACGGCCCCCCAGGAATGATGCCTGGCCACCACATGGGTCATGGCGGGCATGGTGGCCACGGCGGCCATGGCATGGGCCACATGCGCGGTGGGCACGGCAACGGCGTCGTCCCCTTCCGCGCCGGCGACTGGAAGTGCGGCGCCGACGGCTGCGGCTACCACAACTTCGCCAAGAACGTCAGCTGCCTCCGCTGTGGCGCCAGCCGTGCAGGCGCTGCCGTTGTCGCCGACTCCTTCCCGTCTCCAATGGATACGCCGTCCAGCTTCGGTATGGGTCCCCCTTCGATGGGCGGCACGCCTGGTCCGGCTCCTTTCGGTGCAGGAGGTTTCGGCTCTGGTGCCGGCTTCCCGAGCCACCAGTACGGTGGTCCGCCTGCTAGCTTCGGTATGCCGTCCGCTCTTGGTGCGCCGAGCCCGTATCCTCCGATGGGTGCGCCGTATGGCAGCAGTGGTGGTATGCACTCCACCGGCTTCGACAGCCGTGCCGCTGAGGCTGCGTTCTCGTCTGCTGGGCAACCCCCTTCTGCCGGCGCTGGCTATGCAAATGGCGGCTTCTCGGATGGTCACTCTGATCCGTTCTCTTTCCTCTCGACCGGGCTGGGCGGCCTGTCGATGGGAGATGATTCCAGGCGCAATGTTGGGAATTCGTCTAGCAAGTCTCCGGCTTAGACGTAAATACATCTGAAGGTGGCGTTCCTACGCATATTTCCGGTCAATATCTCGAACACAATCCAGGAACGTCTCGCTGTGGACGGCAGCAACGGTGCTGGGAATCGGACCATTCACTTCTTTTCATTGACATTACGGACGGAGGGGATTCTTCTTCGCAAAGATCGGGTATCAAACAATGGAGGGTGGCAACGGCAGGGGAGCACTTGTGCGTCGGGCCGGCCGGGCTACTAGACTGTGGAGATTGGAATTTGGGGAGTTCTTGACTTCATGCTGGTTGATTTGCGCAGAGCCAAAGGAAAAGTTCTCGACGGGTGTGAGGGGTCACAGATTGGGTCCCGGCCTGCGTCCTCGGTCTTCTCTTTCCTTCGTCTCGGAGCTCCGTTCCTTTCTCTTTCGGTCCCTAGTCACCTTTGCAGCTGTGTTCACGGTTTGTATGCTGCATCTCCTTTCTTTTCCTTCATTTGTTTCTTGTTTCATACACAAAATCATTCGGAGCATAGCGTTAGCGGCGGTTCGGTGGAAAAGAACCTGGAGGGGGCGTCAGGTTGTAAGGTTGTTAGGTTCAGGGGGTGGGTGGATTTGCTTGCAGATACTGGGGCTTTCGAATGTCGAATCGGAGCGGTTTTGCTGTTGTCTAGGGGCGGGAAACGGTGCTTCCGTTGGTAGTGGTCTGGTATGCTATCTTGTGTTTTCAGTTTCCTTTTTTGTTGGTATTGACGTACATTCCCATTTCGTTACAAATTGCGAGATATCGAAAATTGGAAGCGCGGATATGTAGAAAGCGAGATCATAGCTGTTAGTACAATATTTCACGTATCTTCCATACTGCGTGTGTGTGTGTATGCCTCATCTCTTGCAACGAGGCTGCTGAACCTACCCTGCCTGTGATAAGGGAGCGGACCACAGAAAATCGCGAGATGTTCCTTTGGATCCCTATGTCTTCTTTCCACGTGTCTACGATCCGCAAGCCTCATCCCCACTCACCTCAGCACAGCCTCACAAGCCTCCAACCTTGTTACATCGCCCATCTCCGATTCCTCATCCCTCGTTGAGTCCTCCAATACTCTAATCCTACTCAGCTCTTGGCGCCGGCTGCTGGAACTGTGACTCGTCACTCCGTCTTCGAATGGACTACACGTGGGACATTGGTCATCACGACCTGCCATGGACCCCACAGGGGGTGAAGGCGGCAGCCTTTTCTTAGCCTAAGCTTCTGGAGGGAGAGGGCATATGCTCAAGCTTCATATCGGGTAAGCGAGCTCAGGGAAACATGGAAAGTAGGGTAGGCTGAGATTGACGACAGAGTTGGAGAGACACGACACGAGCACATTTAAGCCATCAAAGATCATCATTGATAGAACTAGACTGGTAGAGAAGCAATGTCCCAAAGCCTCAACTCCACGCACCTAATCGCCAACCCTCCCTTCCCCAGCCAAGCAACAGTACGACTTACCCATCGTCCTATGGAAAATCACCCAACCCCCTCTCCTCAACCCCGGCCCTCATAACAGGCACCCTCTCCACCCTCCCCCCGCCACCACCACCAACAGTCTGGCTGAGAATCGCACTCCCGTTGCGGAACAGCACGAGTAATTCCCTGCCCCCACCGCCCTCGTCGGACACCCACGCGGCCGCCAGCCCCGTTCCTGGTAGGAAGGCTTGGTGGAGCGGTGAGCCGCGGGTCAGGAGGCCAGGAGACAGCGCAGACGCAGCGGATGCCGAGGACACCGAGGCCGTGTTGGTCGGCGCGGAGCTATTCCTGATCTCCTGTAGTGCGGCGATGAGGATGGCCGCGGCTGGGGAAATAGCACGGCGGCTGTTGCTGTTGCTGTTGCTAGCACCGACGTCGCCAACGCCGCGGGTGAGGTCGCGGAAGTAGAAGGATGGTTCGACGACTGCGGCGGCGGAGGGATCGGCGGTCGCGGTGTCGTTCGCTTGAGCGGGGAGCGCGTAGACAATGGTGTCGGCTGTGGTGTTTGCGGCTGAGGCGAGGGTGCCGGAGATGGCGGCGAGCGGGAGGGAGAGGTTCGTGTCAGATGCTGGGGCTGGCATTTCGGAGGCGAGAGCTGCATGCGTGGGCGGATTAGTGCGTGTAGCTTCTCTGGAGGCTGGGTTAGAGGATGGAGGAGGCCGAACAGGTGAGGGGGGATTGAAGGATAAGTGGTGGGGGAAGGAGACTTACCTGTCTTCCACTCCCCAGTCTCGGCACTGTAAACCGACTGCATGAAGTACGTCCCTCCCTCCGCCTCATCCGCCTTTCCAGCAACACCGTAATGATAAAGAATAAGTCCAGCGAAATCATTCCCACTCGTACACGCCAACCCTCCTTTCGCGGTTGGCTCCACCTCCACCTCTCCCATCCTAATCGCTTGCCCGCCATGAATCGGCCCTAAATACTCCCATCCCCCGTTCCTCAGCCCAGCCTGGAGCACGCGCCCATCATCACCGCCATAGAACAGGCGCACCTCACTGGTGCTGTTGTCAATAGCGTAGGAGCAGGCGGCGAGAGCGGTGGTAGGGGAGGCGAGGAGCTGGAGATCGTAGAGGGAGACGCCGCCGGTGTTGCGGGGGTACCAGCGCCAGGCTTCTTGAAAGTTGTAGGGGGCGTCGGTGTAGATTTCTTGGAGATGGGAGGAGCTGGATATGTAGAAGAGGGAGCGCTGGGGGCGCGGTTGGTTAGTTTGGCGTTGGTGATATGAGTCTGGGGGTGGAGAAATGCGGTGCCAATAGAGCAGGACTGAAAGACGGTGCAAAAAACGCTTCTTGTGGGACGCTCGTAGATGGTTCTGCAGGACTCTGGAAAGATAGGGACGTCGCGTACAAAAGCAATTGCAATAGGCGGAACGAAGCAACTGACAGGAGAGATGGGAACATGCAAAACAACCTACCAAATCATCACCATACCACACCCCCACCAACCCCGTTCCCATCCGCGGCCCCGGCACATATCTCGGCTCCCCCTCCGCAGTCTTATAATTGAGCCCATCTCTCGGCAGCACCGTCACGTTGCTATTCCCACCATACCACTCACCACCCGAGTACACCAACTCCAGCACATCTCCACTCTCATGCTGCACATAGCCATACAGCAGCGACTCGAAATATGGGTGTCCCAAGAGCGCGAGAGAGGTGTTTGGAAGCGAGCCGCCGTAGCGCTCGTCCGGGGGGATGTGGCGAGGAGGGTCGGGCTTGAGGCCGAATCCCAGACCGAGGCCGAGGGAGAGGGCGAGGAGGGCGAGGAGGGCAAGGGCGGTGAGGATGACGAGAGCGAGCTTGCGGCCTGGGAAGGGTTAGGTGGGTTAAGGGTGGGTTGGAAGGGGGACGTACTGATGGGTGGTCGACGGACTCGCGTGGCTGACATCGCTGCGAGTGTGTAGTGCTCTATGGGATTCGACTGTGAGTTTTTCGAGGATGCTGGACTCGAAACGGCACCGAGGAGGAAACAAGAGCGCGATGGCCGTCAGGTGAGCAGGAACAGCGTTAGAGAGAAAATCTGTATGAGCAAGCAGGTATCCTGTAGGTAATGATTATAGCGGAGCGCTCGTCAGGCTGGAAGGAATAGAGTGATTGCAACTAGGTAGGATAGCATTGTGAGGGAGCATGTGATGTTCGAGAAATCTTGAAGCCGAGTATAAGCGACACTCGGTACATCATGGAGAGTACGTGGACATCTTTGGTTATATCGAGTGACAGTACGGCGTGAACAAGTAGACACACGTGAGCAGGGCATTGCACGCTGTGAAGCATGCTGTGCCCGCTTCGGGAAACTATCAGCGATGTGCGGAAATTCATGTGTTGTGAACCGAACCGCCGAAGAACTACGTGAATGAAAAGGGTTGGCACAGAAAAGTTCAAGGCGGTGTATTTATTGATAGTATCGAAACGTATGCTTGGATAGAAGAGTGACAGAAAACATTCGACCAGAAAATGCCGCTGAAAGCGTCCGTAGGTATCTGCTGAGCTCCTGAAAACGCCCCGACACCATCCAAAACTGCAACGCACGCAGAAGCTAGTTCATATCACCCATGGCCATTTGCTCCTATCAGGCTCCATCTCATCAAGCAAACAATGGCCCTTCTCGCCCACTTCCATCTTGAGGAAGTCCAGCGTAGCTTTGTCGTTGGTAAAGAACTGTTTCGACCTCGCACCGCACGCAATGTTCGGAGTGACGTCGGTAGATTGAGCCTGCAGCCTCCCATGCTCGTCAGTCCCCTGATTGACTTCGGCAATCTCAGACGGCGCCTCGGTATGGTGGAACAGTTCCGGATTGGCACTGTAGCACTTGTAGCCCAGGTCTCTGCAAGCCTCCAGTGTGCGAACATCGAAGGCCTGCTTGCCGCCGTCCGTTTCGCGTGCAGCCAGCTCAGTGGAGATGCGCCGCGCTGACGCTTGTGTGACCGCGTAGCCGAAAGTGCACAGAGGCCAGCTCGAACGATGTATCATCCGCTCGTACTCGCCGAAGCCGAGACGCTGGAGGAAGGCCTGGGTCTTGGTGTGCATGCGCTTGAGGGGCGGCAGCGTGTTGTCGACGAATCTCTCGTGCGGCATGCCTTTGAACTTATCGGCGGAAAAGATGTCGCCGCAGTGGCCGAGGTGTATCATCTCCCATTGGCTTAGGTCGGCCCAGTAGGTGGCATCGGAGTGAAGCAGCTTGCGGAAGGCTTTGGCGACGAGAGGGACTTCGACGGTGCGGAGGCGGATGTCCCAGTCCACATCGTCTTCTAGGATGAGTGCGGTCTCGAGGCCGGATTCAAGGAACCTATATCGGTGGACGCGTGTCAGCCGAGCCTCTTGGAAGTTCGGGAATAGCACAGTATTCAGATTTCCATACCACTTAAGGGCGTTTAGATGGCCAAGCCAGGCCAGCGCCGAGCCTCTTGTGATTTTAGAGCCTCGGTCTGCCTTCAGGCGCGCGACATCCGCGTCCGTCCATTTCGGTTGAAGCGGTATGGTAATCTCAACGCCGGTGAGGTTGGCAGCGAAGAGCAACTCTTCTCGCCTGGGCGACTGCGGTCGCGACACTGCCAATACAGCGCCAAACTGCGCACAGCTGTTAGCAATGACGCAGGGAAGACGAGGCCATATCCCGTCGTATCAGGGATCCTACTCCTAGGGTCGCATTGGCGGCGGTGACGCCTGCAGGCAGCGAGTACGAAATCGGAGCATGTCGCCAGGGAACGCCAAAGTAGAGGAAGGTCGTGAGACAGAGCGCCAGCAGGGCCAGCAGCTTGTGGTGCATTGCTGCGAGACGGATTCTTGCTGCTGGAGGATAGATGTCGGCGCGAATCTTGCCTCGTCAGGGCTCAGCCCTCGCGGCCAAGGGGGCCCCATTTACGGGAGAGGCTGCGTCAAACGGGGCTGGGCAGAGCGGCGCCAAGTGCCCAAACTACGGCACGGCTTGCGGCACCGCTGGGCACGGGAAATTTGCACAAATCAAGCAAATCAGCCCTAACTTTATTGTGTTAAAGTGTCGCGCGAACCTCTCCCGTCCGCGCCGTTTTCGCTGTCGTGTCGCCCACCTCCAGCGCGCCCATCTCCCTCCCACCGCTGTTCCTGCATATCGTGGAGTCTCTTCATGCGCTCTGCGCCGCGATCCACAATTATCTAGGTAAGCAGCAACAATGGCAACCGAGGTGCAGCAACCCGGCACTGGCGAGCCCAGATTCTCGCGTTACCGTTCCGTGCGGAAAGCGCAGCAGCAGCAACAATTGCCAGAAATGCCTGCGCCGACGGATCAGGAGCCCATCGAAAGTACGCAAAATTGCCCCGTTAGCAGGAGCATGTCAAGATACCATCGCAAAGGCCAAGCGACTACAGCTGCATCTCCTCCACTTTCGGGATCCACAGCCATACGCCGTGTAAACACACAACAGTCTCCGCCACCAACAAGCCGTGACGATGCGCGCGCTCGAGCGCAGAGCAATGCTGCACAGCAGCATGCAGGCCTGTCTGACACCGCCTCGCGCCCGCAGAAGAGAACTCAAATTGAGACAGAGAACGACAGAAAATCGTCGCCAAAGACACCACGTGACGAGGCGCGAGAGCTGATCGCCAGCGAAGGGGAGCGTCAGAAGTGCGTTCAGGCCAAACTCAAGGAAGAGAAGAAAGCAAAACACGAAGCCGAAGAGTCGGCGCGTCTGAAGGCGCAGCAAGAGCAAGAAGACGCCCAACGTCAACGCGAGCAGGAGGAGTCGGAAAAGGCCGAGCGCTTGCGACTCGATCAAGAGATGGAACGCGCCGCCAAAGCAAGAGCACGACAGAGTGAAGAGCGGCGTCGGCGGGTTGAGGAGCAGCAACGAGTTGCAGACCAAGCGGAGCGGCAAAGGCAAGAGCTTCAAAAGGCTGCTCAGAGCCAGGCGCCTCGTGAGATTATAGCCACTGCCCCTGAACCAGCAGTCGTGGAGCCGCAGTGGTACTGTGGGCTGAACAAGTTGTTCAAGAGGCGGGATGCTGAAGAATCATCTCCATCGCGCGGTACACACGGCAAGACCGCGATGTCCGGCGAAAGCAGTCCGCCTTCAAGGCCAGCCAAGCCTAGTGTTGGTGGAGCGGCACCGGGCATTGACGCGCCAATCTCTGCTGTCAATGCTGGAGACCGACGCGTTTTGGTCGAATGCAACAGGTCCTCGGTCCTTCTTCCCGTAACACCCACAACAACTGCGCTAGATCTTATACGCTCTGCATCAACATGTCTTTCCGAGCCCATTGACCCCCGAGCGTCGGTGCTGCTCGAGTCTTTCGGCAAAGTGGGCGTGCAGCGCCCCTTGCGAAATTACGAGCATGTCAGGGACGTCCTAAACTCCTGGGACGACGACAGGCAGAACAGCCTCGTGGTGGTAGAGTCGGCAACAGGCGGCAACGACAAGGATCTAAGTGCATCGCACGTTTCGGAGGAGAAACCAGCGGAGTACTCATGTTCGGTGTACTACTCGCAGAGGCCCGGCAAGTGGGACAAGCGGTGGATCACACTTCGTTCGGACGGTCAGGTGCTTGCAGCGAAGAATGAGAGTGGAAAAGACAGTACGAATATCTGTCACATCTCCGATTTCGATATATACACACCGACACCGCGGCAGATAGCAAAGAAAATCAAGCCTCCGAAGAAAATCTGCTTCGCGATCAAAAGCCAGCAAAAATCAAGCATGTTCATGACGACCACTAGCTATGTGCACTTCTTCTGCACTAGCGACAGGCAAATCGGCACTGCCTTCTACAAGGCGGTCCAAGGCTGGCGAAGCTGGTACCTAGTTAACGTGATGGGCGAGGGCCAGAAGAAAGCACGACCAGCTGCTAGCGAACCAGCTGCTGTTCGACAGCTCTCGGGCGCTCACGACGTCCCTCCGAGCGGCGAGAGGTCCACCTCCTTCAGTGGAGCTCGACCAGGCACCTCGACTTCCCAGGACTCCCACTACCAGCTCGGCTCATTCAAGCCTCTACTGGATATATCCCAATTCAGCCAGCAACCCACCGGCGACCGGCGAAACAGCTCAAGTGGGCACGATGACCCCACAACACTACCTGCCCGCAAGCCGTCCACACGTTCAAAACACCCGCCCCCAGTCTCCTACCCCACCCACGTCTCTAAAAACTCCAACACCAGCAACCGCCTCAACTCCATCCAAAGCAGCCACCACTCCGGCCCCGAGGAGTCCGCCTTCGCCCCCTCCGGCCTCCTCGGCCGCACCTACTCGCAGCGCCAAAAGGTTCAACGAGACCGCGACGCCCTCGCCGCGAAAAACGCCAGCAGCCCCTTCACCGAGGGGCCTTCGTTGCTCAACATCAGCGTCGCCCCCTCCGCCAACCCCACAGGCACAAGCGCCGCATACATCCCCCGCGCCTCAACCGACGACACCCGCCCCACGCGCATGACCTCCGTGCGCTCCACCCGGGGCCGCGACCGCGACTCCAGCGACCTAGCCCGCACGACCTCCGGCGCGCGCCGCGAGAAGCCCAAGCCGCTGGTCGATCTGACACCGCAGTACGTCGAGCCGCCGCAGTTCTCGAAGCGCGGCAAGGGCTTCAAGCCCGAGCAGCTCGGCCCAGGCGGGCTGATCGACAGCGCGACATCGCCCGAGTTCGCGATCACGATTCCGCCGAGTCTGGACTGGCGGGCGCGGCCCACCACGGGCGCCGGTGCGCAGGGTCAGGGCGCGGGGTTCGGTGCCGTGGTGGACCGCACGCGCAGCCTCCGTGGTCCTGGAGGCACGAGGTTGCAGAGCCTCGCGGCGAATAACCACGAGAATGTGCCGGAGAACAGCGCCGATGCGTTTACGGGCCAGGGCCTGTTGGCGCTCGCGGGGCCTAGCCAGGGGGATGCGGCGAGGGGGCATGGGGTGATGAGTGGGGCGAATGCGAGGGGGCCGATGCTGGATGTGCGGGAGGAGAGTCAGTTTGTGAAGGGGAGTTTGCTTGCGGATGTGGAGGGCCGCACTCCGAGGGGGTTGGTGATTGATCGGGAGAAACGAGTTGAGGGGGACGTAAGGACGGGGGAGGGGTTGTGAGCGCACGGTTCCGCTGAAGGAGGTTTTTGTTCGCATGTTTTGGCGTGTTGTGGCGTCAATGCTGTTGTTGGAGCTGGGGAAAAGTATTGATACCTCTTTCTTTTGTTGGGTCTCAGGCCGGTGTGTAAGCTTTGGCAAGATGCCCGCTTTCTCTTGCGGACATGTCGCGTCCGTTTCTAGTCCCGCGTCCTCTCGTTTGCTGCTGGGTGAAGGCTTTAGCACTTCTCTCTCTGCATGCTGTAGCAACACCGTTTGATTGTAAAAGAATCATGGCCGATGGCTTGCCCGTCCTATTTGATGTTGACGCAATCTTCGTCTTTCTCCCTTTCTCAAAGCCCTAGTGCGCTTGTAGTCTTCGTACTGGGGCCGCCCGAATTCCTCTCGAAAACCCTTAGGATGAGTAAGGAGCCGATAGGAAGCATAATTTGCTACGTTTAACGGAAGGTGAGAACAAGGAAAGCCGTGTGGTTGAAGCCAGGTGTCCATGGTAAACAGTGCGTGTGAAGTACAGTCAGGAGGATCCAGCTGTTGTGCAAGAGACTCTTCTCGTTGAGAAGTTGATACACAGAGCATTCGACGGTTGCAGCGGTTCCTTTGTAGCAGTGGGAAGCGTTCAGATGTGGATATCGTAGAACGCTTCCAAGGGGTGCCCTGTCTCTGGCTTGGTAAGGAGCGGAACAGGTTCCTGTAGAAGGTTTCGAGGCGCAGGAGGGTAAACAAACGTGTTGTCTGGAAGCGTGTCTGGGCTGCACGGCAGCAGGTTGTTTGCCAGATCAGTTTCCTGACGGCTGGTGGTGCGCTCGAGATAGTCGCCGCTTGTTCCATGTTCGACGCTGACCGTGCTCTCAGATTCCCGGAATGCTTAATGGATTTCGAACGTCTGCTCTTGCAGTTCACCGTTTCGTAGCATCTCCATGGCTTCTCCACGCATGATTCCATGGATGTAGGACTGGCCTAGCAAAATATAGTGGTCATCGCGCCGCCTCAGGATGAAAGGCATTGTAGCACCGTAAAGGATACAGCAGAGGTCGCCCTCCTGCAAGACTCTCGGACCAAGTCCGAGATAGCCTCTCTTAGAGATGAAAAGCCTCCTGCGGTCGCATACGCCGAACGCACGCCGGGCATAGCGATACCAATCTCCATCTCCTGCGTCTCGGCGTGGCTGCGAGTTTTCTTCCGATGGACTGCTGACGCTGCGAGCGATATCGTAAGCACGATTCTGATACGCAGCGAAGTCGGCAAGATGCGTGGCCAGCCCGTCATTCTCTACGTCATTTATAAACCACCCCCTCCCCGCACTCAACGTGAGAACAAACGCCTTGAGACGATCGGCCTGAGGATACACCAGTGGCGGAGTGGTATCAATGAACTGGGTCGACAGTTTTCTTAAAACGTTCGCACCGGTAATCTGAGAACTCATAGGCCCAAGAAGAGAGAGGGCCGCTTTATGTAACGTCTCTGAACAGAAGGATATGGCGTCGAACACCAAACCCCGCAAGTGCAGTACACCATGACCAGCCGAAGCTGCGAACCAGAACTTCGAACCTGCCGCCGCGTCATACCACACTCGGCCCAAATCAGTAACAAATACAGTCACAGGCCGGCCCAGATACCATCGTGGTGGCCATGAAGGAGTGCCATCTTGTATGGTATCAGCCGCGTGTTGAATGAATGATAATATGTGCAGGTCCTGCCTCTGTTCTATATGTCTGATAGCTAACAATTCATACAGTTGCTGAGTGGACAAAGTATAGTCTGCGGGGACGATCGTACCGGCTTCAGACTTGGCAGTTGGATGAGCGAGGAAGGCGTAGATGTAGTCTCTCGGGTCGGAAGCCAGACTCCCACAGGCCGTATACAGGACGTCGACAAAGTCTTCACAATAGGGAATTTGTGTTTCACCTTCCTTGAAGGAGAAGACATCTACAATATCCACTACGTGGTATACTCGCACATTGAAGGAACGTCCGATAGCAGTCATCCTCTGACTGATGTCCTTCGCCGCTCTGTATACAGCGCTCCACTCAATCTCGGCATTGCCGTAGAACATCAAAGCATAGCGCGCTAGTCCGACCTCCTGAATGATCCATAGGCGACTGAACCACGGGAGATCAAACATACGGGCAAGCGATGTCCATCGAAGTTCATCGTACTGATAAAGATCCTCAGGAGGGACGTCTGGGATGGCGGAATAAGAGCCGTACTTTTCCAAGGAGTTGGTGACCACATCGCAAACTTCCCTCAACAAAGCGAAATTGTCTTCCGCCTCGCCGTCAATGTCAGGACCGAGCCAGACGAGGACTCTCCGCGCGCTCTTGAAGATCCTGCCCATTATCGTGACCTGATGTCCTCGCTCTTTTTCGTCTTGCTGATTGATACAGATTGCATCTGCCCACAATCTCCGCGCCTTATCGGGCAGACGCTGTCTCTGAAGTGCAGTCCATAAACTGGCGGTTATGTAGATGCTCCGGCGGTCGCACGTGATCTGCCTCTGGTTGTTGGAATTTCCCCAGGCGTATGAGATGGCCTCGTAGGAGGCGGCGGTCTTGATATCTTCAAGCGCTAGACTGCACGTGATGGGATCGTCCTGCTCGCCTGGATGGAGGAGTAATGTTCTAAACGAGTCCGCTTGCCGTAGAGGTTCGTAGTGATACGGAAGCATGTACAAAGCATGAGAGAAGCGTCTCACACTTATGTCAGAGGACTTTTCCCGGCTCGATTCACTGGTGCGGAGCTCTTCACGACGTTCTGCCATCGAGGACAACTGCACAGAAAGGCGTCTAGGAAATGTCCAGGGAAACCGTTGCGTTCTAAAGAGTTGAACTCGGGGGGTTGAAAGGCTTTGGCGCAGCGCGCTGGCAGGCAGCAAGCTGAAAGTAAGATGGTAAGGCTGAAAAGGTGCTCAACGCGGCAACAGACGTTTCAGGATACCTTAACAAGGTACGGTCACTCCCCAACGGTCACCTTAGGGTGGCACGGGGGGTTGTAAGAAGAAGATTGCAAGAGGGGCGGTTGATGAGAAGAACATAGGTAACCATGCCTGACCTTGAGTATTAGTTATGCTATGTGGCTGTTTACTTCCCCGCAGCAGCCTGTGCTGCGCCTTCCAAGCTGTGTAACTGAGGGCGCTGTGGTTGACCCAATTGAGTGATAGAACCGCACACGTGACTTGGTTTACACAGCCGCTCTTTCACACCGAGTGCTGGAAGCTCAGGGATCCGTAGGCGGGTGTGCATCTACAACCGATAGGCACACGAGGCGCAGTCATACTTTCACCATGTCCTTAACGAACTCCCAATCTTGTTTATAAAGTTAGAGGTCCTTTTCCAAAACCGGACCTATACCTATAGGTGACTTCACTGCTAGGTTGTTGTTACGAACACCTACAACAAGTCTACCTCGATTGATGTCGAAGGTACCTATGAACCATCTTATGGACACGGTGATCCACATTGATCCAATCCGGAATATCCTTGTACAAAGCGCCACAATGCGTATGACCTCTCTGCACTAAGAGAGTCCGAATGTACACAAGCACCTGGAAACGCTCCGCGCCATGTTCTACAAGCCTTGAATCTTCGTACACAGCTGTCGACCCATCTAGCCACACCCGGCTTCAACTTCCTCACTTCTTCTTCGTCCTCAACCTCCTGCTCTCCGCATTCCTCTCCTTCCGCGCATTCCTCTTTCGCCATGCTGTAAAGCGGTCCCCACGGTCAAACTTGTTAACCTTGACCCCCTTCTTCTCCGCCGCCCGGCCAATCTGCCAGTTCGCCTCGCGATACATATATCCCGGCCGCATGACCAACTCCTTGTTCCCTGTTTTCACCACCTGAGGGACCTTGTCTTCCCTCGGCGTCTCCCTCACCATACCCTCTCCACTATTTGCACCTTCCACCAGATCTCCCACTGCGTCCTCCCTAGCCTCTTCTATATCTTCCCGCTTGACCGCCAGCATACCCAGCCGTCTCCTCCTCGCCGCATTCGGCGGCACCGGCAGCGTCTGATGCCTCTCAAACACGACGCCAATGTACTGCCGTTTGGGGTGCTTGAGCGGGTCCTTGTAGTACTTCACATAGCCCGGCTGCGTCGCGAAGATGGTGTGGTCGCGGCCGATGTCGCAGTTCTCGCCGGGGAACCAGAGCGTGCCGCGTTGGCGGAAGATGATGTTGCCTGGGATGACATACTGTTCTGTGGAAAGCCGAAATGAACAGGATTAGCGGATGGTTCATGCAGTGGTGGGGAAAGAGCTTTTGGGGGCGTAGAGGGCAGAGGAAGGGGTCACGTACCGCCTGTCTTCTTGGCTCCTAGTCGCTTTCCGGGCCCGTCTTTGGGACCGTTTGCTCGGCCTTCAGACTGATGCGTTGCGTGTCGGACGAAGGAGAGAATCGTGGTTGCAGGGGCGGCATTGCTGCATCGGATAGCTTCGAGGGCGGTGTTGGAAATACTGGATGTGGTATGTGGGTTTCTGGATGCCGCAAATGCAGCCCGGGTGGGCGCACATAATCGTGGGAGTAGCATTGGTGATCTGAGTTGCGGAGGTGCTGCGGAGGATTGGTTCGAGTTTTGGAAGATATGGCCCGTGCACATTTGAGCCTCAATGAGCCTCAGTCAACTTCGTAGCCACAGATAGCCATGAGACACATTCTTGCAGTGCCACTGAGCTTGGTTTTCAAGGTACGTTCAAAATTCTTTGTTATGCATATCCCGTGATTCGTTGTGTATATAGAGGTATCTCAAAACGTGGAAGCACCCATCAGATCTCCATCAGCATCTCCCTCCCCTAGAAAGCATAATTCGTGCAACATGACTTCGAACCCTCCGGCTAATGCAAGCTAAAGATTAGAGCATCCACCTATTACAGAGCATCTACGCAATGCGCCTCCTACTCCAAAACTGCTCGCATCCCTGTGCGTTTCAGTACCCGGAACATGCAGGTACTGACACTAGGGCCAGCTACTGCTGCCACCTGTGTAGCTACGAGCTTGACATCAAATGGAACACGAAGCGGCAACGTGGTTCAAAGGCGCTTCCTAGCGGGCGGTATCGTGTGAGAACGATAGTCAGGCGGGATTATCGGAAAGATGCGACGTCGGAGAGGTGACGGTAGCCAGGCCGCGGGGCTTGCCAACGCTTCCTAGCGCACCATGCTACATGAAGCATAAAGTCGAAGGCATGCTGCTTTCACCACACCAGAGGAGATGTGATAGTCGGCGTGGCTGATAATGCTCAATCCGGAGAATGCGGCACAATCCTTCTCGCGTTCTCAAATTCGAATGACGGTGATACCGCGACAGCCTAGCTGCCAGACTTCCTGGAGAGTAACGACGTCCTCAGCTGCATGTATGCTTGTACAGCTGGGTCGTTTGGATTGATCTGCCGCGAAGATGAGGGCTGGCTGGAGCTATGCTGCGAGCGCTGAGGTACCGATTTGGACCATGACTCAATAGAGGTGGAGCGAGACTGAGCGGCGAGAGGATAACCGCTGACCGGTTGCATAGAGGCAGCAGAAGTCATCGTGAAGTCGGGGCGGATTGTGCAGTGGACTTGGAAGAGGTTTGACCTTCGAGTGTGAAGTTGGAAGATATCTACGAGGTAGTGTATATAGGATAGAGGGGAGTGTAGTTTAGCTGAAACAGGCTTGCGTGAACTTGAAGAGATGAAGCTGAGCGGGGTGGTGTCGCTTTATCAATTGTACGTGATGGTGGAGTAGGTACAAAGATTTGGCATGCCAGCCGCGACCTACCTGGGTAACCTGATCATTACTCTTAGCATCTGCAGCGGTGAGGATGCGAGTATTTGATCTTCAAACGATGTAGCTGGATCCACAGACGTGGTCGAGGACTGCCGGGCAGGTAGTTGTAACCAATAAATGAATGTTTGCTCTGTGTAGCTCGGCGAAGGACGAAACCCGTCTTACACAAGCGCTCACTCGGCTCGAGTAAGGTGACAAATATGCACAGACAAGAGCCAAGCGTGCCAAACATTCGGTTGTGGCCCTGACGAGGTTGTTGATAGAGGGACTTACTCCATATTCCAAATAAATGCCACTAGCCGGGCACGCTATGCCTCGTCTCACGAGGCCGTGGCTCTCCACTCCACACACCGCATCGGTCAAGTCTCCGATCTGCTCGCTGCTCTATTGTGAGCCGAAACCGACGGGCCTTCGGGACCCGATGATCAGGCTCGTGGTCGCCGCGTGGAGGGTGCGAATACCATCAAAGCCTGACGGTGTTCTTGGTGACAGGAATCTCAGTCCCAGATTTCAGGCAAAGATGGGCACGGGCCGAAGAGCTTCCGAAGTGCCAGGCTTCGTGGCACTCCTTCCTCTTGGGAACATCCTCTTCTGCCCTACAGGGTTGCTTGAACCATGCCACTATCATACGATAGAAAGCTCGGACGGTACAAGAAGGTGATGCCCGTAATCCTTACGGTCCTTGGCGCATGTGTTTGCCCGACGGCGCTGCAGCTAGATAACCTTACTGCACGGCAAAGCGGGACGACGAAGTGGTAAGAGTTCACTTTTCACGAGCTGTCATTGTCTGTAACCACTCGTTTTCCCAGATGTCTGTTGAGAATTCCGTTCATTTCATAATGCGATAACTGGGAACGCGTGTGGGGCCGCACTGGAACTCCGGTTGCCATGTCAATCATTTCAGAGACACAATTTGTCTACCGTGGGGTTTCAAGGAGCGTACTCTTCTCCCGAATGATAGGAGCGATATCCTAGACTGCTCCAAAAGAAAGAAATGTACGGCACCGGATGTGGCACCCACTACTGCGGCAGCGCCCTGCAGAGCCAGCGTGAGCATGTGCATGCGGGCGTCAGGCTCGCCAGTTTATCTAAGCATTGTTTTGTCAAAGTATCCTGATTGTTTGTCTTTCTGTTATGCATGCATTTACTGTACATCACAACTGGGGTAATCACACCGCTCGCGGTACAGCCAAATCGTCAGTCAAATCCGGTCAATCATTCGCTTCAAATTCCAAATTCCAGATTTCAAATCTCAACGCCTGTTAGAAATGCGAGCTACCCCATCCGTCTACATGCATAACGCCAGAGTGATGCACAATCGCAGAGTGCGAATCAAACGTCTATTGTCATTAGAATTCTTGTAGTCGTTCATCCCGTCTAGTCATATCCGGATATCCAGTGTCAATTTTTGTTCAAGAATCCCAAATCGGCCCATATGCCGGCACACCGCGCGTCTCCATCCCGTAGACGATCTTCCACGTGAGCTTCTGGTTTGAAATGACTAGGACAGCCTCAGCAGAAGCCTCCTTGTAGAGCTCGTAAGTCAGACGAACCATGTCCTGGCGGCCAGACTTTCGCGTATCGATGATGACCGCGTTGGGATCAGCTCTGTAAACGATGTCGATGATGTCTTTGCCGAAGGTGGTTTCCGGGCTTGGGGCAGACCAGAGCACACGGCAGGGAAGAGACGGAAAGCCGTTGAAGAGGCCAAGACACGGTCCGATGCCTGAGCCTGTGGCTACGATGACGACAGGCTTGAACAAGGTAGCCACTCGCAGGACGCCAAAGGTCGGGACACCTCGCACCCAGATTTTGCGCGGCGGATTGCGGATAATTCGTTTGGTCCAGTCGCCGGCGTCCGAGATAACGACAGAGTAGCCGTTGCCCCCGTTAGGCTCAGGAATACACGCGAACGAGTGCAGCTCCTTGAGGGGAATGTCTGCCAAGCGAACTGTCTGGCATGCTTCAGCATTGGAACCTTTGAAGTGCAAGCGCACAGCATGGTCCGAGAGAGGCTCCGCCTCCACGTCTTTGAGCCGGAGTCGGGTCCAAGGATAGATGACCAGGCACGTGGAGCTAAGCAAGAGCCAGAAGCCTGGTGTAACGAGCAGCACCTGGCCGAGGGTCTGCCCTTGCTCTTTCCCGGTCAAGGCAGCTAGAAGCATGACTTGTGCCCACGCCGCAGCGATGATACTCCAGCCCGCACAGCGATGCACTAGCTCGAAGTAGTTGTGCAGCGTCGCGCGCAGATGAGGATGGGCAAAAACCAGGATTGCGATAAAGAGCGAGAGGACTAGCCAGCCGATGACAACGACGGCTATTTCCAGAGGGCGTCCGCGTGCGAACAAGAAGGTAGTAGCCATCAGATACACTAGATGCCAGACAACGGCAGCTACGCCGCATCCGCTGTGAATTCCGCCATAGCTGTACATCTTGGCCATTAGACGGCGAGCGAAGAGCGGCGAGCGCGTTGGTATGCTGACGGCGACGCGGAAGAGAAGGTTGACGAAATGTTCATTCCGTGTGATAAGAGAGGTGAAGACGTTGGACATCGTGGCCGTTGCCGCAATGGTGGGAATGCTGTGGTAAGCGTCATATCGACTATCCACAACAAGTTTGCGGATAATCAGAATGAGCGGAATGAGGTTGCCAAGAAAGACGATCGAGAAGAGTCTTCGGTATACGGAGAAGAAGTTCCAACGAAGATATCGGTAGACGCGGTTGCCCGCTTTGTCCGGAACTGGCTTTACTAGCACTAGCGACTCGGTCGAGGTGGACTTGTCGACGCCTGTACTGCTGCCCACGGTCAGAGTGCTGGCCAAGCTTGGCGAGAGCTTCTCGGAGAGCCCCTGGAACTCGATCGTTATGTCCATCGCGATGGTGGACGGCAATTCCGTAAGTTATTTACAAAGGAAAGAATTGAATCGAATACTGAATTGTCAGGGAAAGTATAAAGCACTCATGGTGGCTTCGATCGTTATATAAAAGATATTGGAGTCACGCATGGTCGAGGCATGCTATATACCGCTGAAAGCCTTTCAACCTCTTCACTCATTGTTTTCGCCATCAGCGGAAGGATCACGCGAAGGATCACGCGAAGTATACGCCTCGGCGCTCATGCCGTCCTGGATATCGCCAATTCCGAGTGCATGCGGTAGAGCCGCTCTAAGCCCGCAACACCAGCTGCACGCAATAACGCTCGGGCTGAGGCCTCAATATCTTTGCTGAAACGGCAAAATGCACCGCCTGGAACCAGGAGCGGATAGAGAAGGTCGACAACACACTGAGGGCGCAGCTGACCGATTACTCAGATGCTCAAGCAGTTGTGGACCTTGCGGCAGAAATAGCATTTGGCTCTGAGGCGTAGAGTTCTAGAAAGCTGGCCCCCAAAGCGGATAAGGCTGTGTGGAAGGTTTTGGTGGTTACAGAGCTTGACTTCGCCCGTCCGGCAGTTAAATTGCGAATATCCTGCAGTAGTACGGATTCAAAACGCATGTCAGCATGCTTTTTCTGGTTGTGATAATCCTATGGTTCCAATGAAAGCACATCCAGCAGCCATCGACTCGGTTATCAGCAACGCCACGGAATGGGGCGTAGATCGCGGCAGGCGCAAGGCTGTCTTCGAGCGGCCCGGGCCTGTATCAACGTTGTTGTCCAATCTTTCTGGTACGTTGGAATACCACACGTCCTGCTGGCTAAAATTTACAAACGGGTCATCTTCAAGCGCTCTCGGCTTAGAGAGAATCCCACCGGAGGAAGGGCGTGAATATGGACAAGCGTGCAATACCCTGTGACCGTGGCCACTTCGCACGTGATGCCGAGGCCGAAGAGGACAGTGTATGGAACATCTAATGATTTATGGCTATGCGCTCTAACTCAAACCTACATGTCCGTATACTCTCCGAGTACCGAGACGATACAATGCCGTGCAGGTGCTGCGCTGAAATGTGTTCCAGCTCGATTGGGCTTAAGCTGACCCGCATCAGCAATACCTTGGCGCGAGATTATGTGTATCCCGTCACCGCTGTTGAAAGCGTTCAGCCAACACAGCGATATATTCTAGCTGGTTGATGCTGCTCGCGCACTCCGCTCCCTATTGTACGGCCGACCCGAGCCACGTTGGTGGAACGATGGGCGCCTGAGATGGAACATTCGCTGACAGCAAGATATCCGGGTCAGCTCTACAGCACTTGACTTCCCTCAGTCGCGTGCGGCACAGAACATGTCTGGATCAGCCTCATAAGGCAAATCATGACTGCACGATTCTGTTCTAGGACGACAAGAGCTCCAGGTGCTCCATTGGTCTGACTTACAAGTAGGCACTGGCCAGTTGGAAGGATCCAAGGCTACATGTCCATTAGGCTATTCATTGAGCGCTGACTTTGGACCGGCGTCGGGCTGCAAAGAGTCATGCTTTGGCAGATACTACAACGGGAATTTCAAAGAATGCTTTGAGCCCTCCGTTCAAGGCTGGCCGCCTTGGAAGACCACTTAGGACCAAATTGATGAAATGAACATCATGCGGATACCTACGATTCTGGTCTTCATCTCTTTCTTGGCACTCTGGTGCTGTGAGTGAGAGATGCCTACATGATTCCTGAAGATAGTTGTCTACTAAATGTGATTCCCGGAGGCAGTAGAGACCTTGCAAAGTACTTCAAGAGTCACGAGATGACGCGCCAAGAGCGGTTTCTTTTCCGCTGCCGCGCAGGTCCTGCGATTTCGTATCCTTTCACCAGCAAATCACGATCTTCTACCTATTCAACACAGCTGGAGTGGTACTCGAGTACACTCTAACTCCGTGGTCTGCCACTCAATCCGGCATATGTACCCGGGCCACGCTGGCAGAACAACTGGCGCCTGCGATGGGACAGCTGCTGACAAAAGAACTTGATCATATAAGCGCCATACGTGTATAAATAGGGGCGATAATCTCAGGCGAATCCAGGAACTTCGCAGTTCTAACCAAGAGACCAAGGCGGCGTTGGGCCGTCTGGACGGAACATCTGTATGAGTCTAGTCTGACGACCATGCAGTGCATAGGTAACTCCTTCGCAGAATGACTGCAGGCATTAGTCATATTGGAAGAATACATTTCCACATGCCTGTCTTATAGGGATGTTCCTTGACACGCTAGCCTAAGGCCGATATGCGACGAGACCTAGTTGACAGTCTCAGCCGCCCCTCTCTGATACCGTAACGCTCCCCAGCGGCTCCGCCATGTAACCCTGGCACTGCTCGTAGGAACTCTCAATTGTGCGTAGCTGTACTTGCCGGCAGAATACAGAGATCCTGACTCGTCTACTGATGTCCTTCCATAGGTATATCAGGAGAGTTAATGCTCACTGCTGCAGCGGCAGACGTTGTTGATAAAGTCCCGGATCTGAACGCTGCCTGCGCCGTCTTTGGCCAGCTACCACTGCTGAAACAAGTACCTATACCCAAGAACAGAAGACCCCCTGCTCCTTTGAGTTGCAGAAATCAAAATCAGGACTGGGATAGGGCAAGAAAGAAATCGGATATATTGACTAAATGGATGCATGCTGAACGTTCATGAGCCACTCGTCGTCAAACCCTCTTGTACCCGAGTACAATGGTATGCCGTGGTGTGAACGTAAGTAGTTCCAGAAGATATCATGCACTGCTAGATATGGAAAGTTCTAATACAAGGTACCTTTCATCAAATCTGGACATGGAGAAGGAATATAAATTATTGAGATTAGAGCACCGGGTTCGTCACATGACGTCGAGCTTCGCGGCTTCTCATTCCCCGCTGCCGAGAGCTGTAGGGCTGGAAGCGCAACGCGACTTCGACCAACATCGCGACGAAGAAGTCATGACAGTCCGCATCGTTCCAATTGAGAGGCGGCGAACCAGGCATGCCTTTCCAGCCGAGACGGCCGGGCTTTCTTGGGGGCTGAGGTAGCCGCTATGGAGAACGTACCGATCGCAGAGCTTGCACCGACGATACCGGCGTCAGATGCGAAAGCCGTCAAAGCCATTGTGACGCTGATATGGCCCTACTCATCCTCCACGAGAAGCTGCGCGGTCCTACTGGCCGAGCATGACTTCCGATTACGCCAAAGGAAAGGCCAGGTTAGGGTGCGATTTAGCGGGCGGAGTGCGAGAGCTGTCGCCGAGTCGGGGATCGGAATCGGAGACGAGGTTACGCTGGGTCTCTCGGGTGCAAAATGGCTAGCAGATGCTGGAGAGGTCAAGACACCAGGACGAAGCGTGGATTGGGAGCTTTTGTACGGATGCAAGCTGGCGCTGCAGGTTTGTAGGGGCGCATTTGTAGGGACTAGAGGAAGGATGCTGAATATATTCAATTGACAGGTCGTTCGGGATGGGCAACAAATTGCCAATCTGAGCGTAGACGAACCTGAGCCAATACCTGTGTTCGAGAATCCATCCCAAATGCCGGCTTCTGCTATCCCGGCCGTCGACCGCGTTAATGGCGGCGGCACCCTATCATCTTGGGCTTCTCCAGCTTTTCTGAAGCGAGTACGTCTCTCATCAGGTCCAATACTTGATACTCCATACGATCACTACGCCGAACCTGGCGGGGACACCAAGGGACAGGGCAGGAAGAGAAGACGAAAGTCATGGAAGGATGTGGGGATTTGGAAATACGCGGCAAGAACTCCCTCGCCGGAGAAGACCGACATTGATGAGATGTCAGCGGAAGAGGAGGTTGAAGAATCTGCGCAGGAAGAGGAGACTAGGGGTTCTAAAGCAGCTGCACAGCTCCCACAAATTCCGTTGTTGGCGGAACAGATTTCGGAGGACCAGTTCGAGCGCGAGGCGGATATAACCGCAGTCACACCGTCGGACAGCGATGGGGCACACCAGATACAGCTTGGCATGGAGATTGCGGGTGATGCCACGGAGCTGAACACTGAGTCTAATCCGCTGTCAGTTGAAGCAGCGGCAGTAGAACGCCACATTGACGTCGTGGACTCTGAGATGCCGCCCACGGTTCCATGGAGCGACGACATTCACGCCAGTGCAGAAAGCCTGACTAGGGCAACACCACCTCCTATGCCGGACGCGCAGCTCGATGCTGAGGACGACGGAGGAGACACAGAAGTTGACTCCGAGATGTATGACGTTCAACAATCCGAGGACGAAGATATGACAGGAGACTCGGGCCTTAGCGGTTCCCATGAAGACCTGGGGCAATACTATTCTAATATGGATGAGTCGGAATCGAGCGAAGATGAGTTCGGCGTAGAGGAAGAGTATGACGAACCTGAGGTGGAGAGCGAAAGAGAACTGCCAGCCCTTCAACGTCAACCGGAGGTTATCGTCTTGAGTGATACAGACGAGGATCAAGAGAAAGAGGGTGTTGACGATAACTCAAAGGCCGAGCAGGAAGTCAATGTGGCACATGAGGAATCTGAATCGGATCGGGAGGGTATTACGCACCAGGACCATCAGCCTGTTATTGCCGTTGAGGGAGTGACGGCCGTTATGAAAGATCCAGTCACAGTGATGCCTCCACCTATACTCCCCTTATTGCAGACCAATGTGGCCAGTGGATCTTCGGACATACAAATACCTAGCGGTACACTGGATGCACCTCGAACGCCGATCCTGCATCCACTGACGTCGTCCACTCTACCGCTGCCGTCTCCATTTCCTGGGGAGTCTGATTCCTCAGTCTCTTCTTACATGAACCACCGCGCCATTGCGTTCCCTAGCGTTTCAAGAGATGCCGCGGAAATAGGGTTAGAAGCAATAGCGCAGCCACTGGATTCAAGAAACGTCGGGGAGATTGGGAATGACCAAGTACAACAGGATGACGACTTACACACTGGGGATGCATCTCCTCAGACGCGCTTCTCTCAGGCCTATCCCTTCGGCCTTGATGGCACGACACCCTCGCGAGAGATATCAAGCATGTCTAGCCAAGGTATGCTGGAAAAGGTGGGCATTGTTCGCGACGAAGAAGCAGCGAGCACTCTAGGAGCGTCTCAGCGGGACGAACCCCCTCAAACGCTTCTCGAAGGGCCGATTGAGGAGCGCTTTGATAGAGAGCGTAAGTACCTCGCAAGTGGAGAGACTATGGATGTTGCTGCAGGAACCGAGGTGCAAGAGACTCCTCCTAAGCTGTTCGAGAGAGCTAGCGAGGAGCAGTCTATTGGAGTCGATCTGCAACCTGTACAACGTGGCACGTCTGCTCAGAGTATGGAAGAGCTTAGTGTCATGCCTGAAGCAACCGTCATCGAACTGTCCTCTGGAGAGGACTCCGATACGGGCCCTGAAGGCGAGGCAGAGGAAGATGACTTTCCATCTGGTCAATCTGAATTAGACGACCCTCGCTATGTCTATGAAGTTCTTGAGGATGACACAGAAGAGGACAGCGAAGAAGAAGACGTCGAAGATCAGGTTAGTGAAGAGCAGGACAGCTCTGTGTCTGTGGATGAGGGAGACACTGCGCCTCAAAGTCCAACTTATGATTCGATGAACATGAAAGCGGAGCCGTACTGGGTGCCGCCGGCGTCCAGGATTTGGGAGCCTAGTACATTGTCCAGGGTGTACAGTCCAATCCGGAATGACGAGGAAAGCGCCTCCAACGCGTCTCCTAGTCAATCATCGGAGAGTGAAGGCGAAACACAACCGCCGGTCGACGACCCGCCGTCGTTCTTAGGATCCAGCCCGCCATCTCCACAACGCCAGCGTAAAACATCTACTCAGGACCCCCCCGATGGACAACTTCTGGCAAGCGCGTCAGCTCAAGATGCGCTACAAGAGACTCTACCAGAGCAGGCGACACAACAAACAGTCATCTCACGAACTACAGAGATCATTGACCTTGGCAGTGGCAGCGAAGATGGTGAACCCGTCGACGACGTGGATGACGGTGCTTTTATGGAGACAGACCATCCCCATGTAACAGAAGGCGACGCTCTTTTGAGAATAGAACACTGGGACGTGCAGAATGATGATGCGCGTAAGAAAATCAAACATCCGGTCAAAGATATCCACCTGGAAGTTGTTTATCCTGCCGCAGCAGCCTCTGAAGCCGGCACTTCTGACTTCTATCCGCTCACGTCTTCGTCGCCCTTGCGGCCAAATTTGATACCGGAAGTATTGGATCTGTCCGGCGTCGAGCCTGACTACATGTCGTTCAGACCGACTCCCCGCAGCAGTCAGATCCCGCTAAGTCAACTTGCTCCGAGCTTCACACAGTCTTCGCATCTCAGACGGGTAATCATCAGAGACTCTGAGGAAGGGAGTGTGGATTCTCGACGATCCCTATCGACGGAACCAGAGAGAGCAATGGGACACGATATCTCCATGGAAGACGGCGAATTCCTGGACGAGTCGCAGCAGACCGAGCTAGTATATCCTGCCTTGCCGAATACCATACCAGAAACAATTCCCGACATCACAGCATCGCAAATAGTTGAGCCCGTAGAAGATGCCACCACAGGGCTTGATGGAAGGAGCGACGAGACAATCCGGCAAAAGCAGCCTGCGGAAACCGCCCATGAGGATATGTCAGTGGAACAAGACACTCCGCGACGCGCTCTTGCTCGGTTAGTGCGGTATACCGGATATGAACCACGAGGACCAACTCCCTCACCCATCACGTCATTCGTGACTGAGAAGAAGACAGCTTCACCTGAACACGTACTTTCAGACGTCATTCTCGCTGAGCCGTTGCAGACCGAGCTATCGCAGGCCGAAGAAAGCCAGACTCAGCCCGCTTCATACCTTGGGCACCGGCATGAGAATTCGCTGTACAATCGCTCGTCTTATCTTCATAGCAACCTCTTGACTCCTGATCCCAGCCAGCAGCTTCCAGAAGTCTCCCCCGCATCGCCACAGCAAACATTGGATGAAAGTACTCTGCCAGCAACGCCCCAGCTTACTCAAAAGACTTCCGCATTGTCATTCAGCGAGGTTACGGATCCCTTCAAGGTCGCAACACCGCCTGACAAACTAAAGCTCCAAGAAGCTGCCGTCCGCTTCTCATTCGGTGGCCCTCCTACCATCAGGCCACAAACGAATCAGCAGCCGCACCCCAGCACGAGGGGTGAACCTCCCAGTTCCCCACCGCCGACCCAAGAAGAAGTTTCCAGCCAGTTCGCATACACCTCAGGCTTGCACAAAGCTCCCGAACGGCCTACTAGCGCCTCCTACTCTAACGAGATGCGACAGTCAGCCCCACCCTCAACCACCAGACCAATTTCTCCGCCATCGTATATCCGCCCACGCACCCACGGCCTTAGGACGAAACAGTCGTACTACACGCCCCTCGCCAGTCTGAGCAGCTCGCTGAACTACCCACCCTCATCACAGGATGCAGGTGTTGATGTGCTCGCTCTCGTCATCCGCGACACATCGGCGCCGAAGCGCGCGGAGAGCGGCCCGAAGGACTGGCAAACTGTCCTCAGCATCACGGATCCGTCTCTCTTCATTTGGAAGGCGGAGGAGGGCGGGAGCGGCGAGGTCGCGGAAAGGCAAGCAGCAACAGCATCACCTACGAGGCGGATCCAAGTTCAGATCTTCCGCCCCTGGAAATCCGCCCTGCCGCAAGCAGAAAAAGGCGATGTGGTCCTGCTCCGCAACTTTGCTGTTAGGAGCCGCAAGGGCAAGGTCTTCTTGATGAGCGGAGAGGCTTCTGCATGGGTGGTGTGGCGGTTTGGTGCGAGGAGACCGGCTGAGGCGGCGCCACCGGGTGTTGCGTCGAAGTACGCGTGGACGAGGAAGGAGAGCGCTGAGAAGAGACTCGGGACGGAGGAATGTAAGGGGCCGCCTGTTGAGGTTGGGGATGAGGAGAGGGATGAGGTGCAGCGGTTGAGGGAGTGGTGGAAGAGGGTTGAGGCGATGCGGGTTGGACAGGCTGGGGGTGCCGATGGGGAGGAGAGCCAGGGCGTCTAAGTGGCTTTTGGTACATGGCGTTATGAATAAGCTGCATTTTATGTGCACCATTCTGTGGACTAAAAGTACAAGTATGAGTGTAAAAGAGTTGATGGGCAGACTTCGGCATACTGTCATGATTCAATGAGAGTCCTGTGTTTTGTCTTCAGTCCGTCTGTAACCCGCTGGTGTGGTCAATGGGTTTGGTCAGTGCTACAAACCATTCGAGCGTTTCAATCACTGCCATCAGAACGAAGCATACGAGTTGAACTGCGCCTGGCAGCCTTCTCATCTAGAACGTCTATAGCACACCACATAACTCCTCAGGCCGACTAGCTTATGAGAAATCAATCCTCCACCCCTTCCCAATCCCCACCGCCGGATCCCTCACCACGGCCCAACTCGCCTTCCCCGCACCCCCCTCATGCCAAGTAAGCCCCACCTCCCTCCTCCGCCGACTCTCCTTCGCGCCCTCCTCACTCACCCTCACACTCTCCTTCCCCCTCCACTCCGCTGGCGCATTAACAACCACGACCTTCTCAACCCTCACGCCACCCATCTTCTTCAGCCACTCCGCCGTCTTCGGCCCCTTGGTCGCCGCATCCGTACTCGTGAGGCTCTTCGTCTGCGCATCGAAACTGAAGCGCCGGTGTATGTGTGCGCCTTGCTGGTAGTCGAAGCTCTCGCCGTCGTCGAGGTAGAGACTCCCCTCCGCGTTTCCCTGAGAATCCAACACCACGACCAGGGTGAAGGGGTCCCATTTCATGAGCCCGGAGCTACGCCGTGGCCGGTCGCGCCGCGGAACGATGTGCCCACCGCGCATGAGGAGCGGGATCTTGTCCAGTGGTGCTGGGACAGTCACCGCGCCCGGTCCGCGATAGACAGTGTAGTCGAAGTAGTCGTAGTAGGGCTCTGCGTCCGGGAGGTGGATTGACACCGACTCCGCGTCCTCGGTCACAATAGGCTTAGCGAGCAAACCCGTGCTGCCAATATAAAGTTGATCGTCGACATCAAAGCCCTTCTCGTCCGCGGGGAAAGCCCAGAAGTTCGGGCGCACGATCGGCGCGCCGCTCGTAGCCGCTTCGTGGAACGCCGTGTACCACACAGGTAGCAGCTGGTACCTCAGGCGAATCGCCTGCGTCATGATGCCCGTGTAGGGCTCGCCGGCGAGATACGGTTCGCGGCGGCGGGAGTCGATGTGCGCGTGGGCGCGGAAGAAGGGGTAGAAGGCTCCGGCCTGGTACCAGCGCGTCAGGAGCTCCTTTGAAGGGTTACCGAAGAAGCCGCCCACGTCTGCGCCCGCGAAGGGGTAGCCGCTGATGCCCTGGTTGAGCACCATGGGGATCGAGGCTGCGAGGTGGCCCCACTCGGCAGTGTTGTCGCCCGTCCACATGGCGGCGGTGCGCTGGGAGCCGGCGAAGAAGGCGCGCGTGAGGACGAAGGGGCGTTTGAGCTCGCCTTTCGCGCGGGAGAGGAGAGCTTGGTAGGTTGCGTTGTGGAAGGTTAGGCCGTTCAGGTTGTGCACGTCGCGGTGCTCCCAATTGCCGTGATGGAGATTGTCTTTTGGCATTGTGGTTTCGGGGCCATTGAAGACGGAGGGCTCGTTCATGTCGTTCCAGATGTAGGTGTTGGGGAAGCCGAACTTGTCGTACTTGAAGAGGCTCTTCCACCATTCGATGGCTTTGGGGTTGAAGCAGTCGACCCAGTGGGAAGAGCCGGGCCAGCACCACCCTTCGTAGGTCTTGCCCTCCTTGTTGTGCGTCGCTAGGTCTTTAGATTTGAGGTCTTCGACGATGGGGTAGTTGTCTGTGTTCTTGATGTGTGGGTCGATGATGACGACCATTTTTCTGTCGCGCGCCGCCATGTGATCATGCATCTTCTTAGGGTCAGGGAACATCAGCGGGTCCCAAGTGAAATACTTCTTTTCGTGAGTGTATTCAATATCGAGCCACATGATATCCAATGGGATCTTGGACTTGTCGAATTTGCGGTCCACGTCCATCACATCCTCACCGCTAACATAGTTCCAGCGGCTTTGATGATAGGCGATGGCAAAATACTGCGGCAGCTGTGTGAAGCCAGTGAGCTCGCCGTATACTTGGTTGATGTCCTTCGGTGTGGGTCCGAGGAAGACAAAGACATCCAAGATGCCACTTTCGGAGATCCAGTGCGTCTGAGTGTCCGTCGTCCCAGTGATACCTAGGCTCATTTTATTGACTGCGCTTTTGCTTTTCACAATATCAACCCAAGTCTCCGCAGCGTTCAACCAAAACACGGCAACGGTCGAGCCCTTTCGGTGGGCCTGCATCAGGGGGATGGCTCCGTAGAGCGTCATCGGGTTGTCCAGCTCGTACTCGAAAACGTCGGCGTTGTAAAGCCGATACGGGTCCGAGTAAGCGCCATTTCCACCGCTAAAACTTGTGTAAGTAAGATGCCAGACTCATGCCACGGGTTATGACATACCGTGTCTCCTCGAGCGATAAGCTGCTGGCATGCTCGGGGATACCGTAAACATGCTCGTAACCAGGAAACGTGATGTCAACAGCCACGCTCTCCGGGCCCTTTGGCTTGCTATCCGTCGCTCCACCGAAAGACTCGTCCCACCACGTGCTCTCATCTTCCGCGTTCTCATCGACGACCGCATTCTCTCCCTCTTCCCCCTCTTTGACCTCCTTCTTGACCTCCGGCCGCCAATGCTCAATATTCAGGAAGCCTCGCTCATTGAATACAACATGCGTTTCACCATCTCGTTTAAACTCGATCGTGAAGGGCGAATGCTTTACGACAGCCTCGAACGTTCCCGCGGGTCCATAGTGTACTCGCGTGCTTCCAGCTTCGGTGTCTCTGCCCAATGCTGCGCCCTTGCTGCCACTCACGTCCCCAATAATCACGTGCTTGGCGGCCTCATCATACCTCTTCTTCTGTGCTTTGCTGTCATGCCGCAGCTCGATGTCCCCTGTCTGTCTCCTTTTCTCATCCAAGGTAACTCTAGCTGAGCCGGATTCGAGGAACGTGACCGTGAGTGGTAGAAGCACAAATTCGCTGGTGGAAGAGACAGTCTTGAGGACAGTGCCAGTTAATTGGCCATTGGAGAACTTGATAGACGAGGAGTCGAGGTTGTAAGGGGTCTCCCAGGCGCTTGAGGAGGCGGCGGCATCGGCGTAGGCGCGGTTACGGTGGCAGAAACCGGACTGGGTGCATGTCTTGAAGTTCTCGCGCTTGACCATAACTGTTCAGCGATCAGCGCCCCATGTCTATTGCGTTTGCTGGTCAATGGCTGCTTGCAGAACGCATAGCAGGCTTCGTTACCTGTACTCACCGACTGGAGTAATCAAGCAAGAAATGACAGAAAGGAAGAGAAGGAGAGCGGCTGACCCTCCATGGGTCGCCGTACACCTGAGTATCATGATCAAACAGCGGGGGGAAGCTCCAATATGTGCGGCTCCCGTTGCTTGATATTAACAGCTCTCGTGTCTTGAGTGTTAATCGAGCTCCGTACGTACCGGACTGCAAGATGCGCAGGCTACGTGTAGCATTCATCACAGCCAGACCCCTGCCCAGCCAAAATGCCCCACCACTCACACACGGCTGCCAGCTTGCTGCCCCACCACCATTTTTGTGCGGATAGATATTTGTTCACCGACATCTTTCCAAAAGTCCTGCCATATAGGAGTCCTCCGTCTAGAACACAAGACATCTGTACATCACACTTCAAGCAACCACAAAACAGCAAGCAGCAAACATGACCACCGAGCAGACGTGGGTGCTTCGAACAACGCTTTGATACGGTGTAGCTAACAGCTGTCCAGCTTCATTGCCGTCAAGCCTGATGGCGTCCAGGTACGACGGCTCTTCCATCAACTCAACCCGTTGAGCACCGAATCGAACCACGAGCAATGGCATCAATTGGACTACACTAAACACGTCGACAGCGCGGCCTGATCGGCCCCATCATCTCTCGCTTCGAGAACCGCGGGTAGGTTGCATTGTGCCTCACCATTCCCATCACTGTGTGTTCTGGGGCTGACAATCACCCACAGCTTCAAGCTCGTCGCCATCAAGCTCGTCACCCCCTCCAAGGAGCACCTCGAGAAGCACTACGAAGACCTGAGCGACAAGCCCTTCTTCAAGGGTCTCATCACATGTACGCCTCCAAATCTTTTCAGGAGCCCGACTCTCGCCGTCCGTAGACACGACACGGAACACATCACTGACGAAGGGACTTGCTAGACATGGGCTCCGGCCCCGTCTGCGCGATGGTCTGGCAAGGCCGCGACGTCGTCAAGACCGGCCGTGCCATCCTCGGCGCCACCAACCCACTTGCTTCGGCTCCGGGCACCATCCGTGGTGACTTCGCCATTGTATGTCATCTCAAGTAACCAAGGCTCTCGTGTACAGATGCTGACGACTGCAACTCAGGACGTCGGCCGCAACGTTTGCCACGGCTCCGACGGCGTCGAGAGCGCCAAGAAGGAGATCGCTCTGTGGTTCAAGGAGGGAGAGGTCCAGGAGTACAAGCAGGCTCAGTTTGACTGGATCTACGAGAAGCCGTAGATGGTGATTCGGGACCTGAGGGTCGGTGGAATGGCAGGTAGCGGGCCCATTTCATGTAGTGAGAAGTTTAGACGAAACGTTCACGCACAAAAAGTAATTTGAGCGGATGTCTAAACTCTAAGTCTACTCTACGGCCTGCTATCATCAAGAATTAGGGAGGTACTTGCGTGAATGCAATATAAATGTCAACCACTTCGACTAACCGCCCTATCATTCTTGACTCAACACCTCGCCCGTAGCCGCTGTACCAACTGCTCTCAGGAGTTGGTCGTCAGGGCAAGCGTGATTGTCCCTAGAGACAAATAGTTCCACATTCCACCAACCGGGAGGTTTCGCGATGCAGCTGTCTCAGCGATCTGAGCTCTGACAGTGCTTCCCCAGGGTCCCATGAGCTTGATGCTGCCGTTTTCACGTTTTGTCACACGCTTTTCGACCAACGCACCGACTTTCGTCAGGAGCGGCTCTGTGACCCATCTCTTGTAGGCCCATCCGTCGCTGTCGCATCCCTAGCCACATCCATCTCTCAGGCCTGTTGCACTGCAACCGTTTAGATTCTCAACAGCGCCTACAGCCCCAATCCCCGTCTAACATTCTCTCTCACCCGCCTCTCATACTCGCCCCTGCGCTCCCTCCACATCTTCGCGGCGTCGATATTCGCAGGACTCTCGTCGTTCGGCTCGGCCAGCATGCTCATGACCGAGATCAGTATCTTCTCGACGCTCTGGATCGGCGACCAGCGCTCCGAGGCGTGCTCGTAGTGGTTCGGGTCATCCCCCGGCGCGTGCAGGATCGAGATGCAGACGTTGCCGTTGGGGTAGACTGGGTTGGGTTGTTAGCCAACCTGTTCTGCACTTCTAATGACTTCCCAGTTGCCTGGTTCTGATAAAGGTGGGGCAGCGGAAGGGAGACAAGAGCTGCCCTTAGCTAAGGGGCATGAACAGGGCAGTATACCATTTGGATGCCATATGTCGCACGTAAACTTCATTGTTGGCGGCGCGAGCGGGTAGTCCTTGGGGAACTTGAGCTCAGCAGGGAAGACGCCGCCCTCGAACGGCGTGCCCTCTGGGCCCTCGATCAGAGCTTCCCAGATAAAGATGTCGTCTTCCGTCACCGGGCCCGCGGTTATGCCTTGTGGAGGGTCGTTGGTTAGGTGTCTGTATTCGGTGAAGAGGCGTTTGGAGGCGACGGAGGTGGCCATGATGGGGGATTGAAACAGTTCGGGAACGTTGCGGAGGGGTGGGTGTGCGATAGGTGAGCGGGATGTATGTGGTGGCACGTTGGTGGTTGCGATTACGGTTTTAAGGAAGTTGGCTCGAGTGAGATGCACGTGATGGACTCAGCAGTAACACAAAGCAGTAACACAAAGCAGTAAGGCGAAAGCTGATTACTACATATTCGTCTAACAGCCCTGAAACCGAAATCTAAAAGAGCGGAGGGTATATTGAGGAAGGTTCGATGGCCATGATTCGTCCGTCTGTCCAGCTCCCCAACGCCAGGGCCATAACGCCCACCCATGATACAAATTTACCAAAACCATGCCATGCCCTATCTGACACGATCACAAGCCTAGAACCAGTCACCCCAGTCCCCACCACCATCTCCTCCTCCACCTCCGCCTCCACCGCCTCCACCGCCTCCACCCTGATCACCACCACCCCATGGCAACCCTCCCTGGTCTTTGTTATTGTCCCAAGGATCCTGCTGACCCCAAACATCCTCGCCCTGGTTCGGAGCGCCAGGCTGGCCTTCCTGAGGCGGAGGCTGGCCCTCTGTAGGCGGAGCGGCGGTAGGCGACGCGTCATCCTGCGCGCCCCTATTGCCATACGCTCCTCGCTGCATAGCTTCATAGCCGGCCATTGTGCCCGCACCGGCTATTGCGCCCTCGCCTGCGCCGAGTCCTCTTGCGGCATTTCCGGCAGCGCCTGCTGCACCCGCCGCGCCTTCAGCGGCACCGACTTCTCCCGCAGCGGCGCCCCCAGCAGCACCTGCGCCAGCAGCTTCCCCGCCCATGGGGAACCAGAGCGGCATAAAACCGAACCCACCAGAGCCACTATGCCGGCTAAAATAGTCGAAGTCGATACTGACAGCCGTGGCAAGCATAACCGCCCTCTGATCAAGCGTCATACCCGGCACGGCCTCCGCGCCCCTCGCGGTCCTCGAAATCAGGTGGTTCGGCTCAGCCGCTAAGCCCGCCGCATCCATGCGCAGGGCATACACGCCCGTATCGGTGAAGATCTCCCGCGCGAAGCCCGCGAAGTTGCGGTTCACGGACCCGATGAGGCGGTCGTCGGCGGCGCGCAGCGTGAAGTCCCAGGAGAGGAAGGGCTCGTCTACGTAGGCGAATTGGATGAAGCTGCCAGACTTGTCGGCGCTCTCGGCGACCTCGAGGGCTTTGGAGGAGGAGAGGGGGAGGTCGCCTGAGGAGAGCTGCGGGGCGTTGCTGTCGCGCTCGAGGTCGGAAATGTTGCGGTGCAGGAAGAGGTTGTAGCGTCGGCGGAGGGGCGCCCATTGCTGTTGGGCTTCGCCGATGAGGCGCATGTCTGATAGAGGTAGCGGGGATATCTGGGCGGAGGTCTGGTTGGCGATGGAGTTTGCGCTCGTGTTCTGTAGGGCGGTGGATGGAGTGTACGTTTCGGGCGTGCTGCCGTGCACAGCATCGAAGACGCGGATGCGGGAGTTTATCCAGGCGAAGGGCCGGTGGAATCTCAGTACCTCCCTCTCATTTCTGTCAAAAACGTGCGTGGTGAAGCTTCGATGCGTCCGGAAGGCCTGCCTTGCCACCGCATTCCCCAAGCCATGCTCTTGCTCCGCCAGATACCCAATGTGATTCCCGTTCGGATCCATGATGACGTATCGGTTCGCCTGCTCGAACCCCAGCATCACATTCATCATCTCCAGCTGGCGCTGCACAATGATCGACGAGTTGGAGAGCAGCGACGTCGCCGGGTGTGTCTCCTTGAGTATGCCATGGGGATCCTCCGGTATATGGACCGGCGAGAGGAGATTGTTCTCTTGCTTGTCAGCCGTTCGGAGTGCATCGGATACCGCCTCTACTTTCGAGTGCTCGCCGCGCTCCTGGGCTGGTGGTGTAGCTGGCGGATCCTCCGGTCGGCGTGGTATTCGTGGTGGTAGTCTTGAAGGTGGCGCTCGTTTTCCTATTGTACCTCGAGGACCGCGAGGAGCAGCGGTTGCTAGTGTACGTATAGCTTGCCGCGAAGGCCTGAAAGCCCATCTGGGGAGCATCATCTTTGGTGTTGTGGTTTGGTATGAGAGCAACGGAGTTGAATGATCAGATCAGACGTAATGCCAGTATACAAAGCTTTATCGATAACACGGCCGCCAAGAGAACGTAGCGGATTCTCAGATTTCATCGTGCGAAGCTTTCTTGACTCAGCACTCCCACAATGACCGGCAACAATTCTACCTTCAGGGTGCGGCAGAACGCCTGGAGTATGTGCGGAGGAGACAGCAGCAGAGCTTTGGTTCAGCGCTAGAGATATCGTAAGAAGACCCTTTCTGCTTTCTAACCGTCCAATATCAACATCTCTTGCGGTGATGACAACCTTGCAGCCAAGTTGGAAGACACTGACTTTAGTCGACCTTCAATGCTGGCCAATTCTCTCTGAGAAGACTACAACGGTATCTGAGCAAGTTTACCAAGCGATGCTTCTCTTTTGGGCGCGCTTTACATACCGATGGCAGAAATTGCACGCAGTGCGATGCGGTTCTTGCTGACCGGAGCGAGCAGATACAATATGGCGACTCCCAACACAGACAAGAAGCGGCATCCTCGCCCCAATTACAACAAACTGCATGCTCACCCACTCCCTCTCACCACCCATCCCCTTCCCGCATTCCTCCCGCACAATCCCCTCTCCCTCCTCCGCATCGCCTACGCCCTCCTCTCCGAGCTCTTCACCCAGCCCTCTTCCCATGCCGGAGCCCTTTATACAGGCCACTTCTCGCCCGAGACGCGCTCAGTCCACATCACCGATCCCAAGACCATTCGCGCGTTATGGGAGCAAGGCTTCTTCGGCAAGGGGACCCTGAGTCGCAGCGAGCCCGCATGGCTTGAGCGAGAGAAGCGTCGCAGAGGTCTGACGGCGGCGTTGACGAGCGAGGAGTATACGCAGCAGCGGAGAGAGGAGAGGCTGAAGTTTAAGCAAGAGAGGGCGCGTTTGCAGCGGGAGGCGTTGGAGGACCAGTTAAGGAAGGAGGAGGGTACGCCAGGACCTACAAGTGGAGCTCCAGAGGCCGGACCTGAAGAAGTTGAGCAGCTTGTTGAGCAGGCTAGCAGCGAAATAGCGGTCCCAGTTGCCGATGACCAGGGTAGGTCGACTCTGTGTTACTCAGCCGCCAGGTGTCTATTCATGTGTGCCTCAAAAGACACTGGCCCCACCTACGTTCCGACATCTTGTTGAGCTCACCCCCTGGAAGTCCCGTCTAGCGTACACTGCAAATAACCCATGCTGACTGAAGCAACCAGACGCCACCAAAGCAGCTCCGCCCAAAGTCTCTCAAGACATGGTTATCCAAGACGAAGAGCACCTCCAACTAACCCTCGAAGAAGCCTTCTTCCTCTCCTACGGCCTCGGTGCCCTCCAAATCCTCCACAACGACCTTCCCCTCTCCAACACTTCCCTCCTCACCCTTTGCCGCCAGCACTCCCACTTCCCTCCCCTCCCCCCCTCCTGCCTCCGCCCCGACGACCCCTTCCTCCTCTCCTACGCCACCTACCACCACTTCCGCTCCCTCGGCTGGGTCGTGCGCCCCGCGCTTAAATTCGCAGGCGACTTCATGCTGTACGCCCGCGGCCCCGTCTTCGCGCACGCGGAGTTTGTGGTCGTGGTCCTGCCGTCCTACTCTCATGAGTACTGGAAGACGGAGGAGAGGAGGAGGGAGTGTAAGAGGAAGGAGGAGCGGAGCTGGTGGTGGCTGCATTGTGTGAATCGCGTCCAAGGGCATGTGTTTAAGAGTTTGGTGTTGGCGTTTGTGGAGGTGCCGCCGCCGTTGGCGGATGGGGGGGAGATGGGGGGGGGGGTGGGTTGGGGGGTTGTTGGGGAGGTATCGGGTTAGGGAGTTTGTGGTTAAGCGATGGGTTGCGAACAGGAGCCGGGATTGAGGTGGTGATGGGCGTGGGTCGTGCTTGGGCCCTTGTCATAGGCGCTACACTGTCGAGCGATAAAGTTATGTTGCTTCGGGGCCGGTAGACTACCCAATGTACAAAAAACTTCGAGAGTAAACGAAAGGGGCAGTCGTAAGGGCTTGTCCCTGTGTCTTGGAAACACTCTCACGCTGTACACACTACAGGATCCATGACCGAGAGTCGGAATGAAGCATACCCCAACACCGCACAGTTGAGAAGCGTCTCTGTATCTACCACATCTATCCAACATGTTCATGCATTGTAATCTCTCCTAGCTCGGCCCCGGCCCCATCTCCCTCCATCCCCCCTCTCTCCCCCAAACGCCCGCCTTGGTATAATCCCCCACTACGCTCCCGCTCATATACCCAAACCGGAAATACTCCGGCATTCCCTCTCCCTCTTCTTTCTTGACCCACGTCCAACTGTCCAGTCCCTGGTCCGCATAGCCCCTAAATCTCTCGACGTCATTTACCAGCACGCTCAGGCCGTCCCAGCCCTCCGGAAACGGACTCTCCCAGCTGAACGTGATATTCGGCCTCCAGGCTTGGCCCAACCCCTCATTCAGGTTTATGACAGGCGGGAGGATGACGGGCAACGGAGAACCTAACCGTGCGTCCCCTCGCAGATCCCCGGGGGTCTGCAGGATGGAATCGAAACCCCACCGCGCGACGCCGTTGATGAATAAGCCGACCAAGAGCCCCTGGAACAGCAGGCTCGGCCGCGTTTGCATCCCCGTCCCGGGCAGTAATAGCAGCGCCAGGATGTAGTGGTGGATGCGCACATTCATGCCCGGCACTAGCACCAGGCCTACCAGTCCCGCGCCGAGCAGCGCGTACAGCGCTAGGAACCGCGGCAGTCGGCCCTCAGTTCGCAGACACCAGGCTTGGCACAGCGCGATGCCAAACAGCGCGAGCACGATGAAGATCAGCGCCGGTATCGCGCCGGGCTGCGCGTGGATGTCGTGGGGCGTCAGTCTTTGAATCGGTATCTTGTCGAAGGTGTAGTTATTCAGCGCGCCGACCCATGCGCCGCCGAGCCAGAGGATGGTTCTCTCTACCTGGGCGGTTAGGCCAAAGAGCGTGCGGCGGATGGCGTAGCGGTACAGGACGGAGAGGCAGAAGGCGGCGGGTAGGAAGCGGCCGAGTGAGAGCGAGATGATGGCGTGGTAGTCCGTTAGATTTGGGGGATCGGAGGCGAGGGCGACGTGGAAGAAGAGGGCGGGGAAGAGGGTGGCGACGAAGACGGAAGGGGAGGTGGTGAAGAGGGAGAGCAGGACCGTGAAAGTAAGGGACACGGCGAGGAGGGGCCACCGCAGATCGCGGCATTCGGAGGAGGTGCCGTGAAGAAAGGAGAAGGAGAGCGGGAAGTAGGAGTCGAAGGCTATGCTGCGCAGGCCGTGGGATTCGGTCGAAGGGTACTGCGATTGAGTGCCGGTTAAGGAGAGCACGCCGCACCCGCCTCGCGCGTTGGAAATGAAGCCTGCGTGGATGGCGGCGCTGCAGATGAAGGAGTCGCCCCGGTAGATGGTGTTTGTGACGGTGCCGTTGTTGACGAAGGAGTCAACGGGCCCGCCGATGAGTAGGGAGCGGTAGTTGATCTCTTGATCGCCTACGGCGTGCGGGTTCAAGATCTCGACGCGCTTGCAGTTCGCGGGACAGCGGAAGGCGAGGGAAGAGTTGGCGAAGGGGCGGCAGAGGTCGCCGTTCAGGCCGCAGCCGTTGCCATCCGCCCTATCCAAGATGCCGTTAGTATGTCGCCGATATGACGCTTGATGAATCTCCATACCAATATCTTGCCAAGCAATTGAGTCTTGTTGGTGATCCATAGCCGGGTATATCTCCGGCAAAGGCTGACTTATGTAGGACCAGCGCAAAGCATAGCAGCCACGCAGCGTAAAACGGTACTAGCAACGCGATCTTGTGCCTCCTTTTCGGGAAATAGCTCTGTAAGAGTCGAATCGGCGCTTCTTGTATCCGTGGGAAGAGTGGGTATATCTTATACCGTCTCGGAGGGTCCGGCCCTCTGACCCAGTTTCCCACCGCATTCGCTACCCTTACAACTGGGACCGGTACCCATCTTGACATTGGCGACGCTGCTGAGCGCGGCAAAGAGGATTCAGGTGAGGTGAGAGCTTCGCGGAGGGTTACATCGTCCTCGGAAGAGGTGGGGCTAGTCCCGGTGGCATTACCGCCATTGTTGTGATAATCGCCGCGTGTTTGGACCTCCGACACATCGCGAGAGGTCCGGGGATGAGAGGGCGTGTTCATTGAATCAGCGACTGAGGCGCTGGACGGGTTCGATTTTGATGAAGATTCGGCGGATCTCAATGTATCGGGTATCTGCTGAGCAGACTCTACGAAGCAATGCGGCCAGCGCGAGTATGTTCTCTATGGCAATCGAGTTGAGACAGTAAGAATGATAAATCGCACACACGCGGTGAGAGGAAGTAAGCTGAGGAACACGACTGTGAGAGAGATCTGGTTCCTGCAGATGGACCGCCACTGGGCTTGCCGAAGCCGCTGCTTGGCTCTCGGGTCCTGTTCATCATCTCCATGCCGTTGATTGATTGCGGAGTAATAGCAGGAGCTCCAAAAGGAGTGACACTGAAGTCGTCCGACAGAGTCCGGCTGGAAGAACACTTCTTGCTGACCTGCGTGAAGCCTGAATTGCCATAGCCAGAGACGCCGACCCTCTGCAGGTCTCCCGTGGACATGGGTCGCGATAGCAGCTTATCTCGGCATCGCGGGAGTGGCTTTGGTCCTGATGTAACCGGGGTATGGGGCATTTCTAAGCATCCTGGGGCGAGCGCGAGCTTCATGAACTGAGTGCGGTGACTCTCGCTATTCCGCTGCATTGCTCTTTATCACAATGGAGTCCATCCTGCGCGGCTTCGCATCTCGCTCACGCAACGAAGACACGCAGCGGCGCATGGCCACTATGACAAGACCGCAACAGGCCGAGCTGCCGGAGCCCGTGGACCTCTCTCATCACCTGTCGCGGTCTACCAAGAGCAGAGAAGCTTCGAACATCAAACAGTTCTACAAGTATTTCTCCATTCCGGGTATCGGCCAGCTAGCTGGAGGTGAGTTATCTTTACGGCCCTGGCAACGACAGCTGGCGTTCCATGGGCTAACAGCATCACCAGGCCTGCCAAACCACGACTACTTCCCCTACGACACCCTCGAAGCCCGCGTCGCCCTCCCGAGCCGCTGGAAGCCCACCCCCAACAAGCCCGTTGATCCACCCTCGCCCGCAGATTCCCACCAGAACCCGGCGTCAGCTCATCTGATTATACCAAAAACCTCCACTGCAACCGACGTCCTCAAGAAGATTGACCTCGACTCTGCACTCCAATATGGCACAGCTCAGGGCTACCCGCCTCTCTATGCGTTCATCCGGGAGTTTGCTCTGCAACACCAGCATCCGACCATTCCCTACAAAGGCGGTGCCGAGATCATCCTGACGTGTGGAAGCACGGACGGCTTCGCAAAGGCTGTGCAATGTCTCTCGAATGAGTGGAGCGAGGGCAGAGATCCGATCGAGGAGAGGGAGGGGATGTTAGTGGAGGAATACTGCTACATGAACGCGATCCAGACGGCCAGACCACGCGGACTGGCAATCGTGCCTGTGAAGATTGACGATGAGGGCATGTTGGCGGGCGGACCTGGTGGGTTGGCCGACGTCCTCGAACACTGGGACTCGAGCAAGGGGAAGAAGCCGCATTTGATGTATACAGTGACGTGAGTTCCCGCCATCTCCTCCCCTTGACCAGCCGTATGTATAGCGATCGACGGCATACCGAGGAGACAAGGCATCAGGTCCACTAACAGCCGCATCCAGCATCGGCCAAAATCCCACCTCCGGCACCCTCTCCCTCGCGCGCCGCAAAGAGATTTACGCCCTCTGCGCAAAGCACGACGTCATAATCATCGAAGACGACCCCTACTGGTATCTCCAATACCCGTCCTCCTCCCCTTCCCCCTCCTCCACGCCCCCCACCCCTACCAAATCCTCCGGCTTCCCCTTCCTCGACTCCCTCGTGCCATCTTACCTATCCGTCGACTACGAAGGCCGCGTGCTCCGCCTCGACACCTTCTCCAAGACGATCGCGCCCGGGTGCCGCCTCGGCTGGATCACCGCGCAGCCCCGCCTCATCGAGCGCATCCTGCGCATTACGGAGACGAGCACGCAGCAGCCGAGCGGCTTCGTGCAGAGCATGGTCGCCGAGCTGATCCTCGGTCCCGGCGGGCCCGGCAGTAAGAGCCACCCCGGCCGCGGCGGCGCCAAAGACGGCGCAGGTTGGCAAATCGCGGGCTGGGTCCGCTGGCTCGAAGGCCTGCGCGGCAACTACGAGCGCCGCATGAACCAAATGGCCGACATCCTCGCCGCCGGCCAGTACGCCCTCTTCGACTACCCCACCGCCGACGCCACGGAGACGGAGGACTGGGCCCTCGTCTCCAAGACCCGCATCTACTCCTTCATCCGCCCGCTAGGTGGCATGTTCATCTGGATCCGCTTCGACTTCTCCACGCACCCGCTCGCTGGACGGGTCGAGGGCCCGAGACTCGCGCGCGCGCTGTGGATCCTCTGGACCACGAAGCCGTATCTGGTGCTGGTGAGCCCGGGCACGATTTTCGCGCCGAATCAGGAGATCAGGGAGAAGGATGGTTGGAGGTGCTTCAGGTTGTGCTTTGCGGCATGTGACGAGGAGAAGCTGGGGCCGATTAGTGAAAGGTTTGTGCAGGGGGCGCAGGCGTTTTGGAAGATCAAGAGTAGGAGGGAGATTGATAGATTGTTGGAGGACGATAATCCGGGCGCGGTGGAGGTGGATGATGTCAACGGGATGGCGGTGATGACGGGGTTTTGTTGAGAACTCGGCTGAGGAAGTCATCTGGGGCGAAGTATTGGTGCGGGAGGGATTTGCGCTGCTGTAGACGTTGGGGACGCGGAATCATAGGCAGATTATGAATGAGCAATGATGCAATCTAAAACGCACTATACAGAGTTTTTCGTCTTAGAACTAAGAAAGCATTGCTAATCGCGAGATTCCTTATTTAAAAGATCGCTGGTATCTAGGGTATCTACAAAAGAACCCGGCAAGCGTTTGTTAGATCGACTGACCTTTTTATCGCTGCTCTAACAGGTGGTCCTCGCAACGAAAGGGGCGATAAGTATTTGAGAACCCATCATAGTTTTGCAGCGGGCGAGCTGTCCCTGGTTGACTGTACATAGAGCGGAGACGTCTGGATGAGTTCACCGCAGCTGGTCCTTTTAGAACCACTTTCGACCAAGTCGTACGTTACCGAACAGTCCTGTCCTCAAATCCATTCCCCATCCTTGACAGGACCTTAATGCTCCCTGGTTGGATGCTTCAGATTAACCACCGGATTTTGTGAGCACGAAAGCCCAGGACGCAATAAGGCGAGCAGAACAGAATACGACTGTGAACCGTTCCCGCCGCTGTCCAAGCGGGGGCAGTAGTAAGGACGCTTTGAGCCAGGCCAGAAATTCTGTATCCGTCAGTATGTACATTGTTAAGACTTAGCCGACAGGCAGTCGATATTGCTCATTGATCCTAGTTAGTGCGCTGCTGAGCTACAACTCCCTAAGATTGGCGTGGTAGATAGAGAGGCGTTTCCTGATGGCACGATGGCAAGCTCTGTCCGCTTCTGGCACTCGGTGACGGATCTTGTTGTGCATACAGCTTGACAGTACTCCCGGGAGACGGCTAGTTGAGCGCACCGCAGATGGTATCGCGGTGATATCTAGATATGAGAGATAGGAAATCTTGAGGTTTGTATAACCTTATTCTCATTGGAAGCTATGGGCTGCGTTACCATAGTAGATTAGCAAATGGGGCAAGAAGATGTGTTGATCGGTGTTCTAAGCGTATCTCTGCGCACAGCCTACATATACCACGATGTCTGTCACTATGCTGCGCGTGATATCGGTCGGTGAAGCGTGACATCCGGCCACTGCTAGGGAAGATCGACTCTCTTGTACTTGAAACATTGGATGTGTTCGGGCGATATGGTTGCTCTCTGACAGAAAACGGCGAGGCACCGCAGGAGAACGGTACTCATGATGCTCTCGAGCTAGTCTTTGACGCCAAAAGATCGTTGCGAGACTGGAGGCCGTGCCACAGTCCGGTGCTTCTGTTTGACAAAAATAGACCGAAATGATGAAGCCCCCCTGGTTTTAAGGCTGAGAAAGGCCATGAGCGGGTGGAACACCGCCACCTACATCCGCTCAGTGACACCTACCCGGAACCGGTGATTGGCAGAAGCGCGGAGCGCGAGTTGCGGCTTAGCGCGTGCTCTTAACCACACATTTACGGAGCATCAATCCAGAGCACTGCGATAGACCAGGGACGCGCACATGGGACCGAGGGAAATGCCCTATTCCTGCCGGCCAGCCCAGAGTCTGGGATAACCGCTGCCGGGGATTCGGCGAAGACGAGACGCGCTGATCTTGCAGTTAAAGGTACTGGTACTTACACCCGAGATTTGACTTGGCGTGTTTCGCAGTCGCCGCTGGAGGGTCAGGCTGGTGATCCGCGCGGGGAGGCGGCTGGGCGACCACGAGTAAGCACAGCGCGTGTACGACTTCGTGTGTGTTCAGAGCACCCGACTGCAGGCGGTAGAGTTTGTTCACCTCAGCCACGATGTTCCACGAGCGGTTCCGACAAGCGTGGTACGGTGCCTTGGGCGAAGACGCAACGAAGCTGGAGAGCGAGGTGCGGAGCAGGATGTCTCAGGGCTGAAGGGACAACCTGGAAAGGCTGGAAGCGAGCAGGACGCATCCTCACATCCATTGGATCGGGGAGCGCTATGTGTTTCAGAGTCACTTCACGCTAGCCATCAGAAGACAAGAGTGGTTGTTCCTGCAGTAGCCTTCCCGGCTTGGAGGAGTCTGACGGGAGGGCGCATCGCCTACCAGTGGAGCACCAAACTTCATCCGCTGGGATCCCCCCGTTGCGCCGCAATCTCAGACGATCGACCAGTCCCGCGGCCATGCATCCCATGTCCCCTGTGCCTCCCCTTCATTCCAGTGCTCTTTAGTTGGCCTTCGCCTTGTTTTCGCTCCTTTGCCTTTGTCCTGCCTTTCCTTCACCCCTTACGCCCCCACTGGGAACTGTCGCTCATTTTGGTCCTCGTGCCTCGTCACTCTCTCCAATACCAAGACACTCTGTGCAGTGTCGCTACATTCGTTGAACAGCTACACTGAAACAACATCACCTTGTCCGAAACAAGACGTCCTCTGGAGGATAACATATCCCTGTATCCAAACACCATTCCCCTTGAAGCAACGAACGGCAATCCTCGCGAAAAGGCATATCGAAGACGATCACGATCAAGGGCGGTGAAGGAGGATCTAGCACGCGCACAGTGAATCGGTGCCATTGGGCTTTGTTGGGCTTCAAATTCACATCACGACGCTGTCAGCCCTACGTCAAGGCGAAGAGTGAACGAGCAGATTCCCGCTCATTTCTTTGTCAACACGCAACGTCAACCTCGGCCAACCTCACTCAATCTCCACCGACTTTCTTTCAGCGCGTCGAACAATCATCCGTCACTCCTTTCAACACCAGCCTGGTCTGTGACCGTCCATTCATTCAAAGCAGAATCTACTCTTCACCTGTCGCCGCCCGGAACACTCAGCTCTAGACGAGTGAAAGTGAACGAAAATGGTCGCCTCCAACAACATCCTCTCGCGCGCCGCGGTCGCTGCACTCACTCTCTCCAATGTCGCGACGGCCTTCTGGCGCATGCCCTGCCATGGACGCACCGGCCTCGCCCGTATCGACCCTCTTGTGGACACCGGCGAGATCTCTGACCACGCCCACTCCATTCACGGAGGAAGCAGTAAGTACTTGTACTCACTCTGTCACATCCTGCGCAACTGTCGGTCTTGAGAGGCACGCACAATGAGCGTGTCAGCGCGTGCCCTCTAGTGATTGACGCGACCGCCTTGCGTATCTGCATAAGCAGTCACTGCCCCCAAAGACAAATCGCCTGACATGGACGGGGGCTTGGCTAATATTTCTTTGCAGACTTCGGCTTTACTGCAAGCTACGATGACTTGATGGCCTCCGACTGCACGTCTTGCTCCGTGAAAGAAGATAAGTCTGCGTACTGGTGAGTGACGACCTCCGCGTGTACGCGAACCAGACTAACTGAGTTGGCAGGACGCCATCCCTCCATTTCATGTATGCCAATGGCACCACCGTCGTCGTCCCGCAGGTGGGTGGTATGCTGTCATACTATCTGTTATACGGCGAGAACGTTCAAGCATTCCCCGCGGGCTTCCGCATGCTCGCTGGAGACGGCAGGCTCCGCAATTTCTCCTGGCCAGTGCCAGATCCTCCCAAGTCGAACTGGAGCCCAGAGGAATCCACGCAGTTTGCCCTCTCACAGAAGGCTCTGGGATTTAACTGCCTGAACTACAAAGCCGAGGCGGAACCGACGCTCTACCGCCACTTCATGCCCGACAAGAAATATCTCGACGCCAACTGCGCCGACGGTCTACGTCTCGAGTTGTTCTTTCCTTCTTGCTGGAACGGAAAGGACTTGGATACTCGCGATCACAAGTCCCACATGGCCTACTCTTCTCTTGTCATCGATGGCAACTGCCCCTCTGGTTTTGAGACTCGGCTTCCATCACTTTTGTATGAAACCATCTGGGCAACGCAAGCGTTCAAGGGTGCGGAGGGCCAATTCGTGCTTTCCAATGGTGATCCTACCGGTAAGTTGATCTCGATATCCGTTACAAATCTTGAAGCTAACGACGCAATATAGGCTACGGCTACCACGGCGATTTCATCAACGCCTGGGACATCGACTTCCTGCAGCGCGCTGTCGACACCTGCACCAACCCATCTGGCAGGATTGAGGACTGCCCCCTGTTCACCATCCAAGACGACTCAGTGTCCACTTCATGCAAATTCGATATGCCGAAGAAGCTCAAGGACGAAGACTGCGCCGGCCCAGGCGATGGTTTGTGCGGAAACGTTCCGATTCAGTCCGGCCCAGACTACGCATCGCACCTCAAGGCCGGGAAGACTGAGTCGCCGTCTCTGTCGGAGCTGCCTTCCTCGACAGTCGCGCCAACTCTGGTTCCAACCCTGTCTTACACGTCGGGCGGTGTGTCGGTCACCGATTCACAGGGTGGCGGTATTGTCGTTCCAGCAGCAGCAGCAACGGTCAGAGTTGCAGACGAAGCGGCAGCGCCCATTATCACGGCTCCCGCGATGTATGAAGCCGAAGTTGATGACTCGCCAAAGGACGACAAATCAAGGTCCACCTCCCGATACACCAGCGGAGGAGCAGAGTACCACGTCGTGTATGAGGAAGAAGTCGTGACAGTTACTGCCACTACTACGCAGCACGCCAAACGCAGCAGACACATCCACCACCGCCGCAACCACGGGCAGGGCCTGAAGGTCCTATAACCTCCTCCGCAGCCATGTTCTGGGCTTGAGTCTTTATGGCCTTTCACGTCTTGCGAGCTTTCTCTCAGCGCACTCCAACCATTTGTGATGATGCTTGCCTGCCCAAAGTTGCATTGATGTCTTCGAGCTTTGTGCTCGCTCTTTCTGTCCACGCTGGCTCTTGTGGGAGGGCGTCGACCATTTCTGTAGCAATGTCTTCTTCTTGCTGTCTGTCGTACCGGCTGTGCCGAAGGCGGACTTACTTTTTTGTACACATTTCGAGTCAAAGGACTTTCAGCTGTACGTAGGGCTTTACCAGCGCAATACGCCCATCGAGAAAAATGAAATGAACTTCATGATGATACTCTGCTATGTGATGTGACGGCATCCGTCAAAAGCTTTTCGACTTCACATGTCCATATCGGCCTGGTCTTCCCAGTCCTTCTTCAACTTTGCTTCGCCGCACGCACTTCCCCTCGTCTCCTATGGCTCTAAAGCATTAAACCGGTGTTGTGCTGGTCGATGTGGTGAGCATGGGGCTGTGAGTCTACACTATCATACGAAGGACGGGGTTTGTACTGAGGAAGCAGACGCTTTCCATCCTTCTTCTGTTGTTTCTAAAGAACCATCAAGTGAGTAATCTGAAGAAAATTCAATGCTGTCAATGACCACAGAGGCCTCTAGAGCGCTTGATTCTCCTCCCATAATTGCCGAGATACTTGTGTTTCAAACTCTCATAATCGCACGCGGCTAAGCGTCCGCTTCCTCAATACAACCCTTGTCCTTCGTATCAGCAATGTGCTCGCTGCAGGGCTCAGGACAGCTTTTGACTGATCACAAAACTCTGTTGGGGAGGTCCATTCTATCGGTACTTGCAAGCTTTTCAGCTTTGTGAGTAAGGTCCGCACTACTCCGCTCAAATTGATTGCAACTCATCCTCATTGGTCGATTGTCGACACCGCATACGCGCCGGCAAGGCTTCTCTTGCACTGCCAGGCTTGCTTTTCACCATCAGCAGCACTTCTACTCGTCTGTCAGGCCACCACTGCAGGCGGCGGCTAACAGCTACATACAAGGGTCACCCTAGGAAGGGCTGATTGCGCCCCCTACTTCCCGTGCGGCTCTGGAAGTGGCAAACAGGGGCTTGAGCAAATCAGGAGACAAAGCAGAAAGGTTCAGCCTCGTGAGGTCGGGCCCAGAACACTTCCATGCGTCTTTCGGAGGGCTCTTCCCTACATACGACGGGTCGAGAACCTGGAGCTCCCACTGTGCAAGGGGTACGCCATCGAAACAGCGAGTTCGTAAGAGCTTCAAGCTGTTCGTACGCACGCGACAAGAATTCCCCAATCGGCTCCTTGTCTCGTCCTCACCGGAACGGTTCTCTTTCCCTAGCAAAGTGATGGGGATCCCTGCACTACCCGGCTGCGTCCAGTGGGTAGTGTGTACAGTGGCTTTACTGTGTTACAAGCAACGTCCTCAAGCACTCTGTTCGCTCAGAACACCGAGAAGACGCAGTAGACTCGCTCTACGGCTCTTTCTTAACCCAGCCGCCTGAACGACCTCGACACCACCGGCACACGACCCCATTGGATTCGGCCAGGTGGTGGAAACTGCATGGCTGAAACTCTGGTGACCTGAAAGGCCGGAAGGCTGCATCTAACGGTGGGTGAACGTTACACGCTCGAGACTAATACCAGCCCACGGTCCTTCACCATGCTTGAGCGGATTATATCAGTCGATCTTCTCGCCTACTCCTCTGCGGCAGCGGTGTCTAGTTCTCCACTCGTGTTTTTTTACTTCCACGATGTTTGCACGCTATCCTTTCATTCTGTACTCGCTCCTAGCACTTTCACAGCATTTGACCACCGGCCATGCCTTTTGCGTTGACCTCGATAGGCGTTCCGTGGACAATGGAACGTCAAGCAGCGACAACTACACCAATTTCTGCGGTTCTGGCGAAGATATTTCCGCCGGGCTGACCCGCGCGCACAACTCTCACGCGAGCTTCGCCGCGCTGTTCGGCCTCAAGACCATGCGTCCCTGAGCTTCCGCTCCCTTACTGCTAGTCACGAGAATGGCGCAAAGGCATGCCATACTCCGGGATATAAACCGCTAGACACGCATCTCCGTGCTTCCTTTCGCTATGCCGTAGCAGCCGGTACGGTGTCGTCGCTCGCCATTGTGTGATTCTTCGAAATGTCGAGGAGTGATAAGATCTGGAACAAGAACATTGAGGAGGAGATGGACAATGTCTTGGACGTCATCGACAAATGTGGTAACTATCTCCAGCGCCCGTTAAGGCGTCTCGTCACGGAGAAGAAAGTTATACTGCCGCTGATAACTGCGATGGGGGCGTTCGTTTCCAACTGGACACTATGGGGAAGTGAGTACCCCATTGGCTTCAAACATCTGCCCTTAGATCTTACTGACTTTGGTCCTCTTCTGAAGTTTTCATCAAGGTTGCAGGCAGCATCGGAAGCTTGAGAATCGAAATGTTACCCATGAGATTAGCGTACGATGGAAGCGTTTGGGTAACGGCCTCATCATTGTCAGCGCGGTGCACGTTAACCTGTGTTGTCTCTAGATTTTGCTCAGCACTCCTTAGATGTATCGTACCCGATCAGTGCGAATGTTAATATCTAGCTCGTCCATTTACTTGTACGCAAAGTACTTAAGATGCGCGGAAATCTTCTCGAATGAAATAATTCCCTCGTTACAATAAACGGATCGAGGCGACGAGAACAGCGTCCTGCAAGTGGCGAAAGAACCTCCGCAGCTGAGCCCATAGTCCATAGCTCGCCCGACCGAGCTGAAGGGTCAGCACTGCCGACCTATTATCTCCCCTCCAGCTGCCAGACGATGCTCCAGTCATGGTTTTGCAAACCCTTCAGTCGGCCCTTGAAGGCATGAAGCGACAAGGGGAGCGAAAGTTGTTGTCTCGGATTTCCCGGCTGACCCAAGCCATCATTCGCTGCGATTCATTCGCCTGCTTGTTCTGCCACTAGGGTTGCTTTCCAATATCGCGTACCCCGAGCTCCAGTTCTTCTCGCACCCAGCTGTCGGTTCTCTGCAAGCCACTGGTTGATGGTGGAAAGGCCGAGCGACATCAGCCTCACAGGCCCATGCGAGAACGCCACACCAGGAACACCAGGAACCCCTGCCACGAAGCAGTACTTAATCATTGGCTTGGTTCCGACTTCGATGTTGCCAGATACCTCATTTTTTTGCTTCGGATCACTGTTTGCTTCGGATCACCGTGGAATCGCCATGATAGCTTGGCCACTTGAAGAACATCCTACCGGTCGCCCCTTCACTCAAGCTTACTAACAATAGCCCGTGACCAGGCAGATCGATAGATCGGTGTGACTACGCCCTCAGCTGCCTGTGCCGTCGCTTCCCCTTATGGCAGCTTCCATGGTTCTCTTCCTTCTGACTCATCCCTACCTCTCGCTTGCATTCCGAAGGATGAAGAGCAAGACTTTCTGCTTGGTGTACGGGTTTAGACGTGGCAATGTATCAGGTAGCAGCGTTACGCGTCATCTAATCATCTGCCCGGACGTCCTTCCGTTCGCCATCTAGGTAGATGCAAGCGTATATGAACGCGCTAATCGCGTGGCATCTGGGAAGCATAGTCTTGCGAAGGAACCGCCTTCAGGTTTTCCTCACTCATACTAACTCTCAGCCTCATCCATCTCTAATTCAGGCGTTCATCTCCGGGAGCCTTACGCGAGCTGCCAAGCTTGTAGCTTCCAAGTTCCTCCAGCGCGGTTTGAGCCTCAATTCGAAGCACAAAATCTCGAGGCTTTTCACCCAGTTGGACTATAGCTGCTGAATTCAAACTGGGGGTCACCGCAGCCATCTTCTGGACTGTTGGCACGATTGCGACGACCAGAGTTGTCGGAGCTCGGCAGAACGTTGCAGAGCCGCGCTTCTCCTACAGGCAGACAAGACTAGAGCGAGTGTTACCTGTCTAGCAGGTGACTTGCCTGGCAGGCACTATATTCCCTTTCCGCCAGTTTTTTCTGCGCTGGCAAGGCCCGGAACAAACCGCACCCAGAACGTTTAGGTACGTATCTTGCCACCTCTTCTAACTTCAGAAAAGAGCATAGGCAGCCTCTGTTATCAGACAGTCCTGCAGTTCGCTGGCAACAGCGTTTTGCCGTACGCAATCCGCTGTCACCTTGGTTGTTCAGTGCGTTGTACTATATGTTTTTCCTCACATAATTTCTATTCAGGTCGCCACGCTCTGAACCTCAGTCCTGTTTCTCTTCCAAGCCTCGCACTCTCTTCACTTCCGTTCAGCTCCTCATATCTCGCTTGCGAAGAGTCAGCCATTGCCGGACCCACATCAAGCGCTCCCGTTCAGTCTCTGCTTAAAAGTGAGTACTCAAGCGTGCGCTAGAGCACGAAAAGCGACTCAGGAGCACATCAAATTTCTGATCGTTGCGCGAGAGGATCTGAAGCAGTTAGGCGGTCACCGCATGCGTTCAACAGATCGGTCTCCAGGCTGCAGGACAGCTATGAAGCTTCCTGTCATCACTGTTCAGCACTGACCTCGGAATTAGGCTGCTTTCATCAACTTGATTTCACTCTCAGCCATCCACCATCATCACGATGGACTTGCGTAAACTCAGTGCCCGCACTTCTGTACCGGCTAACGCCACTGTGTCGGATGCCGGTGCCGATGCCGGGCTCTCTAATCTAATACCCGGAACCGTCCTTGAAGCCTTCGTGCCTGGTTACGGACTGATCTCTCGCTTTATCTTGCACGTATTCGGCTTCGACATTGGCATCGTCGTCTCCCTCGGACTGGCCGTGTTCGCCACTGCCACCGCGATAAGATACCTCAAGCAATGGGGCAAATCAGTCTTTTTCAACTATCTCACGTCCGATGTGCACATAGAGCAGGAGGACGACCTGTTCGACAATGTCCTGGAGTGGATTTCTCAGCAACACATGGCACAGACCGTCCGCACCATAAAGGCAGCGACCCGTCCGGTGGAAGGAAGCACTTCGGAAGGTGGGAACGACCAGAAGCATCAACAGTCCTCTGGAAATGGAGGAATTTTTCACTATGGGCAGTGGGAGGCACAAATACCACCGCGTTATGAACCGCACTTTGGCAGGGTTAGATTTTGGCATCGAGGTGAGTTGCTTCCCAGACCCCCTCAAGACATTCCATGTCCCGCATTCCTCTGCAGCTCCCCCTCTTAGAGGGGCCGCTTGGCCCGGCTGTCTGTGGGACCGTCTAAGGCGCTTTAAATCCGGGCTCGTCCCTTCGGATATATCACCGATACGTCTTCATACCGATTAGTAGCGCAAGGAATCTCTATACTGATCTTAATACTGACAAAGCAAAGGTCGTTTGTTCTTCTTCACCCGTTACCAGAAAGACAATCAGCGCAGGTCATTGCATTTTTCGTATGGCAAAGCCGCCGACGAAGAAGGGATCACTCTGACTTGTGTCGGGTTCTCCACGAAACCTGTCAGAAGACTCCTCGAGCTCATCAAGATGAAATCCTTTGACAAACAAAAGTCCATGACAAAGATCCGTCGTCCTTCCGGGAAGGAAAGTCGCTACGGCGGCGCGTGGTATCGCATCTCCACCCGGCCCTCTCGTCCCCTCGAGACCGTCGCCCTCGACAAAGCGCAAAAGGAGAGGATCGTCGCCGACGTGAACGAGTATCTGCACCCAGCGAGCCCAAGATGGTACGCCACACGCGGCATACCCTACCGCCGCGGCTACCTCTTCCACGGTCCACCAGGCACAGGCAAGACGTCTCTGAGCTTCGCTCTCGCCGGCATCTTCGGCCTAGACATCCACGTCATCTCCCTACTCGACTCCACCCTCACAGAGTCCGACCTCAGCCGCCTCTTCAACTCCCTGCCACGCCGGTGCATCGTGCTGCTCGAGGACATCGACACCGCAGGCCTCCTGCGCGACGAGAAAAGCGACGAGGCCAAGGCTGACGCCGAGGCCGAAAAGAAGTCCAAAGACTCCACCGCCAAGAAAGACGATGACGCCATCTCCGCAAAGGACCTCGCCATCGCACTCAAAACCGCCCAACGCAAGACCAAAGAAGACGAGGCAAAGAAGGGCATCTCGCTCTCCGGCCTCCTCAACGCAATCGACGGCGTCGCCTCCCACGAAGGCCGCGTCTTGGTCATGACGACGAACCATCCCGAGAAGCTGGACGAGGCGCTCATTCGGCCGGGGCGTGTCGATATGCAGGTGGAGTTCAAGCTCGCAAGCCACGCGCAGATTAGGGAGATTTTTGTGCGGATGTACTCGCGCGAGGAGGACAACGAGGTGGAGAAGTACGGAGGCGCCGGTGTCGCCATGTTGAAGGCCGCTCGTGGCGACGCCGTCGCGAACAGCTCGGAGCTCAAACAGCGCCATGGCAAGCAGCTCTCCGACAGCTCCATCGACGTAGATGTCGTGTCCTCCGCGTTCCAGCACGGCTTCCCACCGCGCGAGGAGCTTGAAAAAATGGCGGCTGAATTTGCGAGTCACATCCCGGAGGAGCAGCTCTCGCCGGCTGACGTGCAGGGGTTTCTGCTCACGCGGAAGAAGGAGCCGCGGAGGGCGGTGGCGGAGGTCGCGGCTTGGAGGGATGCCAAGTTGGAGGCGAAGGAGAAGGGGACGAAGGTTGTGCGGTTCTCGTGAGGGTGATGGGGGAGAAGGGGGGGAGCGGTAATCTGGGACGTGGTTCTAGAATTTTGTGAGCTTGGACGGGATAGCACGGGAAAGTATGAACACGGCCTATGATTCTGAGGCGGCTTTTTGCTACGTGCGCGTTGCACTGCATTCAAGCTGGTGTGCATAGACTGGGCTTAGGTCTCGCGACTAGTGTTGAAGGCGGTGCTTACAAGAATGGTACATATTTCGGATATAGCACTGCCTAAAATGCGACATCTACACTCGAACCCCTCAACACCATCGCCATGCAAATCCCAAACGTGTATACAACGCCATCTGGCGTGCCACATAACCCATTTACAACATGCACTGTGCCATCAAAACCACCAACGTGCACACAACCAACTGCACCGTTCCCCCAACCGGCCGTCCAAAAGCCCCCACAGCCGCCCCCTCAGCATCTCCTCCATTCTCGTCCCTCGGAGCAGCAGCATCCTGCTCGCGCCTCGAACTCCCCGGCACACACCTGCCACTATCAATGCCCCCACCCTCCCCACCCCAACTGATCTCCGCAACCGCCTCCCACACCGCCGTGACATTCGTGACCATAGCCGGAGAATACCAGATCCGACAATCCGCCGTCTCATTCGTAAACTGCAGCGGCGTCTCCTCCCCCTCCCGGATCTGGTCCTTGAAATTCACGCTCGCGTCGGCCGCGTTGATGGCGAACGGGAACGGCAGCACGTCCGCCCAGCGCTGTACTTCGCTGCGCGAGGCGGCGAAGTAGCGCAGCATGGCGTCGGAGATGATGAGGAGGTATTCTGCATACAGCACGTTGGAGCCCTTGGTTCCGCCGACGGGCTGCATGGGCCCCAGTTGAGGGCGGCCGCCGATCGCGAAGGTGCGCACGCCGGCTTCGCGCGTCATCATCTCGGTGAAGAGCGCGCAGGTTGAGGCGCAGATGCCGTCGGAGAGGATCATGATGTCCTCTGCGCGGAAGGGAGGGGAGGAGGGCACGGAGGCGCGGTCGAGGTAGCCGGTTAGGCTGATGCCGATGCCGAAGTCCTCGGAGGCGGTGAGGAGCGGATCGGAGAGGTTGTAACGCAGAGTGTTGGTGAAGGCGTCAAGGGAGGCCGAGACGGGGCCGTACATGTCGTCCCAGGAGGTGAAGTCGGCGAGGTCGGCGTCCAGGTAAGAGTGGTAGTTGAAGGGGCTGGTGTACAGGTCGACGGTGTTTTGCGTCAGGCGGAGGGTTGAGACTTGCTCGCCGATTAGGTTCACGGCGCTGTGCGCGCGGTACCGGTTTCCGCCGAAGGGCTCGATGTTGGGGAAGAACTGCTTGAAGGTCTCGTAGCCGAGGAAGATCTTGCCGCCGCCGTTGTCGCGGACGTCGATTATGACTTTTTGCGCCCCTTGCGTCTTCGCTTCCGCGATGAAGTCCTCCAAAAGTGACTGGAACTCCTGGCTGTCATTGTCACTGTCGGTGTTAAAAGTCTGGACCATGAGTACAGCGACGCGACCGATGGATGTTTGAATGAAGTAGCCCGCCAGGTACACATCCTCAGCAGAGTGCACCACGAACGCCTCAGGGTAGCCGAGCGGAGCTCCTGCCTGATGCTCATCTGGCAGCGTCTGCGTCTTGATTTTCCGCACTAACGGTGTGTGCGGCTCGTCGAAATCCCGCTGCTCAAGCACCGGCTCGTCGCGCTGTCTGAGCTTGAGGTTCCATCCTGATTCTTTGTTTTGGCCGGGAGTGTGCTTCTCATGAGGCGCTTGACGTCGACCGACAGGCTCATCAAGGTTGCGGAGCTGTAACCTGGAAGGTGTGCGGTTCGGCATGGTTTGGATCTCCCTCTTCTGAGAACTTTGTGATGGCGAGTATTGGACGAAGGTTCGATAGAAGTCGCTGCCATCGCTAATCCCATCCCAGCTTGAAGAATCCATAACCAACGCCCTGTTGGTAAAAGCAGCTGTAGTCCCGTTTTCAAAGGTCAACTCCAGCGTAGGCCCAGGGTAAGCCCTAGGCCTAATGAACTGCCCCCAAGATTCTGCTGGGCCAAGGAAGAACAGAGAGTTCCACCGCGTGTCCGGATCATGATAAGCTGATTGCAACGCTTCTTGCTGTAGAACCGCGATCGCATCCTGTCCATTGATCGAAGTAACAGGAGATGGCGTGGTGGTTGTGCTGTTAATGTCGCTGAGAGCGTAAATTCTTGGTTCGGCCTACGATTAAGGTCAGTGCTAAGAATTTTGAAGCGATTGTGGGGAAGATCTTGGATGCATGATATCCGGTAGTATGAGAAACACCCAAGGAGCGTAGATGCCGTTTAATCGGAGATGCTTCCTCACGAAGCCGCTCATCAATTTGCACAGGTCTCCGTAGCGCAAGACTCATGCTACGGAAGGCGAATGCAAGCGTCGTCGATTGTTCCGCAGCTTGCATTGAGACGGCATGCGTAGCCTTACTCACGTGGCCGGCATCGTAGATACCCGCAAACGCTCCAGCATCTGCCCTTCATAGATTCTGCCACAATACCACAGTTTCGCGGGCGGCGACAGACAAAGAGCCGCAACAGAGCAGGGAGGGAAATCATAGGTTGAAGGGAAATAGACTCACCCCATCCAATGATACTGAGACCAAAGCGGCGTCGAAATCTCTTGTCCACCTAATTGCACCGGTGTATGCCATGCCGTCCCATGTCAAGTGGCCATCATAAGCACGCCCAATATTGTTCGCGATGTCCTCTTCGAAGCTGTACTCATTCTGGTACTGTCCGTCAAGAATCCGTTGTCGGACACCGGTGAGTTCTCCTAGGATGTCCACCGGAGGGTTGTCGTAACCCTCGGACGGTGGATTCTTAAGTAATGCGAGGGTTGACTGCCATTGCGTCATGCGGGTTATGGCCTCTAAGGTATCGAGGCCGTTTTGCTGGTCGAATGGTACGGAGATGAGGCAGTTGTAGGCAAGCTAAAGGGTAGATGCCATGTCAGCTAGTTTTTCTTTGAAACCGAGCCCGTGTAACGTGAAACACTATTTCCCAAGCAAACGGATCGCTCTCAAGTGTGACACCCTTCGGCAGGCAGGTTTTGAATATTGTATGATCTTCAGCTTATCACGCCACGTTCCATGGCGTAACGATCTCTAGGAGTGTGGAGGTTGCGGGGATAGATCCCGCTTTGCGCAGCTTCTTCAGCAAGCGCACCTCAGATGCATATAACTTCCATGGAAGCAGCGTAGGCAGCCACGAGGCACGACTCCACGCCGCCTCTACTGATGATACCGCGTTCTCCGGAGTCTAGAGACATCCACCTTCGAATATCCTTCGGTGTGCCCTTACCTCTGCATCCACGTATACCCTCCTCTGCCTGGACCTGCTTATGGCCTCCGCGACAAGCCCACACGGTTCGCCCGTTCCGGTCGGCGCTGGCACTGCCGTCACAGCATCTGTGATTGTGGCAAGGCTCCGAGTCGGTGTGGGATCAGGAAATTGGAGGGAGAAAGTTGGCTCTTGCGATTGCGCGCGGACGGCAAGGATCGGTAGCCATGCTAAACATGATAGCGGTGCCGAGTAGCGCATGTTGGTACGGCTATGTATTGCTGTGTGCAATCAATCACCTCGGGTACTTTGTGGGCGGTAAACAGCGTCGAGCTGGGTTGAAGGACGGGCGCAAACTGGTAAAGACGACGTGGTACATACGATACGTTTGGAGGTAGATGTGGAGCGCTTGTCAACAACGAAAGGACTATGAACAAGAAGATGGTATGTACAGATGCATCAGGCAGCAACAACGTGGCAATTTAAGGAAAACGGTTGCGAAATAGCACACATCAGCCCAGGCGTGTCAACCTGCACCAAGCAACCTCCCTTACCAGGATGGGCGCCTACAAGGCACTGAACACTGCCACACAGGGTCTTAGGCCCCATCTCGTGTGTGGCAGACGCGTATGCGGTGCTTTTATTGGTGAGGTAAAAGCCATGAGAGGCCTCGGGGTGCGGCTGAGGCTGGTGCCAACGTCTTGGCTGTATCGGAACGGTCAATGGTGCTCCGGCGTCAAGGTATGCGAGCGGCGCAGGCGTCAAGCTGCAACCTCGTATGAAATGCCGAGGACACACGGCGCACCATGCTTCGTACGGGATCTCATCCAGAGTTCCCATTGACAGATGCACCCGAGGGTTCCTGGCGGACGAGGTTTCATGAAGCGCGGCTCACGCGTGCTGTCGTTCTAAATCAGGAATGGCTGCCGGCGGGGCTCCAAGGCCCCAAGGTCCCAAGATTCCCCTTCGGCACGCTTGGCTCGCAAGGCTGTGCTGCTGTCAACTCGCTGCCATCCCGGCTTGAGACAGCTTGGCGTTTTGAAGCACTCAAGTCATCGACTGGAATTCCAATCTCTAAGAACACATCTCCGGTCATCCTCGAGACCGGCCTCTAAGATACAGGCTGAAGGTGTGTGTCTGCTCCCGAAGCGTGTCGCGACGAATCCAGAATCAAACGGTGGGCCTCTCGCCGCCGCTGGACAGGGACACGGCCAGTCTTCCGGAACACTTCCTGCGCATTCGGCGCCCTTGATCAGTCAATCGTGAAGCCGTTTAGGTCAACAGCTTGCACTCAGGAGGGATTCTCTCATGTTTCAACCGGAGAGAGCCCGTCCACATGAGAGGGCGGGCTGATGTGCTGTGACTTGGCATGGCCTCGCGCTAGAAACGCGTATCAAGGAAGCGGCACTGCGAGTGCTCCGTAGGCCGAAGTCATCAACGGACAGCAATGCACTTGTCAATTGAAGTGTACTCGGTCCTGGACAGCTCCTCCACCTCTTGCTCAGACCGAAGCAATGGAAGTTGGAGTTCTCCATGCTGCAGCTGAATCGTCGCCTCGGAAGCATTACCGTTGCGCGGACAGCTCGGAGATGCCCGCGACGTCATGTTCACGTCTTCCTCACCTCACAAAACAGAATCCCGTCTCGTGTCACGATGCAAGCCAGCCAATGGGTGCAGAGATGATCGTAAGCTGCAGCCTCCAGCCTGCACATCAACTCTCGAGTGAAGCTCCTCCAAGCTCCCCCAAGCTCCCCCAAGCTCCCCCAAGCTCCTCCAAACTCCTCCAAACTCCTCCAAGCTCCTCCCCGTCTCTACCCCCTCTTCGTCGATCTGTCACGTCTGTGTGCAATTGATCTCATTCTGTGCCACTCTGCGCACGTCACTTCGTGGTAACTGAGGAATCGCTCGATCTTACGACAAAAATCACCTGCCTCTCCCCCCAAGTCAAAGGCCACCTACAACAGCAACATGCTCTCCGCACGCCTCCTCGCTCGCAGCCTCAGAGCTACAGTTCCCCTCAAGCAAGCTTCTCACATCCGTTGCTTCGCAGCCTCATCCGCAATCATGGCCAAAGGTAAGGTCTCGGACGCTGTCATCGAAGACCACCGCGAGCTCGAGCACTACTACAACAACATCATGAACGCCAAGGATGCCGACACCAAGGAGCGCTGGCAGAATCAGTTCGTCTGGGAGCTGGCCCGCCACTCCATTGCCGAGGAGCTGGTCGTCTATCCGGAGTTCGAGAAGAACTTGCCCAACGGGCACGACATGGCCGAGAAGGATCGTGGCGATCATCGTGTCGTAAGTCCGCTTCACCTCTCTCTCCGGATCGACGTGCGGCTGCATGCTCGAGTCACATCCCTTCGTCAGCTGATCTCTCTTCTTGCAGGTCAAGGAAAAGCTCTATAAGTTCCAGAAGCTGAAGGCCGACGACCCTGACTTCGAGCCCACGCTCCGAGACCTCTGGCAGGACCTTTCCGAGCATATCAAGGACGAGGAGAATAACGATTTGCCAGCGCTCGAGAAGGAGCTCTCGGCTGCAGACTCTGAGAGCGTGGCCAACAGCTTCGAACGCACGAAGATGTTTGTCCCGACTAAGTGAGTATCCTTGATTACTTTGAAATATTGTGAAATCGGCGAAAGAAGGACGGACACTGACACACTTCTTAGGAGCCATCCTAGCGCCCCAGACAAACCTCCCTACGAGACCGTAGTAGGATTGATGGCTGCTCCCATGGACCGCTTGATGGATATGTTCAAGAAGTTCCCCAAGGACAAGGACGAGAAGGTGTCCCCATAAACCAGGGCGAGGTGCAACATAATGGACGGGACGTGGTTGGCTTCAATGGGAAAGACTCTGATGTAAAATGTTGCTTAATGTTGCTGAATGCTTCTTATCGGCTTGCATGCCAGCATTGCATGCGATAGCTCAACGAATCCAAAAGAAATGATCTCATGGCCTTTGACTCTACTCCTGTTGATCGAGAGCATTGAACTAAGAATCCAACTTACGACTATCTTCTCTTGATCCCAATCTACTCGTACCTGCCACGCGACCTACCTGGAAACCCGTGCCTCGAGTATGGTAAATCAAGAAGTGCTTATAAACATATGAACATCTTGATGCGAACTGGCGAGTATATGAACACGCCTTGCTCATGGTGTCCAGAAACAATCTCTCCTTAATGTGTTTAACATCCCAGCAGCAGGGACCTCATAGAAGACCATGGACTCCCGTAAAGACTGTTGAGGAACTTCTAATCTGACCACTGGCGATTCGGGATTCGAAGAAAATCCTTGTGTGCGAACGGGTGTTGATTTACTTGATGCCTCAGGCACCGCCAGCCCACTCCCATCTCCGACATCGTCAGCAAAACTGCCCCGCCATCCCACCACCCAAATTTTTGACTGACAAGCTCAGAATGGCGTCCTCCGGCAATCTTGAGCACGTCAAGGAATGGCAAGACCGAGCAACGAAACTCACACCCTTGAACCTCAAGCAAATCGAGAAGCCTCTCGCAGAGCTCGACGCGCACCTTACACTCCGTAGCCACATCGTCGGCTACGGACTCACTGAGGCCGACACAATAGTATGGCGCACTCTCAGAGAGAACCGCGTCGCGCACGCGTACATCAAGCAAGGGCTTATGATCAATTTGTCTCGCTGGTTCCGCTACATCGAGGAGGCTTATCCGGAGACTGCGCTGCCTACCCAGCCCGTGAAGACAGCCAAGGGCGATGACTCCAAGAATGAGAAGGATGAGTTCGCTAGCTACGATATTGGCTTGCAAGATACGGAACATGGCGTAGTGACGCGATTCCCACCTGAGCCCTCGTAAGTAGTGGCAGGCGTCCTTGAGTGCTTCCACGATAGCTAATGCAAGCCTCTAGCGGCTACCTCCACATTGGCCACGCCAAAGCTGCGATGCTGAACGATTTCTTCGCTCACAAAAAGTACAAGGGCACGCTGCTCCTCCGCTTCGACGACACCAACCCTTCGAAAGAGAAACAGGAATTCCAGGACGCCATCGTCGAGGATCTGGCCCTCATGGGCATCAAGGCCGACAAGACAAGCCATACGAGCGACTACTTCCAAGAGCTATACGACTACTGCGTACAGATGCTGAACGAGGGCACCGCCTACGCGGACGACACGCCGCAAGAGGTACTGAAAAAGGAGCGGATGGACGGCATCGCCAGCGCCCGACGCGACGCCAGTATCGAAGAGAACCTCGCGAACTTCGAGAAGATGAAAGCCGGCACTGAAGAGGGCAAAAAATGGTTCATCCGCGCCAAAATGTCCGTCGACGACCCCAACAAAGCTCTGCGCGACCCCGTCATCTACCGCTGCAACCCGCAAGCGCACCACCGCACCGGCGACACCTGGAAGATCTACCCGACCTACGACTTCTGCTGCCCGATCGTCGACGCCATGGAAGGCGTGACCCACGCACTCCGCACGACTGAGTACAAGGACCGCGACGCGCAGTACCAATGGTTCCTGAAAACGCTGCGACTCCGCCATGTCTACAACTGGGACTTCGCGCGCATGAACTTCATCCGGACCTTATTGTCGAAACGCAAACTGACCAAGCTCGTCGACGCCGGCGTAGTCTGGGGCTGGGACGACCCACGCATGCCAACCGTGCGCGGGATCCGACGGCGGGGGTGCACGATCCCCGCGCTGCAGGAGTTCATCCTGAAGCAAGGGCCCAGCAAGAACATTGTCAACCTTGACTGGACGACCTTCTGGGCGACGAACAAGAAGTACATCGACCCGATCGCTGCGCGGTACACGGCCGTCGAGCAGGCCGACGCGGTGAGCTGCACCGTTGTCGGGGCGCGCGCGGCGCCGTATTCAGAGGACAAGGAGCTGCATGTCAAGTACAAAGAGCTGGGGTCCAAGAACGTGTGGTACAGCCAGCACATCATCATCGACCAGGCCGACGCGCAGAGCTTCGCGCAGGACGAGGAGATCACGCTCATGAACTGGGGAAACGCGATCGTCAGGAGTATCTCCCACTCCGTGAACCCGCTCAACCTCCTCACGGGGCATAAAGTCGTGACGGCGCTGGAGCTGGAGTTGCACCTCCAGGGCGACTTCCGCAAGACGGAGAAGAAGGTCACGTGGTTGTCCAAGGATCAGGAACTTATCCCCGTCGAGCTGGTGGACTTTGATTATTTGATTACGAAGGATAAGCTTGAGGAGGACGATGTGCTCGAGGATGTGCTGAATCCGAAGACGGAGTTTAGGACGAGCGCGTGGGCGGATTGCAATGTGGCGGGTTTGAAGGAGGATGACATCTTGCAATTTGATCGGAAGGGATATTTCAGGGTGGATAAGGCGTTCAAGCATGGCCAGCCGGCTGTGATGTTCCAAATCCCGACGGGGAGGTCGAAGTAGGGAGAAACTTTTTGTGCGGTCTGACAAGGATAGAATTGGATGATTGGTAGAAGAGGATGGCACTGGTAGCCTTTCCGGCCTTTGACGTAGAAGAGGGTAAAATAGACATCGCTTTTCTGCGCAGTCATGGTCCTCTCGGCGGCGAGATTCTTATGCATCAAATCGCAGGTCTCGCTTTTGGATACACGCAGCTTTTGTTGGAAGTGCGGTCCTGCACGGAGACTCGCGCCAAGAGATGTGTTACTAGTCTTCTGTCATAACCGTCGTGCCAGATGAAGCTGGGTCATGTGGGCGGATGGGAATCTACAAGCTCCTTCTAGATAAAAGTGTTCATTGTATCGCGCCGAAGCACTCGACACATGTCTTCAAACCAAAAATAGATCACGTCTAGTATCAAAGCTCTATATCTAGCTAGATCGCGCCACCGTCATGCCAGAGTCACCCCTCCATACACATTCTACATCTTACTGTCCCCGCCCAAAAACCCATTCACAACCGCTGTCATAAGCTGATTCGCAATCGCCGTCTTCGGCGGCAACCTCAACCCGCCCTCCTTATACTCCGGCCCCGCCTCATCCCCCAACCCGCTCGTACCCACCCTCAGCGCCTCCCGAACCTCCTCGACCGAGAACCACCGCGCGTCCTCCAGCTCAGCATCATGGCCCAAATGGATCGTCTCCCCCTCCGGAATCGCCTGTCCGATCGCGCCGATCATCAGGTTCGCCGGGTACGGCCAGGGCTGCGTGGAGTGGATTACCACGCGCCCGAGGAAGATTCCAGATTCTTCCCAGACTTCGCGCCGCACGGCTTCTTCGACGGACTCGGCGGGCTCGAGGAAGCCGGCGAGGGTGCTGTACCAGTAGGGCGGCCAGCGCTTTTGGCGCCCGAGCAGGATGCGCTGCCCGTCGGGGGACACGACGGCCATGATGACGGTGGGGTCGGTGCGTGGGAAGGAGAGGTTGGAGATGCCCGTGCGGGTTGCGCAGGGCGGGCGCTCGGTGGAGTCGGCGGGGGTGATGGCGTTGGTGGAGCCGATGGCGCCTTTGAGGGAGCCCATGTCTTTGGGAGGGCAGGCGCGCTTGAAGCCGCCGTTTACGGAGAGGGTCGGGTTGCCGCATTGCGCGCAGAAGGGGTTGCGGGCGTTCCAGTCGAGGAGGTGGCGCGCTTCGGCGTAGATGGCGGCTGAGGAAGAGGGGGTGAGTGGGTGTGGGTTGGGGGAGGGGGAGGGGGAAGGGGCGTTTAGGTACCTTCTTCGGCGGGGAGCGTCATGTGCATGCGGGCTTCCCCGAAATGATAGCCGCGTTCTTGGAGATTCTTTGCAAGCTCCTCCGCCGCAGAGTGTATCGCACCTTTCGGGGTGGCGTCTATAGCGAAGTAGGGCGCGCCCTTGTAGTGGTCCTTGTATAGAAGGCCATTCTTGTTCCGCTCGTCGAGTCCCAAGAAGATGAGCTGCGGAGTGAACTTCGACGAGTTGTACGTGTTGATCATCTCGTCCTCGGCCTGCATGTACGGGTCTTCGCCGGTAAGCGGCACGACGTCTTTGTATGACACATATGCCAGTTCGGTGGGAGACTTGAACAAGGGCTGCAGGTTGTTGAAGACGAGGAAGGAAGTGCTGGGGTGCTTGAATGCGGTCGAGAGGAACGTGTGGTCTGCGCGGAGGAATGATACGCGGTTCAATGGTGATCCTGCTGAGAATTAGATCCTGGGATAGCATTGCACAGTAATGCCAAAGCACCTGAGAAGTAATTGGCAATCTCCTTGCCAAACTTTCGGCTCAACATCGAGTCTAAGTCTGCGTGCGCGGGTTCTGGAAGTTCAGGAGCCGGGAGAGGCATGCTGGCGAAGTATTGTGTAGAATCCGGATACAATTCTCAGAACCACTCTGAGAGAGGTTCTGGGGCCTACGTTGGTATATGTACAGGCAGCTGAATGAGGGCGGCGCGTAGTAACGCCCCTCCCCCATAGAGGGTCCGGGTATTAGCAAGCCGGGAGTGCTGCGGTCACCATCGCAAATCCACCCCTCGCACATGTCATCCCGAACTACCGAGATCCTATCGATAACCTTATTTCCGTCGGCGAGTGGCCCGATCTTCCATTGCAGAAAGACAATAAATCAATCACACCCCTTAGCTACTCAACTCAACCACCATGAGCAAATTCTATGTACGCACCAAATCGCCCTTCCTCCTGTCCCAATTGCTAACAAACACCCAGCTTAACGACACCCCCAGCTCCACGTCCTCCACGTCCTCCCTCGACCTCCCCTATCCCGCCCCACTCCCACGATCCGACTTCCTCTCCCCCGATTTCTTGCCCTCACTCTATCTCTCTACCCTACGCAACCGGCACCAAACCCTCGAAGACCTGCGTGCCGAGCTGCGCTCCCGCTCGCAGCTGCTCAGCCGCGAGCTACTCGACCTCGTCAATGCGCATTATAGCGATTTTTTGTCGCTTGGCAGCAGCCTTACGGGCGGAGATGAGAAGGTCGAGGAAGTGAGGGTAGGCTTGTTGGGGTTTAGAAAGGAGGTTGAGGGCCTGAGACGGCGGGTGGAGGAGAGGAGAGGGGAGGTTGAGGGGTTGGTCAGGGAGAGGGTCGGGGTGAGGAGGGAGGTGACTGTTGGACGGGCGTTGTTGGATGTTAATACTAGGCTTGAGGAGTTGGAGGAAGGGCTGATGGTTGAGTCGGCTGGGAAGACAGACAAAGTCCAAGACGGTCAGGATGCGGCGGACGTGAGTGACAGCGAGGAGCTGAGTGACGAGGATGAGGAGGATGAAGGCGGCGGTGCGGCTTTCATGTCGCTGTCGAAGCTGCAGCGGCAATTGCAACAGTACATGGTCGTACGGCAGTTGACAGATCACGTTGGACTGGACCATCCGTTCCTAGTTGCGCAAAAGCCAAGGATGACGAGAGTGCGGAGTGCAATCTTACTGGATCTCAGCGCCGCGTTAAAACAGGCATACGCAGCAGGAGACGCAGGGCAAAGGCGCGTGATGAACATTATGGCCTTGTATCGAGACATGGATGAGGCGAGAGAGGCGATTGGCATTCTCAAAGGACTCAACAAGCGACGGTGAGGCGGGACGCCTGTTAGGGTTATTCCATGAGGCCGCATATGGGACCCTTCTACATCTACGAACATTCTAAAGAACGCATCGATGATCCATATCCACACAGATATTGGGCATCAGAGTCAAAGCATCCGACAAAATCGCTTGAACGCCGTCGCCGAGCGAAGCGGATGAAAATCGACACTCTAGCAACCTCGAAAATTACGCCATAGCAGTAACCGTTGCTCTCGGACCGCCATTACTCCACACCTTAGAGAAAGTATTGGTCGAACCTGGGACTACGTACACACCGTCAACGGGACCCATCATAGCACTGGGCTCGGGCGGGGCTGTTGTTTCCATCCACTCCACGCGGATTGGCTTGTCTTTGCTGAGCTTCTGTCCGTCGAACCCTGCATTGAAGCAATACATTAGTTGAGAAAGGAGAGGGAACGATTAGTGAAGTCTACGTACAGAGCTCGAACTGGATGTCGGCAGGCCCGATGATGACGCGGATTTCGTAGTCGACTTTGAAATGGTGCTTCCCGAAGTTCCAGAAGTGCTTGTTCTTCTCTTTAAATTTCCTCTCGTCCGCGGCGGAAAGATCGGACTCGATTTCGCAGAGGATCTGGGCGTTGTCGTTCATCTGGTACGGCAAGAATTGCCGGTCGATGTGTGACACCACGATGTTTGTGGGGAATGCGCGGCGTGGATCTCCAGGGGTGATTCTGCGGCTGAAAGAATGGACAATTGGCTTGTCCACAGATACTGGTTCGCCCTGTTCTCGTCAGCAACGTTCAGATAGAGTAATCAAAGGTCCAAATGTACCTTTTTGATGAACCAAGCTACAGCCTTAGTGATATACAGTTTCCCATTCTCAGAATCCCTCTCCGTCTTCTTGCCTATATGATCAGGATTCTTCTTGTTGTACTTTATTCTGCAGATCGTGCCATAGGACGCTCGGGAGCACCGCCAGCCGAGTACCGCTTTGCCAGACTTGAGCTTGCGTACTCGATCGGCAACCATGCCCTTGCATACAGCGAGCTGTGGGTCTGGCGCGATGCGGACTTGCATTGCCCCGGCATGCTGGACACCTTGCTGACCCCCATAGCGAGCCCTCAGACGCTGTTGTACGTAGGCAGAGTTACCTAGTCCGCCGGATAGGACGAGATGTGCCTGAACCTGCTTAGTATTGCCGTATGCCATAGACAGAAGGACAGTGGGGTAGAGCGTACCACATGCTCATTGGGATACTTCTGTTGAAGACTCTGTAGCTGTGCATCTATCAGGCGAAACATCTTATGCACTTGCTTATCGAAGTTCTGCTGCAAGTCTTCCCTGGCGAATGTCATCTCGCCGTTTTGTATGCCGGCATCTCGGTTGCTGTAAGCTGGACTAAGCCGTGGTATCGCAACAGAAAAGAGTGGCGTGTCGGACGGACTGCCGTGTTCGCATTTTACGTTCTGGAATTCTTTGCTCTTCATCATCTCCCACGCAGTCTCATCTAAATTAATACCCAGGCTTGCAACGCGGTCTGCCTGCTGGAGGCGGGCAAGAACTAGCTTCTCAAAGGCGTAGTCTATGGCGGCTGATCCAATTGTCTCGCCAAAGACCACATCGAGCTGCTGGAGGGAGAGGGTGTCGCTCTGAGTGTCCGTCACCCGAAGGACAGAGAGATCTGTAGTGCCTCCACCTGCATCGCAGACCAGCAAGATGTCGCGCTCCCGAAAAATCCCGGATGCTTCAGTTGAGGTATGTACGGCTGCGGCTTCAGCTTCCGTAAGTCCAATCCGCAGTACATGATTAGGATACCTCCCAAAGCCAGCTCGCTGAGCAATGGATCGGAAGTTCTCTACAGTCGGATGTGGTGTCCACGTCGTAGGCACGCTGAAGAGGAACTCAATCCTTGCATTTTGCCAGTTGGTGCCCGACAGTTCAGCGCTCAATTTGAACTCGATGTGTTGATACAGTGCCCTCAAATAGTCCTCATACCATTTCTGCACCTCAGTCATCGATCGAGGCGCATCCTCGGGGTCGTCCACTTGCTTTTGTCGCAACCGTCCAGGGTCAAGGTACGTTTTGAACCATTCTTTATACTCTCTGTCGTTTGAGGTTTGCTCCGTTACGGTTTCGGAGAGGAAACCCCATGACGAGGGCTGTTGAGAATTATGAGGGTATACTAAGACGGTAGGGACTTTGTTCTCGTTCGCCTGACCTCTGCCGGGCCATTTCTGTATCCATCGCACTGTTTCAGACCCAATTGAGAGATTTGCGTATGAGACGCCAGTACCTGGATGATGTGAGTATCGCTGTTACTGGAGCACGTGATTGGCTAGAAATCGACCGCGAAGGATTGACCAAACCAAACAACGCCCACTTACAGGTCATGCCAAAGTCCACCCCGATTACCATGTGAGGTCGTTCGGAATCCATCCTATTAACAACTCGTAGGGCAATGGCCTCGAGAGCAGTTTCGAATATGGATGCCAAAAGCTCAGTGGTTCTGATCACTGCCAACTGGCGGGTTGCTACCTGACAAACATCCGGCGAGAGCACCGTTCAAGAAATGCGCGAGGCCGTGTAAAGCTGCGCGGTCAAATTGGAACATTTCAAACCCCTGAGTTCGATAGCCCCTCAGCCCATCGAACCGCTTGAGCCTCCCCCAGCCGTGTGATCGTCCTATTTTCAGCCAGCTGGTTCTATCAAGGCTTGTTTGATGCATGCTGCTGGCGGCCAGCCCGGACATGGACCCATGTTGGAGTCTCAGCCTTGCAACGAAGGCTGCCAAAAGCAGTCTATTGGCGAGGCCGTCTCACACGGCCCGCGGCGCGGTTGCTGTTGTTGCTCGTATCATCCCACTCCGCGGATGCACATGGAATAGCGTGAAGCACAGCTGGATCCTGGAGGCGTTTGCTCCAGCCCAACATGATGCCAGCACGGTGGTCCGCAATCGGTCTGTGCACAGCCTGGATGCCTTCTGCAGGCAGGCCTGCCCATCAGCTGGACAAAGCATCCGGTTAGAGGACAAGCCATCCGTGCAGCGCCAAGAAAGACTCATTATCAGAGGTCTTCTCCCGAGGGTTGGAGCTGACACGACAGCAGCTTTCCGTCGTTATCATTCATAGACTTGTTGTGGTCAACCATAAAATCTCTTTCAGGGTCTAACTCTGCCCTTCAAAGTCGTAGGTTTTTCGGCTTTGCGTGCCATACAGACGCAATATTGGAGTAATCGGCTCCGGCTTCGATGGCGACAATTCTCATAACTTCAAATGCAGCGGATATCCCACAAGCAGCTACCAGGCAACCCGAAGCTGGCAACTCAGCGCTTTCCTCGACTCCTACCCCGCCAGCTGTAGTAGCGCCCACGGCAACAATTGCGAACTCGCAGTCAAACACAGTCAATCCCGCTACTTCCAGCACTGCTCAGCCGTCCGCCTCGAATGGGCCAAACAACAATACAAGTGGCGACGACGGTCTTTCTGCAGGTGCCGCTGCAGGGGTGGGCATAGGTTGCGTGATAGTAGGCGCTCTACTGGGAGCTCTCGCCTTGTGGTTCTTCGTAATGCGCAAGTCAAAGACTCGACGTACCCGTCGCGACCACGAGGCCGGCAGGCTCGGTGGATTCTCATCGGACCCCTCGCAGAAGGAGTTCAAATACCCATCCGCCACAACCACAGCCGTCAGCGCGCCTCCGGCCGCATCCTATGTCGATAAGAATCTTCCCCAACCACTCGAAGACGATGCTATCTCTGGAGAGATGTCCAGGCTGCGCAGCTCGATCAAGAACCACGTCCAGAGCTACTACCATAGCTCTCCTGTCAACCTGGGCGTCATCAACGGAGCTGCCCTTGGATCACTGGGGAACGAGCTGCCGGTGCCCCCTGCCAGCCTTGAAGCTCTTATCGCGAGTCCCAACACACGGCAAACTATACTTCGGTTCTGCATCGCCTGGGTCATTATCTCGAGAATGGGACTGGAGAGCGACTTCGAGACCACTTTCTTGCCCCCAGAGGTAGCAAGCTGCATTCAATCTATGCGCGCAATGAAAGACAACCCCACAGGTAAGCACGCCAGCACATCGGAGCCGAAGCCAAAGCTAGAGGTTGACTTTTTGGCAGCTCGCATAGCACACCTTAGCAAATGGCGACAGATCACAGCGGCACTCATGCAGCCAACCTACGGCCAAGGCGTCATGTCTGGAGACGACCACCGCATCCACAATATCAGCGATGCTATGGAACTCCTGGAGGCTGTTCTTCGTCCGTTCGCGACCGATCAACCTGATAGCGAGCAGCGACGCCGTAATCTCGAAGAGATTCTGAAGCGTGCTGCCAAATTTGCATACGTGCTATTCTCGCAGCCGAGCTTCTGGCAATTCGAGTGGAACGACTCGCGGATGGAGCGGGACAGCCTGGTCGTTTTTCCAGCCCTGTTGCAAACGGCCGACGAGGCTGGACAGCCCCTGAGCAGGCCAAGGGTCTTTGGCGAGATGGAGGTGGTCCGCAAGATTGTTGCTTAATTGGTAGTGCACTTAGGGCTCGGGTAGCACGCTTGCATTTCAGCTGCGTCTGTGCATGAGCAATAGTACGATTGTTCTGCTAGGAGGGCTGAAGATGCATCCACATGCAGTCGTGATTAGCTCTTATGCCAAGCCCGGTCCAAAATAACTCCGCATGGGGCGGCCCTGGGCAGCGGGCCTAGCCGCACAGATGCTCAGCCTTGCATGCTGCCTTCTGCAGGGCTATCCATGCACCCGTCAAACCACACATCTACGGAGTACATGGCGTTCCAATAGTTCCTTTAGAGCCATGGGTATCATAAGAGCTTGACTGACTCGAGTTTCTTCACCGGTTGCTGTCATTGCTAGCTCTGCTCATGATGAAGGGGTGTGTTGTTGGACGGCTGAAGTGGGCAAGGCGGAGGTGTGGTGCTCTTGGGTAGCCACTGTGCAGCAGACCAAACTTGGTCTACGGGGCCATGCAGCCAGGATTAGCAATGCTCCTTCAAAGGGTGGCCCGGTATGCGGGATAATCAAACGCCCGGTTGCTTACAGGTGGAGCCCTGTGCAGGCCCCTGTGTCTTTCATTCGTTCGAGACTCCTCTATCCCTCCGCAGGGACCATCGATGTGGCTTCATGCATTCCTTCGGTGTTTCCAGTGGACAAGGCTGAGTGACCTATCCTATTCAGGGCACCGACAGAGCCCCCGTGCGGGAGAAAGGTGCATGCTCCTTAGCATCAGGAAAATCTCACAGCCTTCAGCCTCACCCTTCCCTTTAGCCTCGGTCCCTTCCTCTTTAGGTGTGTGGTTGGGATAGTCTTTATCCATACAGAGCGCGAAGCAGTCTGAAGCCTCATTCCATGTGAACACGATCCATGTAGTACGAACGCATCGATCACAACACCCTCAAAATGAGTACCGCCGGCGTATTCGCTGCCGTCAACAGCGCCATCAAGCTCGCAGACTTCATCCTCGACCTCCGCGAAGTCCCTGAGGAGCTCCGCGTCTTCTCCTCCCTCATCACCCGTGTGAACTCAGATCTAAACGAAGCATTCCGTCTGCGCCGAAATCCCGCGATAGACGCCCGCCTCATAGCAACATCCTCGCAAAAGCAATGGGTCGACAGCTCCATCAACGATGTCCAGAAAGCGCTCCATGACATCGGCGTCTACGTGGAGAACGGCCGCCTCGATGAAGAGCATGGTAAGAGCGTGGGTATGAAGACCCGCTTCGAGTGGGTCGTGAAAACCCACAACAAGATCAAGACGCGCGAGTTGGCGCTCGCAACTTGTCAGCGGAGTCTCTTGGTCGCGATACAGATGATGCAGACGCTCGAGATGACGAGTCTCATGAATCCAATGACTTCAATGACTCCAATGACTTGTTCGGCGACTGAACTGCCGAAGCCACCTCCGTCTTATGAGGCCAGTGTGGGAAGAGCGTGGAGGGACGAGGAAGATGAGAAGCCGTTGAGGCCGAGGCCGAGACGGAAACCTGCGTCGGATACTACCAAGGACGAAATCTTGAGAGAGGTACACGAGGTGGAGAGCAATACGCTGAGTATGAGAGACCGATGATAGTAAGGCTCGGAAATGGCTAACGATCTTCAGTCCCTGTGCAGTCAGCGCCGGCACACCTGCAGAGCACCAACACCCCCTGGTGGTATGCCCCTTCAGATGTCGGTCAAACAGGTAAATCTTAGTAGTAATTCTGCATCAATAATTACTGAATAAACTCTAGACCTTGTATTCTCACCACCTTTACCGCCGCAGGGTACCAGGGTGTCGCAACGGCAGATGTCCGCAGACAGTGTTCTACTGAGTAAGACTGACTCCCTACTACAACTGTTCTCGTGGCTAATGTTGCAGCGCCCGCAATATCATGGTCCATGTCGCCGCAACCGACAGGTACAACCGAATGGCGAGCACCATCCCCATCCCCCAGTTTCACCGCCAGCATATCCTCGCCTTCAGAGCTCGACTTAGATTGGAAACCCTCAGCTGCAGTAGAGCTGCCCGCCGATGACGTCAAAGTCAGCACACGACGGCCTGTGCCACCAGCTTTCAGAACCTTCAATCGGTATTCTGCCGAACGCAACCGCAGCGTCGCTTCCTTCAGCTCCACCTCCGAAACCGTGGTTGATTTCGATGAGAAGTATCCGGTTGAATCTGACGAAAAGTATCTGGTTGTCTCGAGCACGGAGGGTTCGCTGCACAGATCTGCAACTTCAGAGCGGCAGAGAAGGGCCAGGAGGAGGCTTGCGGCTTACGACGATTGATCCTGCGAGCGGGATACTCAGATGAAGCAATCGGACATGTGGATCAATACGCCAGACCCCAGATTCAAGGAAGGAGCGCCTACCAGTGATTTGGGTACCAGCCAAGTCAAGGAGGTGGATCTCACTGAAGTCAACTGTCTGTTTCAAGAAGCTCGAGAACGGAACAGTGGCGAGCCGACGTTGTTCATCCATCTGGGCCTTGTTTCGTGTAGACTAATCCGCCAGATGACAGCGTCACTGGAAACGGACTGACTCGTCGCTAAGCCCCTGTTATGCTCGAGGGCCCGTCCGAGGTTTTAGTCCAAGAAAAGTACAACGGTCCGAGAATCCGAGAGCGAAACGCACATAGCTCAAGAGCCACTAAGCGGGAATCGTGAATGGAATTAAGATATAAAGAAGCACAACTGGCGCTGGGAACAGAGGGCTCGCTGTGGCCGAAACGTGTCAAGCTCCCACTCACACTCCGTGCAAGGCGTCAGATCGCTCTACCGACATGTTGCAGCTGCGCATTTAGCCAGCACGGTGCCCTTAGGAGACGAACAAAGTGCGGCCAACTCCGCCTGAGAAAGCGGCACAAGGGCAGGACGCAGGAGCGGGATCTTCAAGACGGCAGATAATATGACATAGCTGACGGAGAACGTGTATATAGAGTCCTATCTCGAGAAGACATCATGAGCATGATTTGCGAGTCTCCGAGTCGGTCCCCGGTGTTCAAGGCACAGCTTCGAGCTTTGAGCTCGTGTAGAGTAGAGGCAGACATGCCTAACCTCTCAAGCTTGACGCTTATAGGAATTGATTGATATTTGGCGCCACACCGGCCCAAGAGCCGCTTGTATAAACCTACACCCAGATCCCTGTTCTGTACAAACCGATAAACTACAAACCTTACACGGAACTCACAGTGTTGACAAGTCCTTAGTCGGGACCGAGTCCGGTCCTTTAAAGTCACCGTTAAGACTGAAGCCCGGCGCGTTCGTCGAACTCAGCACCTGCTCGTAATGTCAGCCTTTGTTGAACACATGGATCCCTCTAGGTAACGATCGTGACTCACCACCTCATGCACATCCTTCGCAATCCGATCACTCAACTGCGCAATATCCTTCCTCACCTCCCCCACAAACGCCTTAATATTCCTCTGCATCTCCTCCGGGCTAAACCCCAGCTGCCCGATCGCCATCCTCACCACCCCCATGCGCTCCCTATACTCCGCGCCACCCACCATATCCCTCACCGTTGTCGCGACATCCTTCACCACCGTCCCCATCTTCGCCGACGGCATCAGCCCCTTCGGTCCCAATATCCTTCCTAGGCCAGCCTTGTTGAGTTTCTGCAGCGAATCAACATGGCAGATGCAACGGTCGAACTCGACTTTCCCCTCCTTGACGGCTTCGAAGACGTTGTCTTCACCTACGAGACTGGCACCGGCTTTGCGCGCGGCGTCTGCGGCCGCGGAGTCGGGGGGGCAGATGACGCAGATGCGGAGGTCGGTCTTGACGGGGTGGGGGAGTCGTAGGCGGTTGCGGACGACCGGGCCGTTCTTGAGCGTGCGGAGTTTAATGTGCATTTCATACTTTGCGGAGGTGGGGGGGCGGCCGACCTCGAAGGCGCGGATGTAGCTGATGCGTATTAGAACAGGTCCGTGGAGCTGCTTTTCTGGGTTCGGATGGGTGGTGAAGACTGGGGGTTGCTGTGCTTGATGGTAGTGGAGAGACGAACCGCATGGCGTCGCACAGCGAGAATTGTTCCGCATTGCTCAGATCAGGCTCTTTAAACGTCGACCGCGTTTTCTTCTTCTTCTGCGTCTTGGGAGTATCTTTTCGCTTGTATTTGGCGGCATTGTCGCTCGCATGGCGCAGTTGCTGGCATGGTAGGCAGACGAAGGGAGATATCTGAGATCTTCGTCGAGCCAATGGCGAGATGGACAGTCGACTCGTTCGAGCTACGAAGCTCTTCGTGGAGGCCATGGCGGGCTGGGAATCTCGAATGTCAATGGTCGAGCCACTGCAGGTTGAGCTCTCGGGGGTCTGCGGGAAATGCCGCAGTCTGCGATGCTTGGCGCACAGCTATCCGCCGAGCCTCACAATGCAATTCAGCAACCAGGGAGCAAGGGAAGGCCAAATGAAGGTTGCCGCACCTCACACGTGATTTGGGTCGAGGTGCGGCAACCTTCATTTTGGCCTTCTCTCGGAGGTTAAGGTAGGTTGGTGCTGAGGTATTTGCAGTTAGGTATTATATCATCGGTATTGTGTTCAGCGCATGTATAGCAGGCTATCTCCAATCTCTTCTTACGCCCTGTCTTCCGCTGCGGTCAAAACCAAGAAGTAAACAGAAACGCCGAAAGCAGGACTGAAACCGGCATCCACATGAATGCGGTGGTATTTCCCTTGGATCGGAGATCCTCCCTGAACTCCTGGCTCGCAGATGCTATCCCTTCGCAGGCCGTGGCACCCATTGGGACACTGTCGCGTTCCTCCGCGCAGAAACCCTCAAATCCTAGCGCCTAGCTGATCTCCCACGAAAGACAAGTCAAAAGATGATACAAACAGCCCCCCAACTTTAACACCTCCCACATCTCCTTCCCCTCTCTCACAAATACGCCATCCAAAGCGGATCCGTCTGACTCAACTTCCCCGGATTCGTCGCATCCGCAACCCTATCCACAACCGTCTGATTCGCCGGCAAATTCCCCTGCGTCGGCGTATCCGCCAGACTCCTCGCCATCTTAACAATCTTTTCGCTGTTCATCTGCACGCTCTCCCTCAGCGCGCCATCCAGCGCGTTACTCTTATGCTGGCTCGTGTACCAGAAGCTCATCTCATCCCTGACAAAGATGGACAACTGCATCTCGAGCTCCCCCTCCGGCTCCGTAAGACACCTCGCAATCGCCTGCATGGCCGGCGCGAAGATTCCCTCCGTCGCGAGCGGGCCCATCAGCGTCTGCAGATTCGGCGTCAGGCGGAAAGGCACCTGTTCCTGGTTATGAAACAGGGGCTTCGTGGAGGCCATGGTGGGGTAGACCTCTGAGCCCCACACCCGCCCGGTCCTGCGCGAGATGAACATCTTGGAGGGCGTGCGGGCGCCGACGAACATGATGAAAGTCATGAAGGAGAGCGCGGCGAGCTCGTAGCTGAAGGCGCGGCGGAAGAGCCAGAAGTCATCGAAGGTTGGGTAGGTGGCGCGGAAGAAGTCGAGCACAACGGTCTGGGGGACCCACTTCTCTTGGATCGCGTGGAAGGTCTCGAGGCGGATTGCGCAGGCTTGTTCGTAGTTTCTCTGGTCATCTTCGTTAGCAAACTTTGGTGGAGACAAGCGGTAGGTTATATATACTGGCTGGAGCGCCCGCAGCTTCTCGATTGTGAAGAGCACGGGTTCGTCTTTGTCGACGCCGGTGCGTCGGCAGTGATCCTCGAATATTCCTTGCAGAGTCGTGTATGAGGGATCGTCCTGAACCATGCGGAACAGTGGAGATAGTGGGATCATCAGCGGTAGATGGAACTGCAGGTTACGGCGACGGCTCTCCTTCCTCTTCGCTAGCACGCTGTTGAAGATTCGGAACAGTTGCTGAATGCGCTCTTCTCGTCGGGGGTTCTTCGGGACTGGATGCTGTATCGCAAAGATGTGGGTGCTTCCGTCGTGGCCTCTGATGCGGAGACGGCGGGTAGTAGTCCCTGGACCTCGATCAAATTCGACATCAGGCACGAATCGCTCGATTCGGACGAAATCTTGGTTCTTGTCACGATGGTGCAGGTACTGTCCCGGAACCTCGACGTCGTCGAACTTACTGAACCTGAAGTCCGTCAAGTGGGAGTTCGTGGTCTCGAGGTGCTGTTGCTTTTTCCTATGATCAAGCCTCTCTTCAAGACGAGCGCGCCATCTACGAAGTTTGGTGATATACTCCACCATCATCGGCTTGGCTGCAATGAAGTCGGCCTTGAACGCTTCACGGAAAGGAACAGGCACCTGTGAGTCAGAGAATCGAACAAGGTGGGCTTGCGTGGGCGGTGGTAGCCTGGCGTCGGTGCCGTACGCCGCGGGCGACCGCGAAGTCGCATTCACTGCATCCCCAAACAAGAGGACGATCAGTCGGTACGTATCTTCATCGGGGCTACGTGCCGATTGCTTCTGGATCTGGTCGACCATTGTCTCCATCGACAGCGCCAGAAGCGGGAACGCAGTTTTGAGAGCAGCGTTGAGCTCCTCGAAATACTCCCAGGGTTTCTTGGGCACAGGAGGCTCCCCGCTGTCGCCGTTTGCAGCTGGCTGCCCGTTCGGCTCCACTTTCGGTGTAGTGCTCGGATTGCCTGCAGAGTCTTGCGTACCATTCTGCTGGCCTTCGCTATGCGCAGTCGTCGGTCGTTGCGGGGTACCATTCGCCGTCTGAGGCCTCGAGTCGGGTGAGCCTTGTTTCGCCACTGGAGAGCCGTCCGGTTGCCCTTGCTTGGCACGTGCCGCCTTGTCTCTCGCGTCCTTCTGATCTGCTTGCCTCTTGATCGCCATCTGGTCTTCGCGGCTGGTTCGAAGTTGGAAGTAAAGGGCTTGCGGATACGCTTTTGCAAGCTTGGATAAGATGTGGCGAGCAATCGGTGCTTCCGGGCGTGAGAGACTCAGCAGCAGTTGCGGGATGTACGTGATCCAGTACCATATCGGTGTATCTCCCTTGAACTGGTCGAAGGTCTTGGCCAGTAATCGGTCGGCGTTGTCAAGGCTCAGCAGCCATAAGATCCGCCCAAGCAGCTTCCGCGACTTGGCGTTCTTGTACTGACTAGCAGCTTCAAGGTAGCAGCTGATTGCCGATGCCGCTTTCTCCAGGTTGGTAGGGTCTTCCTTGAACAGTCCGTCGTTATAGCGTCCCCATTCAGCCCAAGCTTTGGCAACCTTGATGTCTATATACAATGCGCTGCCGAAAGCATCATTTGCCTCCTCCTTCTGGCCAAGCTTGGCAAGGAACATGCCCTTGAGCGTGTAAAACTCCGCCTTCTGCTGCTGACCAAAGTAGTTGAGGTTCGTGTTATTGATGACATCCAGGCCATTGTTGAGCTCGTTCGGATTCTGATAGTGGCATTTCGCTTGCTCGCGGAGTTTCAAGAAAGCCTCCTGGATCTCGATGTTGGGCAAAGTATAGATGCGGCTGAGCTGGCTGATGCAGACATCGGGGAGCTTGTGCTTTCGAGCGACGTGCGCGAATCGATTGATGATCCAAGCTGTCTCGTGGTATCCTCGGTAGGCATAGGAGTTGCCTGCTGCGTTGCCCTGCTGCGGCTGAATGAGATGCAGATACTTGGCATTGATCAGATGGAAGATGTGCTGCCTCCACGTAACCAGCTCCTGCCAAGCATTAATGTCATCCCAGAAGTTTGGCAGGCGATCGCGCCACGTGCTCAGCAGGAGCTTGAGCTCCTGTGACCTTGTGTCCAGGTTGGTTTGGTTGGTTTGTGCTAGACTGGTGCAGATGGCGCTTGCGTCATGCAGCTCGATAAGCTGCTGAAAGTTCTGTAACAGCGGGATGTGAGCGTTCGTGATGCGCTTGGGCAGCTGATGCCACTTTCGAATCGACAACTGAACAGCCTCGTCGACGATGCGGTTAAAGTCTAGAGGAGTCTCGGTGCCACTATGCACTTTGAGGAGTGCCATGAAAGACTGGAAGAATGCGCGGCGGGGTGTCGGAGCGTCCGCGACAGCCTTGATGATTTGGTCCAGCTGCTCGCGCTGCTCAGCATTGCTCCACGCGTCGAAGTTGCGCCAGGTAGACTCGAGATAAAGGTCGTTGAAGTTCTCGTGCTTGGCGAAGTCGCTGAGAATCTCCCATTGCTGCAGTTTCTGCGCACACACAACCCAGTGATCCTCCCAAAGCATATACTCGCCTTGCGAGAACGGCAACGCTCCGGTGCGCGCTTTGATCTGAGCCTGCTCGTACGCCTTCTGGGCTTGATCCCACATGCCGTTCTGCTCGTACGATAGAGCTGCGTTCGTCTCGATGTATTGGCAGCGCCTGCGCCAGGTCCCATAGAAGAGGTCGTCTTCTTGCAAGCTTGAGTATATCTCCAATAGAGCGTCGAGATTGCTTTCTCTGACCTGAGGAGTGTCCATGATCGGGCTGATAGCGGACTGCTCTAAATAATGAGCCGCTGTGTACCAGGCATTGAACGTCCGGGCCAGGTACTTCAAGACATGAGGAGGGAACTTGAAGCGGGGTTTCGTGCGCACAGCAGCCTCGATGATAGTTTGGACGCAGTTCGGCCTTCTGTCGATCTGGCGGATATGGTAGTCCCGGGTGAGCATGGAGACCATTCCCTTTTCCAAGTCCACCTGATCGTCTCGCGACAGGGCAGACCAGCACAGCGGGAAGAACGCAATCCAGATGTCGTGTGCCAGATCAGCGCTAGTATGCTGCAGGTAGGTCAGGGGCTCAAGAATGTCCCTCGTCCTGACTTCGCTCAGTTGTTTGCAGAACGCTTTGTGCGCAGACACCAATGACTCGTATTTGTCGTCAATCATTAGATCGCCAATACGGGGATCTTTGGCGTAAGGGCTAAAAAGCAAGGACGCTGGTAGGACCTTGAAATCTTCGTGATGTAGCTGCGCAGTAGTGTTCATGTCGAGGGTGCCGAACATGAGCTGAATGACCTGGCTCAGCCAGAAGTTCTCATGGAGCTGGTCCCAGTTCTGCGACGTCATAACATAGTTGAGACGGCTAGCCGCGGACTTGCTCAAGCTCTTGTCGAAGATGGACATAAAGCGGTTGCGCATATCAACATCTTGCGCGCGTGTGCCGATTAAGAAAGCGTGCTCCATGCGAACCGTCAATTCGGTTCTTGTGATCCTCTGATCCTCGTAGATCCGGATGATCAGGTCAAGGAATCTGTTCAGGTGTGTGGTGTCCGCTCGACTCTCAAAGACAAGCATCTTGCCAAGCACGGCTGTCTTCTCTTTCAGCGTGGGCACTGGCTCAGTTGACTTGAAAACCCAATACTCTATCAGATCCAAAACCTTGGTGCAAATGCCATTGTGGTGGGATCGTTCTACGAGTTGAGCTAAAACACTCAGAAACGGTCGGCGCTGGTCGTTCAGTTGGCTGATGCGAGCAGCAAGCATATCGCACAGCTTTAGAATCAAGCCGGTTTGGATTTCGTGCTCGTAGGGATCCGGCGAACCTTCCGGTCTCTGCGTAGGAGGCATACCCGGTTGCGTCGGTATGCCGCTGTAGAAGAGAAGATGATCCTTTGTCAACTTGGACTGCAGGACTTTCATCACCGGCTGGATGTGTTGGTCCAGCTCCGCATGTCTACGTTCACAGAGTGACCCCAGGAGATTGATTGCCGAAACATAGTTTCCATTTGACAGCCCTTCCGCGACAACAGTATTGGCGAACGTAACAAAGTCCGAGGGCGTCGATTCTTCAGTGGACGCCTCCTCCTCCGGTGGGCTTTCCGGCAAAGAGTCCACTATCCGCTTGACGAGTGGCTGCAGCGTAACATTCCCAGTCTCATCGGTCTCCACGCTGTGCAGGCAGTCCTGCACCTCCGGGTTCTCGTTGCGAAGCGGCTTTTCCAAGAGGTGCTGTAGCTTGCCAACACGCACCAGGATCCAGTCGTTGGGCCGGACATTGAGAATGACCTTGACCACCTGGAGAGTATTGATAAGCCTAGTCATAGCAACTTCCTGCTTCTCATCCGCTTTCGGCTCGGCGGTAAGAACTTGCTCGGTCCTTTGCAGCAGCGGGTCAACGTCGAGATCACTCCAGTAGGGTCCCGAGAGTAGGTCATGCAGCAGCTGAAGTGTCTTTCTACATGCTTCAGTGGACTGCCCCGGTTGTACTGGCTGCCCTAGGGTTGTCTCTTTGAGTTTTAGTGAGGCTGTCGGGTAACGCTCAGGAAGGGTAATGATGAACTTGACTAGGTAGCTTATGAGGGCCAGCCGCATAGGTCCAGGGGCCACAAATGCTCGTGGAGTGGTGGTAGGAGCTGGCGCACCAACCGTGCCGTCAGCCCGGCGCTTTGCCGCCTGAGGCGAAACGGACATGCGCTCGGCAGATGTGGCCTCTAGGTACGTCCGGTGTTCCCACTGCCATATCAGGCTGATGAGATTGATAGCGGTCTTCTTGCCGTCGATAGATTGACTCGGAGGCGCGGCAATCTTGCTGAGGGACGGTATGATGATCTGGGCAAAAGGTTCTCGAGCTTCGTAGAACAGATCCGGATGGCGTACAATGAAGTTGAAGATGCTTGTCAGCTGCTGCAGGTTTGAGCTCTCCTCAGTGAGGATCTTTCTCGGTATCTGTGCCCAGATCGGGAGCTTCGCATCGGCGCCACCGATCCGCTTCTGCAAGACCGGTGCAAGCAGCTCGAGGGCCTGCATTACCAAAGCCCTACACTCGCCCTGGTGCGCCTTCAAAAGCTGTTGGTATACTGGCCTCGCGATCTTTGGAGGGGTCTCGTAGTGGGCCATGAAGTACGCAAGCGACACATAGGCGGCGTGCTTGTTGATGACGTCTTCGAGCTTGATGAAATTCCAGCCTGTCTTGATAATATCCTTCCGCTTGTCCTGGATCAGATTGTGGTGATACTTCATGAGCAGCGTGGTCAGCTGCAGAAGTTCCATCCTTGAGTGATCTACGCCCAGCTGGTCGGCTCCTTCTGATATGTCGCTGATAGACTGGGGTAGCCAGAGCTTATCTGTGATGACCTGAATCAAGCTCCGGTCCACGAGCTTGGTACCCTTTGCATTCTCGATGACTTGATCCCAGTTACGCATAACGTCCATAGCCAGAATTGGATTGACGATGTAATGAAACACGAAGGTTTTCGTTCTCTGCGAAGGACTGCGTGCAGTGTAGAGGTCCAGGCACCGAACAACCAGCGTCCGCTGATAGTCGACAGATGCATTCGAAATCATGTGGTTGTAAATGAAATCGAAAAGAGCAGGGCACGTCTTCAACTCTTCCGCTGTAACAGCTTCCACGACCTCGAAGAAGAAATCGAGGTCCTGCGGTGCTTGCTCGAAGTAACAAGCGAACACTTCTGTGGCCTGATCCCCAGCTTGTTCCGCGGCTAGGCGCAGACTTGACTCGAGTGTATTCTGCCGTAGCTTCGTCTCAAGGGCCTTGCTTGCGTTGAAGAGAGCTACTCGTACGTTCTCATTAGACACCAGCCACGCTTTATGCGCATCATGCTTGGAAACGGAGTGGGCAGCGTGGACGGCATTGATCACAGCGGGCCATCGCTCGTCCTCGTCTTCGGTTGCGAACGCGTCAAGGAAGCCTTGTGCATCCTTTGTGAAGGCCTCTCGAAGGCGGGTGCTCGCCGGGTTAGCTAGGAGCTGTGCGAAGAAGCGACCAGTGTTAATATCCTTAAGCTGAGGAGCGAAATACTCCCAAGCTTTGTCGGGGTACTGGTTGAGGAACTTGATGAGCGGTTCTCGGAAAGGACTATAGTGTGTTCTTCGAAGTGCCGTCTCCAACTCCATCACCCTTGTAACCAACGGTTTCATGAACGACACAGCAGCTGCCGGGAGTAGGTGGAAGATGTTGAAGATAGCCGTGATCACTCTCATCTGCTTGTTCTGCTCCACCAATGTGAATGACACCTTTTGCAGAATTGCTGGATCTGCAAGCTGTTTCATGTGTTCCAGTAACCTGGCGCCGATTTCGACCTTGAAGTAATTTGTAAGGAGCTTAAGGAGGCGAGCGAGACCGTCTAGTCCCTCAACCCTGAGTTTCCTCGGATCCTGTAGGTCAACTAGGATCGGGCGAAGACCCTGCTGAAGAATGTCCTTGGGAAGCTTGCTCTGCGCGCTGAGTATGCCACGCAGGCCGTCATGTGCAGCCTCTATGACCTCGAGCGATTTCGAATAGAGAGCTTTGAAGAACACCTGAATGATCCGGTGCCAGGTATTGATGCCGCCAGGAGCGCTAACAAAATCGGGAAAACTCTGGGCCGTTGACAGCAGCCTGATGCAGGCAATACGGAGATTAATGATACCTTCAGCGTTGCGCTGTTCTAGTGGCTTCGGGATCAGTCCTTCGTCTTCCGCATCCGCAAGAGCAAGTGCCTCCATCACCAGGCGGGTAAGTTGCTCGTTGAACTCAACTATGTTGTGTCGGATTTTGAGGCAGTAAGTAATCGCGTCGATGTAGCCAATCTGCGCCGCGAACGGCAGAGCACGCAAAGGCTTGTTGAAGATTGGACCAAGAAGTCGCTCTTTGACAGGGGAGATCAGCTCATGAACCTCGATACCAGTTTCTTGAGAGATGATGTCGAAGGCCTTCTGTGCGGCAATTCGGACGTGCCTGTTCATGTGGGATAACTCAGCTGCAAGAAAGGCACATAGCTGGAACAGCTTGCTCTTATCGTTATGGAGGTCATCCCGGGAAGCCGACTTATTGCACCGCCGCAGTAGTGTTTCCAGAATGTCCTGAGCATGCTGTCGTGTCCTCGCTGTAAGGTTCTGAGGCGTGTCCTTGATGACATACATTAGCGATCGGGCGAGGACAAGCTGCTTTTCGATTAACCACGCGTCGCTAAAGTTCAGCTTGCTAATCATGACTTCGATGCCCAAGGTGCCGCCAGACTTCATGAACCACTCTTCCACATAGCAGTTATGGGTAAAGGCTTTGTAGAGATGCTCAAAAAGAGGTAGGTTCTCCACATTGTCCGCTGAGCCAAGAATAAGAGCCGCGACCTTGTGGATAGATATGATGACTTCCTCTGCAGCCTCCCTTATGGCGACTTCGTCGGAAGACAGAGAATCCGCAATAGCATGTGTGACGACCCTGTAGTCAACAAAGAGGGGCCCCTCGCCCGATTTAATGTTGAAAGGAGGCGGTTTCAGGGTATGTCGCAGCTCGGTTAGAGCGCGGCCAATCTCCAAGAGAACAAAATGGCGGCAGATGTCACTCATGAAGCTAGACGCTTCAGCTTTGAGCTCCGGAATCGACATCCCCAATACGAGCGCCTTCAAGAGCTTCTTCAGCGTCTCTTCTTGCGAATCTTTCTTGGGAATGGACGATGCGCGATCTTGCACAACGAAGATATCCACAGCTGCGTCTACCTTCTTGTCTATCAAATCTTGCGCTTGGAGACGGACTAATTGGGCAAAGTCGTCCGGCAAACTATCGAAGCCAACGAGCAGCTTCGTGTGCGCAGTGATTAAATTCAAAGCTTGGTGCTTATGAAATATGTCGTTCTTCTTCGCAGGCGGCTTAGAGATTTCTGAGAGCTTTGAGATAGCGACATCGATACCGATGTGCGCAGGGAATGCACGATCTTTCGAAGAACCAAGGAGTCGCAGGTCCACACTAGGGTCATCATCTGTGTATGGCTTGAAGTTGAGCTCAGGTGGTCCGTCCAGAAATTTGCGATTTCTGCCTCCGAGCTTGCCGAGAATACGCATGGTCGTGTGGGAGTGGAAGTGGCTGTATGGGCTTGGCTTCAGGTGCTCCCACAAAGCGGCCATCAGCTCATCGATGACAGGCGCCATGATCGGATCCAGATAGTCGGCAGTCAGATTGTCCACACAAAGTTCCAATGTGCGCAGTCCCTGTCCCACGAGATCAGATCCCGCTCGGAGCGCGACTACGAGCGGTCTCATCAAGTAGCTCAGATGAGGAAGTAGGTTGCTCAGACGGGCCGGAACGGTAAGGATCAATTCGACGAACAGATCTCGGTCTAATGGTTTGCGGGCCGACAAAAGCAGGTTGTTGAGAACTTCTAGCAGCATCTCAAGCAGGGGCAGGATCTCTTTGTACAAATGCTCGAACCGTCCGCCACCGATGCTCCTGAAGAGTGACCTCAACAACAGGAAGTAGTTTGAGGGTTCTTCTGCTGTTGTGGCAAGTTGGATGGACTGTGTCACAATCTTCGTAACGTGTGGCAACAGCACCTGCTCGTTTTGTGTGGAGAAGAGAGTGACAGCCATGAACGAGAGTTTGAACAGACGAAGTAGGATCGATGACTTCTTTTCATCCGCCGATCCTACCTCGTCCATCTTCCCCATGAGGAACTGCAGAAGCATTCCTGCGAAGCTCGGCGACGTCGCCTCACTAGCAAGAAGGAACTGCGGAACGTGCAGCAGCGCCGGGTGGTCGAACATCATCTCATATAGGTTCGGTATTTGCGACTGGAAGACCTCGTGGAAGGTTGCCGGATCAATGTGATGGAACACGGTAGCAAACGTTTCGAGCAGGTCCTTCTCCTCCTTGCCGCTCGACATCATGTGCTGATTCGCAAGAAGCTCGCTTTGTGACAATTGCTGGGTTTCAGCCAGTGGCTTGTCGAGGCCGTAATATCGAAAAACCTGCGCGCCTTCTCGAAACAACGTGATGAGGACTTCCACCTCTTCAGCATTGTATCCAAACGAGACCTCGTGCCAGTTTGGCGGCGCAACAGCAGCATCGATTTCCTCTTTGATATGCGGAGGATTACAATCCCTGAGTCGGTAAAACAGATTTTTGAGGCCGTGAAGCAGATTCCTGAACAAAAACTTGTTATCCGCAATCGGATCCGAATTCCGCTCGCGCGGGTTCTGTGTCTTGATTGGAGTAGCGCTAAATATGTCTATCTCGTCCCAGTCAGGGGGATTGTCTTTGTCCGCCAAGAAGTTCTCTGGCGTAGCTTCGATGGAGGGCTGCGAATAAGTTGCAGACAGCTTGACCGCGTTGTGGAACTGTCGGTTCATTGACGCAAATTTCTCGCCGATGGCGTTGAGGATCATGACGAGAAAATAGCGAGCATCTTGCTTCGGTTCCAGCGCGGCAATACACTCAGCCATGTTCATCAGTAGCTTAGCGCTCATGGTTTGGAAGCTTGTGCCGGGATAGTTATCGTGCAAATTTCTAGTGTAGACCTCGATGGTCTTACGTATCTGCTCCTTCGAGAGCTGATCTCGTAGATGATGGATCAAATCCGCAAGCATACTGTACGCCAGGGGCCTCATCGACTCATACACTGTAAGCCCGTCCCCTATCAACGTTCTCTCGTCCAAGAGCTCATCGATCTTAGGGAGGAAGATCTTGCGAAAGTTGAAGTTGATGATATGGCGAATTGCGACAAGCAGCTCCTTCCGAGCACCAGACTTCTCTCTCGGACAATCCTTGAGCAGCCGTACCACTATGCCTGGCATGCTGGGCAGAAAATCGTTTAGCTGCTGCGAATAGACTCGCAAGAGATAAGCCAGGAAGCTCATCGTTTTGACTTGAGCTGTGATGAACTCTCCAAAGGCTGCGCGATTCTTGATTTCTTTCGCGACACCCGTGAACACCTTGCCTTGCGCCGCTGCTTCCTCGTGCGCTTTCTGCTGTGGCTTGGCTTGCAGCATGAGGACCTGCTTAATCAAGGGTACAAATTTCTTAACATTCTCAGGTACGGCGCGCCGGTAGGCTTGGAAGATTGACACCACGATGATCGGACACTCCGCGAGGACCTTGAAGGACTGCATCCCCTTGAGTAGCATCCTGGCCTGCCCCTCACTGCCAGCGTCGGACACTGAGGCTACCGGAGAGCCCGGCCGTGGTGACTGCGAGTACTGAGCGCCGCTGGGTGTGGAGGGCACTGCCTGCGATGCATGCTGCTGCGTGGGATTATCGAAGGTATCTTTGACTGCCTGCTCCATCATCTCGAACATCTCCTGGATCAGGCTGAGGAAAGGCTGAACCCGGTCCGCCAGAGCTTTGGTGTGGTGTCGCTGAAAGTCCATGATAGTCTTCATGCAGAGTACCGCATTGTCCTCGTTCTCAGTCTTGACCAGCTCCATAAGCTTATCCACAATCTGCGCGGCGTAAGGCTCCGACGGCTCGGGTGGGGTCATAGGTAAGCGGTGCAGTATTTCGAGGACGCAGTTGCGAAGTCGCTGTTCGGGGGAGGTACTGAGGAAGACTGGCGGGCCATCGAGCAGCTTCAGGAAGATGGGTACGAACTTCTCGAGGAAGACGCCGTACGTTGCTGGCTGACACCACAACTCGATGTTATCGCGGAGCTCGATCGCGAAGCTGCACTTTGTCTTGAAGTCTGTATTCCGACAAGTTAGCAACATGCTCGATGCCTCACGTTCAGACCCCATCAGCGGTGTCCAGTCTTGCGCTTACCGACACTGGGGTCATCCAGCTTCGCGACGTATACGTCCATGTTCCTGTCCGCTGCCATCTTGATGGCTAGATCTATTGCTCACTGCCGTTCTACGGCAAGCTGCTTCTACTCTTTCAAGTGCCGGCGCCAACTGCGCAGGTAGCCGTCTCCAATATTCGATCGGGGTCTTGGAAGCGTGGGAGCATTTGGTGAAACGGTATGGGCTGGTAGTCGCAGAGGGCCCGACAGAGAGAAAACTAGAAGGCGCCCGCAGGAAGAAATTGGGTTAAAGAGCGTCGCATCCGCGGAAACATGGATTGGGGTAAGCGACCTTTAACGGCAAAGCATAGAAGAAGACTGTGGAAGCGCTGAGACGCGATATTGGATGTGCTGCACTCACACAGCGCGCGACACTTTGAAGCTTTGCGATGCGGGCATCGGCTTGACTTGGAGCGAAGATCATTTACTTCTTCGGGCCTAGCTCATGCCAAGCCGCCAAGCTCCCGCCGCACGAGCGTGTGGAAGCGGCTAGCATGGAACAGACGCGAGAAGCGCCAGGCGCTTAGATGCGCTTGTCAACCTCTGTCATTCCTCCATGTACCGCGCTGCTCTGACCTTAGTCCTCTAAGCAGAGAAAACAGAGTCGGAGACGGCCTGGGTGTCAAAATAGCACACGCATACAACGTCCGAGCTGTTTCCCCATCCTGTTGTAAACGCAGTTACGTCTTAGCTCTTATATATACACTGACCATCCTCGAAAACATCTAACCGGAAGTAACTTGACGACGAAGAATTCTTCACGTTTCCGCCGACGTTAACCTCCGCATTCGGCCCGCCCGTCTAGTCTCGGCTACTGGAAAGAATCATCGAGCATTGTCTGGGCCTTACCTCACCACACATGCATGCGTGCATACCGTTTCGCGTGGCTCTCCAAGTGGCCTCGCCTGACCCAACCTGATGCTCTGACGTACCAAAGCCCATCTCCTACGCCGTGCGAATAGTCCGTAGGCATGCACCCCTTCGCCGTCAGGGTCCAACCTTGTAACGGCCAGATTTCTTCATCTCCTCTGTCCCTATGAGACTTCGCTCAAGGACACCGCCCATCTTCCAGCATGGTTTTCGTCCCCACCTCCCCCTTCCCCAACCCTCATCCCCCCCGCTCTCCCTCCACCCCACTCCAGCCTCTCCGCCAGCATCTCCCACGCCGGCTCCGCCCCTACTCTCCCTACTCCCCTCAACCCCACCGCAACAAACGCGCACAGTTTCTCGAACTGCTCGTGCATCTTCCCCAGCCGCTCCCCAACAGGTCCTCCAGCAATGGGTGCACCTTCCTCCGCTTCAGCCTTGTAGCCGTCTTCGCTGTCGTCGTCTTCTGAGACGGTGTCGTCGTCGGGGGGTGCGGTGGCTTGCCGCTTGCTGAAGCGTCGCTGTGGCCGGACGGATGGTCGTCTGGTGGGTGCGTCGGCCGGCATGTGACGAGCCGAGAGCTGGACCACGATATCCGTAAAGAGGACGCAGAGATCAAGGAGCGAGATGATGGCTTGGTGGATGGGCGCTAGACTCTTCGAAAGAAGGCACTGCGAACGCAGACGATTGCTATAGTCCTCGTGCACGGTGGCCATTGCGTCGATGTCTTCGGCTTCGGCCATGCGTTTGCGCATTGTGGTGGTTGAGGCGTTAAGGACTGTTGCGGTGAGGTAGGCGTGGAGGACGTCGGTGAACCAGAGCATGCGGTACCGGAGGGAGTAGATGAGATGGGTGTGTTTCCCGGGCTCGTGCTGGTGGGAGACACGGAAATCCAGCTTTCGGAGGAGGTACTTGGAGCGGTAGACTTGGAGGAGAAACGTGAAGACGCGCTGGTATGTCTTGAAGGACGTTCTTCGGATGACGTTGGTGATAGACCAGGGAAGCTGCATCCCAAGGTTAACCAGATTCACGTATATCGAGAGAGTAGAAACATACCATGTACTCAATGAAAATGCTTGACAAAGTCTTGATAGAGCGCCGTGGATGTTTCGTACTGGTGACTCTTATTGCTATCGAGTCCTCGTATAGGCAGTCAACGCCACAGAATGTTGTCTTCGCCAGCTCTGTCAATGAGAAACGGTCATTCCACACTCTTCGTCGCCCCTCCAACCTCTCGAATAGCCGATCAGCAAAGGTTTGGAAGATTCTACCATCTCTGGAAAAGTATATGTGTTCCAGCGCGTCCAGTGAACGCCACAAGCCGCATTCTTCGTACAGTCTCTGTCGGAGAGTCAACGATGCTGCGCTGTACTTGCTGCGCATCCAACTCTCGAAGGCTATATCGAAAACCTCAGTGAAAGGAGTAAGTAGCGCAGCAGAATTATGCGAGCAGACAGTATGAAAGTCAAGGCTGGGCTCAACATCGATGCAGAAAGCATCTCTTGTGCCGCCGTGGCCAAGTTCCTTCAAGAAAACGATACTCTTCCCCGTGTTGAACACCTTCCGAACAGCTGGATGCAGGAACTTCGGAGCGTGCAGATTGCCATCTGTGCCATAGCGCAATACAAAGCGTTCGTGCCACAGGGAAGAGGCCTCGCTGCCCTTGTCTGATACGCCGACGAAGAAGATCTGGTCGTCGGTTTCTAGTTCTCCTTGCTCCATCCACTTCCTCACGGGCTTCAAGTACGTCTGGAGACACTCGAAAAACATGTCGGCCATGAACCTGAAAGCATCGGAGTCTCCAGCCATTTGTGCGATGTTTGCACCATCGAACAAAGCCTCGAGATACTTGAAAGCATGCCGGTTAGCGGACCCGTCGACTGCACTGAGCGTGGCCGCCAATGCTTTCAGAGGGTGCGCAAGCGCTTCTATCTCAGAATAAACCTGGATAAGGCTGACAATCACGGGTCCCTCGGGCGCAACAAAGCGCTGCTCAATTTTCGTAACATCCAAATCAATTCCTGTTAGGCGTGCCATGATAGCAGCTTGTAGAGTCTGCAATAGTGACACGGATTGCTTGATGCGGGCCCACTGCCGTAAGCGGTATAGCCGGGCGCCGACATCTTGAAAACTAGTAAGAAGGTGGTGGAAGGTTGCGGGGATTGCGTGCTCTAAGGCATAGCTAGTATTGCAGGTAATGGCACTCGAATCTCCGTCCAGCCGAAAGAGGGACGTTGGCAGTCCACGCAACATAAATAGAACCTCCCGGACGGCTTGTAGCTCGGTAATGGTGACAGTCTCAGACTCGTTCACGAGCTTGCGATGCTTCCAGAACTGTGCCTCATCGATCCCTTGAAGCTCTTTGGAATTCGGTACAATGATGAAGGGATGCGGATCCGGTGCATGTTCCGTATCATCGACGCTGGACGGTGGTGTGGTATATTTCTTGCCAGACCTGACAGGAACTCCTCGTCTCTTCTCATCTTCAGAAGACTCGGCAGCGTAATCAATATCATCCCAAATACCCTCCTCATTCGGCGGATCATCAGCATAGATATCCGCCCACGTCAGCGGCGGAGGAGCTGGTTCGGGCTTCAGTGCTTCCAGGTCCTTCAGGCTAGACTTCTCGACTGGACGGTCCGACAGATTCAAGAACAGCGACAAGATCTCGGGAGTGAATTTGTTGGAAACACCGGCCAGCTGCTCTAGGCGAATACTGAGAGCATCGGCCAGATCATCCCGATTTAGGATGCTGAATTTCTCAACAAGGCCCTCATAGCTGGCTTTGACATCGAACTGGTTCGTTCGAGCATATTGAAGCGTTCTAAAGCTCTTGATCGTTTGATCTTTACATGATCTGAATTGGCGCGGTTTGCTCTACCCTCGCATAAGCGTCGTGCATTGGGATGGATGCTGAAAGACCAACTTCGTTAGAGAGCCCGGTTAAAGAGGTGGCCAGGCTCTCAGCTAAACCAGAAAGGGTGGCAGAATGAGCCATATCCGCTACATGGTCCTCGCTGCCAGTGGTTTGGTGTTGTCTGCCAGAACACGCGCTGTTGGAACACGATGCTCAAAAACGTCACGTGCCCTCGCGTTTAGTTGAGTGAGCATGCCGCGTCAACATCCAGTCCTGGCATTTTGCCCGAGGCCTGATTAAAGGTGCTGCTTTTCTGGATCCATTCATTCGCTGAGTCCTCAAGGAACATAACGACCAGGATCAGCCCAGCGTCACCTTGATCAGCAGCTTCGAACTAAAATCGAACATATCTTCATAACTGCGTTATCTGGCCGGTACATCTGACCTCTATTCTATTCTAACCTCAACCCACCCACCTCCTCGCGCTCTTAAACAGCCTAATCCAAGGCCCAAACTCTCCACCCCACGCCTCCGCCTGCTCCCTCGGAATCCAACTCCCCACATCCGTCAGAACCGTCCGCTCCGGATGCGGCATCAGCGCCAACACCCTCCCATCAGGTGTCCTAACACCCGTGATCCCCTTGGGGCTGCCATTCGGGTTAAACGGATATCTCTCTGTGGGCTTAAGATAGTTATCCACATATCTTAGCGAAACTAGGCCCTGCTCGAACAGTCCGTCCGGGGTTGACGACGCCGCCAGGCCAGACGGGAACGTGGCGCGGCCCTCGCCGTGTGCTGTCACGATTGGGAGAGTGGAGCCGTGCATGCCGTGCAGGAAGACGGACGGCGAGTGATTTGGCGGATCAATGATCTCGACCATGCATACGCGCGCTTCGTACTGTTCGCTGATGTTCCGCTCGAAGGTCGGCCAGGTTCCAGCGCCGGGGATCAGCTCTTTCAGCCGCGAGAGGAATTGGCAACCGTTGCACACGCCAAGGGTGAAGGTGTTCGGGCGCTCGAAGAAGGACTGGAACTCTCGGCGCGTGCTGGGGTGTAGGAGGACGCTTTTTGCCCAGCCCTGTCCGGCGCCGAGGACGTCGCCGTAGGAGAAGCCACCGCAGGCTGCGAGACCCACAAACTCGCTGAGAGATCGCGCGCCACTGAGGATGTCGGTCATGTGGACGTCAATGGCCGAGAAGCCGGCGGATGCGAAGGCGAAGGCCATTTCCGCTTGGCCGTTCACGCCTTCTTCCCTCAGGATCGCGACTTTTGGGCGGGAGGTAAACGCAGCAGAGATGGTTGATGTCAGGGGGAGAATGTTGTCTTTCGGGTTGAAGGTGAGCTTGTACGTCATGCCTGGATCGGAGTCATCTATGATATTCTCGTGTTCTGCGTCGGCAGCAGCGGGATTATCGCGGAGCCGCTGCATCTGGTGTGAGGTGGCCGACCAGCGTTGCTGAAGACTTCGTCGGCTGTTGCGATATACAACGTCAGTGCCTCTGAAAAAGGAGATCTCCTGCTTCGACGCTGGAGGCACGCGGCCGATCTTCTTGATCAGCCCTGGTGGTGGCCCGCAGGTTGCGAAACAGTTCTTGAACTCGTTCTCGTGCTCCTTGCGCACTTGGAACACGGCACCTAGCTCCTCATTGAAGAGCGCTTCCATGAGGTCCTCGACGCTATCGCTGCGGCAAACATCGTCTAGCATGATCTCCAAGCCACAGCGACCGGCAAACATCATCTCGACTAGAGTCGTGAAGAGGCCACCATCTGAACGGTCATGATACGCCAAGACAATGCCAGACTCGTGCAGCTGCTCGACAGCATCGTAGAAGTCTTTGAGCAAGTCCACGTTCCGGACATCAGGCGCTTCGTCGCCGACCTGGCCAAACACTTGCGCCAGCGCTGAACCTCCCATAGCCTTCATTCCTTCTGCAATATCGACGAAGAGTAAAACGGTCTCACCCACGTCCTCCAAGCGCCGCAATGCCGGCGTCCACGTCCTCTTAATCCTATCAACGGGAGCGAAAGCAGTGATAACCAGCGACAGGGGTGCGGTAACCTCCTTGTCTTCCTTCTTCTCCGCGTCTTTCCACCTCATCTTCATGGACATAGAGTCCTTCCCCACGGGGATGCTGACGCCGAGCTTAGGGCACAATTTCATACCGATAGCCTCCACAGCCTCGTACAGATTTGCACCCTCGCCTTCATGGCTGCTCGCAGCCATCCAATTAGCCGAGAGCCGTATCCGCTCCAAGCGATCAGTGATGCTCGCAGCGGCGATGTTCATAAGCGACTCCGCCACTGCCATGCGAGCTGATGCCGCTGGCGATATGAGCGCGAGAGTAGGCTTCTCGCCCAGTGCCATCGCTTCTCCGGTACGAACACCTGCCAGAAGCGATGTTGCTGTTACCGAGACGTCGGCGACGGGTACTTGCCATGGTCCAACCATTTGGTCCCGGGTCACGAGACCGCCTACGCTTCTGTCGCCGATGGTGATCAGGAAGGACTTTGAGCCGACAGAGGGGAGAGCAAGGACTCTGCCCACTGCTTCACTTAGTAGCCCATCTTTCGGCGTCTTCGGAAGGTAGGATGAGAGGCTGCTATCGAAGACCGGTAACTTCAGTTTCCTCGAAGAGACAATCCGCGATGGAATGGGAGGTCTGCCGAACAGCGTGGACATAGGTAGGTCAATGAGCGTCGGAAAGTCTTGCGAGTCTCTGTCAACGAGTACTAGCTTTTTTTCCTGATCCGTTTCCCCTCCTGTCGCTGTCCCTACGACAGAGTAACCGCATCTCTCGCGCTTGCAGATCGATTTGAATGTTTCCAGGGTCTCCGGTGCCACAGCCATGACGTATCGCTCTTGTGCCTCACAGCACCATATCTGAAGCGGGCTCATGCCCCTGTCCGCGTTGTCAACTTCACGCAGCTCGAATTTCGCACCCAGGCCAGCGTCATGTGCCAGTTCCGGTAAAGCGTTGCACAAGCCACCCGCTCCAACATCATGTATGAATAGAATCGGGTTTTCATTGCCCATTGCAGTGCATGTGTTGATGACTTCTTGCGCCCGTCGCTGGACCTCAGCATTGCCCCGCTGTACACTTGCGAAATCGAGGTCAACGGATCCCTCTCCAGATTGGACGCTCGACGCCGCTCCTCCACCTAACCCAATGAGCATCGCCGGGCCGCCGATAACGAGCAGATGCGCGCCTGGCTTCACAAGATCCGCGGTCTTCAGGGCATGCTGCGGTCGTACCGTGCCGACTCCGCCAGCAATCATGATCGGCTTGTGGTAGCCTCTCAGTTCAGTTTTTCTATCATCGACCGGTACCTTTGTGAGCAGCGTACGGAAGTAGCCCGCGGTGCATGGCCTGCCGAATTCATTGTTGAACGCAGCGCCGCCTATCGGCGCTTCGAGCATGATGTCCAGACTCGAAGCGATATGCGCTGGCTTCCCGACATCGCTCATCTCCCATGGCTGCTCGAAGCCGGGGATCAGGAGGTCTGAGACGGAGTAACCCGACAACCCACTCTTCGGCTTGCTTCCCCTGCCGACGGCTCCTTCGTCCCGGATCTCACCGCCAGCGCCAGTCGCTGCTCCTGGGAAGGGCGATACAGCGGTTGGGTGGTTGTGTGTCTCTACCTTGATCAGGTAATGGACCGTCTCCTTAGTTTGATGCCATTCGCCGGTCGCGGTTGTGGGTGCCCAGTAGCTCGCAGTCTCGCCTTGCAGCACCGCCGCATTGTCACTGTACGCACTTACTGTGTACTTTCCATTCTTTTTGTGTGTGTTTTTGATCATTTGAAACAGGGTGTGGGGTTTGCGCATGCCGTCAATGGTCCAGTCAGCGTTAAACTGCTTGTGTCGGCAGTGTTCGGAGTTGACCTGGCTGAACATGAAAAGCTCCACGTCTGTCAGATCCCTCTTGAGAGTCTCCGTACAAGCTTTCACCAGATACTCAATGTCTTCTGGACTGAGCGCCAATCCGAGTTTGCTGTTCGCAGCCTGAAACGCAGCTTTCGGATCGCTTCCCAAATGTACGCGAGCTGCTGGCGCCGGCAGATGTTCTCCGAACATATCGTCTAAGTTTGGTGGGTGCCTGCTTATCGTCTCGGTCATGCGGTCGTGGAGAAGGTCCGCCTGCGGTATAGCCTCATTGTCCAGCTCCTCGTCAAACGTCGCCGCAAAAACCATGCCTCGCTCTGTCCGCTTGACCGAATCCCCAAAGCCACACACATGCGCTATGTTGGTTGCATTGGAGCTCCATGGCGAAATCGTGCCGGCTCGAGGGCATACGTAGAAGAGCAATACAGCAGGGTCTCGCGGATCGCCGTTGCGGTTGATGGCGTCGAGTAGTGTGTGGTATAAACGGTCGTCTGCGGGAGGGGTGTGCCCTTCTTGCAGGAGCCCCCGGAGCGTCCTGATCTCCTCCTCGTGGAGTCGGTGGAAGGGATTGATGTAGTATATCCATGCAGCCCTGACTTCCTTTGCGCCAATGTCTTTAGCAAGTCGCTCGAGGCGAAAGTCGTAGAGCGCGGACCGGCCGGGGATGGCGAAGGAGAGGGTTGGAACGGGCACCATTGTCTAGGTCTTCGTGACAGATAGCGCGTAGGATATGCTATTAGAATTACTGTATTTCGAGATTTTAGTGTCTGTGTGCGCTTGCATTTGGCATCCAGGATGTGTCAACCCTCTATGTAAGCACACGGAGCGTGTTCATAGCGAAGGAAGCCTTCAGTGTCGTGGGCACATTTTACGATGACACAAAAAGTTTACTCGAGTCGCGAACTGGAACGCGGGCTTGGTGGGGCGGGAGTTTCTCGGGCCAGGGTGCCAGAATTTGAAAGTCGAGGGGCAGTCACGTGGCAGAATCTGATGCCGAGACATTCTCGAATGGTCAGCAAGCACTTGATGAATTGAGGAACTGAGGAACTGTAGAAGAGTACCAGGACAACCGAAGAATTGTTCGAAGAACTATCTTATATTGGGGGCATACAGGTTCCGCGCCGCCGCACGCACCAGCCCACTTAGTAATCATCCATGTCTTCGTCCTCGAAGCCAACGGAGTTCTCAGCCCCTGAGGCATCGGGCAGCTCGTCATCAGGATCGGCTGTGCTGTGGTAACGAGCATCTACCCCAGATCCCTCATCATCCACATCCTGCTCAGCCTGGTCTTCTTCAGCGTCCTCCTCAGCGGCAGTCCGCCTGGCCCCGTGCTTCTTCTTGGGACGCTTCGTACTGTTCTCGCGAGCGCCGTCGCCGTCCAGTGCGTCGTCGAGGATTTCCTCGATCTCAACGTCTGAATCTTCCTCCTCGGCTTGCTGCACTTCGCGTGGACCTTCCTCGGTTGCGTCTATTTCGTCTTCCTCGGAATCTGCGGCACCACCAATCACATCAGCGCTGCCTTCTCCGCGAGCTGCTGCGGCTTCTGGCGTCTCTGGAGCTGCCTCGTCATGATGCCCCAGGACTTTGTTCTCGTGCAGCCGCGTTCTCTTGGTACGCTGCTGAGTTGAGTGGAAGCCTGTTGCGCTGGTACGTATCTCAGAGGCCAGATAAAACTCGTGCGTCGTAGTGTTTCCTCTTCGGCTGAAATACGCTGCGCTCATGTTGCTCCTGTCGATGATGTCCGGCAAGCTCATGAACTTTTCATAGTACGCGTCGTCCGGTGTACCACCTTCCAGCATGGTCTTTACTTTATCTCTCATGAAGATTCTGGCTTTTGCCCAAGTTCCATTGTGGTACCAGCCGTCATGTTGAGCCTGGGAATCGGTTAGCTTCGCCGAAACAAGATCAAGGGAGGAGATCCTACATCACACTGCGTTCGGAGGTTATCGGTGTCGAGGAGGCGGCGGACCAAGGGATCCGTGATGTCGCACACCTGCCAGATTTTGCCGTCCGGTATGACTCTTTTGCCATCGAAGATATGGCTTGTCTTGTCGTTAGGAAGATTGATCCACCGGACCCTGCCGCCACCCAGATCCTTGACCACCGTGGCGTTGGATGGATCATCCGGATTAGCCGTGATCTTGAAGACCAGCGTCTGATAGATTCGGTACTTTGGATCCGATCTCGGATCCAGCCCGTACGGAATCATGGCGTTAGACCATGGCCCGTCTTTGAAGGAGTAGAACACATATGGGTAAACGAGCTTCAGATTATCTCTCTGATTGCGAGGAAACTGGTTGTGCAGCGCACGACGTGTCCATATCGGTCGTTCTGAGGTCACCTTCGCACGAAGCTCACGAAGAGTCTTGCTGAGTGACTTCTCAAGCTTGGCCTCCGGTTCGAGCGGATTTAATGGGCCGGAGAGTACCGGTGTCTGGTTCCAGGCGCAAGTGCCTACCATCGTGCGGTGCAGTCTGCCATAGAGATGGGTTACAGTCAAGCGGCCGGCATCATCTTTACTAAATTTGACGAACGGGTTCTGGCGGTATCTACTCAACTAGATTAGTGATTTGTCGGAGCTGGCAGCTGTGTGAGCTTACCCGTAATCGAATGGAATCGTCAACGGACTGAATACTGCTGGAGGCCCCACATCGACGGCCGGCCGCATGCCCTTCTCGAGGTTAATGTCGAAATTCTTGAGACTCTCATCTAGTCGGCGCGTATCAGTACATGGTAGAGCTGTTGACTAGGGTCTGACGCACAGTCAAATGCTAAGATAGACTGGCGCATGTTCTCCATCAAAGGGTCCGTCGATGCAGCATATTGAAAGTCGGGAAGGTCTGATAGCATTAGCCAGCGAGCAGTTACAGATTCTCATGTGGTACTGACAGCGGAATCGATGGGTCTCAGTAATCAGGCCTACTGGCTCGACGCTGTAACTTGTCGGGTTATCACGCATACATTGAAGCAGCAGCTCAGCATCCACATCCCTTGGCGTTGTGCCTCCATTAACTTCGAATTCATCCAGAAATGGTCCTGATGATCCCCGTTTTCGTTTTCGACCGGTCAGTTTCGGCACGCTGACTTTGAGCAGAAGGCTCTTAGTTTTGACTTGGCTCGACGAGATCGGTTTAGCTGAAGGATCCCCAGGCCGAAGAGATATTGAAATGTTCCTCTTCGGTTGTTTCAACCTCAGGAACTATACCAGTGTTAGTAAGCTTGATGCTGTAGTGGATATCAGAAACACTCACACGGTCGAGCTGTACCTCGCCGCCAGACGACTTGATGCCATTATCGATATTCCGGACTATACACGGATGCTCTATACTTACGACAGGCTCGCAAGGCACATTGTACCATGGGGAGGCCCGCTTAACGGATGACTCCATCCTATACGAGTCCGTCACAAGTGATTCGCTGAGCAATAGAGGCGCAGTTGCCTGACAGCGACAGAGCACGTAGGTAAGCAGAACTTCTCCCTCACTCTGCCTGCTAGTTAGGTAGTCTTCCGAGACGAGGAGCGTTCTACTCTACAGGTCGCTCAGGGTTCGTCAGCGGAAGCATGCGGCGGGAACCCTGGCCGCTTCGCGTCAGGCGTCAGGCGTCGAGGTCTAGCCCTGCTCGTGGACGATCCATGAGACCTGTACTCTAAACTCGGCGAGGCACTTCACGAGCTGGAACCTTGCTACTGGTGACTTTTGTCTTGTAACTTTGTATCTCTGTATCTCTGTATCTCTGTATCTTTGTATCTTTGTATCTTGTGCTCGTAGCAGCCCCGCAAAGGTTGGCGTCGTGCACGGACTCGCCTGGTGGTTGCAGCGCCTGGAGCGTCGACGATGCACGACCTCCTCAAGTCGAAGCTGTAAGCAGAGTCCAGCAGCCGCCTGCCCATCACTACTCCCCCTCCCCACGACCTGTCCATTGCCTTCACATCCTCTCTACATCTACACGACCGAAGACACCTCCCACCCGGCATCCCGCCGCCAAAGCGGGGCGCGGCCACGCATCCACGCATCCTCGCATCCTCGCATCCACGCCAGATCTGACCTGTCTCTTGGCGCAGCAACCCGTCCTCGCAAAACGCCCGTAAACACGCTCAATCGCCCGAACCTACGACCGACTTCAATGCTCGCTTGAAAACGCCGCCTCCCTCCCGATATCAGCAGCCACGCTAGCACCAGCTGGTTTTTGCTGCTCCCCTTCCTTGGCAGATTGCAGCCTCCGCTGAAGGTCTCGACCGAGAGAGCGAACCATCGAGTGCCGCTCCTGCCACACGGGCAACCGCTCAAGCTGGAGCTTGTTCGCAGCTTGCAATTATGAAAGGCTTTAGACAGAGAGTTGTAAGCACAGCCCCAGCCCTATCATCTTCACTTTTCCCCGGCTAGACTTGCCTTCACCCTCCCAGTCGTCCCCTTAGCTTGTGATGGATAACTAAAGAAGAATTGCTGAACAACAGCACGAACAGCTATCGCGCGCAAAAGACTCCGGCAAGTCCTCCAAGAACAAGAAAGAGGGCACATCTGGCACCTCATCACCCTCCCATGGCGGTTCCTCGACGCACTCACCTGCCACATCTGCTCACGCAACGCCTACCTCGTCCACAACCCAGCTAGTCGATCCCCGCAATAAGCCTCTTCCAGGGAACGAAGGAAGCACTGGTGGAGCTTCGCATGCGAACTCAGCACATCCCGCTCAGCCTGGGTTACCAAGCTCCTTGACTTCCGGCCACCCGTACATGCCACAGCCGCCAAGCACGATGAGTTCGGGAGGTGCCGGTACGCCTGCTCCAGGTACGCCGCATAGACCGGGCGGGGGTCATTTACCACCTTCGGTGGTTGTGTCGTCAACTGCGCCGGTAAGTCCATCACGGGTCTGCTGTGAAAATGCGGCTCTTCCCCTAGATCCACTACAAGCGAATATTTTGAGAGAGATGCTGATGGCCGTTATCAAGCATATTCCTCCTCCAGGAGCCGCCGAGACCATGCCAGGTGATCTGGCGCCTCCGTCAAAGGGCGGCCAAAAGTCGCTTCTGTTTGATCGTCTACAATCCACCCCGAAAGATGTACCAGACGGCTTGCGAACGCCGAAACGCCAACATTCATCCAGATTCGACATCTCCGATCAACGACAACGGGAATTGGAGAAACTGCCGGGCTTCCACGAAGTCGCGCCCCAAAAGCGTCAGGAGCTGTTCATGCAAAAGATCGATCAATGCAATATCATCTTCGATTTCAATGACGCCAGTGGGGACATGAAATCGAAAGAGATCAAACGTCTGGCTTTGCACGAGCTCCTGGACTACGTGGCGAACAACAGGCAGGTCATTACAGAACCGATGTACCCTCGGGTTGTGGAGATGTTTTCGAAGAATCTGTTTCGGCCTATTCCCCCACCAGTAAATCCACAAGGCGAAGCCTTCGATCCAGAGGAGGATGAACCGGTTCTCGAGGTTGCCTGGCCGCACATTCAGGTTGTGTACGAGTTCTTCCTTCGCTTCATTGAGAGTCAGGACTTCAACACCAACATCGCGAAGCAATACATAGATCATGGGTTTGTGTTACAGGTGAGAACCCACAAGATGCTGGTATAATGGTCTCATCGCTAACTGCGGCAGCTCCTGGAGCTATTCGACTCGGAAGACCCGAGGGAGCGGGATTTCTTGAAGACTACGTTGCACAGGATCTACGGCAAATTCCTCAACCTTCGCTCGTACATTCGGCGATCGATCAACAACGTCTTCTTCCAGTTCATCTACGAGACCGAACGCTTCAACGGAATTGCGGAGCTGTTAGAAATCCTTGGTTCGATCATCAACGGATTTGCCTTGCCGCTAAAAGAAGAGCACAAGCTTTTCCTTACTCGTGTGCTCATTCCGCTGCACAAAGTCAAAAGCCTCAGCATGTACCATCCGCAGCTGGCATACTGCATTGTGCAGTTCTTAGAAAAGGACGCGGCATTGACAGAAGAGGTAAAACCGGCGCCTGGTATATTTTGGCACAAGCTAACTAGACGTAGGTTGTTCTGGGTCTGCTACGATACTGGCCAAAGGTCAATAGCACGAAGGAGGTCATGTTCTTGAACGAGGTGGAAGATATCTTCGAGGTTATGGACCCTGCAGAATTCGCGAAGGTGCAAGAACCGCTGTTTAACCAGCTGGCCAAGTCGGTCGCTAGCCCGCATTTCCAGGTGTGTCACAGCCGTAGCGAAATTGTTATGCCCTAGGCTCACCGTTTTGCAGGTTGCGGAGCGAGCGCTGTACTTCTGGAATAACGAATACTTCTGTAACCTTGTGAGCGACAACGTGGAGGTTATCCTGCCAATCATGTTTGCGCCGCTCTATGAGAACTCAAAAGGACACTGGAACCGGTAAGCACCTACCTTGTGTCTTTTCAGCACACGCTCACAGGTCATAGCACAATCCATGGCATGGTCTACAACGCGATGAAGCTTTTCATGGAAGTCAATCCGCAGCTGTTCGATGAGTGTTCACATGAGTATGCCGAGTCGCAGACCAATGCAGAACAGAGGCAACAAACACGGCAGACCCGGTGGGATAAGCTTGCTGAGCTGGCCAAAGCACGGCAGAACGGGAGGATCGAGAACCCGAAGCTACCTGCAACGACCAACACAGGGTCGAAGGTGACCTCGCCGCTGAGCGCAGATGACACGGATCCTCTAAGTCAGGACAGCCAGCGACGGCTGGAGGCGCTGCGTTTGCAGGACGATACCATGGCAGGAAGGGATCGAAGACCAAAGGAACACGAGCGGCAGACTTCGGTACGTTAGTCAAACGAACTGGATATCGTCCCGGCCATGGATTGGAAAGCTTGTATCACTTCTTCTATATATCATTCCCTCGTAGAGATCCTCGTCTCGATCTTCAAGTTTCATTACCCTTCCACGTGGCCAAATATCTGAACAAGGCGTCCTGACATTGGCTTCGTTTGTTCTCAGCAGAGGCGCAGCAACGCGACATCCGATGACCCTAGTAGACGGACTTCAGGCCGGCCAAGAACCAATAGCCGTCCGGATTCTGCTAGTGGCGTCTCGTCTCCGAAAGGGCCTTCACGCAGCAACTCGGGCAACGCCGTTGCAAGGGCTGCGCCCAGCGGATAGATATGGACCCAGCGTTCCTTCTTGTCGTCGCCAGCTCACCTGCAGTCTGGTGCTGTACTTGTCCACTCCCCCTCACCTCGTCGCACCTCGTCGGAGTTCGCACTGTTCGGCGTCGGTGCTCCCCCAGGACTTCCCAGTGCATACCCTTCGATTCTTTCCTCTGCTCTTCACGTATCCGCTTGGGCTAAGGCCGGCGAAGCTGTGCAAACTGCTGCCGGGCATCTCCATTGGGATGCCGCTAGAGCTTGCTTGTCCTCTTCTCTACAGCAAACGTCTTCGTCGATTAAGGGTTGGCGTCTGCAGGCATGAGCGAACTCGGGCAAGCGAAGTTCTGCGTGAGGGTTGTTTTGATAGATGGGCTTTGTCGGGTTTGAGCGTCTGCGGAACTCTACCATTCCATTCGTCATAAAAGCATCCTAGCCCCCTACTCTGACTTGACTATGTTTACCTCATCGTCTGCTGGAGACATTCACGTGACTCCAAAACGCTCGACTTGCTGAGGACCTCGGCCGCGCGGTCGCAACGACTGCCCAATTCGGTCACGATGGCTTCGCTCATGCCACACCAACCCTCAATCCCTTTCACGAGATTCAACTCTCGAAGCCGAGGTACTCGGGGACGTCGCATAGCCCAATACATCCGCAAGCAATAAGCAGCACAACCAGTGATGAAGCCAAAAAGCGCGAAAACGGTTGGGGCTTGGCGCGATGACAGTCGGCGCGAATGCGTCTCCAATCTCCGACCGCCCCTGAAGTTTTTGGTCATACAAACTTTACCGGTAGGCCACTTCTCCGCAAAACCGACTTGCGCAAGTCCTTTACAAGTCCCAACCCCCGGTTTTCTTCAAGTCGCTCCTTTGACACCCATTGCCTCCTTCACTTAGAGCAGTTGCTTCTACCGCTTCCCTGGCTTAGATTCCGACAAAGAAACCGCTGTACGCTTACTTCGAACTCGCCGCGACCTTTCCGGCGGCATCCGCGTCGCAAACACCTACCTATACCACAACATGTCGAAGCCCTCCTGGATCCAATATGGCGTGCCGACGCTCGACCGCCCATTTGGCCTGCAGCTGTGGCCCATCTTCGAGAAAGCGTTCGAATCCGTCAAAGGCTACAAGCCGCAAGACTTCCGATTTGTGCCTGGGGAGACGCCCATGTCGACGCTGAAAGCGACCGCGACCATGTTGATAACATACTACATTGTAATATTTGCCGGGAGGGAGGTCATGCGGAGTCGCCCGGCGTACTCGCTGAACGGGCTGTTCAAGATTCACAATTTCTACCTTACGGCGATCAGCGGTGTCTTGCTGGCGTTGTTTGCGGAGCAGTTGATACCGGAGCTGTGGAGGAATGGCGTCTTTCACGCTATCTGCAATCATGAGGGCGGGTGGACGGATAAGTTGGTTGTTCTATACTACGTAGGTTTTTGCGCTCAATGGTACTGGAGGTAATACTCACAGTATACGCAGCTGAATTACCTCACTAAATACCTCGAGCTGATAGACACCTGCTTCCTCTTCCTCAAGAAGAAGCCTCTGAGTATGCAACTCCCAATATGCCATGCGCGATTACTCACTGACTCTCCTCAGCCTTCCTCCATACCTACCACCACGGCGCAACCGCACTGCTCTGCTACACCCAGCTCATCGGCCACACCTCCGTCTCCTGGGTGCCCATCACGCTAAACCTCATGGTCCACGTCGTCATGTACTGGTACTACTTCCAGTCCGCGCGCGGCATCCGCATCTGGTGGAAGCAATACATCACCATGATGCAGATCATCCAATTCGTGCTTGATCTCGGTAAGCCCCCCCCCCC